TAAATTGCTTCGATCCAGAATTAGAATTTTAAGCTCATTGCACTGCTCAGCCTCCATAAAATAGGCCACGTCTCGTTGCAATATGGTATTAATCGCCTCAAACTTTACCATTTCACGTTGATGAATCGCTTGTTGCTCCTCCGGTGTGAGATCTGCACTTGTTTTGTAAGGCACTTTACATATGAAGGTAAATTCAGAACCACAGCCCAATCCTTGAGAATCAACCTGGAAAAACGAAAAGATTAATGAAATAAACAAAACAGCTTAAAACACACCTTTAAATTTCCTCCAAGGCCTTGAGCAATCATTTTTGAGATAGAAACGCCCAGACCAGTCCCTTGTTTGGGTTGTGAGGAGTCATGTTTTCCTTTGAATTGTACGAATGGCTGACCGATCTTCATTAAATTGTCCTTTTCAATTCCTTCATTATTCACAATTTGGTTACTCGCTCAATACAAAGACATCACAATGTGATGTACTTACCAATACCTGTATCTTTTACACAAACTTCAATTTCTACCAGCCCACCCTCAAGTGCTGCCATTTTCACACTAAGATAAACATAACCAAATTGTGTAAACTTGACTGCATTTGAAAGTAAATTCAGCAACACTTGCTTCATTTTTCCCTTGTCAGTGTATAAAATGGTTGAAAAGTCGAAATTAGGTTTGTAGTCAATAATAAGATCGAGCTTCTTTTTAACACATTCTAATACCACGAGATCCAACACTTCTTCAAAGGGTTCATACGGAGAAAATAATTCATTGTTCAGCTTCATTTGTTGTTCCAATTTCATAATCTCTAAAAAGTCGTTAATTAATGAAAGCATGGACTCACCACTTGTTTTGATGAGATTGATAAACTCTAATTGTTGATTGGTTATGGGAAATTCATCCACAGATCTCAACAAGAGGTCGCTAAGGTGATGTTGTTCATATTCAAGGTTGAACGTTTTTGAGATAAATTACGTTAAATAAAAATTCAATAATGAACAAACACCAAATATCAACTCACCTAAAACCTAAAATTGCGTTCAATGGAGTTCTGCAATCATGGGAAACATTTCTCAAGAAATTTTCCTTCTCTAACATGACTCGTTCTGATATTTTCTGTTGTTCAAGCAATTCTTGCTCGATTTTTCGTCTCCTCTCAACTTCGTCACTTAATTTACAATTGGATTGCAGTAACTCTTGTGTTCTTTGAAGAATTTTGTGCTCCAAATTTAAATTAGACAAACGAAGTTTCTCTCGCGCTTCCTCTCTGTCCAGATAATACCTCCAAGCTACAATAATGGAACTACAAGTGGTGCAAAGAGGTTCCAGGAAAGTTACATCCGACTCATGAAAACCACCAGCCTTATTGGCAAGACCAATCATTCCCACAAGCTCATTATTGAAAAGCAATGGGACTCCAAGAAACGAGTCCATACGTGGATGTCCTTTAGGAAGGTGATTGGGACTTCTCTGTGTGCGATTATCAATATTATGATACGTTATAGTGAAGAAGTTTAGGTTATCGTTATAGTGAACAATTTAGTTCAATAGTCTGACTCTATTACACCAATTATTTTCAACTCTACCTTTGGATGATTCTTGGGATCGTTGGTGACGATTGCTTCGCCAGTCAGTAATACATGTCCAAAAAGTGTGTTCATATTGTTGAATTTAAAATTACATGAAGATACTCGAGCAAATAAATCTCTTGCTTCGTCCGTCAGTTTAGTCTTGGCAAATGACAGAGCATGTGAATGCAAGAAGGGTTTTCCAAATTCGTCATGTTTGAGCTCACCAATGTAGCCATAGCCACACCTTAACAAACACAATACTTCGTTCAATAAGTCAAGAAAGAGTCGTGACGGGTTTTCAATATGAACCGCCGCACTCAACTGGGCATTGTAGATGGCTCTCAAAAGAAGATGACTTTGAGAATCGGTGTGTCCACAACCTTCCTCGCAGTGAGCTTTGGGCGTCACTACGGTGGTATCTGCAATATGAGTTGTAAGAATACAATCCTTTGTCTGGTGAATTACGAGGGAAGAAGTATCGTTGGATGTCGATTGAGGATCGTTGGAACGTGAGCTGCTGCTGACACCACGAAAATGATTCGTGAAACCTCTTATGGCAGAAGCTTCATTTATACTTTCGTCGCTTTTAAAATCGAGATCCATGGCTGAGGCGTACCCTGTGGTTGTGCATGTATTGGATGAAACTCACAGCTCAAAAAAGTAATGGAGATACTTACGATTGTTGTGTATGTTTTCAAGCGTACGTGAAGTGGCATATACACATCCCGGTTGCTGCAGCAGAGAACTCAAACCGTCCTCGCTTGAGCTTGTACTACCTTGCTGAGTTTCCATGTTTTCGTGGGGTGAGATGCTGTTGTCGAGTGGTTTGATGTGGTCATCATGTTCTTGTTGCTGTGAAGATAGCTCAGGAGAATGCTCGTCATTATTGTTGGTTATGTTTTCATTAAGGAAAGGGCATTTGCCTAATGAGGAAGGTTCGTTCAAGTCCAATAAATGATCATCGCCACAACTTGGATGAATCTTTGGATGTTGTGGAGGTGGTAACGAGGTGGAGGATGGTGGTTTGGACACATGTGAGGCCATAGTGTGATGATGTTGTTGTTGAGCCTCACCCATCTTCATAATTTGATAACCCGAAAACGAGCCACAAAATAACATGGATTGCTCATCACTACTCGTCGTCGATGACGTTGTAGATTCATTATCGCCAATATTTTCATCATTGTCTGAACTTGATGATGTTTCCTCTTGATTCATGGTTGTTGTACTTGCAGTATAGTAGCGTCCGATTTTATCTTCTTGCTGTTGGTCAGAAAATCTCTCTACAGCATAAACTGTGTGAGGGAAAATTTGAGTTGTACTGGCGTGGTTTTTTTCGGTTGTTTTCGCGTCATTCCCAAAATACAATTCCCAAAAAATATAAAAACGAACGGCTTTGAAATTCATTCCGATAACACGGCCCTCAAAATTATTATCATAATTTGGATTTACATCAAACACAAATTTAATACCATCATTCTTCATTGATTTGTTGTGGGCAGTATCATCTGCTTGCTTCTCACATTTTTTTATTTAATATTGAATAGCCGTTCGGAAATTATATTCATTGGACCGAAATTTCAATTATTGAACAATCATATTAATAATAACAAAAATGATGGAATGGAATTGCTGTGGTATAAAACCACTGGCTCTATTCTTGACGTTTTTCATATTCTTTGGCTCGGGATTAATGCTGTTTGGAGTGTTGTTTGGAGTGTTGGGTCCAGTCTCAACAAATCCACCAGAAATTACCACATTCAACGATTTAGCTTTGGTAGGTTGTGTGTTTGTTGTGATATGAACAAAATGAAATTCAACCGTTACCGTTAACACGAATTTTCAAAAAATCTACTCCTCATGAAAATACTTTGAATTTGATGATATAATTAATTTTATTATTTATTGTTAAATTATTTCAACGTATAACATGCCTATCGTATTCCTACGAAATTATTGAATAACAAAATTGAAATACGTAATAATTTAAGAGATGGCAAGCAATGAACAGACAAATATTCACTTCCTATAAATTCAACTTGACAGCCACGCTTACTTCCAATGCTCCCGTTCCATCTCCTTCCGTTTCATCATCGTCACTGCCACCCATGCCCTCGCCGTCTGTCTCACCATCAACCCCGTCTCACCTTTCTCATTTCGAAGACGATGATCACAATTTTGATACTCATTATTCAAATGGAAAATCTGATAAACACGCACCGGGTGTGGCCCTACCTCCTTCTTCCTCCTCATCGAGATACATTTCTCACAGTCACTCCTCGTCGTCGGAACATGCCACTCATGGCCATCCGTCGTCCACCACCAAACACTCAACAACAACAAGTAGTAGCACTGCCACGCCACCATCAACCGTTTCCACAACATCCACAAATATACCTTCTACACTACTCCAATCCAACACAGTGTTCAACCAAGCTCCATTCTCTCCCAATACTCAATCAGATGTATTTCATCCAGATAATCCTTTCTTTTTAGAAAAGTACGACTCGTTTAAATTTCAAATTAATTCCCAAAATCCTTCCACATTATTTACGGATCCCATTCGAACCAATTTTAGTAAGGCACTAATGTTGAATATCACTTGGTCTTCGGACCCTCAGAAAATGCTCTCAGGAGGAAACCCAGGTAAAAATAAGGGTGGAGGAAATAGTGGTGGAGGCATTGCCTTACTCTCATTTCTGTCCTCAATCTTTTCCGCAGGTATTTTGAACAATCACGAATTGTCACAAACCAAATTTTCCAATGCAACAACCAACACCTTGCAAGTACCTCTTATTTACTTATTTCTCAAAACTGAGTCTCCAATACATCAGAGCTCATCTGGATGCCGTTATGGATTCCTAGAAAATGGAAAGTGTTATCTCGTTCATCGATTGCGTGAGGTGTGTATTAAGGTAAAAGTGAATGACGCTGGAACGAGTGCACAACTTGACGATACGTTGTAAGTAGTATTAATTTATTCAACAACAACACTAGAGTGAATTTTTGCTTGTATTGGACATTTTCACGTATGGTCAAAAATCAATTTTTACATTTACAATAATGCTGGACCCAACATGAAATAGTGGAGGAATTGGTTGTGGCCCAACTGATGTTCCCTATTTAGCATCCATAGAATCTAATTATTCCGGCCTCACCTATATTTATTCCGTTATTTATGATAATCAAGATGTAAATAATCACACTGTATTGTTTAGCGACTTGGTCATTACACTTCGAAGTTCCAAAGATCCCTATGTTTATGCCGAGTACATTACAAATGGTACTTTGAATTTTCAACCTTGGGACAAGTATTATCATGGAAATATTTTAGAAGGAGATATTGGATTTGTGAGAGGATTTTTCGGTTTTGGGTCGCTGGGACTTGGAGTTCTTATTGTTTTTCCTTCCGTACTATTTTGTTTCATTTTCTGTTTTTGTAGTGAGAAATTGAGAAGAAAATTCATGGTAGATGACATGAGAGAAGAACACGCATTATTGTTGAATTTGTAAGTTTGTGATGGAGTTGTATGGTAATCATTTATTCAACAACATTATTGGATGATTTGTGTGTTTTTTGAAAATTATCAATGTTGGGGTACATGTACTCATTTGGATATATCTACTCATCGTCTCATCATCTGGATACTTGTTCGCAAATTAGGACTGTTGAAAAAGAGCAAAAAAAGAATCTGAAAGATTATTTATTTCCCAATACTGAAAGTGACTAACGTCGTTTCATTGATTTGATATCATATCATGCATACATAGGGTGACTGAATTTTTACTGCTGGCATGAACCACTCATTAACACGTACTGCTCATTGCATTTTGGTTGCCAATTGCAGTAGGATTGTTGCAACATCAGAACCACAGTTGAGCAGAGCTTTGGACAAAAATTGTGCTTATCGTAATCCTTTCAGTTTTGGTCATTGCATTTTGGTTGCCAATTGCAGTAGGATCCGGCTGCAATTAAATTTTGTCCATTCCACTCCATGCAAGTTGAATACCAATACATTGTGCCATTCTCGTCTCAACTTGTACAAATAAAGAAATTTACACTATTGAATCGCAAAATTATCATTTACATTTATAGCCCTGTATGTACAATTTTATTTCTCTTCAGCAGTATTCAATGTGAAGGCCACTTTCAAAATCACCATCGATAGATTATCCACTACCGAAGGTTCAGCAAAGTCCTTCTTGTGCATGATAAACGAGAGTGAAAGCTTTTGCTGTGGTTCCACATCACCACAATTTACATAAGACAAGTCAGTTGTCATTGCATTGACTTCTTCAACATTGGCAGAAGGTGATGTTGTGGTCGTCGTTGCTCCTTGCACAGCAGGCCATCTTCCAATTCCCAATTCATAAAATCTTCTCTTCAATGTACTCAATGAAACTTTCAGCTTTTTTGCTGCAACCGTTTGAGGCAAATTCATGCACCTCACCAATTCAGAGGTTGCAATAATAATCTTATTCTTCTTGGTTTTTCTCTTCTTTTTTACAATTCCAGAATTCTGAGCCGTGCTCGTCGTCGTTGTGGCATGACCTGTATGAGAACCAGAGGAAATACTCGATTTTCGACTCGTTCGTTTACCCTTTCCATTATTCTGTTCCTTCGTTACGTGTGGACTAGGAGCTGAATGAGAGGCAGAAGAAGCTGAATTAGAAATGGAACAATTCGATTCTTCATAATGTTGGTGTGGTTGGCTATGAGAATGAGTGTCTAAAGTTGGAGAATTCGAAGGATGATGAGATGCATACATGTATGGTTCATATCGAGGAGACGAACAAGTATAACCAGCAGCAGCAGCACTAATGGTTGGTATTGGATGAGCATGATGATGATGATTATTATTGTAATAGAAAGGATGATGAGGAGGAGAAAAGAAACCAGAAGAATGAATGGAAGGTAACATGGATGCTTTGGAATTCTCGTATTGATGATGAGGATGACTTGGAGGTGTTTGTATCAAAGTCTTGGAAGATGGACTAGTAGCAACAGCAGCAGCAGCAGTGGTTGCCGTTCGTATTTGAGAGTGATGGGATGGCATGATCTCTAGAGAATATCAAATGTACAAAAAAGGGAAAACGATCTTTGGCAGAAACACTCAATGAAACAAAAGTAATGAACAAAGAGGACTTTCTCAAATCTCAGTATGGTTGGAAGGTCAAGACTCGAGAGAGTGTTTTTATCGTGGGGTTGTGTGTCTGATTGGAGAGGACTAGAGGTTTGGTTTGTTTTTTTTAAATATATTGTCTTCTCATCTCGTCATGTCGGAAACTCTTTTATTCCTTGCTGATTCGAGGAAGGCACCACCACCACGAAATGAAAGAGACACGAGTTGGGTATTCATGGTCGCGCGTATCTCACATTATGCTCGAGGATTTCGCATCTAATTGACTTGTATGGACAAAGAGGCGACCTGACTAATTGAAATTTGTCCATTTTTTGGATTCGAAAATGAAAACGTTTGATGGAAATGCATCTGATGAAATCCTGAGAGAGATTCTTCTTCTTGGTTACACAGTTGTAACGTCCATGGTGCTATCTAGTCAGATTTCCATGAAGATACTTGTATGTCCCATTCATTTGCAAAAACAGATCGGATCTCTAAAGATCACTCTCTTTTTTGATACTATCAACGATGAAACGGTTCTCTTTCTCATCCTGAACGTTCAATAGAGGTAAGGCTAGAGTCTGCTGCCCTTCTTCTCTCACATGGCATGCATTCAAAGTGAACTTTTCTATCGATAACGTTTTTCCGACATGTCGCAAATGGAAAGTGAGTACTCGCCGAGATTTTTACCATGTCCAGACCATCTCCGTTCCTTTTGAATAGATTCTATTTGGATACAGTGTATACGTTGAATTGTATAAAATCGTAGTTATCACTCATGAGACAAGTATTGAGGGGAGGTAGTGTTTAAAGACGCTTACGATGAATGCAAAGAGCATGATGATGACAGAAATGCATCCAATGACTAAGAGGCAGTGAAATGATATTTGTGCACTGACAAGGAGAGACATGACCAAGTATATGAGAGAGAGAACGTAAAGTTCAGATCTCTGGTTCTGTGGTTCTGGAAGATGCAACAAACGAATAGAGTGTTTCGTAACGCCTCAAGAATGATCGGTTGAGTTGTTTGGCATTTGACGTTTCGCATCTCAGTTTCTGAAAAATTTGTTGTGATACAACCACTACCCATCACCATTGTCCAATAATACCAGTTTGGTATTGTCACGATATCTTTCGAACACATGATTCACACACAAGAACATCCCAAGTTATCCAAAACAAATGAATTCTTAATGAGGCAAGAGATATCATCCTGTTGTCCAGAACAGATGCAAATGCCATTACGCTTTTTTTCAAAGTCTTTCCGACTCATGAGTAGTACCTATTGTACAAACAAAGATCTTGGAAACGATAGCTCTATACATTGCATCTTTCCGAAGCTTGCGTAACACAATCGTAGCGGAATGACAGTCAAATAATCCTCACGCCCTCACTGCCTCATCAACTCTAATAACTGTAATTGAAGAGTGTACACTCTCACAAGCATTGTTCAAACATGATCGTCGATTAAGGGAGTGTGACATGAAATGTTTCAGAAACAGAACATACAAGGTGAAATATAAAATATATAAAAATATATATATAAATGCATTGAATACAATTTGGGTTCAAATAAACGTTGTGCTAAGGTTTCTCCTCCATGTTCACAACCCAACGACGCTTTGTACAATGAATTGAATGACTCTCACCATACATGAAATTTGGTAACAACACTACTTTCTTACCAAATTCATCTTGTGTCATTCCAAACCATTGATCATTGGTCGAAAAAGAATTCACGTAGGGTAATTTGAACAACACCAACAACCTCTTGGATGCTGTTCATACCTCTAGTGCAGCCCTACCAAAATCTTTCTTGTGAATATTCACACGATTTCGATACATTTAAGAAAAATACATGAGGAGGAAAACCTTAGAGAGAGATCTTAATAATGGTGTTGATGAGGATCTACAAGACCACCACTACCAGCACCACTGACCGCACAAGATCTCACACCCATTGCGGTCATGGATTGCGTCATGGAGTGGTGGCCCGAGTACGGTGGATGATTGTCTCCTTCGACGGTCATGTTCAATGCAGCTGCTACGGAACGAGTTTGTCCTTGAGAACTGAGAACAACCTCATCAGTTTCCATTCGATGAGATTTCTTCTGTTCTTCTCTCTTCTTGTTTTTTCTTGCTTGTTTCTGAGTCTGCTTTTTGCCATGTTGTTTAGCAGTCAACAATGGAGAGAGGCCTCCTCCAAGATGTGGCTGTACCTCAATCTTTGCCATTCGACTGTTACCCTCACTTCCAGAAGAAGCACCATCAAGACCTCCTCCACTACTGCCACTACTGGTTGGTGTGCTCACAGCAGTGGTCGTAATCAAGCTGGTGGTAGGCATAATCTTTCCACATCCATCATCAACAACAAATGAGCAAAAGTGAAATTGTGTAGGAGGTGGTTGTTGAGAATGGTGGTCAGGATTCAACATTGGATTGGAATGGCTGAGAGGCTTACTTGCGTCACGAAAAGCATGTCTCAAATACATTAGGGTCTTTTCATCCAATTCCTTGTCATCCTCAGGTTCGGTTTCGTTCATGAGAAAATAAATGGATCTCTTTCTCTCATTGAGAGAAATGCATTGGTAAGGCCATCTAAATTGAGGAAAAAGTTGTTCGATAATGAGGCAGTATGTATGGTCGAAGAATATGAAGTGTGTTGATTCAATACCGTAGAACAAGATTCGTGTTGAGTAAGTGTTTGTTTGAGGATTCACAATGTGCATGTTTTCGGGTATTAGAACGGAGGAGGAGTCAGGTAGGAGTTTAGGAACGACGAGCAAGGATAGGAGAAAAATTTTCATCAAGGCGCAACAGCATCACAATAGGATGGGTATAAAGGTGCATGTTGAGAGACACCATTCAAGTGTGAAATATCCATCAAATGTCGTATAATTGATGTTGAACGATTCATTCGTTTCATTTTCAATGATGATGAACAATCATTGATTCAATTATTGAGCATGATTTTCTTTCAAATGACGAGGAGGAGTACTTACCTGCCAATGTGTAAATCATAAAATCTTCTCTTGAGAGTGCCTTCAAGATGGGTAGTTTAACAATGTTTTGTTCGTCAATGAATGTAAAAAGAAACAATGACCATAGAAGTGCATACAGTTCACAACAACATTGATAGTTCACCAACCAACGACGACAAGTGAAAAAGCCATTAGTATGCATGCACAGTTCACAATCGATTTCAATTCGATCACACCACGTTATTGCTTTCAACGCGTGAACACACACCAAGTACTTACTGATGCTCACACCAAGCAATCTTGCTGCAAGTGTTTGGGGACAATAGAAATATTTGGTCTGTGTGTTATTATGATTGATCAATGCACAGCGTCAAAGTGGTTTTGTTGTTGTGTGGCATGAGTCAGGTTGTGAATATATTTAACCATGTTTCCAAAAACGGATTAAAAAAATTGAAAATATTAAATCATGATTATTTCAACAATAAAGTGAATCACGGTGATGACAAATTCAGATAGATCAATATTTAAATATACATCACTCAATGAAAGACGTACCATCATCTCCCGAGTAATCTCAATACGAGTATTGGTCTTTTTCTTTTTTGATGATTCCTTTGGCATAATCACAAACAATAATCGATATGTATCCACACACACACTAAAAACTGTTATTCTTGAAATAATCCTTCTTCTTCCAGTTGCTGATTAATAATCCAACAACAACAAGAGCCAGACAATTTTTTTACTCTTTCCAAACCAACAAGAATGGAGCGGTATCGGCCCCGACGATGAGAATGATCCGTGGCGAACAACGAGCAAATAATTGAGGCATCGTGTTGAATTTGGATGAGTTGGAAACTCTGGGTCAGATATTCCAGATGGCATTCGTTTGAATTTGTGAGCATTTCCAAAAGTGATTCAGCTCTGAGATAATCATGCAATTTAAGAAGAAACAGAAATGTGTGGATTCAGGACGGAATGGTAATTCCAGTGAGCAGCAATAAAAGAATATGAGCAAGTTGTTGATGATTAATGATGGCTTGATCTCATTCCTTTCGCACACATCTCACACAACGTTGAATTAATACTGATCAGTTGAATATTGTTAAGAGAGAAAGAATATTACAACAACTTGTTCTTCTTTGAAGCTTGTTGTTTTTCCTCACGTTTTCGTTTGAGTTCGTCCAAAGCTTGTCTTGTCTTTTGCTTTTCCATTTGCGCTCGCTTTGGAGCAAAGTCTTCAAATGAGGAATAGAGAGTCAAATCATCGTCGAATTGCAGAACTGGAGTTTGTTTTGACACTGTTGAAATGGTGATGCAGCTGCTGGAAGAGCATGTTGAATTGCCATCATCCTTTCGTTTTGCATCTTGACGAGATTGATCCATGTTCACAATGCTGGAACTACCTTCTAACAAGATTACCTTTCTAGTTAAATATGTGTTGAGTAATTCTTCAAAAAATTCTGGACAGCATTGGGATGATGTGATAGCTTTTGCACCATGGGCAGACTTGTTCGAGCCACTGCTATTACTGCTGCTGCAAATACCAGTGGTTCGATTCGTCACTGAAATCTCATCAAAAATGGCATTCAATAATTTACCTCTGACTGTCGCAGCAGTGCCCTCTTGTTTTAAGAATTTGTAGAATCGAATGGCCACATGAAGAATCTCTCGATGTGTTTTCCAATGAGGAAGATTCCATTTGACCATCTCTTGAACTCGCTTCAAAGTCAATAATTGAGAGCAATACCCATTGGTATTCAAGGCAACATAGCTATCAATGATCCAATTATAAATCTTGACAAGATGCTGTGAATGAATAGTGTTGTTGGTGTTGTGGTTGTCATGAACCAAAAGCTTTTCATACTTGACAAACGTGGAAAGGCACTTATCAAAACGTTTGCACAAATATAATCCCTTAATGAGGAAAAAAATTAAGGTCAGAGTCTGTTTGGAATGACTCGTGTCATTTTCCACACTTGGCATACCATTATTACTACTACCACTGCTGCTACTGCAATAACTACTACTTCCAGGAGAATGAGCGGATGGCATACAAATTGCATTATTGATCGATATTATTTCACACACGTCATCGTTGTCACCATCACTATTGGCAATGTTTGATTCAATAGCATTACTTTGCTCCTCTCTCGCTAACAAAATTTCTGCCAGTCGAACAACAAATGGAAATAAACCCCATGTTGCCATTTCTTCCAACAGAGAAACATCATACTTTTTGAAAACGGTTTTCCTTAATTTAGCATAAAATTCTTGCGTGTGGTCAAATCGATCTGAGGAATACAGTCGTCGATCGTGTTGTCTTCGCTTCAAGTTAATATCATCCAAAGAGTCTAACAAGCGTTCCTTGTCTTCACTTCTTTTCACTATTCGATACTCAAAATATTTCGAAAGAAGAATTTTAGAACTCAAATCTTGAACATGATCAAACATGTCGAAATGATACGAGCTATCCAAGAGTAACATGACAGGTTCTCCAGTCAGTGCTCCTACTTCTGTTTTAAACAAATCTCGAAATAATGCTCTGGCTCTTTCCGCTTTGTTGATATAGTAATGTGCTTGCTCGTAATCTTCCTCAATGTAACACACTCGTGCAAGAGTAATGTACATGTCGGTATGCAAGAAGGTGTGTTTGTTCTCCAGCTTGATCAGTAAATTTTTGCATTCCGAGAGTTGAGTACTGGAATAATCGTATTCATATTTTCTGAAATGAATTATTGCAGTGAGGAAGGAGATGTGATTTTTGAGAGTTTTGATTTGTTTAGAGAGACTTTGATCTGTGACAATCTCAGCATCGAGATTATTGTGACTATTGCCAGTTCCAGGAAAGGACAATAAGGGTACATCAAATACTTGTTCTGTTTGTGTTTGGTGTTTCTTGAGAAGTGTCAAGAGTCGCTGAGCCTTCTCAAGTAAAAGCGTACAATTTGTAAAATATTCATGACAATAATCTTTGTCGACTGAAAATGTCAACAATGCCTTGTCACCATTCTTGTTACTACTAGTACCAACAGTTGAAATTATTTCATTCGAATCCTTCACCAATTCCAATTCTTCAGGTAACAACGTCTTTAACTTGAATCTTTTTGGTAAAATCTTGAAAAGAATCAATTGACAAATCATGATACAAATTTGAGAGCAAGCCAACACACTCCTCACATAGACATCGTTAAACGTCGTAGAATTCGAGTACACACTCGTATTTTCATGACATAATTTCATGAGAATGGCCAAACTAGTTTTCGGCTCTTCCATATGATGATAACAACGAGCCGATAATAATTTGGTTAATAAATTCTTACTCGGTTGTTCTTTCAAGACTTGTATGGCTTGTTGAAAATTCGCAGACAAGAAATGAGAGACGGCTCCAAAGTAATTTTCAGCATTTCGAGCGTTGGAAGAGAGTGCAGGATTGGAGAGATTGGTATGAGAGGACAAGGGAGTGATCATGTTTAAATTACTTTTGGGAGTGGTTTTCATGGGGGTATTGGAAGGAATATTACTTGACGATTTGGGTGTGATGGCATGAGAATTGATATTATGAACCTTGTTGGAAACAGTTGTTGAATGATTCCGACTCAATGGAGTGGAAGGAGCATCAGTGCTGTTGCGTGAGGAGAATGGAGCGGTTGTTAAATGATTATTATTATTGTTCATGATGGTTTTGGAAGAAGAACGAGAGTGATTGGATGCTGAGCTTGGAGTAGGGCTACCCATGGAGGCCAATGTTGTTGTACTCTTCTTCTTCTTCGGAGAAGCTAGAAGGAAGGAGCCAGTTGTGGTCTCTGTCATGGTCCGACACTCGTGTGTTGAGAATTTTTATCAAGCTTGAGCTCAAAATGTTTTTTATTTTTAAAAATTTGTAACGGCTAGTTTTTAAAGATACGCGGGTTGAGAACTGTGATTAATTAATACGATGATCATGCCTTTGTTGATGTTAGTGGTACCACTGGTTCTTTTTTCTCAAAAACACGGAAGTGATCCCCTGGGTCTCAGTTCAGTACGCAGTTTGGTCTGTAAGTTCCGTTTTTTCTTTTGCCTCAAAGACTTAATCACGTTTACAGCACAAAAAAATGTCCAACAATAACAAACGTATTCTGCTCACGATCAAGGTGCTTGGAGGAGAATCAAGCAAGAAAATTGCCATCTCTTCAGATGAAACGGTACAGGTCTTGTTTGATAAAATGTGTGAGAAGCTGAACATTAGTGAAAAGAAGTATTTTGGAATTTGTGAGCAAATTTATGATGACTTGAATGCCCCTCTTGGTAGGTATTACGAGATGATGAGCAGTTCTTATTCAAGTCCGTTCCGCCTCATTTCAACAATCTTGCCCTGTTATTCACCACCGCTTACGGAATCAATGGTACAAAACATTGATATCATCAGATCGCTTCTTGTCCTTTGAGAAAACTATTGAGGCAGAAGGTATTACAGAGCTTTCTGAATTAAAATTTCAAATCAAACACATCAAGAGGCCAAAAGGATTTACGGACTCAATTGCTGAAGAATTATTCTTCAAGCAAATTCAATACAATATAGTGAATGAGGTGTATCCGTGCCCAGAAAAGATTGCCGTTCTATTGGCCTCCCTTACTGTACAAATATTGTTCGGAGATCACGATACCAACAAGCACCGAATTGGGTATTTAAAGTAAGTAGTGAGTTTGTCCAATCAGAATTTTGTGTGAATCCATCAATATCTTCAACTTGAAAAAACACCATCTCGGGTTTGACTTGATCGCCTAATATACGAATATTCATTCTTTGATGGAATCCGATCATGATAAAAATTTCACCTCCGCATCAACAGTAAGGTAGGCCTGAATGTGTTCCTGCCAAGAACTGTCTCAAGACATGACTATGCCTATTGGCAAGAACGTATTTTCAATCTTCATGTTGCTCATCATGGCCTCTCCAAAAAGAAAGCCATGAGAAAATATATCGATATTGCCTCAACCATTCCCTATTTCGGCATGTCTTTCTTTGAGGTCAAGGATGAAAGTGGAACTGAATTATTACTAGGTGTGGCTGAGGATGGCGTATTCTTTTTCAATTCTCAGAATTTAAAACTTGTTCATACATTGCCTTTTGATTTACTCTCTTCATGGCATCTTACTGATGATGGAGTGGATATTTGCTTTTACGAAAATGATGAAGTACACACCATTTCTATTCTCACTCCTCCATTGAAGAGAACAATGATTGTTTCTCTCATTGATGAATATTATGCGCTTCTTCCAGAAAAGATGAAGAGCGACAGAGTCAAACCTAATCAGCCAAAGGTATGTGTGGTTGATGATATATATACATATAATATTGAAATTTCTGCAATTTTTCACGTCCCATTACATATATGAACAAAATCCAAACGAATCCAACTTTCACAAATATCATACAAATAACCTGCACACTTAGCCTTTCCTATTGAATGACTCGTCACTCTATTTGGATCCTGTTCAAAGAACATTCCTAGGTCGTTTTGGAAGCAGACTCGAGTATCTGAAAGGCTACTATATGGAATGTTGTGCACTTGGAAAGGAGGTCCCAGTTCGTAAATTCTGTCAAGCCATTGATAAGTGCATTGATAATGATGAGATTTACAAGGATGTCGATCTTTCATTCAGTGGTATAACCGACAACAATATTACCTTTTTCACAAAATCACTCCTCAAAGCCATTGAATACAAACCAGAAAGAAACTTCCCTTGGAAGGAAAATATGGACTTAGAATCAATTAATTTAGGAGGAAATAGTGTGAAAGTGGGACTAGGATGTATTTTAGACTTGTTGAGGCAATTGAAAAGGCTCAAACATTTGGATTTGTCTGACAATGTTCTCGGTGATGACGGTACTGTAGAGCTCGCACAAACGTTGACCATTGCTGCAGACATTAGGAGTATTGCTCTCTTCAATTGTATGATTGGAAATAAGGGTTTGCAGGCCCTCTACGAATCTTTGAAATGGAAAAAGAATTTGGCGGTTCTCAATTTGGGTAAAAATGAATTCAATGGCCAAAATATGGCTGAATTCGGAAAATTCCTTAGTGGTAATCTTTCAATTGCTGAGTTAGACCTGTCTTATTCTTCAAATATTGACCAAAAAGGAATTGAAGTATTGTTGAAATCATTGGAAAATAATAAGAGAGTTCAAAAGCTAAATCTGGCAGGTATGCCTTTGGGAAGCAAGGGCGGATTGAAAGTGGCTGCACTCCTCGAAGTGAACCACAATATTAAGGAACTCCTATTGTATGATGCCAAGTTAACTCCAGAAGTTTTCCTGAAAATTGGACGAGCATGTCGAACAAACCTGTCATTGGAAATTTTGGACATGTCAAGAAATAGCGTCGGCAAGGGTGCAGACAAGAATACAGTCCGAGAGACCTTATTATTCTTGGCACAACCTAATTCAGGACTAAGAGAGCTAATGCTTCGTGAAAATCAATTGGATTTCGCGTATGGAGAAATAGTAGCCGAGTCTTTGAGATCCAACAAGACTCTTGTAAAGCTAGACATTTCCAATAATAACATTACCAAGAACGGAGCCATTCATGAAAATTGGGGTGAAACCATTAGAAAATTCCAAACCAAGATATTGGACTTTACAAATTGTGGCCTCAAAGCTAGTGCATTCCTTGACATTATTTCAGCTGCAACAAGTAATCAGTATGTCGAAGAGTTACATTTGGCTGAAAATGATCCAAAAGAGGGCCTCAAAGGATTGGAAGCATTCCTGGCCAAAACTCAACTCAAAATTCTTGATTTAAGAAATCTCAAAATCAATGATGCCATTTTCGAAAAGATGGGTCTCGCTTTAAAGAACAATACCATGCTCGATACATTGGATCTCTCCGAGAATGAAATCACCAAAGAAGGAATTATGGAATTTTTGCAAAATCTTGAAAGCAAGACCTCAATCAAGAATCTCATTCTTCAACACAACTACATTGAAGAATCAGAAAAACCAAATATTGCTAAACAAATTCTTGAGTCTACTCCTATTGAGAACATTACATTGTAACTATGGAGACATTGGAGAGTGCTTGCTGTTATGAACTTGTATCAATATTAATAAATAGAATGTTGTGGATTAGACGAACGGTTTCAATGATGTGAGTCGTAACTATTATGAAGGAATAGGAAAATGCATTGCTTCCAAGAGAAAGTGGTTTTTGACAGGATGATGTGATATTACAGTAAATAAAGGGAGATTGCATTGAGGAGGAAAAAATGCAAAAATGATCATTTCCACCCATGCTTCATCGGGAAGCATTCAGAACCAAACGAACATCGTGAATACATCCCTAAAACATCGGAAAGGAGTATCAACCATGTCTCCTTCATTGAATCGTCATTCCGTATCAACCAATGTAAATACCACATCTTCTTCTGCTCACTCAAGACCGAAGGCCACCCAAATTCAGGCATCACTAGCCTCAATCCCATCATCCAATAATTACCTTCCGAAAATTGATGTACCATCTACCACTACTGCTACCAATGCCAACTCATCCCCAACAAAATCTCATCATTATGAACAGCAAAAATCAAGTAGGTCCTCATCTTCATCACGTTTCTCTTTCACGCCTTCAAAAAAGAATGATCGGGAAGCTCCGACAACAGCTAGCCCAAAATCTCGCAAATCATTCTCAACAGGACCGAAATCCCGAACGGAAACCATTTCATCTAGTACTGCTGTCGTTGCACCAACCAAAATTGAGAGTGGTGGAAAAACCAATCAAGCGACTGTTATGACAGATCGCCAGCAGCATGATCATGCAGTGTCTTCTTCATTACCCCACTTGAATCATCAACAATTGTTTGAGAAGAATCAAGCAGTATCGTCAGCAGCCGCAAAACGAAGACGACGATCTTTGTCGTCACTGCCATCATCCAATTCTTCCATTCGTAATAACAAACAACAACAACCATACCAAGAATTGGATGGTATTACCACTCTTCTCAATTCTTCCGAAAATTACCAATCAATGATAAACAATCTTTTTCGTGCATCTACTAATTCCAATAGCAATCAGGATCTGACTGTACATAAAGAATTACTCGTCAATCCATTCTCCAAAGATCTCTCCAGTTGTAAATATTTACCAGAAATTCCGAGACCAAAAGTCCCAGATTTAACGGAAAACCAGAGCATGTTCACGAAATTCATCAAAATTCAAAACTTTATCAATTCATTTGAATATAATTATATTGAGCAACATTTCTTTGATATTACCAGGCTGAGACCACTGAAAAGCATCCTCTCTACAGCAAAAGAAATTATTCATGATTGTCTTCCGATAAGGTGTGTCGAGGGAACGTTTCTTGCCATTTTTTTCACACAAGAGCTTGAGGAAGTGGAACGCTTCAGTGTGTTCTTTGAGACGGAGATGGCAGTCACACGAACAGTTTATCGACATATCGTCCTGGTGGTCCGTTTTAAAAACAAGTATGGAGCTCTAGGGTTATCGAGGAAGGACGATTTATATTACAAGCCACTCTCGTATTGTAATTTATCAGAAATTTTAAGAGAGTACATCTTATCCTATTCGAAATATGGTCATTTGGTGAACACTATTTACCTCTCCCTTCCTATATCTCATGATTCTCAATCGAAAGATGTACCTGTATGGAGTTTCCTGAAGCTTGATTTTCGAAAACATTCATTGGATCGATTAATGGAGAAGGCAGACAAGTACATGAGTGAAGTCACTCAGGGAAATTGTCACACTATGTACGAAAAGAAGAAACGAAAGCGCAATCATTCCCTCAACCAATCGACAACAATTGGCTCTACATTAGAATTCAGTCAGGATTGTTCTCAATAAGTACAATACGTATATAGAAGTTGCTCGAGTACCCATTTAAGGCATTGGTGATAACGTTTCAATTCAAACAAGCACTCCATTCATCATGCAATCCATTGGTTTGTGGTTATCAATTATCTTGCTTATGCATCACCGACTATCATAGAATCGTTTTCTTTTTCTTTTGAAAGTTGCCAGCACGTCAAGAATTGTCAAAATCAACAACATCTTTGTACAACTGCTAGTATTGACAAGTCCCATCAATTTTCTTTCAAGATCTTTTTTGTGATGTCGTCGACTATTTGAATTTGTTCTCCGCTGCGACGGTGAGATAAAATTTCAAAAAAAAAATAAACCAAAGCGAACGTTGTAAAACACAACGAACAACCGCTTTCTTCAGAAGTGATTCAACTATTTATATCACCCACCCTCACACAACCTCAAACCCGCTTCAACTTCCTACAAATAACTGGAAATTTTTTCAAACTAACTTCCGAGTTCTCATTGACTCCTGCACATTCCGAAACCGTACTCAAACAGGAATCGAGAAGACCTCAAAAACACACTTCACCATTTACTTGGAATTCACATCATGATGAAGGTTGTATTGTCCCCAACGAGCACGGCATCTGTCACTCCTCAACCACACATCACACGAAAAAAGTCCATTTCTAAGGAAACACTCAACTATTGCTCATCATGCCCTCAATTTTCCACATCCCTGAACACAACTACCTCACGAAAACGGGTGAAATTACTTGATGATACTTCGGCGAGTGCAACTTCCACAACGACGACAGCAACCAACACTTCTCCATTCCATGAGGAAGAGGAATTTGAATTGTTGGAAAACGCTTGTTGTTGCTGTTTGCCACAATCGTGCCATCATCAAGAACCAACCTCGCTTCACAACTCTCCCAATTTTGCCAAGTATTCTGACAGCATTGATTCGTCACCCTCAATCATTGCTGCCACTTCACAAAATTTGACATGTGTTGTCAGTCCGACCACTTGTAATGATCCAGCACTTTATGACACTCAATTTCCTCCAACCATTGAAACAAGCCCTTCTTCTCTCAAAACTAGTGCATCTCGTGTGAACCTGTCTCCCCTCAATATGATGTACTCATCTGAAGAAGAATTCTGCTCGAGAATGATCGATCAGCATCATCCTGAATTGTTGCATTCCATCAAGAAGGAATACAATGCTCTTGTGATGGATGAAATGGTTTCGAGTGGTTCCGTTGCCAGCATGATGGACGAAGAATCCTTTGAAAGTAATTTATTCAGTGCTATTGAGAGATTGGAAAAGAAATTGGAAAAGATTGAAAAATTGGAACAATTGACCACACAAAAACCCATTCGATACACCAACCTCAAACGTAAATTTATTAGCATGTTTGAATTGGGATTGAGTTTGAGACCTTGTCACAGTAGTCCTTCCCTATCCGTACACACGCCCACTATGACAGCCTTGTCTTCACCCTTAGGAGTGGGATATTCGAACCAAGGTTGCATAACACCCGGGGAAACGACCTTGTCCTCTGAACTCACTTCACATTTGGCAAGTCCAGTCGAATCCATCAAAGATAAACATCGACGAAAGGTACAATCATATTTGACCCAATACCCTGACAAGTTTGGAGCTTTTTTGACTCGAAAGGCCCTCAAATACTACTACAAATTGAATCAACAAGCAAGATATTTGATACCACAAACTAAGGATGCCCATTTCGATGCGACAAAAATCACAGGGCAATTATGGTTGGGCGACATTGACGATGCATTCAACGATCAGGGATTGAAAGAGCACAACATTTCACACATTGTGACATGCGTCAAGTCATTGGAACCCATCTATCCAGAGAAAGGTTATCAATACTTGAATCTACACTTGTATGACGAAGAAGACCAGAACATTGTGGAAATGTTTGGTGTTTCCTTCGATTTTATTGATAATGCCATCAAATCCGGTCACAATGTGTTAGTACATTGCATGAAAGGAAAATCTCGCTCGGCCTCCATTCTCATTGCCTATTTGATGAAAAAGAATTCTTGGACCTTTGAATATGCTTTGAATTTTGTCAAGTCGAAGAGAACCATTGTTCAACCCAACGCTGGATTTGAGAGACAGCTGTTACAATTGGAGGATGAAATTTTCGAAAATGCCAATTGCACTCCAACCATGGAGAATGGAGTTTTTTCTGCAATGGTAACCTCACATTAAGTTTGAAAAACAAGCTAGGATATTCAACAAAATTTTGAACAGCGGAATTTGTAAATAGATCATTAGAATACTAATTTGAAAAAAAACATCAGCCCATACTGGGTTTAAAAGGTATGAAATAGCGTTTTCGCAAATAATAAACCACTCAATTTTTGTTCCTTATCATTTGCACTTTTACAGTTTTTTTTTGAACATTAAAGTTTATTATTAAGGAACAAAAACATGAACCTGCCAAGACGTCTCATTTTTCTCATTATGGAAACAATCAAAAAAAATGGCAACACCACCGTTAACTATGGATGATCATGAAACAGATGCATCATCATTTTCATACGTTCCCAGTTGTTTCCCCGATGATATTTGTTTTCATATCATGTTATTTCTTGAATTGAATTCAATCAAACACTGTGTTTTAATTTCCAAACAATGGAATTTGATGGCAAGAAAGATTCCGATATCTGTGGATATGAGTTATAAAATTGAAAAGTTGGAACATTGCTTGAAATTATTGTCCCGCAGTAAACTGCATTGGAATATGACCTCTCTGGACTTGACAAAAAATTCATTGGACACGAATTCGAGTGTGTGGATTGAGATTTTCATGAACAGTCATTATATTTCAAGCTTGAAACAATTGAATTTGAATTACAATTATGACATGGGCGATCCATGTTTTACAATGATTGCCAAATCCACTAAATTTCAAAATTTACAAGTTTTGAAAGCGAGTACGTGTGGCATCACTGATTTTAGTGTTCAAGTTTTAGCTCAAAATGCAGCCATGTCAAATCTGCGAGAATTGTATCTGAATAGAAATGATATCACTGAATCAGGAGTGAAAGCTCTTTCAACAAGCACGATCATGAGTCAATTGCAAGTTCTGGATTTATACTGCAAAAGAATTGGACCAAACGGTGCACAACATTTAGCTCTAGCTCCTTTCAAACTCAGGGAGTTACATTTACTAGCATGTGAAATCCAAGATGATGGAGCCATAGCCATTGGGAAAAGTCCTCAAATGTGTAATTTAACACTTCTCGATTTGCAAGCCAATTCTATTGAAACTGTTGGAGCTTCAGCACTATTGGGAAGTGAATACATGAAAAATTTGACAAGTTTAAATTTATCTGAAAACAAGCTTGGAAAATCAATTGGTATGATCATTGCATCCAACTTGTCCAATTTAACCTATTTACATCTTGGTGATTCAAAAATTGGAGAAGAAGGAGCCATTTCAATTGTGTCAAGTCCAAACATGTCCAATTTAACCTTTCTATCTCTGTGCCATAATTCTCTCGGTGCAGATTTTGCTTCAACATTGGCCTCCAGTGTCCACATTTCAAAATTACAAAAGTTGGATCTCTATTACAATAATCTCGGCGATTCAGGAGCAACGAGTCTTGCCTCGAGTGCCTATTTGAAAAGTCTCACATTCTTGGACCTTGCCTACAATACTATTGGTAATGAGGGTGTATTGAGTATAGCTTTGAGTAGAAACTTGCCAAGTCTTAAAAGATTAATTCTTGCCAACAATAATTTTACATATACAGGTGAAGATGCATTGAAACAGAGCAGATATGCTGCGTTTACACTTATGGATGAATTGTACTAATAATGAACATGATTTGTGAATATTATTAAATTGTTCAGAATTGTTCATTGGAACTACACTGTATAATTTCACATGTACTGAATTTTAATGATCATCATGGTAATGCAATATATGAAATAAACTCCTCGCTTTCTGTTCTATTGTTCATTGAGATTGTTGAAATAGTATTAACAAGAAGAGTGACATCCAAGTTCATTGACAATTCGAAAAAAAAAATGAAAACCCAACAATCCCGATGGGAACACTCCGTTGTAAATCATCACGACCATGACGACGACCACAATTTGACACTCTCTAACTGCATTCCTCATGAAATTTGTTTTCATATCATGACTTTTTTGGATATGGACACATTGATTCATAAATGTTTTTTAATTTCCAAATCATGGAATGTGATGGCAAGAAAAATTCCACTCTCGGTATTGGATATGGGTAGCCCCATTGAACAAGCACATGATCGATTGAAATTATTATCGAATTGTCAACAATTAATGAATATTACTTTTATGGATTTGTCAAGAGGTCGAGAGATTCATGACAAGACAGATGACATTTTTAAAGAACTTGCCACTTGCACGACATTACAAAATTTAAAAGTATTACATGCATGTGGTCACTTGTCAGATATTGGTTTGCAAGCATTGGCTCAAAGTTCTTACATGTCAAATTTGAGAGAATTACGATTATTATTTGGAAATGATGGAATTACTGAATATGGAATTCAAATATTGTCAACAAGTCCCATGATGCGTCATTTGAAAATTCTTTATCTTTGTGATTCAAAAATTAGTCCTCGAGGTGTACAACATCTTGTACAGGCAAATTTCAAATTGACAGAATTACAATTACCTCAAAGTGACACTGATGCAGTTGGTAGTGTTGGAAATGGTGGTGCCATTGCCATTGGAAACAGTCCTCAGATGAATCATTTAACCATTCTAAATTTGGAAAATAATGCTATTGAAGATGAAGGAGCGTTGAGTTTGATTAGAAGTGAACACATGAAAAATTTGACGAGTTTGGATTTATCTTCAAATTTAAATCTTTCCAAAGCTGTTGCCATGCTCATTGCATCAACAATGAAACATTTGACACATTTAACATTGGGGTATACCAACATTGGAGAAGAAGGAGCAATTGCCATTGTCACAAGTCCACACATGTCCAATTTGACTTTTCTTTCTTTGGAAGGTTTGCGTTTGGGAGAAGTATTTGCTATGAAATTAGCTTCAAGTAGTTATTGTTCTAAATTGAAAGAATTGCATTTGTTTTACAATTATTTAGGAGATTCAGGAGCACAACATATTGCTTCGAGTGAATATATGAAAAATCTCACCTCGTTATATTTGGGAAATAATAACATTGGTGATTCAGGAGCGAAAAGTATTGCTTCGAGTGAATATATGAAAAATCTCACCAACTTGAGCTTGTGTTATAATCATATTTCTGATGATGGTGCCATGTGTATTTCTTCAAGTATTTACATGTCCAATTTGAGAATGTTAAAGATGCCTAATTTTCGATTGACCTATAAATGACCTATATTGAGTGAAAGTGACAGCTTTCTCTAGTTTTAATTGGGATTGACAACCACTTGATTTGTGTTGAATGTTCGAGCTATTCTCTCACTGAATCGTTATCTTTTTGGGGACATTCTTGTGAAATTTCACTCTGCTCAATTAAATCAATAGGTCCCTTCTTGACTAGTTCTTCCAATTCACGTTCCCAACCCAATAATTTGCAAAGCTTTTCTACTCCCTGATCAATACTCAAATCGTCACCTCCCAAAAACAAATCCAAATGTTTGTATTTTCCTTCAATTTCTCTCTTGTAAGGATTCTCTTGTTTTGAAAGCGTTTCAAATGGACCACATCGTTCTCGATTCAACAACGCTCGTGTACTTCCCTCAGGCGCATAATTGGGAATGAACGCAACAGGATAAACACTCAATGAAGTGCCAATAATGAGAAATATCTTACAAGCATTGGATCGTTTCAAATCTGACATGACACAATCTGAATACTTTTTTGGAAGCTCCTCTCCGAACAAGACAATATCTGGCTTGACATAACTGTTACACGAGTCACATAGTGGTATTTGAACTGTTTTGGGATCGTGTCCCATCTTGTTGACGAGGTCTTTCAATGTGTATTCTTTGGAGCATTCAATACAATGAGCAGTGTCATACATTCCATGACAATTCACGAGAAATTCTTTTGAAATTCCAGATTTTGCTTCCAATCCATCAATGTTTTGAGTATAGAGCCTCATCAGCTTGTTATGATTTTCTAATAGTTTGATAAAATAGTGAGCTTTTGTAGGTTTGTATCCTTGTGAAATGAAATCTCTGGAAAGTAAAAAGAATGGAGTTGGATTTTCCTTAAAATACTCCAATTCAAAGATGGCTGTGGGTCTAGGAAGGTTGTATTTCTGTAAGTTGTCATATCTACATTTTCGAACATTTCAAAAACATTTTCAAAACCATCATCCATTTTCAATTATTTGTAAATAAATGATTGCACCACATTTGTATTGTAATAAATAATAATTAATATTTTTTTTACAAATATTTTCAAACATTGAACTACTACTTACAATCCAGTACCTGGTGTTCGGAAATCAGGAATTCCTGCTGCAGTACTCAATCCAGCTCCGGTTAAACAAATAATTTCATGATCTCCAGCTTGAGCAATTTTTTGAGCAAGAATTTCAAAGGCTTCCTCTCGTTCTGGAATCTCCTTCTTCTTTGTTTCATGGGTTGTTTTATTCTTTCGGGATGATGATTTGGAGGTTGATGAACTTGTTTCTGAAGATTTTGAATTTGCCTTCTCTGATGATTTATTCTTGCTTGTTTTATTAGAACTGCTAGAGCTGATATCAACGTTCTTCTTCTTTTTTGTTGGATCTACATTAACTTGGGTATCTTTCTTATTGGACGATGAGGATGGAGAGGACATTTTTTTTTGTAACGAAATGATTATTCCAATGAACTCGGAACATCTTTAAAAAAAAGATGCGAGTTCATGTTTGTAAATTCTCAGTTATCAATTTCACCAGCACACCAATGGTCCATTCCCTGCTATTAAATTTTATTACTCTTCATTCTCTTCATCCTCTTCATCCTCCTCCTCTTGTTGTAACGACGACGACGATTCTTGTTTTTGCATTTTCAAATTCCTTTCCATCATTTTTTGATTTCGTTTCTGAATACCTCGTTGAGTAATGGTGGTAAAACCAAGAGAATCCACAGAGGAAACAACCTTATCGTCTACAATGAGTGAATATCGAAGATAGAGCATTTTTCCATGCTTGTGACTTGGTGTGTTTAAAACAAGCTCTTTGACGTTGACAATTCCATGAGCGGAGGTGCTTAATGTGACAGTTATATCCATCAAGTCACAAATATAACGTCTCTTGTTATTGTCAATTTTCGTTCCTCGTCCCAATAAACACACGGATAACTTTCCAAATCGATGCATTCTGAAATTTTCACAATTAATTCGTAACGTTTGTGTTGGAAGCTTTTCTCCAAGTCGATATTCAGAATTCTCCTTCAAACCAGTTATTAATTCCAAAATTTCGTTTTTTGTGGGACACGGATCAAGTAATGATTCAAATCTCTTATTTTCAAATTGTTGAATATTCGTTTCGACTTGTTTTGGTAAAATGATATTATTTCTTTCTAAATTATATTTGAGACGTTTCTCTTCACGTTCTGCTCGTTTCTTACGTTTCTTTCGTTCCTCATTGGCAAGATATTCTTCATAGGCTCTCTTTCCAGCAACAGTTGGATCCACATTGGGATCAATGAAGAGAGCGGATGGGAATTTCTTTCGTCCATTGGGAGGAGTGGTTGATTGATAAGGTTGTTGAGATGATGGTAATGACAATGTCGAGGGAGTGTTCAATGAAGAGGAACGTGACAATGCCGTGGTGGAAGATGTCAAAGTATTGGACTGACTACTAGTTGGAAAAGCGGATTCTACATTTGCTCTTATCGGAGATGTCGATGAAGATGAAAGAGTGGTTCCACTCGAATTGGTTGAAGACGTAATGGATAATTGACTATTCTTTGAATTGGTCTTCTTCTCATTGTTGTGAATTGCTTCAAAGGTCGAGTGATTGACTTCACTCGTCGTGTGTTTTCCAAAGCTTACATGTTCATTCAAAGTCGTAATCATTGTTTCATTGATATTTCCATGTTCAGCCATGGTTGTTGATATTTCCTTACTAACTGATTCAGAAGCATGATGAGATGAGGATGCAAGTGATGGAGGAGGTGGAGGAGGTACATGTGAAAAATAATGTGAAGTTGGAGGTGGAGGAGGTGGATATCCATGAGGATGATGATGAGATGATGATGGATACAATGGAGGATAGGCATATCTAGAACCATCATGTGGATGATAATAATGAGAAGTTGGAGGAGGAAGATACTGACCTGGTGTTGTCCCTGATGCATAATAAGGTGAATGATGATAAGGTGGATATGAAGGAGGATATGGAGTTGAATGATGATAAGGATAGGAATGAGGAGGATGTGGTGCATAATGAGAGTCATAATAAGGTGGAGGAGGAAATGCATGTGAGACATGTTGTTGAGTATGTGACGAAGGATTACTACTTGTAGTTGTCAAATCCACAGGATGATGCTGAAAAGGTACTAATTCATTGGAACATGTTGAAGTTTGATGCTTCTTTTCGATGGATGTTGATGAAGAAGATGCATGGTCCTTGTTTGTCGAAGAAGAGAAATCACGATGCATGTTACTCGTTTGTCGAAGTGCATGCTCCTCTGAGTCGTCTCGTTGTGAATGATGATCATGGACGTGATGTATCTTGTTGTCATGTTCGTCATGCACATTCGAAGAAGGTTTTAAAATCTGACCTCCTTTTAAAGCATTCACATCGTCATGGTCGATCATGGAACTCAATGGTGGAAGAAGCGTCTTCTTCGTCGTGATGTTGTGGTCATTCTTGTTGTTGTTTTCATCATGGTCATCTACATGTCGCTCTTCAGCAGCGTGCATGTGAGATTGCATGCCATAAGATGATAATGACGAGGTTGGAATGGTTTCTTTAGGCATGTATGGTGGTTGTGGATATGAATGATGATGAGTGGATGAAGGAGGATACAAATAAGAAGTGTAACCATAGGGTGGTGGATACGATGAGGGCGGTGGCAATGACATGTTGGATCTCTCATCATGCACATGTTGAGGAGGAGTGTGATGTTGGGAGTTTGAATAACCATAATAGTAATAATGTGAAGAAGGTGGTGGTGGAGGAGGTACTGAATGCCAATAATTATGAGGATTCATTGAAGAAGGAGGAGGAGTATGTAATGGATGCATGGGTTCATTGGTTGTTGTTGTTGTTTGCAATGTGTGGGTATTTCCACTTTTAGCAACTGTGGTGGTCAACGTGGAAAGAATATTTGAAATGTTGTTCATCACATCATGTTGATGATGATGATGATGAGAAACATGTTGGTCATTATCACGGCGATCATTATCATGGAGATCATTTGAGCAAGATTCATCATTATTCCCATTCTCGAAATTTCGATTCACTCGAGTACTACTACTCATAACAACCCTACCTTTTTGAGGAGTCAAATAGGACATTCTATCTTGTGTGCGGCTAGGGCTGCACTGACTCTTACATGCATGTCTGGTCGGATCACTACTACTACTGCTGCTGATGCTGATGTTACTAGTACTGCCACAAACAGTCTTCTCAGAAGTTGATACCAGTCGGCTAATATTTTTTTGAGGAAAAAGCACTTTTGTTTTGGATGACTTCTCATCATCAGCATCACGTGATGTGGTCGGCAAAAGAGATGAGCGTGCTTCTTGGGAAAGGACATGCGAGGGAAGGAGGTGAATGGTAGATGCCGCTGCAGCTGAGAGATCAGAATGCTCAAGATAGTTCTTGTTGTTTGTTCTTGTTGTTGTTTGTTCTTGTTGATCTTCTTCTACAACATGTGGTTCAATGGATCTTTGATTGGAAGACTTGTAGAGCATATGGGAAGAACGGAACAACATTTTTCTTGTTTGGTACTTGCTCATTTCCGACGAGTTGTTGTTTGGGTTCCTATGAATGCAAACACCCTCAACCTTATCCAGAGAAGATTTCTGTTTTTGGACAGAAGAGCTCGCAATATCCAAAACCGTTGGGGAAAATGGAGCCAAGGAAGAGAGAGAAGAGGATGAAATAGAGAGATCATTCTCTTTCTTTGCGTTCAACTCAATGCTTGTTGTTGTTTGGAGGTTGTCTGCAATTGTAGACATCTCAACGTTTGAGATTTCACAGGGTTGACTGAGCGACTCATCTGGAAAGCTGTCATTGTCATTACTGCTTGTTTGCGGCTGCTGTTGTTGTCGTTGTGGAATGAACACCGAGTCGACATTATTTCTCAAATTCATCAACAAGAATACATCATTCTCATCCTTCTGACTTGCATGCATGCTGTTTTCTTCCGAGTTTGTTTCCAATGTATTCAAACCAATGGTCGTAGACGGAACAGAGGACTAGATCTACCTTCTTCATTGTCCAACCCTCCTCGAGGATTCAAGGAGGATTTCATAAAACGAAACGCATACACACTCGATTCCTTGGTTCTTGCTCGTAATTTTCGAGTTTTCGTATTCGGCGAGTAGGAGGAGGGTATACATTCAGGTGAAGAGCATGATAAAGAGGAGGACGTGTCATGATGATGATGCGTTTGGTTATTGTCATTGTTGTTGTCGTTGTCGTTGTGATTCTTACTCATGGTTGAAACGGAAGGGCTTACTTCCTTCGTCTTGTTGATTTCTTTAGAATTTGGATGATCCTCTACTTCTTGAACGATCCTCGTCTTGGTTGTCATCATTTCATTGGAAGCGACAACATGGTTCTGAGGTGGTGAATCTGGCCTTGTCGTCTCGAGGTTGTTGTCCAATATCATTGAACGTTCGTTCGTAATAATGGATAAATGTTGGAAATTGTGCTACTGAATTGGTGCGTCTTTTTTGTGTGTGTAAAAGGTGAAAGTGATCCACAACGGAGTCACCACGACGACCAAAAACTGCAAACAATCACGATGATGTCAAGAATCAATCTTGTTCGTACAAATCGCTTGAATTCCTGTTATGACAGTATGTGTTGTTTGACCAGGTCGAGATGAGTGTGTGTGCTGTTTACTGTTGTTGTTTTGAGTGATGAATAGATGCTGTTGCAGTAACAAGTCTTCAACCGCACCCACTTGTGCGCTTGTTCACAACTTGGTGTGGTCGTTGTGCAGTTTGTGATATTTTCCCAACTTGACCAGTGTGTTGTTGCTGTGTTGGTGAATGGCTAATTTTTTGTTCGGTTTGCAAATCATCCATCTCCAATCAGTCAGTTTAACACAACTAGAAAGGAAGTTACGACATGACAATGTCGGTACTCGTCCTAAGAGGCAGTTCATGTATGGACGCACAACACAAACTGGTCGATTACTTGGGTGTAAAAGAGAATTTGTAACTGTGAGATGGTTTTTGATCAAGAAGAAAATGATGATGAAAGAAGAAAGGTTGTGGAGTTGTTTTTCATAAGATAGTTTTTGGTTGGGTTCAAATAGAGAAATCTCTGGAGATGACATCAATTAGAGAGCGTGCAAGGCATGGAACTCTAAAAGCTGGTATTTCGGGACTCTTGACTTTTTTAGAAAAACATGGTTTCAGAGTTTGTGGATCATGTGGAAGACAAGAGCAACTCTTTTTCTAATAATGCTGAGGTTGTTGTATAAAAACGATTTGGGCATTGGATATACGCTCAAGATGGTGTGTCACGGATTCGAAGATAACTTTTTATTGTTTTCAAACAGCGCCATCAATTACATCTTTTCAAAAACTTGTGAATCAGTCACAAGCACTATACCATGAATTCAAGCACCTACGAATGTCTACGAATGTTCAACATGTGGTTGTTGTTGTTTGTCAACGGCTCATGATCCATTTCATTGAACCAAGAACGAAGATCGAATATTCGATGGAGTTTGGATGCCACCAAAAAAAATTGAATTTGTCCACCAACCATTCCGCTCTCTTTTTTTTTTGAGAGCCTTCTCCCGCTGAGGTCCTCTCGTTTTTATCATCATCATTTCCACGCAACCGACATCCCTACAATTTCCATCATTATAAACAAGAATCTCTCTCCCTAATTATTGTTGGTCCAATCTTGTATCCGTTAAATTTTTCCCGTCTCGTATTTCAAAATTGTTGTTGGGATCATCACAAAATCTCGGAGAAAACTTTGAACAATTCCAATAGACCCTCTACTACAACAACAATTTGAACCAAATAATTCCAAACACGTTCTCTCTTCCTCTATATAGTTTTTCGAAATTGTTGAAATAGTTCATTTCACTTTTTGATAATATACATTCATCACCTCTCTGGACCTCTAGATTACATTCGACATCCCACTCTCTTTCACAAAACTCTGTTCTCCTCCTGAGGTAGACACGCCATTACTCAAATTCCACTCTCATAATAATTATTCATCTAAATTTATTTTCCATATTCTAACAGATACCGCTCTGTTTGACTCTTTTCACATCGACCAGTTCATAACAAATCATTTCCTTCACTCAAAGATGAACAAGAGAAAACTCGATCAACAACAACAACCACAAGGATTTTTAAACGCCACTACAAACACCTCCTCTGAATCAGATCATTCTGAGTTGGTAGAAAATTCACCTCGAGACAGTTTCCACAATGAACAAAGAAATGACCTAGTTGACCACTCAGCAGAAGATCCATTATTAATGTTAGAAATGTCCTCCAAAAAACGAAAGCAACAATCAGAAGCAACAACTGTCGACTTTTCGTCTGCTCTCGCTTCAAGCCATTCAAAAGAAATACCAACCGCACAGCTGGAAGAAAACGAAAACACCATGGATGGTCATGAACCCTTTTGCGTCATTAACCAAGACAACTCTGCCTATGGTAGCAATTGCAGTGACAAGGAGCTTAATGACTTGGATGAAACATTCCTTTCCTCCAAACTCACTCCCCAACAACGTGAAAACTTGCGTAACAAGACAAAAGAATTTGTGAAGCAACAAAAGATCAATGAACAGCAATATGTGATTCATGTCTCCAAATATGTGAGTAGCATTGCTGAAGTTAACAGAATTGTCAACACTGGTGAGTGGTTTGGCAGCGCTGAAGTAGAGAGATCGGTTGTGGATGAAAGTTTAAAGATAACTGAAACTCAAAACCCTTCTAATACGGCGTTCTTGAGCTATTCCCAACGGCAACGACGTCAAACTTTCCCATCCAACATTTCACATCATTCACTTCTGAACCAATCGTCGTCACTCTCCTCACCCCTAGTGAATGAAGATTCTTCTAGCAATCATGCACCAGAATTAATTTTTATTCCCAAGGTCTTGTCTTCCATCATTAAACCTCACCAGCTTGAAGCTCTCCGATTTTGCTGGAACAATGTCGTGTTGCCACCAGATGATGACCTCAGGGGCTGTATTCTTGGTCACTCTACTGGCCTTGGAAAAACCCTCACAATTATTGCTTTTTCCTACCTCTTTTTAAAATATCAGAAGGGAAAGAGAATTCTCATCATTTGCCCAAGATCTGTCATTCAAAACTGGGAACGCGAGATTGCCTCTTGGATGCATAACCTCAAACTGGACACAATTCCATGCTTTGTATTGGACCACGGAAAAGACTTGAGAAGTCACAGACTCGAAAAACTTGCAGAATGGTCCAACAGGGGAGGAATTCTGCTCATGTGCTTTTCATCATTCTCTCGATGGACTGAATCACAACAAGGAGCCCACCCTCAACAGCAATTTTCAAGCAATGTTGGATTCCAAGCGCATCATCATGAGCCACACAACCATAACACAAGCAAAATTGAGTTTGAGAAGCAAGTTGCAGAATATTTACGAACGTGCGATCTTGCAGTAGTTGACGAAGGACACCGTATGAAAAATCCAACAACAAACCTCTCCCATGCGCTCTATTCGAATATTTTGACGAGAAAGAGGATTGTGTTGACAGGAGTTCCACCTCAATTCAATCTAATGGAGTATTTTACCATTATTGATTGGGTAAGACCAGGTTATTGGTCCATGAAGGAATTCAAGCACTTATTCTCGGATCCTATTGGTCTTTCTCTTCAAGACTTGTCCAATGTTGAGAATAGAGAACAAATGCGGAAACGATTTTTCATCCTTATGCAAGAATTGTGTTTATTCGTTCATAGAAAAGACCAATCCGTTCTGAAATCCTATCTTCCACCAAAGAAAGAATATGTATTATACTTTCATCCAACTGATATTCAAAGCAATTTGTATAATAGATTTATTGAGAGTAGAAGAAAGGACTTGAAGCAAACAAACATTGAGGCATCCTTTAACGAAGAAAAGCAAAAACAGGAAATATTCTTTATGACTGTCATGTCTCAGAAAATTCTCAACCACCCAGACTTGGTATTACAATATTGTCGTGACAATAAGAAACTGTTCGAGGGAAATAACACTAATTCACTTGGATGCAAGCAAGTTGATTCAAGCCAAAGATCTTCCATGAAGTTGTTTTTGGAGAGAATGCCGATGATAGCAACGAATTGAATTATATACCTTCCAGATCAACATCAATCTCTGAAATGATCACAACCGAAGAGGATACAAGCATCGCTCCATCTGTCAGTAATACCATGTTTAACATGTTGGAGGAGGCCGAACGCTTTAAGGACACGAGAGAAAATATGGAATGGGCCAACCCAGTCTTGGAAAAATCATACTACATGAACATGATTGACAATTCGCCAAAAATGTTGTGTCTGATCAGAATGATTGAGCAATGCTTTTTGAATTTTGAAAAACTTTTAGTATTCAGCCAATACCAAGAAACATTGGACGCTATCGAGAGAATTATTACCAACGTTAATATTACTACTGGCCTTCCATTGGAGGATGAGTCACAACCTCTCAAACGAAAGTTGAAACGAAACGTTGACTTTTTTAGATTGGATGATACCATGTCTGTCTCTCTAGGTCAAAGTGTTGTCGATTCTTTTAACTCTTCCTCTGATGCTCCGGTACTATTGATTAGTACCAAAGTTGGTGCGCTTGGTATTGATCTATCTTCAAGTCAAAAGATTGTATTATTCGATGTTTGCTGGGATAACACTTGGGATAATCATGCTGTATTTAGATCATTCAGATATGGGCAAACGAAACCTGTGAGCATTTACAGATTTGTCATGGATAATACCATTGAGAGTAAAATTTTCCAAAGAGTCTCAGCTCGAACATCCATGTTCAAGAGTTTAAAAGAGGAGAAGAAGAACTTTGTAGATAAGGAAGATTTCTCAGAGTATTGTCAACCAGCACACAACATGTCGGCACTAGCATCTCCAATCCCAACCACCTTTCAATGTGACACGTTTCTTGGAAAGGTCATGTCAAGTGAGCCACGTCTCAGGAAGTATGTACAAGCAATTAATGAGTACGAATCATTGTACATTGAATTGCTTGATGAGTTGACGTCCCAAGATCAAACTGCCTCAAAACAGAAATATGATCAAGATTTTTCTGATTTTACTTCATCTGAGGCACGCAAATCCTCTAACTACTCGACCTCTTCCTATGAAGAAAGCAATCAAAGTGGTAGTACTAGCACTGAAAGTTATGTTGATGACTATGATGATACTGACGAAGAGGAAGAAGATTTTAATGACGAAGAATGATATGCACCACTTGAATAAAAAGCTTGATGATTACTCACCTCTATTAGTTTCTCAGTTGACCAAAGAAAAAGGAGTATTGACAGCAAGTGGCAATGCTACCCAGTTCAGTGTTTATTGAGCATCATTGACTTGTTGAATTATTTGCATCTCGTTGACAGGAGGTTGTCTAACTCCCTTGCAAGAGCAGAATTAGTTTCTTCAAGATTGTCTTGATGTTTTTCCATGTCAGTAAAAACAGACATCAATTGTGAGTGGTGTTGAGTGAGATCCTGTTCCATGTTCCTTCTCAACTCTTGAAATTGTTTCAATTCTTGCTTTAAAATTGCATTCTCTTTTTGAAGGTGACGGTAATAGGTAGTCAACTTGTTGTGGTTTTCTGAAGTTAAAATGTCGCGTTCGAAATCCTTGAGCCTTGAATCAATTGTTGGTTCATGCTTTAAATTTTCAACCAAAAAGAACGAATGATCCCCACTGCTTTCCAAATGGTCATCAATACGATTGGTGTTTTCTGGGAGCAATACGTTGTTGCAAGACGTAGGTTCAGATGACGGTTGCATTACTCCAAGTTGACTATTGTGACCTTGTTCAGATTGATTATTGGAAGTGGGAACGAACGAACGAGCGCTATTATTGTCCACCTGCCCATTTTGAAATCCGTACAAATTTTGTATTGGAAAAACAAAGGAGGAGTTATTAAGGCCATATACAGAGCTTCCTTCTTGTACGAGACCAGTATACGGTACAAAAGCACTTTGGCCATAAATAGGAGGCTGTTTAAAATTATTGCTTATCTGAAGTATGTTGGGAGTCTCTTGGAGTGAGTTCGAAAGCATGGGAGATGCAAAAGCTGTCTGACGGGTCGTGAGATCCTGTTGTTGAGGTTTTTGTTGCTGTTGCTGTTGTTGAGGAAACACCATCATTCCAGCCTGAGAAGGTGTAGCATGGGTGTTGGACACTAAAAAACTGAATCCTTGAGGTCCCGAACTTGCAACCATCGGAAATTGAGATGAGGCGTTGGATCCTGAAAGGGTGGTTGGGACGAAATGAGTGAATGCAAATGATGATGGAGGTGCTGCACCAAGATTATTCATTGTGGTGGATGTGGTATGATTATTGAGGGAGGGATGAGTGGTGTTTGATGGTCTGTTCATCTCATTCGGGAATGATCCCGAAGGATACATGAAAGGCTGGATCATTTGTTGCTGAGGTGATGGTTGTGTTTGTACAAAGACATGTCCTTGCGGTGGTTGTGGTTGAAATGAATTTGCTGAACTAAGGCTTGTCGTGGAAGAAGAAGAAGAAGGCATGAGAGGTACGCCCGAAGACATGTTTGGATGAGGGTGTAGAGGGTACATTTTTTTTCATAACCTTAAACAAGCATTAACACGACTGAACGCCTCGGTCATTGTATTCGTTCATTCATTGAGAGAGCAGATCTCTTTGTTGAATAAAGCCATCCAGCAAGCGCTCGAGTGGAATGAATTGAAAATTTATTTTCAATAAAAAAATGTTCAACAACAACTGTTGGGTTGTACAATGCCTAGAAGTAGTAATAATTTGAACGAAGAAGACACTCAGTTGGTCATTCATTGTACATGATGGACATGTACAAGACAGTGATCTTCTCAAAAGTAACATATACACGTGAATGTCCTTCGTTCGTTACTTGGTTATTATTTTCGGTAGTAGTTGTAGGTAGGCAGTAAGTTGTAGATGCATTGGCTATTTACAAGAGATATATGTATAATAATTATCATCATGATGATGGTGGTGGTGTATAATATTATACAATTAATGTACAGCAAGTTAGTGAAGAGAGGAAGTAGTAATAGTATGGTACAATCGGAGAAAACACGTCATCACTCATTGTAAGTTTTCCTTCAACTCGACTACGCTTGAACAAAGTAGTAGACTCTATTATGGAAGGATATACACTCTACAATGAACGTGCTATATATCTTCTCTAGAAGGTAAAATCCAGAAAGAAGTTAATGTCAGAATCAGCGCCCAAATCCGATGAAGAATACTCGGCAGAGTATTGTGGGTCAAACCTCCTGGATTCGACAATGGACTTGAAATCTGTGTCATCATTCCACAAATCCTCCAAGAAAGATTGCCTCATCCTTTGCAATTGTTCACTCGAATAGAAGACTTGCTGTTGTTGCTGTTTCGAGTTTGGGACAGTATTTCGCGAGAAAGAGCTTCCAGCAGCGTATGGACACTGTGCATAATGATGGGAAGAAGAGGAGCCTGCCACTGTTTGCATTTGGTGATGATGCCTATTATTGTTACTTCGGTTGCTCATTGTTGCTGATGTAGTAGGTTGCTGGTAAGAGTTCTCCTCAAGGAATGGAAGGTCAAAATCGAAATAGTCGTACATGGTGTGTTGAGGTTGTGACTGAGGCTGCATCGTGACGTTGCCAATGTCATTGGTTGGTTGGGAATGTACATTTTGGAAGCAGTAACTTGTAGAAGGTTGGGAGAAGAAGAAGTTGTTAGGTTTGTACAAGCAAGTAGTAGTAGTGGTTGCGGTAGCTGCATTTGGATCTGCACAAGAATAATCAGTAGTGAGGGAAGGAACTTGGTGAGAGCTGAAAGAAGAACTGGATCCAGCATTGGACGACATGGAAGATGAGGAGGCAACATGTTTCACATTCTTGCTAGATGAGGACGATGAGAGCTTTCGTTTCTTGGTGGACGATACCTTTTCCTCTTCCTCAGAGTCGTTGTGATCTGATGTCAAGTCTTCCTCGTCATCCTCATGATCAGACTCTTCAGAATGATACTCCTCTTCGTCAGCGGCAGTGGTTTGAGGTTTACGAACGGAGGAGCGTCTTCCCCTTGATGGTCGACTTGGTTCTTCCTTGTCACTGACAATCTCTTCTTCTTCCTCTTCTTCATAGTCATAATCAGAGTCACGAGCAGGTTTCTTTCTCTTTCTCAATGCTGAGCCCTTACTACGACGGCGTGACTTGCTTGTTGCCGCAACTCCCTCTTCCTCATCATTGAGAGACTCCTTCATCTTGGTCGATGAGTTGGGAGAGGACGATGAAACCTTATTGTTTTCAGAGTCGTCAGTGCCGTCCTCATCTCCTGATTGCACCTCTCCGTCGCTGGTGACAACCTTCGTTGTCTTGATATCCAAAAGTTTGTTACTGGTCGTGTTGAAACGGAGCTGGATGGTCATGGATTGTATCTTGTCATTTGAGGACGACCCTCCCTTAGAGGATGGCTTCTTTCTCTTTGGACAAGGAGGCAATACAATTTCACAAACGCCTCCACTCTTCTTGGCCTTATCTTTGGATTTTTCTACGACACGTCTCAGTGTTGAATTCCAATGGTTCTTGATAGCATTGGCCGTTCTTCCGTCCAGAATTTTAGCGATTTGAGCCCACTTGTTACCATGCTTTTCATGATACTCGATAATGATACGATCTTCCTCTGGAGTCCACCAATCCTTCTTTACGGATGGATCCAAATGATTGTACCAACGTTCTCTGCATTGCTTTCCAATTCGACCAGGCAATTCGAGAGCTATTTGTGACCACTTTTTGGCTCCAAACTTTTCAACAAGCTTTCTCAAGTGGTTGTCCTCTTCTTCGGTCCAAGCACCTCGCACATGCTTGACTTCTTTCTTTTTGGAGGATGAACTCTTCTTCTTTTGGGAAGAAGACTTTTTCTTCTTTTGGGATGATTCCTGGGATGAAGTGCTATGCACAGACTCGGAGGAAGAGTCGGAATGATAGTCTTCTTCATCTTGGTTGGAATGATTGAGGTTGCTGCTACCAGCTCCCTCTAGAAACATGGCCTCATCTACAGCTAGAGATGGCGACGAAGGGTTAAATGTGGCACTGGAAGCATTGCTGCTGAGCTCAGCAATGGATGCTGGCATTGACATGGCGGTGGTGATGGGTAGTGAGCAGGTAGTACTGGTGAATAATGTTCAGGCACGTGGTGTTGTGAATGTGACGCGTATATTGCAATTAGTATTTACAAAGGTAGTGGGTGAGTTTCAAAAGATTCTTAGCTGTGCCCGAGAAAAAATGTTGTCAGCTGCGGTGGCAGTTCAGACGCTTGACGAGTCCGCGAGAGATATGAGATTCCAAAGATTCAAAAACGTTACCCTGGTAGCGTTGAGATATTTTTTTTGATGATTTTAAAAAAAATTAAAATTTATTTTTTTGAGCGTTTTTTCGATTCGTTCTAACGACTATTTTTAAAAAAGGAAGATTCTGATTGGATAGAAAACTGTAGTGAGGTGTTCTCAATCACTGATCAAAACGACTTGGGAATAAGTCTTCTATTGTTATTTGACTCTGAGTGGAAAGGGACTCCCTGTGGTGTCTACTACTTCCACCACTTTGTTGAATAAAGTTTTTGATGAATGGAATGGTGTACCACACATTGTTGTAGTCGTCGATCGGGATCATTCGGTTTGGTAGGACACAAATCGATGTACATACATCATAAATCTGTACACAACGTACATCATCATCATACAAAGCTATTCCAACGACTTTGGAGGATTCTAGGCAGCTGCTGCTTCTTCATAGCAGTTGAGGAGTGCAGGCGGTCCGGAATCAAGCCACTGGTCAGTCGTCAGAATAGTTGGCACAATTCAACACACATGTGTGGTGGCGTTACATTCTTGGCAGCACATCATGGGACATTGATGATTACTGATGTTTCCAACCACATGATGATGTTTTTCCTTCCTGTATTTTCCAAAGAGTTTGTATACCGGGCCAAAGAAAATTGAAGATGATAAGACGTTGATAATAGGAAGATGTTCAACGTGTTGGACGTTTCATCTTTGATCAGCTGCAAGCCCTTGTGTTTTCTTCCACTACATGCTCATTCAAAACAATGAACCAAACCAACAACGCCAGAACACCAACCGTTCATGTTGGCCGCAGTCTTGTACTAACGTTCGGTCGTTGGTATTTCCATCATCAAACCGTTCACAGCAAAAGACAGCGATCAAGTGCGAGAAATTTTTTTCTTTTTTGCAACACAACCCGCCGACAGTCGCTTTTGGTTTGATTACAACTTTTGGTTGAGTTTGGCCTTTACAATAACACCTTTTTACAACCGCTACGACGATTCCACCACCTCTCTTCATGATTCATACACCTCTTCAATTCTGAAGAACTATTAAAAGATGATGAAATTGAAATGTAAAAAATGTCTTGTTTATTGGAATGTACATTACCCAACAGCGACAACAACCAAGACAACACAACAACTTTAGCCATTCAACATGAAATATTCAAACAAGTTCAATCCATGGAAGAAGAACATGGAATTACTATTTTGATGGTTTCCGATGTGGGTAGTAGGTGAGTTTTTGGAACGGAACGTACAACAAGATGACAACTATCATCATCATCATCATCTATTGAAATTTAAAATTTCATCATCTTGATGTAATTATCATAATATATATGATGTCCTGATCATCATGATGATATCAAATCGGAATTCTTATCAAATTGATTGATAATTTACGTAACAAAATTTTCAGAGCCTACAATTGGGAACAACCACTACAGAGCGATTTTGATTTGAATTTTATTTATACCCGAGATTGGAAGTATTACATTACTATTCAAAACAAGCAGCAAACCATCAAGAAAGAGACTCATATTGAATTGGAAAGGAATGTTTTATTGAAACGATCCAAGAGTAGACATTCGTTTTATTGCCATCATGATGATCAACAGGATATTAATTTGTTGAATCATGACGACAACACGGAAAGCTCAAAAAAACTCAAAATTGAATGTAATTTTCTTGGATATGATGTGAAATATGCTGCAGATTTGTTATACAAGTCGAATCGAGCCATTGTATTTGCATTACTTTCGCCGTGTGTGTATTATATGCATCCACGGTCGGTGGATATGTTTTCAAAATGGATTTCCATGTGTCATGCTCATGTTCAGAGAAGACACCATCTTCATGAAATGATTCATATTGCCAGATATAACATTAATAGATATGTGATTGGAAGAAGAAGTGTTCGGGTGAAGGCCTATCTCTATATTTTACATCACTTATTTTATGCCTTGTACATGTATAAGAGAAGAAACGATTTGCAGATTTTTAATAGTCGTTTACCTCCATTACAATTTACAGAGCTATTGAACGATTTGAAAGAGGACTATTTATCGCCTACGTTGGTTCACATTGTCGAATTTTTGATGAAGCTGAAGGTGAACGGAGAGCAATTTTCACATTTGGCCAAGCTAGCACAACCTAAGGTAGATGCTTCGCAACCAAAGAAAGAGGAAATTGACACGACTGCATCGGGGGCTTCATCGACTGGCCAAAATGAGGACAAGTTAACACGTGACCAAGTGAATACTGGTGTTTCAGAGAATGGAACTGGTGATATCAAACAAAGTACGAACAAGGGAGAAGAGGAACAGCAAGAATCAAATGCATTGCAACCAAAGAAACAATCGAAAAAACAGCAAAAGAAGCAGGCTAAAGCTTTGGCAGACGAAAAGCTCAGTCTTATGGAGGATGACAATGCTAAAAACGATGTCTATATCGGTCACTCGTTGCACGTGGAACTTTTTACTGTTTTTTGGTATCGAAAACTTGCTGCCTGGATTTGGGATTTGCCAAAGGATGTCATGAATGGAGATCAAGTAGATTCGTTATTATTAGAGGCTGTTCAATTGTTTGAAGAGAAAGGTGATACTCTCACACATTCCAAATAAATAACCTCAGGTCTTTTTCGCAGTTGTAAGCGGAACAAATCACAACATTACATGAAAGCCTTCTTAATTTTATTTTTCTGTTCATTGGCTTGTTTTTTCTTTCGTTTTTCATTGAGCTTTTCTTCGAGTTCTTGCCTTCTTCGTTTTTCTTCCTCAGTTTCGATATATTCCGATCGTTGACTTGTTGGAATGGAATGGGTGATATCTACAGTAGTTGGTATGGGTGCATGACTGTCATGTACGTCTGAAAGGCTGATTACGGAGGGTTGTGACATTGTCTGAGAATGTTTTTGAGACTCTTCACGTGTTCCCAACGATGTTGAATGGAGTTCTTCTTCAGGAAGGAGACCATGATCATTTCCAACATCAAAATGTTGAGAATGGCCTGAAGTTTTTAAAGGTGTCGTTGTCGTTGCTGACAGAGGTTCAGAATTCTGAGTCTTCTTTTTCTTACTTGCCATACTACTATTGTCCAAACTCAAAGATTTCATAAATTGTGAATAGAGTTGTCGCAAAAGAGGATTTGTTGCTGCGGTAGAGTCTTGATTCAATGACTGATGTAGTGTGGTGACACCAAATGAAATGTCACAAATCTCGTTACTCTTGGAAGGCTTTAAAATTTTGTCCAAAACATCCAAGATGTCGGCAGAATTTTGAGAAGAATTTGATGTGCTGCTATACATTTGTCGATAATTAATCAATTCTTGTTCCTTCTTCAAACATAATGATTTCAATTGATCAATTTGTGAGCTCTGAGTATAAACAATTCCCAGCAAGGGTCGAATAATTTGATTACAAATAAATAGACTCTCTCGATTTTCATAGAAATATCGTGCTGAGGAGTCTTGTTGATCCTCTTCATTGTCATTATTTTCATTTCGTTTACGTTTCTTCTTGTCATTATTTTGTGAATTTTCAAAATCTTGAATCAATATATAAGAATGATCAATCTCTCCATACTTGTTATCATTTTCACTCATGGCTGCACACTCTTCAATTCTCTCACAATGAATTTCCCAATAAAACGGAAGTGGAATGTTCACGGCTGTTGGAAGCAAGGCTTTAATTTTCAGAACCACACCATTGAGTTGTTTGCGTATGGCACTCATATGAACGCTCTGAACCGATTCCATCAAACTCTCATATTCTTCAGTACCACTTGATTCCGAATGACCACTAGCTCCTATTAATTCAATTTTAGGCTGATGATGCTCTTGTACGGATCGGGATGAATACTCGAGAAGAAATTGTTCCAGTTGCTGTACGATGGAAGAAACACTCATATTCAAGCCTTTGCAGTATTTGGAAATATCATGTTCAATTTCGGTTTTTTCATAACGTTTTTTCCAAACACTTTTCATGTTGGTTAAATAGAGAATAAAACCATTGCATCCATTTAAATTGTTATGAAGAAGAGGGGAATTGGTTGAATCATCATTGGAGAGAATTTTAAATTTAATAAAGAAGGGATCTTGAGAGGGATCTTTGATTGGAAGTTTCGTCCAATTTACTTCCGAGACGAGATGTTCATCCGGATCCCGATGATACCTGTTGTTGGTGGTTGGAGAATCGAAAATTGAGTGATGAGAGGATGAACTGAGAGCAGAACCTAATGACATTTTTTTGTGAATGAATTGTTGTGAGCATGGAATGGTCTTCATTGGTTGTCCAATTGATGGCCTTATTGACAAAGAGAAACAAATACAGAGATAACGTATTGTCAACTAGGTGAATTTTATTGAAGAAACTATGAATATATAGTCCAGGTTCTTTTCGTTCGTACCGTTGCTTATTTTTGAGAAAGGAATTGTTTGAATTGTTCAAACGAAATTTGTGGATTCTTGTCAAGTTTTAGTTGATTGAGAATGGAATCAATTTTTTCTTCACTTATTGATTCTCCCATTGCCTCAAGAATCTTTTTAGAGAATTCCGTTTGTTAAAATCAGTATTTGTTGAGAGGAATGTTGCAAAATCAAGAACTCACCTCTCCCATTTCTTTTCTGTCAATAAAACCACTCTTGTCCTTGTCGAATGTATCAAAAAACATCTTTAATTCTTCTTCTGTGGTGGGTTGTGACATTGTTGGGTCCACAATTTGACAAACTCTTCAAATTCTGTGATGGATCATGATAGATCAAAAAGCACAATTGGGTCAATACATATTGAAACGAGTTACCTACCAATTTTTCCATCGTGGTTTTCATCAACTAATTTAAACATGTGTAACAGCTCTTCATCGGAAGGCCGCGAAGCTAATTGTTCCATTACATTGCCTAGCTCTTCCATACTAGTTTTTTTGTGATGATTATAACAATATAAAGAGGCAGTATTATCAACCCGATTCGCCGTCATAACAATTTAAAAATTACGGATGATGATGATGATACAATTCAACGTATCGGAGAATACTTGTACCAACCTTATTGATCCATTTCCATCTTCATCAAACAATGAAAAGGCTTCCTTCAATTCACTAATAACGTCCTTTGAGAGATGATCAAGAGACATGTTTTACAACGGACCAAGATCCAAGCGAGGTTTTGACCAAAATTTTTTTGATATTCTTTTTTTTCAAAAAAACTGTAAATTCATGCGCTCAAAAAGGTCATTGCGGAGATTCGTTACTTTACAACTTTAAACGCACAAAGAGTGATTCCTCTCTTCACTGTGTAATGCTTAAAAGATTTGAAAAGAAGATTCAATTAATTGTATCCATCCATTATTTGTACAAATTAACTACTATACTGCCTATCAATGCATGAAGTGCAGTTCGTAGAATAACGATAATCATGTTATTACAATTCATTGTATAAATACATTTACAATTATAAAATACTCAACAAATCACACACGCACAGCATTTTGCCTTCTGTGTATGCCGTTTAAACTCTTGAGCTTGATCATCCAATCGTTCGGTATCACCGACGAGATCGTCGATCAAAGTTCGAGCTTTTAAAATTTTTGAAATATTCTCAGATTGAACTTCATTGACATTGTCAATTTCCATTTGTAGTCGTTGAATTTTGTCATTCATGGGATTGTTGTAATACGCGAGAAGATCTTTTAATTTGGAGGAGGCGACAAAGACTCCATTTTTCATGGATTCCATGTCGACTTCATCTAAAAATCCCCAACACACACGTTGTTTCATATCAGGAGATGCAAAACAAATATAAAAATTCTTGCCACTACATTTGATATAGACATTGGCGCTGAGAAGAGTGGTTTCGAAATTTGTGACGAGATATTTCGTCAACAACAACGTGTTGAAAATCGGTGATTCATGAAAATCAATTTCAAATTTCCATCGTTTCAAAAAATTGAGATCGGTTTCGGGTGATTCCAATTATTGAAATACAACAATAATTATTAAAAATCAAAATGGTGTCATCATCACGTGATAATTTTTAAATATTTCATGAATATTCATCATAATAATTATCAAAATACACGTCACAATTATTCATTCTTGATATACCCTTCCTCGGAAGTACAAACTACTCTTCATACTTACTCATTACTCGTTAAAAATCTCTTAAAATTTGTTTTTGCCAATTTCGGAACCACTTGCTGCAAGACAACCTCTCGGACCTTCTTCTTTCTAGGATATTCACCAACACTCTTCTCCGATCCAACATCTACAATGATCGAGTAATGAATGGGCATTTTTTTTGAAGAGAGAGATTTATTGCCAAGATCCATTCTATGAACCTGCTTGATAACCTTTTTGAATTCATTGGAAAAGAGTTAAAATCCATGAGAATTGGCTCCTTAGTACTTGACGAGCAGTAGTTTTGACGATTTTATAACCCTTACTTACTTCCAAATGCCGCGTATCTCATGCTCTGTGAATATTTCTGAACCATTCCAAAAAAATGCAGTACCCTTCATGTTCGTGCAACTCGTGATAAACCAATAATTGGCGTATTCGTAAAGTCACACGAGAAGGTATTATGATGACGGTTGCAGGTGGTGGTAACATTGAATTTCATCGCAATTCCCCTCCCGATATGAAAGTTCCAGCCACAAGTGTCCAGTTAGGATTTCCTTCCTATGTATATGCTCCAGGAAATGGCTATTTCTATCTTTCCAATGATGATTATTGCCGAATTATGCGTGTTTCTCAAAAGGATGGAATGATCGAGTCTGTTGTAGGAAATGGTGAATGTGGAGATTTCAAGGATCACACTCCAGCCTCAAAATCAACCGTTCACATGTATCGTTTCGTGGTTTCCAAATTCAATGGTGACATGTTTTTTGGAGGAGATCAAGGTATCTTTAAGGTTGCTCTTTCACAACCTGATGGACTCATCTATTCAATGACCAGTTCGAATCGATCCGATGGATTCTCATGGGTCGATAAGGTAAGAAATCCTGATGATGGAACTCTCTCGGTGAAGAATTATATTGCACCAATACAAGGTATTACATTGGGATCTGACATGAACGCTAAGGGAGATTTGTACTTTGCACAAGGACCAGGAAGAATTACTCGAATTGTGCAATCTGGAAGTTCCAATGACAAGTCTCAATGGAAGTTGCAGACGCTGTTCGGAAGCAAAACATACATGATTGATGGAATTCCTGCCAATTATGTGAACCCTCAAAGTCTTTCTGCTGTCTTTAAAGTTTCTCCCAAAACCTCTTCTAGACTTGTAACACCTGGGGATTTTATCTACCTAGACGTTCAGTACATTCGAAGAATTGCAAATCAAAGCACGATCGTCTCAACACTCTTTGTCGATACCAACGGTGATGCTGTGGATATTGCGTCAGACTCAAAAGATTCTTTCTATTATGCAAGCGACCATCTCTTGTATCATTACAACATGACCTCACAAGAGATGAAATTGATTGCAGGTATTAAGGGTCAAGAAGGATACTCTCCAGATGGCAGTCCAGCTAAAAGCTCCACTTTGGGATCCCTCACTGCTATCATTGCTCATCCTGTCACTGGACAAGTCGTATTCATTGAGGAACAGAGTGTTGTACGAACCATTGATTCGAATGGATTACTTCAGACGCTTGCTGGAGGCGGAGACTTGAAATACAAGAGTGGAATTCCACCTCGGCAAGCAAGTTTGCGTTCTCCAACCATGTTACAATACTCTTCAGATGGTTCTAAATTGTACATTTGCGATCAACACTACAGTGTCATCATGATGGTTACTTTCAACTCAACATCTGCTCCATTACTCTACATTGTGGCAGGTTCTCAACAATCATTTAACGATGGTCAAGACGGAATTCCAGCAACACAGGCCTCCCTTTCTAGTCCATCGTCCTTCCTCGTATTACCAAGCAGTGGAGATTTATTGATTTCAGAGTTTAGCTTGATTCGTCGTGTTTCTGTTAAAACTGGTTTGATTTATACTGTGTACGGAAAAATTGCTACAGGTTATACTCCAGATGGACCTTTTAAAGGCACCTCCTCCTATTTAGTTACTCCCAATTTGATGAACATAGATCCCTATGATGGTGGTAATGTGATTTATTTTGGTGATACTTTTTCTAACGTGTTGAGAAGTATTGAGACTTCCTGTCCTGATCACTCTTGGCGATTAGATGAAACATGGAGTTCTTGTGTGAAATGTTCACCTGGAACCAAGAGTACCAAAGATTTTGTTTACTGTGTTTAACGTTTCTAGTTAAGGAAGTGAATTTTTGGGCATTGAAGGATATGAAGTCATTCCCTTTGGTTCCTTGTGCTTTCATAAATAAATTTAACATTATTTTCATCATAGTTCTTGAAATTCATCCCCACTACAACTTACCAGGGTCGCTTAGGCCAGCTCGTGGCAAAGAAAATGATGCTGTGTTTTACAACAAATTTAACCTCGCCGCAATATTTTTTTCGCTCTCTCACAGTGGTTTTTGATTGGCTGGAGAGCGTAGCCATCATTTTCTTTGGCGTAAGTTGTTGTGTCATTCATTGAGTGTTCCAACAAGAAAAAAATACGAGAAAGTGTTGTGCTCTCACTCATGCCTCAAGCATGAAAGTTTTATTGAAACATATTTCTTGAAGAATTCAAGTTTGAACACCCATTCCGATCCAAAAACCAATTATTCTCCAAAAATGTATGAAGACATTCAAGCTCTCATGATTGATCTCGGATCCGATTCATGCAAGGCCGGTTTTGCTGGTGATGATACTCCCCGAAGTGTTTTCCCATCATTGATTGGTACACCAAAACACAAAATAGATCATTATCCGTTAGACGCCTATATTGGTCATCAAGCTCTTTCAAAGAGAGGTCTTTTGAATATAGATCATTGCATTCAACGTGGTAGGATTATCAATTTCAATGATTTGGAAAAACTCTTGAATCACGTGTTTTATAATGAATTACGAGTTTCTCCTCAAGAATATCCAATCATGTTTTCGGAAAATTCATTTCAATCCAGTCAAAATAGAGAAAAGTTGACTCGATTGATGTTTGAAACTTTTTCAGTTCCAGCTCTGTATATTTCTCTTCAAGGCGTCTTGTCATTGTATGCTTCTGGACGTAATACTGGTATTGTTGTAGATTGTGGGGATGGTGTTTCACAGGTGGTTCCAATTTCTGAAGGTTATGCGTTGCCACATGCAATTTTGAAATTGGACTTGGCTGGAAGTGATTTGACGGATTATTTGACAAGGATTCTCATGAAACAAGGAACTAGTTGTTGTTGCAATTCAAACATTGTTGTTGAGAGGGAAATTGTTAGAGACATCAAGGAAACACAATGTCATGTTGCTTTGGATTATGACCATTTGGTAATTCATACGTCTTCTTCAAATTTAACAGACAAGCCATATGAATTACCAGATGGAAAAGTGATTAGTATTGGCGATGAAAGGTTTGAATGTCCAGAAATTTTATTCCAACCAAATTTAATTCAACATGTGGAGGGTGATGGTATTCATGAAATGACTTTTAACTCGATCGAAAAGTGTGAAATTCGAATTCGAAAAGAATTGTATGGAAATGTTGTCTTGTCAGGCGGTTCTACTTTGTTCCAAGGTTTTCCAGAGAGAATGTTTAAGGAATTGGCGCACAAAGCTCCTGATTTAACCAAGGTTAAGATTGTTGCAGCACCAGAAAGAAAATACCTTGTTTGGATTGGTGGTTCTATTATGGCTTCATTGTCCACCTTTCAACAAATGTGGATCACTAAGGAAGAATATGAAGAGACAGGTCCGAATATTGTCCAGCGAAGATGTATCATGCACCAATGAATCGTATGAAATGTATTAGGAGTATGTTGGATCCACAACAAGTTATTGTAAAATCTCGAGATGTTACAATCAAAGTTGCACACCTTTCAAGTGTTGATTACACGTTGTTGGGTTCTATCCAAGCCATGTTCGTTTGTTTAGCTACTATTTTCTTAATCTTGGTGCTCTCCATATAAAATTTATATTCAGGTGTTTGGATAAATCTGTAAAACGTGTCTCCTGTTAGTAAGGAAATAGAGCGTGAAATGGTTGATGCATAAAAAAGTAAAAGATTTAAAACATACCCAAATTCACAAAAACTTCCTGAACCAATCGATCAAAGCATGATATCAATTGTTCTCGTAATTCCTTCAGTTCGTGATGCTCATTCATCATGTTGTTTGGTAAATCTGTAGTTTTTTCAGACTGCAATGGTAAATCGTTTTTCGTGACAGAAATTTCTTGATTCATCATGGATGATTGCATTCCTACTTGATCATTCAACGAATTCGAGCATGAAATAATTTTCATTGCCTTCAAACTCTCGATATTTGCCCTCAGATCAATAAACATCTTTTTTGCTTGGGATGGTAGATTCACTTCATACGGCGCTGAACTGGCAATAAAGTTCACATGTAATTGTTCAATAAATGATGGAAGTTCATGCAACTCTTGTCCTGAAATAATATTCTGATTCAAATACAATTCCATATAAAAATATAAATTTTCTAAGGAAAATTCTCGTTCAGAAAATTCTTCAAAGAAATGAAATCCCAAATCGTCTGTAATGAGTGAAAGAACTTCAGAATCTTCGAATAATAATTCTTCTTCGATTGTTTTTGAAGTGACGTCACCAATCATGGTACTTGTTTGTGTTGAAAGATGTTTCTTGGTAGTGTTGGCATGTTGAGACAAGTGTTGAGATTTGACTTTGAATTTCAACAAGACGAACAATGAAAATCCTCCAAAAATGGCAATATACGACAGAGTGTAACCAATTTCACTCAGTACGCCAATAATTTTTAAAATAAATAAAATGGTTATGGCGTTATTTCCACGATTACCATTTTCAGGAAAACTTGGTAAGGATGTTATCTGGAATGATGCACTTGCTAGTTGTGTCACTTGTTCATCTTTTCCATCAAATATGACAAATAAACGATTCTCAAAATACTGTGTTGCAAATCCAATTCCTAATTGAACCATCATGAACAAAAAACACACCAAATATAGCATCATTTCAGCTCTGAAGTAGAGAGGAGTGTCGAGATGAAATAATTTTCTCAAAAATCCTCGTTGTTGCTGTGAAAATTGATTCAGACGACGGCTCGAAACATGATTACTGCTGCTATTATTGTCATTGATGGTACTCTCGCTCTTGACACGTGACAGTGATGCAGCGGGTCTTTTAAATGACGGATATTTGGTGAGAGAAGTATTGTTATTGTTGGTATCTAAATTCTGTAAAGTTCTAGAATCTTGCGAGTATGTCGATTGTCGACTTGTCCATGAAAAGTCAATGCAAATAACAATGCAAATAATGATACTATAGCCCATAATTATAAACATGTAGGACAGACTGGTCACAGTAGTGAAGAGTTCACTCGAAATGAAATTCAATCTTCTCAACACGACCCACAGAGTCCAAAAACATAAATTTCCAACTATTGAAATCGAAATGAGTAAAATGAAAAGTGATCTCGAAGTGAGAAATCTCAACCATCGAATATGTCTCATCATGGAATTTAACTTTCTCTGAGAATTCAAAAACATTTTGTGTGAAAGAGCTTTCATGAATTGAAATCGAACTACTTGAATGAAATAGGAGAGAATGGCAGTTAAATTGAGCGTATTCACTAAAATGAGAGAAATATTTTCAACAAGTGCCAACGTGAATGGCCATGAAAATGCGTTCGGATCATCATTTCTCGAGTGGTTGGAAGTGTTAGTTGTTGTGATCATACTCACAGAAATGGCTCGTTGAACAATGCTTACTAGCACGCTTTCAATGACAAGCGCCACCATTCCAAGATAGGGTGCAATAAGTCGACTGGAAACAGGCTGATGTTTTCTAAAGATGACCAAAAATAGTAAAACTATTAAGGAGATGACTGTGTAAATGGCCCCTAAACCCATTTCCACATATTGAACATAAAACTCGTAATGGATGAAGCTATTCATAAGAGAAGGGCTTGTGTAATTTGTGTGTGGATGGTTGGGGAAAACGGTGGTCCAATTTTTCGTTCGAAATTCCATAAATGTACTAAATTTGGTGGTGTGATTGCATTGACAAGTGGCAACTCCAGTACGTTCGTCGTAGTGAGCTAGTTCACAACCAAAATCATTCCATTCATTCCTCCTTTCGTCCCAATACATACAGCGAAGAATGGCCTCTTCTTTGGTTTCAATCAATATTGTAGAATTATCACTGGATGTCATATTCAAAGTTGAAATGTTTCGAATTTCGGACAAGGTCATTCGATTTTCGAAAGGAATTTGAAATTGTAGTAAAATTGGTGTTTTCAATTCCGAAAGCTCCACAACCTTGTTTTCCTGATGATATTTAAATTCGTGAACGCTTGCTCCTGCCGAGTGTTCTCGTGAGAAATTATCCATTTTTGGATTTTTTGCAAATGACACCAACGACAAACCCAAAGTTGTGTCATATCCTGAATATTTCTCCACAACTTCGTACAAGTCGAGGGTCACCTCAGTATTCTCTGACTTCATTGTAAATAAGATGGGGGTTTCCATATTCGAAAAATTCAATCGTCGACTCCTCTTTGTTTTTACCTTGAACGATGCCACAGTGGTGTTCAACATGGGGCTCGAATAATGAATGGTTGGCAATGAAGAAGTATAATTGGTCTCATTCTCTAGAATTGTTGGAGTGGCTGTCTGCAACATGAGTTTAGAAAGTGAGCTCACGATGGCATCAATGGGAGCACTCGCTATTTGATCCTTGGTAAAGCTAGCTCCAGGAATGGGAGTCCAAGCAGGAGTTGCCTGTGAAGAGAGAATATCAGACAAGACATTGAGAGCTGTCACAGTGACCTGTTCAGAAACCTTATTCACAATATATCCATAATCGTTCAGTTCTTGATCGTAGGTAGTTAAAATTGTGTTTAGAATATTGTTCACTTGAGAGGAGACAGTGGAGACGACTCTTCGATCATCTAGGAGTGGCGTCTCTGAAGTAAAAGACTTTAAAGCACTGAGAGAACCTTTGATGTCTTTCAAATCCACGTTTTTGACTACATCAATCACTAGATCAGTATTATTGTTGGCAAGTTGTAGAAAGGATTGATCATAAGCCAACACCAGTCGTTGCATGGAATTGAGTGAAATGGATGTCAATGTCGTGGCATAGGTTTGATTGAGGGGTAAAATATTTGCAACTCCAATAATGTGAGATTGTTCATTACCTAACACATCCTTCACAAATACGACAATTTCAATTTTCTTTTGTGTGACTATAAGAGAAGTACTCTGGGTGTTTGAAATTTCCTTAAATAGATATGGCAGTGGGAAGTAGGCGCCTGGTTTTTCTTGATATTCTGTCACTCGAACTCTTTCATTGGTAAACATTTGATAAAATCCAAAAGCATATGTGAGAGGGAAGAGAGCATAGTTTGCAATCCATTCAGAGGTATTAACAAAGAACTCATCTAGTATGGCCGTTCCTGATGATGGACTGACACTTGTCATGGACAAATAATCTGAAGGAACGGAGGCCATTCCAACAATTGGAATCGAAAGGATTTGAGAAACATTCTTAAAAGTTGGAAAGGAAATTTCAATGTCGATTCGATTCTTAAGGGCAATATTGATCGATTCGAAGGGTATTGAAATTAATTGTTGAAGGGTAATGATAGGACTAAATGCTAAACTGAAAAGGTCTCTCATCTTTGAATAATTGGAGCTTTCATTCCCTGTGACAAGAATAGAAGAATCAAAAGAAGTTGGACCCTTATCAGAACTTGCAACTTCCTTAACTAGTCTGAATTCAAATTTCGTTTGAAAAGGGCAAGAGCTTGAACAATTACCTTCTTGTAAAAATTGTGGAAACGGTAAATTGAACTGGATCTGAGATAATGAGAAAAGAATCGTGGTGCTCGTGTTGAAAATAATCGCTCTCGGAAGACCATTGAAGATGATGCTGTCAATTGCCAGATTAGTAGAATCTTGTGTTTCCAATTTCTTGCTCACAATTTCAATATTGAAACGAAACGGTATGGAACGCTCAGCTCCGTCACTCGTAATAGCCATCAATGAAAATTCATAAGTTGCATGTGGACTCAACATGGAAACGTCCAATGAAATCAAACTCGGAGCATCTTTGAATGTTTGTTGCGAAGGAAAAAGTTTGGAACAGTTTGAACATTCGAGTTGATATTCCATTAAACTCTTGTCAAGATTCGAAGATGTGGTTAACCGTACGTTTAAATCCAGAATGGATTGTACATCAGTATTCACCAAGTAATAATTAGAGTCTAGTGAGATGGAAAATTGATTCAAAGAGAATTCGCATTGAGTACCTTTGAAATTGGAGAAGCATTGACAAGAGTCATTTGCAATGCAGAGACCTTGTCCGTTGGAACAAACAGAGGTGTTGGTTGAGTCAATTCCAAAACATGAAATTATGGAGTAACTATTGGGTAAGGGAGCCCTTTCTATGGTAATAAGGTTTTGACATGTCGATCCGGTATAGTTATTGACACATTGACAAGTATCAGGTGCCACACACCACCCTCTCGAGGAACCTCCACAAGCTTTTCCGACTTCATAAAATAAAATACCAAAGCATGTGTATTTTGAACAATCAATCCCAAAAAATGGTGAATTACATTGACAGGTGTCATGCTCAATACATTGTCCTCTTCCTGAACAAACCATTGAGGAATTGACAGGGACTCCAAAACATGTTGTGAAAGAGAGGGGAATGTCAACAGTTGTCGTGTTAGTAAATGTCACGTTGGAGCTTGTCATATTACTCGAGCTCAGTAATAATTGGCTTGAATTGTTCCCTGTAATGGAAATGTTATTAAAAGTTGCATTTGTTAAATTCATTCCAACGGTGTCATTGAGAGAAAGAGTAATGTTACTCAACTGCTGTTCTGCGAGCGTGCTGTTCTCAATGTGGGAGGATAACGCTTGAGTTGAATTACTTATATCATTGTTCCCTATAATGGAAGTGTTACCGACAGCTGCAGTAGTTGAATTTGTGAAATTCATTCCAACGGTGTCATTAAGAGAAAGCGTAATGTTACTCAATTGTAGCTCCACAAGAGTGCTATTCTCAATGGGAGAGGCCACAGAAGTTTCATTCACTCCAACAGTTGTTTGATTGAGCAGTGTGGTTATCGTTTCATTCAGACTTTTCGTGACATTAGAACTTGAATTCATAGTCAATGTAGAGTTAGTTTCCAATTCAATTATTGTCGTACCATTATTTTCAATTGTTGAAACTGTAATATTTTGTTGTGCAGTCGTGATATTCAGATTGAGATCAAATGATGTTTCATTTCCAATGATTGTCATGTTTTGAACTAAATGCAACTCGGTGGTGTTTACATGTGTCATGTTGGTGCTATTATTTTCAATGCTTAAAGAAATATTGAAATTCAATTCCATACTTGAATTTGTTCCAACAATGGTATCATTCAGTAATGATGAAATGTTGAACGTATTGTTGGATGTTAAATTAGAAAGATCTGGTGTGATTGTTTCCAATAGTGTTTCATTTCCAAGCAGTTGTTGAGTAACATTCGTCAACGTGTCGTTTATCAACGAAATAATTGGTGTCAGTGTCGTGTTCAAATTAATGTTCGTTTCAATAAGTGTATCATTTGTTGTTCCATTTGTGATTGGAATTGAAATGTTTGTAAGTAATGATTCCACAGCATCCGTAAGATTCGATGTTAAATTTTTCAAATCCAAATTGATTGAGGTAGAATTATCAATAGTTGTCGTGTTAATTAAATTTGTCAAATTACTGGAAAGATCGGGTACAATGTCCGTCACATTGGAAGACTCCAACAATGTAGTGGTGTTGTTGATCGCGTCACTTAGTACTTGTGTAACATTCGCCAAGGTTGAATTTTCTAGTTGTGACAATACGGTGGTGAGCAAGCTTGAATATTGACAACTGTCACCATAATAGGTTGTGTTGACACATTGACAATTGTCATTGGAAAGACATTGCCCACGTCCGTTGCAGCTGTAGCTCGTATTACTCGAGAGAATTCCAAAACAATTCGAAACCACGCTGGTATTATCCGATGCAATCGCAACTTCTGTATTAGAGTACTGAACTAAAGCACCTAAATATGATCCGCCGGCTGTCACAATAGAAGAGCCAACAGTGGTAAAAGCTCTAGAAATGGCCATATTTGGAAATGTCGAAGAAGTTAAGGTCCAAGAAGTTAAATCCGTCAAAGGTGCTCTTAATATTCTTGCTTGCTCGCTATTTCCCTCAATAATATATGCAAAATCAATGGTCATAAATGTACTCGCAAAACTCACAGAAAATGGCAGAGAATTTGATGCCAATGTCCATTGTGTCAAATTATTAAACGAAGCATAATACACGGAGGTATATTTTGTTGAGCAAGTGAGTGATGAACATCCTCCAACAATGTAAACCATTCTCTGATATACGAGCACTACAGGTGACACAATGGCCACTGGAAATTTGGAGCTCGACAATGTCCATTTCAAAGGGTCATTTGTTAAAGCATAGTAAATGTTAGAGCTACCACTGGATCGATCGTTTGCTAAACCACCAACGAGAAACAATGAAGTTTCAGTCCGTATCGAAGCAGCAAATGAAATCTCAACAGGTAACTCTCCAACTTTGCTAAATACGGTTAAGGCATTTAAGGAAGCTCTTTGAATGGCCGTTGTTTTGTATCCTCCAAATATATAGGCATATGAAGAAGTTCCATTGCTTTCACTTGTCATGTTTTTTAACACATGAAAGGCATAATGACTAGTCGGATAGGGTAAATTTGAAGAGATTGAAAACGAGGAAGCAATCGACATGACCAGTGAGCTCGTGATTCCTTCCAGCAAGTTGCCCAACAAGTTTTGAGACGACGATGATGACGATGAGCTTGAGGTCGAAGCCACTTGGATGGTGTCATGCGTTGTAAGGCTCAACGTGCCACCAATGCTCTTTGTCATGACTACTCCACCAAAAGTATACAATTTGGAGGAAACTGGATCATAATAAAGTGCTGAGCCTGTCGAAGTATCGGAGAGAGAAATGGATGAGAGTATGGAAAAAGAAGGAATTTCTAATTGTTGAGTCATGATCATCATGTTCGAGGTCAATATCAAGACCAGGAGGAATGACAAGAATAAAAATGGGGTTGGAATGAAGAAGGACATGATGAATGTTTGAGTTGGAAGAATGTTGTTGTTGGGTGATAGATGTCTCAAATGATGTTTGTCGTCGCACTCTTTTTATGAAGGAATTTCGTTGGCCAGTCCCAATGATTATCTCTCTAACCTTTCAAAGATGTCGCCAAAGACTGAATGCTATGAATGTGTTGGAGTCAAAGCTGATGACAGGTCTTGAGAGGTAGTTCGGGAACATCTCTTTCATTGAAATGGCATTTGACGTTTTTTGGCGCCTTCATAAAAATCAACATTTAAAAGAAATGTAAGGGCACGAAGAATTTTCAAACAACTTCATCACATCATCTAAGTCATAATCTGCAATGTCGTGTTCATAAGGTATTTCTAAACGTTCCAACGAAGTATTTTTCATAATGGCTTGAATGGATCCACGATTACACATGGCAACACGAAGAAATGTCAGAGACTGATTTTTAGGCAAAACTGCCAACCCCTTCTGTGAATTCTTGGTCGTGAGTGATAGATCTAACTTGTCTACAAGATTACAACTTAACAACTTGTTCAACGTGGCATCGCTGGCGTTATATACATTGAGAGAAATTTTCAAATTGGGATGAGAGAGTTCGATAAGATCCCATTTCACATCTTCGGACACATCATCTATTTCCAAGTATAATCGTTTCAATGACTGTAAATGATCTGGATTGTGTAATAAATGAAGAACTTGATTCAATTGAAATCCTAATGAAAGTGACAACTCTTCAATTTGATTCAATATGGCAAGATCATTCACATTTCTAATTAATCGTCCAGGATCCAAACCTTTCAATTGAGTTATCTGTGAGAGAATTTGAAAATTATTATAGTCTAAGCTCAAATGTGTCACGTTGGTGATTTTGTGTGGATCTGAAAACACATGATCCCAAATGTGTTCCGTGGATCCTAATGCTGAAAACTTTCTAAGACTCTTGGATTCTTCAAAAAATTGCTTTAAATAATCGGCGTTTCCAAAATTTTCATCGACAAAGGTCAAAGAAATCTCACTCAACGACGGTAGAAAATTGTTCTTGAATACGGCAACATTCAAGTGTTTGAAAAATGCGTCTGAAATTCCATCTGAAGGTGACAATGCTAATACTTTCAAATTGGACAATGCATGATCAAGATCTTGAAACATTCCATCTAATTGTGCGTTTGTATTGCTCAAGTCAATGCTCCGCATGTTTGAAGCATTCAACAAGGTCTTGGCTCCGTGCAAGGTGATGGCCGGATTCTCTGCAAATTCAACCACTTGTAAATTCTTCAAATGCTTCACCATAATCTCAATGGATTGATCATTAATGGCACAATAAGTCATGTTCAAGTGAGTAATATGGCAAAATTTGGAAAAGAATTCATCATATTTGGAATCAAAGATTGCAGGTTTTCCAGTTTCATTTTCATCCGAATGTTCAAATGTCAGTTTTTTAAGGGGTAAATGAAATTTCATAAATTGTTCATAGCTGTGCGATTCAGAAATATCCAACCATGTTAAATTTTCAATATTTGGACAATATTGAAAATATGGAAATTCCACCAGAGTAACTTGGGAAATATCAAAGGTTGGCCATATTAAGCTCTTCAATCCTTTTAATCTCATGCAAGTCACTAATTGAGAGTGTTGGTTGGGACAATTCACAAACTCAAAATTAACATGTTTAAAGAGGAGATGAATTTTACGAGAAGGGTCGTTGGCAAAGTAACCAAAAACGAGTGCTCTTAATTTACGAAACCCAATTTCTTCACGAATGTCCCAATTTCGGAAAGCTGCAGAAAAATCAACACCTTCATATTGTTCTTGATCTTGATCCGAAATGTAAAAATACCGATGGAGTTGAAATTCAAAGAAATCGAAAATTTTGTCCAGAATAACATGATGTGGGAGATGTTTGAATGGAGAATGATTTGAAATACATTCCGTGTGATCCGAGGATGTTGTTGTTTTAATCTTCTTCAATGCATCTTGATCCTCCGTGTGCTTCTCTGAGCTGTCTCGTGAAGTGAGTGGTCGTTTCATTTTTTGAGTTTTTTTTTGATTTTTTCATTTTGGAAAAAGTTTAAGGCCACTGCCCAATAAAAAAAATGTCTTATTCATCATCAGCTGCTTCCAATCATCATTTGTTTTGGGAAATACCTTCGGAAGTCTTTCATTGCCAAATATTCATTCATTTTGATTATTCATGGGTGTATCGAGTATTTCGGTTGATTTGTAAACGATCCGATAGTATGGTTACGAGATCAACAACTCACTCGTTTGGAAATGAATTAACGGTATTTTTGGATAATAATATACACAGAACGAGAAGCTTTGTGAATTGTTGTGAGAAGGGATATTTTCAACATTTAAAAGCGTTGATCATTCGAGGAGGACAAGAATTATCTCAATTGTCAAAAGAAATGGATTTATATTTTTATGATGATGACGATGATGACTCTGTTCAAAGATCCGATCACTATTTAAATTGTTTTCCGAATTTACAACAATTACAACTAGATAGGAGTTATTTTGACGATTCTATTGTTACAGGAATTGTGCATTGTCAGAATTTACAAAATTTAACACATCTCGATCTCTTTTCTGCACAAATCCACGATAAATCGGTTTCGCTAATTGCATCAAGTCCATTACTTTCAAATTTAACATGTTTATGCATGAATCAAATGATTGGAAAAGCGAGCTTGAAAGACCTTTGCTCATCTCCCTACATGTCAAATTTGAAAGATTTGCAACTGTGTAGCTGCAAGATTGGGGATGATGGTGTTCAGGAGGTTTCACAAAGCACAACACTGAAACATTTGACGGCCCTTTCTTTGCCAGGAAACGACATTTCAATCGTTGGCGCAAAATTAATTGGTCACAGTTCTGTATTTCGCAACCTTACCTCTCTCAATTTAAACAGTAATAACATTTCAATGGAAGGCATGGAATATTTGGCATCGTGCGAGCAATTATCAAATCTCGAACAACTTGCAATGGGCTACAATGCACAACACACTGGAATACCCTTTCAAGTGATTATTGCAATATTCAATGGACCAATGAAAAATATTAAGAGCATTTCACTTTCGCCAAACTCTGACACTGAATTTGAACAATTCATCTCGTGTAAGAATATTGCATCATTGAGGTCTCTTGACATGAGTTTTTGCTCAACATTTTCTAATCATGGGTTGGAATTGTTGGCAAATTGTCCCAATTTATCACAATTAGAACAACTTAGGATTTCATTTACGCATGTTACAGATATCATGCCTTTGATTAACAGCGAATACATGAAAAACATTCGTGAATTGAATGTTTCTGGGCGAGGAATTAATTCCAGCACTTTGATAGCATTGTCACAAGCTTTACCAAAACTCAAAGACTTGGACATCAATGGACAGGATAACATTTCTATGGATGGTATTTTACGCTCTTTGGACCATTTGAAGCATTTACAGGCGCTCTCCATGCCAAGTTTCCACTCTGTCTCACGTGAACAGGTAGAACAATTTGCTTCTCACGTGGTCGCCTCCAAACTCATTTACCTCACTTTTACCAACGAACATGGTTTCATTCCAATTTTCTTTGGAGAGCATTCGAGATTTGAAAATTTAACCTATCTCAACATCAGAGGACAACCGTTGAGTATTGAGGATGCTCAAGTACTCACGTCCACACCAAAACTATGTGAGCTGAGGTATTTGTATCTTCCTAGAGGGCATGACATTACTTCCAGGAAACAGAACAAACAAATTGTTTCCATGTTGATGAAAAGTCTATATCTCTACAAAATTAATAATGGAGAGAGGGAACATTTGGAAAGCATGTTTTATTAGAGAGATAACTTGATTGTTGTGAATCCCGGCTGCAACACGATTTTTAAATGTAAAGAATGTAAGTCATTGTTTAGCAATCCGTACGTCACGCAACAACATAAGCCATCCGAATAATTATTCACAGAATTTGGAGAATTTGGATCATTTAATTAACAGGATTTTCTTTGTTCACAGAGTGACAAGAGTGTAAATGAACCACCAATCGATCAGGTTCAAACTTTCTATGACAACCAGGGCATTGAGCCATACTTGCAATATAAATAGTTCTAGCCTCTGTGTTGTAAGATTTAAAGCTCTCAGAGGGATCACTAGATCCTGGAATTGGTGTGTGTGGAGCTTCGGGAATTGGTTTTATCAAATCCTCAGGTAGTCCTGAATGCTTCCAAATAGCTTCTCTTTTTTTAATACATTCTGGGATGTGAATTGGTAAAGACTTGGTACCATATTCTTGGCCGCAACAATAGCAGAAAAGCATCTTTTTGGTCAAGTGTTTGTTCCAATTCTTTTGAATGGCAATGGCTGCTTGATGCTCTTCCCATGTGTGACCATCCTTATCTTTACAAATTTGCAAGTGTTTCTGTTGGATGACATTAGACAATATGAAACGGTTGATTAATCATGGGTGAATGAATCGCCATTGTTTTTGAAAGAACGGAATGTCAATGACGTTAAGCAAGATACGAACATTCGAAATAAGGTAAACCAGGTTTCAGAATTGAAAAGTCTCAATAACTAACATTCAACCTACCGTCAATCGATCAATTTCGAACCCTTTCGAACAAATAGGACAGTGAATCATACTTTGCTTGGTGTAAATTTCATAAGCCTCATTGTTGTAAGCATCGACCTCTTCCTGAGTCCCCTTTTCAGCATCAGGAATAGGATGTTGAGGTGGGGAAGGCAATTGAGACAGAACCAACTCTTTTGGCAGATTCGCTTTCATGTCGTTCATTCGTTGTTCTGGACAATTATGGGGCTTCAAGTGAATTGGCAGAGAAGTTGGTCCAAACTTTTGACCACACAAATAGCACATCAACATTCTGTCAACTTTCTTTTTTGCCGAAAATTCCTTATACTTTTTCTGAATAATAGAGGCAGCTTTCTCTTCCTCTTCACCATATTCAGGTGGTACAAACTCCTCGGATTCCTTCACGTTTTCAGGGTGCTCCAACTCGGGAGGACCGGCGACAGGCTCATGATGATGAGATGGTGGTTGTGCAATGTGCTGCTGATGATCATCCTCCTCTTCCTTAATTCTTTTCTTGGGCGGTACAGACTTTTCTTCATTTTGACCATGGTTATGATGACAAGCTGATGAATCTTTGTGATGATCGGATGGTGGAGGAACAGCCTTCTCCTCTTGAATCTCTTCGGATGGAGGTTGTTGTTGGTTCTTCTTACTATCTTCAGTTGATTCGGATGAAGAACCTTGCTGCTGATGAGAAGGTGCTACTACTCGCTCTTCCGCTTTATGCTGATGATCATCACCCTTTTGAGCTTCTTCATCATGACTCATCTTGGATGAATTGGCCACCTTATGAGGTGTGGAAGGTTCCGCCACATGCTTCTGACTCGATGCTCCGCAACCCATTTTGGATTTTTCTTGTAATACTGATTCTTACAAAACGTAAAGAAATAATAGTGTTTACTAGGAAGGGTCGTTACCAACGACAAGGACGTTTTTGAGGTGTTGGTTTTTTTTTTCTAATTTCGTTATTCAACCGTTAATTTTGTAGTTTGATTTGGCGCAATCGGTGGTGCGAGTTCATCAACCACTCACACTTTAAAAAAAAATGAAAAAACTTGTCGTGTTGATATTGTTGTTCGTTTTGGCCACATGGATGGTTGGTGTTTTGGCTGTCGACGAGGACCATGATGAAAAACTTTCTTCAGAATTTGCTGCAGCGTTTGCAAAATATTCAGATATTGAAAAAGCATCATCGTTGATGCATTCCGATTTTGTGAAAATTCAATCATCATCACCAACCGATACTGTGTCATCGTCATCATCACACACGAATCACTTTGTTTTAAAAACACGAATGGAAAATGACGAATTTGTTAAATCGATTGCTCACAAATACGGTTTGACGTTTGTTCGGAAAATTCCATCTTCTGATGGCAGTGTCAATTATATTTTACGTGGTGTTGGCGTCATGGACGAGTCCTACGGTCTATCTAATCATAATATGGATACTGTTCAGGCCATGAGTGGTAAAAGTGCTCTCCTCACTGCACAAACTATTCAAAATATTGTCAAGAAAAATTCGGATACTGTTCTCGAGTTTTATAGAGCCAAAAAACAGAACTTTTCAAAGAGATAGAGTCATCAAAGTCCATCTAAGATTTAATTGACTCAATCACGAGAGCTGACTGTGTTGCTGAAAGAACAAGTTACAAAATGTGGTTTTGGATGTTGAGGATGTGTGGAAACAAATTATGGCATTATTACATGATTATTCCGCTTTGTCAATTAATTGAATAAATAATTACAAAAATACCATTCAATTTTTTAAAACTGATATATGTAGATTTTGAGAGTTGAGTTGAAAATCGTTACTCCAGAAAAACTTTAATTCTTCCAACTGATAAACATATCAGAGCATCACAACATAAAATAAGGGCTTATAATCTATTACACCTATTAATTTTGACAAAATTAATCCTTTGATGACAAGCTCTTGGTCTTTTGTTCTCCATTAAATTAAGTCATTAAGTTACGCTTAAAAGTTTGACAATCTCTTCTTTCTCTTTAGATATACTAATGATCCAATGATCCACATGCATAATGTATACCACGTGACCATGTATGCCACATGAGTGGCAGGAGTAATATAAAATTTCATATAATCGTCAGGAATGGCCACCATGGGATATTTCGACTCTTGTGCCTTAGATGCCTTGAGAGAATTTTCACTTGTTTGCTTTTCAGAATAGACAAAGTTTGGAATGTGGTAAAAAGCATCCACCAGCAATGGAATGTAAGGCAACTTGTAATATTTGGCTATGGAAAACAGATCCATGGCAATAAATTTGTTCGACTTGCCATCATAACTATCTGAAATACCAGCACCCAAATATTCTCCTGGTCGAATGATGGCCGTAACTTTCTCAATGTGATTTTGATCGGTGGCCTTTTTTTCAAAATCTTGTTTGGAAGCCTTACTTGGATCTTTGTAAATACTTTGAGGTACCCATCCTCTATTGACCATTACAACTTCTCTGTTGTGAATGGAATGTAAAATTTTACATCATGAATTTGAAAATAAATAGAAAATGTTGAACCAAAGAAAAAACACCCAAGTTCAACAACAAATTACAAAAACAAAAACACAAAATGTTAAAAACAACTGTAGAATACTTTTGTGGCATGCCCAATACGTACCCTTGTTTCGTTACAAAAGGAGTCAATATAAAAAAGCCCATTTCTCCAACACTTGTTGGCAAATCGAGACGCTTCGTGAGCGGACTCTTTCTCAAGCCTACAACAATTTCCTTATCATAATCAAAGTAGCCCTCCAAAGTAATAATTCTATGTGAATATTCATCTCTTGCTGGATGAATTGGATCGTAATCTTCCTCTGATTTTTCGTGAATGGATGGCATGACACTTGATTCAGGTTGTTGTATATTTTCTGAAATTTTCAACATTTTAGATGGATCATACTCAATAGGATCTTGAGCAAGAGTTACTTCACGAAGAGCAATTTGCTCCTTCTTCCACAAATATCGTTTCGTTTGCCACACACCCAGACAAAAGGTTGTAATGGCTGGAATACCAAAAAAGATGAATTGAGTCCATGTCATGAAAGGCTCTTTCTTTGTTTGTTGAGAATTTTCATCATGATGTTCTCCACCTTGCTGCTGTTCCGATTGTTGTTGTTGTTGTTGTTTTTTTCGCTCTTCTTGATGATCCACAAGTCTAATAGTGGCATAGGAACGAACGCATGATGAATGAATATTATTATTATTATTGAAATTCCACGACAATGAAGCACAATTAATTGTTGAACGATTGAAAGCCTTCAAGCTTGATCGGAGAAAGTCCGTTCTTTGACTCAGAGAGGATGAAAAGGTTTTCCGACATGAAAGTCGGTGCATTTTTTGTTGATTAAATTTTCAAGAGATTAAAAAGTTTTAATTCGTAATAATAATTCGATTAAAAAAATGATGAAATCAATGATGAACAAGCACAATTGGATGAGTTTCAAAACTGCAAGAAAATTCTTTTACCAAGAAGCAACAAGCTATTCATTCGGATCATCATCATCATGTTCCATCATTCACCAACAACAACAACAACAACGAAATTTTCATTCCGATCGAATGAACAGCGCTCCACCCACCATTAAACCCATTCAGGCCAATGAATTTTACAAATTTTCAAGAGATTTTGCCATTGCATCTGCAAAAGCCTCCAATCAAATCGATAGTATATTCAGAGTGCCAAACAAACAAAATGATGCCAAGAAGGAGAATGCCATCCGATCATACAGTCAAATGATGTTAGCATTGTATTTGTATCATTGGCTTACAACAGGAGGTGATAAATTGAAAGAGCCTTCCATTGCAAAGGCTGTCTCTCTACTGGATCAAGTGACACCATTACAAAGTGGGACTGAACAAAATATTCAAATTCGAGAATTGATGGCTCGAGAATTTGCCAATGCATTCTCTGCCAATGATACTGAGATTGAACGATTGAAAAAGATAAGTGTTGATGAACGACAAAATATTGTGAGGGCAGGTTCCTTACTCATAGCTTATCCATTCCTGAAAGGTCAATTCACTCGAGATTTTATTCAAGAAGCAAACGCTCTTAATAATCCTCAAATCATTCAAGCCAGTGATTTTGAATTGAAAATTAATCCTCACAATATCAGTGAATCGTTCAAGGAAGCCACTGATAAGGTTAAAAGATTATCCGAGTTCTTTATGAATGATGTATTTAAACAAGCTCAACAAGCTAGTTTAACTCAAGATTCGTTATTGCAAGAGAAACATCGAGATGCCATCTATCACTACAATTATTTATTAATGACCATTCTGTATCAGAAACATATTCTTGCTCAAATGACCAAGCTTAAAAAGAAGGACCTTGCAAACATGTCTCGTGATGATATTTCATCATTCATTGAAGATGCCTCTGCAGCAGAATTTGCTATTGCAATTTCTGGAAACCCCTATGACAAGCTTTTAATGGCAGCTGTGAGTAATTTGAACATTCATGCTGTGTGAGCGAACCATAAATTGGGGTTCATTCATATGAAAAACCTTATTAATGGTGTTAACAGTCTATCCATGCTGAATTGTTGCAAGAAAATGACGTTTCATGAAAAAGTTATTCAGCTGTCATCTTTCAAAAAAAAATGACCATCTCGTTTCCTCACACTCATCAACACCATCAACACCATCAACAATGCACGACGACGACCACAACACTCAAAACCGATCCACGTCATCATCCATTCCACGAGTATCATTCTTCCTCCGATGACGACAATGACGACGAAAACTCTGCCACTCATTCACCCTATCTCAACTCTCTCGAATATTCGGAACAACAAAAAAAGTTTTTCACTCACGAATGTCTTCGATACGGAGATTACATTTCCCTCTTCACATCGAGCGGAGGTGGAGCATCCTCGGAGAGTACGGTTGGTTTTTTGAGTGTCGATGGAATTAATTTAACATGTCAAATCGAGGGGTATGTTTTCTTTCTTTTCAAATATATATATTTTGATCATTCTCGGAATGATCATTCCAATTAATTGAATTTTCTTCCTTTATTGTATAAAAATATGTAACACATGTATTCTTATGTTAAATACTTGACAAACATTCAGAAATACAAAACAAATTCGTTGTGGACTCACTGAAACCACAGATATTTCAATTTTAAATTCCACCAAAAGTGGATCACAACAACAACAACCGCAACCACACAACACTCAACCATTACCACCCATTTACATGATTCCAAATTTTCAACAATGTATCTTTCAAGTTCATTTCGCAAAGAGTTATTCAGCCATTAAAAAGTATCATCATTATGTGAATGAATTGGAAATTAAAATGGCGAATAAGAAGAATCCACCGACGAGCATGACGACTCCTCCATCAACCACTACTGGAACTGTCAAAGTAACAGCCATGAAAACGAAAAAGTTGTTCACAAATATTGTTCATGAAAGTAATGAGTTGGCTCAATTGAAACAACGTATGGAACGTGAAATTCAACAAAATGAATTGGAAGCTGCTCGTCATGTTGGGCAACCTGTATATTATGGATCTACCATTCAATTATTTCATGTACAGACACAAAGTTATTTGACTGTTGCAAGAGAATCTGCAGAAATGCAAAAAGATTGTTTGAGATTGTCACTGGATCAGGATGGATCAAAATATTCACACTTTTCATTGTTACCATATTTTAATTATCAAAAAGATGGTGATGTTGTGAAATTATCTGACAAGTTCCGTATTTGGAATAGAAAATCTGGACAATTTTTGCAATTTTCATATTATCGATACAGTAACGTGGCAGACATGACACCATTTTCAGGAATTTCCACAAAAACAAGTTCAGATAATTATTCACAAATTGCCAAGGAAGCTGTGAAATCAAATTCCAATCTTAAAAAGTATTCGTATGACAATAGACGTGAAGTGAACATGTCAGCTTCAAGCGCCTTCTCACATTGGCATTTGAGAGTTTTCTCACCGTATTCTGAATATTTACAAGATGCGAAACATGTCAAGGCAGGAGATATTATTCGAATTTATCACAAAGAATTCGATGGTTTTTTAACTGTGAACGAAAAAACAGGACGTGTGAAATTCAAAAAGAGAGCTCAATTCATGTTGAAGAGTGAACACAATGATTCTTCGGCCATGATGGAAAGTTCTTTGATGAAGTCAGGATTCTCTTCCACATCTTCATTTTCATCCTCCTCTGTCATGAAAGGATCTTTTCATGCCGGTGCTAAAGATTTATTTTCACAAAGCAGCGCTTCAGGTTTTGCACCAATGGGAAGCCATCGTGACGGCCGTAGTCAAGGTTCACAATTTGGAGTTTTAGGTTCTCAATCCTCCTCTTCAAGTAGCAAAAGTGGAGATGAAAACACCATTTCATCCTCAGTCGATCAACAAATATCTTGTCAAAGTTTATGGCAAATTGAAATGTTAGACTCAACAAAAGGTGGAATTGTGAGAAGAAATTTTGTGTTTCGAATCAGACATGTCAGTACTGGATATTATCTCATGTTAAAACCTAGTTCTGAACAAGAAGATCTTCGAGAGGAAGAATTTGAAGAGAATGAGGTTTCTGAAACCAACATTTCCTTCCTATCTTCAACACTTCACAATAGTTCTATTCATGATTTTACAAGTCAAAATTCCATTTCAGGAAGCACCACAGGAATCTCACAAACCACGTCACCTGCTTCAAGCAGTACTACAAGTAGTAGTACTACACGGAAAGTTAAATCTTCTTCTCTCATCAAACAACCAAAACGAGAATTAACATGGAGCATGCATGTTGAACCACAAGAAAATTGTCACGACATTATGAACATGTTATTCATTGTTCAAGATGCCATGTTGTCCAATGACATTTCTGCACTCTCTTGGAATGGTCAATTTAGAATCAAGCATTATCAAAGTGGCACATGGCTGCATGCATTATTTTCTCAAAAACAATTTTCAACAACAGGAAGTGGCGATAAGGAATTAGCGACTCTTTCTAGAGCTCAATATTCTCCAGTGTATTCAGTACCAACATTGAAAGAACAAGATGTTCTGACATGTTTTCCTGCACGTCGAGAGGACTATGAGGATCTTTTTACAGCACAAAGTTACATTCCCATTCTCAAATACATTCTCTCGAAATTGAATGACCGTACCATCACACGAAGCGACGTCAAGACGTACATTAATTTAATTTCTAGTTGTATCAGATTCTGTACAACGAGTGATGAGACAGATCCCCTCTTGAGAGGTGGTATTCCAAACAAATATCATCAACAATTAATGCGAGAAAAAGGAATTATAGCACTCGTCATGGAAATTTTGAATACGCTCATTTCACACAAATATCTCACATTGGAAGATATGACACTCCTAGCTGAAAATCCAGAAAAACAAGATTACTATGATGTATTGCAATATTCCTATCGTTTCATTAGACAAGCTGTGTTGATGAATGAAGTGAACGGTCTCTACATGGCTCAATATATCAACTTTATTCAATCGACTATAGAGTACAGCATTAGTTCCAGTGAGGCACTGCTTCAAATTCTTTCCAATAATTTTGCACTTCTCAACAAAATTACCGAAGACCAAATTGATTTTTTCATGACGCTACTTTTCAAGGGTGCGCAAGGAGGCAGTTCAAGCAAAACAAGTAATTTTCCGACACGATATCAAACGAATGTGGGTGGTTATCTCAAGAAGGCAGTATATTTGTCCTTCTTGACAAGCTTAATTATTTGTGAGGGAAAAACAGTTGTGAAAAATCAAAAGTACATTTCGAATTTACTTCTCGCTACGTACAAGGAACAAATGAATAAGGTATTTCTCCTTCCCCGTATTCGAAAATCAGATAATAAGGTCGTGATAGATATTAATCATGATGAAATGGATTTGGTGAGCTTTACAAAATCAGCGACCGATACAGAGTATGTGAATTATTCCAAAGCGAACTTTGAACTACTTGTGTTCTTCCAAGAAGAAATCAGATTATTTGCTGCACTTTGCAGTGGTAGCAGTGAGTCAACAGAGTTAACGAGAAATGCTGTTGTTCAATTATTTACCTATGACATTGTACACAAATGTTTACAAGAGCCAAATTTAACACCTGCTCTCAGAACATCCTTTGTGAATTTATTACTTCACAGTTTTGTGGATACTGAAAAAAGAGAACGACGAATTTTGGTGGATCTCACTCGAAAGAGTGAATCTCTTTATGGTAAAACACCACATGACCACACCTCACGAGAATTGGCAGAAGTGAAAGACTTTTTAAGCGCCTATTTCAAGCAAAATGCAATTCTTGACATGGGTTTAGATTTTAAAGATGCAAACAATTTCACATTGTCACTGGTCCAATTGTGTAGAAGCATGTTAGAATTTGGAATTTACACATTGAAAGATTTCGAAGATAGTGACTTGTTAATTTCTCTGTTTGACATTTTACGTTCAGATAATGATAAGAGAAATGGAGTTTTATTGAAAGATGAAGAGAGATTCAAACATTCTGAAGAAAACGAGTCCATCATTAACATCAAAATTGAGATTGCAAAAATTTTCCACATGCTTCTCGATTTAACCTTGGATAAGAGAATTACCAAATTCCTTCAATTCTTTTGGATGAAATATCGTGTCGAAGACGTGAAAACTGTGCTGGCAGATGAAGAAAATTCAGAGCCAACCAACGACAAGCAAAAACAACAACTCTACAATTTGAGAAAGAAGGAAATTTTGAAAGTATTCCAAGAAATGGAACAAAAGGAACATCAAGTGCTAACTGATATTTTCAAGAATGTTCTTCCATTTGACAAGATGGGAAATTTTGATTTGAAATTGTTGAATTTGACAAGTTATGAAAATCAAGAACTTGCCACCACTTGTCTCAGATTATTAATTCGAAAATTTAGAGCTGCAGATGAATTGGCGGCTGCTTTACCAAAAGTTGAGTTAATTGTTTCAAAAGAAATGGCCTTAACATATGATCATCTTAGAAAGCAGACCAACGATTTGAGAAGTATCTTTGGATATGGAAGAAGTAATTACTTGGGAGCTCGCCACATCAGTGACTATGAAGTTAAAAAAGCCATGAGAGCTCTTGATGAAATTCTCAAAGATATGGCAATCAACGAAAAGAGAAGTCAAAGAATTATTAGAAATTTGGGACTCTTTGAAATTGCACTCTCTGTATTGAGAAATGAATGGATGGTCACAAACGAAATCAAAGAAAGTTGTCTCAAAGTGTTAACTGAATTTGTAAAAGAGAATCCAGAAAACCAGAAATTACTCTTCCCTTATATGGAATTTTTCATGAGAATGATCACAGAACACAAAAAACTGAGCAAGTCCGTTGTCATTTTAATGTGTGAATGTGTGAGAAATAATAGAGCATTATGTAGCACTATTGAAGAGAAGCACATTGAGCAATACATTGATCTCATTGCAGAGCAGAGAAGTGCTTTCATGTTACTCTTTCTGAGAACCATTCTGTCCACACACAATGGAAATCCAATCAAGAGAAATCAATCACTCATTACAAAATATTTACTTGAAAGAAAGAAAGATGTTGTGATTTTATTCAAAGACGAAGAAGGAATGAGAGAACGAAATAATCGCATTTCAAAAGAGGAACACAAAACAGAACCCGAAGGAATTTTAAATTATCACATTGCATTGTTGCACTTGTTGGCTACAGCTGCAGATGGTAAAAATCGTGAAAGTGAACAGCGACTTCAAACTCTCTTTACATTGGAAGAGTTATTGGAACAAGTTATTTCTCCATTTACGTTACCAATGATTCGAAATCCACTTGTGAAAATTATTAATGAAGTTTATGTAAATGTTGAGAAAGTGACAGAAGTGAGTGGCGGAAACGCAGATCAAGAAAAGAAGTCTACCATTAACATTCATCATCCCTTAATGTACAAAATGTTTTCGAAAATGATTCGAGAATTTGAATTTGCAGAAATGAGCGCATTGGCACTGAATATTTCTGGAGGAGAACATGTCACTCCACAAAAATCACCCAATGTCATGTCGACAAGTTTGTTGGCCAACAATAGAGCATCAACGAAACCATCATCTGCCATTAGACAAAGTCGAGCGCTTGCAGTGAACATTCCCTCAGCACGACTTTCATCAACTGGTCCAATTCGTGCACAAATTACAGACGAAGACCTCGAGAAGAATTATATTGATAATTATTACATTTTTGAAATTATGATTCCAGTCATTCATAATTATTTCCATCTACATTTCCCTCCTCCAAACGTCACAAAGGAACAATTGGATATAGCTGAAGATTTGTTGTTGAAATTAATTGATTTACACAAGCATACAGCGAATCAGGAACAACGCGACAAGATTTTCAAATGTGTCACTGCCATGTGGAAAAAGAGTATGTCTTCCGAAAGTCAAGTAGCCATTACAAAATTTGTGACGGCAAAATCTTCAAAAGCCAAAGTTAATCGAACTCACATTACACACGCCTATGTGGTCGAGACGGATGAAATTATTAACAAGACGTATCGCAAATATTTGCAACGAAGAATTATTTCCAAGATTTTGAGTACCAGCGAATTCAGAAAATTAGGAAATCTCTATGAAAAGTATAATGGCTTTGTGAAAGTTCTTGTGAGAATTCTTCGTAAATTGAATGATTCTGGAGCTTCGTATGATCAATCTTTGCTCGATGTTGGATTATTGGGTCTAGAGACGCTTAAAACCATTGTTCACTCGCAAAACAAACGTTCCAATGGTTCACCTAAAAAAAAGAAGAAAAAGTCATCCAACGACGAGTTTCAACCTTTGGATTATGTTGAGAAGAAACTTCCATTGGTGGTAATGGAGTTACTGACCTCAGCAAATCCTCTCATTGTAAAATCTGCTCTCGAACTTGGAATTTTAATTTTACGACATGGTTACGGAGCTATTCAAAAAGAGTTTTACAGAATTTTAACAGAAACAGATACTAGTTTCTTTTTCATTTCAGTTCGAGATCGACTTCGATTGGCCAAGAAGGAAATTAAAGAGAAAAAGAATTATCTCAAAAAAAAGAAGGAAAAGGAATATGCTCTCAACAAGGAACGACAACGAAAAGAAATGAGCAAAGTGCGAGGAAATATAGTTGACAATCATGATAGTGGTGACAGTTCTAATATAAATTCATCATCATCCGATCAAGAGGAAGGAAATGAAGAATTTATTGAAGTAGGTCATGTCGAATTGTTATTGGAATTTTTAAGACTCCTCTGTGAAGGTCACAATCTTGAAATGCAAACCATTCTGCTTCATCAACCAAACAATACCTTCACTGTGAACGTTATTCATGAAAGTATGGAATATTTAGTGGCATTGGAAAAGAAAATTGATTTTGATAACATTCAAATAGCCATTCAAGGTTTCAGAACTTTCACAGAATTTGTTCAAGGACCTGCAGCTGTGATTCAACAAATGTTGGGAACTTCACCAAGATTTTACTCTCGATTGGTGAATGAAATTCTTTCAAAAACATATGAAGATGGAAATTTATTGAAACAACAAGAAGTTATTTTGAAAAAAGAAGTGGTCCTGACCTTGACAAGTTTAATAGAAGGAAGTAACACTCAAAATTTATTGGAAATTATGAGAAATTCTCTCAATTTAGAGGAATTGGAATATTTATTGTTGTTCTCTGCAAGATTGTTGCGATCGTTACAAGCTGATTCCCATCACGATCGTGCCACCGATGAAGTCGATGAAGTCGTTCAACGATTACGAAAAGATTTTGACACTCATTTCCTGTATGAAGCCACACGTGACAAGTTAAATCCAGTCGTTGTCGAAGATTACATTAGTGCCGTCTTTCCAATGATTCGAGACGCCTATGAAGAATTGGGCATGCAAATTTTCTTTTTAATGAATATTTTCAAAGACGCTGAAAGACAACAATTACGAATTCTCTCTCGAAACACTTTTATCGAAGAAACCAAAACTCTCAAAATTACCAACTTTTTAAATTTACATCAAGATTTATTGAGTATCTTTTCCAAACATACAGGAAGTATTGAAGTATTGAGAAATAATAATATTGAAAAGGTTTATTTCCCCATTCCAAGAATTTGTCACAATTTGATGGATCAAGCACGTCATCATTACGTTCATTCACTTCCAATGATGACTCCTGAAGAAAAAGTGAGACAGCTCTATAACGATACATTTAGTCGATTTTATGTCGAAATGAAACATTATGAATCTATGAGAAGGAAGAAACAATCTCTCTTTGGTGTGAAAAACAACATTGAACAAGTGACGAATTTGGAGGACGACCATATTCATTCATCTCCACTCGCAATGACAAGTGACACCATTCCTGGTTCATTCACAAGCAATGTTAGTGACCACAACAATTCCTCACTCTCATTATTCGACACAAATTCCTCATTAATTCCATCCATTCATGACATTCGATGTGCTCCAAAATCCAAACGTAAAAAATTTGTTCCTCATTCTGCTCACAGCAATGAAACTTCTGCAAGTTATGAATTTATTGCACATTTTTGGGAATATTTGCGACTTTCTTCGTTTATTTTCTGTGTGGTCATTAATATTGTCCTATTAGGAACCTATAAGAGATTATATTCAGTGGATACTGCAAGTGATATTCCAGTTCCTGGAGATTTGACATTTGACATACTCAATGCTCCAAAATATCCATTGCCAAGAACACTTGCTGGTGATATTATCATGACCATTGTTGGTGCGATTCAATTGATTATTACAGCAACATTGAGTGTGACGTATTTGAAATTTTTTGTCACACTCGAAGTGAAGAAACGATTCAAATTGAAGAAACGAGAAACGTGGGACAGTATTCCTCGAAATCGACAATTTTATTGGAAATTCTTTTTATACATCTTACGAGATATGCAATTGTGGTTTTTTGTGATTTATTTCATGTTGAGTATGATGGGATTGTTAATTTCTCCACTCGTTTATAGTATTCAACTGTTTGAAATTGTTTTTAGATTTAAATCATTGACTGACGTGTTGAATGCTGTCATTTCGAATGGAAAGAAATTATTCTTTGCTGGAATGTTATTATTGATTGCCATGTTCTTCTTTGGATTACTCTACTTCTCATGGTACAGTCATGATTTTATGACGGTTGTGACCAAACTCGATACGTGTGACACAGTTTTGGCATGTTTTGTTTCAACCTTTGATTATGGATTTAGATCAGAGGCGTCATGGGAGAATATTTTTGCACCGGATCCTGGTGTTGGAAGAGCTATTTTGGATTTGAGTTTTACATTGATTGTTATTGTGTTTTTGTAAGTAGAGTCTTGATTGATTTTTAGGAGTGTGTTAATTTTTATAATTTATTTCTGTGAAATCATGTTTTTTTCACAATTAACAACATTTTACTCCTTCATGTCATTGTTTATTTTTTATTATTATTAATTTTTTCAGAACGAACGTTGTGTTTGGTACCATTCTCGATTCATTCCAACAATTGAGAAAAGCACGAGAAGAACGAAAGAAGGAAATTACTGAAAAATGTTTTGTCTGTGCTTTGGAAAAGAGTAAATTTGACACCAAAGCCAATGAAGGAATTACCTTTGAGAAACATATTAAGGAAGAGCATTATTTGTGGAATTATGTTTACTTTTTAATTTACTTGTATGAAAAACCAGAAACTGAATATACTGGAACAGAAAGTTATATTTTTCAAAAATGTGAAGACAATGATGACGTGACAAGTTTCTTCCCAATCTTTAGATCCAAGACGATTGAAGAAAGTGATCAGAATCATCTTTCTACAGCTCTACAACAAATTAAGGAAAATCATTAAATTTCGAACAATGATTGAACTGGAAATAAATTCAATGAACTCTTGGAATTATTCCAATAATTTTAGTGAGACTTGGCTTCCAATTGTTCCTTAATTGTTCACAATATTATTCTGAATGGCATAACAAAGTGTTCGAAGTAGCCGACTATTGTTGTGATGGAATTCGTTCAACAATTCCCAATTTCTTACACGTCGATTCATTGTGAATTTCAATAAATCGCTCAACAGGAATTGTAATTTCACCACTTTCCTTATACTTTTCATGCTGTTGTTTCACGTAGTCGGTAATATCTTCAATTTTTCGTAATGCTCCACATTTTACCATATTAGTAATAAAAGTACCTTTCAAACCAATCTGAATGGCTCGTGTCAATCCTCCATGTACTTTTCCAAAGGCAGGAGTGTGATAGGGATCCCATTGAACTCGTGCAAAACCAACAATGAACTCCTCATCTTCAGTTGTTTCTTCATTCGAATCGTTCGCCTCTTCTTGGATTTGATTGTCCCTTGACGTTTTTTGAGCTATTGGTTCATTGTGTTGTGACGAATTTTGTTCTTCTTCATTGGAATATTCCTTTTCCATTTTCATTTGCTCTTTCACCAATTCTTGAATCGAGTCTTCAGCGAACTGTTGTTTCTTCCTCTCGTGTTCTTTTTTTTTAATCTTATTCACATATTGTCCAGCTTTTTGTTTATGCCTCGAGCAAGCCTTTTCCCATTCTTTCCTCGATCCATAATATCGTTCCAACTCGGGATAATACATGGAGCATACAGCATTCTCTAGAATTACCTTCTCAAAATACTCTCTTTGAATATACAAGGCTAGAATATTGGTTTGATTCCAGGCCGTAGCAAATTCACTCCGATACATCATCCATAAATAATTGGGTTTAATCCAAGTCATACGTTTCATATCAAAGGCTGAACAGCCTTTAAAGGTTTGATGTTTAACGGCATAATTTGCAATAGTGGAATTATAGGCTTGATAAAATACAATACATTCATCCTCTTCTGTGAGTGGTTCTCCTACGGGTGTTTGTTGTTGTTGTTGTTGTTGATGATGATCATGATGATGAGATGAAATAATTTCCTTTTTTGGAACACGGATCAAAGCTCCCGATACTTGTTGAGTAATGGATCGGAGATACTCACGAGTGGTAGCATGGAAATCTTCTTTGGGTAATGAATCAAACAGTGGTGTGGTTGAAATTGCTGATGATGTCGAGGTGCCAGTTAACATTTTTTAATTCTTTTTTGAATTTAATATTTAAAAAATTTATTTACAATTCGGTTCTTATTCAAAATTGCACTTTGGTTACATTCAGAAACTGTTCCTGACAGTGTGACACACTTTACACCTTGTTCATTTCTTGATCGATTTGTTTCAGTGCCAACTTTGATCGTGTGTGTAAAATTTCCTCAAATGGAAATCCACTCATCTTGTTGCATTGTGTTAAATATTCTTTCACTTGTTCCTGGCATTGTTGCACTTTCAAATCTTGACCTCCTTTCATTTGATTCTTCTTCTGCTTCTCTCCATGTAAATATAAATATTCAGCCAATTCATAATATGAAAATGCAATCCATTGTTTCTCATATTTGATTTTGTTTTCATACGAAAGAGCTTTCTTGAATAATTTCATGGCTTGTTCATTCTGTCCCAAGACGTTCAACGTTTGAGCATGAATGACACAATATCCTGCACATAAATCTCCATAAACTTTTGATTGTTCTTCTTCTTCGGAAAAGACTTTTGGTTCCAATAACTCGTGAGGTTGATTGCAATTACAGAAATGTTTCATGAACAAGTCATGCAATGGTTTCAAATATTGAGGTTTGAGATTGGCCAAATCTCTTTTCAAATATGCTAATTGGAAAAAGAACAAGATGGGTATTAATAATTTGGTCCTGTCACTTTTCACATGTTTCAACAATTCCAATTTTTCCTTTGCAAATTTGTTCGATGAAGTCATGTAGGTTTCCAAAGGTGGCATTCCATTCTTTCCATTCATCATGTCCAAAGCTCCCTTCTCATCTCCAAGGAAAATCTTACAAACGATCAAAAAGAAGGCACAATTTCCTTTCGAATCAAATTGTCGTGACGTATTTGACAGCATTTCTTCAAGTTGAATGTGAGCCTTCTCGAATTGACATGACAACATGAGCATGTTGCTTTTTTCAAACAAGTGTTGATTTGGAGTGGAACCAGTCTCTCGTTTCATGATATTCACACATTGTGTCATGTGTTGAAGAGCCAATTCCATATTTCCACATTTCATTTCATAGTGTGATTGAATGAATTTAAAGAAACCACTCTCACTGTAGACATGTGTGACATGTTCTAAAATGGGTTTCACACGATTCAAATTGATGGATCTCTCTTCGAAAGCTCTTGGAATGAACAAGTAATTGATACAGAGCATGAAGGAGGCTGGTCCTAAATGTAATCCTGCATAGTCATGAGTTTTGTGCATGAGAGAGAGACCTAATTCTCGATCGGCGTCGAATCCCAATACACTGAGAATTTTGGCAAGAGTGGGAGGTAAGACAGAGATGAGGAAATTAAAGACTCTGTGTGTGAAATTGTGAATTTGATTTAGGGGAGTAAATATTTTTGGACGAATATATAAATATGGAATCCAAAATTAATAGGAAAAATATTCGTTCATGATTATGAAATTTAAATTCACAAAAACTTACCCGATACCAAGATAGGAACCTATTAGGACATCACTATGAACGAATTGTGAACTCTGTTTCGTTTCATTCTTGAGAGATTCGACTTGATTGTAAACTTCCTTATACTTCAAATAAGATTTTCTAAAATTGTAAAAACCTTTAAAATACGACCCATTCAAGAATTGAAGTAATCCTCTCAAGAAATGATTCTCAGCATTGACCAACTTTAAATCCAATTCAAAGTTGAATAATTGTTGTTCAGCTGTCATTTCTTTCAATTCTACATAATTGGGATGGCACTTGTCACACGAATCATATAACCATTGTTTGTTGGAGGATGACAATTCCTTGTCACATTCTTCATTCATTTTCTTAATCGATTCAATCATTTTCAATACATCTTCCTTTCTGTAACAATTCGCAAGACATTGTTCAGCCTTCTCTAAATTCTCAAAAGCAGAATGACATTCTTGTCTCTCTCCAGAAATTCCAGCAATATAGGCATCAATACTTGCAAATTCAAAAGCAAATCTTGGAAGTGTATCAATATGAGGGGAAAGGTATTCTCTAGCTTTGGTTAATTCTGCATTCCAAATCATGCAGGAGCCCTTCTTGACACACTTGTACATTTTCTAATGTTAATGGTAAATATTAAGGTGGTTCCAAAGTTGTTTGTTTGAAAATCAAGAATGATCTTTTTTTTTTTGTTGTTGGTTTTTGAATGCATTGTGTCTTCTCGATCGATTTAAATGGAAGAATATTGAGTTCGTATACATGGAACTAATGAAACTGAGAGAAAAGAATCAGTGACCATGGAGAAGAAGGGACTGAACACACACTCTGATGGTTCTTGGCAAATTGGACATACGAATTTCGAGACTGGTGTTTGTCTTGAAAACTGTAAATGACATGAACGCGTGTGTCCTTGTGTGGAGTGTGTAACCTCGTTTCTCGCTTGTTCCAATGAATTCACGTCCACTTGGTTAAAAATAGATCAAATGGTTAAATTGAAATCTTGCTCATCATCTTGAAAATTCAAGAAATCAAAAAACAATACAAATCATCATGAAACGAGAAGGAAAACTCAATGGTAAACGTACCAACAAAACCAAACAACGAGGAAAATGTGCAATCGTCCATTGCAGCATGTGCCATTTCAATTCCGCTCTCAAATCCATGAAGAAGTGTAAAGGACAGAGAAAATTCTCAAAAATCATGACTCATGATGTGGTGTGTTTGGAGAAGGCAGAGTTCTTTGATTGGAGATGGGATGGTCGGAAACATTCGAAACATCATTAAATCTATGATGATGATTTGAATTTCCGAAAATTCATTTTTCCTCAACCCTGATGATTCACAGATCTTATAGACATTGCTTTACAGTTCTCGGTTGGCAAATGGATGTCTCTGAGGTCCTCAAAGTTCTCTTCTCCTTTGTTGGATCCAATGATTGAAGATGATTGAATCAATAAAAACAAGGATCAGTTTCTTCCGTTTACAATGACACTCCAAAGATCACTAATTCTCATGATATAACTTTCCCTATGCATAGGATGATGTCAATGAACATCCTTTATTTCCGTGTTGTGGACTCTCTCCAAATCCATCATGATCGCGATGAACGACGACTCTCGAAACATCTTTCAAAAAATTAAATTCACTCACCTCGCTTGCTGAGCTCATGTTCTCCTTTTTGCCGTAATGCCAAACAACAACAAGACCATAAACAGGTCTCTTTTCATTGCGAAGTTTCTTCTTCACTGGCAGCTCCTTCTTCTTCTCTTCTTCATTCTTGTTGAATGTTTACATGCGGCACTTCCTCCCAGTGGCACTCTTCACTTGCGAACACAAGCTTCTCAATTTCCAACTTCTTTCAAACACATTTCTGGAAGTGATGGTGTATTGTATACCATTGTTCAACCATTATTAGCTGATTGTTTGTCAAGTGGTTATCAATTGTATGAAGTCACGAATGCTGCTGGTTCAAAATCACTCTATGTGTCATGTTACGATGCCACTAATCATGTGCCAAGATTTACCATAAATGTGCTTTCTTATTCCGAGTTAATTCAGAACAATGCCAAACGTCCTGATCAAGATCCATGGTTTACGGTAGACTCGAGTGATTCCACAACCGGAAAAACCTATGACAATCCTTATGATCGTGGACATTTAGTCGCAAATAATGATTTCAGAAGTGAAGAAGAAAAGAAATTGACATTTATTGTGATTAATCGAGCACCTCAGTTGGCAGCCACAAATCGAGGAATTTGGAGACATATTGAATACAGTTTGAGAGATGCATTGACTCAAATTGGAGAACAAGTGCCAACATTGAAAGCGCTTGTCATTACTCGATTGTTATTTGAAACATCAACTACTCCAAGACGAGCTGAATTTTCAGTCAGTTCATTGTATTCACAAGTTCCAATTTCGTATAATAAGGTAGCTATTGTGTATGATAATTCTAAAATTCGAGAAGTGGTCACCATGTCAGCAAGTAATACAGATGTGACCACACTCGACCAATTACCAAATATAGTGAAATCATGGTCATCCTTAGGTTCTTCAAATCCATTGAAAACCAACATTCAAGTCACCAATGTTGGAACCAGATCAGACGTTACCACAACACTAGATACCAAAGTCAAGAATTTCAAAACCTTTGTGGATCAATGTTCTGCCATGAAAATTCCAAAAACTGCCTATTTCTTAATCGATCGAGACACGACTCAACGCAAATGGAAAGTTCAAGTGAAGAATTTTTCACCCTGTAATCACTTGTGTTCCTTCACCATGAATCAATACATCTTTGTTCAGAGCTTTTTCGAAAGAGATGCCACTACTCAATTTCATATGGATGTGGGACTTCGATCGTTATTCATAGATGGAGTTAAGGATCAAACCACACGAGATTTTGCATTCTACTTACCACACGATCAATCTATTTCAGAATTATCAAGCATGTCCACAATTGAAGGAATTTTCACATACACGTGTGAAGACAAGAGAAAATTCACAGGAGCCAAACATGAATTCCAAAATTTGGGAACTCGAACCACCATCAAGGAACAACGTTTGGTTTCGTATGGAGGAGTCATTGCCAAGAAACCTCGTAGAAATCGTGATTATCTTGCTGCCACTCGTCGTCGAACGAAACCAGAACTTTCAGCCAGTGATTTGAAAGCCCTTCTCACGAAAGAATATCCTCCTTCAACATTGAGTCGTTCTGCTTCAACTTCATCCTCATCTTCATCATCATCCTCAACAACAACAACAGTTGCTACACCTGTGACATTTACATACACGACCTTTGATGTGAATCATTTGACTCAATTTACGGTTCCTCCTGTTTCTCGTGGAAGAACACGTGAAAGAAATTCTCAAACTTCTCAAACCTCTTCTTCCACACGATCAAGGTCCAAAGATAATAATCAACAACAAAAACATTCTTCTTCAGTAGTGCAACAACTTAGAGGAACATCTCCAATGATCATTTCAAGATCTCCCTCACCTTCATCAAGAAGAAACAATCCATCTCCACCTCCTACGCGTCGTGGAAGAACCTCTTCTCGGAGTAAATCTCCTGAAAGAAGATCAAGTCCTTCACCATCATCGTCATCATCCTACAAGAGAGATCGAAGTAGAGATCACAAAAATTCTTCATCACGTGTTGTGAGCAAGTCGAATTCAAAAACAAGTGCATCCTCTTCTACGAGTAGTAGTAGTAGTGCATCATCCAAACTATCCAGCGGTGAATTGGTTGTTAAAATTGAAGAACAAAAAACGTTGTAAACTATAATGCTATTTGAATCGTCACTTCCAGAAGAGAACATGTGCCTTAATGCCGAATCCATAAATATTAAATAATCAATAAAATCTCACACGAAAGGTTTTGACAAATTCTACAACGAAAATAATCAGTTCCAACTTGTTTTTGGGCGTTTCATTTCTAACACTCGTGCTAGCAAATTAAACAATCTTGCAACATGCCACTCTTTTCTATCCCAGTATGATTTTGCAATAATTGACAAACTTGTTTTGCAGTAATTCTTTGGGAAGGTTGAACATGTAGCATGGAGGATATGATTTCAATGAGCTCCATCGAATACAATGTACACGTTAGCTTGGATTTCAAAAATTGAGCCATATCCGAGGTTTGAAAGGATTCTTTTGAACATATTTCTGAAAGAAAGGTACTTCTGTCAAAAGTCAATAATTGATACAAGGTCACTCCAAATGCAAACATGTCACTCGATGGAGAATAGGTGTGCCCTGCTTTTTGTATCAAATTGTTTTCAAAAAGGAATGTAGTCGGGCCTACACACAACCCATGCCCATACACAACTTCAGGTGCTGTAAACTCATTAATGGAAGGACGTATAAACGCCTCTGAAAGCTCGTCCAAGGAGCTTGAAACTCCAAAGCCTCCTAACGCAACTTGAATGATTTGATTATTCATGTCACAACTTCTAATTCTAATTTTGTTCGGTTGGATTGATCTATGAATAATGTCATGTTGTTCCATCCACTCTAATGCTCCGCATATTTGTAAAATAACTTGTCTCACCATTTTCTCAGGCATTTGTATCGAAGAGTTAATAATCGTTGACAGTAAATCGCCATGCGTGAACTCCATTTCAATACAAATGGAAGACTGCGTTCCAGGTGTAAAAACATCATAAACTTTCAAAATATGAGGATGAGCTAGTTTTAGCATATTCGTGGACTCTTTCAACGCAACATTGAAGGTTTTGTAGTTGGCGTTAATTATTTTAAGGGCTTTTTCTTTTCCTGTCTTGACATCTACAACTCGAAAATATGATCCAAAAAAACCTGAACTTATAAATTCTGTGGTCAAATACTTTTTCTTCAAAAATTCTTCGATTTGTAGTGGCTCGCCTTTTACAGGCTCAATTTCATCATAACTATTACTGTCATTGGAATTAACAGATTCTGTGTCAAAGTTTCCCTCAAAACTGGACTCAGGAGAAACTGGTGATAATTGTTCTACTATTTGTTGTACATCTTGCGAAAGCATTTCTATTGCTTCTTGAGAGGTGATTCTTTCGGATGGTCGAGGTCGCAACATTGATGCAACAATCTTGATAAAATTTGTGGAGTATGAGTGTTGATCTTGTTTTAGTAAGATCAACTTTAAAAATTGGCACATATCATTTTCCACCATAGATTTCACTCCAATGAGAGTGGTAATATCTAAAGCCATTAACTGATACAATGTTACACCAAGTGCGAATATATCGCTTGCAGGAGAAAACAACATTCCATTCTCCGCATACTTTGAGTCTAGTAATTCAGTAGCAAGAAATGACTTGGTTCCTGGAACAGTATTATTTGTAAGATCATTAATAGATTTTGCCAATCCAAAGTCACACAACGCCACTTGAATACTTTCATGTTCCAAACTATAATCCTTCACTAAAATATTTCCTGGCTTGATATCTCTATTGATTGGTCATATAAACCTATTTAACAAATTTAAATACCTACCGATGAAGTAATTTTCTTTCAGAAGTGTGAAGCCAGTTCAATACGTCACAAACTTGCTTGATAATCTCTCGCAACATTCGCTCTGGTAACTTGATTTTCTTTTCAATGAATAATGAATGTAAACTTCCTTTCATTAATTCCATTTCAATACAAATGGCCGCTGTTGTTCCAGGAGTAAATGCATCATACATGGGTACAATGTTGGGATGTGTTAATTTTGTCATATTCAACGCTTCTTGAAATGCCAAGTTGAAACTAGAATTGTCTTGAATCATGATGACTTTCACTGCAACATACTTGCTTTTCTTTGGATTAAATGCTTTGTATACAACTCCGAACCCACCCTTAGAGATATATTCAATATGAGAATATTGCGTTGTCAAAAATTCTTCAAAGCCAGACATGTTAGTGTTAGCAACAACACCACTATGGGACAACATTAATCGATCATTACTTCCGGTAACAAATGGACCTGGAAAAGAAATGTAAGCCAATCTAGAATCCAATTCAATTTTTTTCGTGCTATTATGAAGTACTTGAATTGCATCTTGAGGTGAAATTCTGTCTTCTGGATTTAATTGTACCATTGATGTAACTAAATCAATGAATACACTAGAGTAACCACTACCTTCTAGCTTCATAGATAAATATTCTTTCATATTTGTTCCATTTAAACACAATTTGGTCAAGCTTGTAATGGAATCGAGAGTCATTAATTGAACAAGCTGTGCCCCAAGAGCAAACATGTCACTTGCAATAGAAGCACAATTAGATTCAGATTCAAGCAACTCAGGTGCTATGTATAATTGAGTTCCCATTGCATAACAATTATTCGTTAACACCTTCTCTAATCCGAAATCGCTCAACGCAACTTGAATGGTCTCGGTCTTCAAATCAAATTCCCTCACTAGTATGTTAGTAGGATTTACATCTCTTGTTTCAAATTTAGTGCCCTCACACAATATGAAAAATAAAACATACCCATGCACAGTATTCATGTCTTGCTTTAGGTATAGGAAAGCAGAACAAATTTGACATGTCATATCTCTCAACATTTTCTCTGGTAATTTGACATTACGTTCAATGAACAATGAATACAAACTTCCCTTCAACAACTCCAACTCCAGACAAACATGTGAAATGACTCCAGGTGCAAATACGGAATATATTTTGACAATATTGGGATGAGAAATTAATCGAAGACGCATTGATTCCTGTAGTACAGAATTTAACGTATCAATATCTGGAACTGGAATTATTTTAAGGGCCTTTTTTACCATTGTTTTTTTATCCACTACGTAGTACACTGTCGAAAATCCTCCAGCTCCAATATAACTCATAGAGTCATATTTAGTATTCATGAATGTAGAGAGTTGATGATCACTAGTAACCAGAGTCGAATGTTCAGTCAATATTTGGCTCTCGGAATCCTTTGGATATCCTTTGTCCTCACGGAAGGTTTGTAATTTTTCCCAAATTAATTTTGCTTGTACGAGATCAATACCACATTCTTGAGCTAGCTCTAATGGTGATGAGATATTTTCCAATTTTAATCCATCACGATTTTTCATGACTGGTGATGATGATTTCAAAACCGATTATTGAATTTTCATCCTCCAACATTTAACAATTAAAAATCATGGTACCTACTTTCAATCACGACGGACGGAACCTCACATGCTGTAAGAAACCGAGTCAAGTCTGAAACAGTCCAATCCCTAAGACGTGGGTACTCTGTTTCCATTTTTTTTACTTTGAAAAACGAGCTTTCCCGAACCACGACGAAAGAACACAATGCAACATGATCTCTATCTACACTAAAATGATCATCAATAATAACAAAAACCAAAATAAAGAAACTTGCAATCCAGGTTCATCAACTTCCAAGTTAGTGACATAATTCCGGACCTATCAACAAACACATGACATCAAAAAAAATTATCTTTAAATTCACTGACTGCTCGGGTCTGCACACGGATCTCATCATGTCAACCTTGCGGCACCTCCAACAACAACAACAACCTCTGCATAGCAGAAGAAGAACCCCCTCTCTCATCCTTCCGGCGCTTCTTCTTCTCTTCTTCATTCTTGTTGAATGTTTTCATGCGGCACTTCCTCCCAGTGGCACTCTTCACTTGCGAACACAAGCTTCTCAATTTCCAACTTCTTTCAAACACATTTCTGGAAGTGATGGTGTATTATATGCCATTGTTCAACCTTTGTTGGCTGATTGTTTGACGAGTGGTTATCAATTGTATGAAGTTACAAATGCTGCTGGTTCAAAATCACTCTATGTGTCATGTTATGATGCCACTAATCATGTGCCACGATGGGGAATTAATGTTTTATCCTATACTGAATTGATCAAGAAGAATGCTGAGAGACCAGATCAAGAACCATGGTTTACAGTCGATTCCAGTGATTCCTCAACTGGAAAGGCCTATGAAGTTCCCTATGATCGCGGACATTTAATTCCAAATAATGATTTCAGAAGTGAAGAAGAAAAGAAGTTGACATTTATTGTGATTAATCGAGCACCTCAGTTGGCAGCCACGAATCGTGGAATTTGGAGACATATTGAACACAGTTTGAGAGATGCAATCTTGGAAGTTGGAGCCACTGTGAATGCGATTAAGGCGCTTGTCATGACTCGATTGTTGTTTAAAACGACGACACCAAAACCTTTTGCTACGATCAAAGGAACTTCAATGACTTCGGAAATTCCAATTTCGTATAATAAGGTTGCTATTGTGTATGATAATTCTAAAATTCGTGAAGTATTGACCATGAAAGTAGATAATACAGATGTGACCTCTCTCGATCAATTACCAAATATAGTGAAATCATGGTCCTCGTTGGGTTCAACAGATCCATTGAAAACCAACATTCAAGTCACCAATGTTGGTACCGAGACAGATGTAACCACAAAAGTTGATACCAAAGTCAAGAATTTCAAAGCTTACGTGGATCAATGCTCTGCCATGAAAAAAACAAAAACTGCCTATTTCCTAATTGAGCGTGACACGACTCAAAGCAAATGGAAAGTTCAAGTGAAGAATTTTTCACCCTGTAATCACTTGTGTTCCTTCACCATGAATCAATATACCTTTGTTCAGAGTTATTTCGAACGAAATGCCATGACTCAATACCAAATCGATTTGCGACTTCGATCTTTATTCACAGATGGAGTAGAAGAGAAAACCACAAAAGATTTTTCCTTCTACTTACCTGCAGATACTGGTCTTTCAGAATTATCAAGCATGTCCACAATTGAAGGAATTTTCACATACACGTGTGAAGACAAGAGAAAATTCACAGGAGCCAAACATGAATTTCAAAATTTGGGAACTCGAACCACCATCAAGGAACAACGTTTGGTTTCGTATGGAGGAGTCATTGCCAAGAAACCTCGTAGAAATCGTGATTCTGCCACTCGTCGTAGAAAAAAGTCCTCCATTTCAGCCACTGATTTGAAAGAACTTCTCACGAAAGAATATCCACCTTCAACATTGAGTGCTTCAACGTCAGCTGCCAATGTGAAATTTACCTATTCAACGTTTAATGTGGATCATTTGGATCAATTTACAGAACCTCGTGGAAGAAGAGCAGATCGAGATCGAGCTCGTTCTCCTTCATCTTCACGTTCTCCATCTCCTCCATCTTCACGTTCTCCATCTCGTTCTCCATCTCGTTCCAGATCAAGATCCAGAGACAACAAGACAAAAAAACATTCAAAGCCCAGAAATCGATCCTTGTCTCCTCATAGAACCACCACCACGACGTCGACCCGTCAACGAGGAAGAAGCAAATCTCCAAAACCCATCACTGCCTCTGTGAAAAATAGTACAACGGCAAAACCATCATCCAGCAGTGTGACAACTGTAGTACGAAACCAATCTCCATCCAGATCTCGATCGCCACTTAAAAGTAGAACAGTTTCAAGAAGTAAATCTCCTCCTCCAAGAAAACAGTTAGTAGCTTCTTCAAGTCCTTCTTCTAATGCGTCAACAACAGTAAGAAAGGATCGAAGTAGAAGTCGAGATCGAAGAGTGAATACCAAAGCAACTCCATTGCCAAGAACAACAACAACTACTTTTGGACCAAGTAGTTCAGCAAGTAGTGGACCATCTCAATTATCTACAGGTCCATTGATTGTAAAAGTGGAAGAACAAGCTAAAAAGTTGTAAATCTTGCTATGAGATGCATGAATTTAACATTTTTCACACGTGTGAAATTAAAAGTTTTACAAAAAACTTTTTTTGCCTTATCAACAACAAATATTGAACATGTTATTTCATAAACATTGTTTTTTCTGTAATCACGTTCATGAAGGCAAGGACTTTTTGAAAGCCAAACTCGTCGGTAAGATAACGATCGCACAACATTGTTTTTCAAATTTCTATAAAAAGCAAAACGTCCGATCTGCATGACAACTCCTTTCCAAATCATTCATGAAATCCATTCCAACAAACATTCGTAATTAATGCGGCCTTAACTTCAACCTAAATTCGTTTACAGTTTTTGTAGAATTCACTTAAATTTTTTGATCACTGATTTTTAATATAAACTGTCGTCAAATGACATTTGATCCAATCATTGATGTTAGTGGCACAACCATCTATGATTGTTGTTATTTGTGTAATGGCATCAATAGTGTATATCATGAAAAGAGTTTTCTCTCTTCTTGTTTCATCGTAATTGCTTCCAAGTTAGAAAGACACGTGGCCTCGCAATGTCCAAGATAAACCATTTAAACGATCAGGTTATATTTGGAAAAAACCAAATACCGAGCACAAAAATTTTGCTGTCTTGCACAACAATGGATGAAAAATCGGCTCTTTAGAAAGAATTCAGATTTAAAAAATAAAAGACAACTGACAGGTTGGGCGTGCTTAGGCCTTCAAATCACGGCACTGAGACTCTTGATGTGGTTCGTTGTATTAAATTAAATAGAAAAAACAAAAGGATTGTCACGGCATCTATTTCTTGAACCAACGGCATTTAATTTTTTCGAAAATTCTCATTGCGGACAACTGTCAGTTTACTGCCAAACTTCATTTGAGCGTGAATGCAATTCTTTCTGTAAAATTACGTTAGAATCATCATTGTAACAAGTTGAATCCTCTTTAACAATATCACGTTTTGCAAGGTAACACAAAAAAAAACACCAAATCACGTTAGCTGCCATCCGTCAGATTTCTTAAAGCAATTAGCATGACAATGAAAGGATTCATATCCTCTTCCATGTCCTCATTCACGAGCAGTAGTAGTGGCAGTTCACGAAAATCGTTTGTTAATTCATTGTATCAAAAAGAGGAGTCGCCGTCACCTCCTCCAGCATTACATCGAAAGAGATCCATGTCCTTATCCAGTCAAATGTCCGTTCTAAAATCAAAGCAATCTCATAACACGTATGCATCCTCCAATATCTCACTTCATTCCAATCGAGATCATTCAGCAAGCATCCAATACTCCAAACAAGCCCTCTTGTCAAATGTCCATTTTACACAACTTGTAACAAATACCTTTCAAGCACTCCCCCATGAGCTTCAATGTTACATTTTCACATTTCTTTCAGGAAATTATCTCTTCAAGAGTGGTCGATTAGTTTGTCGAACATGGAGAGATCTCATTCGAGAATTTGGAATTTTTTCAGGTCAATTGTGTTTTACAGTTTATTCGCCGGATTATGAGAGAGATCGAAAAAAAGATTTAAAACGAATTGAAATATTTATCAAGTGTTGTAAAGAAGGATATTTCACACAATTGGATGATTTACAATTGAATTTTTCAATGAAGGATCAGAGTGTCATGATGAATGCCTTATTTTTGGACTCTGGAATGACAGGTGGCATTTCACCCTTATCTGGAAATGCCTTACAAATGAATGACAGTGTGTTTTCGAATGCTTCTCCATCGAGTGGTGCCAATATATTGAATTTTCAACAAAATTCTTCCACACAACTCTCTCCAAGACAAACCTCTCCCAGAAGACGACAATCCAAGAATTTGACAAGTGACATTTTACCTAGAAAAACTCAACCTTATTTTCCAAGCTTGACCAAACTCCAAATCAAATACCAACATCCCTTTTGCAAAACTTTGGCCACCTCTTCCTACTTGACCTCTCTTAAACATTTAAATTTAAATTTTTGTCGACTAGTAACAGATTCTGAAGTCAAAGAACTCGCTCAAAGTGAATTCCTAACCAAACTAGAAACTCTCCAATTACAAGGAACTAGTATTACCGATGAAGGTGTGAAATATATTGCTTCTAGTTCAACCTTAATTCATTTGACGTGTTTAGATATTGGCGGGAATTTTCCTCAAATGGGACTCGAAAGTTTTTTCAGTGTCTTGACATCGAAAAATTTTGGAACTTTGAAAAACTTTGAATTTCAAGGAAATCGAGTGAAATATGAAAATATTGCCATGCCATTGACTTCTCAAACCATGAATTCTACCAAAGTAACGAGTCCATTGAGTTTACAAAACAATTCATCTTGTTCGAATCCTTTCGAATCGAAAACTTCATTAAGGCATTTGAATTTGTATCGAAACTTTTTTGGAAAATTGGGAGCTCAATTTATGGCTCAACATGCGACTCAATTTTTCCAACATTTGACGTACCTCAATATGACCAACAATTACATTGAAAAGGAAGGAATGAAATATTTGTGTGAATGTCAACAATTGTCAAATTTGACCTACCTCGAAGCAGGATACAATAACATTGGAGATGAAGGAGCGAAATACATTGCCACGGCCGTATTCGCTCCAAATTTAACTCAACTCTTTCTCGTGAATAATAATATTGGAGTAGAGGGAGTGAAAGCATTGAGTGATGGTGACTCTTCACAACTCACCAATGTACTGGAATTGAGTTTGAGCAATTTTGACAATGAAAGTAACAATAAGATTGGAGATGAAGGAGCTTTGGCATTGGCTCGGAGTCGTGTGTGGAAACAGTTGAAAAAACTCTCCATTCGTAAGAATCAAATTGGTGAACGAGGAGTGTTGGAATTGTCTCAGAGTGAGTTCTTGCATCATTTGGAAGAATTGGATTTGAGGTATAACAATGCTTCTTTGGAGGCAATTGAGGCTGCAAATTTTCGAGTTGGAAGTAGGAATTTGTTGCATCATCAAATTGCGTATCATATACCGAAACATAAGAAACACAAATCAATCGATAAGAATTGTTTGATTCAATAAATAGGAACAATGTACCTATAATGTAATGTTGAACCAATCCATCCATTGTGCGCTACTCATGTGACCTTAATAAATTGCAAAACAAAATCATCAAGCTTATACAAAGTAGCACTGCAAAACTTTAAATATTTAAATGTTTCGAAATGATGGAAAGAAGTTTGGCAACAATGGGTTTGTTCACTCGTCCACTCTGAATAAATAAACTTGTGAGAACCACCATGCTGGTTCCAAAAGCCAACAATACATATTTGCTCACGCTCGATTTCTTCTTGTTATTTTGAGAGTCCAAATATTTTTCATCTCCATAAGGATCAGAGGTATAGCCTGAGAATTGTTGTTTCTGTTGATTTTCCTCGAGTGTGACGTTGTTTTGGATAGTATCCTTCTCGAGCATGCTAGTTGAATCGCAGGATTTCAAGGAAATGGGCTGATTCGACGAAATCCGCGATCTATACATGACGTTGACCACTAAAAGATAAATATTTTCCGTTCCAAAATTTTCAATCACTTCAAAAAGTTGAGCATTGTCACTGAAGAGGCAACTCTTACCGACATGGTCCAAAACGACAAAGTGTTCAGGTCTCTCCTTGGACATGTCATACAAATTAATACCAAACAAGCGTTGATTGGACTCGTTCTGTGCCGTGTTAACAACACCTTTCAAGCAAATCACACAAGTGAGGAAACTCTTTTCGTGATATCGCTCAGTAGTGGTTGGAATGGAACGTTGTCCTCCATTGTTGGGTCCCATACTCGTATAATGTACAGCATTGTTGGAGCCATATCTCGTCATGTAATTGTTATGGCCAATAGCTCTAGAAGATTCCATGCTCGAAGCGGTGGTTGAGCTGACTTCACTCTCAACTTCAATAATTCGACACTTGTCTTCTCCTTTCGATTTTTCAAGCTTTTCACCTGGCCTTAATTCGTAAATGCTAAATGTTTCATTAATACAACTCAATTCAAATGTTCTCCCAATCTTTTCTCCAAAAACTCTGGATTGATTTTGGGGAAGCACATCTTTCAATTGCTCAAATATAAAGTTTGCAAATTCCTCATTTGTATACTCGATATGTTGAACTCTGTGCTCAAAATTATTGTGAGTGATGTTGAGTATGTTTTCATTATTCATGTTTGTAGGATTATTCATGTAGTAGTGGTGGTTGTGGCTATGATTAAGAGTTGTTGGTACTGTATTGGCTGTGTACATAACCGATGATGAAGGCGATGCAGGCACAGTCGCAAGATTATCATTCGATGAAACTCCTTTTCGTGACAATTTTGATGATATAGACGATGAGGAGGTCACTCGATTTCCATAATTATACGAGCTTCTTTGTTGTTGTTGCTTTTGCAATTGAATTTGTAATTGTTGTTGCAACAATAACTCTTCCTTTCTTCGGGAAATATCCTGATAGATATCTATTAATTGTTCAGCCTCTTCAATTGTAACCAAATTATCAATCATCCAAATATGATCTTCCTTGACTGGACATACATCCACAGAGGAATCAGTCTCTAACGATTCGTAAGCTTGATAATTTTGTGTAATGAGTTGAGTATTGAGAGAGGGAACCATTCGTTGTGGGGAGGATGGTACATTGGGAGGCGATGATTGTTGTTGGGATGGATGATAATAGGAGGAAGATTGTTGTGGTGGTTGGTTCACCGGCATCATCACGGACGAAGGATATGTCTGCTCCAAGGATGATCTCGGTATTCTGGCAGTTCTTGTGGAAGAAGCCACAGAGGAAGCTACAGAGGTGGAGGAAGAGGAATCAAACGAGTCTCTCCGTTGATGATGTTGTTGTTGCTTTCTTGAGTGAGGGTTGTTATGATGATGATTCACTTCCTTTTGTAAATCATTTTCATTGCAGTAATCAATAGAGATGAAGGATTGATCCAGAACTTGTTGTTGTTGTTGATATTGCTGATGATGATTATAATTATTATTACTAATATTATTATTATTATTATAATATGAGGGATGATGATGGCTGTAGGTTGATGATGGATTTTGTTGATGATACGAATAGGAAGATCCATCATCATACCCTTGTTGCTGCTGTGATGAAAACATCAAACCACCACCAGCCCCTCCTCCATTGGAATATTGCGTAAGATTGTACACATGTTGGGATGATCCAGCAGCTGCAACTCCATAATAATTATAATTATAAAAAGAGGACATTGCAAGAGATCAAAAGATGGCGCGAGAGAAATGGACGAGTTGTTTTTTTCTTTGCTTAAAAGTGTTCAAGGGTAGACCCGAGATGGAATTTCAATGTTCACGTTTAGAATTGGGTCGTCAATTGATTTTGATTTGGCAAGAATAGATCATCAACTCTCTGTGCACAAGAGATTTGATTGATAGTAATAATAATAATAACAACAACACACGAAAGTTTTGATGAAAGGAAGAGAGAACACCATGCCAGCTGTATTTTGCATTCCAATAAACATTTCAATCGTTGGATTCTAAATATCACCCAGGTCAAGTTCTCCTCCGTTTTCTAAATCTCCAAGTGCTTCTTCTTCTTCTTCACCTTGATTTGTCACTCTGTACATGTTCTGGTGCATGGTTGGCAAGTGACCACTTGGAGAATATTGATGCAGCGGTGTTGAAAATGATGTCGTTTCTTGAGAGGAGTATTCATATTCCTGTGAACTCACTGAAGAGACATCATCCAAGTAATCTAATTTGGTTTCAAATTGATTCAATTCGTTTCGAATCTGATCAATGGTGGAAATTTCTTGCATTTCACCATTACCAAATGACATGAGACAATTCATGGCTGTCTCTAAGGTAGCGAGAGCATAACCAAATTCTCCCTTAATTGTATATTCTGGAATGAGCTCACTAATCATTTGAAATTTGGCATATAAATCTTGCACATTGGCCTTTGCCACGACATAGATGAAAATTGGTAATAAATCATCGGCTCCTACCACGATGGGTTCTTTGAGAGTGCCATGTTTGGCGTGATAATCATTGACATCTTGTGAGACTTGTCCAATGGATTGACAGATTTTCTCAATTTTCTTGTTCACTGATAGAGTGTGATCTGATTCTTTGAATAATGCAATACTCTTCTCGTAGGGAATTTTTTCATGCTCGAGAAGGAACTTGTCAGACACTCTCAACGCGTGTAGTGTGATGGTATGAGAGCACTTGCTAATTTTCTCATTCATTCGGTTTGTCTCTTCACTGTACACCTTAACAAATAAATACATTAATTTTGAAAAGATTCCATTGCCCCACAATGTCTCCATGATACAATCAATCACAATCTCTTCATATTTGTGTGATGGAAGCTCCCAATATTTTCCAAATAAAACCATGCTTAATTTTTCTACAAATAGTTCAATATCATTGACGCATTTTGAAATTAAATTTCGTGTTTCGTGATCACCACCATTACTTGTATATTGTGCATTATTGTACATGTCTCCGAAATATTCTGAAAACTTGACAATCACTTGACTGAGAGTATGAGAGGGATTGGAGAGAATATTCATGCAATGACTTTTGATGGTATTTTCAGTTGTTGGATCAACGGTTGAGGCATCTTCATCGTCAACTCCACCGAAGCGAACAGCTTCAATTGGCTTCAACAGAGATGGATTCGAGAGGTTATCCAAAAACACTCGATCTTGTTCAATAAGAAGTTGTGACATGTTTTGGTAGTTGAAATTGGTGTCAACAAACTTGGACCATGCATCTTGTTCCTTCCATCTAAAAGTGCGCTTCTTATTTTGAATTCTTTGCAAAAAGTTATTTACATTATTTTGAATTTCCATTTGTCGAGCTCGTTCCTGGCTCATTTTAATCATTTGTTCTTTCATTTGAACAATTTGAGCTTTTTCATATTCCTTTCTCTTCATTTGGAGCTATTTTTCAAGTCATCAGTGACATGATTAAAAGCAACATGTGATTTTTGAGATGATCATTGTTAAAAACAACAAAAATGTGAATATTAGTATGTAAAATAAAATTAACTTACAGTTTTCTTGGAATCCATACTTCCAGTAGTAGTTGAAGGAGCAGAGGAAGAGGTAGATGAAGAGATTTTAGGTTGTGACGACGTGGCATTCAACGGTGATTGTTGGCTTGCTGAATTTGGGATATTAGACGTGGTACTATCTTTGTTGATATTTCGTTGTGGTATAGCACTACTGCTGCTTGATTTCGATGGGAATGCACCTGTCAGTAATTTTGGTTGTGGTGGTGGTGTTGGATTGTTGGGAGTTGTGGCCGACGATTGTGAATTGAATGAGTTTCGTTTCGTCAAATTGGTATTCACCACAGGAGAGGAATTGGTTACATTACCAGCATGACTTGTTACATTGGTTTTTGTTGGAGTGGGTTTTGAACTACTCGAGTGGTTGGTACCTGATGATGTCGTGTTCGTGTTGGATTGTGCCAATGGTGTTGTGTTGTTGCTGTTGTGGTTATGGTTGGCGAATCCAATACATTGACCGCCACTACCATTCGTTGGATTTCCACCCGAATTTGAAGATCCACCACTACTGCTCTGAAATAACGGTGTAGCCAGTGAAGTAATTCTCTCCATACATTGTTCCGAGTATTTCAATAATTGATGTGATTGTTCCGAGAGTGGATGTTGTTGATTGGGAGGGCCTTTTAATAATTCTGCCTGAACAAATTCCGAAACTTGTTGCATGCATTGAAAATAATAGGTTAGGGCAGTCCGATGTTGTTGCTGTTCGTCATGGGTGATTGCCTTCATCAAAGTCTTTTTGATGTCGGAAAATGATGTGACGCCTGAAGATCGTGATGAATGCATTTTTTTGTAATCGAAAGGGTTGACTACCGAGTGGAAAGTACGTTCGAATTTGGCATTGGAATTAAAGGGAAGAGTTTTCAAATAAAGAATAATCTTTAGAGAACAATATAGGTTGTTGTTACGATAGATTCACAGCATGTGATTCTGTAAATTTAGTTTCAAAAGTAGTTGTGTTGAATAGCTTCTGTCGAAATGGCAGGTAATAGATCTGGTACCAATGAAAATTGAGAAATTCTTTTCATCTGTTTTAATTGTATACATACGCAAAGCCCCTTTTTGCACTCGGATAATGACCACAGTTTGACATGACCCAGAAACAATGGTGGTCCATTCATTACGATCAAAGTACTGAGGATCTCAAAATGGTTATGACTCAAATTGCCGCAATTTAACACACTTGTTCCTATCATCATCAACGAACCCAAAACAACAGTAAATCGTAATCGTCGTGAGTGAGAGAGATCTCACTAGCAGATTTTTTGTTTGATGAAACTTAATTTTGTGCGGTTTTTGTTGTAGTAATAACCACCATTCAAGGAACACACAAGAATGGGACAAAACAAATCATCAGGAGCTGTCTCTGATTCCTTTAGTGAGTATTTGGAGAAGGCAAGCCTATCATCCCGAGAACAAGATCTCTATCGTCCCAACACTTCCGATGATGTTTCCTCAACAACCTCATTTGTGGAAGGTGATGAGTCTGATTCATCATCAACGGACGATGAGAGCGAATATTTAAAAGACCAACTCGGAGAGGAAGATGATTCATCAGCATTTACAAATCCTCTCCATTCCACATTGTCTTCTTCCTCGACAATGATGAATTCAACAAGAGTGCCAAACAGTACTCCAGTGTTCAAGTCCAACAATGCCAAAATTACATTTCATATCGATCATGTAACTGTGAGAAGGAAACGGCGGCGATTGCCGACAACAGCATGTTCTCCACAACCACCGAATAATGAAAACTTTCCCTCGTCGCCTTCACCACAGACTTCATCACCAAGAGCACCTCAAAACATTGCATCTCAACCTTCTCCCTCAAAGCAATGGTATATTTGTGAGAAATATTCCGAATTGAAAAAGATGGATGGAAAATTAGGAAATGTTTTTCTTGCCACTCAAGTCGCGTACAAAAAGTCCTATCACAACGGCAATTATTCACAACAGCAACCGTCACTTCAACAACAGCGACCAGTGGCAGATATTTTGACAAGCCCTTTATTACCGAATTCCTTTCAATCCACATCGACTTGTTCATGCAACAATACTGACACTGCAGATGACAAGTCAATGAACTTTTCAAGAAATCATGCAATCTTACACCCACATCACAATAGACCTGTAATTATAAAATTCCTCAAATGCTCACAACAAGAGTGGAATGGAGCTAGCTCTGCAAATTCACAATATCCTCTCGAACGATATTTAAACGAGCTCAAAAACTATTGGTATATGACTTTGAATTCAATTTCACATGGTAGGAGCAATGACAGCTCAGAAGACAAAAAGCGAGACGACTTCTTTTTTAAGATCTATGTAGATCGAAATTTTTACAATTCTCCAGTTCCTGGAAATGGTCATGTTTTCATCATGCTGGTCATGCCCTATTTTGAACATTGTTTGAGCTCAATAATTTCACAGTACAAGCGAATGGACAAGACATTTTCATTGCTAGAAATAATTCAAATTTTCAAGCAAATATTAAGACCAATTTTGCAATTGCATCAACTTGGATACGGTCATCATAACTTAAAACCTGAAAATGTGTTTATAATTCCTCCCTACCATACTCCTCATCATCATTACTATCCATCTACACCTAGAAATAGACCTAACAAATTGAGAAAACAAGGTCTTACGAAAAGCAACCACTCGAATGAATCTTCACCAAGCTCTTTTCAGTCGTCTTCATCAATTCCCACTTACACACCTCTCTCACACATTGGCCAGGAGTATGACATTATTCTTACTGACCCATTTCCTCGAATGAATATTCTCCAACGATCTAATACTTCTCTTATGAACATGAGTGCCATTAGAAAGAGTGTAGCCTCATTCAACGATTTATTGCTTAGTGACTCATTGCATTACAACAATCATCGAAAAAGTATGATGGGCCTTGAACCTCTCTCTCCTCATTCCATTCTCACCCCTTCACCTTCCTCCAATTCCATGTCACCAACCACACAACCTCCTTCCAGTCCTTCAGCCTATAACATCAATAATCCTTCCATCTTCAATTTAACTCTCTCATTGACTTCAACTAAATCCCTCAACGAATTTAAACCCTTTCCAAATAGACATGCTTTTGAGATGAAATCGCTTTCAGAATATTTATCTCCAGAATTTAAAGAATTGCAATCACTCAACAGTGGCAAGAAATACGTGACTATCAAACAATTCTCTGAAAATTTATCGACAGAAAGTGGGTGCGAAGCGGACATGAAGAGCAATTATGAATTACTGTCAACCTCAATCATTGGTGCCACTGACATTTTTGCTCTAGGTATTTTATTTTATCAAATCATGAGCTTGGATCTTACATTGGATTCTCTCGTACATGCCTCTTCAAATCATTCCAAGAGATGTTTCATTAGAGAATCGATCATGATGAACTATAGACAAGACGTGGAGTTTTTGGATTTATACGAAAGACTGATCGATCTGATCACGTATCAAATGCTTGCCGTTCATCCGGAAGAAAGAATTTCTCCAAAAAATTTATTTCTACATTTGGATCAAATAGAGTCGTTCATTAAGAGAAGAGTTATGGTGATTCATTGGGATTTAGATAAAACAACAGCCACCTCTGGCACTGTTGGGAATGCCATGATGACAAACTGCACCAATGTCACTCCCAAAACCCTATTACAAAAATCTACCCTCTCCGCCAATTCTTTGACTTTCAACGCCGAAGAAGCTGAATCCATATTTTACAAATTGATGGTACTTCAGTATGCAGGTGGTGTGAAAAATGCATTACCAGAACTCATGAAGAAGCTTGTTTGCATAAGCTTGTACTCTCCACTGAGAGGTTTTCAATCGCCTTATCAAACGACAGGATCTAGCGATTTTAAAAAGACATCATCCAAAAATGAGTCCATCTCTAACATGATAACACTTACTTCAGTTGGGTCTGAAGATTCTGGTAAATTTTCATTGACCGTTGCTGTTGATGAAATAGACCATGATGATCCATTCTCAATACTCGATCACATTGATTTACAAGGATTTTATCATCCAGAACATGATGTTAAATCTTTGAACCAGTTAGGTTTTTCACCTGAAGTGTTTTCCATGCGGGGAATAGGTTCATGCTTTGGAGCTAGCAAATTTAAAATTGAAAAATTCCTCGAATGTAAGCGCTCTAAGGAGGTTGTGCTTGCTAGTAAGAGGTCACTCAGGAAGAATCCTATTTTTAACAATACTCAACAATATCGAGTGACGTGCATTCCCATTCATTCATGTATGACATTGAATGCCACTCCAAGAACCTTAATTTCCATCGATCCAAAACTTCAAGTTCCATTTTGTGAAGAGTATTCAAGCGATGTGAACAAGTGCATCTCTTCACACGATTCTATTGATTATTATTTTAATGGATACAATATTATTGAGACCATTCTTAATTCATATAACTATTCACAAACCTTATTTCCAGTGATTGAAAAATTCTCCTGGGTTAACATGCATTGTATAGTCGAGCCTGGAAATATTCTTAACTGTACACCGCTTAGCCAATATTTGGCTCTCAAAAAAGAATCCTCCTCTGACATTACGATCGATGATTTAACGCCTTCATACTTGAGTAGCAGCAGCATGTTACTTTCCACGACTCAAGAACATTTGCATTATCTTGACGAAGAGGAATATGTGAAATTACAAATACAATCATTCGTAAAACCTCTTCCGAAAACGCACTCGAGCCCATTCACCACGCTGCAAGTTTGTAATTTTGCACTGCAGCTTACCGAATCCTTAAATTATTTTCATCAATTGGATATTGTTCACTGTAACATTAACACTGAGACTATTTTATTTTGCGAGGAAAAGCTTGTAATCACTGGCTATGATGATTCTCAAGTGAAAGGAACCAAACTCGGTGATCATTCATTCGTTGCACCTGAATACTTTTTTGCTTTACAAAATGGACAAGCTCTTATGATTACTGACAAGCTTGATATTTATCAATTTGGAATTTTATTGATCGAGTTAATTCTTGGCCTCGAATTGGATTCAAGCATTTCCGTGTTGGCCATCACTCAAAACGAAGAGAGATTTGTTAAGGAGTTGGATTTTCAATTCGAGCTTCGAAATATTCCAAAACGAATCAGCTCACTACTCAAGACATGTGTTTGTGCGAATCCTAAAAAACGCATGTCTTCAAAAGAAATGTTGTACGAGTTGAATGAAATTTTAAAAAAGAAGTAATGGTATCTGTATTGTATTCATTGTATTTGTTTTTTACCAGCACATATGAATGGTCCAACCAACTCAAAGAAGAACCAAATACCTTAATGTCATTGATGAGGTTTTTGCTCGTGCCTCCTCAATCATCTGCTTCTTTGTTAACTTGAATCTACCTCCGTATGTACACAATTACAACAATGTGTCCATGAGATTCATGTGACTTGGCAAGAATTTCCAAATTTTGCAAATTTCACGAATCATGACATGACTGTGAATTGTTGGAACGAATCTTCAAACCATGTCACTAAACGTTGAGATATGAGGCCTCAAGAAAAAGATCAACCTTTGGCTCTGTTCTGCCTCTGGTTCGTCAAGTGTATCCTCCTCCAATACAAGACTAGAATGTAGCCATTTCCAAATTGGACATGAAGATTTACAGGAGGATTCATTATTGGAGGCCTCGAGTTACAGTTTTCAAATAACGAACTAAGCTTTGTTTTTTTTCTCTCCATGACGACAAGGCAACGACCTTATCACAAAAACAATCATACCTTTCCCAAGAGATACATTGCTAATCTCAATATATTGAGCATAGATTCACTCGGATTGGAAGGCGAATTTACGAGTGCTCTTTTACTTGTCACGATTCGTTCCTGCATGGTTTACACTTGTACATGTCCCATCCACGTCTAACGAATCATTATGAAAAACAGGCTAACGTTTGACATGACAAAATGCGAAGCCAGTCATCCATCACGAAGTTGAGAGAATGAGACACTGACAATTTTTTTCATTTTCTCTCATAATAAAAAAAGGACGAAAACCTCCCTGCAGAACATTCTCCCACGAAAAGCCTTTCGTTACTGCTCTGTTCCAAGAGTTGTCCAAAATTTGAACCATTGAATATCAACGTATTCCCCAATTCAAGACGATGAAGAAGAATAAGAGACTTTTTCAATTATATGCCAATAATTTGCAAGTAGGACAACAGCCTGCTTCAACGACTTTAACCCTACCAACAACAACTACGAGTCCTCTCTCTTCTACGACATCTTCCTCACCTCTTCAGGGAGCATGTACCTCTCCTATGAATTCAGAATCCAATACGATGAGAACGCCCAATACTTCTTCACCTTCCTCAAGATATTCACCTCCTCTTTCTCCTCAGCAGCCATCTCATAACATGGTACCAAGCCAATTTTCTCTGACTCCTATGAAAACCTCCATTTCAGCCTCCTCTCCAATACAGATTCATAATTCTCCTCTCATGAACTCCAACTATCGAACGATACCAGTAGGGATTAACAACAATCAACATTCAACCACTACAAATATGGCCGTTCCTTTGCATCATTATGTACCAAGCGGATACAGCCAAACAGCAACAACAATGACCACTATTACTCGAGGTTGTTGTCATATACCTGGAGTCATACATGTTTCTCCTTCCTCTCCAAAACAACAACAACAACAACAACAACAACAACAAGGATCCATGACCCCAACAACAACAACACTGATCAATTCCATACCTTGTAAATACGAATCTAACCCCAACAATAGATCTTGTTTTGATCAGATACAGCCCATGTCGACAACAAACAAGATCTCATCCATAATATCCACTCCAACTCTAACCAATCATCATTCACAGAGTGTTGATACTGGTAAAGCCTCACACAATGGTTCAAAAAGCATCATGTTGAGTAAGGCTGAACAAGAAGAAATGCTGTACCGAACGTTATGGTCTCACATGGAGAGTCATACCTCAACATCTCAAAGCCAGACGTCACTATCTAAAATTGTGAAACCCTCAGCAACCACCAATTCTCACTTTAAACCTAAACGAACCAAAATTTCAATTACCGAACTGTTGTGTTAAATTGATCCAGGCACGACCAATCATGTGAATAATAGTAAGATACAAAATAGTAAACACTCGAACACAATTTTGCTTTTAAGCTTCTTAAAATTTGACTAAATTAAGCTCAAAAAATGCGTCCATCACAAAACCATCACGGAAGTAAGAAGATCAAGCGATCAACTTCTTCTCCCTTTTCATCATCATCACCTCCCATGTTTCAAGACGTTTCCGATCATGATGAAGATGGAGATGAAATCATTGATATGACTTCGGAACAAGAAGGATCCAATAATAATAATAATAATAATAACAATAATACAACATCATCAAATCCAATCATTGAGGAAAGTCATTTGGAACCAAAAACGAGAAGGAGAAGTAGTAGTGGAGGAAGCTCTTCTGGTGCTAGACATCGTAGACATCACCATGACGATCATCAGCCAAGTCATGGCGTAGGATTTGAAGAATTGAGCGACGAAGAAGAAGAGGATGAAGATGAAGACGTTGAAGTAATTGACAATTCAGATTATAGCCACAAAGAACCCCATCATTTCCATTCGGAAATTCAAGAGTCAAATCAACAACGACAAGTACAATCTGCACGTCCTTTTCAAATCGAAGAACAATTAGAGCATGAGGAAAGTGAAGGAGAAGATGAGGAAGGCAACCGATACACACGAACCACCAAAACATTTGAATCACCTCAAGGAGGTTTAAAAACCACAACCACTCGTAAAGTGATTGATAAAGAGGGTCGTGTAATTTCCACATCCACCTCAACGACATCCAAGTCCAACAGTGGTAATATTCCAGTTTATGTAAAAAGGCAACAGCAGGTTTCTTCACATCCAGGTGGTGGTGGCGTCACTTCATCAACAGTTTCCTTTTCATCTTCATCCGGTTCAGCACCTCCTTCCATGATTCATCATCAATTTGGCTCTAATGGCAATGCAGGTGGTACCATGATGAACGTATTTGACTCGAATAATATTGCCAATCCATTTGCAAATGATCCATTCTTTTCACGTCCTTTTGGAAGCTCCATGTTTGCAAATGATCCATTCTTTTCAAATCCATTTGGTTCGATTATGGAGCAGCATAGAAACATGATGAGATCATTCCAACAGCAACAACAACAATTCTTTCAGCAACCATTCTTTCAACAACAACAACCTCAATTTTCCAACCAATTTATGAGCTCTCAACAACCAAATCAGCAGCAACAACAATTCTTTAGCCAACAAAATGCAGGACAATTTGTAAATACGTCTAACTTTAATCCTCAGCAACAGCAACAACAACAGACTAGACAGCAACCTTACGGCCAATAATGTACATAATATCGAGCTGCTCTTTCGTGTTGTGTATTATTAATAATTAATAACACTACAGTCTGACTATCATTGATTCATTGCACTTATTTTGTTAAGCATAGACTAAATGTGAAGGATTTATTTATCGACTCACTATTTTCCAATTTGTTACATGGATTTGTAGGGACTCACAAATAACATAATCGTATTATTGTGTATATTTTCCTTAATTTAAGGGTGAACTTTTAAACAACCAGAAAAATCATTAACGTTTGAAACATGAGAATGGCTAGCATTGTAAGTACTGTAGCTTGGAATATTCTGTTATAAAACAGTCTCTTTTCTAATCTGTGAAATTTCCGTTTCTTCGTCACATCTTGATGTCTCTCTTGAGGCGTATCAATTTCATCACTTGTTGGCACGACTGTTGGATGTGAATTCTCGTCTTTTTCGTTACCGCAAGGTACAGTAGGTAAATTTGCCGGTTCAGTTTTTGAAGTGTGTAAAGTAGGAGGCACACCTGATTGCTGGACCTGCTCCTCATCGTGATTCTTCTTGGAAATTGTTGAAGAAGGGGAATTAGTTGGACATGACTTGATTGAATTGTCCTGAGGATGATTCGAAACATACTCCCAACACTTCAAGCTTGGACCTGACGACTCGAGTGTTTGTGTGGCAACGGTTGCTGTGGCAGGACTTGTATTTAACACATTCTCACTCGGTGGTGACTGTGCCTTATTGGTTGTTTCAACAAGAGATGCATCATGATGATGATCACACACCAGGGGACGATTGGCATTCCAACACCATTGCATCAAGAGAGTCCATGAACGAACCTTACTCATGACCAACATGCACAACCAAAACACAAACCATTCAATCCATCCCATCCTAATTTCATTATTTCTCACTCGATGACAATTGAGAATGATTTGTCTCAGTACCACCATACTTTGATGATACAATTCATGATGAATTGACTCATAATCCTGTAAACCTTCATAATTCAATGGTTGATGATGCAAATGTGAATTGGAACGACTCGCTCCACTCATTCCAATGGTGAGAATGTCAAACGATCTCATGCCCAATGCTTGTGCAATTTCTTGTTTTTTCATTTCAATTAGTTGTTGAACTGAAGTGGTGGTAATTGGTTTGTGAAGATCGAGCGCTTGTGTATGTGAATAAGTTTGGTGGTGATGATGATGATGATGATTCGGTGCCATGAAAGATCCATCCAACATATCTGCCTTTGTGGCTACAATCAAGTAAGGAATGCTTCTTTCATCCAAACTTTGTTGAATATGTTTGATCAATTTCAATTCGAGAGATGTACACATGAGAGGAATGGTCAACACAATCAAATGATGATACTCTCGTTGGATCTTGTTATACGATCTTCTATTCTCGAAAAACATATTTGAGAATATGGTTTGAGAGCTCTCATTCTCTTCAAAGCTTCCAACGAAATCATCCTCTCCATATGTTCCCATATATAAGGCTGATAACATTTCAATGTATGTGGAGAGTTGATTTTCGTTTTTCACACCAGGCATATCAGAGAACATGAAAGGGAAAGTTAGAGTGTCATTGCTCTGTTCGGCGTTTGCACTCTTTCTCACACGCAATGGAACTGAATCTTGAACGAGACATCGTGTACGAGTGGTGTGATCTAAATTCTTAAAGATGGGAAGAGAGTAGCATTCACCATCAGAATCTGCAGTCAGTTTGGAATTATTTTCAACAGCATGATTTCCGAGAGGTGCCTTAATCGAGTGTTCATTCTCAAAATTCATGACCGAGAACAATAGAGATTTGAGTTGTGATTTTCCACTTTGGCTACAACCTGCAAGTACAATATTGTATCCTCGTGAGACATGGGTCTGATTCTGATGATCGTATCGTGTTTGATTGGCTTCAAGTCGAGATAATAATTCATTTCGAATTTGTTCTCTCACCTTCTCAATGGACCAGTGTTGTGTGGAGGAAGAGGTGTGACCAGTGGTTGATGTTGGTACATCCATACCTACATGATGAATGGATTTTCCATGAATATGGCCATGATGATGATGGTGTCCATGCAAGTGACCATTCGATTCAAATGGCAAATTCGAGGCTGAGCTCGAAGAAGTAACAGCTGTTGGTCCACCATTCGAAGCATGGCGATGATGATCTAAAAACAATTCCTCAGATATAATTTTAGGAGTTTCACATAAGGGATGTTTCAACAAGTCCTCTCCGACACTTGCTTGATGTGCATCGAGAAGAGTAGATGAATGGCCATGGTGTGACGACAACAGTGGAGAGGTTGTAGGTGACTCGGAACTTGAATTTGAAATCTTTTCAAGCATGGAAAATTCTTCACTACTTTCAGATTCTCCCTCTCCCACCATGGAAGTGAAAGCAATTGTATTTCGAATATTGTTTTCGAATGGTTCTTCACTTAATATGGTATTAAGGGGTTCAAAGCTAGTTTGATCGTGTTCAGCTGGAGCACACAACGATGCGTCAGCAGCTTGTTTGTCCTTCTTTTTAGGGGACGCTTCTCGAGAGGATTCCATTTGTGACAATTCTTGAGTCAAGTCTTGACGATTCGAACCTTGTGCATTTTTGTACAATTGCTTTAGAATAACTTCCTTCATGCACGTCATTCGATAACGATGATCACTATCTTCATCAGGTGTACTTTCAAAACAACGATTAAGCTTGAAATCATCGACGTCGTTCGTGTTGTTATGAAGATGATTGTTGTGTGGTCCGGTGACAGACTGGTCATGTTCATTGAATGAATCCTCATCCATTCTCGAGAAAACACGTCGACGACGCCTACGACGAATATTATTCAATGTGGTTGCACCAGTAAAGTTGTGATCGTCATCATTAAGATCGTCGTTTTCCACACTATTGACCATGACATAACCGTCCGCCGTCGTTGACAATTCACTCGAATCATTATTTGAAGAATGAAACACGTCCGAAGAAGGAGTTTCTAGTTGTTGTGAAACGAGTAGAGGAGAATTTTCCAAATCTTCATCACTGCTACTCAAGTCATTCCTGGAAGTATGAAGGATATTATGAGTGAAAACAGAGAATGGAAGGTTCAGAGTCATGGGCGATGAGGATTCCTCAAGGTGTGAATTCTGTTCTTGGTGATTGTTCTTGTGCGCTGCAGAAGCAGAGGGAAGAACACGAGACCTCATTGCTGCCGGAAACACTTGTTTTTTTGGATAATCTGATTTTGTTTTAGTGTTGACAAGAAGGTTTTGGTCCAAAGAACAACGATATCTTTACACAAGTGGGTTCTTGATGATGATCAATTGAATTGTTTTTAATATTCACAGAGTAGATGCTCGTTTGCTGATTATAGCTCTCCACATGGACCTCCACAGAATGGAATTTGACAAGAATCTGAAAATGGAATTTTACTAAAAGAACCTTAATCCTTTCGTTGTAACAACTTTGCTGAAACACAATTTCGGAGCTTCTAAACTCCCGAGACGAGGGCGAGAAATACGAAGGCGAAATGAGAAATTTTTGGCAAATTTTGTCTGTTCTTTTCCAAAGCTTTCTTTGCTCTTCCATCAAATTTCAAAGAATCATCAAAAAAAATGCTTCGTCTTGTTGTATTTGTGAAATTCTTTCAAATTCTTTCAAATTTGTTCGGATTCTGTTAAATTCTTTTAAATTCCATCGGATTTTATGGGCAAGACATTTCAAAGTCTTTATTACTATATCTCGTCCAATTTAAGTTGCAAAAAGCACCAACAACTACCCATCGCATATGAGCAATGCGTAATACTTCAGTTTTGCTTTGGGTTTTGATTCTAATTCGTTCTTTGCAAGATTTGAATATCTTGATTTCCCTGAACTTATTTTCTACTCTAATACGAACACTAGAGAAAATTTTGCGCAAGGATGGGTCGTCTGGAGGAGTAATTACACGAGGAAGCCCTTTAAAACCACTGTCGCCAAAAATGAATTCTGATGCATCCATTTCACTCAACCAATGAGAAGAGGTTTTGTTGAACAATTCATTATCATTAACTCTTCCTGGAAAACAAGGCGAAAGATATCCAATATGGCCAGAAGGAGTCATTGCCATCAGGATTGTGATGCTGTGTTGGTTTTTTTTTGCAGAATAGAATTCAAAATCCAAAATTGCGGAATCACAACAAAATGCAGGCTGTTCTGATCCGTCTATTATTATGGTAATCAAATGCTTAAAATATTCTTCACTATTATCCATTCTGAATTGCAAGGTTTGCATACATATATAACGTTTTAGCTCGATATACAACCAATCAAGAACTCTAATTCTTATAGTGGTTATTGCTCGTTTTTCAATTTGAAAAATGCAACTTAAAAATTGGTCCGTACAATATTGCCGCAAATGTGTAAGTGTTATCATAATTTCATCTTCCACTGGAATTTCTATTGGTCTTCCTAACGCATTGAGTCGTGTTTGCTTTCTCAATTGGATTAATTCATGAAAACCTTTTTCACATATTCCAGTAATTTTATGAATTACATTGCAATCAATGACATACTGAGTGAAATTACCTTCGAAAACATGAGGAGAATTTGAAATATTAGAAAAATTTATTTTTTGATCAACTTACTTGGAGTGGTATGAGTTTCAATTACATCATGCTCACATTCATCATCCGTTTCACTTTCATCAATAATTTGATCTTTGGTTCGTTTTTTGGATGATCTGTTAGTTACGGATGAATTGGGGTTAGTTTTTTTCTTTTTACCTGATTTATGGGAGCAATAATGGCGAACCAAGTATTTGATTAAGTGAGAACCTTTACAGAAAAAAATATTAGACTCGGTTTGACCTTTTTTTTCCTTAATGTAAAGGGTTCCCTTACAAACAGCGCCACACATTGAAGAAGAGTCAACATTTTTACAACCACTACACATAACGTCTTCAATAGCATTCTCTTCATCAGATTCTCCATCAAGAATTGACTGCTTTGAATCATTGGTTGAAATGACCTCATCATTGATTTTGTCAATCATTTCAGCCAATCTTTTATTCTCAGTGTTGTCCAGAGCATGAGATTTCTTGCATAGTATTAGTGTTCGATATTTTCCGACGTAAATTTTGGGGAATCCTTTGGCAGCCGTACGGATGGTGCAACAAATACATTCTTTACCGCTAAGTTTATCAGGATGAAGCTTTGGAGAGACATCTTCGCTGAAAGTCCCTAAGGATTGTGTTTGAGACATTGATCCCAATGTCGCTGGAGCCGTTACAGACCTTCTTTTATGGGGAGTGGTTGAATTTTGTATTTTGTGGAGAAAATCACCATCATGTGTCTTTATTCCTTTACATATCAAACATGTGCACAGTGGAATCTCTTCATTGGCAACACATGACTGATGATAGCATTTGGGAATGTGACGATTGAACGTTAATGCATCAATGTTGGTGTTGCAAATAGGACAATTTTTCTCCATGGTGTGCTGCTGTTTTTTTATCTGTTTTTGACTGAGGATTCCGTTTGCTTCTTCACGTTTTATGAATTTCCGTTCAAATTTTCGGAATTTTGCAAAACTGATTGGAAATACCGAGAAAGAGGCTGAAGCATTCGGAAAGCATGGTAAAGTTATGAATTGTCTAAAATTTTCTGGTGTTTTTGCAATTTCCTTCGTATTTCTTTCCCATACCCCCGAGCCTCAAAAACTCCTAATTCACTTTCCAAACAAAAAAAAATAGCGACCATCTCTTTCTCTCATTCCGAAGCCAACAACAAAAAGAAGAACATCAACAACCACACGATGAAAACACACTACCTAAAAACCACTCCCTTCTTCTTCCTCCTGCTCGTCCTCCTTCTAATAACCGCCACTAATAGATGTAGCTCTCTATCACTCTCGGAGGATCCTCTGGTTCATGATGAAGCCTTCATTCAACTCATTAACAAGTACGCAAAAACATGGCAAGCAGGTAAAAGTAAATTCTTTGAGGGTAAACGTTTGAGTCATGCTAGAAGACTCATTGGTGTTGGTTTACCAACTCCCGAGCAACGAGAACGTCTTTCCAAAAAGGATTTGATGGAATCTTCTTCTTCTTTGGAAAAGTATTTGGTCAAGATGGATGCTTTACCTGATGCTTATAATGCTGCTAATGATTCTAATTATGCCATGTGCCAACAATTGCATAGAATTAGAAATCAAGAACAATGTGGTTCTTGTTGGGCATTCTCAATTTCTGAGGTAAGTCATTGGAAAAGTTGAATTGGTGATTGAGCGCTGTTTCATTATTGGGTGACATGACCAAATGAATTATTGGAACGCAATTGTGAATTTGTAATGGTTTTTTTGAATTGTTTATGGACCTATTTCATTACGTTGATGGTTTATCCATGGCTAATGAAAAATTGGAATGAAATTTGACTGAAACTGTTTTTGAAATTTGTGTGGAAAAGATGGTTGCTGATCGTTTTTGTATTGGAACGGGAGGTAAAATTAATACCATCATGTCACCACAATGGATGGTGAGCTGTGATACTGCTGACAATGGATGCAATGGTGGAGAATTCCCATCTGCTTTCCAATTTGTTGAAACCACTGGTTTGGGTAAGTGTCATTAATTTCCAAATGAAGTCATTTGACAAAATGACAAACCATTTAAATGACCACAACACTCAGTTTCTGATGGATGCGTTCCATATCAGTCTGGAAATGGATTTGTTCCACCATGTCCAAATAGTTGCGTCAATGGCGAAGATATTAATACGAGATATAGAACAAAGAATTCTCGAAATTTTGATGTCAGTGATATGAAATCAGTTCAAGCTAGCATACTTGCTAAAGGACCAGTGATCTCAGGATTTAAGGTTTATCGTGATTTTTATAACTATCGATCTGGAGTGGTAAGTGTTGACCAACCATGATGTTATTAAATTCACACCATTGACAATTTTATGGAATTTCTCACAACACAGTACAAACACGTTGCAGGAGGTCTTGTTGGTGGTCATGCAATCAAGTAAGTATAGTTGGATTGGAATGGAAACATATTTTTCAAATTGAATTGCAAACATGATAGGGTTGTGGGTTGGGGTGTTACTCAATCGAATTTACCATATTGGATTGTTGCCAACAGTTGGTCTGAAGAATGGGGAATGAATGTAAGTAGTAACAATTTTCACTTAATCAAAATGATGGATCACAATATATTCAAAAAATTTTAGGGATACTTTTGGATTTTGAGAGGAACCAACGAATGCTCAATTGAAGAAAACATGTGGGAGACTCAAATCAATGTTTGAGAGCTTGTTTCTAACTTGTTTCAATTCATCCACACCCAATAAATAATTTAGGTAGAATTTTGACACACGAGTTTTTGCATTTCATCGATGGAAATGTTTCTAAGGTATACTGAGAGGCAAATGTTATTTAAAGCTTCATTGTATCTAAACATGGTTTATTTGAATCAGTGAGAATTATAATTTTGTTTTTTTTGTTGAATAATCAGAGCCTTCAGAGGTCAAGTCAGCATTTTCATCAGTACCACACTCCTTTCGTTTCAATGATCCTGGTTGTGGCTTGGTCTTTTTCTTATCCATTTCTCGCTTGGTTTTACTTCGTGACCAAAGGTTATCTGAGCGATACAAAATTTGTCCACTCAACGCATCGACAATCACCATAAAGATGATTTTCTTTGGAGCTGTTTCTCCCTTTTTCTTTCGCTCCACTATTGAGGGATCTTTGAGAATGATCTTTTCCTTTCGCTTTCCTCTTTTTGAAGTGTTGTCTCTCTTAATTGGCACTCGGATTTGGTTCATGGATTGAGTTGAATTGGTCACGTTGGTAGACATCATTTCTGAAAATTCCACAACTGTCACATCTTCCAAATCGGAAATATTTGTGGCAAAACCACTTTCCTTATCATTTCCAAGGTAGGCCCTTAATTGAATTTGAGTGTTTGAAAGGAATTGAGAGTGCAACTTTGGTAAATGAATTGTAATTTCATCATTGACAAACACACTATGAGTGGAGCCTCTTGGTTTGTGTGTAGTATTGCGAGTGAAACCAGGCTTGCATGTCATTTCCAATTGATCAGGAGCTACTTGAGTGAACCAATGACGAAATTCTTCATTTGAGCTCATTAACGACTCTGCCGAATAATTATATGACAAGATTTTGCTCATTTTAGGCTCTCCTTCTATCCAAGATTGTGGCTGTGTTGATACTGGAGAGGAGGCAGTGCTTGTGACAGAGTCTAAGGATGCTGCTCTGGTGGGTATCATCAAATTGGTGAGCATGGTTGGAGCAAACACGAAATAACTATTAGATGGATCAATAATGGAGGCATCATTGAGTAACATGCTGAAATCAATATTGTCCACAGCAGGTGTTTGAGTTGGAATTGAAGGAATGACAAATTGTGGCATTGTGTTCCAACATGGTTGTGTGGTGGTGGTAGTTGTCACAACTGTGGAAGTGCTGCTTGTGGTCAATGTATTGGTCAATGACATGTCATTGTTAGTGGCAGCAGGACATGCACTCGGAAACATGAGGTCAGGATCTACTTTCATATGAGAGGTCTTTGGTGTTGTAGGTGGGGTGGTTCGACGAAGAGTGTTGGTAGAAGTTGATGATGCTGTCTCGGTGCTTTGATTGAAAGCAGTGAAGAAGGACTCAATATCATCAAGAAGGAATGGTGATGGCTCTGAGGTATTGAGGGTGTTGTTGGCAGAGAGATCTTGATTCATGAAGGCCGAGGATGGAGAGGAATCCATGTTGAGGAAATCCCACATTTCGTTTTGAGACATTTTTCAATGATATTTCGAGTGTTCTTCTACTAGTTGTTGGAATTGTAATCAAGCTAGCTGGTTGGTTTGAGATAGCTTGTACTGATGTTCACATAAACGTTGTGTTGTTTTTTTCATATTGTTTCAATGCAAATACCAATTTTAAATCATGATTCAGAGTTCAAGGGTGCTGTTCCGCTGGGAAAGTTCAAGCGAGCTAAAAATAGTTCCTAAATTGGCTTTTGAAAACTTTCAAGTTCCCAGAGAAGCAAAATGACAAACAACAAGGAACTTGCTGAAGGGCGAGTTGATATTTCAGAACATGCCAAGCTAATCTTGTTGTTGATGCATGACAAAACATTTGGCGTCTTTGCACATCTTTACAATATATTCGGTCGTATTAGGATTGGATAGGTTCGGATTGAAAATGATTTCACCAATAACAAACAATTCTGTGGTGAAGATTGAAAGGAAGGGAAGTGTCATGTTCCTTTGCGACAGCTGTTCATATTGAGAGTGTTGTGTTGATGAATGACCAATATTGTCGTTCCCATGTTTTGGAGTATTGGATGGTAAGAATGACATTTTCATCATTTCAATGTTATCATGGTCCTCGAGATCACACAGAATTCTTTCAAATTGAGCTCGCATCTTAAATTTTAACTCGTTCTTGAGTGGAGACGATGTACCAAGTAAAATCTTGATCAATGAAAGCCATTCGGTCACGCATGATATTTCAACAGAGTTCAAGAGTTGTTGTAGGAATTTTTCATTACCAAGAAACGGGCCTAGCATTGAAAAGAATTGTTGAGGTGTTGGACTCATCATGTACAAATAGTTCAAGTATATAATAAAGGAAGGATTGTACTTGCAATTGCTTCCCTCGGCAGTAGCAATGCTGAGCTGATCACCAATGACAGATCTCACGATAAACTCGTTCCACATGACCTGTGAGAGAACTGATTTCGATTTTGGTCTAGAACACTCGAGCATGTACAGTGTTGACACCGAGTTGAGTGCAACGGTTTCTTCATTTTGCTGATTTGTATTGTTCATAACACAATTTCATTTCGAATAGGTCAGTTTTGAGAGTCCATTACGAGATACAACTTACATTAACAATGTTGTTGAGTAAGGAGTAAACGAGAGAATACTTCCAAACTTGACACTTTTCTTCGTATTCCAACTTGGAGCAAATGGTACAAAGCGCTGTTGAGGCCATTAATCGAATGAGTGGCGAGTGATGATTGAGGCCATGTATTTCTATTAATCGTACATGTAGCAAAATTTTCACGTTCACATTACTAGCGCTCTTCATTGTCATGAAAATACAAGTCTGCAGTTGGAGGATAAAAGCCAAAATCTTTGTGTCGTGCATGGTCTTTCTCTCCGTTAGCGTTTGTGTTTGGGAGGTGTCTCCACAGAGATCCAAACGTTGAATAATATTCTCAACACACACAACAACTTTGGAAAGATTATTGGTAATGTGAAATGAGATGCTGTTGCTAGAATTCGAGTTCCGTTCTCTGGCAAAGAGAAACAATAAAAAGCTGATCATATTTCCCACAGGAATGCTACATGGCCATAAATCATCTTCACGCAACGATACAGCTTGAAACAGTTTAAGCTCCATCTGAAATAGGGAGATTAATTGAGTATTAAGAGCTGTCGAAAATGGAACATTAAGATCAGCTCTTGTCAACAGTGTTGGTAAGAGTATGGAAATTTTCTCACATAGTCTACATATTTCTGTCGTTTCAGATTCTTTCTTCAAGGAAATGTAACAATTGCAAAGAATTGGTTCTACGATGTGCTGTAATAAAATTGTAATCTCTCTCTCGCTGATATGCAACTCTTTGGTGAAGTATTCGTGAAACAAGCATAGATATTGCATGGAATGGTTTTGATGGTTGAACTGCTTGTCTGAGGAAACCATTTGAATTAGAGCCTGAAAAACGTCCAGACCTGCTTCCCGCAGCAATGAAATACCACTAATAGACCTTGCATTTCCAGCCAATATCACGTTCGAAATGAATGCCAGTGTAACACCTGGCAAGGCCATTTCGTGATGTCTAGCAAGCCACCGTACAATACAAGCAGCATTTGTGACTTCAACTTTTGGTAAATTGGAAGAGGCTACTTGTAGATACCATGACACTATCAGTTGTGCATGAGCCGAAGAGCTTCTCATATCATATTCAGTACATAGATAGGCAAACAGCTCACAATATTTTAACTTGCATAGAAGAGAAATGCCTTGACAGGATGGCGCATTCTCAGCAAAGATTGTGAGCAATGAATGAGCTTGCTTATGCTCAATAGGTTGTTCTCCATTGAAAAAACTGGCGTGCATAAGCACTATAATACATTCCAATATGACCAAAAAGTGGTCGTTGGAGCTCTGCGTCCTACTTCTACAAGTCATGATATTTCTCAAATATTCAAAGTCCAAACCAATGTCCTGAACAAATGACTCGAGTTCTATCGAATTTCTTTCACATAAGCGTAGAGTGTATAATATTTGAAGAGCAAGTACTTTAAAGTTTTGTACTAACTGCATGTCAGATGAAGAACATTGGAAAAGTAATGAGAGAACCTTCTTCTCCATTAATTGCTTTGCCAGTGCGGTGTTGTTGCTGTGTTGTGTTTGGAGTCTCGAAATGATGTAACGAATGCATGCGGAAAACACAGAGCTCATGGTGCTTTGCAGTGACATGAACATGGTCACACTAAAACAATTCAATAAAATACTTTCCATCTTGTCAGAAAATGCTTGTAAGCTCACATTTTCATATCCAATCAAGCACATCGAAAGGAATTGCAACAAAAATTCCTCATGGGTTGTGTCAAATTCGGCTTTTGACATTAAAATCTTGAAAATTTCAAGCATTTTGCTGAAAAAGGGGTTGATATCAATTTGATCACTTTTCTGTTGAGGAAAGTCGACAAGGAAATATTTCAAGTATTCATTCAATGTTTTCATGAGACTGATGGTCGTCTCTTGTGAAATGATGTGAGGTATGACTTGTTGTTGTTCGTTTTTCAGTACCGACAACATGGAGGTGGCACAGAATGTACATTGAGAAATAATCTTGGTAAAAAGTTGAGAGCTACAACTCTGTTCCAATTCCTGATGCATCACAAAAGATTCTGAAGAGAGGAAACATCTCTTTGTAATTTTTAGTATCGAGTGCATGATGCACAGTGAGTGTTCATCCATATCATTCGTAAAAGTACATGACGGTGAGAAATAAATTGTAAAGGTATCAATTCCTAATAAAATAATCTTTTGAATAAAGGCTTTGGAAATCCATGATTCATCCAATTCCAAACTTTGATACTCCACAAAGCAACACAATATCGAGAGTAAAGTTTCACTCAATAACGAAGATTGGCTTTTACGCAAGCATTCAAAAATAAAATCACAAATATCCGAGTTCATAAAGCTTGTTGTGAAATGGTTCAATGACGCTTGTGGGTTTTCATTTGTCGTACTACCTATATTGCATAATAGCAAAATAATTTTCGCTGTAAGCAATTGAATATCAATATTGGGAGAGAGTATGACTGAAATTAGAGAGTCAATCAAAGTATCCGTTCGATCAGACAATACTGAGACTAGTGGATATTTTTCATTCAAAGCATGAGGAAAAGAGCATTTTTCAATGAGGCCATACAGAACTGCAAGAGCATTCATATGCATGTCTTCAGAGTCATGTTTAAGCAAGCAATTCAAGAGGGAAGTTACAAATTCCACAGACTCAAATGAGCCAAGCGAGAGCTTTTGCATGTCAAGTTGTAAATATTTGGTCATGATAAAAAGTGAAGTCGTTTTCTTTTCTAGAGTAGTTTGAGTTAGTGAGGAGGTATCCATATTACCATCCGTGAAATAGTTGATACAAAGTGCAAGCATTACGTTCAAGCATTCCATAAATTTTTCGACTGTCATGACTTTTTGAATTGTCTCTTGATGTACACCATGTAGAGCAGTAAATAGTCCACAAACAAAATGAAGCCAGCTTGATTCGAGAACATGGTCCGATTTGTGTTGAAACGTTAACTGTGAATCCATATTTGTCAATGCCACGTATGTTAACCAAGTATGAGCAATAGCATGAATAAGTTATAGTCATATAATATGACTCAAAGAACTAGATAAATACTCACCATTTGTGTGATTTGTGGCAAATTATTCAATACAAAATCATGGCTGGAATGTTGAAAGAACAGGTCAATGACCTCGCTCAACAACTCTTGATCCACGTTCTTGTGTTGCGCTGGTTCTGGATCTCCTTTGTTGAACCCTGATTGCAAAGTCCAAACTGGTGTTGTGTCCATGAGGGTTCCACTGTTACTATTATTAATGTTACTATCCAACATTCTTAATATCCATGACAATAATACGGAGGACATACTGGCGATATTATTGAGCCATACCTCAGAGCCATTCGAATTTTCCTGAGAGTAGCCTTTGTAAGGCTGACTTGTGCCAAATGATTTTGAATTCGTGGTCATCATTACGGAAGATGATCGTGTGGTTGGCTGCTGAGGCAACTTTTCCAATGCAAGCCTAACTATTTGCAATGCTTTGACTCGTCGGAGCGAGAGTTGGGTTTCATCAAATATAAACTTCAATGCACATTCCAAACAAAGGGTACAAGTCTTTGGAGGATATTGATGATGATGGTTGAATGAGCTGCCGTGTTGAGTCCAAGAAGAACTAGTTCTCATAAAAGGCATGTGGGAAGTTGTTATTGATTCCGATGATGATCCCATGGAAAGGAATACTCCTTCTGGGTGATGACCACATGAATATTGTTCAGAACTACCAATGGGAATAGAAGCCAACTTGGTGTTTCTAAAATACATTTGTGCTGCTAACGGATCTAAAGGCTTATGACGTCGTTAGGGTTTTGTTTTTTGTGGAACAACACTGACACCACCAAAGCAAGGCTTGCTGATGATCATCTTCAAACAACTGTTCAAAGAAAGACTATTTTTTGAAACAAAATGATGCACTTGAACAAGCAAGAGAATGGTGCAAAACCATGTTCGTGAAGCGTGGCTGTACTTTCCTAATGCTACTTTTGGGAGATGATCGAGATGATAATTTCATTTACAAGTAGCATCATGAAACATTAAAGAAAAATGTTACATCCCTCGAAAAGCGATGATTCCTTTCTACAACAACAACACAAATCAAGAACCAACAATCATCATCATTTAGAAATACAAAGCAGTAGCAGCAGTAATAATATAATTCGTTCCAAGAACAATAGTCATGATTTGGCTCGCACTACAGAATTGTATGACATGATTAATATTTCATCGGGTGATGAAGACTTTGAGAGTAATGGTTCTTTGAGGGAGAATAATGAGGATCATGAGAATGGATCAAATGGTCGCTCAAGCTCTTCTTCCAGTTCCACTCTCTCTGATTTGGCTTGTACATCCTCAATCCCTTATACCATCGAGAATGAGGAACGTGCTACAGCAAACACAAACAACAAAACATCAAACGTTTCTTCTGGGCATACATCATCGTTAGCTGCCACACCGAGACGAGAGGCACCTACTGAACGATTTAAGGATCACTTCTCCCTCCATCAAGGATCGTTATTGAGCTCTCCTAAAGCAAATCAATTGTTGACATCGTCACCACGAAACACTAGTGCTACACCAAGAATTGCCCTCTCTTCATCACTCGGTACTTCTCCAAGAGGCTCCTTCAGAAACACAGCAAGTGTCTCAACCTCTTTTACTGAAATGTCACCAAGGTTAAGTTCTTTGCCAGCCATCTCAAACACAGAAATTCCAATCACGTCAACAGAACAGCACGTTAACCCAATCACTACACACAGCTCATATAAGGGAAATTTATTGTTTGATGCTTCTTTTGAATGCGGAAATTTGGAACGAATCGTTCGAGTGGATGAAAACGAGTATGATTTATACATTCGAGGTGACACCAATGCACCAAACAAAAAGATGTGGTTTTATTTCAAAGTTTCCAACGTTTATAGGAATCAAAAAGTCCTCTTTACCATTACAAACCTTAGTAAGAACAAATCATTATATAGGCAAGGAATGACGCCACTTGTATCAAGCACGAGCCGACCCAAGTGGCAACGAATACCAGAGAAGCAAGTGTATTATTATAGAAAACCTCCAAAGTATGAAAGAATGGCAACTACAGGTACTCACTTTCTGTCATGGGTATTTGTATTTGACAACGATGAAGATGAATATTTCTTTGCCTATTCTTACCCTTACTCATATACAGATTTACAAAAATTTCTCTCATTTATTGAATATCAGGGATTTAATTATTTTCAAAGAGAGGTGCTATGCAGAACAGTTCAAAACCGACGGTGTGACATACTCACCATTACAAGCCCAGAAAATTTAATCTCTGATCCTTCACGAAGGAAACGAGTGGTCATGGTGACGGCGAGAATACATCCTGGAGAGACGCCAGCAAGTTATGTATGCCATGGTTTTATTAGTTTCATTGTTTCCAACCACCCAATAGCACAGTTATTGCGCGATCATTTAATATTCAAGATTGTACCCATGTTAAATCCCGACGGTGTTGCAATTGGAAATTATAGAACATGCAGCATGGGTTGGGATTTGAATAGACACTGGCTGAATCCTCAAGAGTGGTCACAACCAACCATTTTTCACCTAAGAAAATACTTGTTGAAATTGAAAAATGATCCTCAATATCAAGTAAGTAGAAATTTAATGGCATTATATTCGTAGTTAATGGAAGAGCCTGATCAAGATTGACTTTTTTATGGATCTACATTCGCATTCTGGAGCTAATAATGGATTTATGTATGTCAATTATAATAATGGACCTACATTTAAAAACGCTACAACATTTGGCACTTTTAGTGACATGGAACAATTAAGGTATCCCAAGTTACTAGATCTTCGTGCAAAAGAATTTTCAATGAGCGATACGAAACGATGTAAGGATCCTTCAAAATTAGGTATGTTTTTTTCGACTCTTGCTGTATTCAACCCCTTATTAATTGATGAACATGTTTTCATTATGTTCAACAATTTTGAAAACAGGAACATCACGAAGAGTATTAGGTGAAGTATTGAGGGTTGCTAAATATTGTTACACTCTAGAAGTGTCATTCTTTAGCTTCAAGACCTCAAGTTTGGAAACCAAACTCACTCCCTTCACCACTGAAAATTATCAAAGCTTGGGCAAGAATATGTGTTTGGCATTGTCAGATTTTTATGGTCTCTCAACAACAAGAAGCTCATCTCCATTTTCCAGTGATTGAGTAAGAAGTTTTGATTTCTGATGGTGTGATCTTTGATTTTTGTGAAAAACAAGTAAAAAATGAATCGAATGAAAATTTCATCATCATTATGCCTCTCATCACACCGATGGGGAATGTGTTTCAAACAGAACCGTTTTATAACCCAACACGATCGGAATGTTATGAATCATAATTATTTCAAATGTGTTCAATACTATTCAACGGTGAATCATGGTCATTCATCGGCATCGTCAGACTTTTCCAGTTCCTCATCATCATCACATAATGAAAATATGGATTTGAAAAAACAATCTCGTGCTCACTTTCAACTCATGCATAAATTAGGACAACTTTCTTCGCGAGCCATTACGAATCAAAAATTGTCAAAATTTGAAGAAGCACTCGAAGATTACAAGAAAATAATTGAACTACAACCCGATTCTGTATTTGCCTTGTTACAAATTGGTCATTTGCTTGCTTTTGATTTGAAACGAAAACAAGAGGCCATACCATATTTTGAACAAGTGCTTCAACTCACAACAGCACCTCCTCCAAATAATACTGAATTGCAACCTCATGAAATGGATGAAATTCGAATGTTAGCCATCGAGTTTCAACCAAAAGCAAATTATTTTCTAGCAAAGGTCTATTTGGAAATGGTCAATGAAAATTCTTCCATGATGGAGGGTCAAGAACGAACTCAAATTTTGGAAAAGGCAAAAGTGGCCATTGATAATGCTATAAAATTGTTGCATGACGTGAGAGAGGATTTAGAAATTCCTATTGAAGTATTACAACCTTTTGAACAATTACAAGAACAAGTACGTCATGAATTGGGAGTGTGAAACGATAATGTGTAAGGACACAATTGCAAGAGGTGTCTGAAATAGGATGTGTTTGAATGTGGAAAGCTCAAACTAAAGTAGACTAGATTCTCCAAAATAAAGTCCAGGTTCGCCGGCCCTCATAACAACATACAGATCGGTTTATTGAATTCATGATACCAATACAGATCGGTTTATTGAATTCATGATACCAATACAAGTGGCAAGCTATCGATCAGAATGAACCATGGAGAAGATTTGACATATTTCTTGTGAAGGTGTTGGAGAATTACACCACCATGTCAAACAAGTGACAATGGTTTTATTGCTTCTTGGTATTCATGAGACCAAAAGTAAAGATCTTTTTAAGATTTTCTTTCATTTGACTATCATCTGTGGTCTTGGCTCCTCCAGAAATACCTTGCCAATTTGTGGTGTTACCTGTGTTGCCTGTCGTGGAGTTTCCAGCTGCGCTTCCAGTAGTTGTTGTGGATGGCTGTGGTTGTGTGGAAGAAGTACTATTGTTGCCACTTGTCGCAGATGAGCCCATCATGGTGGATGACGAGGCAGTGGATGCAGTAGTGGATGAACCCATCATCATGGATGAATTTCCATCACTAGATGCTGGTTTCATCTTTTCAAAGAGAGAGGTCAATGAAATTAGTGTGGAACCCTTACTTTCTTCCTTTGCGTGTTGTTCTAAAATGTGCTCGAGCTCTTCCTTCATTTGTGAAACGAAGGAGGCCACTGACGAGTCAGTAATTAATTCACAATCTTTTGAAAGATAGTCAAGACCTTCAATGAGTTGATCGATAATGTCATCTGTTAACATGCAACCATTAAGAGCTCGATAATTATCCAAAATATATCCTGCAGTGTCTCGTCGATCTCTCAAATCACTATTAAGGTTGTTTTGCTTACCGAGCCAAACCAATTTCTTGATAATGAAAAAGTCACGGAAATAGGACTCAACTTCAGGAATAATCTTTGAGAACATGATGAGAATTTCTTTAAACATGGTGCGATCTCTGGTTTCCAAAATGTTTTCAATTTGAGTTGCCAGCTTGTCAAAATCAGTCACTTCATTCAAATTGCAAGCCAATGTTCCTAAACCTCGTACTGCCTTGACTTTGATTTCAGCTTCCATGTCTGAGGCAAGTGTAATCAATGCAGGCAAGACTGTTGCTGAGAGTACGTCAGAGCTCAATGGTTGAATTAGCTCCACAAGAATATCAGCCACTGCAGATCGAACCACTTTGGATGGATTCACTGCTAATTTACAAACTACAGACAGAACGTCTCCTCTCAATTTTTCATTGGTCACAGCAGAGATGAGAGCATTGTAGAGGAATGGCATGTGTGAAGAGTCCCAAGTTCTTTCTGAAATGGAGACATTAATGATAAGACTCTTGATCACATCCATAATCTTTTCTTTGGGGCTGAATGGAAGAGTTCCACAAATATATACGGGAAGTAAACGTTCCTTGGCAAGACTGACACTCGATCGATCAGCGTCCTTGTCCTTCTTTACAACTTCAATGGTGCCATCAATGATTGGATCAGAATTTGTCTCGAGTAAGGTTATAATTTTCATCTCGAATACTTTAGAAATACATGGTTCTCCAAATGTTTCACAAAGTGAATTGAAAATGACATAAATTTCTTTGCAAATCTATACGAGTAGTTGTGTGATGTGGTCATGGGTGGTGACAACAACATTTAAAAACGATCCAAGTGATGTGGTTAAAAGCGTGAACCAATGACGTTTCAACTTACATTAGCATGTTCGATATTAACAGATGCAGCAATGGACAATACTCTTCTAATACACACATTCAAAAGCCAATATAAACCTTTCCATGTGGCAGATTTGGTCTTCTCCAATTCAGAAAGAGGATTGTCGTTCAAATACTTGTCCATCAGTTTCTTGAGAGTTGCCTCATCTTTGACGTCTCCCTTCATTTCTGCTGGCATGGTATTGAGCATCATTTTGTGAAGATATGGAATAACTCCGCTAAAACATTTCAAGAGCACAACAATCTTTGCACTACTTGCACTCGAGCCACTTTTAAGTCTCTTCTTGATTAAATTTTCAATATTGCTCAAAAGAGTGGGTGCAAATTTCTCAAATAAATAGTCAAAATTGAAGCACCACGTAATGAGTGCTGGAACAAGAAGTCGAATAGAGGCCGATTCCACGGTTTCTGCCTTGTCATATAAAAATTTGAGAGTCATCTCTTCAATTTGGAAGTACTTGCTCTTACTTTCCACATCTTCTTCCTCTGTGAAAGTAGAGATGAGTTTGGCCAAGTTAATGACAACAGATTCTCTCACTTCATCGGTCTTGTCTTCCATTAGCTTTGCAAGAGTAGACAAGAGCATGGTTGGTCTCAGAGAGGCCTTAACGTAATGTGCCAATTCACCACATGCTTCTGCAACCAAAATCTTTCTCTCTGTGTATTTGTGTGTCATTTGTTTCCAGCATTGAGGAAGAACTTCTTTTTCGAATCGATCAGGAGAAATTCGTCTCGCCAAAGCAATGCATCCATTAATGATCATTTGACGCTCCTGTTGGTCTGGCTTCTTGACAAGGTTAAACAATGCTTCGGAAAGAGTCTCTCTCACTTCTGCGTCAGGATGTGCTTGTAGTGTAGCGGTGAGAATTGGCATAAATTCTTGTCTCTCGTTTGATTTAACAGCTGCCAAAAGTGTTGGTAATTTTTCTCCAACAATTTGTACAATGCTTGATTCTTGATTCTCATATTCTCTCAATTTGGCTTGTAACACCATAACATCGTTCGAAATTGAATCGGTACTATTATTGAGATTGTCAGTCTCATTATCATCATGTGTTTGGTGATGAGTCTCTGTTGAGGCAGCAGTTGTCTCTGCTGTCTTTTCCTCCTTAATGTTAGACATGTCTTGCTCGAGTGCCTTATTTTGAGCTTTCAATTTCTCAATGCTCTTATCTTGACGTTGTATCGTTTTCTCCAAATTCTGAATGAGTTTATCTTTGGCTTCCAATTGAGATAGTGCTTCTCGGAGTGCTTTTGTGTCTTTCATGTTTTGTTTTGTCTTATCACCTGCACTGTAGTAGTGTCTGTATAAATAGTGTAATCCTAGAGGAAGGTCATTCTCATTGGTATGATTGGGAAGCATTTCATCAAGATTGAACATGTCCATCTCGTGTACCTCGTCAGAGAAACTGATTGCACTAATCTTGTATCCTTGTTGGGTCAAATAATCCTTGATGAGGTAATTAATGACTTGTTTTTCTTGTATGGTCAAAGGTTCAGATGCCATTTTACTCTCTAAACCGTCTCCATTTTGCTCTTGATTTGTGGGTGGCGATGTCATTCCTTCCTCTTTCAATTCTTCTCCTCCATTGTCACTTACTTCACTTTCAGAATGAGATCGTTTCACTGTGGATGTGAATGCCTCTCTCATTTGTCCCTTCAATTTGGCTATATCTGACTGTAACAATTTAATTTCATATTCCATGAGTGAGATCTTTTCATCTTTCTTTTTTAATTGTTCTTCAAGAGCTTTGGTATGCTCGGAGTCGACTTGAATCATCATTCCGCCTCCTCCATTTGTGTTTTCCTGAACATTTTTATATTCCTTATTTTCAAAGTAATCTCTGAGGATTTTCAATTCAAGACCCTCTTCCAATAACTCTTGATAAAACTCTAATGCAGTTAGCATAAAGTTATTCTTGAGTAAATAACTCGCAACATATTCATTCATTGTTATGAGATGGGAATGTTGTGGCTATGATGATTGAATAAATGATTCGGATTTGGATGTATGGATTCTACTTTAAATTTACTTTTTTGGTAAATAAATTAGTGTTGATGATGATGATGATGAGAAAATCTTTGTCAAAATGACAATCGATGATCCACGCGTTCTCACAATTTTTTCGGTTTTTTAAATGTTATCCTTTTGATTCAAAATAAACTCTTCAAATGTTCACACACGAGGAGTGAAGTTGTTGTTGTTGCTGATGATGAAGTCAGTGTTTCAATCCGTCTTCTAAATGGTCTCTTCCAAAACACAACAACAAGACAATTAAAAACGATCAAAATATTTTTTTTAAATAAAAAAAATTGCCATTACCAAATCAATCAATGGTACACGAACATTCGGCGTCCAGCATTAGCCATCATCATCACCATCATCATAAGCCTGTTGAACACCATCCCATCATGGTGAATTTGGAATCTGGAAATACTGACCATCAAGAGAATAATTTTGAACAGCGGAAGAAGGCTCTCTTAAAGTTTCTATTTCAAAAAACAACTCTTTGGGCCATCATTACTCTCGGAATTTGTTGTGTGTTTGGATTGAGTTCTATTATATTGGGAGGAATTGCAGACAACTCGGTGGATTTAACGGAATTAACTGTACCTGTACCATGTTTGATTCAAACTCATCGGATGAATTGCACCAATGAATGCATCAATAATGGTTTAGATATTGTTCCTAGCAATACAACTCTATCTAATTGCAGAACTTTTTGTAAATCACAAGTGCTTGTAATGTTACCATCGTCATACAACACGACAACGAGTCAATTGAATCAAACACGAATTACACTGCCGTATGCGTCTTCAACAACATTTTTCAATTATTCTATCGGAACGACAACAAAATGTTTTATCAATATGTACACCATTAACCAAAACGATGTAAACACAGCATTTGCATATACCATTGGACCAAGGTTAGGTATGAGAGTTGCTGCTATTGTATTGGGATGCATTGCTCTGGGATGTTTCGTGTATTTGGGAGTGTTTGTTGCCTATGAATTAGTCAAATATTGTACGTCCAAATAGGCCTTATTGATTTCTATTTTGACAAGAAGACCGTTCACGATCCAATTGAAACCAAAACATTTAAGGCATTTGAATGTCATGGTAAAAAAGGGGTGTCAGAAAACCATGAAAGATGAACAATTCATACACAGGTTTCAATACAATTGAAATTTCATTCTGCGCTGTTTCATTTCAAAGTGAAATTGATCACGAACACTAAACTGAAATTTACTTTTACACTCACTAAATTTCTTTACATAGGAAAAAGTTCGATAAATCTACCACAAATCTGTTCGTTCCGAATCGTGTGAGACTTTGATACACTCCTTCACTTGCTGCATCCTCATGAAACATGACCAAGTATCCTTGCAGCTCGTTGAAATGCATGCTCAAAATTCTTCTGGCTCTGTGAATTGGAATTCTATGAAAACGATGCCTCACCAGTGCAAGAGTGGCGTTGTCCTGTTGTGTGGATGCTGCCTCCATCAATAACAATTCTCCTTCTACAGTTGCCACAAGAAATTGTGATAAATTTAAAGGCAACACACAAGTACAGGGCTGAGGCAACAAGACATGTTTTTCTGTGGAAACACACAGAGATGGTTGGGAGAGCGTAACGGTGACTGGAACCACCAATGATGCTTCCTCGCTACCAGAATTACTAAAAGTCAATACAAAATGCTTCACGTTTTGTTCCAAAGTTTTCTGCACATGAATCAATGAGTGTCGAGTTGGATCCACAATATCAATAATTGTGGAGCTTAAAATACATGTTTTGGCTTCACCAAGATCATTGTTGGTGAAACTTGTAGAAGCAAGTAGCAATTCGTTCTTGTTCTCAGCATGCCACATTAAGAAATATAGAGTTTGAGTAGTTTCTTCATAATCCACCATTGTTAAAATTTGTTGAGAGGGCTGAGTTTTCACATAACATGAAGGTGACTCAAAACAAGCTATTTCTTCACTATTGTTTGAAAGCTTAATTCGTGTGATGCAATTATTTGAATAAATAAATACATGACTTGGAGTCTTTCCAACAGAGTAGAATTTTCGAATAGATGAATCCTTATTGAATGTGTTGATTGAAAGCAAAGGAATATCCAATTGCTTTTCAAATTTGAGGAATGAAAAATTAGAAGCTTTTACCTTCTCATCGTCGAGAATGGTAAAAACTTTCAACTTGTTATCAGTGGTAATGAGGAATAACTGTCTCTTGTCCGGTCGCACAAAAATATCCTCAATACAAGCTCCAAAAGTCTCACAAATATTAAGCTGATCTAGTTGCTCATTACAAAACAACACATCAGCATTAACCATCGCTACTCGTTGGTGGTCGTGGCAAATATACTTGTTATGTCCATAAAATTTCACTCCAAAATGATTCACTTTTGCATTGCTAACACCAACACTCGTGGCTGTGTCTCGTTTAAATATTGCGTTTTGTCTCTCATTCGAATACATGACATATCGACTTCCCACATTGTCTGCATTATCCGTTCGATCCCGAGGTGGAGGTGCTGTTTTGTGAGAAAAATCATTCTCACTCAAATTTCCATCTACATAAAAACAAAAATCATTATTCATGTAAAACGATGGAGGATAAATCGTAGAGTAGGGTGTCATCATTTGATGTGTACCTCTTCCTCCTGCCATTACTGCCGTGTCACATCTGATAATAGTGACTCTCTCGTCGACACATGTCTTTTCAAAATTTCTTCCCATTGCCTCCAGTGATGTTTTAATTTGGAAATATCTCGATCGTTCAGCTTCTTGAGGTGTTGACTTGTTGGAATTTGAGCCAAATAATCCACTTCCTCCAATAAAAGTCGGATTTACAATCAGCTTGGGTTTATAAAGCAAGGTTTCTTGTAAAATATCCACGCTTTCAATATCAAAACAAATCAAGACCCCAATTCTTCCATAAATTGTATCAAAGATTCCAACTCGATCGCCAATGGTAATGTTTTCATTGGCAGTAGGATGTCGTTTCTTGTAAGATCCCAGTACTTGTCCTTGTGGATTAATCACTGTTACTGCATTGAAACGTTGATACTCAAATGCAAATGAAGAGGTTTGATTTTTCTCGAGCATACCCATTCCAATAAATCCATAACAATGATATTCCTTCAATACTTTTGCAATTTCCTGAATTTCTCTATTTTGAGAAGGTGGAACAGCACTCGAGGCTGAAGAAATCCAATGCTCGGGAGTAATAACCAGATCAGGTGCTCTCGAGTCATGACTATTCTGAATGCATTGGACGAGGCACTTTTTAAGAACATCATGACCCTTCGTTGGAATGCTCGGAGTCGTAATGATGAGAACTTTTAAATGTTCTCCTAAATGATTCTTCTTTTCATATTCGGAAAGATAGGGATCTGTAATGATGAAATCAGGATTGATCGTGGGTATGCGGCCAGTTGTTGTTGTAGAAGTACTAATTCCTGTGGTATTGTTGCTACCTAATTCTTGGCCTGATACGGAATCATCATCGGTACAGATGGATGATGAAACAATCTCACCACCCTGTTGCTGTTGTTGCTGCTGTTTCTTGGAGAGATATTTTTTAGTTTTGGAAGAACCAATCGATGGCAATGCTGTCGTGAGAACGGGTGGAGGAGGAACGCTAGAAGAGGAGGATGAAGGCGGTGGTGGAGTGCTGTTGTTACTCTGTGTGGATGATGGAGGGAAAAGTGACAATGGTGGAGGAGGTGGAATGTTCGATGACATTTTTTTTGCTACTTGGTTCATCATCCTTAAATTGGAATGGAATCTATTTGTACTTTTTCAAAAGTGAAACAGTTCCAAGTTCACTAATGAATTTGTTGTTTATGAACATGGCGTTGTACTCGAGTACATTCAGTGGCTATTCAAGAGAGAGAGCGTTTCATCTCGAATTCTGTAATACCATTGCATTCTTCTCTCTGCATATTCGAGATAATTAAAATCAATGTTGGAGAACATGTGTTGTAACATGCTCCAAACAGACCAATGCAAATTGCTCACCAATGACATGACATTGGCTTGTCTTCTGTATTTTTCTATTTGTTCCTCGCTCACAGAGGATCCTTCAAAATAGCTTTGCAAAAAGAGTGTTTGTTGATCCCTAGTTGGAAATGCTTGTGGATTGATACACAAACCTCCAAACTCACAAAAAAAGTTACCAATGTCAAATGCAGAGTAATTATATCCACAATATTCAAAATCAATTAAATGATAGGAATGGTTTTCCTTGTCGTTGTAAATAATATTGTGAGCTCCAATGTCATTGTGACAAAATGATACAGGAAAATCTTGGCAATAAGATTGAATGAGGTTGACCTCCTTTTCCAATTGGTCCATGTCAAGTACACTTGGAATAGAATTGCTGCTCTTGTTAAATTCTTCACGTCTACTCTTTAAAAGATCAAGCCAACGATGTGTTCTTTCGAATACAACAGGCTTGAGTTTGTGTGGATGAATGTGATGCTTGCAAGAAGAAGATTCACTTTGAAACGAAGGAACATGAATCGAATGTATTGCCTTCATCAGTTTGGCAATTTGCAAATAATGATCTTTTGCTCCACCCAATTCATCGAGCCCAATTCCTTCAAAATATCTGTAAATGAGCCCATTTTGAAATTTACAATAAATGGTTGGTGCCAACTCTGGATAATGTAAAGAAATTTGCTGAATGTAGTGCAATTCTGCTTTACGGTCAATGAGGTTTTCAGAGTTGTGTCCAAAGCAACGAACAAGCACTTTCTTTGGATTTAGAATGTGGTCAAGAGTCGTGTTGTGACGCTCTTCTTCCTCGTTTTGGTCCACGTCACGAGTGTGACGAAGAAAATGTACCAAGTACAATCTGTTAGTGGTACCTCCAGTTAGTTGCTTGACGTGAATATATTTCTGGAGAATGTGTTGCCAAAATCCATCATCATTCCTCGTTTTTTCATTCAACCCAGCCATGTCGTTTTCATGGTGCGAATCTCGGAAGCAAGTACACGAAACATTTGTGGTGGATGTGGGAATTGAATCGATCGCGTTCTGTTGTTGATTCATTCCATTCATCATTGGTGGATGATTAATGGTTGGTGATTCAATGGCAGAAATGGTGGTCGAGGTAACCAAATCCGATGGCATTCCACTTGAAAAAGAACCCACAGAGGTAGTGTCATTTTCATTTCCACTTTGAACTTTTTCATCATCCTCTTCAGCATTACTGATCAGAGAATCATCATTTTCATTATAGACTTGAATTTGACTGCCATGATGGTGATCAAAATGAAAGGGTAATAGTGAAGGGGAATAAGTAGTAGTATTGTTTGGATCTTGTTCCGTGAAAGTGGTACAATCATGATGGCTGTTTGTTGTGTTGTTTTCCTCTTCCAAAGAGGTGGTTGGTGATGATTCTTGTTCTCCATAAAAATCATCTTCCGAAATTGACTCGCTGCTTGAAAAGACAACTCCCATAAAACGATGAGGAAAAGCCTTGTACACTAATTGAGCAATTTTAATATTAATTGCTTCAAGAGTTATGGCTGTTTCTTGAATGGGGATGGAAATGTGTTCCAATGAAAGAGGCTCTTCCAGTGAACATGAGGATGACGCGGTCAAATTTGAATAGAGGGTGTTAGCCTGTTCTTTCTGTTCTTTCCGAGGTTGTTGTTGGTGTGATGAATGATTGGAGGCTAAAGTGGCTCCATTCTTGTGGTGATTTGGAGTGCTGCCGCGACAAGTTGATTCGTCATTGCCACCTTCAAAGCTGCAGCAGTTGAAAGCGTGCGATAAAGATTTAGTGTCGACAGATAATGAAGGTTTCATGATTGTATTGGTGTGCATTTTTTGTTTCTTGATTTTTTGGAGTTGCGATTGATTTGGAAGTGTTTATTACAGGGGTTGATGGAGATCTGGCAGGATTTTTCGCATCAATCTTCCGTGGAGAGTGACGTTGCATGATGGTTCAAAATGTGGTGAACTTTTTTATTTTCCTATGAAACGTGCAAGTCTGCATGACGTGGTTCTTAGTTTAGAAACAAGTTCAATAGTTCTTAATCTACAAGAATTCATCTGCTGATAGGGTGGTTGTTGAGGGTGGTTGTGATGAGGAGGTTGAGGAAGACAAAGGTGAAGGTTTTGAAGGAGATGGGGGTAGAGGGCGCGAAGAACTCAAATGATCATTGGCCAAAAGTGAAGAGTGGTGGGAATCGTCATCATCTTCTTGGGAGTGGTGGTCAAACATGTCATCCTCATCTTCTAACTCGTCACCTCGCAATACATCGTCTCGTGACCACAATTTGCCCTCTCTCAAAAAGTGACTAATGAACTGAGCTCTAGCTCGTTGTTCCTCAAAATATTTGGATGATTCATCATGATGAGTGTGGGGTTTATCTTGGTGTGGAGGTCTAATTAAAACTCGAGAGAAAATGATGGCAACCTCATCTTGAGTGAGACCATTCGATTTCTTGTGTTTGAGGCATTCTCGCAAGAAAGACATCAAATAGTGGAATGTGTTGCAATGAGCGTCGTTCAACATGGAAATCAAATGGTAACATGTTGCTGAATTCGAACTTGCATTGAGACTCATTTGATAAAATTTAAATGGAACAACTGGCTCTCGAAGAGATTCTAAAAATGCAATCAAAGCTTCAGCAATAGAGTGGCTAGACACTGGATTTGTGATTGGTAATCCTTCATCCAAACAATCTCTAATGTAATGAACCTCTTTTGGATTTCCAGAATATTTAAATAAACCTTCTTCTTTCAATCCATTTTGATAAAGTAAATCGATGAGTCTCCACAGCTCCTTTGGAACTTTGAGATCTTTTTCAAAGCTTGACAATTCTAGGCCGTCGTCTTTTCGTTGAATTGGATACTTTTGTTTGACGAGCTGATCAAGTGTGGATCCAAAACATGACTTGACATAATTACCAGTGATAGAAATGAAGTGATCTCTACCATTTTTCAAGTGTAGAATTAAAATATCATCAATTGTGTCATCACCTCCCAATAACTTGGGAGCTCTTTGAGAATTAACTTGAATGGTAACCTTAATTTCCTCAGTCTCTCCAGGAATAACATATCCCTCAAGAGGTTGAATAGTCACATAGGGTTTACATGGATGTGCTTCTTGAGGTTTTGGTACAAATTGATATTCGCAAACCACTTGACCAGTGTTATGGAGGCATATAGTTTGTGTAATGGGCTCATCATATTTCACATTTTCATATGTAATGGTTTGACCAGTAATTGCCACTTCAGGCAACATGTCATTCTCGAGCTTGTCGAGCATTTTGATGATATCCAAGTAGCATTTCTTGTACTTTTCTTCTACAATCTTCTTCACTCCAACCTCGAACCAAGAAGTTACTGGTTTGTGATCTGACATTTTATATTCCTTGAACGACTTGTATGATTTTTGAACAATTCTTCCTCTTTCATCATCTCTCCACAAAATACGATCTGTGTATGATGGAACTCTACCCTTTTCACTGGTATCATAGGTATCTGTGCCACTGTCAAATTTGTAGGTTGGGTCAAAGGTAATTTCTCCTTCACAAAATCCAACAAAGGCATTTTGGGCATTCTTTTCAATCATTAATTGATCATATTTCATAAGGAATTTGTAGTCTTGTTTCTTAATCTTTTCTCTCACAATAAGATTGGGTTGATTAATTCTATAATTCAAATCTCCAAACCAAAAGAAGAACTCATGTTGGTCAGGTCTATACAGGAATGGATTTCCAAAATCTGCTTTTTTACAAATGTCGTGGAAATTTTGATTTCTTCTCTCAACGGCGCCCATATGCGGAGCCAAGTGGGCCGTGATGAAACAAAATGTAGAGTCGAAAATTTTAAATCGAACTCCAACACCGCCCTTATTACCCATCATGCCCATAATACCAACACCCTCCGCACAGTTTCTTATTTCTGTCACCTCATTGGCCAAAGATTCTTTCACTAAAACACAGTGATAAATGCCGACGAGTTGGCGAGCAGTAATCAATTTGTATCGGTGTAACTTGGTTTCCTCGGAAAAAGTTTTGATGAAGAGATTTTGCCACTCTTGACCAGTTTCTGTTTCCTCTTTAAGAAGAGCTCCTGCTGTCATGTCAATTTCTTGCATACCAATCGAATAAATATCAGCCTCAAATTCATCCAATAGTAACCATTTTGCTAAACTTGTTTCTGATGAAGGAAATTTGTTATTCACGTTCCATGTGCAGACCACAACGGAAAGAGGTGTAATTTCCGTGAATTCTTCTTCTTTTGCTTTGAGTTGTCTTTGAATCCAATTGTCTTTTCGAGAGGCCTCTTGTTGTAATGGACTAGGAGAAGAGTTAATGGTTGCTTTTTGTGCAATGTCATTGGGCGTGCTAGAGCCGCTTGACGATGAAGCCAATACTTGTCTATTAGCTTTTTTGAACATGTCAATTGAAATGTCCTGATTGTCTTCTGACTTATTCTTTTGTTCTTTGTCTCGTTGCATACGTTGTGTATAGTAATGATGCCATTGCCTTTCTTCATTGTCGTTTGCTGTTCCATGATCATGAAGAGTATCCATATCTACCAGAAATTCCGACAATGACAATTCTGCTGTAGACTTGAGCAAGGAAATACGATTACTAGCTTTTGTCTCGGTTTTTGGTGGAGGTAAATCAAGTAGGGGTTGAGATGAATCTGATACGGATGTGGTGGTTGTAGATGTTGTTGAACTTGTTGTTGTGGTTGCAACTGAGGGATAACCTGCTGGTTGATCATTTACGAGTTTACACGCTTTTATGAGCGAGGAAACGACCACCCACTGAGTACTAGCAGATTCGCTCTGGAGATTGTACACTGTAGCTTTGCTTTTAAAGTATAAATCAAAGTGAATCTCATCTACAATTTTAATTCCAAAATCGTGCCTTTTGATCAGTTGAAAATCTCTTATTCGGAATGATTTGTTATCCATGGAATAGTCTAAAAACATGATGGCAACATTTGTTGGAATGTCCTTGTTGGCGATCAAAGCCATCAAAACTGGCTCAGTTTCCTTCTTGCTAAAAACTGTTGTACTTTTTGATGCAGGTACGCTCTTTTCCGAGGATGAGGCTTGTTGTTTTCCTCCCGATGATGTTGATAATGATGGATTGGAAGAAGAAGAGGAGGTTGTTGTGTTTTTGTTATTTCCAGTGGTGGTAGAGCTGTTGCTGTTGGTTGTTGTTGTTGTTGCTGAAGATGATGATGCCATCATCAAACTTCCAGGCCCATGCCTCTGATAGACTTGAACCAGAAATTTTACCTGGTCATCTGCTTGCAGCACCGATTTCACAAACGCTGTTTTAATTTCCTGATGATGATGATGAGCGTGGTTATTGTTGTTGTGAGAGGAGGATTGTTGTTGGGGCTGTTGAGACATTTTTCTTTTTGGATCTGCGAGAGTGGATGAGACAAGACCTCGTCTGTACGCCTGATATTAGATTTTTCTAATGAGGGACTAAAACTACTTTTGGGCCATGAAAATGATTCATCTCATAATATTACTTCCTCTCAATGAATATCATCATCGAAGGCTCAAAACTCAGAGTGTTGTAAAACTATCAACGACGGATTGAGAAAAAAATGTTGAAACGAATGATTCATCCTTCCTCATCGTGGTCGGCTTGTTCCTCGCAAAGGTTCTTGTTGAAGAGCCTAGTAGCCACTACTAGCAATAACAACAACAATAGCAGTATGAATGGAGCAATGGTTTCCGTGCTGTATAACAATAATTATCACAATAACAACAACAATATGAAAAACTACCATACATCATCATTCATGAACGCTTTGGAGACTACACTTTCAGGAAACAAACAAACCAAATACCACATCAATACTCACGTGGTAACTCCAAACAAGCGTAAATTCCCACTCATCAACCCCGAGAAAATTAACAAAATGGCTCTTGCCAAAGCACTCTCCACAAATATTGCTACAGGTACCAAGAAAGTGATGGAGGCCACCAAGTCGGTCATTCCATCATTTGAAATTCAACCAGAAGCAATGGTAAAAAGTTTAACAACAGGAGAATTTACAGAGATGATTAAACTTCATCCATACTTGTTTAATTGTACTCCCAGAAAGGACCTTTTATATTTGATGGTCAAGTGGCAATTAGCAAAGAGAAGACAAGGTACTCACAAAACAAAACATCGCTTTGAAGTTGCCTTCACTAAGAAGAAAATGTCTCCACAAAAGGGTACTGGTAATGCCAGACACGGAGATCGTGCTGGTCCACAATTTAGAGGAGGTGGTCATGCAATGGCAATCCGTCCTCGTTCCTATGTTTATCATCTCAATAAGAAAATTAGAAGACTTGCTTTGCGTATGGCCCTCACAACAAAATATCAACAAGGAAAGTTGATTGTTGTTGACAATTTTTCTGTTGAAACCTTCAAGACTAAATACGTTGCTGGACTCATTAAGAATACAATTTTCCCAGATGCTGATTCCCATCCAAAGGAATTGAAAGATAGAGGAGTGTTATTGATTGATGGCGAGACCACAAATGAAAACTTTGCAAAGGGATCATTCATTTTACACTATGCAGATTACATGAATGTCAATGGTTTGAATGTCTATGACATGCTAAGGAGAGAAAAACTTGTTCTTTCCAAGAGCGCATTAGAAGCTCTCATGAAAAAGTATGACAAGTATATTAAGGCTGAATATTATTAAAACAATTTATTGGAATTTGTCTAAAAAGAGTTTTTCCGGAAATTTGATGTCGTGGTGTGTCATGTTTTTTGAACCCTTTCATCCATGAGCATACATATATATGATTATTTAATGAGTTTTGGTTGTGATTCTTCCACATGTTCTCATGGATTTATTGATGGTTTCAAAGATGGTGGAATGAATAGATCGTCCAATGCATGAAAGTATTTCAAAGTTTCATAGGGCGTTCTTTCATATCGATCTTTTTCAACTCGTAATTGGGGATTCATTTCCAAAAATTGAGTTACCAAATGATAATATTGAAGAAACATGCAACCGTAGTGTAAGTCATTGCGATGATCATGATCTTTGATTTGAAGCAATAATGGTTGTTTTTGAACCATTTTCAAAATCAACGATGAATCATATTGGTATAGAATGGCCAAATGTAAGGCAGAGAATGTATATTCATCGTCATGGGTGTGAGTGAGTTCAAGTAAATTGTCTGAAGTGACATGTCTTTCAAGAATATTTTCAAGAATGAGTGAATTTTGGTTTGGAATTCTTGACACTAACATGTGAAATAAATTCTTCTTTGGTTGACACTTCTTGTCCATTCTGTCATGTGAAGTGTCAACTCTAAAACTTTCAAAGATGTGTTCACTGTTCAACGATTCCATGTTACATTCATGTGCAAAATCCAACAGGTAAACCATGGTTGTGAAATCTTGCTGCTTTTCTAAAATGATTTGAAACTCTCTCAATGTCATTCCAAATTCTGTCGAATCTTTGATTTTCTTTTTCATGTGTTGAATAATTGCCTTTTTAAATTGTTGTTCAATGACGGAAAAGGTCAATAAATGTTTTAAATGAGGAAACATGTTCATTCCATATGAGAGACAACACCACGACCAAAAATCTTTCATTGTTGCTCTCGTTGCCTCAAAACGCAATGGTAATTCATACTTGTTCATTAAATAAATCATGTACTGCACCAAGGATTGATTCACACTGGATGTCAAAATTTCCTCTAATGGAAAATAGACATGTGACAGGAGAGGATACCAATACAGAGGGAAATAACGATCCAATAATTGTTTCTTTTGAGGCAGAGTAAAAACACTTGATCTCATTATACATCGAAGCATCCAAATCGAATGTCGATCCAACTCCTCCAAATCACAAGGAGGGGAAACACATAAATAATATCGTTTCAAAACAGATTCAAGTCTTTCATAATGATTCAAAGTATAAAAATGAAGATAATGTGTAAATGTTTCTACTTCTTTTAAAATGTCATCATCATGCTCCACCAATTCTCCTTCGTACGTGACAGGTAATTCTAATGAAATTTCTTTCAATTCTTGTAGACTTGTAAAAATCCATAAATCGAAATGAGTGGTAACTGGTGTTGGTGTTGTCGTTTTGCAGAAGAGGAATGATCATGTGCTTCCATTCGAGAGATTAAATGCTCTTCATCAAGAATCAAATTTGACATCAAAATGGAGAACAAATCATTGGTTCGATCATCCAAACAAATCACTTAAATCTTCTTCAAAAATGGACTTTCATTGGAAAACAATCTTCTCGTACCATCATTGTTGAGTAATAATTCAAAACATGGAATCCAAAAACACACCAAAGTTAATTCTTCTAATTTTGGAAATTTTTCACAGAGTGCAGAAAGTATCACTACATCATTCGAACATGCCAATGTGAAAGTTAGACGAGTAATGAAAGGATTAATTTGTAAATCATAATCGTCATCATCTTTTAACATCATGGTGCTTTGTGTTTTGGGTCCATGAGTGAAAGAATAAAATCGTTCGATGGATGAACGAAGTTTTCTCGTTTGACGCTCCAATGCATCCAAGTTTGACGAATTTTCTTGAGATCTTGTTGTTTGGAAAGGAATGGTTATATGGTTGACGTTATTTTCCATATTTGGGAATGACAGGTTGGAACAATTTTTTTCGATTAATTCTTGCTCATAATTCTTGAAATCATTCAGTGCCTTATCAAAATCAAACACCATTGACACTTGTGGATTGTGTTTTTGATCAACCTTTTCTGGGTGGATTTGTGAAGATTCCAAATCTGTCGTCAAATGAAATGAAATTTTTCTTGTCGCGACCTTATTCTTCCAGTCGTCATTCTAATAATTCTCAACAACATCTTCTTTCATCTCGAAATCACTAATTTCTTGTTCTTCTTTCATCTCGCAATCACTAACTTCGTGTTGAGAATTCTCCAAAACAACTTGAGAATTCTCAAAGCCAACTTTAACATCTTTTATGGAATTCTCAAATGGATAAAGATTATGAATGACTGAAAAAACACCACTCTCTAAAACATTTCGAACATGTGGTAAGGATGTCCATTTCAATTGTAATTGACTCAAATCTAAACCTTCAAAAGAAAATCGACTTTGAATGTTCCAATCGTAATTTCACACTTTTGGAAATGAGTCGTAATTTCATCCAACTCGACCACCAAATGTCAGGAAATGAAAATGCGTAATGACAATGAATCATGTCGTTGCTACCATTTCTGTCATTTTCATGATTTGTTTGTTGTAAGGATGATTTGGTTAAATGTTCCATTTGAGAATATGTTGGAATGAAATGAAAAATTTCCATTTGACAATCCAAGGCAAGTTCTTTCAATACATTGGAAATTATATATAAATCATTCTCCTTCGTCTTTTGATCATGTAATGAAATTATACTTTCATTCTGTCTCGAATGATGTGCATGAATGTCATTCATGAATTCATGTGGTTTCAATGCATTCCCAAATAATTCATCTTTCAAATCTTTGAAAATCCATAAACGAGCTAATGGTGTACAATGTTCATATTGTTCCATGATGTATCTCAATTGATTTTCTTCTTGTAGAAAGTCATTTTCCTCATTTGACAGGTTGTTGACATTTGTTAAAAAATAATTCATTCTTCCATTTCGTTCCAAAACATTCTCATAGAATTGTGTTGTTGACATGGTTGTTAGTGTTGAAGGATCGTGATTGGATTCTATTTTTGAAATGGCATTTCTTCCAAGATTTGAATATTCTTCAAGTGTTTCAATGTATTGATCTCCATAAAAGGAATCATAATAGATGATTGGATCCAAAGTTGGGAATTGATCCATGACTTTATTGTAGTGCATGGATAATTTCTTCTTCTTCTTCTTGCTGGTTCCACCTCTTCCTCATTTTTTATGTGAACAGGGCCTGTCACCTGCCAAATACGTTTGTTACAACAGAATTTCAGGTCGTGTTCCTTGCTGTCGATTAAGGAACACAGAAAGGTATCATTCAAAACTGTAGATACACGAAAGGACAATGTAACTCCAAAAAAAATGAAATTAAGAACACCACTGCCTTTTTTGAATTGGATATTCATCGGCAATCCCAAATAGACCGAGGGACAGAAAAGTCAGACTCTTGTTCATTCATTGTCCAACTACAGTTTTCCAACAATGTCCACACTTGTCCATCGATTTCCAAGTCTGTAACGTTCGAGACCTGGAAGTTTTATGAAGCACATAAAGAGAAGGACACATTTATATAGTTTGATAAAAGACACACACGACCATGACATCCAAGAATGTCTATCAATGGACTGAATCTGCATTTACAGTTCGTTTGGAACCACAAGTGACGAACAACAATGTCTGCATCCTTCACTTTTCAAATTTAAATTAAATGAATTTTCATTCAACTTGTTTGCATTCATTCTTGAAGTGGGAAACCATTGCTCTGAGATGGTTCTTCGTAAGTCCATACACTTGTCAGATTTCCTGACTGTTCGATTACGAGCGGACAGGTGTCCCTTCAAATGTCAAGTCGCACTCGTGTGATTATTGACTCTTGGAAATTTAAACACAGAAAGAGAACGCAAAAAATCAACGCTAACAAGCTGATACGCAATCCTTCTCATTCTCACCCGAGTCGTCGGTTTGTTTGTTCTATCCATTCTCCCTTTGAATTTTTCAGAGTTTTGATTGCACCAACACCTGCCAGTTGTCATTTACAATTGTTGTTGAATTGATAATTCACATCTTGCTATTCAGTTTTTTTCAAGTATTTTTCGAAATGACTTCTACCTACCAACTCCTGCCTACAGAAGACGATCATCTTCTTGGTAGTGCCAACCATGTGTCTGCAACCATCACAACCCCAAGCGAATGTCCTTCTGCAATGACATTTGACAGCAAAATTAAAAAACAAAGAAAGACAACCGCTTCTTGTTCAAGAAATACTCTCATGAATCATCATACGACGTCTGTTGAGCAAGCCAAACGCAAGAAAAAGAAACGTTCTCTCATTGAAGAAATTGTCAAGAATACACCTCCTGCCACTTGTCATTCACCTCACTTGTCATCCAACCTGTCCTCACCCTTAATCGATCCAACACAATTATCGTTAACCATTTCCTCTCGACGATCCTCTACTACTACTTTATTTCATCACCAACCATCTCACTCGACCATGTTTATCGATTGTTCCAATCCTGTGAATTCCAATAACAATTACCATAACAGTAATTACCAAAGACAAAATTCATGGACAAGTCCACGAACGTTCATGGAACATGCAGAGCCTCTTCCTGTCAGTAATCATTCCAACGATCACAACGACTCGAGCGGCGACATGTGTCAAGTCATTTTAACCAATTGGAAATCTCGTTCAGAAACCAGACAATGGATCAAGAAGTGCATCAATGAAACCAATGACTCGTCTCCAATGACGAATGAAAAGAAACACAAAGTCATCATCTCTTCACCATTAGAATTGAATTTCACGAACAAGAATCATCATCGACATGTAGCGACAAGTTCAACATCCTCTTCAAGTGGTTCATCCAATTCTTCCTCAGTTTCGAATCATGATGGTTCTTTACCCACTTATATTTACACGACATGTCCATTACCATTTCAAGCACCAATTGGAAATCATTCCAAGAAATTTCAACACGTGGACCATTCGAAACAGATTCCTTCGAATGGAGCTCATGTGCCACTTGTCCATTCTGAAATACCACAACAACGACAACTACCATTACAACCAACAACCACAACAAGGTATCATCATTCTTCGAGTGATTTATTTTCCATGCATTCATTGTCGAAGAATAATTTTCGAACTGATGTTTATCCTCCATCCTCAATGGATTTAATAGAAGTTCCAAAGGTGGTAGTGGCACAACAACATCAGGTCGAGTCGAATCCACCAATGGTGTTGCCAAGTTTTAGAGAATTTGTTTCAACATTGGGTTTGTAAACAAGTTGAAGATTAGCGCAAACAAAAAACAAGTTGCTCCTACCCGTACTGTCAAGGATATGAAGTACATAATACACATTTGGGTTCAAGACGTTGTTGTGTGAACTCTCCAGTTAATTTATTCAATCATAATAAAGCTTTGTTTATTTTGAGAAGCATGTTGTGTGAAGTTGGCCTTATTGTGTGAAAATATTGGTTTTCAGTTTCCTGATCTTGCAAAGTGCTAATTCATGTCCTTGATTTGCTGATTTTTGATACCATTCCAATGCTTTGGAGTAATCTTGTGCAACACCTTGACCAAGTTCATACATGTCCAAGACTATGTTCGGCATGAGCATTTCCTTGATTGGCTGCTTTTTGAAACCATTCAAATGCTTTGGAATAATCTTGTGGAACACCATGTCCATGATAATACATCCATCCAAGCTTATTTTGTGCTTCACTATCTCCTTGATTTGCTGATTTTTGATACCATTCCAATGCTTTGGAACAATCTTCTGGAACACCTTGACCCATTTCATACATGAATCCAAGGTAGTACTGAGCATGAGCTTCTCCTTGATTTGCAGCTTGTTGAAACCATTCAAATGCTTTGGAATAATCTTGTGGAGTACCTTTTCCATGATAATACATCCATCCAATATGTGTCTTTGCGATAGCAATTCCTTGATTCGCTGCTTTTAGGTACAATTTTTTGGCTTTTGAAAAATTATTCGGAACACCCATTCCATTATGATACATCCATGCAAGACTATGCTGTCCTTGAGCATTTCCTTGATTGGCAGCTTGTTGAAACCATTGAAATGCTTTGGAGTAATCTTGTGAAATACCTTCTCCACGATAATACATCCATCCAAGGTAATATTGTGCGTCAGCATCTCCTTGATTTGCTGATTTTTGATACCATTCAAATGCTTTAGAGTAATCTTGAACGACACCTCGACCATTACGATACATGCACCCAAGGTTGTACTGTGCTTTAGCATCTCCTTGATTTGCTGATTTTTGATACCATTCCAATGCTTTGGAATAATTTTGTGGGACTCCGATTCCATGTTCATACATGTGTCCAAGGTTATTCTGTGCTTCAGCATATCCTTGATGTGCGAGGTCTTGTGTCATTTTGCTCAACTCGAAAGTTTGACTTTCAAGAGATTGATTTTCCGTTGTTGATAGTTTTTGCAAAATTTTTGAGACTGTAATTCTTTGTTCTGGTAAAAATTTCAACATAGATTCAACTATTTTCACTAACGAATCAGAATAAATTCCCTTCATGTTGACCTTGATTTGTTGTTGAATAAAATTTGGATTAATATTGTGTGCCATTAGTAAGCTTGACCATGAAACAACATGTTTTTCCAAGCTCATTAATTGATACAAAGTCACTCCAAGAGCAAACATGTCGCTTGCAAATGAAAATGGAGGACTATTATTGTTATTTTGTACGAGTTCAGGAGCAATATAGTTTGCTGTTCCGGCAAGCGAGGATGATTTGATAGAAGATGAATTTTTTGCCAAACCAAAATCTCCTAATCCAATAACAATTTCATTCTTATCAAGATCAAATTTTCTCAAGAGAATATTTTGTGGTTTGATGTCTCTGTATTAGTGATTAACGGTTAATCATGTCTCTCTATTTAAATACATACCTATGGATAATATTTTGCTCTTGAATCACTAGCAAAGCATTACAGAGCTGACGTAAAATTTCAAGGATCATATTTTCTGGTAATTTAATTCCTTTCTGGATAACAATGTCATAAAGAGATCCTGACATCAATTCCATCTCGATTACGATTACTCTTGTACTACCAGCCACAAATATATCAAAACACTTCACAATGTTTTCATGGTGACTCAATTTTTTCATCTTTGAAAACTCTTGTAAAGGCTGTTCATGATCGTCTACTTTCATAATTTTGATTGCCCTTTGTTCATTGTTATCTTTTCTCACAACGGAATATACTGAACCAAAAGATCCCGAACAAATAAAATTCAGAGATGAATATTTCTCTTTCAAATACTCTTCAGCTTGGTTTTTTTCGTACAAAGAGAGAGGTTTCTCTTCAGTGTCGACAATATATATTGGATCATATCTTTTGGTAAGCGAGTGAGAATTTGAATATTGTGAAAAGAGTTCAACTTTTTGGGAAAATGTTGCATTGTTGGAAGATAAACCTGATTCTTCAAAGCTAGTGTTGATCAAACTCTTTGAACCATCGTCAAAAGTTGTCACTTCGAAAACGAGCTCCTTTTTTTCATTTTCCACATTCGAATCACATAACTGCTTGAAAAACGGTTGAAGAGTTTTGTCATTCAAAATAGAGGATTTAAACCCTGTGTACACATTGAAATATTTGATCCGAGTTTTGGAAGAGCTGGGAATTGTGTCTTGGAAGGCGTCTTTAATTTCTTTCATCAATTGATCAAAAGTGATGTCGGAAGATATTATAATGGATACTCTATCGGTTTCTACAGAGCTCACTTTCAAACAAACAGAGATACAATGACTATTATCGTTGTTGAGCATTTTTTTTTGACAATTTATTAAATCCAATCAACAGGTTTTATTCTTAAATTCTCCAAAAAAACTAAAATTAACCAAGAATCGTGAACGGAACGTGAATGTCGAGCAAAAACGTGAAAAAACCGAAAAATGATGAGCATTTCACGAAAGTTCCAGAGAGCATTTATCAACTTGGAAAATGATGTCATCATTCGTGATGGCGTGGAAATGGTGTTTCACTCTGTTGTTGAGCACATAAGATTGTGCTTATATTTGTGGGAAAACCAACAGAAAATTAATATAAGAGAATGCAAAGAAGGAGCGTTCCAATTTGATTTCTTTGTTGGATACTTTCCTCAATCAAGCAACCCCTTACTGTAATGTTTGTCTTCACACAAACATTTAGCTGAATGGAGTACTCTCGTTGATTACTTCGCGCAACTTCTTTGCATTCTCTTATATTAATTTTCTGTGGAGAGTGGTTGTATTGAAGAAACTAAGTTTGATATCACACTCGACTTTGGACCTACCCTTGTGTCCACAGAGATGTGCCAAGCCAAACACGTCCAAAGCACATGAATTTAATTCAGAACCATGTTCTTGTCAACGCGACATTATTTGCAGATGGGCTTGGTTGTGAAAATAAGCAAAAATTACACTGCTCCTCAATCAACTCTTACAAAACTGCAACTAAATAATTTAATATACTTGTGCAAAATTCGCAAAAATCATGCCACATGCGTAAATAGGGATTTCGAAATCAAAATCTTGGTGAAATCGTATGAGTGACAATTTTCACCACAAGTGTGATTGAAAAAATTACAAAGTATAGCCCAAGTCTGTAATAAGGTTAGCAATGGCTGCCATTTGTGATCCTTGCTTGGTGGCATATGATGATCCTGAATATCCAAACCAATCGAAGCAACCTTGTGAATTCATTGGATTGAAATACGAAACAGCAACTTGTGGATACACAACAATGATATTGTTCAACTCGGCATGTTTGTTGTAACCAGCATTGGCAACATAGGAAGTACCAATGACACTAGCTCCTTGATTGCCTGTGGGTTGGAATCAAGTAAAGCCCAGGTAAGAACAGGTGGAATGGGTCAGGCAAGGTCAGGCAGGTCAGACAGACCAAGTCATATTGGGTCAGTTAGATTTCAGTTAAACGGTCATCCTTACACAAATTATACTTACATCCGTGGAAAGCAATGGAGATTTTACATGAAGCTCCTTGTTGACAAGCAGTAGGAATATAAATGTAGCCATTGGAATCGAGAGAGCTTGCGCTATATCGTCCACTTTGCTTGTAGGTGAACAAGTTTCCACTCACAGCACTTCCTCCAGTCTTAAAGTCAGGATAAACTTGCTTGAAAACGTTGCCTGCACCATCAATACCACAATTGTTAATGTAAGGGGAACCCAAATATCCACACGAGTTTCCATAGTCGTTGGTGATCATGGAGTGTTGAGCTGGAGTGTTGAAATCAGTCACAATGTTCGACTTGCTCACTCCAAAATTGTTCGTATATTGATCGAGGAGCTTGGTCATGACTCCTTGAGCAACCACAGAGTCCTATTGTGTAGCATTTGGCAACAAGATTTTTCAAATGGTTGGGAAGGCATTAATACATCAATCAAGTGTATCCACAAGGTAATTAACATGATACCATGTTCAGTTCCAAAAAATTTCACTATTCTCACACACAACCTACCTGAGTACCAGAGAACAAGTAAATCTTGTGATTCTTAATGTTGGATGTAGGATCAATAAGCCCTTGCTTCTCATAAGAGGATACAGTGGCAGCAATTGAGCTGAGGGAAATGCTCGATGGTGACTTCATACAAGCCATGAGAGCGGTCAACATTTGTCCTTGAGCGCACTAGAGACACACCATTGTGTTTTTGGTAAGTTGTGTGTTTTGAGAAGATCAAGAACAGCAACAACGACAATTCGCGTTTTTCGGTCAATTTCAAAATCATCGTGATGATGGAAATGAACAAGAGAGAACCGTCATCACGCCAATTAAAAAACAACGAATTGTCCAATATGGAGGATGAACCAAAAGCAAGCCAAGCACAATAGAACATGATACCCACGAGTTGGAGATTGAAAGTGAGCCAATCGTGTTAACAACAATATAGTGAGCCAAGAAGGGTGTGATGAAAAATATTTTCATCATCATAGCAGATTAATCCGAGTTTTTCATCACAGAATAGTACGTGAAGAGTAAAAAACAGGCAATAGGAAGGAATACATCTCTCAAAAAGAACTCAACAAGTAGCTACTTACATCATATGGACCTCCAGCAATAATACCACTTCCTTTCACGGACTTGGAAAAGGCCACTTGAAATTGAGCTGCCATAAAGCCTCCAGCAGAAATTCCTGAAACACTCAATGAACCAGGTTCAATATTGTATCGTTTGATATCAATCTGTTCTTGTGCGAGAACCAAGGTCATCATCATGGCGGCAATCACGACCACAACAGCAGCTGCAGAGGAAGGAAGAAGATTCATTTTTGTTTTTGCTATGGAGAGCGAGGTCGAACGTTTGAAAAAAGATTTTTCGCTATTCGCCCACCATAACACTCGTCATGAGGATTCGCGAAAAACTCTGAATCAACTCGCGTATTGTTGTAATCTGCAACTCCAAACCTAAAATGGACCCGTTATATCAACGTTGCTGGGTCATGGAAAGGAAATTAGCAGGAAAACTCCTGTCTTGCTGTATAAACTCCTGTGAATACAATGCAAATTATGGTGGTTTGATTGTTGACCCTAATTCTTCAATTTACTTTAAGATCAAAATTAACAGAATTTCATACGCAGCAAATAATCTTCTCTCATCTCAAGACATTTCACAAGTTTTGATTTAACAAAAAATGAGTTGACACGACACAATTGTCATTACACATGAAAGACAATAATTGAATTATAGAAGATCAATTGACAACTCCATCATAATCAATTTGGAGCTCAAAAAAACAAGTGAATCTATCCTTGCACACCAAATCCCGAATAATGATTGAACAATAATTTTTTCAAACCATGCTCAAACCAATCAAGTATCATTATCATCACAAATATATTTATTTGAATAACACATTTTACAGGACAAATTCGGTACTATTGCTTTTAAATTGGAAATTTCTTGGTTCGTTTGGACATGATCAAAGGGTCCGAAGAACACTTAAAAAAAAATCCAAAACACTCGTCGTTCTTGTTGGCGAACATCAAGCCTTAGTATTTTCTACAAGTTGAGCCTGCCTTGCAAGTACTATCAGGCTCATCAGCCAATGGAATATTCCGTACCGTATAATTGAATTCAAGATTCGAATCTTATTGTTGAAATGAGTTCAAGTGATACAGGTACTAGCAGTGCCTCATCATCGGCCTATCAATTTTCATTGGCCTCTCAAATTAAGGAGCATGTCATTTCGAAACTGGTTCAGCTGCGCCATACAAAGCCGATGAAAAGTTGGAAAATTTTGACCATCTCGACCATTGTTGAGATTTGCTTTTATTATTGTGTATTCATACTACCGACCCTTCGAGATTATAATTGGGGAAACATTGGACAATATGTACTTGTTGTTTTGAACTTTCCCAATACGCTACTGTTGCATTGGCTTTCCTATTCCCAATCCTTGATTGCTTCTATTGTAATGATGAGCATTGTCGGAATCTCCTTTGTGATATTGGCCTTCACCTTATTCATCTATTCATCAAGTATTAAGAAGATACGATCAAAAATACGACAATTACTTCTGATATTTCTCTATCTATGCAAAATGTTTAACATGGCGATATTATTTGTTTGGGTAGGATTTTTCGATTGCAGTTTATCAATCATGTTACCTTATTCATCTAGCAATGTATTGAACCGTTTCCAATCGCCCCAAGTGGCTTGCCTTGCCTCTACCAACACTACCATGATAGGGCTCAGTATTTTCTTCATTATTGCTCTCTACGTGTTGGTACTTGTGGCAGAAGTGGTGACATTTGATACCCATCCTCAAAGCACAAAAAATTTATTTTCAAATTCATCAATGACATTCCCTCTTTTCGTTCGAACGATGTCATTTGTAAGCATGATACAAATGTTTGCCATTCCACAAAGCTATACCTTCATTTCGGCTATTGTCAACATGGTAATTTCTCTGGCCTATGTTGCCTTACTTTTCCAAACTCTTCCATTTAATAAGAGATGGATGAATTCGGTATTTTGTGGATGGGCTTTTGGACAATTTGGAGCAAGTTTAGGTGCTTTGATCACGTCGCTTGCTAATTCTCATAACGATCCAAACATGGGAATTGGATTTGTTGGCTTGACTGTTGGGTTGTTAATTATTGGATTTTGTTTTGGAGTAATATCTATGGAACTGTACACGAGATGGCTATTACATGGTCTCGTCAAGCAAATTGTGGATCATGCATTGAGTATTGAGGGAGTTGAGGAGGAGGCGAAATTACTTAAAACTTCGAATGAACCAAAAACGCTACCAATGGGAGCTCTGACAGAGTCTCTTGGGTTCATTTATCACCACATGAGCAAGAGCCAAAATTTCAAAGCTCTGTGCTTACTATTCAAGTCCGCTCTACAGGACTTACAAAAAGAGCAGATCATTGATAACATTCGGTAAGTTGTGACAAAGCGTTTCGAGTTGATAACGGGCTTACCAATTTGTACAAATAGATGTGTATATTCTGACATTGCATTTTCATTTGCAAAAATCACACTACAACACAAATCAGATGAACCAAGAGTCGTAATTGGAGCTGCTGAAGTGTTTGCGTTTGCTAAAGGACCAGACTCTAATACTCACACTGTCAGTGTTGAGCTTCTTATGAAATTACAGCGCTCAACATTTAACGTTTTTACTATTTTTGCCTGCGCAGTCAAGATTAAAGAAGTTCAAGCATTATCTGACAATTCACGTACTGATTCAGCTGCCTCAAAGAATTATACCAGCATTCAAACCATCAAAAGGAATCAAGAATCATTGCTTTCCTTATATAGAGACTTTTGGAAAGAAATGCTTAATGACCCAATTAGCGTTTCAAATTTAACTAAAATTTCCAAGAAAATCAATGATTTGATCGAAGAAAGCGAATCATTATTTAATCAACTACTGCATCACAAGACCAGGTCAATTTTACAGCTGTATGCGTCATTTATTGAGCTTATTTATTTCGATAAGGAGTTGGCTCAAACTTTCTATCAGGAAGCAAACTCTTTAGAGGAGCAGCGTTATAAACCTAGCATGGCGCCATCTATCAAATACGTCAAACCAAACAAGATCAAACCATCAGATGATCAGATATCAATCCATGATCATGAAGAAATGTTACGCCCAATGAGTACACGTAATTTAGATACATTATCTTCATTTGGCAATAATATGGACTCTCATTTGGACGGTCCACACATGCCCGAAGAATGCCCAAGCGAGGTACTTAGCCCAGAGATGAAAAAAGACTTTCTCTTTAGGAATGGACTCAAATCTCCTCGCTCAAACAGTTTGCTACGTACACTCTTTATCATTTATGTTCTTATTGGTGTGGGTCTGATATCTGGAGGTGTAGTAATGTCTGTATATCAATTCACATTTATCAAGACCAACATGATGAATCTCCGAACCATATGCATTCCACAACTTGCCCCTGTTTCAGTCATTCGTAATTTGAGAAGTTTTCAGAACTGGGTAAGTTGAGATTTTGTTCATGATCAACCATAACACATGAGATTGCATGCTAAACTTTAATTCTGGTTTCTCAATAGCTTGCCTTGTTTGTCATTGATGACAATCCTTGGCCAGAGTTTAGATTCGGATACAAATTTATAGAAAAAAAGGTATGGCATTGGAAACATTTTGAGCTATCGATCTCACATTTGCTTTCTAATAGGATTACATTAATGAGCACTTACAATTGTTGGAGGAAGATTTGAATGTTTTACGTGACCTGATAAAACTTGGTCAGGCTGTTGTGTTTGATGCAGGTAAGTGGGAGTAATTACAGTAATACCCTTTATCAAATCTAACTATATATCAGCAACCTATACTGAGGTAAGTTAAGGGCAATTTGATTTTCAATGATCACATCTTCTCCAAATGCAATAGTATGGAAAAAAGTCATATTCTCTCAACATTCCTAGCGTATTTGATGCAAATGCAACTGATTCTTGGAAAAGAAATCAATATACAGGAACTCCTAGCATTCGAAAAGCTCCCATTATTGAAATTACCAATTCTTTGATTCGATATATTGAATTGATGCGTGCTGATTTTCCTGAACAATGCGTTGCATATGTGAATCAATCATCTACCTCTGTACAAAATCAGCAATTGAAACCCACCATATCAAACTCCACATACATGAATCCAATCAGCAATTATAACTTTATGTTTTTATGGCAAAATTCAGAAAATACTGCTAAAATTTATGAAACTTTTTGCAATAACTATATTGAGAAAGTCAGAACCCTTACACAAGGCCTGATATTGCAATCGCAGTATTATTTCGTAGCTTCTTTATGCGTCTATTTGATTGTCACACTGCTCTTTATTGTTTATATGCAGTACGAGTTTTCATTTGTGACAAGGTTGATCAAAGTTATTGACAAACATATACAGAAAGACATTGTTGGAAAAATATATCAAACGTAAGTTTCATATATAATTCTAAATTGAAGTGACTTTCAATTTGTTTAGAGCGTCGCACAAAACCGAAATTGAAACGTCCTTAGAAAGAACTGTAACAGCCAAAGCATTGTCATCCAATGTCATTGTAGTGGTTGTAGTTATTGGTATTGGGCTTCTAATACCATTCTGTGTTGGAATGTTTTTTTATGAAGCTCGATTGAATGCAAAAGCTGCAGTAAGTGGATTATTTATGGCGATACTGATACTACTGACTAATGACCTGTACAAAAGCTTTTCACTTTTACTAATGTTGGGTTAAGCGCCAATATTATTGGTTATTTACAACAGTCAAGCTTCTTAATGACGGAAATGTTGACCTATTATACTCTCGGGCGGGAGAGCTTTCGCGCTGAAAACGGTACCAAGTTGGGCCTATTCTATGGTCATCCATATTTCAAAAATCACGATTTTCAAACCCTTTATGCGAAAGTTCTTTCAACGTCCAACAAGTTGTCAGACAATTGGAACGAGCTTATTTATGGAGATGTCAATAAGGTAAATTTATTGTTAATACTATTGCATTGGGTCGTTACAACCATATTTCTACTTATGAATTTTGATTAATTTCACAAACAGCCTGATGGTAAGTACTGCTAATCATGAAAGTACTGGTGACTATTTAATTAAAACAGATGACCCAGTGATAGGCTTGTACTCAGTGCTTGACGAATTATTGAAAGGACAAAGCAATTGCTCTCGTTATTTAGAACAATATAACATTGAAATGAACGCACAAAATGTCCTTGAAAACTGCACAGGTACGTTGATTAGTAGTTGCACCAAATGGTAAAACGAAACAAATCATGATTTGTGTTGTTATTGAATTGTTTCAATTTTGGAAAATTAATTCTGTAAAGGTATTGAAAAGGTGGTCACAGATTACTTGACGCAGACCACTCAAATTAGTGAGGCGACCAGAGACTTTTTTTTACATCAAACTAGTACAAACTCTACAATGATAGAGTTGGATTTGTATATGAAACACAATGATTTGTTTCGTTTTACCATTCCTATGAATAGGAAACTACAAATCTACATGCAAGAGTTTGTTCGATCCAGTGTTGAGTTGCGTGATTCCATACTAATTTCTTTGAGCGTGATTGGATTTGTATTATTGGGTGTTCTTAGTTCATTGTTACAGAAAATGTTGACCAATCGCTCCAACGTTTTGCAGAAAACGAGAATGATGCTTAATCACGTTCCAGTTGATGTTTTAGATAGAGATGACATTTTAAGAAATCTTGCATTGTACAATGCATACCCTAATATTATCTCTGAGAAAATCAAATCCACCACCGCTAAAAGAGTGTCTGATTCCACCTCATCTAGCGTTTCTAATTTAATAAGCTCACATGTTTACGGGACTATAATACTCAACGCAAGCGGAGAGATTGAAATTTTCAATTCAGCTGCCCATAGGTAAGGGTTTTTATATTTCATATTGATTTTCAAGAATATATTCTATATACGAATGTCTTTTATGCTCTGTGACAACAGATGTTTTGGTTCCAAGCCTGTGGACGTGTTAGGGCTTCCATTCTTGAAGCTTGTAGATCCATCCTCTGAGGAGAAGGTAAAAAAGACAATAGATTCAATTTATGCGAGTGCCATTAAATCTGAAAAATCAGGTGACCCATCATCATCAGCCTTAAACGAAACTCTTGATAACATACAATGCATTCGAGTGAATCAGACTAAATTTCCATCGACCTTGTCGATTTTTTCAACCAAGTTTGTGGATAAGGGAGTTGTGATCGTCATTGTGATCCGTGACATTACTTTTGAATTAAAGCAACAACTGTTGTTGGCAGAAGAGAAGAAAACATCAGAAAACCTTTTAAAGAACATATTGCCAGATGCCGTTGCTTATCGTTTGAAGAAAGGGGAAACCTTTATTTGTGACAAATTCTCAGACATTACATGCTTTTTCAGCGATATGGTTGGTTTCACCAAAATTTCCAGTAAGATGCAGGCAACGGACTTGGTCATCATGTTGAATTTCATTGTGAATGGATTTGACTCGCTTACTGAACGTTACAACGTTGAAAAGATCAAAACCATTGGAGATGCTTATTTTTGTGTTGCTGGATTGCATGGTGATTCATCAGATCATCCAGGTAAGTCTGCGGAAAAATTGACAATGTTGATACATTTCTATTTGTAATTTCTGCTATTTGACAATGGACTTGTATCTCTCAGAGCGAATGCTTCGTATGGCCATGGACACTTTCCATGTGGTTCAACAATTTAATCATGGAAAATCACAAATTGGTCCACCCTTAGATTTGATCAACATTCGAGTTGGACTCAATAACGGAGGAGTAATTGCAGGTGTTATTGGAACGAAGAAATTTGCCTATGGTAAGTCTCAACAGAAATCGAGTTGGGTGCCATAACCATGGTTTACTTGTAATTTTTTTAATCAACCTCTTTTCAACAATGAATATAGATCTTTGGGGTGACACTATCAATGTCGCCTCTCGAATGGAGGTATGTAGTTTTTTCAACATTTAACGTTTGTAAAAAAGTGCTCGTTTGTTTCAACATGATGTTGTTCAGTCTACGTCTCTACCAGGTAGAATTCAGGTGAGTATTGATCATTTGAAAGACTGTTATAATTATATTATGACTATTGTCCATCCATTTTTATGAAACAATTTGTGTCTTATTAAAATTTAGATTTCCAGATCCACCTATGAGAGAGTATATGATTTAGGTTTTGATTTTGAAGAACGAAATGTGGAAGTGAAGGGAAAAGGTATTACTCAATGTTATTTACTCCATCCATCACATCATGCCGATCCATTGGCTCCCATAAAACCTCAAGTGTTTGTTGAGCTAGGTAGTGATCACCTTGACAATTTGCCTGTCGCGACAATGAACAATGCTTCTACCATGGCGCCGTTAATTACAACTTCATTGGAGCAGAATTAATTCTACCACACTTTCGTATTGCTCCTGATGAAATGTGTCACATAATTTTTTTGATGTACTGCTCGTGACAACTGCAACCAATGAGCACAGTGAACACTAGATAGGCCAGTAGTTGTTGTTATTGGGGTGGACACCCTTAGATCATGTATATTCGGAAAAAAGATGCAGCCAGAATGGGCGAGATTTCTTGTCCAATTTGACAGCCGTTCCGTTTGGTCGCTCTTACAACTCGACCGTAAATAAAAGGAATCATGATAATTTCACAACAGATTGATGACAATTTTCCATCTAATTTTTTGACCTTTATTTTTAAAAAGTCAGGTTCCAAACTATCTCTTAGGTGATTATGAAAATACATGTTTGAACTTTCGTAGTAGTACTACTACGAAAATGCTGATGAAAGAAACGTTGAAGGATTTAACAATAATTTATTTTAAACATGAGTTGCAATTTACAACTCGTCTTTTGTTGCAGTATTTGACGATTCACCTCCAATTTGTGGGAATTCTTTAAGAGTATGGAAAGTTTGATCTCCTCCAATGACTCGATCCAACAAGATTGAGGCATCGCTCACGTTTTTAACTCCTTGCTTTGTGGCAAACTTGAGCTTGTGACCTCTGAAAACAGCCATATCGAAACCACCTTCAATGTTACTGTCTTCAAGATTGAAAAGAGTTTTGAGAGCAGAAGAGGCGCTCGATCCAGCGTTGACCTGAACAACAACATTCTCTGGATACTTTTCAGCTACTTGTTTAAGGGTTGAGACTTGTGCATCATTTTGAGCGTCCACAAATCCAATGACACACATCTTTTCACACTTCTTTGAAAAAGTGTCTTGATCCTCAATGACTGTGACCGAGTGGCTAGAGGTCTTCTTTTTCTTTGGAGGTGCCACTGGTGTGCGATCGCCCTTCTCAATATTGGACTCGATAAATTGAACCAAACTAGTCTTTTTCAATGAGGTACCGTCATATTTGATAAAATCTTCAGCGTTCTTAAATAGTAAAACAGCTGGTGTCTTGTCAATGCCGAACTTGTCCAAAAACTTGTCATCACCAACAAATGCAAAATTCACCTTCTTACTTGTAAATTCAATAGCAATGGATTTAAATAAGTTTGGATTTGCGGATTTGGAACTGAAGAGAACAACCTTGGACATGTTTTCACCCTCCTCGGTTGGTGCTAAAAATTGAGTCAATTCTTCCTCAGTCTCAATTTTCTTGACAGGATCTCTGACACCATTCAATAACGAGAGTGCAGTGCTGACAAGAGATCCAGATTCACGTGCGCCTTGATAATCCTCTGGACTTTGTTTTGAGGATTTGAAGGCCGGGAAGATTTTGATGGTTGGAAAACCCTTAATTCCATATCGTTGTGCCAATTCCTTCTCATTATCACAATTGATTCGTCCCATATTAACTACACCTCCGAGAGATTTAGCAGCCTTATCATATTCTGTATTTGTGTACGTCATGATTCCAATTTTGGATCGAGCAAGGAAATATTTCCAATGATAATTATTGATCAAGATTAAAACACAACCATAGATTAAGAAAAAAACATGGTGATCAAAGTGAACACAACCATTGATAATGTTGGAATGATCGGAAATATGTATGTTCGGAATTCAAGTGGTATGATTAAGAGAAATATCATCATGATGATAATATTCATACTGCTGCTAGTATTCTACAATTCCCTTAAGGTAAAAACTCTCTCCAAATACCTACCTGGATGAAGTCTTTGACAATGACCACACCATGGAGCAACAAATGCAACAATCCATGGAGCATCACTATTTGTTACGAGCCGATCAAAATTGTATTGAGTTAATTCAATGACGGAATCGTCCGAGCTTGCTGATGCAGCAATGGAGAAGAGAGTTAGTGCTAATACGGAAGAGGCTACAAGCAGGAAGAGAGAAGGTCGAGAAGCCATTTTTTCGAGTGTTAAAGGTCTTCGAAAAAATGTCTGAAAACCAAACCGCCCTCGGCGATGAAGACACTTATCACCTTCGCCATCACGCCTCTATCAAAGAGGTCGCTGATCGCCCGCATACTGCAAACAAATCTCTCTCTGCTCAAAAATCGGCACATGATAAATTGAGAGAGGAGATGGAAAACGAAATTTTAGAAACTCCGTCCTCCGTCAATATAGCCAATTTGTCGGTAATACAACCCAGCACTGTATGCAACTCTCCTATGTTGTCGCAACCGGAGGTCTCTAATATTACTACAACCTCTGGCGTCTCAGTTTTTAGTACCTCGGCCATGACCGACGACCATTCTACCAAACTGAAGCGACATCATAAACTCTTCAGAGTGGTGGCCTTTACTACCAACTCTGTCGAAGAAGTCCTTGCAACCGTCGCAATGAATGCCGATGCGTTGTACGGTAGTAGAGTTGTCAGTGAATTGGAGTGCATTATTCTCTTCTTCAAGTCGCGCAAATTGGCAAACCAAGCAATATCTTCTGGTGCTAAGTCCAAGCTAACCATGATTCCTCAAACCGTCAAAACGTCATTCCGTTATAAGGTCGACAAAGACTTAGATAAGACTAATATGCACTCTATTATCTCAACTCTTGGTACTTCTATCAACAACATCAATTTTAGCAAGATAGATGATCAAGAGTTTTGGGCTATTGGTACTAATATTGAATTACCAGCCAATCATTTGAAGAAATTTAAGCTTTCCAAAATGAGAACAGATATCTCTCGTTTCCGTATCGCCTTTAACGGTAAAGAAAAAGATCTTCCTAAACTCAAGGGTGCCATTAGTTCCCAATGGAAAGTCAAGATTGAGAGTATCGAGTTGGCTAATAAGGTGGCTGTTGTTGGTGTCAAAAAGGATCAAATCACCAATAACATTACCAAGTTCGTCCAAGTTGGAAATCATAGTTTCAGAAACCTCTCATTCTCTACTAGAGTTGCCAACTCCATCAGTCACAGAATGGAAGCTGTTGAAAAACAAATGTCTGAAATGTCATCAGCTCTCCAAAAATTGACAAAGGAAATGGCTGTCTGGTCTGGAAAAAAGGTCACTGAAGGCTTTAATAAGATCAACAAAGCTATTGAAGAAATTAACCAAAAAGTCAACGCTCTCTTAGGCACTACTACTCGCAAGAGTAAAAGTGGGCATAAGAAGGGCCGACATTCCCTTTAATGGCCTCTCATTCTATAAGAAACTCCTTCAATTTAGGTACTGCTAATTTCGGAGGAGTTGGCTGGGTAAAACAATCTCAATTACTTACCCTAGCCCGAAAATATGAACTGGATATCCTTAATATCCAGGAAACTCATTTAAAATCCAGTACGGAAGACTATTGGAATGTATGGTATTTCAGGTCCTTCTTTCGTGGCTACTTAGTCTATACTTCCAACGCCACCGAGGGAGATAATGGAGCAGGAATTGCTACTATTGTCAAACCGTCACCTTTTATTAAGGTACTCCAATTCATCGAGCATATTCAAGGCAGACTATCAGAAGTCATTTTGGAACATAAATGCCTAGGTGTGGTCCGTATTTTCAATTGGTATGGCCCGGCTAACAAAAACAAATTAGAATTCATGAATAAGGCTCTCAATATTATCAACATTGCTGCTCAAACAGCGGTCTTGCATGGTGAACGTATTGTCATATTGGGAGACTTGAATGCCAATACTAAAACATTCAATAAGGTATCCTATGCTGCCCATGAGCGACTATTAATTGACCAATGTGACAAATTGAAGCTCTTTGATGTTGTTCCCATTCCAAACACACCTTCGTTCTCTCAACGCAACAAATACTCTCATGGTTTTTCTCGCCCGGACCATATTATTACTTCCCACAATGATTATTCTAATGTAGATGATGTTTCTACTGCTTATTCTCACAAACTTTTAACTATCTCCTTTCCCAGTAACCCTATTTTAGACTTCCCAGAAAAGTTCAACAAATATATTATTCATCCTAAAACTCTGCAATCCAAGATGAAGGAAATTAATAACGATTTTGCTATGGACAACCCTAGCACTCTCTTAGAAGCCCAAAATACCCTTGCTAAAATTGTGAAGAAATATGGCTCTCCTAGCACCGACAAGCCTTCATTGATTACTGATAATCGTAATGTTAGACAATTTCAGACGATCATTTTTGATTTGAAACAGTATCTTTATAAGCGTAAATATGTCTCTACTGTCACCAGCCAGTTCTTGAATAATAATTTTAGCCTCAACAATATTAAGGCTAAATTAGAGGAAGCTAAAGCCTCGCTTAACAAGCTTATTGGATCTCTATTGGCTGACCGTAAACGGGTCTTCGTGAATAGAATTAACAATCTTAGCTCTAAACAACCGTACTCCTATGCCTTCAGAAAAGAATTAGTCAGTTCTTCTATACTCAATGTAGTCCAAAGTAACCATAACTCGATAATTGTAGATCATTTTTCAGCCATGTTTAACACAGAACAAGAAGTGACTAAAACCCTTCCGGAAATCAAGAAAAATAATACTGTAGCCCAATGGAAATTCCAACATATCACTGCCAAAGAGTTGGGTAAAGTTATTTCTAAAACAAAAAATTCCATGGCTGGCTATGATAATATCTCGGTGCCGTTGTTGAAAATTCTAGACAACAATTCGCTCCAAGTACTTGCAAAATGTATCAATCACACAATTGACAGTGAAATGGTTCCTAAAGAATTGGGTATTGGTATTCTACTCCCATTACCCAAAGTCAATATGCCTACAAAATTATCAGACTTTAGACCTATAGTAGTATTATCTGTGATCTATCGCCTATTTTCTTCTATTATCAACAAACAATTCATGAATATCCTTGAAGAGGCTAATTTAATCCATACTGCTCAGCGAGGATTCATGAAAAAAGGCTCAACATTAGAGCACCTTATCAATCTTCGGACTGCCCTAGCATACAAATGTCAGCACAAACAAGAAGTATTCGCTATGGCTTTAGATATCAAAAATGCTTATGGATCAGTAATCCATAAAAGATTTATCAGCATTCTCAAAAAACATGGTTTCCGTAGCTCTGTCATTAATCTCTTGACATCCATGATTTCCAATAGCGTTATGAAAGTACTAGTTAACGGATTCCTATCCTCCCCTTTCGATGCGAATGTTGGAGTCCCACAAGGCGACCCTTCAAGTCCAGCATGGTTTAATCTCTATATTAACTCCTCAACTAATATACAAGAAAAACTAAAAGGAGTCCAAATATTTGATATTACTATCCTTTTATTATTATATGCCGATGATATTTTATTGATAGCTAATACTAAGATTGAAATGAATTCCTCTCTTAAAAGCCTCGGCCGAGAGTTAAAGAAAATAGGACTCGCTTTAGCTCCCAAGAAATGCAAGCTCTTAGCTATTACAGCTAAATCTAAACTATCTAAAGCCCTAGTCACTATTGGACAGGATACAATTGCCTCGTCTACTTCTATTGAATACCTTGGGGGTATATGTACCTTTAAGGATAATCTTTCTTGGTCCTCTGATAACCCAGTCAACAAAATCTCGAATCGACTTGCATCAGCTAAAACTTCTAATCTATATCTCAACAGTATCACCACTACAATTATGTCTAAAATTATATCATTGCCTAGATATGCCTGTAGCTTCAATGGAATCAGTAAGAATTCTCTAGACAAAGCAGATATTATGGTTGCTAATTTTATCAGAAAGGCTATTGGATTAGATTACACATTATCAAAATCAGTCGTTTTTAATTGCAAACAAATTGGGGGTCTTGGTATTACTCGCCCCTCTATTTTATTCTCTATTGAACCTATTTGCACAGCAGTTAGATTATTCAATTCCTCATCCTCCATCACCAAAAATATAGCTTTGGCTGCTTGGAAAGATACTACTTTTAACGAACCATTTTGGAACCACGTGAAAAATATTGCTGCTCAAAATAATTGGTCTCTCCAATACATTGATGAACGATATTCATTTGTCAATGAATACGAAACCCCTGTCGACCCTAGAACTGAATTGCTAAACAGTGATAGATCAACCATGAGCATTTCTGGCCTTGGAACCTTAGACCATAATAGAATCTGGCATCCATGTACCATCTCCTTTTGGAACAATTATTCACTCAAACCATTCCAGCAACGACTGTTATTTGCTCACCTGCACAAAGCAGAAATCCTTAGAAATTTCGGAAAAGATTACCCTAATTGCCACATTTGCAACACCAAAGCCAACTGGGAACATGTATTCACCTCATGCGCCATGTGTAGCCCAGAAATCAAATCATTATACACAAAATGGGACAATAGTTCCCTCAAATTCAACGCCCCGCTTGTCAGACTTCCCTCTAACCATTCTCTCTCTTGTATTCCAATGGAGTGGAATGGTAGTATCAAAGACGAATCTCTCCAACAACTAGACCTATCTCCCCCAGCCTTGACTGATTGGCTAAATGAAATATATCTCTCATTCGCTGCTTATGTTGGCAGTTGTTACAAAAACGCCACTTGGAACAGTTCTACTGTACTCAAGAAGGCTAGAGGATATATAATTAAACCCAAAACTGCAAAATTTGCAACTGCTTGGGAAACATGTAGCAATCAGCTTGGCGAACTCAACTCCGACAACATTTAAACCCCACACATACACACCCATTAGACACACTCTCGTCGGACAATTGAGTACCTATAATTTGTTTATTCTTCAATAAACCCATCCCTGTATTTTTTCGAGTGTTAAAATTCCGACGACTTGGACACGTGTTTCTACAAGGGTATTACTTAAAAATGTAATGAAAAAACATTGCCGACACCAGGGATCGAACCAGGGACCTTAAGATCTTCAGTCTTACGCTCTCCCAACTGAGCTATGTCGGCTTCTTATAAATGTATCACTATACTTAAGAATATACTAAAGAATGACGAGTAATGCTGGCTGCCGTAAAAATCAAAACTGACCCCTGCTCCGGAGGGGTATCTCCGCACCCTCATTTTATCGCTGCAGAATCTTTAATCGAATATTTTTTGCAGGCAACTGACGGCGGAGCGCTAGTTATTGCAAAGTATTGGTGTCCTTGTATTGGAGTACAACAATCGCTTTTGAGAATAAATTGCTAGCCTTTGAATTTTGAAAATATTTGAGAGTATCACGAGTTGTATACAGTGGAACTTTCCGTTGAAACCTTATACAATTTAAGAGTTGGCTTACACCTCTCACTTTGGTAATTAGCCAAAACAAAAAAATACATTGCGACAGCACAACACTACCCAACGTGCCTTGTCCAATCATAACTCACTCCAATTTCCAAACCAGCGAATCAACATCTTACTCTCAAACCACACGAAAAAAATGGCAGATTTCGAAGGAGCCTATCAACTCGTTCACTCACAATTGCAAGCTCTTGATAAGAATTTGTTTTATCATAATATTGGACATACATTTGAAGATGTTCTTCCGACTGCAATCATGTTGGCGAAAGAGGAAGGTCTGAATGAAGACGACATATTGCTAGTGTAGGTTTTGTTTTTTGAATGTACGACGACATCTTCTCAATTTAATTAAATATTCCAATGCACATTTCTATTCATCATATTCCAATGCACACGGGTCATGATACAAACATAAATATTCACCAATACATTTACTCGAACGCTCTTGATTTGACACTCTAATCTAGAAAAACCGCAGCTCTATTCCATGACACTGGTTATCTCGATCAGTATCCCAAGAATGAACCTAAAGGTTGTGAAAGAGTTCGTCAATACTTGCCTCAATTTGGATACTCGGAAGATCAAATTGAAAAAATTTGTAAATGCATCATGGCCACTATGGTTCCTCAAAATCCAGGTGACTGTCGCTTGTGTCAAATTTTGTGTGATGCAGATTTGGGTCATTTAGGAACGGATCTTTATTTCTTAAAATCGGAATGTCTCAGACTTGAATTGGAAAGAGTTCACAAAAAGCCAATCACACCTCGAGATTGGCACATTTCCAATTTGGACTTTCTTCAAAAACATCACTACTTTACCAATGCTGCTAAGAAAATCATGCAACCTGTGAAGGAACAAAATTACAAGCTCAATGAATGTTTGGTGTATGGTCATTCAAATAATAATAAATAATGTACAAGTCACAAAAAAGCCTCTGTACCGTCACACTGACAAAATTGATGGATACCACTATTAAGGTGAAAATTGTTGCGTTCAACATTGAAAATGGTTGATATCAAAAGTCATATTCTCATTTCCATCCCCTCAATAAACCACAGTTACTTTTACAAGTAATTAATAATGATTCTGGGCAGGAAATGAAGGCGGATGGTTGGGAGTTGAGACAATTTCAACTGCGACATCCTCGACACTCGAACTACTAAGAGTATTCTCATGATCTTCATCGTCACTATGTTGATAAAAATACTTTTCATCCACATGAAATGATTTATCATTCCTCAACACTTGAGTCGATGACAATATTCCTTGATATTGCATGGGTGAAAGCATGACATGACTGCTGCCACTACTATTCGCTCCCGAATTTCTAAATTTCGATGGTGACTTGTTAGCATTCGAATAATAATAACCATTTCCAATAGATTCTCTCTTTCGATCTGTACTTCCATAATTTAAAATTCCCTCAATACTACTCGAATGATTAAGGCCAAATCTCGCTCCACCCTCATTACTGCTACTACTGGTATATCCATCTTCACTCTCTCCACTACTGCCATACATCGTGATCATTTTGTGTAACATACTCTTACGGAAGAGTTGTCTTCGTTTTCGTTTCGTTTTCTTGTACTCGACACAGAAACGACAAAAATTCGTACAAAAGATTCCAACAGAAATCAATACGAGCAAAAGTAGACATGCTCCAGCACCAATGACACCCAATCCTACAATGGTATAAAAGTGAATGAGATTGGTTTTTTCAAAGGAAACATTCTTTGGATTGCGAGGATCATAGAAACAAGGGACACGATCTTGTAGGGTATAGTTGGCATAGGGAGAGTCTCGAGGAAAGGGAATGATGGATGATTTGATGGTGGTTTCTGCTGAAATTGGGTGTTGTTGTTGTTGTTCCGAAGAGGGAATGGTGAAGGAAACAGAGTAGGTACATTGTGTCGTGATGAGGCTTGCGTGTTTGGTGTTATCGGATGATGATGATGATTGTACAGTAAAAGTGGAATGAGAGGAGTGTACGAACAATGATGATGATGATTGAGAGAGGGAAGAAGCCTTGTGGTGTGGTTGAGCCAATAATTTTCGTTCTGATGATGATGAAAATGTATGAATTTCTTCTTCTTGATGGTGATGAGAATGAATGACTCTCCTCTCGTGATGATGAACCAGATTGTTGTTCTTGTTATTGGTAATACATTGTAATTTAGAAAGAATGATGCATGTGGCTGGAGAGGTGATATTATCACTCGGCGATGTCATAAAAACTACCAATCCGACAATGAGCACTGCAATGGCAGGCAATAAACAAATCCCGATACAAATTCCATGAAGAATGAGCTTAAAGGGAGAAACGTTCTTGAAGAGAAGCCGAGAAATATCTCGTTTGGTAAATCTCATAATATATTATAGTGCCTTGATCCAACAATAATTTTAATTCAGGCGTTGTGATGATAAATCGGAAAATGGTTGAGTGTGAAAAAATATTTTTCTTTTGTTTTTGAAAAATTTCAAATTTCAAATTCTTACGAGAAAAAGATCTTCATTCCTGAATTGGCTCATTAAAAAAAAGAAGCCTTATACAATCAAGTTGATCCATTGAATTCTCAATGTAAGGACTACCCATTAAAAAATCTTTGCTGGAGGAATAAAGGAAACTTGTTGATTCACAACAATTTGCTTCTTAGATCCAAAAGAATCTTCAATGGTGAAGGAGGATCGATGGGTTGGTAATTGTGACACTGTAATGGTTGCCTTTGTTCCATCAAACCATAAATCAAATTTTCCTCCTACATAATGTACGCCTCGTAATTTCATTGTTGTCACATTGAGTTGAGTGAATGGTTGTGGATTTAGTAACAAGTAATCATCGTAGGCTTTTAAACCTCCATAACCATTTTGAACACTCTGTAAAAATCCACCTGCTCCAGTTAAAAAGTTAAAAGATCCCATATCTAGAAAATGTTTATAAGGATCTGGTGTCTCTGAAATGATGTTAAATGGAGGATGAATATTAAGAAGAGATCTTCTGAAGGCTTCTCCAGCCAATGAATAATTTTTCAAATCTGTCATAAAATGTCACATACAGCAGCCATGTATCAAAAACTAGACAATCATATTGAACACTTACCCAAATAGGTTATCGTGTGCATGGAATAGGTCATTGCAGGTCCTTCTGACCACATATATTTTTCATAATATCGAATGTCATTGTATCTGACATGGGGTGGCATTGGGAACATGAGAGGATATCCTGTTTGTTCACGCCATGTACAGTTCCATTGAAAATTATGAATTTTGAAATCACAACATTGTGAAACGAGTTTGTGTCATCATCTCATTCTTGAATGATATATACATACCTAGCAAGACGACATCTGCTTGTTTGACATACTCCATGAAATAAATATTTCCCTTTGGAAAGCCATCATATTCTGGATGAATCTGATTGACTTCATCGAACAGAATGGTCATGTTATTTGCAATTGCATCAAATAATGGAGTGTCTTGCTTTCCAAGAGCACGTGCTGCCTTATTTGCAAATCGAAGTGAAATTTGAGCAACAGCATTGGTAAAGACATTATTATCCACACCACTGTACCATGGAAAACCAATTCCAAATTCATCCGGTCCAACCACTCTATGAATCTCGTAGAGTCCAAACGTGTTTCGAGTGACACGACTTGCCCAGAATTTTGCAATTTCAGAAGCAATTGGATAGCCACGTGTGGAAAGCCAATTCAAATCTTTGGTCAATTGCCAATACAATTGAAGAGCAAAAGCAATGTCTCCTGTGATGTGCTGTTCCAATTCATTAAATAGTGCAATTAAATCTACTTCTCTTCCACTGTATCCTAATATCAAGAATTTTTCAAATATTGCATGTTGTAGTAATGATAGAAATAATATGGACAAATTTCACTACGTTAACATATTTCCATAGGATATCCTCCACTTACCTGATTGGAAAGGATACATGGCACCAGCATAACCATATCTTTGAGCATGGTGTAGGGCTTGCTGAAGTCTCTCAAATCTGTACTCAATGAGACCATGAGCCAACTCTGGATACAAGTAAACGAGGGAAGGTAATACAAAGCATTCTTGATCCCAAAACATGAGCCCATTATATGAATTAGTTGCAACTATGGGCAATGTTATATTTCACAATTATATTTCATGTTACATGCATGTAATTGTTACCAAAGTAATCAACGATTTGAAAATTCGATGAATATTCGTTTCAATGTAAACGTGTGAAAATAAGATGTATGACAATACCATCAAAGTCTACATACCTCCTCCAGGTGATATTCCCCAATGATAATCCTTCCGTGTAGCACTTAACATGTAATACAATGTGCTATTGACCATTGCAGCCAGTGAGACATTTCCACCTAACTCAATTCCACTCTTCCACAATTCGGCCCATTCTCGAGTGTGATTATTCATTAATTCTTGTGGGTCCATTGAAATTCCTTTCATAAAATCTGTTGCTGCTTCTAACAGAGGATCCACAGAATCAATCGTCGATCGAATGGCAGTGATATGTGTGAAAATGCTTCTCGAATTTGCCTTTACCTGTATAGGCAAAGAAGATGAAATTATCGATGTCACAAATGCAACTTTCACACGTTCCGATTCTGGTGTCTCCAATTCAACGAGCTCTCCAACTTGACACATGATATTCGGCCATGAAATTGGACATTTCACCTCACTAAATGAAATATCCTTACTTGGTGGTGTCACCACTTGCATGAGTCCAATCTGAACATTATTTCTTCCATTCCTATTATCGACATCTAATTGATGTACCAGCAATGATCGAAACACACGATGAGCATAATATCGTTGCTCGACTTTTAAATCCTCCAGTTCTGTAGAAATTCCAACAAATCTTCTCAAATACATGGCCCGTTCCATATCCAATGCTGATCCAACTCCTTTCAATGTAACCGTTCCATCCATTTCACTTTCATTCAACTTGACATGAATGTTCATCATGGATGGAATTCGGGCTCTTCTCGAATGAAAACCAATCAATTGATCGAGAATGACTTGCTGTCCCACATACACTCCACCCATAAAGACATCGGCACTATCAATGACCGTTCCAATATAACCATTGGAAATGGATGGAAGATAATTGGGATCGTTGGGTTCGGAGGGAGTGGCTAAGAGTTGAGCCTGTGCCATTCGTTCTTTCCAATCATCATTGTTATTATTATTATTATTATCATTGTAGTTGGGGTAACGGAATGATTGATGTTCTTGTTGTATGAAATGTTTTAAATCATTAGAAATTCCGTTGAATGGAATGTTAAGCCTAATAAGATTGATCATCATTCAAATATATTGAAATACATAATAATTGAAATCATTCTCAATAAATACGATCCTAATATCACGTGAACACGTACGAAGAAACTAATTGAATTTCCTCCTCCACAAAATTCAATACGAAGATCATCATCATCATGATGAAAAAAATTAGAGTCTTCTTGTTCATCATGATGGTGGTGATTTGTCGGGATGAATATGAGGAATTATCAGCTCTTGGGACTTGATGTCCTCGTTGATGAAAGGATGATTCATTCATTCGTTCCGACAAGATGATTTTTTCATGAATTATTGAAATTCTCATGACAGGAGTCGTTTGGGTTTTTCAAAAATTGAAAAAGAATTACATAATGGTGATCATGATCATCCAATAATGAATAAGGATCAAAGACTCTATTATTGGTTCTTCCTTGAATATACAATAATTGATTATCCTTCCTTGTAGATGATGATTTATACAATGCATTAGAAAAACATTAACCTCACTTCCTTATTGAAATTTCCATCATACCGAACCTTTGCCATCATATGTAACCATGAAAAAGGTTCCTTTTTTATCTCTTCAGGCGAGTTGTCTCTTGTCAAACACTTCAAAAAAAACCAAAAAACTTATTCATGGGCAAAACAGGTCGTCATCGAAAGGTTGGTTGTTGAGTTCATTCCATCATTCCAATAGTCCTTCTTACATTTTCAAAATAACATTTGTTTTCATCATCATCATTTTGTATAATTCTTGGACTTGACATCAAAAAAAACAATACTTTCAGATTTCCTTCTTTTCTCTTCAGACTGCACAAAACTCTGAATTGAAAAAGGAATGGTTTTGGAAACAGGGTGGAAGAATCAAGTCGTACGTTTTTTAAACATCTTGTTCAAATCATATGAATTTTTTTTAATTGGATGATCCGATCGAATTGGATCGGAATTGACAATTCTATACATGGGCACACACTTTGGAATCTGTGTACACACATGATGATGATGATATGACCAATTGTACACAATTCTGTGCACTACTCATTTTGGGTGTGATTCATAATACAATTGACATGTAGATGGAAAAAACGTCTCTTTGTCATTTTCGAAAATACTCTCTACTACTATGCCTCTGAACAAGATAAGGAACCAAAAGGTGCCATCATCTTGAAAGATTCCTCCGTTGAAATTTGCAATCCTGAAGACACTCTCAAAAATGGAAAAAAACCACCTTCCGAAAATGGACAATCTGATTACTATTCAATACACACTCTTCACAATTCTGAGAAAGTGCGAAGTAATTCTACCAGAATTAAAAATTTTTGCGACCAGCTGCGCTGTGACATTGAGTACCCTTGATGCCAGGGGTAATTCAGACGTTGGTGTATTGCTCGTGGTCAGACACCTTTCGATCGTTTGTTATTGAATGCAGATTTGAAAATTGTGCAACAATGGTCACAATTTATCACACAAGTAGCGAATGGAGACAATTTAGAGTCCAATTCCAAAAACTCATTTTCGAAACATGGTGGATCGAAAAAATTGGGATGGATGATTAAATCAGGAGGAAAATTGAAAGCATCGTGGAAACAACGATTTTTTGTGTTGCGAAACGATATGCTTTATTATTATAAACCTAAAAAGGAGAGTGACACGAATCAAAGTAGTAATTCCAACCATGTACAAGACATGGTCAATATTTCCGAATTGGATGCAAAACTGCAGAATATGATTGCTCAAGGAGTTGTCACATTTTACAATTCAACCATTCAGTTTAAACAAAATCCAGCAAAGAAAAAGAAGAAAGTTAAAAACGCTGAAGATTTATTGCATGAAATTGAAGAGTCGGGAACTTCACGAGATCGATCGAGATCAGTAAGCTCGCTTCGACGCAGTACTGTCGATAAGAGATGGTCTCTATCATCCATTTCGAATGGTCAATTTATCATTCCAGAAGAACCTTTCGACAATGATTTTCAAAAAACTTGGTTTGCCTTTGAAATTCGAACACCTTCTCGAACCTATACCATTTATGCCAAAACTCAAGATGATTGTGATGAATGGGTGTTATTCTTATTCGAATCAATCCTTAATGTAATGGGAGAGTTGTCACATTTTGTGAAAATTGGGCATTCTGACTTTGACGATGCCACTTCGACCGCTTCAGATGACATGATCGAAAGTGGCGGTTCCTCACTCAATGCTGACAGTGCTCGTAGTTTATTGCCCTCTTGGAAAGTATCATTTCTGAGAATAGTTCTGCGAATAATAACAATTCAGAAACGGATCGTCTCGACATCAGTCGATGGACAATATTGAAGCTCAACCCATTTCCATCATTTCCGAAACCATTTTCGATGAAATTCAAAGAAGAAAGGAAGATGAAAAAGTTGTTGCACTCTTGAAAAAGTCGAAAAAACGAGAATCGATCACATTTAAAGGTTCCTACAGTGAAAAGTTTGCATTCTTGGCTACTGAAAATTCTCTTCAAGCAGAATTGGTTCCAATCAAATTGTATATTTTACCTGGAATTTATACCGAGTGTCAAACATTGGTCGTTTCTCAACCCTTAGAAATTCATGGAGCTATTTTTGAAAATTGCATTATTGAAATGCATTCATCAAAATTCTGTGAACCCATGATTCGAATTAATAGTGAAAATGTTCGTTTCAGAAAATTGAAACTTCGAATTATTTCCGAGTTGTCCAATGAGCAAATTGAAATGAAAAACAGATACATGAACGGAAAGACCTCATCGAATGGAAAATCGAGCAATAAGGACTTTCGAATTCCATGTGCCATTCATGTCGAGAATGGAAGTCTTTTTCTCGATGAGTGTGAAATTACCTTTGAAGATTTTACGGACCCTGAAACGTTTGTAGATAATGATTTACAAGGAGGATCATGTTGTATTTTGGTGAGCAACAATTCCACATGTGTCACCTATAACTGTTCTCTTTCCCGTGCACACTATGGTGTTGTTACGAGCCAAAACGGAACGTGTGTTAGTTTTGGTGGTTCTATCAAATCCAAAATTGCTCCATTCATGAACAATGATGAAACTTCGAGTTCAAGAAATTATCATGTACAGGTATCTTCATGTAAATAACATCATCACTAATCAAGATTAAAATCTAACTTTCTATGTCTTCAGAAACGGTGCTTGTTAATAATTGATTTTTTTAATTGATGGGTTAACAAATAACGTCTTAGAAATGGTTGCTTGTGAAGGTTGGAATTTCTTTTCAAATAACTCTCTTAAACCGCATACTTGAAAATGATATCACGTTTCACGTCAGCCTTACCATATTTCCTCCATTTCACAAAATCAATGCCACAATCCGATTTGGTTGATGTTCCACCCTCGGATAAAAACTTTTGATAATCCTCTTCCACTGAATCTTGGTCATATTCGCTCTCCCAATACCAAACATGATCGTATTTATCTTTGACCCAATAATGTGGTGCAAGAATAAAATCACCCTTTTCTTGCCCTTCTTTGTCATTCATTTTCTTCTCGAGAATGGTGTGATAACAACAATAGGCATCCTCATAAAAGTTTCTGTTGTGTGGATGGAAGCTTCCTATTTTATCTTGTCGTCCTGGGTTAATGGTGACAAATTGGAGTGGCATGGGTTCAACTCTTTGTAAAATTTTCGTAACATCATTCACACCATAAACTGCGTTAAAACTGGAAGGATTTGGAAATTGTTCACGATGTAGTGTTCCATTCACAAATAATTGTTCCATTTTTTGATATCGAAGAGCCATTCCATGTACATCCAGACGAGCCGTATTAATAAAACTTCTACCTGTAGAATAATCGCAATCATGTTTGAATAGGTCCTTGTCTTTTTCTGTATCTTTTAGTTTGCGATCCATCTTGTTGTGAAAGTGTAGTGCACTTGCAAATGCAAAGTTTGAATAAATTGATGAATAATGTCGTCTCTCTTGCAATAATAAATAAGCAAGACCTCTACAATTTTCAGCAGATGGATTTGGAATTCTCTGAGCTTTCAAATAATATTTTTCTTGCAAGGGATGAAGTAGTCCTTCTCTTTTCACATAATTTCTATTATAATTTGGAACATAAATTCGAAAACCTCTACATGCATACTTGTATAATCTTTTTTCATAGGTATAGGATTGTCGTGAAGTGTCCACCATGTTATAACGATAAATTATGGATCTTCTACCTCTTGGGGTTGTCAACACATTCACTCCATCGAATGCAAAACAACACGAATCTACATCAAAGCCACACAAAACCTCTTCAATTGAAGAATATAATCTCAAAATAATTTGGAAAGCACGAATAGAGTTCGAAGTTCTTATAGTGATAGATTGACCACTTCGAATGAGAAATACCTGATCATCCTTAGTGTTTTTCTTAATGACCTCAATGATGTGCTTAATCTTCTCCAATGCTTGTTCTTCGTTGAGACCATACAAAAACATGTCTACGTCAGAAGTTCTATAACTGTATTTAGAATTAAAACGTTCATAGTAAAAGGTCATGTTTTCATTGGGATCATCAAGTTCATCATCCTTATACATAGGACTGCTTTTGATTTTGGGATCCAATTTTTCAAATTCCAAATCTTGAGCATATGTTCAAAGTTGTGACAACAAGTATAAAAGAAGACAAACATGTCACGTTTTTTTGAGATGCAGAATAGTATGATACATACCTCGATAACTGAAGGCACGATGTGGCATAACTTTGTGCTCACAAATTTTCTGGTTTGTAGGAGCTCTCAGCATGGTACAGAGCACGGAACCGCCTGCCAAACATACGTTGGAATAATCTAAACCATTTAGCAAATTTTTTGTGAATAAATTAAAGTTGTAGATAAACTCCTCTCTGCAAGTGACAATTTCAGGTCTCGAGAGAGCATTATGGCGTCCATTAAAGCAATTGAAAGGATTCTCAAAATTAAACAAGAGACTGCTTTCAGGAGCATCAATAGTTGGGGAAGGAGAAAAACTTTCTAAATGGTCAAAAACATTAATCAATATCTTCTTGCTTTCTTCCAAAAATTTTGGATTTTCTCTGAGGACGACAAACGCTTCTCGTAATGACTCCTCTTCTTCACGCATCTTCCAATTGGTTCCTCCAATTAATTCTCTCAAATAATCTTCCGTAATGTAGCAATGATGAATATATTGGAAAAATTCTGGTAAATTGTACTCTTTGCAAGTTTCATTCACGAGAGAGTCATGTTCCTGTGCCCAATTCAACTCTTCCAAATCTAGCTTTCCATATTTTATGAACTTGAGCATGTATAAAATTTCAACATTGGCAATTAATGACACAACAGGTGGAGAGGCAGAGTTTCCTTGTTTCATATGTTTCATGGCATTAGAAAGTGCAAGAACGAGAAACTTGGAATGCTTAAATTTTAAAAGAGATCTCATTGGCACCAAGATGGAGCTTTGGTTCATGCTGAACTGAATACTAGTTTGTGACAATTGTTGAAGCAGAATTTGATGTCTACTACCCGCGTCAACATTGTCACGAGGAGGCAATAGTGTCGCCAAGTACTCAGTATCCACCCGCTCGGTCATTTTAGGAGGCAATGGGAATGCAGATGATGGTGTAGCAATGACTTGAGAGCTCGAAATGTGTTGTGAGTCTTGTTCGGTTCCTCCACGCTGATAATTTAAATCGAATGGGTTGAATAATGACTTGATTTTCGTTTCCAAATAAGAAGCCAGAGAGGGAATGCAATAAAACTCTGCCTCTTCTCTGATCGAGTTCAATAACTTGATGGATGAGCAAGAAAACATGGTTGCCTTGAGAATGTGCTCATTCACAAAGTATTTCTTCATCAAGTCGTGGTCAATTTGGCAGGCACCATAACTAGCTTCTAACTCACTTCGAGATTTCCTTCCTCTAACATAAAATGGGTTCTCATGAAAGCAATAGAAAGGAAAATTCTTAGAGTCGTCTGTTCCCGTTGTGATGTTACTTCTTTCCAAAGTGTTTTCATCACTTCCAAGAACTTGTGCTTGGATATATTTCCAATCTCTTCTCAATCGCAAATATGCCAAGATGAATGGAAAATAAGTAGGGTCTCTTTGGATTTTGATACATCCATTCTCCTTTTCAATGATGAAATGATTATCCTCTTCTCCTTGATCCATGGAATTCAATTCCTGTTCACAGAGTGTCGTCAATAAATCTCGATCGCTTCCTTCAAAATTTTCCAAGTCTATACCAAATGAGAGAATGCTGGAAGGGATGTGAAACACTTGTCCTCCAACACTGACACGAAAAACTCGATCCTGCAACTTTTTCTTGAGTAGCATCTTCTTTTCAAAAATCTCTTGCTCGATTTGAGAATTTAATGAGCTTGAAAGCGAAGCAGGTCTTTCATCATAACCACATTTTAATTTTTCAAATTTATCCATCACTTGTTTCATCAACTGTTCATCCTCAGTTTCTTTGATTTGATCTAAAAATTCATTCATATTTTTCTTGTTGCAATGATGATGATGATTGGAAGATTCCATTCGTTTCGGAATTTTTGTAGCTGTGGTATCATCATTCACATGGACTTCATCATTGGAAAGTGTTGTTGAACTCGTACCCGACAATGATTGTTGTTGCCGATCCAATAAAAACAATTCCAAAGCATCGACACCAGCTTGGTCGGTCAATGGAGTCATCTCCTTTGGTGGAACATATATTTTAGCTTGTTTGTTCCTTCGATACATTTTTTTTTTCCAACTAAAACTCGAAAAGCTCGAACTTCTCGCAATTGTTGTTTTACAAAATTACTTTTATGGCCCATTTTAATGCCAAAACAAAAATACATAGACTGCTTCCAACGAGGCTGGTTGATCCTCTCGGAACGAGTGGAACATTTTAAATTTCAATTGCTCCATTCCCATAATCGTTCTCACGTTGGTAATGCCTTCTTTTTGAATTCTCAAATGACCTTGCCGGAGTAAATCAGCACCTCCTTGCACTTGTTGAAGAATTGTGGCTCTAGCCTTAATATCTTGATTGAGTTGAATGAGTTCGGAATTGACAAAATCCAAACTGAAAATTTGAGTGAGAGATGTCAGTTGAGAACTCGTTTGATAGCCCAATCGACTCAATAAGCCTTCGCTCACACACCTAATATTGGGGAAATTCGGTCCAGTCATGATGAATCCTGTTTGTTCATAACTGGCTGAAGGAAGAGTTGGAAATTGAAGTTGAGTCAGAGCATTGCTGGAATATGGCTGTTGAGAAGCATAGCTCGATGCTGCTGTTACTGGTGCATTGTTGTTCAAATAATTAATTGGAGAATGAGAGGAGGTGGTCGAAGATGAAGAAATAGAGGATACATTGGAAGGAATTGGGTGCAGCAGCGTTCCAAAGGACGAAGAGGATGATACCCGAGGAAGTAATTTGTGTTGTTGTTGTTGTTGAGGAGGCTTTTGATGATGAGGTTGTGGCATGGAATGTGCTTGAGCAGTCGTTGGAGAGGTAGTTCTTGAGGCTGTCGTCGTGGTTGTATTCATGGTTTCAGCTTGATGAATTCCTGTCAATGATGAAGAGCTTGAAGATTTTGAATTGGTTTGAGAAGAAGTTGCCGAATCTGGATCTTTCTTTGGATTAGTTCTCTTCCTTGAAGTTGTGGTGTTGGAATTCGATTTGTTTCTCTTTTTGGTTCCATTATTACCAAAATTAAGAACTTGTTCTGACCCATTTGGAATACTAGATGATGAAGATGCTTCATTTGGATTGCTCGATTCGGATTGCTTCTCAATGATGCTACTACCACTAGCATTGTTAACATTCTCAATATTACTTTCATTTGAACTTGGTGAAGCAGTTTGATTTGGTGCTCTGGAAGATGTCTTTTCCTTTTTTCGAGATGGAGCAAGATCCAATGTTTCCTCACTCAACTTGTGCTTGTTGTTCATGTTGGCAGTGGATCTTCCTCTCTTCTTTGTGGAAACTACTTCCACACAATTCAATCCCAGCTTGGTACACCGATCGCATGGTCTTTCAAATCCACATCGAGTGTGTCTTTTTTGACATTCCAAACATGCTTTGCTCGCTCGTTTTCTCCCATTTGGATAAGCTTTAGCTCCAATAGTGTTGCCTGTTGATGATTTGTTGCGAATACTTGTTGGAGAATGAGAATGGTCGTCTTGATCTTGCAGATCAGAAGCGAATTGGTCATTGGAAATATCCTCATCGTCAAGAATGAGATCGGCATGCTTCACATGTTGTGTATCCTCATCCAAAGAGTTCGAAGAATAGGATGATGGTGAAGATGAGATGCTTTTTCGTTTGGTGTTCTTTCGTTTCCTGAAAGCAAAATGAGGCGTAAACGCATTGTTGTTATCCTGCACGAGCGGAGTTGGTTGTTGTTGCTGCTCATTGTTGATACATGTATCATGCATGTAGGATGGTGTCGTGTCGATGTTACATGTAGCAGCTTCATGACCGCCAACCAACATGTTCTTGAACGACATTTTAGAATGATCATTAATGCTGCTCATGTTTGCTTGAACAAGTAATTCCATGTTGTTGTTGTTGGTCATACGACCATCCATGGTGTTGTTTGGATTGAACCCATCTCCCTTTAAAAAGGAAATCAAATGATCCACATGATCATGATCAACAGGAAGAAGACCATCCACACCAGATAAGGGATACAAGATGGACAAGTTAGACAAGTCCATGGTTTGTGGTGGTGGTTGTTGCTGTTGTTGTTGATCCGGTGGTTGTGGAGGCACTTTTTGAAATGTGTTTGTCGCTGCGCGATTAATGTCAGAATGATGGAATGATTGAGGTGATTGCATGTCCACATGATTTTGTTGTCGATTTCGTAGCGTTGTTGTTGTTGTTGTTGTTGTTGTTGTAGATGTAAAATCATGAAAGATGTTTGTCTCTTCAAAATTAGGTTGGTTGTTGTCAATATTTAGATGGTGGTTATTGTTCATGGAGGTAGATGGTTGGTTTGTTGTGACTATCTCTGATTCGATATCGATGGTGGCATTTTCTCCTGATGAGGACATTGGTGCCATAAATGAATAAGGAATATGCAACGAAGGTTGGTATTCGCCAAAATCTTCTCGGGATGCCGTTGTTGAAGTCACAGTTGCATCTTGATTCGATGGAAGCATGGCGCAAGGATTAGGAAGAAATGACACTGGGGAATAGCTGCTTTCTTCTTTGAATTGAGCAAGAAATTGATAGTGTGATGGTGTGTAAACACAATTATTAACAACTACGGCAACAGGAGCTGATGTGGATGGCGTTGTTGAATCTTTCAACGTTATCATTAATCTTGTTTTAGGCAATTGTTAAATTGGAATTGACGTAGTATGGAAATTATTACGTCAATCAATATGATTACTAGGGATAGAACGCCCAGAGTAGTAATGTTAATGATGATGATAGTTGCGGTACTATTGGCACGTGTTGAAATTTCACAAGTGCGCACTTGTGAATACAAAGGCTGTGTGGTCAAGAGGACGGGGAGAGTGGTGGGACGGGTGAATGTAATTGTCAATTTTTCTTTGACAATTCTTGGAATGGTATGGCTGGCTATCTGCTGCTGGCCAAGAGCGATGAGGACTATAGTAGTTGAGTGAAGAGGACTATGCAGGTATTAATAGGAGTGAGTTTCTCGATTGCGTACTACTGGCGAAAAGGAAGTGCCACTTGTCAATGGAAAGGATCTGTTGGTCAACAATACGACACTTTTTTTTGAGAGGTCAAGCAATGCAAGTATTGTGTTTTTTTCTTCTAAAAATCCACAAGATGACGGTGCGCAATTGTGTTTAGCTATCAATCAACAAGTTGTGATGTTTGTTAGGTGTGTCCAGACCATCATTGTGTGGTCATGGATCAAAACAAGACACCGAACGACTGTTGGTGGGGTTAGATTTGTGCTATTTGAATGTTTGGCGTTGTTGGTTCTTGGACCGATTTGTTCAAGTTATGTCAATAGTGCGCACATGTGTCAAATGCCTGTTAGAAACAATCAAAGCGCAAACGCATTTCTAGCCATCTTAAGGGTTTTGAAGCGCACAAACGATGGCCAGTCCAAATTATTACACAGACAAGGTACACTCAAATCGTTGCGAATTATCTTGTCGTTAACAACGCTTGTCGTTCGAGATGTGGCTCCACCTTTAATAGTGATTCATACCTTTCATCAAAATTACGCCGAAATTTCGATTCATGAGTTTCACCAGAAATAATTTCTTCACTTACCATCATTGGAGCTTGAGCGATATGAAAAGAAGATTCAGAAGAAAAAGAGGCCCGGCGTTGGTTTGAGTTGAATGGGACTTGGCCTTAAAATTTGATTTAACATTCGAACAATCCAGCAATTTAGGTAAGCTGACCATTAGAAAGTGAACCACGAGGACATGGAAGCGGCCACCCTAGCGACATGATTGCAATCTCTCAAGTTTTTGGCATGTGACACGGGCCCGCTTTAAAATGCCATAAACTACAGCTTGTTGCACGCAGTCTCGAACACCAAAGGTCTCCAAAAGACCACACAAGCCTCTAGCAAAGGAAATTTTTCGTTTGACGTGCACAGAAAAAGTAATGACGAGCATGTAAGAAATATAAATGTTGACAGCGCCAACATTACGAGCACAAAAACAGAACCTGTGACCTGTGAAACTCACAAAACAAGCATGTGCAGAGAAGAGACCATCACAAACAAGAAGCGCGGGCCATTTTACTGACAAAACGTGAGATGTGAAGCAGAGAATTACAAAACAAGAGAGAAGAGACCATCACAAAACGAGACATGGCAAGAAAACTACAACAAAACAAGCAACGACTACACGAATAATCTAATGGCTTTGTGTTGTTCACAACTATCAATCTACAACCAATAGGAGCAACTCCTCTTTTCCGATACAAATTTCTGCTCACGAAACTACTTTCATCAAGGAATTTCAGACGATACACCGGCACTTTTTCAAGAAGCTCTGCCATACCACAAACGTAATGGATGTACTTTGTGATGTTTTCTGGTGTATATTTCAATCTGCTCTTATAACAAGCATTCTTGAAAGAATTACCTAGTTGCTTCAACACTCGACTCACCCATGTGGTGCTGTAATCGTAACCATGTTTTTGTAATTCATTTACATATTCATCCAGTGTAGACAATGGTTTTACCATTGACACTTTGTTCACAATAAGTACTGCCTTTACCACGTCCTTTAAATCATACTTGAATTGACGAACACCACCAACATTAGCTTGCACGTTTTCTTCAATTCTGTTTTTCCAATAAAACACAGTGCTTGGTGAGCATCCCCAAGCTTTTGCAACCTGTCTGAAAGAGAATATTTTCAGGCCTGCCACCATTACGTTCTTGCTGTGGTAGTAACCAACCACAACTCGCTTCCTTGGTTTGCTTCTACTTTCGTGTGTTGTCATGTGAATTTTTCACAAAGTGGCGCCATAAACAACCGTTAAACTAAAAATCAAAATTTAATAAAATCTAAAAAAAAATGGCCACTCAATCACAAGTAGCATTTGTTACTGACTTTGGTGGTTTGAATGTTTATCCAGCCATTGACAATCAAATTATATATCCAACAAACACACCTCAAAAACAATCAACAACATTTACGCAAAGCAACACCAGTAATACACCAATGAACAATTCTCAAGTACCACCTTTTTCAAATTCTCAACAATCTACGTTTGTTTATAATTTTACTCCCTCTACACCTAACACAACTAACAATTCCTATTCTTGCTATTGCAGCGGATGCCATCAGAAAGGCCACAACCGAGCAAAGTGTACAAACCCGCCCTGCGATGGAACGCAAAAAGGAAGCAGCAACAGCTCAGCGAGAAGAGAATGAAAAGAAAAAACAAGAGAAGACGCAGTTCAAAAATGATGCATCCTTGAAACCATCTTCCAATTCAAAATGGACACACGTAGCCAAAGCAGCACAAGAAACTACCGGTCTAAACGGCCCCCAATTCCTTTCCGCGATTGTAGGACAAATCAAAGATCACATTCAACCCAAATGCAACAATCAACCTCCCAAACGAAAAATTAGCGAAATATCTTGCGATGATGTCCAAAGTGTTGCAGTGTAAGTATGTTGATGTCTTCATTGTCTTTCAATTAACAACATTAGATCCCAATCATCATCAAGCACTGTAGATATTACTGATGATTTTGCGGAAATTGAAGAGATGTTTGAACAACAACCATCGTCTCCTCCTCCGATACCGAACTTGAACAACGATGTGATTGCATATGAGCTTGAGAGGTTGCGAAAAGAAAATGCAGAGATGAAACAGCAAATTCAAGCACTGCGTGAAAGTTTAGATTGTGTTTATTCGTTTATAAATAATGCGGGAAAAGGATTTGCAGTTTTTGCTGATAAATTTAAAACGTTAAAACCCAAATGCAACAATCAATAAATTTAATTTATTTTAATTATTATTAAATTGGTGATGGAGTAATTGATTTAGAGACCTTCAACGTGCGATGCCATGAATTTCATCATGACCAAATCGGATTAACAAAACGGGAGGCTTTGCGTGGTCTGTTGGAGACCTTTGGTGTTCGAGACTGCGTGCAACAAGCTGTAATCACAACTGGCATTCTCAGCTTTATGCCCTCAACAACGTTGACTACCACGGGAGTGCTGACTGAGAATTCAACATTAATAGCACTGTTACTGGATTGAAAACTCACAAATTTGGAATTGAGAACATTTTTACACAAGCCCAAACATACCCTTTCACATTCTCACATTTTGTTTCCAAAGTAAGCACTCAGATATGGCGGCGCATCCGACGTTGAAGCGCACTAAAAACCTGTCAGATATTCGTCAAGTCAAAAATGAAAAAGAAAGCATAAAAAAATTTATTCGTTGAATGTCATGCAGTAGAATTGGTAATAGTTCTGGTTTAGGGTGCTAGCAAGGATCTGTCTTCCGTGAGCTGTTCGTTGGCACGCTGTTGTTTTACAAGCTTAAGCTGAAGCGAATAATGGTGTAACGTCCTATGGCCTCTATATTTCGTTTCAGTTTGTCTGTTGTTGCAGTAAGAACCCAAGTTGCTTCGGTTCTTCAAACCCTTGCAAACCAATCAGGAAGAGACTCACTCATTTTATTTTTGATTCCTTTGGGGTTCACTCAAATCAGCTGACGTGGGATTGACGAATATCTGACAGGTTTCTAGTACCAATTGCGCCGCCATACACCACACATTTTCAGAAATGATTATTGTTGAGATTCATTCTTATTGGTATACTCAAAGCTTAAGCCCTTATTTTGACGAATTTTCTCCAATGCAAATTTGAGAGTATCAATATTAGATTGAATAGTACCTGTTAAGGTCAGTAACTTGTCTTCACTATCCAATACATCGACTGAAAGAGTATAAGGATTGTATCTCAATGCAAAAGGTCGATCCAATTTGGTCGATGCAAACTTTCTCATTTGTTCTTTCATATTTTCAAAGCTAGTAGCCACATAATAGATGGGTTGATAGGTGGTAATAGGATAACTATATTTACAGGCAACTTCTGGATCAAATTGTCTATATTCTGGTTTTTGTCCAGTCTTTTCATCAATTCCATCAATACTATATTTTAACTCTCCAAAGGATGACAATAATCCAGCTCCATAGGCCTTTGTTCGTGGAATTCCATCTTTGTCATTTTGAACACAGACACCAAACTCAACAGTGTACCAATAGAGTCTGACTAACTTTTCAATATCTTCTTCACTGGCTCCCAATGATGCCAATCCAATTTGTTGACTGAAATCTGCAAAGTCACTGTCTGCAAAGAGTGGTGCATGGCCGAGAAGTTCATGGACGACATCTGGTTCAGGAGTGTAAAATGGAACGGAATGATGACGAATATATTGAGTACTGTGGAAAACTCTAAATGCCAATCCGTTAAGGAAGTCACGAGCACTGTGAAGGAATATAATGCACAAACGTATATGGGCCCATAATGAGTTCATAATTGAGCGAATACCATTCAATATTGAACATGTAATGAAAATATCGTTATTTCACCACAAGAGAACTCGAATTCACAAAAAACTCACCTCAACAAACCGCTCACAGGTCTCAAACGAAATCCAGTCACATCATGTAAGAATTTGGACACATCTTCTAATTGTGGAATGTTATTTTCAGAATATCCGCAATTTTGAACAAGCAATGGGAAGATGTAATTATATTGTTCACATGCATAGGTTGGATATAATTTGGTCAATTCCTTGTAAATGATACTCCAAGTGTTAATTTCCTTCTCTGTATATTTCACTTTTGGAATGGGCTCTCCAATTTTATAACTCTTTGCAATTTCTGCAATAAGTTTTCTACGGTCACGATATTCATGATCTGTAAATCCAGGCTAATATTATGTTAATGTTGAGTAATAATAATAAAAATTATTTTTCAAATCATTGAATGCTACTCAGTGAACGTTCTAATATTGAATCATGCACTTACATGATCACTTTGCAAATCTGCTCCAGCTTCCAACGTTTGTGAACTGAAATAATCAATATCTGATAATCTTCTTGGAAACCATGGAATTGATTTTCCTCCCAATAATTTCACTTCTTGTACGGAATTTGTTTGTTTCAATTCTGAGAGAGCTTGTTCGATTTGTTCACTCGAAACTTCTTCATCCACATCGACAATAAAGTTGAAGACTTTGTTGGAATGTCGAGCAGGTCTATTCATTGTGTTTGTAACGTGTACACAAGGTCATGACGTGAATCAATTTTAAAATTCAATAATGGTCAACCACAAAAGTAACATCGGAATGATAAATAGTATGAACCATCATGATCATTTAAATAATTTTCAAGTCAAAACGAGACGGAATGATGAATCCGACAATTAAATCAAACACCTACTTGGATTCAATTTTTGTCAAGTTGACCTTGTACTTGGACAAGACATCGAGAGAATTCTTCAGAGAACCGACACGATGAGCCAACGTAAGAAACAGAGAACGTTGTTTGTGGGACATTTAGTACTATGATATTAAAACGGTTATGAATGAGAACTTTAGAGCAAAATAGTCCGCCTGCTGTGGTTTGAGAGATTTTTTTGGAAACTTCAAAAAAGCAGAGTTGACCTGGTCGTATTTTTTTTGTTGTAATCTTTGGTCCAGTTTGACCTAATATTCGTCTGAGAAACACCCTTTTGCGAACTCGGTGTGCTGATGGATTGTATCGTAATAAAAGAGTTTGAAAATTATAATACTATTCCGACCAACAACAATCAATTACAATGAATTTCAAAACTCCATTGAAAAAAAATGACAACTCCGAACAGCTTGGTAAAGAGCTCTCTCATCACAGCCTTTCTTGCATTAGTGATTCTTTCTTTCTGTAGCTCCACCTTCCTTCATGCCTTTCCAATCAATTCATTCCGAGCAAGAGGTTCCTCTGCTGCCATAAATGATCGTCCAATTATTGGTATTATGGCACAACCAACCGGATCTACTCTGGGTCGATTCGGAAAGACCTATATTGCTGCTTCCTATGTCAAATGGATTGAATCTGGAGGTGCTCGTGTGGTTCCCATTCCCTATAATTTACCAGAGAGTGAATTGAGAAGATTATTCGAGTCGTTGAATGGTGTGGTATTTCCAGGAGGTGGTACTGATCTCACCAATGATGATGGTAGTTGGACACCATATTTAAAGAGTTTGGGATTGTTTGTAAATTGGTCCATTCAATCATTTAATAATGGAGGAGATTATTTTCCAATATGGGGAACATGTCTTGGAATGCAAAGTTTGTCAATTATTTTGAGTGGAAATCCATATATTCTTGAAGGTGGTTTTGACAGCTATAATATTAGTATGCCACTCAATTTTACACATTCCATTCCTGAAACGAGACAAATTAGTAGAATTTTCAATACCTGTCCATTGTCGTACATGACTACTTTGACTACAAAGGCTGTCACACTCAATAATCATCATTATGGTGTACCTATTGCAAATTGGAATTCCAATCAAAAAATCAATACTGAGAATAATTTATTAGCCACCAATAGAGATCGAAAGGGAAGAGAATTTGTTTCACTTTTTGAAAATAAGAGATATCCATTCTTTGCATCTCAATTCCATCCTGAAAAGATTGCTTTTGAATGGTGCCACGAAGATATTGATCACTCCTATGATAGTTTACTCGCTAATCAATACTTTTCTCAATTCTTTGTGAATGAATGTAGAAAGAGCCAACATCATTTCAAAACAGAATCAGACGAACTTAGGGCTCTCATTTACAATTACACTCCAGTGTATACGTATCCTGTAGAGCCAGATTTTGCTCAATGTTATTTCTTTTAAAGCGATGGAGAACGTTCCTCGAGTTGATTAAACGCTAATTATTTTGCTAATTCATTACAATTCCACACTGTGACACATTTCAAAAACAGCTTGTACGCTCGAAAATCATAGAAGCAATTCACCAAGAATTGCCCATGAATAGGCAAAAATAAAGATTGCAAGCGGATCCAATTCCATCGGTTTTGTTTATTACCAATTCGGATCAAACAAGATTCTCGAAATATTTAAAGCCAAAAAAATACATCAACGTTTTAAGTCAAATTTTCTCTATCATGACCCACCAACAAGCCTCTTCTTCTTCTTTGACTCTTTCCTCAACAACGGTGGGGACTATGACGATGAAGAGATGATGATGATGGAGAATAATAATATGAATACAGCTGATGATGATGAATATGATCAAACGAATAATAATAATAATTCAAATAATCAAGGTAACACCACCACGACATCCAATAATAATAACTCATCCAAAGACGATACTCCAGGAGGAAAGTTTGCGGCCATAGCCTGTGTTTCATGCCGTAAATTACACCGAAAGTGTGATAAAACTCTCCCGCAATGTGCCTATTGTGTCAAGACTGGAAAGCAATGTGTTTATCCTTCTCCACGAAGAGGAAAACAATTTCAACAACAAAAGCAAAAACAAGTTTCATCATCCTCATCATCAAATGACATGATATCTAGCTCTCATCAACCACAACAATTAATCATTGTGAATCAAAGTGATCATCATCTCCATCATCATACAAACAATAATAATAATAATAACAACAATAATAGTGCCATTGTAGGTATTCATCAATACCATCATCCTCATCGACAACACAGTCATCATCTCACATCCGCCTCATCTGCAGGAGCACTCACAACCGCATCCTCATCATTATCACTTGACACTACAAGCTCGTCAAACTCTTCTAGTACCACAACAAACAACAACAACAACAATAATAACAACACTAACAATGACACCATTACCATTCAATACACCCCATACGATACAGGAAAGACACAACATGAACTCAATTACAAATATGTGGCAACTCAAAGTCTCGACCTTTACTACAATATTTTGAGCTTTGGATACCCTCTCATGGAGAGAGAGCGTTTACAGGCACTCATTGACAATACACAAAAGAAACCAGCCAATAGCAATATGCAACTGTGGCAAAACAAGCTCGAGCAAGAGAAGGACTATGGTCTTCTCTACTCCATGCAAGCACTGTGCTTACAACAAATGGGACATCGTGACATTTCAATGCATCTCTTCCAAAAGGGCAAACAAATTGTTTCGAAATTCTTTGATGAAGTAGAGACGATCAATATCCCAATAGCAATGAAGTTCATTGCTGAATATCTGCTTGGATCTGGAGAAAAGAAGAAGGCTCGTGTTATTTCATCAATGGTCAAGGCCAACATTGCGCCTTATCTAAAGGGAGCACCTGGCTCGACGTCACCAACCGCAACGAAATCCAATTCCACTTTGGCACCAAACAGCAATCCAAACGACTTTTCGTGGATTGATAAGGATCCAAAGATTTTACCCGCTGTCTTGCTTGATACCCAATTGAAGTTTTTGGACTTTTTCCTGATTGAGGAAGAAAACCCAAACACCTTTATCTTTGACGAGTTGGAGATATTGGGTCACAATAAGATGAAGGTTGACCTCAACAAGGTTGGAAAAAGCTGTAGACAACTCAATGAAGAAAATTCTCAAAAGCTATTGGCCATCATTAAGACCTATGAATGTTTTACAGACTTGGTATTCAACACACTTGCCAAGAAAGATTCATTGGTTTATTTGGTTGCTCAATTCACGAACAAGCAAGTACACCTTGAAATTTTAAACAACTGCAACGCTCAATCGATGGATATAGGTGAAATGTTAAAAGTTGCATATCAAATTATTGAGTTGACAAAGAATGCCTACTTCCCATACACTCCAATTTATGCATGTAAGGCTGTCATTTTGGCATGTACTGTGCGTCTGAAGTACAATAATCAAGGAGCCAACATAAATGGAACCATTGATTTTAAGGATGACCTCAGAGCCATGCGAGTATTGGCAAATAGATTCTCACTCATTCAAAAAGAATGTGGTCAACTCATCAAAACCATTGAGAGCGTTTTGTACACGCAATCATTGACCCAAAACAATTCTCGTGAAATGCCATTCTCCAACACTTCATCTCTCATGGATGAATCTAACCCATTCCATTCCTTACTTGGTAATTTTTATCCCACATTATCTTCAGACTCTGCCATTTCAGATATTCTCAACATTGCTCCTCAATTAAGTAGTACTGATGACATTTTTGGTATTATCGACTCCAACTATGACGACATTTTTGCTACTCAAATTTTGGATAGTTTTTATGAGAACAGTGTGTACGAAACTAGGTACAGAGCTCTCATGGAAGAGGTCATGGAAGGCTCCGAACGATTCTCCATTTCCATTCAAAATCTTATCAAACAACAACAAGCTCAACAAATGCCAGACACCATTCAACGACTTGATGGGCTGAGAAAACTTCGATTAGATTTGGCCAATGAAATGCTTGACATGGCCAAAAAGCAAAATGACATGACGAGTATCATTGAAGCAGAATTATTCCGACGACAAGTATTGGCTTCGAATCAGCATGCCATGCAATACTTGCAACAACAACAACAGCAACAACAGCTCGCACAAGCTCAACAACAATTTTCCCAATTTATTGACTCGAATCACTTTAATGTAGAAGATTATCCATTCGATCTTTAACCTATTTATTCAAAACCAGTGAACAATTCTTTTTTGTTAAATAATAAAAACAACATTTCGAAATGAATAATTTCACTCACTTATTGTCAGGAGATAAAATCAATTTGCCTTTCATCTTCATGTATCGACACACTTGCTTGGGAATATCTTTGAGAGCAGCTTCAATCGCCTCATTCACCGTTTCATAGTCATTGAGTCTCACAAACGTGACACAATTTCGAGAGGCTTTCAATCCTCTGTATTGAAGATCTGACGTGGTCGGAAGAGTACTTTGAATTCTGTATTGAATACTCTTTCGCTCACCTCCACTAGAACCCACTCCAGAGGAACAACTCGAATTGTTACTAAAAACATCATTGTTAAAATTAATGGAACGATGTGTCTTGAAGGAGCATCCACTTCCAACGCCAATGACCAAAATTGAGAGGGCTGCCTTATGAGATGCCTCCACATACTTGTAAATGGTTTCTTCCACATGAATAAAATCATTGGGAATTAAAATGACGAGTAAATTATAAAGTACCGGATTGATATGATTGAGTGACAATTGTGAAGAAGAATGATCGTCGTTCACCATTTTGGAATTCGAATTCGAATTTGAATTACAACCACTCATACTTGTCATATTTCCACTATTCGAAACAGTATAACCTTTCTTTGCCATTTGTCTCTCTCTATACAAATACAACAAGGTCTGAGTAATACTTTCCTCATTCTTCAAATTACAACTCAAATCAATCACGTCACTAATCACAGGATAATAATCATTGGGTGCATATTTCGAAGCCATATTAAACACACCCGAATCAAATAAATTTCCTTTCGAAGTTCCCGTTGAAAATCTTCTCTTTTCATCATTTTGAGAAAAATTTCGACCTGTTGTCAATGAGGATGGAGGTGACGACGAATTCGTAATTCCTGATATAGAAGAAGAATTCACATCTCTCATGACATTTAAATGAACAAATTCTGGAGAGGAAATTCTTTTCAAAGGATCCGATTTGCTCTCTTCATAGGTCATGTGTTTGTTGGCATTGGTCAAATCTCGAGTACCTTTATGGACATTGGTCTCTGTGAAGGCATAATGACTGGTTTTGACACAATCTTGCATGCTTAATTTGTAGGTAGGTGTACTGGAGGTATATTGTCGATAAATCTATGTTGAGTGAGTGTTTGAAAGGTAAATATATAGAGATTCATCGTTTCAAAATGTTTGAAAGGAATATAATTTGAAATAATAAATTTCAAAATATTATTTTCATAAAATTTTATAATATAATAGAGATCATAATGATTCATGACCATTGTTAAATGAAAATAATTATTATTAAATTCAAATGTTCAATGAAACATGATCAAATGATTAAATAATTCAAATTTAGAAAATTATGATTCAAATTTAGAAAATTATCAATTTCAAATCATTTTCAAATCATTTTCAAATCAACTTACAGGTGATAATTGATGAATTTTCAAAGGAGGATAATATCTTGGATACAACACTGAAAAAATATAATTCTGTGACACACTGTCAACATCTTGTGAACCAGTCGAAGTGTCATTAAAATGAAATGAACCAGATGCTTGATAATCGGATGCTTCTTCTCCCTTACTGTATAAATTAAAAACAGGTTCGTGACGATCATTGCCAAATCCAACGAGATGAAAATCAGTCATGTTGGGATCGTATTGAAAGATTCTCTTGCTAATACTTTCCATGCATTGTTCGTAGATGGATTTTTGACCTTTTGGAGGATTATGTAAATTGTCATTTCTTGGTTCACTATGAATCATTTTGAAAATATTTATAATTTTGAAAGTATTCATTTTCATAATTTTCACAAGTGGACACATCATTGAATATAATGTTATTACAGATTTTCGAATTGAATGATCGTTGAAAATGATATTACAAATTCATTTAAAATTAACTTGAAAAATGACACTTACGTATTGTCTTTGGTAAAATCCAATGCAAAATAACATTTAAATCTCAATCCTGTTTTCATATAATCCAAAAAGGTATAGGTTACATCCAAATCCGATTGTTCTTCGAGTTGCACGACTCGTTCTTTCACTTTCTTAAACGTCAATGATCCATTTTGTGAACTCACAACACTCAATACTTTACGTCTTCGATGAACCACTGAAGGATTATTTTCATCTTCAATGGGATCCATTCCTTGAGGTGCCAGAGTCTCTTCTTTCATGACATGAATTCTTTTATCCACATAGAGACGAACTGTGAGTGGTGACACTTTGTGTGAAGATGAAGACAATGATGAATTATTTCCTCCATTACTCGTATGGATATAAGAATTATTTCCTGTCGAGTTATTATTCATGGGAGAGGTATGAAACGTCGAGGCATTCACAGTGGTTGTTGAAGGAGAAGTGTCACTCGTCATGGTCGTCATGGTCGTCGTGAGGACAGTCGTAGGATCAAAGGTGACATTTTTCAATGATTTTCGATTCTTCTTGGAAGCATTGGTGTGATCTCTTGTTGCAACTTCATTCAATCCAGTATTTGAAATGTGAAAAAATGGACCCAACAATAAGGTTTCGTTTTTCTTATCTTCCAAAGTGTTGGAAAGGTAGACACCTGTCATGGGAACGGATGGTGTCATGAGAGGAGGAGGTGGAGGTGGCAATGACGATGGCAACACTGGTGAATCAAAAAATTTGATAAAATCTTGATAGAGTACTTCGGCTGCTCCAATTAATGTCTTGTAATGACCAATGGTAGAAATTACAGAAGATTGAGACGAAGATTGTTTAAAGGAATAACGTGGAGTAGCGACATCTCCCAATTCATCAAATTGTTGTTTCGAAACTGTTTCCCAATAAAATAATTCAAATCGAAATCGAATAATTTTGAATTCGAGTGTTGGTTTGATGGTGAAAGGTTCAAACGAGGGAGTTTTTGTGGATTTTGTGTTTGTTTCGCTCGTATAGAGAGGAATGAAGGAACCTGTTTGATCCTTCTCTGTGAAAAATTGTTGAGAGACCACTAAAAAGCAGTCCTTATATTTCTTTTCAAGTTTGGCTTGAATTTCATCAAAATCTAAATAAACTTCGTTGTTGGGGAGTTTTTTCTTTTTTGAAACTTTTGAGTCATTGGTTGTTGTCAACAATGATTTTGTGGTTGACCTTTCAAAATCTTCATTCGTTTGTGAGGAGGTGAGATCGGACGCTGATTCAGAATTGTTTGTGTCCACTTGTTCCATGGTTGCAAATTCTTCATCCAGTTCTGTAAATAAACGAGATGGTTCTGCCTTGTTGTGGCGTGTGAAATTTTGAGTTTCCAAAATTTTGTTGAATTGTATGGGCGCTGGATGTTGTGTTGTTGAACCTTGTTGTGAAAATGGTAACAATGAGGAACATCCATGTGGATTCGAATGTTCGTGTGGAAAAGTGGCCTGAATCACTATATCACAAAAATGTTTTTTCTGTTTGATCAGCTTTCGTCGAATGAGTAATCGTTGAGCTCCACAAATTTCTGCCAAACATCCTTCATAGGATCCCAAAACATTATTCGTTCGAGTACTCACGAGAGCAAAAAGCAATGGAGTAATTTTTTCAAAATGGAAAGGAAGAGTCGCTGTGGTTTGAAATTTGATAATGTCATTGACATTTGTTGTGTCATTCTTTTTAGGAGTTGTGGTTGTTGTGAAATTATTTCTTTCACCATTGCTTGAGTGATTTGTGACATTATTTGAAGAGAAGGATGATGAATATTGAAGAGTCAGTAAATCCACATCATGAGTGTGAACGAGAGGTAGCCAAATATAAGTGTCATTGGATTTCTTGACACGATGCAAGACATGAAGTTGAACAGGAAATTTGTTATCGATGACGAGAAGGTCATTTTCTCCACTTGATTTTTGTTCTAATTTTTGACGTTCTTGCTTGAGTGATTCTTCCAGACCCTTAAAACTGAGTTTTTGAATCAAATTTTGATTTTGGCCATTTCGAATGATGAATATTTGAAAAATTTTGTTAACTTGGTTCGATTGAAAATATTAAACACTACATACTTGTCAATCGCAAAATGTAAACAAACACTGGCATTCACCACAATATGACTTTCACTTCTCTTCTTTCGTCGTGGTCTAAAGGAAGGTGAATTTCCTTCTGAAAAGGAACTCGATTTGTCAGAATCCATATCGTCTGAAATGGATGGTATGTTTTTCACAATTTTCGTTGCATTTAAATCAATGGCAGATCTAGAATTAAAGGAACTTCTACTTTTCGATGTCAATCGAGTGGTAGGAACTCCTTTCCTAGATTCAGTCGAAGCACGTGATTCTCTCAATGAAGGAATTTCACTTTTTCGTAGTTCCATATTTTCCTTCATCCAATCTTCAATTTTTCGAGTTCCTCCTCGACTTCCAATTAATGCAAATTGAAGATCCAACGATTGACTATTTCCAATTTCTGTTGTTTTTGGAGAAAGATTTTCCATATTCGTTGTTAAATGTTCATGATTCTCAGATTTTGAATAAGTTCGATATCGAGGACTTGTTGGATGTTGATACGACAAAATATCTTCGAGTTGATCGAAAATATCGGAAGAGTCATGAGAGGACATGACATCTCCACTCATATTCGAATCATCGGTCGTCGTATTGTCCACAACACCATGTTGAGGATGAAGCATATTCGGAGAATTTGAAGGTGACGAATGATTCGATGATAAATTATTAATCCTAGCAAAAGCTCCATTATTTTGAATTAATTCTGTCCATTTTGAAAATGACATGCCTTGTTGCATTCGTGACGACATGTTCGTTGAATGATTTGGGGAGGAAGAAGAGGAATTTTTGTGGAGATTTTCTCCCGATGATGATGAAATGTTAAATCCTCGATGTGAGAGAGATCCAGAAGTAGAAGCTGCTTTTTTCGATCCAAATGAAAAGCTTCGTTCTCTATATTTTGAAGCTTTCTTTTCACTGTTTGTTAATCGAATATTGGGACTAGATGTCATGTCGTCATTGTCATCATTCGCAACTTCTGGTGTCACACATGATGAAGGACTAGGATTTGATTTTGGTTTCAATTTTGAAATGTCCAATGATAATGGTTTTGTGACAAGATTACTGCTCACTACAGACGGTGCCAATGGTGACATGGTTTTCATCACGGACATTGGACTCGAATTTGTCAAATTTTCCTTTCCAAAACTACTTGTCAATGGTAAATTAATACTTCCAGTGCTATTACTTGTCGAGTGAAAATGTTTTCTCGAAGAAGAAGAAGAGGATGGTGTTGAACTCAAATTCGTCGTTGTCGTACTCATGGATGAGAATGTATGATGAAAATTGTTGTCATTCATGATGATGGGAGAAGTCACACTCAATGATGATGTGGAATTTTTCACATCCAAAGGATTTGATCCCAATAACATTAAATCACAAAAAGAAAGAGTTGGAAATTCACCCATGACTCCCATTAATTGTGCATCTTGGTCCTCTTGTGGATCTTGTTGTGCAACAAGTGTGTAATGATGATGATGATTGGTTTGGTTCAAATTTTGATGAGAATTCAATTCTGTTGAAGCATTTGCTTTAGTCTTTCGATCATCAACGACCATTACAGGACTATTATTCGAACTATGAATATTATTATTATTACTGTAATTATTATTGGATGGAGGTGTTTTTGTCCACAATAATGGAATTCGTGGATGTTTGGATGGTTGTTGTTGAAAATTATTTATTCCTCCTTCATGTTCGAACGTTGTTGAAGAATTGGTTATGGTCGTAGGATTTGATTGTTGTTGTTGTTGTTGTTGTTGTAGAGAATTCAACTGTTGTGATGAATCGGAATGAATGGACTTTTTTCGTTTCTCTTTCTTTTTCCTTCTCCATGAAGATTTGTTATTGGTTGTCGTGTTGTTGTTATTGTTGTTGTTATTGTTGGTATTGGAGGAAATGGATGAGGATTGTTTGGAGGAAGATCGACGATGACGCGACGATGGCATGGTGTTGTTGAGTGAATTGGTTAATTTTTCTTGTTGTTGGGTCATTGACAGGAGACATCTAACGAACAAAGAAGAATAATCTCTTCAACATGGTGACAAATTACAACAACATGTCTGTTTCTAACCTCTCATTGCCCTGAAAGTGTGTACTTTCATAAAATCATCATTGATCAAGTAAATAAGGGAGAGTTTGCAATTTCCTTTTCGAGCTCCGAGTCTTTAAAAATTCCTTTTAAAAAAAGTAGACGACATCATCCAAGAGTTACAATTGAAAATTCTCTCGAGAGGGTATTTCATACAATTTTGTGCATTCCGAGTTCAACAATCGCAGCGAGTTCTTTTATTTTCTTTCATCATCATCTTCTTTGATACTTTATACAACGACAACATGTCCTTCTCGGATCAGCAACAACAACAACAATCAAATCCAAACAGTATGTGGATGAGGCAATCACTCAGCAGTATTGCTACTTCCAAGTCCAATAACAACATGTCTTTATTGGGTAATAATAATGAAGAAAATAATACGAGCTCCGTAGTACCTTCAACAGCAAGCACAGCGAATACACCGTCCGAGAGAAGGTCCTTTGAATTACAAGATTTAAAAAAGGAAGGAGGAGAAAAGGAGACCTCTCATCATTCCAAACAACATCATCACCATCATCATCATCATGCTCCGAAACCACCCTCAACAAAGGCAAAAAAGATTGATTTAGCAAAGAAAATTGGAAGGATTGTTTATTCATTGTTTTTGGTTGCGGTCATGTCAGCGTTGGTTGTCCTGGATGTCATTTCTTCACCTAAAAATACGTGGATTTCGAGAGGATCGATTGTTATTGCTGTCACACTTTTTGGAAGATGGTTATATGGTAGGTTTAAAGTTGGATGGCATTGTAACTTTGTTTTATATATATTGCATAATATATTATTTCATAGAATTCTTTTTTGAAATTTTCTATGAGTGGATTTTGGAATACTTTATTAAGGAGGATAAGAAGCCAGAAGAGAAAGTGTAATAATTCTTTCTGGAATAAGAACGTCGCTTGTAAATACATGTAATGACAATGCTGGTATCACATGGAAAGAACTGCTCTATTTGGTTTCAAAAATTAAAAACCAATAAAATTTATTGTTGAACTTCCTTAACAAAATATGAAACATCAGGCTTATTAGCACCTAGTAATTTTTGGACTGACTCGAGAGGTTGAGTGGAAGCCTCAGTGGTCAGAGCGGTCTTTAACAGAGAGGAGAACTTGGAAAGAGAATCCTTTGGCAAGCAGGTGGCAGCAATTTGAGCAGCACACACTTCAGCATACAAATCCAAATATAATGGCTGATTTTTGAGGCTGAATAAACTATTCGAGTAGAAGGAGAGGTTAGGCACAAGTTGTGTGTATGGCTTGCAAAAACGTGACTCAATACCTGTGAGAATTTCGATTGGAGTGCTTTGTGTGGCGTCGATTGGCTTGAAAACCTCCATTTCATAGACGGAATAGACGAGTTGTTGAAGTAAATCGAGTGGGAATTGTCTTGGAGTGGCAGCCATTTGGGCAACATATTCTGCTGGAATTGGTTGTCTTGATCCCTTGTGACAAAGATGAGCAGAAAGGAAACTTTCTTGTTGTGGCAATCTTTCAAAGATCTTACGAATCACATTGCTCAACAAACTCACTTCAAGAGCAGCAGCAGAAGCTTCATGAAGAATGTGGAAAAGAGCTTGTCCAATGGCTCCCGATAGGCTTCTAAATTGATTAACAGTCAATGTGTTAGGGAAGCCGTAAATGTGGTCTCTCAAATACATTTGAATGACTGCGCTCTTTGTACCCTCTTCTCCGTAAGATGGTAAAAATTTGGCCTTGTCGTACGAGTAATGATCATAATTAAATGTCTTTTCTCTATCAAAAAGATCTAGGTATATCTTGCCAACAACTTTTCCTTGTGAGATCACATTCAACCTCTTAATATTGAGTGGTGACCATGTTTCTGAAGGAGCCAACTTTTCTGGAACAAGTTCAACACCGAACACCTCAGTTGCTAGAGTCTTTGAAAGAGCATCCAAACAGTTGGTTAATGAAAGGTAATTCTCAATATCTGCTGGTAAATAGTTCACTCTAACGCGATTGTAATAGAGATTGGAAAGCTGTTTAACATCAAAACCAGGTGTGAAGAGTTTCAAATCCTCTGGAGTTTGTTTTGACTTGTGATAGTAACATTTCTTGAGAATAGGGTCGTTCATTCTGGCAATCTTCAGTTCAGACAATTTCTCAACTTCCTTCTTAACATCCAAGTTGTCTCTCAATTCTCCAACCATTTGGACAACATCGTCTAATTTAGGAATGTTGCCTCGTCCCATATTACAACATGCTGTCTTTAACTCAACAAAAGATGGATATCCAAGTAATTTAGCAAAAGTATTGGCGGCGTGAACAGCATTTGAAAGTATGGTATTGAATTCATTGTCTCCTGAGGCAGTCATGAACTTTCTAACAGCCTCTTCATAGAGTCCTGATCTAAGACTCTCTTCGGTAACATTGGTCAAAATAGCATCCAGATCCTTCTCCAAATTAATCCATACAAGCTTTTTCTTCTTGGCAATTTCCTTCTTCATTGACTCGAAATGGATTGGATTGAGTTCATAAATTTTCATAGCCCCTCTCACTTTTGAAATGTTATTGTTTTCAATGTAGTTGGTCAAATCCTTGACGGCTTTTCAAAGGCGTCCTTTGCTTCAGTAAATTTATCACGATTAATATCAGCAGAGGCATATAGATTTCTAGATTCGCTCACAACAGGAACAGTCAAAGATGTTTCAATTTGTTTGATTGCTCTATAAAATTTTTCATTCGAAAGAGCACGTTGAACGACAAATTGAGAAAAGTTATCGGAAATTTCGAGAGCAAGAGCAGCCAAATCTTCAAATGGATGCAATTTGGCAAATGTTTCTAGAGTTGTTGAATATTCAAGTCTCAATTTGTTCAACTCGGATACACTGGCTGAAACATTCTCTCCATTTTCAATGCTTTTCACCAAATCATCAACCTTGGTCTTGGCAATCACCAAAGAGTCTCTCATTGATGTACCATCTTTGAAAATTTTGAGTCCAAAGTAGCCTGTATCTTCTCCAGTTTTAGAAACATCAACATTCTTCTTGGTGTTCACAAATTCATTCAAAAATGATGGTGATTTTGCTGTTTCTGCAATATATTTTGCAGAAATTTTCTTCTTTGGGTAGAGCTTTGCAAGTGATGGTGGTTTTTGTTTGGTGAGTTCGGAGACATCCTTTGATGCTCGTTTAGCAGCTAACTTTTCCTTATTTCTTTGTTCCAATTCCAACTTCTTTTGCTCCATTTTCTTTTGATGTTCTTTTTGTTGGGTTCGTTTGAGTGCGTCGGCCTTCTTTTTGTCAGCCTTGCTGTCTTTTTTTGTTCTGATGATTGTATTGGATGAAACAATTCCTGCACTATTGAAAAGAAGATGATTTGGTGTGTTCTTGTTGTTCAGAAGAGAATTGGAGACTGCTGGAATTGTTTGAGAAAATGTTGAAGGCTTACAGGCAGCCTTGGAAAGGGCAAACTTCCATACCGAAATCATGTTGTTGTTGTTTGAATAACGATGATGAAAATATAAATTTTACGCAATGATGATATGGAGGAATTGATGATGATAAAATGAATTTTGCCTTGTTCGAATTTTTTCTCTTTTTTACAACAGGTTACCAGGCCTGTACCAGCTGACATACTTTGGCTTCTTTAACGTCAATACTACTTCTTCTTTGTGGAATCCTTGTTCATCCTTACTAGTTCCTTGAAAGTATTTTATGAATTTTGAGAATATGAGGCTATTTCCAAGCGCTGGTATAGTGGCAATGGTTTCATTTGATTCCAGTTTTTTCTGTGTTCATCCCTTAGCCCCTTTTTGGAGACCAGATGAATGAACCCATTCAATAGAAATGCACACATGTCTGGCTCTCACCAGCCGTCATTGTACAACGAATCTTTCCACGTCCCCACTCGGGTCAAAATTGTCGTCCAACCCTCATTTGTGCAAAACCACAACAGCAAAAAACTTGCTTCAAAAACGATCGCTTCAAAATCATCGGCAATAGCGTAGTACACTGTGGCTAGCTTCCTTTCTCTCTTCCAAATACGACACGCAATACATAATCCATCACCATGATGATGCATCACGATCCTATTGTGAGAATATCGGATTGTTCATCCAATTCCTCTGAGTCTCAGAGGCAACAACAAAATTATTGCAGCAACAACGTTCCAATGACTATAACTTTGAAAAGCTTTCTCAACGATCTGGAAACATGCTTCAAAAACGGGCAAGGAAAAGTAAATCCTGAAGAAGTCAAGAGCATATTCAGAAAATACAGCAATGAAATGGATATCAATGATTTTGAACCCTATTGTTATGCCGATTCTACTTCAACATACACGAGAAATTTGGTCATGAACAATCCATACTTTTCTCTCATTGTTCTGGGTACGTATATTTTCATCATCAGTGATTTGTTTAAATTTCTTACATGAAAATTTATCCTACCAATGAACGATAACGACTCGAAAACACGATCATCTTGGTAACAACACCTAATTCATACGTGTCTGAATTGTCCATCATTGATTTTTAAATATATTTACTCCTCGTCCGCTTTAATATCTTTGGCGGTTATGAAAATCTGACTGTGGAAATTCAATGGAATAATTCCATGACGCACCTATTGTTTATTATCACTAACCCCATCGACCATGGATAAACAATCTCATCTGATGTTTATTTGCTGTATTGATCATCATGCTTTGAACAACCCGTGCCGCCGTTATTCTGTCTTTTGATCACAGTTTGGAATCCGCAACAACACTCATGCATTCATGCTCATGGAGGTTCGCAATGTTGGTTCAGAGTATTGAGAGGACAAGTAAAGGAGTGTAGATGGCTTGTTAACCCAAAGCAAGATACGTCATTGTCGCCTGTGAACCCAACCAAAGAATTTATTGCAAATTTGGGAACCATTGGTTATATTGATGATAGCAATGGTGTTCATTGTATTGTGAATATGGCTGACGAGATTTCTGTATCGTTGCATTGCTATGCACCTCCCTATCAAGAGTGTGCATGCTACTCTGATGACACTGGTGAAATTTTCAATGGAAAGGGTAAGTATTCATTCAATGCTTCAACAACGTACGAGTATTGCTTGTCACGAATGATGCCTTACTTCCAACACCTCAATATGTTTTTATCATCTTGACTTGCTCAAATAACTCAACATTCAATATTGTTAAAGTCATGTTTGACTCTGTTGGAGGACAGGTTTTGCACTCTCATGACACCATGTACAACTTTCTACGAAAGGAAAAGGAAGAAGCTGCTCAAAAACAGCTCTAAAACTCAATATGAATAATCATCTTCCTTGTAACATACTCATCCATTTCATTAACTATTATTTACTATTCCACATGCATGATCAACTTTTGTAAATCTGTAATCGTGTTGACATGCTCCACACAATTTATATGAGAATTTTATTGTTGTTCAGATGAGCACACCAATCCACTCATGATAACTTGTGATTTTCTATTGGTATGATAGAGCAACAAGCAATTTTTACGAGATCGTTTTGCTCATCATTTGCCATCCCTAATGCCTCTCCATATGAAGCCCATTCCAACGTTATAAAAACCCAATTATTTTAACATTACCTCAGAGTTTTCCAAATGAGTCAACTAGTTGCAATGTACGCCCTTAAAAAAATACAAGATCCGAGTAACATGAGGGAGGAAGTTGATGAATCAGGCTTCTCTCCAGAAGACGCTCAAACTTTATACCTTCAAGCCTTGTATTGTCAAGTGCAAATGCAAAAAGGAGATGTTTCTCGAATTTTTGAACATTTTGAATGTAGTGTAGAAGCTATTGAAGAATATTGGGAGATGTTTTCTAACGACAAGATGCAAGCCTTAAAGCCTTCCAACGTTTCCATGTACCATAGCATTCTGTGCGTGATTAAAGGCTTTCTGCTTGTCAATCCGAACTGTATTGGAATTGAACGCGTTCAGCAAATTGTGATTCAAGTGTTTAAGAGATGCTTGCTCTCGGAACGGATGCTATCTAATTGTTATCGTAATGTTTTTGAAAGAACGAGAGGAGAACAAGCACTGCCTTCTCAGCACTACCTCTCGAACTATCACTCTCTTTTTAAGCTTTGCCTGAACGTGCTGTACAAGTGTTGTTGTAATCATGATATTCTTGCATTCCTCAAATCTATTCATGAACCTGTACGTGATGTATTATTTGGCAAAGTGAATGATGAAAAGTCAGTAGCACCACTGTTAGTAATCTTGCTAAGCGAATGTTTGAACGCAATCGTTGAAGATTTCTTTGGAGAAAGTGCTCTTGCTTCTAAAAGTGAGAATGCTGTGGAAGACTTTCTTCCTCAAGTGAACACCCATCAGATTGATTGTGTGCTGAACCATCTCGTAAACTACTCGTTTGAAACGCCTTTACAAATAGAGGAAGACGACTGGATCATTAGGCAGAGTCCTGCCTCAGATCAAATTTCATCCAACAGGAACACTTCATCACATCCAAAGACGAATCATCCTCCTTGGAGCTTTATGGAATCCTTAATACACGTATTAGAGAGCACTTCTCAAGAAACGAATGACAAATTGCGAAGCATGCAATGTATCTTTAAAATCTCAATGATGAGCGAATCATTTGCGTTTAAAACAGTCCCACTCTTTGAAAGAGTTATTATGATGGATCCAGAGGAAGAGTTACGATCGTTTTCCATCATGTGTCTTTGGGAGTTAATGTTTGTACACCCTTCGTTGCAACATTATGATTTGATGGTTCATGTGACGGACGAGATGGAAGATGGGAGTAGTGTGGAAGGATTTGAAATTTCGGTGGAAACTACTCATAACTCATGCTGCTGCTTGTTCGAATTCCTGTACAGTATCTCATCTTTAACACACAACACCAAGTACGCCTTTTTAATAACAGCCATTCGAATGCTTCGATTCAACAAGTGCAACAATTCCAAGTTCGAAAGGATGCTCTTTGCTTTCATACAAACAGAAGAGATGAAATGTGAAAAGAAGGACGCTTCAGATCCATTCATGAAAAAGGTCTTTTCTCAGCTCGCTCTCGATCCAGATACCAATTCCATTCAAGTAGTGGCTAACAAGATATCAAGCAGAGGACGAAAGAAAAAGCTTCAATCCAATGGCCTCGTTAAGGACAACGGTACAATTGAGCACTCGACCTCAAACGAACCATCTGAGTCGCATCATGAGGATCGAATGGAAGACGAGTAGCAGGAGTAGTTTCTTTCATCATGATGGTGAAACCTACAGAAAACGGAAGTCAATAAAAAAATGATGATTTCTTCACCTCAACCCTTAACACCCCGAAAGGATCCAGCGATCAAAACGCCAGAGGAGAATGATCTGGAGGAATCCATCCTTGTTGATGCACAGAAAAGATTTAACGATTCCTTTGATCATGATCATAATGTGTCGAACAGTTCGCTTCATACAGATCACACGGATCCCGAAGACCCATTATTCGGGAAGGGCTCTCCTCTGTATTCACCAATACAGCATGTAGGAAACTCCCTTACAACCACAGAAGGACAGCATGTCCAAGCTGACCCGTTGTTCAAGCCTTTGGAATCATCTTCCCGCCAAAATTCTACAACACCAGGAACATCACACAGCTTGAACATTTCAACACTAAAAGAAAATTCTTTTGAACAAGCGATGAACGAGCACGAAACTGATTTAATGACAATGATGTCACAATACAATCATGAAGAGGAAATGCAGCTGGGAGAGGAAAATGGATATGACGATTTTGATATTAAAGCATACTTGGAGAAGTATGGTGTCAATAGCATGGTTGATATGAATCAACAAGAAGAGGAACACCATACTTTTAATCACGAAGAAGAAGAAAACTATGAGGACGATGAAGAAACTCAACATGCGCTGAATTTTGGCAGCACGTTGTTTAACTCGGAACCAATCAACAAAGAAAATGCTGTCACAATGTTTGAAGAACACGATGAAAATGAAGAAGAAACTCATCACGATTATGAACATTCGGAGCAAACAACAGAAGAAAATAACCACAGTTATCAACATTCAGAAGAGCAATATATTACAAACGAACAAGATGATGATGTCAAAAGCGTAGAATCATCACAAGATGATCAGTCAGAAGAATCGGAAGAGGAAGATGACAAAAAACAAGAACAGCGTAGTTTTGTTCTTTATATGCCAAAAACATTAACACCAAAATCTCAATTTCCGACTGAGAATAATCACTCCACGGTTGTCATCAAAAGTCCCACTGGCTCACAAAAGAACATTAACAACAGCAATGTCGGGATTAGAGTTAACACGAGCGTTACAAACAAACATCAACAATTTCCACGCCACAACAGAAGACACCAAACTCTCTTGAAGAAAAAGCAATCACAACTAATTACACAAAAAACCTTCAAAAAGATGACAAAACGAAACATAACAAGCAGCCAAGTAGCCCCAAGATTAAGGGCGATGACAATGCTGAAATGGAATACACAGATCAATACGATGACGATAATTCCAAACCCAAGTTTTCAATGCTTAAAAGAAATTCACGATGGGGCTCATTACTGAATAAGATTTCAAAGCCTGGAACCTATGTACCTCCCACAAATAAGCACAGCAAAGCTGCTGTTTTATCCAAGACAACCACAAAAAAACAGCAACCATCAGAAGAAACAACAGAAGTGAAACAAGAACCTTCACAACCATCTAAAAAACTAACTAGCTCACAAAGGAAACCTCCAACTCCAGAAATTGTTGAGAGATCAGTGACAGACAGCAAGAATGAAAAATCCATCCCACAACCAAAACGAGCTGCTCCAGCCATACCTAAAAATCAACAGCCAATACCTCACGAACAAGAACAACCCTTACCAAACTACTTTTCAAGGAGAGACCCTCCCACGATTGACACCAATACCGTTGGAGAGTATGGACATGTTTCTGAAGAAAATTCTTATCATGACGATGATGACACTCATGAAGAGGAGGATGACAGCGGTTGGGGAACCTTCATTAATAGAAATACAGTGTATAATCCATATCATTACGAGCAACGATCAATTTCAAGCGTCAGCCAGTCTCCTCCATTATCTGTTGCATCACGAACGAGTCCTATACTTGGAGGTCAGATGCATCCTCCTTCAATGGCAACAGTCGAAAAGAGAGAACAAATTAAGGCATCAAGCAATCATTCTTCAACGGCTTTTCAACAACGGACAGGTTCGATTATTTCTAACTTTTTTCTTCCAAAAGCTCAAGAGGAAGAGAAGAAGCGACAAATGAAGGAAAAGATTGAAAAAAAGAAGGAAGAAAAGAAAAATCGAGAAGAGGAGGAGAAAAAGCTTAAAGAATTAGAAGAACAACTTTTATTTTACAAGAATGAAAATGAAAAAACAAAACGACTCAAAGATGAGCTTGTAGCGGAGAGACAAAATATGGAGTGTGAACAATCTGAATTTAAGAGGCAGATGGAGGAAGAACGAGACCGATTCGAAAAGTACAAACAACAAGAACTCCAGAAAATTACACGTGAAAAAAGGATACTTGAAAGACAATTGAAAGAGCATCAACAATCACTCTCACGAAAAGAACACGAAAAGGAAGTGAACGAACTGAAGGACAAGTTAGAAAAATTATTATCAGAAAAGAAGAATGAAAGTGCAAAATACAAGTCCACCATTCAAGCGCTAAAAACTCGAAATGAGCAACTCACAGAAAGAATTGCAGAGCTCGAAGAAAATTTGAAAAAACGAGAACTTGAGAGAATTGACAATGTGTTTGTAAATAAGAAAAAAACATCAGCAGCTCAAGAACCGTTATCTAACAACGCCTCTCAACCAGCAACCATGACGACAAGCCCTCAAATGAATCAACAACCACAACAATCAAGTAGTTCGAATAATAATAGAAGGACTTCAACAAACGAAACACACGTCAACAACAACAATAACAACAATACATCAGCACAACATGTAAGGGAGAAAACTTTCATGCCATCAGTACAACATTCCAATACTGTTGTGAACGAGCCACACAACCATGATAGAAAAACCAACATGGCGCCCTCATCTTCGAATACAAACAAGTCACCATCGAAGTCTGCTTTCTCTTACCCAACACCCTATCCTAACAACCATAAATTGGCTCTGCTTAAACGAACATACAAGGTTTCAGATCAGGAGTTTGTCGATGGAGAAATTGAATGGGAGCCCTTACACGTTTCAAATGATAAGGTCACAAGTAAGGTAGACATGGGAAATGGAAAAATTGAAATCAAGTACAGAAGTGGACGACGAGATATTCAATTTTCGAATGGAACCACCAAAAAGTTGTACCCTGACAAGTCATGCCTTGTATTTTTCAATAATGGAGACATTAAGAAAACTTTTGAGGATGGAGTCGTTGTGTACTATTATGCTTCTCTCCAAACGACACACGTCTCGTATCCCAATGGATTGGAAATGTACAAATTCCCAAACACTCAACTCGAGAGGCATTTCCCTTCCGGAGAGAAGGAAATTGTGTTCCCTGACAAGACGGTAAAATTTGTGAATAATGACGGCATGGAAGAAATTTGGTTTGCAGACGGTACGCACACTCAAACATTGCATTAACTTGTGTCACAATCACAATATCACAAACATGTTTTTTCTTCGTTCCTTCATCGACTGAAAGCGCAGACCCTTAGTTATTTTCATGTATTTTGCAAATGCAAAGTGCACACATGCTTGTGGATTACACCTTAAATTAAACCACTTGAGGTTTGATTGAATATGATCATCTGTGAAATTTGAAAATAAATAATTAATAATTGAGAAAGTGCAAAATTTATAAAGTGTTTTTGTACAGTTGAAGAGAAACATCTCTTCGGAAGCCTAGGTTGATGATATGATCATCGGATAAGTTAAAGATATACTACTTCGTGGTCACATTTATGTTCTCTCACCTCTAATTCTTCTGGCCAATTGCATATCCTTTGGCATGATAGTAACTCTCTTGGCGTGAATAGCACACAAGTTAGTATCTTCGAAGAGGGAGACGAGATAAGCTTCCGAAGCTTCTTGAAGAGCCAACACAGCATTCGATTGGAATCTCAAATCGGACTTGTAGTCTTGAGCAATTTCTCTGACCAATCTTTGGAAAGGCAATTTACGGATCAACAATTCAGTACTCTTTTGGTACTTTCTGATTTCTCTCAAAGCGACAGTACCTGGCTTGTATCTGTGTGGCTTCTTCAAACCTCCTGTGGATGGTTGTTTGGCAGACTTTCTTGCGGCCTTGGAAGCCAATTGCTTACGTGGAGCTTTACCACCTGTGGACTTTCTTGCAGTTTGCTTGGTTCTTGCCATTGTTATTTCTGGGTTATTGGTTGTTGTGTTATTTTTTTGTTTGAATCCAGATAAATGAGGAATGGCTAATTTATTCAAATCGGCATAACGGTTATGACTGAGTTTACAAAAAATTCCCAGCGAAAAATGAGAGATTCGAATTTTTTTAGCTCGTCCAGATTGAACCTGCTATGAAACACATTGGATCCACTTTGATTATCGCTGAATCAGAATGCCTCTGAAACTGCCGTTATCATTGGAGACAAAAACACCAAGAAAACAAGACACTCTGAGTCGTGAATGTGAATAAACATGGTCTTGTTATTGTTTACTTCAGCTTGGACTTTTTAATTCTATTCTTCAATTCTTGTAATTTATCCACGTGCTTCTTGTTATTGGATGCCTTTTTACCGACAGCACCACTGTCATCATCATTGGTTTCCGAAGTGGTGATTTGCTTTCGTTTCTTAGATGCAAGGTTTGTTTCATGACTCTTGCTTGGTTGCTTTTTTGCTTCAGGCACACGAGTCGTCTCTTCATCATCATCATCATCCAAAACATGATCCTGTTCATACCGCACTTGCTTCATGTTCATTCCAAACATGCTCTCCTCATCATCACTACCAGCACCTTCATCATCATTGTCATCTTTTGAAACATAACGATCATTGGTGAGAAGTAAACAATTCAATCGTTGCATCAAGTATGTTGAGTGCAGCAACTCTCTCGTCTCTTGCTCATACACTCGCAAATACCGGTCTGCAGACACACAACAAATTAACTTCTTGTTGGGATGGAATTTGATGTCTCTCACGCTTCCTGCAATCTTTCTATAGACATGAATCTTCTTATTACTTCGTTCCGTGAAATTGTACTTGAACATTTTGCCAATAGCTGTTCCGACCACTACTTCCCAAATGTTTTGAGAGGAAGGAGCCATCGCAGTAAAGTTATGATCTTCAAATGTGTATTGATGAATGGGACGTTCCTGTGCTCTACGGTCAAAGTATCTCACTTGATGATAGGCTGTTCGAGTGCAAATCAAATTACCAAACGAGTGTTCTCCCAATTGTTGATTTCTCTCGTCCTCACTGCCATGTCCACTTCCCAAATAACAAATACCATTGTCCCAAATGGGTTGCTTCATATTGAGATGATCGTGAGGAACATTCTTTGCCTTAAAGACACACTTTTGTGTTTCAACATCCCAAATTTTCATCAAGTTATTGTTGCCTGCGACAGCAACTTCGAGTCGCTTCGAGTCCAATCTCTGGGCAACCATGACACTCACATCTCCTCCAGTTAATTTCAATTCGGTAATTTGTGGTTCAATGACAATTTTGTGAGTTTGAACGTCTTCTGTTACTTTGTATCCGAGGCTTGGATTGAGTTGTGATTTTGTCTGGCCATTGTTACTTTCATCATCGCTGTAATGAGCCTCATCACCCTCTCCATGGTTTTCAGTGCTACTACTATTTAAATTTCTCAGAAAATCATCAGAAGGCTGTACAATATTATATTTTGAAATTGGAAAGTGATAAATATTCAACATTCCTTCATTATCACACACATAGATATTTCGTGTATCATCGGAAATGGTTTCACAATGAAATCCTTGAATGTTTTTCAATGATGATTGTACGGAAAATCTTCTTTGACCGGTAGCCATCCAATAAAAATCAATGGATCCATCATCGTAGAGAGCAGCCACTTCGGAATCATTGTTGGGATTGGCCCATTGAATTTTCCTCACTCCACGACCCTTCTTTTGCTCTCCGATGGTGATATTGACTTCACCCTTGACAACATCCACGACTTTTAAAAGTCCAGTATCTGTTCCGGTCACTACTCGCATTTCTTTTTGTTCAAAATTTTGGATGTACAAGCAGACTTTAAACCGTTCTCAATTTTGTTGAATTTGGGTGATCACAAAGACATGGCTTCAACAATCCTCCTTTCAAATTGGAACACATTAGACCCCTTGAAGAGAGAGAATACCTGTTGTTGTAGCCACATCGTAATTTCAAGAAAAACGATAAAAAATTGAGCCTTATCGTTAAGCAAGCCTAGAAAACATTTCGTCCATTGTACAATGTCTACATCATCGCTCTCTTCTCAATCAAAACCACCAAATTATAATTTGAAAATACCAATTCCACCTCGTTCTGATCGGGGCATGGAGGACGTTCATCAAATTGACTCACATCCGAGCCTTAATCACATCATTTCATTAATTGACGAAAAAGATCCGAGTGTTCATGAAGACGAGTCAGAACAAGATTTAGTTCATTCATTGGGACTCACAGATCCATCTGAAGAGGAGAAGAAACAAATTCGAAAAAAGTACAATTTACCTCCCTTTAATACATTGTTTCCTTATCGAAGGGGTAGAGATTATTGGAATTATAGATATGAGGAAAGAGGAAGTGAACTGTTCTATGATTGGTATCTCAGTTTTAGTCAAATGAAATCAACTCTACAACCTTACTTGAAAAGTTATGACATGCGTATATTAATTCCAGGTTGTGGTAATTCTCGTAAGTAAGGATGTCTGTATTCTGAGTGAGAGAATCAACAACACTTCATCAATACTGCTCCAACTCCAATGCACCATGGATACATTCAGGCCTACCTCGTCAATTAGTTAAAAGTGGTTTTAAAAACATCCTCTGTATTGATTACTCTGATGTGATTGTTAAGAGGATGAGAAAAATTCATGAAAAGTATAATGAGTTTGTCAAATGTAAGTCACTACAACCCTCATGATTTTCTCTCAATTGTCACCTGTTATGCAATCTGTTCTCTGGAATTACAAAATTTCAATTTTTTGCCTGCCTTACATCATTAACAACATGATGGATAAACATGTAATAGTTCATTGTGTGGATGCATGTTCCATGAAAATGATTGACTCGGATTCGTATGATCTTGTTATTGACAAGGCACTCACCGATTCAATGACATGCTCAACAAGTGAAATTCGTTCATCCATCACAGATAATGTCACACGGTACTATTTTCAAGTTTCGAGGATTTTGAAACCGGGAGGAAAGCTTCTCGTTTACTCTTCAAGAGATCGTTCAGACCTCGTAAAGATGAGTGACGCGTCTCTGTGGTCTTCCATTTGCATAACAAAGGTGGCACGAGTCCAAACCACCAATGAAAAGCTCCGAAAATTCTTTCCGTCCAATCTCGCAAATAGCTCTTTTCACTTGCTTGTTCTCTCCAAGAAGGGTGGAGAAGATGAAGCAACCACATCATCTACGAATAATGACTCGCCTCTCGATGGTATGTTCCAGCTCAGTGGAGGCCTCATTACACAGGAGCAAGCGAGTTCGGAATCATCATCAATAGCTATCGACGCCATGAGAAGAAATCAAAGTAAAAGCAATAGCATCCTTCCAAAGCTTGCTGATTTTGAGCGCAGAGTTGAGGAGCAAGAGGAGCAAACTCATGTCATTCATGACCTTCTGTAGTACACGCTCCTCCGAGTGATAAGCATGATTATCAATAAACACACAAAGAGTTACAGTTTTGGTACATAAAGGATTTCAATGATTTTCACATGTTACGAATAATATCAAAATAATATCATCCACTGCGAGAGTTATTATTGTTGAATGAAACCATGTGTCAATTCTGACATTAATTCTGTCAAGACCTTTCATCGTTGTTCATCACCAATATTTTCGAAAAATTCAAAATCATCATCACGGCGAGTTCTTTTGCATCATCCACGTTGGATGATTTCAGAATTCAAATCATCACCACCACCATCAGCAAGTAGCATGTAGAATTGAAGACTTCATATTGTTTGGCTCTTGGGAGCAAACTTCAAGTCTTAATTTGGTGTTTTTTGGCAACGCAAACTTCGTTGCGAGTTGTAAGAGTCAACTCTACCGCCACACAGTGCTTCTTCTCGCTAATGCACAAAAAAAGACAAAAAAAATAAATACAAAATGTGGGCCAGACTCTACAATTTGTTCAACAGATTCGAAGAGGAGAGAAAGCTGAAGGGAGACTCAGCCATCCGTAACACTGAAGATGACTATGAGTGGGCTGAAAAGTATCCTGAACATGAAGCCAGCCTAAAGCCTGTGGATAAGGTGGTTGCCGAGCAATTGGAGGCTTTCAATGTTGATGGAAAGGCACTCACAACAATTGATAACAGCGTTGGATTCTACAATGTTGCTTCTTTGGATGCTACTCCATACTCTGTTGAAAACGAACAAAATATTCAGGATAAAATCCACAAGATTATCGATGTTCTCCAAGAGAAGACCGATATTGATTTTTCCAATCCAAGCGTTGCTTTGGAAAAGCTGAGAGCAGATTTATGGGATCCATCCAAGACTGCTGAAAACAGCTACTGGGGTGTTGTTAGCAAGGAATTGAACATCAATCCACGAGGTGTGGTATTGGCAATTCCACCAGAACTTTTCAATAACACCATCGGCAGAGGTGATTCCGTGATTGGTGGTTGGTATGATGCCGCTGCTTACGATCCAAAGGTCCGTGAGTTGTGGCTTAAGCAAGGTTTGACCGTTCAATTCGAGAAGCCAATGGTTTCCAAGTTGCAAGGTAATCAAGCTGCCTTGTTCGGACAAGATGCTGCTAAGAGGCTCATTGAGCAAAAGAGAAAGGGAACTGCATACCACTATGGTTTCCTCAGAAACAAGATGGGATCAAAGGTCTTTGTTGGAACGCTCATTGGTTTCACCCTTTGGGGCTTGACTCTCAGATTCAACGTTCAAAACTGGAGAGATTGGATGTACCAAAGAACCAAGTTTGTGGAACGTTTGTATGAATTGGACGAAATTGGTGTTGCCACACCACAAAGCGAAAAGTTGGATGCTGCTCACCGTGAATGGTTGACTCACTACTATGAAGATGAGGAATAAGCCTGATCATGATCAAACAACAATTTTCGCTCTCTCTCACTTTTTGATGGACTTGTACCACTAACACTCAACACGACATAAAAACCAACAGGGTTGTTTTTCGAATTTCATTGATTGCTAGCTTATATGGCAGAATTCTGTGTTAAACAACAAGCTTAGTTTATTTTATTTTCCTTATTCATCGTCATCATGGACAACGATGAGCAATCTTCGAGCTTTTCCAAGCTTGTATTCATGAAATAGTGGTGATGGGAATTGCTGCTTGAAACTCCTGTTGTTAGCCCACTTGAATTGCTGCCCTGGTGTATCACATTGTCAAGAGAAGGTGGGGTGCTTAATTTACACTTTTTGAACTCTTGACTACATGGCGTGCTGTTGATGCTGTCATCACATTCGTGACGAGGAGTTAACGGATGTGAAGGCACCTCCTTTCGTTTTCTCTCTTCAATGAGTCGCTGCGATCGAGCCTTTCCATATTCAATCTTGGACTTCAACTCTTCATTTTGCTTGTGGAGTGTTTTGTTTTCTACCAACAAACGATTCATTTCCTCAAGCTTACTCGACATTCCTGTCACAATACTTTCCTTCTCTTCCTCAAGCTCCTTAATCCTTTCGACTGCATCATCAATTTCCCGTTTAAATGCTTGCTCTTTGAGAGTAATTTCATCTTGCAATTGAGAAATGTAAGCATCTTTTTGTTGAACGAGCTCTTCAAGATTTGAATGAGATTCAGATTTGTTCTCTCCTCCTTCTCGAGAAAGAGCACTTGATGTCAATTCTAATGATATTTGTTGTTGTTGTTGCTGCTTGACTTGACTCTGTAACATTCCAAAATCATATTCAAGTTCTTCCATTGCTTCCTCTTTTTCCTTCAATAATTGAGAAAGAGAATCAATGGCTTCTTTGAGAGAACTGATTTCAAATTCTTTGGATTGATTTTCAGTGTGTAATTTTTCAATAGTCTCTCGCAGTGTTTGAATTTCTTGTTCATGAGTGTGTGTTAAATGAGATAATTCTTGTTGCACATGTTCCAGAGTACTTTTTGTAGTGTCGTGCGCCATTTGAATTGTTTTTTCATGTTCTAAATGTTCTAAATTCAGAGTTTGAATTTGTGTTTCTAGATCTTCCTTGCAACTTTCCAACTCTTTGATTCGTTCGTGTAACAATGTCATGTGTTTGTTTAATTCACATTCGACTTCATGAAGGTGTGAATTTAACACTTGTTGTTGTTGTTGTTCAACTTCATATTTCTGAGAGAGTTGAAGAGTCAATTCTTCTAATTTCTGTTGATGAGAAGTTTTTAATCTTTCCAACTCTTGTTCATGATCTTGCTTGAACTGAGCAATGATCTTCTCATGCTCGAATTTCATGGCAGAAATGGTTTGGTTGGAATTTTCAATCGTACTCGAAAGTGTGTGTTGCAAGTGTTTCAATTCTTCATCCAATCGTTGTTGACTACTTTTAGAGAGAGCTTGAATCCACTCGAGGTCTTTTTCCTTTTCTTGAATGAGTTTTTTAAGAGATGCTTTTTCTTGTTCGTCATTCACGGAAGAGAATTGACTCGATTGAAGGAGAGAAAACTTCTCTTCGTAATGTCGAATACATTCCTTCTTTTCCTTTTCTAATCGTGTGATTTCAGTTAAAAGTTTTGATTTCAATTCTGCATTTTCTTTTTTAAGCTTTTTCAACAGTGCCTTATCTCCAAGAATTTCATTAATGGTGACACTATTTTGAATACTTTTCGCTCGATTTGCAAAACTGAGAGTGGATTGAGTTTCTTCAAAATACTGTAAAGCAGGTGTAACTGTACAAATAATAACTGTTTTCGAATTTCCTCCCAAAGCACTCTGAAGAATTCTTGTCAATTTTGAATCTCTATATGGAATGTGAGCAGAATTTCCTTCACTCAATTTTGAAATGACTTTACCAAGTGTGAATAAACTCTTATTAATGGCAGCTCCTTCTTTCAATCGTTGTCCCTCAGCAAGTGTATTTGAAACTCGTTCAGATCCTGCCAAATCTACTAAATTGAGTGTACTGTACAAAACTCGTGTATTGGAATCCGAGTCAGAAGACATGTCTAAATTTTCATCATCTTCCATGACTCGTTTTGCAATTTCTGCATCCATGGACTCGATGGTAATTCTGAAAATGGTGTGAGATCGACTACTTCTGTCATTCATGTTGGTAGCTCCAAAATGTCGATTATGTTCACCTCGTTCCATTAATCGAAGCACTTGTTGAATATCTGAAACTTCTTCTTCTGTTGCTCCTTCGACATAGACTCCTTTGGAGAGATCTTCTCTAATTTTTAACTTTTTGTTTTCAATATCGAGTAAATCATTAATAATTTCATTATAAATTTCAAGATAGGAAACTCGTATTTGAAACGCTCGATCTGGTGTTTGTGAAATGGTTGTAAAAACATCACGTATTGAAAGAGGAATAATTCCTTCCAAGTCTTTGGAACCTTTCATTCTGTGACACATGCATGATTGAGGTGTGAATAATGATATTTCAATATTATTAATAATGATTTAATGTTCATAAATTCATGAAATGTTTCAATATGAATAAATATATTAATTACTGAAACAAAAACTTTCACAAAATGATAAAACTTACGTAAAAGTCTTTCCAGAGGATGTCTGTCCATAGGCAAAGATCGTTCCATTATATCCTCGAACCGATGCAATCACAATATGTTTACACATTTCTGAATAGATCAATTCCGTAGAGCTTTGTTGATCATAGACATGATCAAAGGTATAACTTGTTGGAATACCGTTATTATTATTATTACTACTACTCATTATATCATTATTATTGCCATTATTTTGTTGTTGCTGTTGGAGAAGTAATGAAGAAAGAGAGGAAGAGGAGGATGCCGATGATGAAAGAAGGTTATTGTTGTTGTTGTTGCTAGTACTACTCGTCGGGTTATTTCCCGAACTGTTATTGTTGTTTATGGACGATGGATTGAAATGATGATAGATGGTATTGTTGGAGGCTGTTTTCCATATGGATACAGAATTCCGAGATTTTTCCTTTTCATTCAGAGGTCGTATCCTCACACAGACTTTAATGCTGTCCTTGGCGTTGTTCAATTCGTTCATTTTTTTTGAATTTGTGTGAAATGGCTAGTTTGGGCGGGAAATTTTTTGCATGACACCAAAAGCCAAATTAACTCTTGTTCAATTCAGTCTTACAATATATTGATTTCCAATACATCTAGAGTTATTACTCGTATGTATTCATTGTGTGAATACGTGGCAAGGAGGTTTAGATCTCACAATTTTGTTCATTCCAATGACTGGAAGATAATCTAATTGCATTAGGTGTTGATCCTTCTCTAGCAAATATTCGATGAAGGAAACATAATTCACGACATGTTCACCACTCGTTAATTTTCGATTTGGAAAGAGTGAGGGAAAGACACAACACGGTACTACTACTGCTGGCTTGTGGTACCGAAGTGAAACATCAATAATGGCCTCTGTGGCTTGATCAGGATGGAGTCCAACAATGATTGAGCTGTTCATGATTAGCTCTCGAAACTGATCGCTCCAATCTTGTTCTGAACTTGTGAAATATTCATGTACATATTGTATGCTAGTGCCTGTTCCGTGTAGTTTCTGTAATTGTTTTTCTGAAAGAGTTGCTTCTCTTGGATCAATGACTGTGGATTGAATTCCATACTCGGTCAATAAGTAAAATGAAACTTCTCCCTTTCCTCCAGCAACGTCCAATACCATCCCAGATGAAAGAAAGTCTTTTCCAAACTGGTCAACCAAGTACTTGGCAAAAATTTGAGCTCTTCGTGTTCTATTCAATTTTTCAATTGGAGTAAATTTAGGAGTGGCATCCACGAGGTCAGCATTTGAAAATCGAGACTCTGGCGAGTTGTTATCATTGACAATTCTTGAAAGTGTTTTTGGATTTTGAAAATTAATTCCACAATATGGATCTTTCTCATCTCTATAATTTTGCTCTTGTTCTCGTTCATTAATGAAGAAATGCCTTCTGTCGCAATTTTTGTCTGTACACTCTAATCCCAATTTAAAGTTATTACAAAGCTTTCGTTTTGATTGTTTGTGATGCTCTGTTTCTTCCTCTGTATATCGTTGACGCAATGTATCCAAAATAATCATGGTCTCTGGGTTGTTTGCCCAATTTTCCATATTTTTCAAATAATTAAATGCACAAATTTGAGGAGGTGATTTTGAATTCAAATGATCTTGTTTTGTACAACATTCAATCCTAAATAATTTTGTTTTGAAAAACGTCGTAGTGAAATTAGATTTTCAATGTGAAAAAATCCAATTCATTGAAACACATGAAATCATCATGACCTACCAATCTCCAACATGTAACTCTTTCACCCACTCTTCTTCTCCTCGAATCATTAATTGAAGGGTCAACTCGGAAACGTTTTTAATACATTTCATGCAATCTCGCCAATCAACTCCGTGTTCATCTTTATCAAAGCAAAGCAATTTTATGAAAGCAAGCTTTTTACCTAACTTTCTCATGAAAAGAATTAATCCCGAATAGTGTTTGTTGTTCTCTTTATTATTCGTTTCATTGTCAATATTTTCATGATGGAGTTCTTCTGATGACGCCGATAACCCTGTAAGCATTTTTTTTAACTCTGTGGTTTCAAAAACATTTTCCCTGCAAGATAGGGTGTATCATAAAACATTCCTTGAAACAAGAATGGATGCAAAAGGGACGAAGGTAGTTTTGTTGTTTCAAATATTTATTATCTGATAGAACACGTGTTGGAGCCTGGCAATCCAAAAAAAATGAGCAAAAGCCTATTCACCTATTTACTTGTCGTTGCAGTGTCCGTTCTTTTCATTATCGGAATCATCACGACACCTATTGCAGCTTCCGATGATGATCATATAACACCTCAAGAAGAAACACCAGAACCAAAGAATATTAAAGTAACGTGTGGAAGTATTGTCAAATTACGACACAAGGGAATGAATTGTCGATTACATTCTCATGCTGTAAAATATGGAAGTGGAAGTGGACAACAAAGCGTCACGTGTTTCCCTGGAGAGGGTGATGAGAATAGTTATTGGGTGATAAAAGGAGCATATTCAACTGATAAAAAGGATGAAGATACTTGTCCTCATGGAACCATTCTAAAGACTGGGTTGACAGTCCGATTGGAACACGCTCAAACAGGAGGAAGATTACACTCTCACTTGCATCAGTCTCCATTGTCCAGACAACAAGAGGTCTCTTGCTATGAAGGACAAGATACAGGAGACAATTGGGTGGTTGAACTTGTGAGTAGCAGCAGCAATGCTCTCGAAAAGGGAGACTCATTCCGTCTGAAACATGCCGATACTGGAAAATATCTTCATTCACACAACATGCAATATGGAAATCCAATTCCTGGTCAATTAGAGGTGACATCTGTTGGTAGTGCAAACTCCAATACCATTTGGGTTGCTGAGGAAGGAGTTTATTATCCAACACAAAAAGAATTGGAAAATCATCACTAGAAATATAGATTGATTAATAATCAGACGATGGACCAAATCGCGTTGAAAGTAAACCAGTAGGCCGTTCGACTCTCCCCGCCAAAAAAATTCTTTCAAATCTACAAAAAAATGAAGCGAAATACAAACGCTCCTACCAACAAGAAACCAGGTCAGGAGAAGGCAGGAACGATCTCTCGAAGAACTGATACAACGGCCGATCATGATCCACAATCGGGACATCAATTCGGAGGACAACTAAGTAAAAAAGTGATTAAGGCCGAGGATCAACTCCATCTTTCTGAAGAAGAATTAAATGTTGAAGTGGATAGAATTTTGGAAGGAACCAATCCAAATGCTCCAGAAAATATTGTTCGATTCAATCACGAGGATAGAACATTTAAATTTGAGCATACAGTTGAACAGGCAGCATTCCATTTTGCAGATGATGGGTAGGTGTCATGATTGTTTTCTAAAGGAACTGTCGTATGCGAACAATCTGTTTACGGTGTTTGATTTTACATAATTATTTCGTGCATCGTATGATCTTTTCACTGCTCCATTCGATTGATGTTTCCTTTTCTTTGGACTATACAAAGATTCCTAATTCTAAAGGATGGTCCAGAGGCTAAACTTCAAAAGGAAGAAAATGAAAATAAGAGAGAACTGCTAAAGAAAAAGCTCAAAGAACAAGCGAACGTGGAAACTGACAACTTGGGAGCAGATGATATTCAACAAAAGAAGGATATTCTTCGCAATCAGTTCAATTATTCTGATCGAGAGGTTCAAACCTTTAACTATCCTTTCAAGGAAGTGGAGATCATGACAGAGCCTCCAGCAGCTGAGACCTTTGAAGCAACTGCTACTCAATGGGAAATTCATGATTTTTATCAGCAACATTTCGAGGAGCTCAAAAAACAAAACGGAAAGGGTAACGGTGGTGGCAAGAACAAAAAGGCGAACAGAGCGAAAACACCTCAAGAAATTATTCATTCCAAGGAAATGATCTCAACCTTGAAACTTATGGAACGAATGCTCAATCAAAATTCAATGGAAGAAATTTTGCATGACTACAAGTATTGGGATGATCCTTCTGACGACGTTGTCGAAGACAAAAAGAGAAGAACCGAGGGTTCCTTACTTCCTCTATGGAGATTCCCATTCCCAGACAAGAAGAAACTCTCTGTGACTGGAGTTTGTTGGAATCCAAAATATTCAGATTTATTTGCAGTGAGCTATGGAAGCTACAACTTTTTAAAGCAAGGCGGAGGAATGATATGTTGTTATACGTTGAAAAATCCTGGAATTCCCGAATACACATTCTACACCGAATCGGGTGCAATGTGTTTGGATTTCCATCCTAAACATCCATCACTGTTAGCTGTGGGTTTGTACGATGGTACCTGTTTGATATTTGACATTAAGCAAAAGGATAGCAAACCACTAATATTGTCAACTGTTAAGAGTGGAAAGCATAATGGTGTAGTTTGGCAAGTGAAGTGGGAAACAGAGGGAATTTCAACATCCTTGTCATTCTTCTCAGTGAGTAGTGACGGTAGAGTTACGAATTGGACTCTTTCAAAGAACGAGCTTCAATACACCGACATTATGCACCTTAAATTGGAGTCTTCCTCTACCGTTGCATTTGATTCGGACAAGTCCTTCTCTGCGAATGCATCATTCACTCAAATGAACCCATCAAAAATTACTGAAGACTTTTTAGTGGCCTATTCAGGTGGTACTTGCTTTGACTTCAACCCCAAGACACCACACTTGTTTATTGTGGGTACTGAAGAAGGAAAGATTCACTTGTGCTCCAAGGCATACAATTCCCAATACATTAGAACATACGATGGCCACAATATGAACGTGTACAGTGTAAAATGGAACAATTTCCATCCAAATGTTTTCCTTTCGGCAAGTGCAGATTGGAATGTCAAGCTATGGGACATGAATTATACACAACCTCTCATGACTTTTGACTTGGGAAGTGGAGTTGGAGATATTGACTGGGCGCCATTTTCATCGACAGTTTTCTGTGCTGTCACAGACGATGGTAGAGTTCAAGTGTTCGATTTAAGTGTCAATAAGAGGGATTCGTTGACAGATGCTTGCTCGTTAATTGTGAAGAAAGCCAAATTAACGCATGTTCAATTCAATCCAGTCACACAAGCAGAATTACTCTATGATAGCGCCTATTTGGATAGTAAGAACCCACAACTTCAACACAAGGCTGTAGAGGCACTCAATAGAATGAGCTTTGCGCTGCTAGTGGGTGATGATAAGGGACTTGTACAAACACTCAAGCTTTCTCCAAACCTTAGAAGACCTCCAGACCTCAAAGACAAGGAAGCTGCGCCAGCCGCAGGTCAACAACAAGGAGCAAAGAAGACAGAAGCAGCCACGACTACAGGTCAAAAGACAGTTCAACAAATGGAAATTGACAAGCTTACTGCCATTCTTGAGGTTGCCTTGAAACAACAGCAAGAATAAAATTCAGAATTCATATGGTCAAATAGGAGCATATCAATTATTTATTATAGTAGTTGTCAACAAGATTTCACAAATCAATTCGGAATTATGAAATACAAGATGTTACAAAGCCCATTTTCAAGCGCACGCAAAGAATCTTTAAGCCCAAAAAAAAATGTTCAAAACCGCAGTCTCTTCATCGTTCGCTCTCTTGAAAAAGTCTTCTTCTTCCTCCCAACAGCCATTCCGTTCTGTATGTGCTACCGGAATGAACCAGATGGTGAGAAACAAGCACCAATTACCAACATTGGACTATCCTGTTGAGAATGGAATTGCTCCATGTATTACTGCTCGCCAATTGGATTTCCACTACAACAAACACCACAAGACCTATGTAGATAAGCTTAACCAATTGATTGAAGGTACCAGTTTTGAGAGTCAGCCTTTGGATGCCATTATTCAAAAGACTGCCTTTGATTCGAATCCAAAGAGTGTTTCCATCTTTAATAACGCTGCTCAACATTTCAATCACTCCTTCTATTGGAAATGTTTGGTTCCAAACGGAAGCAAGATTGATGATGCTCAAGCCATCAAGCAAGCCATTGAAAAACAATTCGGATCCATCGATACATTCAAACAACAATTCACTGAGAAGGCCACTACATTATTCGGAAGTGGTTGGACTTGGTTGGTTCTGGATGGAACTCAATTGAAGATTTGGAATGGAAGCAATGCTCAAACTCCAATTGCTGAGAATTTGATTCCATTGTTGACTTGTGATGTTTGGGAACATGCCTATTATTTGGATCATCAAAACAGAAGACCAGATTATTTGAAGACTTTCTGGGAGGCTGTTAATTGGTCATTTGTTAACAAGGCATACACTATGGCTCGTGATCAACAAAGCATCAAGTTGTAAAGAGTGATCAGTGTTTTTCTATCACCGCATAAAGTTTCATGGCAGGATATTGTGCAAAAATTTATAAATTATTATTGATATTAATTTCACACAGTTGTTTTCATTCTTCATGAGAGTGGATGTATTTGACATGATTTGTCAGGCAAAAGAAATCACAAACTTCAAAACTTGCGCGTTCTTCATCGTTCAATTTGTTCATATTCTGTGTTAATGACCGCACTTGAAGAAGTGCTGACCCAAGACCTATTGTCTGTTTGGTTTGAACCAAAAATGCATCGGTAAAGGGTGACAAAGTCAACCTTACTAAATTCGAAAACTATAATTCCAGTAGCGAGAACCAAATACACGACCAACACAAATGCTGAAAAGAAGGAGTACATTTCACGCTCGTTCCACAAAGCAGAAACGAGTAAGCATAAATCAACATTCGTAAAGACCATCATGACTCCAACACAAAATAAGGAGAATCGTCCAAACTGTGAATTTCCAATTCCAAACATGCAAAATCATTAAGGTATATTAACATTGAATTTTCACACTCTAAATATGTGATTTTTTCATTGCAATTACTTACCGAAGTCTGAACAGAGTTAATTTCAGAAATTCTTTTCAGTGCCAAATAAATGAACAAGGAGAAACCACTAAATATTGCAAAAATGATCATTTCCACAATCCATGAAGATAAAATCCAAACCACATTCGTCAAATTTCTAGGAATTTGGGCCTCGAGAAAACCCAATTCAATACTTAGACCAATGCAAAATACCAAAACAAACAAGCACAATAGATACTTTTTCCAACTACTCGCTCGTTTCAGAGTTTGTAAATATCTCATGACTCCAAACCAATAAATTAAAATAGGTACTAAACTAAAATAGTTTAAAAATTCAGCAACTGAGGAAAACACCGTTTCCAACCGCATAGGATACATGAATTGAGGGACATGAAGAGAAATAATTCTGCAACATAATGAAAGGAGTACAAATATGGAAGGAATAATTTGGAGAAAGGTATAGTTATGATTCGGTGCTTTGATTCTCCAAATGATTAGCTTTGGAATGACCAGAAAGAAGAGAGACACAATGGCGAGTATTGAACTCATCATTGTAATTCCAATTCTTTTAAATTCTTGCATAACATGAATGGCACCCTTCTTTTCACAAAATAATTCAAATTCATTCGATTGAAAGCAATAACATGTATAAATATATGGAAGTTGCTGCGACCCAGTTAAGGACATTGCCAAAGGGGTAATCACTGGAATTCCAATATTAATCGATCCACAATATCGAATATAATTTGGAAAGGATGAAATCATTTGTTGAATGGAGCTGTTGCCATTTCTACAGGTTTGATTTTCCAATAACTGATGATATTCATGAAATCCATTTGCCAGTGAACAATATTGACAATAGTTCAAGAAATCAAACAATCGATCTTCAATCAATTCCAATTGAACATTCGTCATCACAGATCCCTTATCATTACACAACACTTGCTTACAACTCGGCACCAAAGAAACATTAAACGTTTCACACAAATTTTCAACCACATGTCTCGAGTAAAACTTGGCATTTGGAAAGGCATCCAATTTCCAATGTTCTTCCACGACTGAATATGCCATATTTGGCACAGAAATACTTTCGCATCCAATGAGAGGATATTTTGGATTCCTTAACACTTCATAAGGATTCGTATGGAGTAAGTAGTAAAAAAAGTCTTCGGAGCCTTCTCCCTCAATGTTACAATTTCTCCAAGTTTTGGATAGAGTCTTGTTGTGGACCATTATGGATCCATCATGGTCCCGAGTTTTATCGTTATGATGATGATGTATGGACCTAGAGCCTTGACCTCGCTCCGATAGGAAAGCATGATTCTGCTGGTTCACTTCAATATTTGGGAGTTTAGGTTGTTGTTCTTCTTCATATAAATTATTCCTAGACGAGTTGGATGCATGAGGAAACATCAGAAGGGTCGTCAGGATGATGATGGCTGTGAAGAATATTTTGAGACATGATGATGCATGAGTGAGCTTGTGAGACATTTTTTTGAACTTCATCACCCTGTATGGAGACAGTCTTCTCATGGAATGGTTGTAACAACAACCGAATGAGATGGTTCCATAGTTATTTGTTGAAACACAATATTTCGAAACTACCAATGAAAAAAAAGTAAAATCTTTACAAAAAAAAATGTCGCAAACCGGGTGGTGTGGAAGAAAAACAACATTGGCCTCTCTTTCCACAACGTTATTTCAACAAATTCCGTATGAAATTTGGAGTGATCAAATATTTCAATTCATGGGAGGAAAGTGGTTGTTTGGTATCGGAAGACTTGTCTGTCGTGAATGGAACGATATCATTATTCATGATTTGCTCTTTATTAAATTACATATCACTTTAAACCATTATATGTATGAGGATGAATCAAAACGTGTGCTTCAAGCATGTATTACTTCATTGGTAAAAACTTGTTTACGTAAGAGCTTTGTCGGAGTGAAAGATTTGACATTCAGTGGATTGTATTACTTGCCCTACTATGAAACCAATCAATCTAGAAATTATTTTGAAATTAATGGTGATCAAAAACGATTCAAAATGATTCCAGTTGAGGTAGTAGAGAATGGAACATTTACCAAAATTGACCCAATGAATTTTAATCCTTTTGAATACTTTCCACAACTGACTTTATTGAACATTAGAGAAAACTTTTTAGATTGGAATGCTTGTAAACATTTGGCAAATTGTGAAAGATTACAGAATCTAACTTGCTTAAATATTAGTAACAACAATATTTCAGATGAAGGCCTTTCCCAGTTGAGTGCAGGTACAACGTTAACAAAACTTGTCGCATTAGACTTGAGTGGAAACAGTATTAGTTCATTATCAATTGAAAAATTTCGTTGCAGTTCAATATTTTCACAACTCACAGAATTAGATGTCAGTTTTAACAACTTGAAAGATCAAGGCGTGAATCTATTACTGTGCCATAACAATTCTAATAATTGGCCAAATCTCACCAAACTCGTGATGTGTCGAATCAGCATGACCTGTGAAGGAGCACGAGCCATTGCAAATTCTCCTGTATTGAAACAAATCAAATACTTGAGCTTGAGTTTCAATTCGATCCAAGATGAAGGATTGCAAGCACTTTCAAACAGCAACCATTTCGCATCACCTTCGTTATTGACCCATCTTGATTTGGTTGGAAATGGAATTACCAACAGTGAATTATTTAATAGTCAGAATTTTTCAAACCTTACCGAGTTGACATTATTGGCTAATAGCATTACTAATCACAAAGCAAGCCATATATCAGAGTATCTTCAAAAATTAAAATCATTTAGATATTGAACACTTGTGTAAGTTAATATTTCAAATTTTCATCTTGATGCCTGTGATGAAAATGATGCTGGACTGAAACACTGACAATTCAGACAGCAGAAGAAAAACCTTTGGAAAGCTGAAAGTAAAACGTTTCATAAATGAATGAATACCAACAGATTTGACCTTGAAACAAAGACGACTAGAAATATTTCTTTGAAATTCCAGTCCAACAGTTTTTTGACGCGATTTACTGGTATCATTTGAAGAAGCAAAAGAACACCTTGGTGCTTCCACAGTCAAAGAGATTTATAAGAAACTCTTCCTCCATTAAATTTAACTTTTTAGGAAAGAAAAGTGAATAAAATTCAATCATGAAAGCAACACTCAAGTCATTGAAATTCCAACAGAAATGTAAAATCCATATTAATTTCAAATAGAGTGTTCCTTATTCATCAGAAACAATTGTAAAGCGTTCACTTATTTTTGGTCTTCCACAAGTGTTACATGCACTTTTTTGTGTATTGATTCAAAATTGTGTGCAACAATGAGTAAAACCAACCACACCAACATTCACAAGAAACAAAATGAGCAGTACTGCTGCACAACCACCGGTCATTCTGGTCATTGGAGGAAGTGGAAAAGTGGGCACAGAATTGGTTCAGAGCCTATTAGAACGCAAGGCCCGAATTCGAATTTTGGTTCGTCATGTTGAAAATGCAAAATCACTCTTTGGCAATCAAGTGGAATATGTAGCTGGAGATGTGACTCAAAATCTAGACACATCAGTAGTAGATACGAGTGCCTTCCAAAATGTGGAACGTTTGTTCATTCTTGTTCCCAATAATCCCAAACAAGTGGCACAAGAATTAAATCTCGTGAAAAAAGTCCTTCAACAAAGTGCTCTAACGTTGAGACAAGTCTTGAAATTGAGTGTCTTGAATGCAGATGCGAGTCGTCCTCTGGGAGATTTACAACGATTGCATGGCCAAATTGAGAATCGTTTGGAAGACTATTTAAACGAACATGCTCCTCAGGTGCATTTCACGGTATTGAGACCCAACAACTTTATGCAAAATTTATTGGCTGAAGCAAACGGAATCAAGAACGAGGGTGTGTTGTATCGTCCTCGAGCTGAACCGTTCGAATATAGAATTTCATTCATTGACACTCGAGATATTGGAGAAGCTGCAGCAACCATTTTGACAGAAAATCCTGAAAAACATTCTGGACGAAGCTACGAGTTGACTGGACCTGAAGCATTGAGTTGGGATGAAGTGGTTCAACGAATCTCTACGGTAGCCAATCATCCAGTGAAAGTCGTCTACGTCGATGATGCTGGATTTTATAATGCCTTGACCTTTTTGCCAGAGTTTTATCGATTTTATTTTGTCAAATTGATGCAAACGTATCGTGTGGAGAGACGTTCTGCAATCATTGCTGGAGATTATAAATTAATTACTGGAAAGGAATCAAGAAAGTTGGATGACTTTTTGAAAGAACATGCTTCCAACTTTTAACAGTTGCAACTTTTATATATTTAATTCATTTTCAACCAAGAAGCCTGTGTAAATAAATAATGTGTGTGAGTAGTAACTGAAAAAATTCAAAGGGTTAATCATTTACTGTGTGTGCTCCTATAAGACCATGACTTACAATGTTCACAATTGCTTAATCGAGAGCGCCAATTTCACCTGACTTAACAATTCTTCAGTGCCCTCACATGGATGATTTCCTAAAACATCTTCTTGGAGCAGATCTGCATGGTAGCTCTTGGCTAATCGGAACAAGACTGCACTATCATTTTCAAACATGAAAGCAATTCCTCTGTTTTGTTTGTTTACAACCTGTGCAAGCTTTGGTTGTTTTGCAAGTACTTGTTCTAAAAACAAATCTGATGACGCTGCTGCAAAGCAATGAAGACCTGTGTCACCATTTTCATTTTGGTAGAGCAATTGTTCAGGAGATATAAAATTCAAAATGCAAGTCTGTACCAAATAATCAGAAAATGGAAGAATGTAATAAATGAATGGAATGTGCATGGTTTTCTCAGTGGTGACTTTTTCGAGATCTTTCTTCACGAAAAGACACTTGACAGGCTCAAAAATTCCTTTAGCTAGTTCTGTATGTTCACTCAAATACTTGAGAGTATTCAATAAAATAGAGCATGAGGCTTCATAATTCACCTCTTTCAAATGTTTCAAAATTACTGCACGTATCAATTTTGCAAATTTCTCGTCATTTCCATATTGTGATCTAACATGATCCAACACGTCAACCAAATTGTCGTGAGGTAATCTAAACAAGATTTCGTCCCAATTTTCTACTTTCAAGCCGAGACGTAAAGCATCTGAAACACTCGATGTAGAAAAAGAGTTGGCAAATCTTCCATTCTGATAGGTATTTGCTAGATAAACCAGATATTCTCGAATTTGTGAGTAGTGCTTTTGTTCATATTCATAGTACGTCAAATCAACTTGCTCAATTGGGAAACATCCATCTCTGAAAAGACAATCCATAAACGGTTTCAATCGTGCAACCTCATCAAAGTATACTAAATTAAAAACTTCTGTGATGGTATTAGGTATGTCGTTGAGTGCAGATTTCAACAATCTTTCCGCTAAATGTTGAGGGTTCGCATTAGCAAGAGTTGTAAAGTAAACAATGACACGTTCTTGTGGTGCCTTGTTTCTTCCTCTCGTTGGAAGATTGCAATCACGAACCTTGGTACCATTCACATAAAACGAGGCGTTCTTTTTTTCAGGTGCTTCAATCTCGTCAATGTAATCTGCAGAGTCAGCATTTGCATTGTTAACAACAATGTGTGTAAGATTTGGAAACAGTTCAAGAATATATGTAAAATTATCTATAAAGCTGTAAACATCCTCGTTGATAATGTCCAAAGTCAATGTTTTCAAAGAAGGATAAGTAATGGATGCTTCTTTTTGGGATGTCCCAGCTTCATTATCCTCAACACCTGCTGACAAGTCACTGAGATCGGGAGAGACGTCAAAAAATGTCAAAGAAGTCAACTCAGAGCAACATTGAAGAATGACTTGCACTGTTGAAGCATCTCGAACGAAAAGAGCTAGGGATTTCAAATGTTTGTTGGTTCCAATGAATTGAACAGTTTCTTTCACTTTGGGAGTTTTCACATCTTGATGATCAAACATTTCTGCTGTGGATGATAACTCAATGGGAGCACTTCGAATGTAGAGACCTCTCATCGAATGACAACTCAATGGATGAAGGAATGCCATATTCTGGAGGTTTGACACAATTTTTTCTCTCATTTCATTCGAATTATTACCAGCCTCACTTGAAGATGATGCTGTTGCTGCAGAGGTAGTATCCTCACCATTGTTGGCAGATGAGGTTTCCACAACTGTTGCGTCATCACTACTGACATCCATTTTAGAGTCCACATTGCCATTTTGCAACACAGGTTCGTCGTCTTTCTGTGAGCTTGTTTCCTCACTCTCTGATTCTTGGTCTACAAGAGAATCAATGGTCGATACACACTGATACATGAGAGGGTCATTGTCAGAATGGTCCTTATTTGCAAAATATTGCGACTGACTCTTGATAAAAGCAAAAAAGTATTTTGCAATCTCAAAATCATCCAAATCGATCGTGGACATGTCAATGCTTTCAAAGGAAAAGAGTTTGTGCTTCATACGTACAGCGTATTCTCTGCAAATCAAACGCATCTTGTGGAATGTAATAAAACTACTGTCTCTAATCATGGCACAATCAAACGCACGTCTCTTGTTCAATTCCTTTGGATGCAAAGGATCACAAAGGTTGGACATGATATCCTCTGGAGATACTCCTGATGATGTTGAATTGTGTTTGATGTTATCAAAAGACGCTCTTAGACAATACCTAGTAGAAAATGTGGGAATAAAGTCAATAATATCATAAAGTAAATCCCGAGGCAATGAACGAAGTAACGATAACGCTATAGCATCCATTTCAAAATTATTTGATGATGGATGATTATCATTTTCTCTTCTGTTACGGTCTTGTACAATCCATTCTTGAACTTCAGTGGATATGTTACTGTAATCTGGATCTCGTCCGTTCTTGGCATCATTGAGAGCTTCTTTAATGAGATCCGAAACTTGTTTTCTCTTCTTTGCTTCAATATCTAGCACGTCCGAAGATGAACCAGAATCGGGAAACTTTCTCTTGCTCTTTCTGAACGAGAAGCCGCGCTTAATTCTTGCCATGGTTGATGTTGGGGTATTTTTTTCTTCGTTTTGCAAGAATATCATCAGTTTACAACCGTATTCTTAGCACCTTTCTTTACAAAGTTTGTTGGTTTCGTCTGACGCCCTTGTGCGTCACTTTTAATTTCGTAAAGACAATTTACAAAGTGATTTTATTTATTTGCAGTTTTTTTGGTCGGAAGAGATTTTTGATGTTCAAAAAGCTTCAAAATATTTTAATAATTAATAGGATATCATGTGATTCTTGACCTTGTGTTTTTACAATTGTAATGAATCAACTCCTGACCAACTCCTAGTTGGAACATCAAGTCGTCAAGCTTTTCAACCAATCGTTAACAGTTAAAAATTTTGCGGAGAATCATCCAAAAAAAAATTGTTCCACAACTTTCCGCACTCATGAAACTCATCCTTGTGACCATTGTGTGTCTCCTCTTACACAACATTGCCTTCATTCACGCTGCTTGTGGTCCTCCCATGTGCAATGACGATTCAGACACCTTGACTTCATCCTTGATGGCTCCAGCTCTTGCCAAATTAATCCACAATCATTCCAAAGGAAATACCACATTGAAGAATCTTCCATGTACTGCTTGTTTACCATGTTGTGATGTATTACTTCAACTTGAAAGAGTCTCAAATCAACATGGTGAAGTATTTTCTCACCTTTCTTCATTGATCGATCATGTGGATTGGACATGCTCAGCTAAGGAATGTCCAACGCATGCAACCATGAGAAGAGTCTTGTCCAAAGCGATTGAAGAAAAGACCGTTCCAGTGTTGGATGCTTTGGAACTGATGAAGTCTCAAACTCAAGAGAATGTCATTGCTTTGAGCATGAAAGAGCACTTGATTGAGTATGCTGCTCAAATTAGTCGAAATGGAATTTCAAAGAAGCAACAACCTCAAAGCATGGAACAATTCATTTCTAATGTGATGAGTTGTCCATGTACTGCTTGTCCTCAGGAATGTGCTTTTAGAAAATTAGTTGCTTTCACAAATCCAAATTAATAGAGGAATGAGAAGGGCAAGAATAAAGAGGTCATCGTTCCTAATCTTATAGACTTGTTTTATTGAAAGTCATCAAACGATGCAAATTCCACATAGTATTGATGCACATTCAATGTCGTTTCATTCATTCTGGAATTGTAACGCGTCTTGGACATGAGAATTCAACTTTCTTTTTCAACTGTGACCTAATTCTCATTAATTGTACTTGTATTTTTCTACCATACGTTTGGCAAGAAAACCGTCAGACGAACTCATGTAATAATTCTGATCTTTCAAGCATGTTGAAAGAATATCATCAAATTTGATATCTTCACAATCAAGTCCAGAATGACCTTGCTGCCCACAATTGAAACAATATTTCTTGTTTGAAAAAGACTTGTATGATTGGGAGCAATTCTGATGAAAGTTTTAAATGCACAATAATTCAAATGTTCCACGAATGATCACCATTTGGACAATATTGCAGATTGTAAACTCAATATTGAATTCACTACATTATAACATACCAAGTGTCCCTTTTCTCCGCATACAAAACAAACCACATTTTCTGGAATGTCATCTCTAGAAATGATATACTGTTTCATTGGGCACTTGGTTTGTGTATGTCCCTTCTTATTGCACCATTCACAAACGTTAGCACCTGCCTTAGTATGAGGACAACTGTCCAACTTGTGCTTTTCCAAGCAATTAGGACAATAATTGTTCGAACATCTCTCCTCATCATGTTCTCCACCACAAGTTTTACAAACAAATTCATATTCACTTTTTGAGCCGCATTGTAGTGATAAATCTAGCCTAATATTTTCATCAATATTTTCAACTTGCTCCTCTTCCGAAGATGAATTTTTGTCTGATATTTCTAAAATTGGAATTTGAATCGAGTTGTTCTTATTCAAGGATGGTGATGAAGTGCTCTTCTTACCCGATGACCCACTTCCGGTGCTACTTGTTGCTTGTGATGATGATTTATTCAATTTCTGTGTTATCTTTTGCTGTTTAATTTGTTCTTTGAGTGTTTTAAATTTCGGTTTGTTTTGAAATGTGCTCGGAGAGGTTGTTGATGATGATGAAGCTTCTCCTTGTTTCTTTTTGGCCATTTTTTCTTCAAATTTTTTAAAGAGTTTTTCTAATAAGAAAAGAAGGCTAATAATTGGAGAGAGGTTAATGCTAAGACCATGCAATGAAAGGTTAATTCTCGAGTTCATCAATGAGTGAATCGTTCTCATCGTGGCACCATCTTGACTTCATGGCGCCTTTTTGTGTTTACAAATTTTCAAAATACAAAAAAAATGTCATCACTTATGGAGTGGAATGATTTGTTTGAATCGAGCATTGGGAGCACCATTTTGAGTCGAGTGTTGAGCTATTTATCATTGGAAGAACAATGTAGACAATCGGAATTGGTTTGCAAAAGATGGAAAGATAATTCTCATGTTGAGGCCTTTGTCTTGGAAAATTCAAAGCATATCCAGACCAAGTTCGAACATATAATTTTGCCCAATTTGCTGTTGCGTCATGGAAACACATTGAAAAGCTTTCGAGTCGATTGTAGCTTTTGGGAGCAAAAGAATACAAAATTAATTACTGTTGACGTGCTCCGAAGAATTGTAAAATCATGTCCAAACATCACGGAATTGTCACTTCCCATGTGTTCTAATTTAACATCCTCCACAGAAACAAGCCCGCTTCAAAGTTTGGCAAGTCTTGAAAATCTTGAAAAATTGAATTTGAGTGGATGTAACTTGACAGACGAACATTTGAAGGCCTTGTCAAAACTTTCCAAAATTAAGGAACTCAATCTGAGTATTAACCGTTATGTAAGCGATTTGGGAATCAAATACTTGTTCCAACAGTCAACAAGCACCATTGGTGGTTGCTTACAGGCTCTAGATCTCAGCTTTACTTCCATTGGAGACGACTCTGTTCTCTGCATTCGAACACTATCCACACTAAAACAATTGCATTTGATGCACACCTCCGTCACCCACAAAGGTCTGCAAAATTTATGTGCCTTTGAACATGGTCCAAAACTTGAAAAGTTAAATTTGCTTAATTGCATGCATGTCACAGAATTGCCATTCCTCAACAGTGCCAGACTGAGCAATTTGAAGGCATTCATGTATTCTCTCCCGAGCACGGCTACCATTGAAAACCACCTTTCTCATTTGACAAACCTTACAATGTTAACCGAGCTCGTCCTTGTCAACATGAATGTTCTGACAAGTTGTATGATGAAAATAATTTCTCAAATCACGACCTTAGACACGCTGAGCATTCGATGTAACCAAATAGAAGACTCCAGATGTGATTCATCGGTAGATAACTCGGTGATGAAAATGTTGGAGAAGTTGTCCCACTTGAAAAAAGTGGATCTTCAAGTTGTAGAAATGGACCCAATATCTGAGGGCGTTATTGAAGCTTTAAAATTTCTGCCTAATCTCGAATTTCTCTCCGTTCAGAGCCTTCAAAAAGCGAAAGCTTCTAAATTACTGAACGAGTTGTTCAACAAGTATTCGGATTCAACAGTCGGTGAAAAATTGAAATTTGTTTCAATTGACGTACCTGGATACAATGTTGACTCGAGCGGTTTCAAGTTTTTTGCCAATAATTGTAAACAATTAGAGTCAATCTGTGTACCTCTGAGCGACAATATACCGTTCGCCAAATATTCTCTTTCCAACTTGAAACATTTCACGTTAGCACAATCCTCAATGTCACGTCCATTCTCAGATGAATCCATGTGCGAGTTGTTGGCACATACCGGTCACTCCCTTCAGAAACTATCTATTCGAGCAGGTTCTGGAATGTCACAAGTTCTTGAGAATATTGTCAAGTACTGTCCCAATTTGACCGATTTAGAGGTAGACCTTAATGTATTGTCCAGTGATGATGCAGTTTCATGCAGTATTGACTCGTCCCTACAAGCACTCAGTAAGTTGCATTATTTGCAACGGTTGTCTCTTTCAGGAAATGAAAATTTGTGGAGCATTAACAAGTCCATTGTTCCTCTCGCAAGAAGCATGACTAATTTGACTGAATTATGTTTACCCTCTTCGAAAATTGCAACTTGTTCCTCAATGCTCTTTGAAAAATTGTTTCCTCACACCACTATCCAAGAAATCTAACAAGTATGCAAGATATAAGTTCAATCCCAAAATGTTAAATAAATAGAATTTTAATGTAAATATTGCAAGAGCTTACAATTATAGATCTATTCAATGCATGTACTTTCCTTCCATCGTTTCAGGAATAGAACATTCAATTTCGCTGAATTCAAATTATATTTCTTCATCACATTCACTCGAACCTTATCAAACACAAATTGATTGGTAATGTCAAAGAATGACTTGTCATAAGACTCTGGATCCACCACAAATACCCTTCTCTCGTCATAGACATGAGAATTGTTATAGACGATTTCTTGGAACCATGGAGATTTGTCAGCATGAAGGCAGCTATATACTGGTTCAGAGCTCGTCTTAAACTGGAAGTCACACAAGAAATGTTCTCCATCATGGTGCTCATATCCAAACACAACCAATAGAATATAATCCTTGAACATGGATCTTGCTGCAAAACATAGTTGCCACATGGATCCATCTTGTTTTAACTTGGTTGCTTCTTCGAGTTGGGGAATTTCTGAGAAATGTAAACCAGACATCATGTTTGTGATAAATTCCTTTGCTTTTAGAATTGTTGATTTTTCCTTGCCAGTTCCCTCAACTTTTGGAATGACCATCTTCAAATGGAACGACGACTCAAAATTCTCCCAAAGCGTCAAGAAATCTTGATGAAGTAAATTAATTGGTCTTGAAAGAACATGGGACATTTTGATCTTGAAAGGAGTGCATCTGATCGTCACAAGTCCTTCTTGTTTGTTTCCTTCATCGAGCAAGTCAATTCCTCCTGAAGACTTTAAATGTGTACATTTTACAATAATATTGAAACAATAATGACCAAATTCTGTCATTGTGAACTCCAAATCGAATTCATAAGATTGATTAACAGCCAAATCACCAACATTGTTTGTTGCTTGTTGGGTCTTTTCAAATAGGGTGAGTGGGCCTTCCAGGCCAACCTCCACAGATGTTTGGAAAATATCACATGGAGATGTATTATGTATCTTGACATGAAGGAAAGCAGTATAGGATTCAGGAATGACCGAATATGAGGCTGTGACACAAATAGGGTCACTTGGTTGAGAGATTACGAGAGAGTGGAATTTTGCTTCAGTATTAGTTTGACGAATCTTAGTATTCGTAGATGTTGCAGTCATTAGCTGTTTGCCCTTCTTCAATTGGTATAAATCTTGTTCGTGCAAATTTGCTGTGATAGTATTGAGTTGTTGAATACCTTCAATGTATGCAGTTAACAATTTCTCATCATCCTCAGAAAAATAGGACTTGAATATTGGATGGTCCTTGTTGAACACTTTACCATAGATGAGCTCAATGTCAGAAGCAGAGGCTGTCTCTTTGGTAATGTTATATTTCATGGCATAGTCCACTCGGAGGAGAGTCTTTCTGAGTAAGTCTGAAATGTCATCTCTAGTGTCTTGTTGCTTTTCCAACAAGGCTCGCAAGTATTCATAGGTGTCTCTGAGCTTTGGTGTGAATCTGAGACATACACTCAAAAGACAGTAAAGCAATGTTTCAATTTTTTCCTTGCTAGAGGCCCCTCCCGAACTTTTCAATGTAGAGGAAATCATGAATCTGGTATGGTCAAATACCAAATCGCCACTTTCTCTGCCGGCAGCTTGTTTTTGTAATTCAACAAAATTGCTCAAAATACACATGGAAATTACCTCTGCAAACTCTGTTTTCATCTTCAAAATAATATCCAAGCATTTGTTGAGTATTTTTTGAATTTTCTTTCTCTGATCTTCATTGGTGTTGAATGACATGTAGGATTCTCCACATAAATCTGTCAATATTAATGAAAATTCAGAAATTGCCGCAGTCAAACCTGATGAAAATTTCCAAGTAAATGAACTCATTCCAAATTCTGAAATGCCAATTCCAACATCTAGCCAGGCGTGAATGAGAGAATAATCAATAGCAGCTTCAGAGCTCTTTGGCTCTGAATTATTGCTTGGTGTGTATGGTTTTTGTGAGAGATATTCTCTGCAAATACAGAACAACAGCTCGTTTCTAATGAGCTCTTCGAATGAGGAGTCCGGAACAGTAATTAGCTTGGCAATGAATCCCTCCTTTAGAAATAGATCAATCTCTACTGGCTCATTCAGTTGATCAGTTAATTTTAAAAAGTGTTGTTTTGTTCGTGTGTTAATGCTACACTGAATTAGTGTTCTGACAATACTCGAAAGAATGTACATTCTGTTCACTGCATCTCCAACTTTCATAATATGTTCAACTAATCTCACTGACACAGTATATTTGTCTCTCACTGTGTTAAGCACTGAGCAAATGTCTTTCATTAAATCATCGTAGAAGAATGATGACTCTTCTCTATACAACAATCCTAAATAGGCAGTTATGGCGTCATCGATTAAATTATTTGTGCAAGCAGTGAGATCGCTTGGCATGGAGCTATCTATGGCTGTCAATAAGATACAATGAGCAGTTTCAAGAACAGTAGCACACTCCACGCTTTGAAGCATGGGTCTTAATACGTTCGTTGTGCTAATGAGAACTGCAAAGTGTTAAAATGTTAAAAATTTTCATGTCGTACAAGTTCATAGAAAACATTTAGATTCACTCTGTAATCAGTTCAACCTACCACTTTCAAATGTTAAAGCATTGTTATCTCTCTGTGCTTGATGAGATAGCTCGTCTTGTAAATAGAGTGAAATATAGGTTAAAGGTCTTAAAGCAGGATATCTTCGTCTAACATCCATACATTTCAGTCTGGATAGCAATGTGTGATAGTAGGGTTTCATTGCAGAAATCCATTGCATGCTTTCTTTTGTGACAGAAATTGGTAAAGTCTCACTATGAAGGTGACGTGCACAATCACCACAAATAAACTCTCTCAACTATAGCAAAACATGATTTTATCATGGAAAATTAAACAATAGAAGTAAATAGATCATCATGATTAAAATGATTCATACATTCACATGAACGTTATTACCCAATCGTTAATTCATGTGATTTTTAACACACATAAATTACGTACAATTTCAAAACCAACAAATGCAATTTCTTGATTGTCATCCTTTATGGAACGAACAACCCAGTCTGCAAAATATTTAGCTGTTGAAGATTCGCTAGTATTTTGTTGGAATGCTGTGGATCGGAGAGTTTCTGACTGCCTCAGTGATATGGCTAAACATTTGATGAAGTGAAGAGCAGCGATTCTGACAAGATCATATCCGTACTTGAAAAGACATTCCTAGAGATGGTATATTCATCACGATAATAACCATAATAATAATGATAGTGATATGGTCGACATTGTTCATTATATCCAGTAATCATTTAAATTTCAATGTTTGTCATCATCCGTCAATTAATAATTAAATTTTGATATATATATCACCCCAAACACGGAGCACAATAAATCATCATCATTTCTTCAACAACACCAAAAAGTAACAACTACATACTTCAACTTGTCTACGATTTTTAACAAAAAACTCTTGAAGTTGTGTTCCAATACCACATAGGCCAACAACAGTTCTAAAAGCCCAAACACATAAATCCGGATTTGCTGAAGAATTCGTCATATCATCCACAATCACCTTCATGACAAAATTCCAATCGTGCCTACTCGTAATAGCACAGCCTTTGATCAATTGATAACACAATTTCTTGACCAACGGATCCGATGATTTGACCAATACAGCATTAATCACTGTAGAAACATAATTCTGAATATCCTTTCCAGCCGTATACAATCTATGAAGAATCAACAAGGCATTGGTTTGTTTGGTTGGATCCGATGAACTCAACTCGGCAGCAATGCTGATATTCTCCAATTCCATTTTTTTCAAAGCGATGATGATCATGATACTGGACAAGATAATCCCTAAAACGACAGGACTGAATTCGATCACGATGTACTGAACCTTTGGCAATAATCCAGAGTGTTCATCATAAATTTCATTAAATGTTGAGCATAAATATCGTTTATTATTGAGGAGTTGTTATTATTTTGAAAAGATTAGATTCTTCATCAAATCTTTCAAAACTCTCTCGTCATGATGATGATTTTCTTTGACACTAAACCACTTATTGATTCAATTCTTCACCTTCATCCAACATGGAATCTTCATCCACACTATCCTTATTCAATTCTTGATAATCCTTTTCCAAAGCAGCCAAATCTTCACGTGCTTCATTGAATTCACCTTCTTCCATTCCTTCGGAAACAAAGTGATGCACATACGCTCTCTTTGCAAACAACAAATCAAACTTGTCATTCATACGAGCAAAGACTTGAGAGATGGCAGTGTTGTTAGAAACCATGGCACATGAACGATCGACTTGAGCCAAGCATGAATCTTCCAAAGCTGTTGGTTTTTGTGAATTGACACCAATCTTGAAGGCACATGGACTCCAATCGACAAATTGAATTCCAGCCTTATTTCTTACATTCTTGACAGCATCAGTGACTTCCTTATTGACTACATCTCCACGATACATCAAGCAACTGGCAATATATTTACCACTTCGAGGATCACATTTGGCCATCATGTTGTCCACTTCAAAGACACTTGAAGTCAATTCTCCAACAGTATTTTCATAGTAATGATGTTCTTGACGAGAAATCATTGGAGCCAATGAAGACAACATGAAGTGAATTCTTGGATATGGAACCAAATTGGTATGATACTCATTCATGTCAACATTGAGAGATCCAGAGAAACGTAAAGAACAACTCAAGGCTGAGACAGTTTGAGAAATGACATGATTCAAATTTCGATAGTTGGCTCTCTCAATCTTTAAACGTTGTTTGCAAATATCATAAATTGCTTGATTGTCCAAAACGACAGAAATGTCATTATTCTCTAACAATGAATGAGTTGAGAGAACAGAATTGTAAGGTTCAACCACAGAAGTGGATAATTGAGGTGAAGGATAAATGGTGTAAGAGAGTTTGGTCTTTTTAGGAAATTCAACACTCAATCTCTCAACGAGCAAGGAAGCAAAACCAGAACCAGTACCACCTCCAACAGAGTGGAAAATTTGAAAACCTTGCAAAGAGGTACAGCTGTCAGCAATCTTTCTCAATCGATCAATGGTAACATCCAACATGTCTTTACCAACAGTGTAGTGACCTCTAGCAAAGTTGTTAGAACAATCTTCCTTTCCAGAAACGAGTTGAGCAGGATTGTACAATTGTTTGAAGGAAGAATTGCGAACAGAGTCAATCACTGATGGTTCCAAATCGACCATCAAACTTCTTGGAACGAGTTTTCCACTGGAGGCTTCGTTGAAGAGAACAGAGCAGTCGTGGTTACTCAAGGATGAATTGGCAACACGAGTGCCATCGTGATTGATTCCGTGTTCGGCACACATGAGGGACCAGACTTGTTCACCGACTTGGATACCGGCTTGACCAATGTGCAAGGAGATGATTTCTCTCATTTTGTGAATTTGGATTGTTTGAATTGTTGTTGATGAAACGGGGATTTACAAGCTTCTTATAATGAGAAGTGTAATTATTTTTTTTGTTGGTTGTGTGAATTGACAAGTGGCAGCTTTCAAATATTTGTGGATTCGTGTGGTGTAACGGAAAGAAAAGGCGCCATTCATGGTTGACCACTTTGAGCGGCAACCAATCGCTTTACAAAACTAAGTTCAGCCTTGCTGAAAGAATCACAAGAAAGTAACAGTCAACAATTTGAATTTCATATTCTTCAAGAATAACCACAATTGTCTTAGATTTGAAAGCTCTTTAGATCATGTTCAATCATGAAGTTAGTTTTATTGCCAAGAGTATATAAAAATACAAATGTGATCTTGTCAGTCATTTTGACACATTGGAAATCCTTGTCACACACACCAATCCTTTAATATTTCCACATTTCCAATTTCAATTAGATTAATTTCCAGTCACTACACTCGTATTCGCTCCATGTTGAGATTTCATTTCAATTTCATTCTTTTGTCCTTCATGATGATTTCCATCCTCATTATTACCTTGACCTCCAGCAGCTTCTTCCTCTTCTTCTTCATCGGTCAATAATCGAGCTCGGATGAATAACAACACTCTCGGAAGGGCCAATAAACAAGCAAGAGCCATTCCAGCGAAAACAATGCCTCCGGCAATACTTGCAGCTACGATGGAAGCTGTAGGAAAAGGACGTCGATGAGGAGGAAGGATGTCGACACATTGGACCGAATGTGTGAAAAGGGTGAATAAGAAGAGGCAAAGGAAGAGAGACCAGTTGATGAATGGGTTGTTATGCATTTTTTTGTGAACTGAGTCTGAGGGTTTTTGCAGGTGACATTTGAGATCGTTCACATGTTTCGATTTACAGTTTTCGATTAATCAATTTTTGACCGATTTACGAAATTTTAGGCGTGGAGACGAACTGTTGCTAGCAACCAGCATAATTTGACCTTGTCAAACAAGTACCTTTGTCAGTGATGAACTTCAGAACATGATTCTTTCTATTTCGAAATGAATTGAAATTTAAAAAAAAATGTTTAGCTCTCGTTCTGTGAGCTCGACGCTCTCAAAAAGTAATCAAGAATTGGAGAAACGAAAAAAGAATGCAATCTTTCTTGGAGACGTAGATGCACGATCTAATATCAAGCAAATTAGTTTAATTAAAACACTCGGAGAGGAATTTGATGGTGAGTAGAGGAGCGGAAGAGATATTTAAAAATTAATCGTTTCAATATTGATGATTATTTTTCATTATTAATTTTTGATCATGAAAAATAGTTTATTATTCTTCCAGAAAATTCAATCATAATAAGGAACACATGCATGAAATCAAAGAGCCACGACAAAAACACAAGAGTAACAAGTACAGTACAACTGTTTCTGATTTTTTAAACCCAAATATAGACAGTATTGAAACGTTAAAGGCATACTCTATATGTTGTGAAATATTGAGCTCGGAAATTCTTTCAAAAGTTTGTTTCACTTTTAATTGGAATATTTTGGACGAATAGGCGGTCGTCATGATTATGATATTGCGAATAATAATTATTTAATATATTTCTTTTTGAATTTAAACATCGAAGGACGCGGAATCTACATCAGATATTTTGGGAGGATCAGATTTGGAATTTTATTACTTTGTCAAATTAAAAGCCACCAGTGAAGGCAAAATGGTCATTCTGTTCGGAGAAAAGTTCAACGTGGAAATGAATGTTTGTCAAGCTGACGACAATGCTGAACAGGAACATGCTTCGTCCTCATTGTCACACCATTAATTAATAGAAACAACTGGCTGTTTTATAAATACTAAATTTTAACATCATAAATACATGATCTTTACGATGCCTTGTCTGACCTCGAGTTCATTAAAATCAAAATGAATCACCCTTGTTCGTCTACGATCTTGTTCGCTTGTTCTTTTTGAAAAAACATTGATTAGCTTCACTCTTGCTTGTTCTTTTTGTACAAGCATTGAATAATGATCAAAAATAATGCAAAGAACTGCTTCTGCCATACTCGAAAGGAGAGCACAACGACTGGCTCGGAGATGGAAAAAACATGAAAACGCAATCTATGATATCTTTACGGTAGCTCTGGCATTTCTTGATGTGCAAGACCAATTCATGAATTTAGTGTTGGTGAACAAGTGGTTTTATGATTACATTCATGAATGCATGAAAATGATTCAAGTGGTGGAATATCCGTTTGAAAATCAAAGGCCTCTCAATGGATTTTTATATAAATTATATCTTGTTAAGAATGGAAGCCATCTACAATTTCAAGATATTGAACCCGGAGAGGAAGATGAAGAAATGAACGAAATTGATCATCAAATGAATCATCAATTAAATATTACGACTACTACAATTCCCCCACCTCCAACCTCTCAACCACAAATATACATCTTGGAAAGGCTCTTCTATCCCATGCCTGGAGTGTACGACCCAAATGACACTCTACCTCAACTTTTAAAAGAAGTTCCGAAATTTAAGATCAGAGAGGTTGTTTTATATACCCATTATGGAAAAAAGTATGGATTTCAAATACCAAAAGTTTGCAATTACATTGGAAAGAATATTGAGAGATTTTTGTTCCTTGATTGTGCTCAAGTTCAGAACGATTTTGTCATGGTGAAACCAAATTTGGTGCAGAATTGCATAACCATCAACACAGTATTCATTGGAAATGAACCGCTCATTGATACTCGTAAGATGGATATTGACTCGGTCTTATACATGATGGAAACATATCAACTATTCTCATTGTCGCCTCTTAATTTTCAATTTTCCACAAAGGAAATTAAGGAATATATTGCATTTGATTCACACGGCAGCGTACAAACTTCCAACAATTTATGGAAAGCGATTACGAAACATCCTAAGCTCTATCCCTATTTGCAAAACGTGTTTCATACACTTGGACTCTATTATTTCGAATCTATATATTCTGAATTATCAAACATTGTGGAAACTAATTTTCGAGTTTTCTGCGATAAGTGGACACAAAAAACACAAATTCGAAAAAATCGAATTCAATTTATTATCAGCTCAGTCATCAGACAGGAAAAAACCATTTCAGATTTTGTGACAATTGCAACAAAGATTGATGAATATTTGGAAAAAAGAAAACGATCAGCTGTTGAAAAGGTGAAACTTGAAAATCTCGCTCATTGGATCAAACAACATGCGCTACATGTAAAGTTCACACTCAATTCAATACCGGGCCACTTATTCCTTTAAAAATTGTCGAGTATAACCTAGCAAGGTCATAGGTTATGAGTAGCTCTGTACAACAATTTCACCATTGGGCATGAAGTCTTGATAAATAAATTCCGTTGCTGGTCTATTATAAATTGTTGTTAATTAAAAAAAATGCAGCATAATACTTGCCTCTTTGTTGTTCTCATGATGACGATCATCATGCTGACACTTCATCCTGTTCAAGCTGTTTTAAAAAATCCAATTTCCATCGCTGGAACACCCAAACACTCATATCAAGTCGGAGAACCAGAATATTGGTTTCATCAACGTATTGATCATTTCAATGCTTTAAATACAGACACCTTTCCACAACGTTTTTACAAATTTGTACCACCAGGTGTTTCACCAGACAGTGCAAATCACATTTTATATATTTGTCCCGAGGGTAAGTTGTGGAGAGAGTTCTCATCAACAGTGAATTTATTTTGAAGAATTGTTTTGAAATTATGATATTCATTGAAATTCAATGAATAGGTACATGTGGAGGAACAGCAAACAATTACGTGAGAAATTATGCACAGGAATTGAAAGCAACGATTTATACTTTGGAGCATCGTTTTTATGGAGTGTCAGGTAAGTGATGAATGGTTGCATGAGGAGTATGATCACAATCTTTGACTGTTATTGGAATTGAAAAATATGATGACAAATGGACAACTTCAATATTTACATGACATTTATGTGTTGAAAATTTCGGAATGTATTTATTGTTGCTGACACTTTTCTCAATGGATGGAACGAAAATCCACGATGGAGGTGTGAAAACGTTTCATATTTATTGTTGAATATTTCGTAATTTCACACATTTACTCGCCACCTCTTGCAGTTCCTTATGGATCCATGAAGACTGAGCATTTAGCAAAATATCTTAGCACAGAAGCTGCTCTTGCTGATTTATCAGTATTTATTGAATATATTTCTTCCTTACCAACTAATAATAATCAAACTCATCAATTCATCATTGTGGGTTGCTCCTATCCAGGTATGTTCAACAGCATTTCACATATTCTCCATCATGACGACATGACATTTTCACATAACCCATTATTCGCTCATTGATTTCACAGGCGCATTGAGTTCCTTCTTCTCCATGAAATATCCACATTTAATTAAGGGAGCTCTGTCGTCGAGTGGTGTGGTGAACTCGATTCTTGATTTTTACACCTTTGATTTACATGTTCAACATGCAGCTGGAGCAGAGTGTTCCAACAACCTCATTCGTGTCACTTCCATCATGGAAAAGATGAATCCCAATGATTTACTCAAAGACTTCCAAGCTCCAGCTGATATGGATATTCGTGATTTATTTTTACTTTTTGCAGATATTGGAGCTGAAAGTATTCAATATGGATATCATTATGAATTGTGTGATACATTGAAATCAGGAGACATTAGTCGAGACGACGTGTTATATGGTAATTTCAACAAGTACGCAATGAAATTCTTTTATCCAGTATTTGGAACCACTCCTTTGGATTATTACAACAGAGCCATTGGCAATGAAACCTATGACGCAAGAATGGGAGCCAACGCTGATCGTTCTTGGTGGTTCCAAACATGCTCAGAATTGGCTTATTTCCAAACAGCTCCTCCCATGCCATTACCTTCTATTCGAAGTCGACGTTTGGATCTTGCATACTTTTATGACAAGTGCAACAAAATTTTCGGACACAATATCAAGCCAAACACTCAATTTGTGAATAATCAATATGGATCTAAAAAGTTGTTGGACACGACTTTGGGAAGAACTGTTTTTGCCAATGGTTCGCAAGATCCTTGGTTGAAAGCAAGCGTGGATATTGATCCTCGAAAATTCAGTTTTGTTGCTGAATGTGACAATTGTGGACATTGTAATGATTTACGTGGTTGTCCCTCACTCCCAAGTGACTCTGGTGCAAGTGACCACTGTGTAGGCACTGGAAATGATCAAGTCAAAATGATTCGAGCACAAACATTGGCCATCATGAAGATTTGGTTTGGAATGTAAGACACCACAAGTAGTGCAGAATTATCTCTAAGATTGACACCTTTCGTTTTTGAATTCTATTCAAAGTGATGATGGAATGCCATTAAAATTCAAAATATATCTTTAATTAAGGTCCATTTCGTGTTGCAACACACAGAGTGCTGGAACAAGAAATTTTTTCAACTTCAAAAAAAATGGGCAAACCATCATTGTCCAAACAAAAAGGCTTCTCCAAGAAGAGCCAACGAGGAGGAAACAAGGCCGTGAATATGCAACATAAGAGAAAGACCCGAGATGCTGAGAATGAGGAAGATGTACACTTGAGTGATTTGGATGAGGCTGATTTTGAATTTGCGGAGAGAATGAGCAGTTTGGCTTCTTTGAAAGAGTATGTATGAATTCAATGTTATTGTTGAATACTATGATATCTAGTTCCGATTTTGATATCAACAAGAAAAAGAAGAAAAAAACCAAGTTTGATGCTTCGGAGAGTGAAATAATGTCAGACGATGACTCGGATGCCAAAAAGAAAGTATCGGAAGATGCAGATGATGTGAAAGTGAAACAATTGGAAGAAAATTACTCAAAAACAAGACTTGGAAGGATTGTGGAAAAGGCTGAAAAGGTTCTTGAACAGAACGAAAAGGAAGAGTCACAAACGAAAGTGAAAATGAAACTTCCTATCAAAGGAGAGGATGGTGTCATTCAAAAACAAGTTCAAGTGTTGGAAGATGAAAAGCAACAGAAAAAAGGTTTAACAAAACAAGCAAAGAAAGATAAGAAGGAACAACAAAAAAAGAAGAATGAAAATGATGAACAAGAAGAGGATGAAATTGAAGAAGAAGATGAAATTTTTGACTCGCTTTATGGAAAAATTGAGGAAAAAACAGAGGAAACTGAACAACAAAAAGAAACTAAAAAACAAGAGAAGCTAAGACTTCGACAAATTTTAAATGATCCCGTTCTGAGAGACAAACGAAGACAGCAATTGAGTGTGGAAATTGGTTCAACAGCATCTTCAATTTTGGAAATACCTGATATGAATGTATGTATACGTTATTATATCTTGCATGAAGAAAATGACATATTTTGAATTATGAACTTGTCATTAATGCATTCGTAGCTGGCTAAAATTTCAAGAATATATGACCTGTGCATGGATGGAGATGTATATGTGAAAAAGTTAGCAGTACTCTCAATGTGTGCCCTCTTCAAAGACTTGCTCCCTGATTACAAAATTAATTTAGAAGCTGCAGGAGAAGGAACACGGTTCTCAAAAGAGGTCAAATCTAGAAGAAGTTTCGAAAGTAATATTTTGAAATACTATCAGAAATATGTTCAATTTATTGAAAAGCATGCAAAAACTGCATCTTCGAAAATTCAATTTATTGCTTCCAAGTGCTTGAGCGAACTGTTAGTACATAGACCCTACTTTAATTTCACACGCGATATTATTTCCATTGTCGTTCCTTTACTTGACTCTAAGAATGATCAAGTTCGAGAAATTGTGGCAGAGAATATTTCCTTATTGTTCTCCAATGATACTACAAAAGGTGCAACAACCCTCGATGTTGTCGAAGAAATAGCTACTTTGATTACCAAGAAAAAGTATGAAGTTTCTCCAACCATGTTTGATGTTTTCCTTTCCTTAAAACTAAAGACAGCTCTGAGGGACAAAGTGTTACCGGATACTATTGTCAATCGAAAGAAAAATAAGAAGAATAAGAAGAAGGCTAAGGATTTGTCTGAACACGAAGAGCTTCAAAGAGAGTTAAAAGAAGCTCAAGGATCTACATCATCAGAAGTGAGAAAAATCCAAACTGATATTCTGAGAAACGTAATTGTGTGCTATGTGAGAGTTCTCAAACAACAACCAGAGTCTCCAATTGTGTTTAGTGCTTTGGCAGGCTTAGCCAAATTTTCACACTTGATGAATGTGGACTTGTTGTACTCTTTGCTCGATTATATGAAGGCCTTACTTGAATCTGCAGAGAATGTGAACGAGCTTGTTCAATCACATCTCAACGAAGATGAAATTAAGCATTTCAAGCCTGTGGAGCTTCCAGTTCGAACTGTGTTACAAACCCTGATTACAACCGCTCGATTGTTGTCAGGAATTGGAGGTGCCATAGATATTGATCCAAAAGAATTCTATACTCAACTCTATAATGTGGTAGATCGTGTGATTACGACCCAATACGATGAGACTAACTTTAGGTTGCTAGTCGATGCGTTGGTACTACTTCTCTTGAAACCTGTAAAGGTTCCTCTCGTCAGAGTGGCTGCTTTTATCAAAAAGATGTGTTGCTACTGTTTCACCACTCATATTCACGTCACTGTATGCTTTTTAGAAATTATTCGAGAACTCTTTATCAAATATCCAAGTGCCAAGCAAATGTTGAGTGGGGAAGAGAGTGGAATTGGAAGTTATTCTTTCGATGAAACCGTACCTGACAGCACAACACCTTTTGCAAGTCCACTGTTTGAATTGAGTCAATTACAAACTCACTACCATCCTCAATTACAATTTGCCCTCGATGGTATTCGAGGAGTGTTAGGAATAATGACTAGATATCAGCAATCCAAAGCGAAAGAGGAATTGAAACAAATGACATGTGACGATTATCAACAAATATTATCAGACTATACACCTTTTTCAGGAATTTTGAAACCTCCAGTGCAAGCTCCACTACCTCATCCACTTCAAGAGAAATTAGAGAGACTTGCAGAAAAGAAGAATAATCCAGATTACAACAAGAAGAAGAAACAAAAGATTCAAGAGAAACAAATTTATGTGACACCTTCGATGGTGCATATGAGATCAGCATTTGCTCAAGAATGTCTAGAAAAGTCTTCAAAATTGCTTTAAATTAAATGATTTTTACTCGTAATTTTATTTCACCAAACTTTGCAAGACTTTCAAGAACTTTTGAACACCCACCGCCCCAGAACAATTCGATTTAAGTCCTTTGGTAACATTGGTAAAGTTAAAATAAGGAACCCCATTTGTTGAGAAGCTGGCTCTTCGAGCTTCGTCTTTCACTTGAATTAAATGTGGGTCACGATGATCATCAGACGATGGATCCTCAAGGAAAAAGTTGTCAGGAACGTCTTTTTCAAGGTTGCAATCCTTAACGATTTGTTTCAAAACTGGCACTTGGGAAACATCCAAAGCCTCTTCAAAATAGGCTCTGAAAATACGTTCTGACACTCTATTTTGATGGTCATTTTCTCTTGGTGGATATTTCTCTGCAATTAATTTCATTAATCGGTGTGCATTCAGTGAGTTAATCATGGGTAAATTCATGTTTGCAACATTCATGGTTTTAATACCAAGTTCTGCTCCTAATTGTTCAATTCGAGCTAACATGGGCATGGCCTTCAATAACAACGCTGGATTTTTCTTTTCTTCCTCACTGAATTCCACTCCAAATTTCAACTTAAAGAATTTGGCTCGTTCTTGACCTTCTGATGGAATGGAGGGATTCAATAAGAAGGGTTTCCATTCCATCGAGTATGTAACCAAAGTACTAGAATCAATATTCTCAATTTTACTGAAATATTTGGCTCCCATCAATTCCAAAGCCTTCTCAAGTTGCGTCTTTCCGAGAAAACAGAATGGACATCCAACATCGGAAATAATTTCAATATGAATATGTTGTTGGGAATTATTACTGCCATGTAATGCTGAAGAGGACACAGTTTCTGTGACACGAGTTGGTTCCTCATTCTGTACATTCCCGTGTCGAGGTGGCAAGCAATAATCGCCAGTGCATGATGGTACTGTTGTTGAATCGTTTGGTTGTTGAGACATTTTTTTAATGTGTTTTCTATTGCCATCTTTGTATACAAATCCTGCAATTTCTTACACTTGCGCATGATGTGCGGACGTAATAACCTTGCGGAGTGTGTCGAGAAGTATTGGCCATGTTGACACGACAAAATCCGCCGTGTAATTAATACATCCACCACACAAGATCTACAAAATATAAGTGTCCATATCTGCATTGTTTTTCATTCCATTTGTAAATATTGAAAATGGATTTTTGAGAACTGTTGGAGAGAGCTTGTTTGTGAAAGCACGAATTCCATAGTAGAGTAATCCCATTTGGAGAATGACATACATGGGGATGAATGAAATCGTATAGGACCAAGAAATGACTTCATCCATTCGCAAAATGACAAAAACTAATGATAGAATCACAATACACATAAAGGCAACAAATGTCAAACTCCAAATAAGGCTCACGCATGCTTTTGTGGACGCAACGCTAAGGTCAAAGGATAGCTTAATTTGATAGACTGATAGGGTCATATGCAAATATCAGAGCCAGTTACAAACAAGAAACTGCTTGTAAAAACTAGTTACTTACTGAAAATTAAAATGATCACAATGTAAAGAGGCGTACAAACAATGTACCATTTCACATTGGCAGTGAAGAAGGGAATGGCAAATTTCAAAATAATTGCTCCGCAAAACATTCCTAATCCTAACCATGCTAAAAACAGTACATAGGGATACACTCTCTTTCCAGTCTTGTAAATGATCTGAGTGCATGTGTACATCCAAATCAAGCAAGTTCCTGCAATTACCACACACGGTAAATAGAGCGGCACTTCTGGAAATAGGGATATGAAAAATGTAGAGCATGGTGTTAAGGGCAGTAAGATTCCAGCGGCTAGTTGAATAATTCTGCCTCTCGGGCTTAAACAATATGCATACGACGACCAAAATCCTACACAATCTCCAGAAACCCATCGATAGAGAACAATCGGCCAACCAATAGTTGGAGTCCACAAAATTACTGTAAGAATGATAGCAATGACACTACTACCAACTGCTGGTGCAAAGCAAATAAACCAAGGCCAATCAATGTATGCATCCAGCTTTAAGGCTAATAACACAATAAACGCCATAAAGAATAGCCATGAAATCAGCTTGACGTGATTTAGCCATCGGGTAATTGGTCTATATCGTTTCTTGATTTGATTGACATATAATTTCAAAAGCTTGCCTCTAATAATTGGGTTTCTAATTTTCTCTTGTCTGAAAATGCAATAGGAAGAGTAAAGTTTGTCAATTGGCACTCTCGAGTATCGTACATGAGGTGTGTGTCCTCTTCTTTGGTAACTGGGAGCTTTTTCTTTAAAGTCACGATATTGTTGAGCGATCGATGCTTTAAGCTGTCCAAACCACCCCATGGTATGCCCCTCAGCATTGGTTGTCGCCTTTTCATTGTTGTACGTGCCATCAATTTCAAGTTGTTCTGATGTCATGCTAAAGTGCTTGTTTGGAATGGATGTAATTTTAAGCTCCATAGATGGTTTTTGGTTATCATTTCCTTCGTTGGTGATTGTTTTGAAATCATCCTCCCCGCTTAATATGCCTAGCTCTTTAGAACGTCTTCCTACAATTGAAGATAAATCTTTAGAGGAAGCTATGGGATTTTCATCGACAGTGGCAACACTATTTTTGCGTGGAAAAAGTCTTGACCCAGAAGTATTAATACTGGTGACACTTTGTAAATTGGCTGGTTCGCCTCTGTTAAATACTCTATTCATGGTTTCAAAGAATATATTGATATCCTCATCATAGGCTATTGCGCTCTGAATTTCGTCGGAGCTTTCCTCTTGTTCGTTCATGATTGATACGTCATCTACGCCTGTTAATTCATTATGTGCTACTGAGGCAACCTCAATATTGTTGACTTGAGGTATTGGCGTAGGTTGAGGAAGTTTTTCTTCATACTCATTTTTAAGCTCAAAATACTTGTTATATAAGGTTTCTTCTTGAGAAGGTTGATAAAACGTAGCAAAAGTATCAATTGCTTTCAATAATTGCTGTTGACGGAAGTTTAAATCTGAATTTTCAGGAGCATCCAAATTTTGCAATAATTCCCGTCGTCTCTCAGGTTTGGCATTGTATAAATTTGCAAATCTCTCAGGTAGTGACACTTTTGAAAATTTAATGTAACATTCTAGATACAGATATTGATCCCAAACAGGGTTGGAATGGCATATATGATAATAGTATGAGGCAGTCTAATAAGGTGCATGAAAACAATGTTCAAGAAACGTTATCCAATAAAACGAAAAATGATATTTGCAAAAAATCTCAAAACTCACCAATGAAAAGCGTAAAATGGATTTACAATCTAAAAATGATAAAATTACATGTAAGACATCGTCGAATAGATGATGAAAATTAGTTAGACTGTTGGGTAATTGTTTTGGAATGCTATCGTGATGTGGATATTCTGAAAGGTAAGGTATTGATCTAATGAATTGCTCATTGTTCGAAAGAGCATTGTCTCTCTGTCCAACAGCAATTGTTTTAGCCCAATAACTCAATTCAGAGTAGAGTGTAAAAAGAAACCCTTCGCTAGAGTCACGATAAATGGTTGGGTGAGTTGGTAAAGTTTTGGTTGTTGAGTTGGATTATGGTTGATAATCTCCTCGTTAAAATTCTCACCAACAGCCATAGGACCATTATTATTATTATTGTGTTCTAAGGTTGAACTAGCTGTTGGTTGTATGATAATTGTAATATGTGAGTCATGGTGATGATTTTGTGGGTTAGAAATTGGAAATGGTCTAATTTCATCCCTATTGGGGTAAGACAAGGATTGTCGAGTTTTGGGCGTTACATATACTGCAGTGTGATCAACATCAAGATGCTGATGTAGGGAAATATTGGAAGAGGAAGAGGCTGGTGGGGTTTTTGGATGGCTAGAAGGCGTCGATGACGACAGATTGGAGCCTGTACTTTTCGTACTTGCCATACTGATTCTTCGTTTGTTGTTGCCTGTTGTTGTATGTTGTAGGGGTGTGGGAGCTGTGTAGACACCGTGCCCGGGCGTTACTCCTTGAGATGATGGAATAGATGTATCAATAATAATATCCAGCGAGTTGGAAGTAGAAAGAGTTGTATTTTGTTGTTCCGATGATATCAATGCACATGGTAATGTACCCATCGGATTGATGATGGCATGGTGATGATCATCCCTGGAACCCAACAAGATATCGGAGACCACCATCGTCGTCGTTAACGACGAAGGCTGCAACATTTCAAAATTTCGTGTCGCTAATGATGATGAAGGCGGATCATGTTGTTGCTGTTGTTGCTGGTTGAGAAAGAGATTACCGTTTGTCATTCATATTATGGTGTTGCTCTCAGAGAGATGAAGATACTATTATCGGGTGATACAAAATTTTTTCCTTTTTGCCTCAAAATTTCAACGTTGAAAGTTCTTTTTTAATCCTGCATCAAAATCATGAGAATGGCCTTTGGATACAATTTACAAGTTTCAAGAGTGGAGGATTCATCGTCAAAGAAGGTGTTAGGGATGGCTTTCAAGCGGAAAGAACTATTTGGGGAAAGATAAGGCAAGAGCAATTGCCTTAATTCTCGAATGGTTTTGTGTTTCGAAATGTAGACCATGAATTGTTGACCTGATGACGATCTCAATTTGATGATACAAGTATCTTTCGAGGTAACTTGTTGTTGGGTGGTGATGTCTTCATCTCGAATCTCTACGATGGAATCTTTTTCAGTTGATGAGCTCTTAGTGTCACCATTTCCTCCCGAGATGACTTTTTCAATATCTTCACGAATGGGTATTAATTTTCCATTCTTTACCACTTGCTTTGGAAGCAGATTGAGGAATTTCTCCTTGTCAAGAGGTGCGTTTGGTTTTCCATTTTCTTCCACATATTTCAAATAGTCCAGACTCACGATATTGGAATTGTTGTCTTTGAGATAATTCGATTTTCCAATCGATCGTTCCACTGTTTTAGAAAATGGTTCGGATGTTTTATCTACAATTTTCAATTTAACGCCATCCGGATGTTTCTCTTTAAACTCGTACGGAAAGTAGCCATCCACTTGATCAATCGCAAATACGTCACAAAACCCAATGAAATAAGCAATTAAACTTACAAATATCAGTCAAAAAAGCTTTCGTGATTTGCCATTTGTAGGGTTTGAAAGGTCCATTATCAACCACAATTCCATTCTTCCAGAATGTCACAATGCTCACAGGTTTTTGTTTAAGCTGTTTAACATTGCTGTTCGTTTTAGATACTTCCATCAATTCTTCATCATCTATCATCTTATTCAAAGCTTGAACTCGTTGCTCAAGTAGTTTCATGTTGATGTGAGGGCCCATGTCGTCATCAGTAATTTGTGGAGGTGTAACGGAGGACGGTACTGCTACTTCTGGTGTTATGGATGAAGTATTATTCTTTACAGGTTTGTAGGAAGAGTTAAAAGGATGTTTGATGTCATGATCATCAAGTACTCTAAGCATTGTGTTCATGGTGCTTTGTTGCTGATCAAGATCTTTTTTCTAACATGTTCAGCTCAATAATAAAAAAGTTCCTCAAAGTAGTTCACACTTACCTGTTTTTCTATTTGTATTTTTTGCTTGTGAATAACGTCCTGAAGATCCTTAATTGTAGATTCTCGAGAGGTGAGTAGAATTTTTTGTTCCGAGCATGTTTGTTCTAATTTTTTCAATCGAGACAACAGCGTAATAGTAAGATCATCTTTCTCAGGTATGTCTAAGAGCAATAAAGTGTCACATAATTCAGAAAATCACTGTTCAACTCACCTTCATCTTCATTGATGTGAATTGGTTTCGGAGGGGAATTGGATCTACTCTTACTTTCGTTTTTTCTCGGTGCAAGAATTCCCATCCCATTCAAATTACTATTAACTGAACTGTGAATTATGGAAGGCTTGGAAAGTATTTTAGAATTCAAGTTTTTCCTATTATTTGACATTAATTGCAAATTGTTCTTATTGAACAACATCTTTTCGGAAGATCCCGACGACGGTCTTGAGCTCGCCGAAACGTTACTATTATCCAAACTAGCTGGATTCAATCCAACATTCCGATTCGGTGATCTCTTTCTGATCAAATTATGGTTGACATTATGATGAGAATTATTGTTATCAAATCCAGAGGAGGACATGTTCACAATTTTTTTTAAAAAGTGCATCTTTTAAAATATCGTAAGAAAATGAGCGCGCAACTAGTTCCTCTCCAGTAGCAATGAGTGTTGTTACATCTCGAATTATCATGAGATCAATTCGGAACGAAAATGGTTGATTATTCAACATGAAACAAAATGCCTCCCAAAAAATGGGTGAAGCGTTCTTCCAAAACATCATCTTCCGAAAATCCTGTTCAATCCTCATCATATGGTATTCCAACAGAAAAGCTCGATCATTCAGTCATTTCAAATATATTTTCATCGGTTTCAAAATTGAATTGGGATCAATTTGAACAATTTTGTTGTGAATATGGATCGGAAGTTGTGGTTGCACAAAAGTTGTTTGGAATGAATTTGGCTCACGTTTTAGTCAATCACGGAGATGAAGATTTAATGAGCAGCGATATTAGTAGGACCGATTCTACTAATTTCAATAATTTCAACGGTGATAACAACCATGATGAAATCATTGTGCAGAACAATATCCGAACGGTGAATGATTTTTTGTGTCAGTTAATCAAGAAAGGAGTGGATTTAAATTTTGAAGATTCTCGCAATCAATTGAAACCCATTCATTTGTGTGCTAAAAGGTGTTCAAAAAGCTATGCGTGGATTTTGACCATGATTATTGAGGGTCGCCAAATACCAACATGCATGTGTGGGAATGGTTTTACTCCTCTCCATTATGCTATTTCATTTAATCGATTGGAATTGGTGAGAGAAATGTTGGAAGCAAGCTCCTGGAGTATGGATTTTGGAGAATTTATTCCCTCTCGTTTTATTTCAAGCTTTCAAAAAACAAGAGAAGATGCGTTAAGGTCTTCTCAACCACAAGGACACAGAGTACTATTTCCAATCCATATTGCGGCAAAGGAAGGACATGTGGAAATACTGAAATACCTAGTTGTGCATGGAGCCGCTACTCTTCAACAGAATTCACAATTGCTTCAAAGCATTCTGGAGTGTTATGGAATGCAGAATTTGAGTTTATTAGAGTCTCGTGACAATCGAGAGGATTCATTGACTAGATTTATTGTGAACATGACCACACTGGATACGTTTTCCATGTCTCCACTCATGCTCTCTATCAAAGAGGGACATATATCTTGTGTACAGCTGTTATTATCATTAGGTGCCAATGCCAACCAGTGTGATGCACGTGGCAAATCCTGTTTGGTTTACGCAAGTGAAAACTTTTTGCACAAAGAGGCCATCAAGCACATGCTGGGAATAGATTATGCACAGAATGACCTTATCTATGGGGAATCATGTAAGGACGACACTCATTCATTTCTCATGAGCTGTTTCTTGCAGCCAATATCGCTGAGCAGTGATATCAGCGACACACCGGCTGTGGAAGAATCAACCACGAATCAAGAAGAGAACTTTGCTGATACTAGCTTGGCAGATAATATTGAAGACAATATTTATTACATCTAACGAAAAAACTGATGCAGAAACAAACCTAAAATTGGACACTTGCTATTTATAATATTTTTGTTTCACTGAACAAAAAAGTCACGCTGTTCAGTTTCTGCGAACCATTTTCGCCGTAACCACCTCATGTCACTTGCCAAACATCTGATTTTGCACTTAATTGAATCTGTCTGAACCAACGATAACTCAAACACAAAAAAATGTTGCAATTCATTGAAAAGAGTGCATTAGCTCAACTCATTGCTGAACAAACAGGTTCCAGAAACTATTTATTAATTGATTGCAGAGAGCCACATGAATTCTCGAGCACAGAATTACCTCACCTACCCACTGCTCTAAATATTCCATTGAAATCCATAACATCTAATTTCAATGACTTGACAACCACTCAATTTATGTCTCAATATGGTCATGAAAAACCATCCCACAAAAACCGAATCATTATTTATTGTAGGTCAGGGGCAAGAGCTCAAAAGGCAGCTCAAGAAATGATTGAACTAGGATATGAGAATGTACTTGTATATAAAGGAAGCGCAAATGAGTGGTGGGGAAAAGTATAGAATCTAGAGTATTTGTAAATAAAGGAGCAAATAAGTTTCGAAGTTGTAAAATAAGTATTAAGGATCATTTTTGCAAAACATGACGTGTTTGATTTACAAGTTAAAGTAGTTTATTTACAAGGATATATACAAGTTCAACAAGTTAATAGTAAGACAACAGGTCGGCAACAGTTCTTTGAATGTCACCATTGTACTTGTTTAACAAGCGAAGATTCACCTCTTCAGAAGCAAAACCCATGTCTCTGAGAATGGAAAGTTGTTGTGCATATGGCTGTTCTTGAACAATATTTTGAGTTGTTGGTGGAACAGTAGCGCTTGGAGTCACAGTCGTAGTAACAATGTCGTTGTTAGTGCCAACCAATGGATAGAGTTGTTCGTCCAATACAAGCTCTTGTGGTTGTTCATCAACCGAGGAATGAGGTGCAGATGGTTCGCTCACAAAAACAGTTTCCTGTTGAGGTTGTTGGGCCTCATTTTGAGTGGCTTCTGCAGATGCATTCTCTTGTGAAGCTTGTTCATTGCTTCCAGAAGTATTGACCGTCTCTTGCTCGAATTGAGACAACAAATTTTGAACAAAGTTCTTTCCTCTTGGCTCAACAAGAACAAAACTGTGGAAACCTTCGGCATGTTGTTGAGCTTTCTCCTCAAAACACTTGCCACAAAAATCGAAATCTTCACAGTCTTGACACTTCCATCGTTGTCCAACAAAGTTACGTTGATTACATCCATCACAAGAAACTCCAAAGTGTGGAATGTTGTTAATGTTATCTTTTGCCAAGTTAATGAGACCACCAAACTGTTGTCTTAATTGTTCTCGCTGTTCAGGAGAGAATGTGACATTGCCATTGTTGAAACATTGACCAAATCCTCTACCACCGCTAAGGAATGGGAACAAGTGAGCGAATGGATGACCACCGTTGGATCTATTGCATGAGGCAAATGGACATTGAGCGGATTCTCTTTCAGATTGAGAAGCATGCTTGTTATTTGTTGCATTACAGCAATTTCCTTCCTTCTTTTCCTCAGTCTTTCCTTGTTCTGTTTGAGGAGTGCAGGCAGCTGAAGTATTTGGGAAGAAGGAACCCAATACGTTATCAATCAAATTAGACAATGGAATTTCAATTTCAACTGGAGTTTCCTGTTGTTGCTGTTGTTGTTGTTGGCGTTGATGGAATCTTCTTCTTGGACAACCAGAGCCTCTGCGTTGAGCTCCGAACCATGGGAAGAAGAAATTTCGTTGTTGTTCTTGTTCTTCTGCTTGAGAAGAAGCAGTTGGTTGAGGAGTGTTGTTTTCCTTCTTGTTCTTCTTCACGACGGAAACCTTGATGACTTTCTGACCTCTCAACAAGCTCCAGAGAATGTTCCAATCATCCTCGTTGGCGACAGTTACCCATTGATTTTCATCATCCAAGTAAAAGACGGTTTGTTGTTGTTCTTGAGTGGTTTGAATCTCAATGATCTTTCTCTCTTCTAAGAATTTGAGAAATTCGTGGAAAGAGGTCAAGTAAGGAATTACTAAACGATGAATATTGGTCGCTTTTTGAATATCCAACTGTTGAGAGCTAGTACTGGTATTCTCAAAGACGTAGACCTTGAAATGTTGATGTTGTTGTGGTTGTTGTTGTTGGAGAGGAACAAATCCCGAGAAGTGTGGATAACCCAAATTGTTGTTATTGTTGTTATTCATCATTTTGTGCTTGTTAGGAGTTATTTGAAAAACGAATGGTTGGATTCAAATAATGATTGTTTTAAATGTTGTTGCTTTTTGTTTTGATGATGAACACGTTTGATTTGGACTCCTTTTATATCCTTCAACAACAACACCAAGCGGAAGTTTACGGAAGAGAGCTTCTTCCTTTTCGTGTGGATCTATTATTATGAACAACTTTCCTTGAGAGAGCGCACGAATTACAAGTTCAATCAGTTGATGAAAGTGCTTGCGCAATGGGTAAAGCGACTCAATTCGAAAGTGTGGTTGTAAAAGTGCGAACGCATGAAAATAGTAGTGAGCTTTTTCAATCATTCTCAACACTTTAAGGAACTCTTGGAGTGTCATCAATTTTATTCATCTACATGAGGTGGTTTTATTGCTCTTTAGAATCAACACTGTGGCCACAACAATAAAAATGGGCAACAAGTACTCTTCACCCTCTCGAGCTTCGCGTGCTTCTGTTTCGGGAGAGGTGAATGATCAAGAGGATTTCGATGCTTGTGTATCGAATAATGCTCCCAACAAAAGCCGCCATCTTCGTGATACATCGGAAGAAATGAACGCAAAACCAATTTATTCTCTGGAGAGTTATCATCGTAGTGAAAATGGAAGGGATGAATTTTTAATTACACGTGCACTGTTTCAAGTCTTTGGAGAACACCAGAACGTGGTTCAAGGAAATATTAATTCTCAAATTTCAAAATTCTTAAACGGAGGCGAATATATTGTGAAAATAAGTAGTGGAGCTCATCATACCTTGTTAATGACAAATCTTGGTGGATTACTGAGTTTTGGAAGAAATAACGACGGCCAACTGTATGTTGTTGTTGTTCGCCACTTTAAAATTGTAGAAAGAAAAATTGTTCGAATTTTACTTTGTTATTTTGAAAACTAAATCATTGGTTCAATGATGAATTATTCAACCTTTATAGTGGTATTGGAGATATGGAAATGCGATATTCACCTGACATTTGTAAAGTGAAGCCAGTATATAAGGAATTAGATGAACATGCAATCGACATTTGTTGTGGACATAACCATTCAGTAATTCTCACAAATTATGGCCGATTAATGGCATGCGGTATGTGACAAATGATCATGATTTGTATTGTGACATCATCATGAATGACTCATTCAAACTGGTTAGGTTGGAATGCAAACTCGCAGTGTGGCTTGCTCTCACATCATATTGATTCATTTACCATTGTGCCATTCAATCGATACACCAAAATGTTACGATGTGGAGGCAACTCGACATGTGTATTAACCACTCGCAATCTATTCTACATTACGGGAAGTCTTTTTACAAAATTCACAGAATTTCAATGCATTCAAGATTTTAAAGAACTCTTACATGATGGTGAAACTATTGAGGATTTCCAGGTTGGAGGGCAAACAATTGTAGTAGTCACATCATTTAAAAATGTGTACGCCTTTGGTGAAGCTACATACCAACAATTTGGTCGAATTAATGTTAATTCAACTCACTTCACCAACATTACCAAGCAATTACCTTTCAAATCTCAAAATTTATTGAGTTTTACTTGTGGAATGTTTCACAATGTATTTTTACTGGATAATGGAGCCATTTACACTGCAGGATATAATGGCTATGGACAGGTTTGTAGTAAAGAATCGAAATTGGAGGAATTGACATTTTTTCTCATGGTGATAAATAGTGCGGTACTGGAAATTTAAAAGATACCGATGATTTTACACTACTCACAAAATTTTACAAAATTGACACTTCAAAAGAACAAGGCAATAGTATTTTAGCAAAACAAAGCTCGAAGAAAATAGAATATACTTGTTTCAATGTGGCTGAGGATGAAGATGGCAAGAAAAAGCCACTCTCACAACCTTTCACCATTGGAGAGAATGAAATGATTAAGAGTGTTTATGCCGGCTCTTATCACACTATTTTTGTGAGTAATGTTGGCCATGTGTACGCTTGCGGAAATAATGAATATCAGCAGTGCAATGTTCCTGCTTTGGATGACGAAGAAGAAACCAAATCCATACCTCATATCATGCAAATGAATATTCAACCCAAAGCTGAAATTGTCATCTTTGCCAACAGCTCTGCAAATATCACCATAGTTGCAGAAAAGGGGTATATGAATTCGTTCTTTTACAATTCTTTGAAAAAGAGAGCAAGACAAGGAGAGCTGTCAGATATTGTTTGCATTTGTTGAGGTTCGTGATACTTTTTTTTGCCCGAGTGTGAAATTCCAAAATTAAACTATTTTTAAAAACAAAAAAACGACATGACGCCTCACCCTGTCCATCATGACGAAGAAACTAATCATGCGGGCAACTGTGATCAGAATTCCGAAGCCAGTGTTTCTTTGACCAATTCAAAAACAAGTCGATCACCAACCAGCAACAGGAGAAGAATTCTTGTTCCAGAAACTCAAGAAACGTAAGTATCTGAGAAGATTTTTCATTGATGATGAGAATCTCCTCAATCAATGATCTTCTATTGGAATGAAATAGTGATAGCGCCAAGATTATGCAGTCCATTTCCAAGTTTCTATTGTTGGATTCATCTTCTCGGAAAGGAATTCAAAAGAAGTCATCTTCATCATCCACACTTTCTTCGAATAATAATTACAATAATCGAATTTCAATTGCATCGACCGGGCTTGGAAATGAAATTGTAAATTTAACATCAAAAAAGACCAATGTCATTGAGCAAGAAAATGGTGTATCCACCACAACTATGAGCAATTCTAATCGTTCGGAATTGATTCTAGAAGAAGCACCTGATGAGAATGTACCAACTTCTGGCATACAAGTCCTTCAGAACCTATTTGAACAACGATTTCTGGAAAATCAAATGGATCACTTGACTATGTAAATAGGGGCACGACGATGTGATATCAATGGAATGAATGCATGCATTCAAATTGTAAAAAAAATGTTGAACACGAGTTTCCGAAAGCCTTCTTCCATCCTGAAAAGTCAATGCTTACTTTCTCAATTTCAACAACATTACCACCACTCTCAACAACAATTACTTGTGAATACTTTTAGTACTATCAGCACATTTCGGAATGATGTAAATAAATATGCGAGATACTTTTCGAATTTTAATAATTATCAACGGATGGCAAGTTTGACTTCATCCATGGGATTAGGACGTTTAGGAGAAAAAACAACCATTGAAAAGAATAGGTTTCCGATGATCAAAACGAGGTCCGGAAAACACATACAATATGTGGATCAATGTGTCGTTAAAGTGAGAGGAGGAGCTGGAGGAGACGGACATGTGCATTTTCTAAGAGAAAAATTTAAACCTATTGGCAAAGCAAGTGGAGGTGATGGTGGTAGTGGTGGAAGTGTGTTTATTAAAGCATCAATGAATAGACACTCTTTGTGTGGCATTGATTATATTCAAAAGGCCAAAGATGGCGACAATGGTCAAAAGAGAAACAAAAACGGAAAGAAGGGAGAGCCTACAATCATTTATGTGCCTACAGGAACCCAGGTTTTTGACGCTGATACTGGAGACATTATTGCAGACCTTCAAAATGATGGAGATGAAATTTTGGTAGCTAAGGGAGGTAGAGGTGGTCTTGGAAATCAACACTACTCCTCCAGTACGAATAGAAGTCCAAAACAAAGTCAAGAAGGGCAAAAAGGAGAATCCAGACATTTACTGTTAAAATTGAAAACCATTGCGGATGTGGGTTTGTTAGGATTTCCCAATGCAGGTAAATCAACACTATTAGGAGCAATATCGAACGCTAAACCGAAAGTAGCTGCATACTCTTTCACCACCTTACATCCCACGGTAGGAGAAGTTTTTCATCAGGAGACTGGATATTCATTTACATGTGCCGATATTCCTGGTTTAATTGAGGGCATGAATAGCAAGCTCAAAACGAGAGGTTTAGGTCACGATTTTATGCAGCACATTGAACGAACAAAATTACTTCTCTATGTCGTTGATGTGAGTGGACTTGAAGGTCTTGGTATTCAATACAATGAGGAAACCGGAGAGATCAAATATGAATTCATAACGGACGCCTCTCCATTTGATTATCATTCAAATACTTCAAACGATGACATCAATGAGCTTTCCAAACACTCTGAGAAGAGAGTCACCATACCCACAAAACAGCGTTCCAATGTACAACAAGCTGACGAGGACTTGTATCATTTGCGAGAGTCTGCAATGGCTGATTATTTTGGAGAGGATGAAGCCGAAGACGTTTTGAACGAATTGGATGATGAGGACGACGACACTCACACCAAGCGAATGAGCAAGAGACAAAAAGCTCAGCACAACTTTAGAAAGAGAACACCTCTTTTGAGAACCTTATCTCCTGACGAGTCTGCGATACTTCGTTCCAATACCAAAGAACACACAACGAGCGCCGTTAAGCAAGTAGGCCTTCAAAACGAGGAAGAGTTTGATGATGACAATTCTATGACTTCTACGTTTAATGATGACTCTATTCCTGCTACATTTGCAACACAAGAAGAAATTCAACATGATACCAAAGATTTTGAATCCTCTCTTCAACTTGACGAAGAATTCAATTCTCAAAGAGATCTCAACGATGAAGAAAACCTCGCTAACGACGATCCCTATCGCAACACAGTATTGGATACGCTGCCAGAAGTTAAGAGAAAACAACGATTGTTCCAGCCCTGGGATATATTAAGGTTACTACAAAAAGAAGTCGAGCTCTATATGCCAGGTCTTTCAGACAGAGCTGCCTGTATTATTGCTAACAAGATGGACGTACCTGGTTCTGAGAAGAATTTTGAAAAACTGAAAGAGTTTGTGAAAAACGAGTTTGGTGATATTCCAATAATTCCAATCTCAGCTAAGGATGGTTTGAATGTCGAGCAAGTCAAGTTGTTCTGTATTAGTTATTTGGAAAGGCGTAAGAAAAAAGCAGAAACTACTTTAACGGCTCACATTGACGAGTAATAACTCAATCAACTCTAGTTGGCTATAATATTCACAAGAAGATAAAACCGTTGTTCGTCACTCGAATCATCTCGCTTTTTGTAATTTCGAGATAAGGATAAATTTTTTCTTTTAGCAAAAAAAACTCTTGCCTTCTCTGAACGAGTTTCTCTTCGTGCATGTTCTTTTAAGGACGAACAAGAAGAGCCACAAGAACACCATCTGTACTATCATCGTTTACTCTTTCGGTTTTTGAGAGCACGTCTTCTTTATCATTCTTACTAATCATTGTATTCTCAATTCTCGCAACAGAATTATTTTGAACCAGCCCGATTCTCTCCAAATCGTCATCATCATTCCAATAATTTACTTCTTCATCCAACGCACCCGTATCATCATCAAATGGCCAATCATATTAGAGAATCGCAAGCCTGGAAAGAGAGATGTATTCATGAAGACAAGGCAGCACTCTCCTTCATCAATTCCTACATTCTGGCACGAGAGATGAACGGAAACTCACCTACCTCTAAAGGGCCTAACAATATACCACCCGGATTTAAACCCAAAGCCTTGCCTCACTTGTTAGAACCCATTGAAAAGAAAGCACCAACATCCAATCATGGGGATGTTTCAAACCGATCCAGTAGGGTTTCAGAGGATGACTCCTTATCCGTGCGATCATACAAATCCAATGCCAGCTCGGTTTCCAATGGTTCTCGCTCGGTGAGATCGGATAGATCCACAAGAAGTACCTTGGACGAAGATAGCAAGAGAAAAATTGACATGTTAGAGAAGAGTCTGAATGAAGAAAGGAAAGGAAGACTCGAGGTGCAGCAAGAACTGGAAAGTTTGAAACAACTTATTAAGGAAAACTTGAAAAAATAAGAAATTGAGGTCGAAATTGAAGTCACGAATTGTTATTCATCTAATTTTGCTTGTGAAAAAGAGTAAAACTTCTTGAACCACACACTGTGAAACGTCATTTTGATCACATACGTTCTTCATTGTTGTTTTACAGACATCCAATTTTATTTATGACTTTGCATTCGTTTCATTGGGCTAATGGGACGAAGGTCCACATCTTCAGCAATGGAGCTGCTTTGAAATAGATTCAATTTCTTGAAAACGGTGCCGGATCCAGATCGTACAAGCCTAGTGGTTGCTGAAGCTTGATCGTCTGAATTAAATCGTTGTCTGTATTTCGAGGGAGAAGAAGAAAGCGGAGAGTGTTGTTTGGTTAAAAACCAATCTTTGAATTGAGGATGCATGTCAAAAAAATCGGTTTGATTCAGCAAGACATCGTATGCTGTTGAGGCACCACTCGACGACGAGGAATGTTTAGCTGCTGTTGTTGTCATTGTTGAGGAGGTAGTCACGCCATTGGAAGAGTGCTCTTGGCTGAGCTCAGATTGAGGTGAAATCAAACCACTTTTCAACATTTCACAAATCATGTTCACCAACACTTCCTTATCCCTTTAGGTTGTGTCAATTTTAGTGAGCCATTGTTGATGTGAGAAGAATCATTAGAGGGAGGTGAATTAGGAGGAGAGGTAGCAGATACTGGAGATGTACCATTTTTCTGTTTACAATACCTTGCCAAATTAGTAGCTGCATAATAGAGTGGTGTTTTGAATTTGTTGTCTCGTACCATCAATGCTGGATGGTCAAACGTTGAAACTTGTTGATTTTTCAAATGACCATTCGAGAGTACCAACGAAGTCGAAGGCATGGGTGAAATTAAAAACGATGGACTCGAAGGTGGAGATAATGTTCGTTGAGGAGAAGGAGGACTCGAATAAGAATTAAATTCTTGACAGGTCGCATTGGCTGTCGTTGTGTGAAAATCTCCACAGGGTGATTGTTGTCTTTTCGATAAATTTCTTGAGGACATGACAGGCGGTGCACACATGGATAAGATAATTTCCATCACTCCATAAGATCCATGTTTACAAGCTAAATGCATTGGAGTTTGAAAATTTGCGTCACGTGTCATTAGCAATTGCTCTGTAAAAGTGTCACGATCGAAGGTCAACGCCACAATTCTGAAAAAATCCACACAATCAAATTGAGCAGCTAAATGCAGACTAGTTCTCTTTGATTGATCCACGAATGCGGTCAAGGAATGATTTTTCATACTCATCATCGTCGTCGTCGTGGTATTCGAAGGTGCTTGATTTGAAATTGAATGTTCTTGAGAGCTCTGAATCATGACACTTTCAGCATGGAGTAAAAAATTAAGACATGCAATCTTTTCATAACTGTTCTTTGAAGAATGTGGATGACTAGTCTTGTATTCCTTAATGGCCAACATGAGAGGAGTACAACCATTTTCTTCTTTTGCTTGAATGAGGACTTTACCGTGTGAACTCAATTTTTGAATGATGGAAGAGGTGTCACAAGTTTGGCATTTTAGATCTTTTTCAATGATTATGGTTGGAATGAGCGTGTCACAAGTAGAAGGACTTTTACACATATCTTCAATAGTCTCTCGATAGATTAAATCATGGACAATATCCATTTCTTCTGGTTCATCGTTTTCATCTTCTAGATCACCTTTCCTTATTCGTTTTTGTTGTCTCACCAAATCCTCTCGATCCAGTAATAACATTTTAATTCCTTCCAAATCAAAATTTGAAGCCGCAATATGCAACAAGGTTCTCGAATTTGTTTTTTTCGTTCGAATCGAATTGGTCGGTAAGACACTCAACAAAAATCTTACCGTCTCGTGTTTTCTATTCTGCATGGCCAACAGAAGAGGTGTATTTCCATATTGATCTCTTGCATCTGCCATTTCCTTAGAACGTTGAAATAAAAGTTTCACAATGAGAACATGTCCGGCAGCTGCTGCGAAATGCATTGGAGTTGCGAGAGTTGCATCTACCGCTGACAAATGAATGTCACTTCGAGTCAATAACTCTCTGACAATTCCAATATGACCTGCGGCTGATGCCTTGTGAAGAGCTGACACTCTTCTGTCATCCAACACATTTACATGATAAAAACTAGAATTCAAAATAAAGCGCGATGGAACGACGTCATGACTCTCACACGATGGTAATAATTGACCATTATTTAGAGTCCATCGTTCTCGCATCGTGTCGAGAAAATGTAACAATTCTGTAAATGCAATTAAATCACCCTGAGAACAAGCATTCAAAAAACAAAACTTCCATTGTTGAGGTGGATATTTTGAAATTTCTCGAATGATAGGATCTTGTTCTTCTAATAATGAACTCGATGGAGTTTCCGTGAATTGATGATGATGAGAAGGATCGATCGTCTCGTTCATGGATGAGTTGTATTCATTCAAAGACGGGCATGACGATGAAATGTTTTCACTGGATGGTGTTGTTTTAATTTCATTCGTTGATGTTTCGAAATCAGTATCTGTCGTGGTTGTCATGATGGATGAAACATGAATCGATTCATTCATCAGACGATCCGAGGATGCTGATGGCATGTTGTAAAACTAGAGAAGGTTGTTATTCAATCTAAAAACGGAGAAACTGTTGTAAGGTTCAAACGAAAATGTGTTGTTGGTTTGTGATAATTTTACGAAAATAGAAAAATTGAAAAACACGTGATGAGAATTATTGTTGGTTCATGAAGAAGGCTTTGATGGAAGAACACCAATGGTTTGATGTTGTGGTGGTGGTTAGATTCCAAAGTGTTGGGCAAACTGTTTTTTTATGATGCAGTTTGCTGGGACTGACATTTGACAGTTTGCTGTTTGAGTAAATTATCAAAACAAGCAAATCGCGACATTCCCAAAGAAACTTCCCAAAACAACCATCTCGTCAAATCATTTGAATTGCGGAATCTTTTTAGCCCCATCTCTGACACCCATCTCTTATTGAAAGGTCGAATGAAGACTATAATCAGTAACAGTCCTCACCTTATTCGTGATCACTAAGGTGCACGTTCTCTCACTGTTTCTAAATTAGAGCTCTGAAAGAACCATCTCTGATGATGCAGGTTGCTTTTACCCGTTCACATACGAAATAATATTGTGCTATCAAGTTGTAAATATGTACATAGCATTCAGGGTTGAGACGTGGATCCAACAAAGGTGAACGCATTGCGAATCATATGTTAAGGTCTTTTTACAGATCTCATCAATTGAACACTGAATATTGTGCATGAATTTTCAAAAAGCATCTACGTCCTAATGATGTACCTCAATTTATCATCATGTAGAACTTTTACCTTATGGGAGAAATAATTGTTGCTCTTTGTTCATGCTCCTCTTTTCTGAATTCTAAAAGACGTGATTGATGAACAGTGGCTCCAAAAACCCCAGAAACGAATGGTATTTGAAAAACCTTTTCAACATAATATTTGTTCATATTTGAATTTTCAACAATTTTCAATGAGGAACCCATGCCCCTCAAATGTAGTGACAGCAATATTAATTTCTAGAAATTCATCATTCATGAATAATTAACTTTTCCAATTTCCAACCACTTGCTTTCATTGCTTGTTTCTTGGCATCCTCTTCTGCTTTTTTCTGAATATTACAATCACATCCCGAATGTTGTGCCACAATATAGGCCTTGCATGATAATGGGCTTGGTCTACTCACTGCTGTATACATGGAGAAGGCTTTCATTCGACATACAATATCCAATCGGCACTTGTTGAGCATACATTCACGAAATTGATTATCACAAACGGCTTTCGGGATACCACAAGAGGAATAACAAACATCATGTATGTTGCAACATTGAATGAATTCCCGAGCGACGACATTGGAGATCATGGAAACCACCATCTGACTCTGAGGACCACATCCATTGGGTGTCGGACGATAGTTTTGCCTTGCGGTTTTACATTTGGGAAGAGTAGACCAGAGACAATCAGTGGCATGGACCTTGTTGTTAGATGATGAGGTCGTTGTTAGGAGAAGAACAAACGTTATTGAGAGGATCATGATGATCATGGAGGGAGAGGTCATTGATAGGCAACGACTCGTGCGTGTGGGTAGTTGTTGTTGTGTCGTCATCATGATTATTATTTGAAAAATTATTATTTACAATTTAGAGATGAATGGAAGGCTAGTATTGTACAATTTTTGATAACCAATAACGGAGAGAGGATAACAGAGATGATGATGATGCTGAGCTGCTCCAATGGTTATTGTTTCCGTTGTTGTGTAGACTGGGTGGTTGAAAATATTCTGTTGTTTTTGTTTCGGTTTGTGTTTTCGCTTTTGGACTTGTGTTACTGTTTTTGGTGAGAGGTTTCTTTCTAAAAGCTTCATTGAGAATTTTGTAAGGTGTCAAAAAACAAATCTTCCCGATAATGATTATCGTTATCATCACTCTGAAATGAAATGTATCCCAATTGATTGCTTGCAATATGTGTTCCATTATGTTGTTGAATGGCAGAATAATGTGTGTGACCTGAAATCCATAACACTACAGGTGATCCCATTAAATGCCTTAAATCGCTGGCAAATGCACTGTTGATCAATAGAGTCTCTGTATCTTGAGTATTTTCATAATACGGCGAAGAAACCCCTGTGGTCATTGGAGCATGATGAGTCACAACAATGATCTTTCGTTGTTGTGTGACAGGAGTATTTCTCTCCTTTTCAATGGCATCTTTCAGAAAATTGTAGTCTCTATTGAAAAAGTAATTGGTGTCGTCTACAGTGAGTGTTCTCATATTGCTGTTGTTGTCGTCCTTAATATTAATTAAATGGTAATCATTCATGCACTGATTGATTCAATCGTTCAAACATTCATTGGATTAAGGAAAATAAAAAGGAAATTATTGGTCTCTCTTTTTCGACTCGTTCACCCTGAAATACATACCTTTTGAACCATGGTTTTGGCATTGTCTGGAACTTGCGACCACAAAGCACATCCCAAAAATAAAATCTTCTCTCCACTGTTTGAAGTAAGCTCAATACTTGCCCGATCCAAGAAATGAACGTTATTGAATTGAGAGCAGACCTTGATCATTTGTTGATTACAACTCCAATATTCATTGCTATAAAATTCTAATTTTCAAAATACAAATTCGCATTATTTTCATCATCATGGCAAACTAAAACATGAATTGAAATTCTTACCATGATTTCCAGCAACAATCATCACATGAGAATACTTTTTGGAAACGTCGTTCAAGAATTCAAAATAACTGCTTTGAAAAGCATTTCCGATATCGCCAGCCAACACCAATACTTCTCCATACACCTTCTCGCATAAATTATGTCCGTGCAGTTTCTTGTACTTGTTTTGAAAATGATCGTACGTTTCGAAATGTTCAATATGAAGATCGCTGAGAAGTTGGATTTTCATTTTTTTAATCTTTTAAATGGTTGTCGTGATAAGCTTATCATATGATTATAATGATTTTGCATTTGGGAGAGAATTGAAGTAAGGTGAGAATTCCTTTTTCAAGAATTTTAGCAACAGGAACCACAAACTTTGGACCAGTGAAATCAATAATTATCCAACGTTGTTGAAGTTGCAATTATCTCAGCAGGTATCAATAAACATTCATTAATACTTCATAGAAATGTTATCGCATCCATTGTAAACACGATATATCAATTTCATAAAGAAGGGTGAATATCACATTGAGTCTTGTTGACAATGATCTTGTATGTGACAACCATTTTCAGTTTCTCATCAAGATTCAAAGCAAATCAACATGTTCTAGAGAAATTTTCAAAGATTACTTGAATTTACACGACCTTTTTCACACATATGGATAAAGATCAAACAAATGTACAAGGTTACACACTCTTTTCAATAACTGTAAAAGCAGCTGTAAATGGATTGAACTCAACGAAAAGGACTTACGCCTTTTCACACGTTCATCGTTCAACACAATATTTTGTATAAAATTACCCGTTCCTTTGGCTGTGGGAAGAAATGTTTGGAGATTCAAAGTTTTCAAAGACCATTTTCCATACGGAATCGAAGGGTGGCACTTCAACCCACTCCCAGCACCACACAAATTAAAGCAATTTTGTTAAAATACTCAATACGATCACAACACCAATAAAACTTTTTCGGAAAGATGCTTGACATTGCTGTCAAGTGCAATTGACCATCACATTGCTCCACTGCTCAAAGACCACATGAAGTATCTTTAGAGATAAATACGACTTATTGACATTAAAGAGACTTGGCAAGCGATCATCAATAACATTGTCGTCTCCTTTTCCAATTCCATTCTCTAAAAAACAAATTTCCAAATTCAAGCAGAGAGAGCTTGCAAGTCATTGCGAGTGGTTGTTGTGGTTCTCTTCTCTGTGTATGCTCTCTCATTGAATTAGATCTTGCATTTTGATTTTCATAATCGTTGAATTCTCTTCCAAACACGACGTAGTATTAACATTTCAAATCCAACACACGTGTTTTCTCAGCAACGTTCTTCTTGTTGCGTCAGAGCATAGCTCTCGGTTCTTCTCGGTAACTACCGGTGACTTGTTGTAAACGACGTCATCACGGCTATTTTAAGACCACAACAGCACACGAAATTTTTGTATTTGCTGCCTGTTGGAAACCAAAAGCTTTTGTGTGACTCGACAACGGTGCGTTTCACTTGTTGCTTTTCGGTTATCAGAATCAAAGCAAAGGAGTTCCAAATCCTTTAAAAAAATTTCTCAGATTCATCATCACCGAGTGGTTCGTGGTTCGTAGTTGTGCACAAGGACTCTCATTACCCAAACAACAACAAGTATACTATCGTAATCATCAACATCAAGGAATCATCATCATCATTTGATTTTCACCCACACCAATTCACTTACAATATGAGTTGCTCATCACCCACCAATTTTGACGATTTTGAATCGTTATTTTCTGAACAGAATGAAGGACTAGAGAGCCTCTATCAAAGTCCAACTGGCACGAGTATGGCTTCATCGAATAGTAGTGGAACCGACCATTCATCATCAACTCAACAACAAGAACCAATCACGTATGATGTCCTCAGTGATGGATATGCCTTTGGCTTGAATGAATTTGATCTTTCCCCACAATTGGCCCAAAAGCAAAAGACAGGAGATTTGGCAGCTGCTAATCCATTCTTCACTCAAACCGCCAATAACAACAACGGAACAGCCAATGCCTTTAATCCTCTCACTGGATTTGTCTATCCAACCAACGCTACCAACAACGCAACCAAGAATGCCTTTGGTGCCACGACAGCTTTCAATCCCCAATTCCCAATGAATCAACTCGGAATGTACTTCCCACAGGCATTCCCATTCCCTCAATTTGGAGGTCAACCATTCCCAAGCTGCTTCCCTAATACATTGGCCTTCTCTTCGCCCAATACATCACCAATTATGCCTGGAACATTGAATACAAGCCCAATCAATAATACAACTACATCGCCTAACAATACAACCACAACTAGTAATACAGAAAGTGGCAAGACAAAGACTGCCAGAAGAAAGACTAGTAACTCTAAGAAGAACACCAAGTCTTCGGCTAGTAATAACAATCAAACTTCACCTACTGACAGTGGTAATGATACATTAAAAGCAACGTCTCCATCTGATTCAGTTGCCCAAACAGCAACAACCAATTCTGCTACAACACCAGAATCTGTCGATTCGGGCGTTTCGAGCCACTCTGACAATGACTCTGCTTCATCCTCTGGAAAGAAATCATCTGACAATGAAAAGAAGAGAAAGAGAAAAACAAAGGGAGGCACGAGTCCTAAACCCGAAAAAACTTTAACACCAGAAGAGGAGAAGGAAATGAAGAGACAACGTCGTCTCATTAAAAACCGTGAATCTGCTCAAGCATCAAGAGAGCGTAAAAAGGTTTACATCCAAGGATTGGAAAAGAAAGTTGATGGATTGGCTCAAGAAAATTCTGATTTACAAAATCACTGTTCTGTTCTTGAGCAAGAGAATGAAATTCTCAGACAACGATTGAAAATGCTGGGCGAAGTTGTCGAAGAACCAACCACCAAGAAGAGAAAGATGACTCCTTTCGCGATGAAGGTGCCAATTCCTTCAAATCCATTCATGCTTGATTTCTGGAGCTTATTTGGAATGGGGCAATGCAACAACAACAACAAGTTCAAACTAATCCAGCAATGGATATGAATAATATGAGAATGGATCCCCGTGCCTCTTCATCATCGAGAAGAGTTGTCATGTTTATCATGCTTTTCTGTGTTGCAATGTTCCTCGTTTTCCCAAGATCTTCAGACATCAAATTTGACAGTAACATGAAACCAGAAATGTCCGTCGATGAGGCTACTGCAAACAGAATGAGAGTTGCATCAAGAACCATTCTTTCATCTGAATCAGCAGAAAAAGATGCCTCCATGATCGATGTTTCTATAGACTCGACTCAGAGTATTGTTGTGGATGATGAGTTCAAGAAGAATGTTGCTGACATCTACAGCTCATTTGCTGAGCTCAGACAAGCTGCTGAGAATGAATCAGCCAAGCAACCAGAAAATGGTGAGGCAAACAATGAAAGCACTACACCAGTATCTGCTCAAGAACAAGCTGGAATGGATCTTGCTTCTCAAATCAATGTTGTTTTTGATTCTGACAAGATTTCTTTGACCTTCCCAAAGTCTGTCTTGGTCAAGAACGAGGAAGCTGATGATGCCATGGTGGATGAAACTCAATCCAACGCAACAACTGATGGAAAGATTTCTCTTCTTTCCACAAGATTGCTCCGAGAAATTTGTCGTGTGGTAAGACAGTAAGAAATAAACCTGTAAATACAATACCTTATTTATTTGAAATAGTCAATAAGTGGAGTAGGTTGTTCAGTTCTTTCGATTCGAAATAACGTTGTTTGGGTCAAACGGATATTGTAAAATTGAGGCTGCCTTTGCTTAATACAGTTTTTTCATAACAAACCATCAATCCTTTATCAAATCCTCCTGCTCAATTTTTCCCTGCAAAGACGTGAAAGACGAAAAGTAGTAAATAGCGAATTAGAATGGCTACGGCCATATCACGATGAATGCACCTCATCCCGTCCGATTTGAGAAGTTAAGCATCGTCGAGCTGCATCAGTACTGAGGTTGGAGACAACTTGGGAACCTGCAGTGCTGTAGCCTTTTTTGCCAAACCCCAGTCCCACCCACACAATCCTCCAGAACTTCACTTCAAATGGATCTACATCTTTTCCCATTAAACTTGACATTTATCAAGAGCAATCAATTCTAACATGATGACACTTGAAAAAAACAAAACCATGTCTGAAGTACAACCATCAATTCATGTTAGGATTCAGATTTTACTACTTCTGTCGTTGTTTGTTTTATATGTTCAAACATTCGTTGAATGCAATTCGCCATCTCAAAGACCATCAACATTTCCTTTTTCGTCTTTTCAAGTCAATGACAATCGATGTTGCACCCATACTGACGGCTCCTTTGTCTATTGCGATATTACTCGAATATGTTGTAAAAAGTACTCATCCAATGCCTGTTCTCAATACAATTACGAATGTTGTTCCATTACTTCTAAATGTGGAAATCATGGATGTTATGACCCAACGTTGAATTCTGAGAGCAAGTTGAATTCAGAAACTGTGTACGGTCTCTCGATTGGTCTTCCTTTTGGTTTTGTTCTTGTTATCTTGGTCTTGTCCGTCTGTGCCTATGGATCATTTCGAAAGAAACGATTGACAATTCAAGTTGCAACCCATCATGTCACAATTCCAGAGAATCAACAAACGATTGTTCCACCTCAATGCCCTCTGCCAACAATGGCGCTGTCGACTGTGGAAATGATGGATCTTCCTCCATCAACGGTGACATCTGAAAATTTACCACAACCACTGCCCTCTGATCAAACAGCAATTCCCTACACTACCAGTCTCGTGCTTCAACAACAAATGATAGATCCGTTGTCTCCAATGGATTCATCGCACCATGACATTGCAGCACATCACATATACTTCAATAATAACATGAATAACATTGTTTAAATGTCATTCCTTTTACTCGATCCAAATCAAATTATATATCAACAGTATCTTGTTTGACATTAAACAGTCTTCTTCAACGAAATGGATTGTTTTTGCATGGCAGCCATTCTTCTTCGATAGAAAATTCCATAAACCCATCGAGTTCTGTATTGCAATACAAGTCCCAATATTAAGGCAAATCCACACAAGGCAGTAGTAATAAAGAAAGTGAGTTGGAAACAATCTCTACCATGGCACGTGGTAATTCTTGGTGGAATGACACCATCTTGATAGATTTTTCCTGCTAAACTTGTTGCTAGTGCATAACTTCCAGCTGCTGCTGCCAAATTCACAATTGAAAAGTTCATTCCAAAATATTTGGACCCATATCTTTCACTACAGAAAGAAGGAGCGAGTGAGAAAATTCCTCCATTGAAGAATCCCATGACACAAATCATTCCATAAATACCATTCACTGGAATCCATGCAAAAATAAAGTGAACAACTCCCATCATGAAAACAGCCATATTGAAGAAGGAAATACGAGTGAGATGACGATGTGGAAGAAGGAATTTGTCACTCAAAAATCCAAAGACAATTCTTCCCACGCAATTGCTGTGGTTTGATGAATCAAGAGTATTCAATCATCGTTCAGGTGGCCAAAAGAGGAAAATTAAGGTTACAAAAATCGAGTTAAAATATGTGACACAATTTTTCGAACACTTACAATACTGAAAGTAATTGCACCATGACGTTTTGTTGACCATGATATCCTCCATAGGCCAACACGATCGATCCCAGGTTGTTGATAATCACCAAACCACAACCAGCAGCAATTGTGTAAACAATGAAGAACATGTAAAAGTCCAATGTTAACAACATTCTAAATGGATTGAGGACTGGAGGGTCCATAGAGTTGTTGGCACTAATGTCTGCAAAGATTTTCTTTTCTTTGAGAGGTGTTTCAGTAGTTGCAGCCTCTTCATAGGTCACAACGGCTCCTTCTTCTTGTGAGTTGTCAACTTCGGAGGCCATTGGTGGTTCTTGTGGTGGCAGATCATCATGTTTCAAAAGTGAAGTTCGTTCAGAATTTTGTTGAGCAGATTCTTCTTCCTTAGATTCTTTGCTTGTTTTTTGTGATGTGTTGGCAGGACCTTTGCTAACCGTATTCATAAAGATACATCCTGAAAATAGAACCACTGTACCAAAAATTGCAGTAAATAACAAGTAGGGTTCTAACGCTTGAGAAAAAATGTAACTGTATGCTGACGAGAAGAAGAAACTAAGAAAAGTACAGCAGATTCATGACTATAAGAAATGGCCATACGATTGTCACTTTACACTTACCTGGACAAACCAAAACACGAGGCCAATATACCGACTATATATATAAATTCGTTCACACAACATCTCAAAAACTAATCAATACTTACCCACAAGTCCTCTATTCGTCTCTGAAAAATTCTTTAAATTTGTGGACATGGATGCTAGATAACCACCTGCACTGCCACTTCCCATAATTAAAAAGAAGATTCCACCTAAAATGTAATGATTTGGCAACTTTTCCAAGTACAGTAGCAAAAACAAAAAGTATCCTGTAAAATATAACCCAGCTGAAACAATTGAACAAATTCGTGCACCGGCAAAGTCATTCACTAGTGAAATTGGCAAGCTAAAGTATGTTCCTAAATTTGCAAGAGCTGCAATGGTAGTGACTTCGTATTGCGAGTAGCCCAAATCTCTATCAAGGAGTGATTAGTTTCCGGAAATGTGTGAAAAAGGTCAATAATTGATTCAATGTCATTTAAAGCATCCACATCGAACATCCAAGATATTCATTATTGAATGGTTACCATTCATTCATTCGTTCACATTATTGAAATCAACATACCTTTTAATCGTCGGACTGATGGATGAAAATGCATATTGCGTTCCAGATACCAACATCATCAAACATCCAATAATTAATGCTAACCACTTTTTAGAAAAATCAAAGACAGTCCTAAAGGTAATTTTTCGTTTCTTTTGAAGGCCCTCTTGCAGTAAAGGCTCATCATCACGCGGCTGTTGATAATAGGCTGTTGAATGTTCTTCCTGCTGAGAGTTCTTTTCTTGACTTGATGCTGCTACATCAATAGCTCCATACGTGCTATCTTTACTATGCGAGACTACAAGCTCCTTCTTCTGGTTGCTAGTACTTCCTTCCGATGATGACTCAGATGAAGATGAATCGTAATGTGCCATTTTTTTTTGAATTTTCATGTTTTGAAAATGCGCGAGAACGATTCGCGTTTTTCACACATTAAAAGTGAACTCGAAAAAGATTTTTGTCTAAATAACCGAAGTGGATGTTGTGTTGTCTACTGTACGCGGTAATGAGGCAAGTATGGGTCCAGAAGATGGTCTGTGATTGAGGTTGCAAAAACATTTAAGATGAAAATAAAGCCGAGCGGAATGTTTAAGTTGTTGGTGTCAGTCTCAAATTCGTTATTGAGCGAACAAATAATCCAAGCCATGCAGGAGGAACTCAAACACCTTCATCCATCCACAACCCACATGTTGCCTTCACAAAAGGATTTGATTCGACTTGAAAAAAATGCTCAAATTGAAAGCAAGCCAATGTTTCTCGTTCTGCCAAAAATTGCAGACATTGAAATCGATGCCATCGTCCTTGTGTGTTTCTTTGCCCTCTACTGGCTCATCCTTTTGGGTCAAGCAAGAACGAAATTTTTCTCATCATGCAACACTACATTCCTCTCATCAGAATGAAAATAATCATCATCGGGTTGTGTTTTCGGGAATTCAACCGACAGGAAATTTACATTTAGGAAATTATTTGGGAGCTGTAAAAAATTGGGTTACTCTATGTCATGATGATTTGAATACCAAGCAACAAATTGAAAGTCTCATTCATCCCAAAGACAAAGAAAATCAAAGGCCTTCTTCAATTCCTCTCAACCAATCATCTTCCAATGAGCCATTATTTCATGAAAAATTTTTTTGCGTCGTTGATTTACATGCCATTACTGTTCCACAGGATCCAAAGGCTCTGAAAGAATCTTCGGTAAATTTAATTGCCATGTTATTGGCATGCGGATTGGATCCTAACAAGTGCTCACTGTTTTTCCAATCTCAAATTCCCGCTCATTCACAATTGTCTTGGATTTTGGGATGTTTTATTACGGAAAATAGATTAAAAAGAATGCATCACTACAAGGATAAAAAGACAGACAATAGCTCAATTGGACTTGTGAGTTATCCTGTATTAATGAGTGCCGATATTTTACTGTACAGTTTGAAGGGTAATGAATTATATATTCCAGTGGGAGATGATCAAAGACAACATTTAGAGTTGGCTCAGGAAGTAGCTCAACAAATGAATTTCAAATTTGAAGGACTTTTCGATGTTCCTAGAGGAATTTATCCGCCACATGCATATAGAGTCATGAGTTTGAGAGATGGAACAAAGAAGATGAGCAAGAGTGATGCGAGTGACATGTCACGTATTAACATTGTCGACACGGATGATGTAATTGTTCAAAAAATTAAGAAAGCTAAAACAGATACACTCACAGACCTGACGTACGATAAGGATAAAAGACCAGAAGTTGCCAATCTGATTGATATTTATGCTGCTTTGCAAGGAAAATCGGCGGAAGAGATTGTGCAACTTTATTCATCAGTTTCTGAAAATGTCAATTCCAAATTCAAGCATGACTTGGCAGACATTGTAGTGGAAACAATCAAGCCAATCCGAGAAAATTACAATAGATATTTAAGCGATCCTCAATTCGTACAACAGGTTGTAAAACAGGGTTCGGAACGAGCAAACGAGGTGACACAGAAAGCACTCCGTCAAATAATGGATCGAATTGGTTTCTATTAATGTTACATTTATAATGTAATATCTATCTATCATAAAGTAACGAGTTAATGGATAAACGTAAAACATACTGAAAGAATTTATTCATCTTGGTTGTCATTTGTTGTGCTAGCAGCAGCATTATTCGAGTTAGGAATTAATTCATCCTTAATCTTTTTCAAAATCTTTCGCATTTTAGAGCTTTCAATAATCATGCAAAGTCCCTGTTGGAATGTATCGTCTGTGAGTGTCACTGTGGACGAGTCTTCAGTATAATCACTCTTGATTGGATAAGTAAAAGAAACAAATGCTCTCTCATAATAAAATTGCTCTTCTGGTTTGTAGAACAGAGCTTCATCTTTGACCTTCTTCACTTGTCCAGCCAATGGGCTCTTCATGTGGAACACTTTTGTGAGAATCAAATAATATTGGAATTTTGTGAAATTATTTTCTTTTTGTTCCCTCTCTAATTCTTCAAACAAATTTTCATGAAGCATGCCTCCAACCTCATATGGTAAATTTATCACTCTCTCATTCACAATAATTCCCAGTTTTGAATTGTCAAAAACTTCACATAACTTGGCATACTTGTCCTTATCTGCACATTTTTGCAGAACAAACGCTTTGATTTGCTTCATGCATTGCTTCTTTTTAAGAAGTTTATAGTCCAACAGAGAAACAAGTCCATACATGTCCATGGTCCAATCCCATTGACTTGGATCGACTTCATCGTCATCTTTCATGGCGCTCGAGGTGGCCTGCTGCGACTTTTGCTCACTCGATTCTGCCTTGTTGCTAGTATTACTTGGTACTGATGAAGAAGAAGCATTATCATTAGCAGTCTTGATCACTGAAGTCAATGGATTTGGAATTTTGTTTTGTTCATCACCCAACAAGAGCTCAGTCATTTCAACATAATTAAATTCATTTCCTTGCAAATAATTTCTGACATATAGCTCGACACCAAAGTAATCCTTCTCTAAATCCGGAACATTCACATCAAAATCAACAATGAGTGGACCCGATTCAGAGGTTCCATCATCATAATCGACATAATCTTGTCCGACATTGAGTAATTCTTCATCTCCATCTTGCATTGCCTCTTCATCATTCACGATTGAATTTTGATGATCATCTTGTTCCTCTTCTTGCTGATTTCCTTGTTTTCGTTTGGTTCCCTTTTTTTGAGCACGTGATGATTTGCTGGCATTAACGTTAGGTTGATCCGAGAACATTTTTTTTTTCAATTCAAAAAATTGTTGAACTTCAAGCCTCAAACTTCATGCGGATGGTTGAAAGCAACACCAAAATAGGATGAAGAGTGATTCATTTCTCAATGCCAACCATGACGTTTTTGTGTTTGAATTGTTTTCTCAAGGTGAGTTCTCCAATTCTTGGTTTCTTGTTGTATTTTTCTCTTTCCACTTCGATATGTCACAGCTTTTGGACTCTCGTTCTTCTTCTGATTGATAAAGGAAAAAATTTAATTTCATTCTTGATATTCTAATTTGCAAGAAAGAACGCAAGACAGTGATAGCTCTACTGATATTTGAAGAAGGGTCATGAAATTGTATTTTCGGTTTGATGAACGAGTCTCCATATGTGATGTAATTCATGGCTATTGTGTCATCGAGAGAATTGCCGTTTCATCGTTTACATTCTTCCATCCAACAACATGAAAACAATGAACTTGGACAAACACACCACACCTTGTTAGGACATACAAAAAAAGAATATTATTTCATCAGAATGGAAATTAAAACTGAGAGGATGCAAAACGGTCAACTCTCTGCAAATACTTATTTTAGACTTGTCCAAATTCAATGTTCAAACATGTTGAAACAGCAACAAAACTGTAGATGTGTTTCCAATGCCCACTCAATATAAATCTAACGAAAACCGTAGACATAATATCTGTGTCCATTGATATTGAATTCAATCACATCTAACCATGCCGATGTCTTGCAACTTTCGTTTGGTTTTGTAACTTTGTTATCACTTAATGTTATAAACAGATGTTTTCCATTTTCATCACAGTTTCAAATTCGGAAGAATCTTTCGAATGGATGACTCTTCATTCCTTTCAAGGTTTAAACATTCATATAACGCGAAATGTGATCTTTTGATATCCATTTTCCAAAAATTTCAACCGAGTTCAATTGAATGCATGATTGTTCACAAATCAAAGGAATGGTTCGCTCGTTTTATCTTGAATCAACGAATGGTTGGAAAGAGGTTCAACCATCTCCATTCTCCTTTGAACATCGAATGTGTTTCTAATCGATGTGTGCTTCAACGACTGGAAAGAATTCAATCGATTTCTTAACATGTATCTCAGAAACCATTTCCTTGGGATTTGGAACTGTTTTCAACCAGAACTGTAAATATAGAAAAATCGGACAGGAGTTTTGTTTTTGAGGCGTTGCATCTTTGAGGCTGCTCTCTGGGGCCTCGACTCACACTCTTTTTTCATACTAGATAACTCCTCTCTTCATGTTGTTTATTACTCTGAATTGCTGAGGGAAAGAGAGAAGTGATTGAGCATTCAAGCTATATTGGATTATGATTGATATTTGGAAACAGAATCTTTTAATTTTGCTCCCAATCCCCGACATTGAGGTAGTTATGTTTGAATTCCCTCATTTATGCTCTCAGGTCGCCCACAGCAAATTTTGAGAAAGAAGAACCATAACGTATGCATAACGTCGGCTACAAGTGAGAGAAATGGTGTTGAGTGCTTGTTTTGATTGGACGATTCTGTCGCTTTTCGCAACAGACATGTCGCTTTCGCATTGAGATTACCACTCCTCAAGAGCAATTACGAAGAATCATTAGGGAGATTTCTCAAAGTTGGCATTTCTTGGTTGTCATCGTGTTACAAAGAAACCAGAATTCGTTGTACGTTCAACATTGAAAAAGATAACGTTGAAACTATGTGAGTTGCTTGGACATGGATTGTTGTGCACATCATGATTCCAACATGCAAGAAAACCATTACAAGAATTTGCAACCTCTCTCTGTCAGAAGTACTTCGCCACATGGCCTCGATTCATTTGGTAATATTTTCTTGGAAGAGGAAGGAGCGTCCAATTCTCCTCTTTCATTATTTCACAAAATAGAATGCCACTATACCGTGTAGTAACACATGGATGACAACTTTCGAGGCGACATCAACCGCATTCTCTGTGATTTCATGGAGTGGTTGAATTGCAAGCGTGTTGTTGAATTAGCCAGCGGGATCTAAATACCACTTTTGACAAATCGAATATGCGGAAATTCGGTTTTAACCTTTTTGTGACTAGGCCGAGGACAAATTTGTTGCAGATACAACGAAATAAACTGTCCAGTTTTGGCCCTAAAAAGTATGGAGAAAAGAACGAATAAAAAACGACAACAGTTACACCACGCGTGTGTGCTCTCTGTACTTGAGGTTCGTGAATAAGTATATTCATCAAAAGCACCATACACACTCAACATCATCATCATCATTGGTTCTGCTTTTCGTTGGTAGTAGTAGTCATTCAGAGTGTTTTTAACCTCCTCTCATAACACTACACAGTGTACAACAAAGGCTTTTTACTAACCAAAACACGAAGAGAAAATTCATCAACCCTTCTTCCCGATACTGTAGAATTCATTCAACTCTCTCCTGGCCTATAATCAAACCTTCCTACAATGAATCAATCATCAACAGCCACAACAGACCATTCTGAATCTTCACCGTTTCGTAGAGGTTCTGAAAATCAACATGCTCCCAACCACGACAGTATGACTCATAGTAATCACAGTGATAGCAATGAAGACTTGTCTGTATTGGCAGCTAAACAGCAAAAACTCTCAAAACTGTACATGGATAACGTTCCAAGCCATGTTTATCCAGAAGGAACGCTCTACTACAATAGTGCAAGTACTAATTTTCAAGGCGCGGCAAATACTAACACTGCAGGTCCAATCAGAAAACAGAGCACTTCTCCAATACTTACAGCAAGCAACATGCTGGCACCCAATACACAAAACATGCGTATTGCTGCACAGGATGCTGCTTTTGATTCCTTGACAAACGCCCCAAATCAAATGCCCCATCAATCAATGATCAATAATAGGCAGAGTAGTAATAATGGCACCTTGATGTTAAAAAGAAGTTCAAGTCAACAACAGACCAATGAATCGCAGCTGACAGCGTCGACCTCAGCGACTCCTCATCACAACTATTCATCTCCTACTCTACTCTATCCACCACCACCTCCTTCTTCTAGCTCTTCCTCTTCACAGAGTATTCAAAATATGTATTCCAATACAAGTGGTGGTAGTAATAGTGGAAATCCAATGACTTCTTCGACCACAACCCCAACATCATCATCTTCAGCGTACAATCATCATCATGGCTCATCGCCCTACCATCATCACCATCATCATCATCATTCACAACACCATCACGAGATGCCTTCACCTTCAGACCCGTATGAAATGGTACACTCGTCGTCGAGTAGTAGTGAAAAATTGCCGAGTTTGCATTCCCTGATGGAGCCTCCCACTCATCAATCAGCAGCTGATGGTATTGGCGCTAGTAGTAAAAACAATCATTCAATATCTGTAACTAGAGGCAGCAATAGTAGTGCTGGCATGCAACAAGTACCAACTCATCATCATTCACATGTGAGTGGAGGGTCAACTCCTTTTCAACACAACCACTCGCAACATGGTAACACCACCTCGAACCACCACCATCACAACAAGCGTGCACCGTATGCTTCCTCCATGCCACATGCAACCACCACTCAGCCTGTTCCTTACCATGTAGAACCTGTGCATTCCTATGGAAGCAGCAACAACAACAGCAAGGCATCCTCTCATCACATGGACATGTTTGGTCATAGTCCAGGCGTGCCTGTTGCTTCTTCTTCTCATGTACAGCAAAATTATCCCATCCGACATTCACCCTATGGTGAGACAAACTCTCACATGTATCCTCCTGGAGTTGTTGCAGCCTCCTCTTCAAGAAAAGTAAGATCTGGAAGTGGAGCATCGATGGGTGCCAGAGAGAATGAAACATCACAATCGTCATCCTACTTGTTCGATCATCCAGGAAAAGTTAACAATCAAAAGAAGAAGGCAAAAGAAAGTACCGACGACTACAATGAAGACAAGAAAAATTGGAAAAAGAAGAGATTATTCAGCTTGGATGAAGTCACAGATTTAGTGGCCTTCGTTAAGCAAAGATCGGAAAATCAAGAACTAGCACGAGATGTGAATTATGCCATTTTCAAAGAATATGAAAAATTACAAGGTGAAAGAAGAAGAGCCAGTGTCTACAGAAAAAAATATGTTCAATTATTCGAGAGAAATTTAATTGCAAAGGACGGAACCATTGATCCATCGTTATTCCAAGAGTATGACCAAAGATCGTATCCAAAGAATTCAAGCAAGTCGTACGTATCAGAAGATGTACCTACTAAGGAAGAAAGTTCAAAGAGAAAGTACGATGAAGAATCGTTTTCTGACTCTGATGACAGTCTTGACGAAGATAAGAAAGGAGGAACAGAATCTCCTTTGCATCCTTCAACAAGCTACAAACGGCCCAAAGCAGAGAATAACAAGAAATATATGGTCGAAGAGACAACAAATTTTGAGGAATCTGAAAAGGATTCAACACCAACGCGAGCATCCTCGGAAATCCAACAAGATCCAAACATTACCATTTGTGTCTCGTTGAATGGAAGAAACTATTTACACATTCTTGAAAGAGAAACATTCAAAAGCATTGAGCAATTATTTGCACACTTTAAGGAACAATCAAACTCGTCGTTGAGAGGTTTATCAGCCACCTCTTCAGATGAATCCGATCAAGCTCCAACCGATACTATTCAGCTTCAAACCATTGATTATTACGATAACACTTTCCACGAGTGGATTGAGGTTAATTCGCTATCTATTCAGCGAGTGCTAGGAACAAACCCAATAAAACTACGTCTTAATACGGCGTAACATACTCTTAAATGAACATCATTGTACGAAGAATTGAGTCTTGTTGTTAAAATACCTGTGACAACGGCAACTTTGTCCATAAAATTTTCTCACATTGAATTGCTTAACCCAAACTAGCATGTGAATGCACTTTGTGTAACCAAAAACTATTCAAAAAGTGCACGACTCTTTAGAGCTGTTCAACAAAATCTGTGTTACCAAAAATAAATATTAAAAAAATGAGCAAACGTTCACTTGGTTTGAATCAATATCATTCCGAAAGCGATGAGAGTGAGGAAGAAAAAATTAATGATAAAACAATAGACTCTTCGGGAGATGAACAAATGATAGGAAGAAGTGATAAATTAAAGAGAAAGTTGGAAAAGATGCGGAGGATAAAAAACTCAATGACAAAAAAGAGGAAACAAGAAAGCAAACCCGAGCAATCTAGTTCCTCATCCAATGACAATAACATACGCAATAATACAGAAAATAATATACAAATATCTACAGTATCATCCCCTACTTCTCAAACAGAACATTTCAAATCATACATGTTTTTACCGTGTAATTTTAGCGAAAAGATGATCAAGTCTGTTGATGAATTACTCCGAGAAGTACTACATAGAGACCCATATAATTTTCTCACATTTAATTCGTGTAGCTCGAGTGATCCTTTTTTCGTTGGCTATCATGTGAGCCTTTCAAAAACCTTCAATATTGAAAAGAAAAAGGCACAAGAATTTAGAAACAATCTAGAAAAATCATTGAAAGAGAATGTAACACTACCGATCTTTGTATCCTTTAAGAGCATCAGCATGTATTTAGGCTCGAACAATTTGACTCCATCCGATACCAAGCCTACATTTGCGATATACTTGGCATTTGATTTGACTGAAGAAAGCGAGAAACGGATTGAAAATCAAATTTCTAAATCTCTCTGTAAACCCTCCACTAACGGAAAGGCTCTCATGAATGAAAGTGATTTATGGTTTTCGAACAAACATATTTCATTTGCTTGTCGATTTTTCCACGACAAAGAGTCCCAAGTAGCATATTACCGAGAATGTTTGAAACAATTCACGAAAAACACCTCTGACAACTATCCTACACATTTCAAAATTTGTTCTGTTCATACAGCAGCACAACATTTAATTGGAACAAACCTTATTAGTAGTGAGAGCAATAGAATTACTGCTAGCGAAGCCAGAAAAGAAATTCTCTCCCAAGTGCAATGCAAAAACATTGAATTACAGATTGGTGTAAAAACATTTTCCGTTCCTTTGCCCGATGTCAAAGAAGTGTCTCCAACTTCTCCTCCCTCGACACAATTAATCATTTCATTTTCATTCTCTGATGAGTAGTAGATTTATCAGACCAGACGATGCATCTATGAATGTGTGGATGACTCCTCAGTAGACATGTACCATCACCTTTACCAACCAAGAGCAGCAATGGTGACTTCTAGAGCCAATAAAGCATCAATGAAAATTCTACTCAAGCAAAAACTTGCTTGCCAGGGGGTTTCTGCTGTTGGGTTGAAAACCGTTACGACCGTTTGGCGCTCATCAAAATTCAAACACTTCACAAATTAAAAAATGTCAAGAAATCGGCTCGAACAACTTTATGAAGATGAATTTGATGGATTTATTGAATTCGAAGATGAGGATCAAAAACTAGAAATGCTTCGGGAAGAACAGGCATTGCTAGAATATGACGACGATGAGGAGGAAGGAATCCGACAACGACGACCAACACTTTCAAAACATAACAACAAGAAATCCAACAAAAAACGACCATCATCGGGAGTTACATCAACAACTGCTTCCAATTCACAACAACCACAGAACGGTTCTAGAAAAAAGAGCACGACACAAAAGAAGAAACAAGGAGATGAGGGAGAAGAGTCTTCGGGACCAAAACTTCCTCTCAAGTACCGAAGAATTGCCAAATATACAGACAAACAAATGGGGTTTCATGTATTGCATCAATCATTGAGTGAAAACGATGAATTTAATGAGCTCTCACGTACCACTCTGACCTCCTCCAATGAAAAGAGTATTCTCTCAAGACGTCTCAATATTTATTTAGATACCCTTCATGATTGGTGCCGAACCATCTTTCCTGATTTATCGTTTGATGAGGCTCTTGCTTTCATGGAATCTCAATCATTCAGTAATCGTGTACATCAAGCCATGGAATGGGGTCGATCTACATTCAGTTCTCGATACCAGAAAGCTGTGCAAGTGAAGGAACAACGAAAGAGAAAAAGAACTCAGCCAGGCACTTCTTCTAAGGCTTCAACAGGTAGAGCTGCTTCATCCACTACTACTAGTTCCTCAATTTTGGATGAAATGGATGATGAAGCAAGTCATGATCATGATGAAGAAACGAATCCACCATTAGAGGAAGATGGCGACCGCCATCAACAATTAAATCTCAATACGGAGGATGGCAACGAAATACCTGAAGATGACGATGAAATGCACGAAACCAAGGAGAGTAGTTCACCTTACAAACCACATACATACTCCAAAGAAGATGGAGAAGAAGAATTTAGATTTGAGGACTACAATAATGATGACGAAGAGGAGGAAGAGGCCAACAACGAAGAAGCAGAAACTAACCCTGAAGAACCCTCCCCAAAAAAGAAGAAGCCATCCCCTAACGATGACAACAGCGAGGAAGAGAAGGAGCAAGACTCTGAGGTTGTTATCACAACCAAGAAGAAGAGAATAAGAAGACATTCGAAAAAGTCAGCTGTAGAAATCTTTCTTGGAGATTTGTTACCCTCAAATCGACAGGAGACACCAGAGGAGTCTGCATCATCCAGTGCTAATCACTCACTTTCTCAATCACTTATCCCTTCCTCTCCTTCCCTTCTCATCAATGAACAGGAACCTCTTGAAGAAAGTTTAGAGATTTAATTGTTGAATCTCTTTGATGTGATACCTGTATATGATCACTTCGAATTAAATGTTGCATTTCACAGCAATAAGAGGATCTTATTTCGGTCCGTAGTACAGCCAATATGAACTTTGCTACCCAAATTCGAGACCTATCTTTCAAACACTCGACTTCAATTGGCTGATTGATTGGTACTTTACAACGACACGTTGATTGACATGACAAGTATTGTGATGACTGTACCTCCAATCGATTTTTCACACCACCCATCAAAAAAAATCCTGCTTCCCACTTCTTCATTGGTACGTGTGTTGTGAAAGTTTTCATGTTTGAAAGCTTACATCTTGCTTGACAATATGTCTTGACCATCGATGAATTATTATTCTCTATTGTGTGTCATTGGCTGACACACCGAAAACATTTGATGAAAATTTAATGGCACTTGTGTATACTTTGCACGACACGAACAATTCACTCTTTTATGATGTGAAAAATTATTACCACCTCTCCCTTGATTCTCCTCGATTCTTCAAATCATTGGATGGCCACCACCTGGTTCGTCATGATACAATTGTATATATTTTGAATGACCAATATGCTGTGGTGAATCCTTGTTCCAAACGCTCCCAACACACACCATGATTTCTTCTTTTTCAAACTCTCCAACTTTGATCCGTGATCTTTAAAACGACCACAACCATCCACTTTTGATTCACCATACCTATCATACCACATCATGATTCACACCTACTCCAACAATACTCAATCATCACTCTCAGAAAAATGTCCATTGTCAGACAATCACTCTATCGTCACGTCTTTGGTGAACCATACAAGAATGAATTCACATATTTGAACATTCGTCCAAACGTTGGTGCTTGGGATAGTAACTGGCTCGCTGCCAATGCTCTCTTCGTTGCAGTTCCATGGCAAGGAGGTGGTGGTTCAGTCGCTGTTCTCAATCAAAAGAATGTTGGTAAGCAAAGTGCTGACTTGCCTTTGGTTTCAGGTCACACTGGTGCTGTATTGGATTTGAAGTTCCATCCTTTCAATCAATACATTTTGGCTACTGGTTCAGTCGATACCACTGCAAAGATTTGGGTTCTTCCACAAGAAGGTTTGACTCAATCCGTGACTGATGCTCAAGTGTCATTGGAAGGTCACATGAAGAAAGTTGGTTTGTTGGAATTCCACCCAACTGCTAACAACGTCTTGTTGACAGCTGGTCAAGATCACAAAGTTGTTTTATGGGACATTGAAAATGGAAAGGCTCAAGTTGAAATGAAGGATTTATGGAAGGATATTCAAAGTGTTTCATTCAATAAGAATGGTTCTCTCTTTGCTTCTACATCCAAGGATAAGAAGTTGAGAATTATTGATCCACGTAAGGGATCTGTTGCCATGGAAGTTGAAGGACACTCTGGTACTAAGGGATCTCGTGTTCAATGGATTACAAATGGTGACAAGATTTTCACTGTTGGTTTCTCCAAGACCAGTGAAAGACAATACATGTTCTGGGATCCAAGAAATTTGGAAAAACCACTCAACACAACAAATATTGATATGGCTTCTGGTCTCATCATGCCATTCTATGATCCTGATACCAATTTGTTGTTCTTGGCTGGTAAGGGTGATGGTAACATTAGATTCTACGAATTGACTAATGAGGAACCATACATTCACAGTTTGAGTGAATTCAGATCGACTGATCCACAAATGGGTATGGCCATGTTGCCAAAGATTGCTGTGGATACTACATCCAACGAAATTGTGAGATTGTTCAAATTGACTGCTAACCAAATTACTCCAATTTCATTCACAGTTCCAAGAAAATCTGAATTGTTCCAATCGGACATTTATCCAAAGACTGCTTCACCAACTCCATCATTGAGTGCCAGTGATTACTTTAGTGGTCAAGATGCTGAACCAACTTTGGTTTCCATGAATCCTGAGGATAAGGAAATTGATGTTCAACAATTCAAGGACTTTAAGCCAAACGTTGAAGTCAAGGCCAAACCACCAAAGACTGTCTTGCCAAAGGTGGTCTCCAATCCACAAGAATTGCAAAAACAAAACGAGGAATTGAGATCTCGTGTTGAAGCTTTGGAAAAGGAGAATTGGGAATTGAAGCAAGAATTGAAGAAGTATCAATAAATTGTCATCATTGTAGTTTTGTGTTGTATAATATAAGAAGCTTCTTGGATTTCTCTTTTGTACAAGTTTGTGTTGTAATCATGTTGATTTCCCTGTTGGACAAGAAAAAAACGAACTCGGTCATTACAAAAAAAATGTCCTTCTCGTTTAAAACTCCTTCATCATCATCATCGGGACTGTTTCCAAGTGGCACCTCGTCGACCACCAATGCAAACCCCTCTCTCGGATTTACATTTGGTAATACTACCACTACATCATCATCATCATCAACTGGTGCTTTTGGGTTTGGATCTAGTAGCAGCTCTCTGTTCGGATCACCTTTTGGATCAACATCTTCTTCCTCCTCAACAACAATAGGATTTGGACCAACACCCACTTCCTCTTCATTATTCGGATCGTCGTCATCATCATTTTCATTTGGATCCTCTTCTGGTAGAGGAAGAGCAAAGAAGAGCTCCACTCCTTCGAGAAGAAATAAGAGGAAAAAAGAAGAGAGTAATACTTCATGGAAAGGACTTACACAAAAGTGGCATACCTTGCAATTGAGTGGAAATGGAGATAATGCTTCAAAAGACAACATGTCAATTGCTGATAATAACACTTCTTTGGCACATGAAATGATCACTATTGTGTGTAAAAAAGAAAAGAATGATCTTGGAGTATTCATGGATCATTCTGAAGATCGAATTTTTACAATGGATAGAGACATATTATGCACAAGCTCTAAAGTGTTGAAACGAATATTAGATTCATACACAAAGAAAGAAAATGGAAAAGTTAGTGATGCACTTTCATTACAAACAACTTCAGATGAAACCACTCCAACAGCAGCATCTTTGGAGTCTTCCTCTTCAACACCTATCCCAACATTAGATTTTTTACACGTTTCAAGTAACGGTGACAGCTCTACTCCCCAACTTGAGTTTCTTTTACCACCAAATATTGTACTATTTTTGTTAATGACAATGAGCGATATTGTGCTTCCAAGTGACATGGAAAATAATGATTTTAAAATTTTACTTAAGGTAGCAGTAAGATTGGAGTGTAATTCTATCATTCAAAACAGAATTATTAGCGCCACTCCTTGCAATGCAGCCTCATACGACATTTGGCAATTCATTTACAACAAGCAACAAGAATTAGATCCATCCATTGATTATTCAACAATTTATACTTCTCTGTGCAGTGAAATGCTTGGTGTGTTAACTTGTATAATTTCATACAAAATTTACCAAGATTGGAGCGAAGAATTCTTTTTCGTAATACTTCCCTACATTTTAAAAGGAACTGACGAGCTTCAGGCATACACCACCATCAAATTAATATGCGAATGGATTGAACATCAAACTGGCTTTCTTGTTTCTCAGCTCAATACTGGTACAGAGAATACCGACACTCCACATCAACAAAGCGAAACAAGCTCCACTATCGTGACCGATTCCACACCAACAGATCCCGTCTCTGAGAATAACAAAACAGTTGAGCACAGCGAGGAAAAAGTCACAAAACTCAGAAAGTATCTTTATGAATTGGTCAACCTCGATTCCAAAGAAGAAACAACCATCTTTAGAATACCCACTAGCTTCAGCACATTCTTTCTCAAAATTACTGATCCAGAAATTGTCTCTGATAAGTTACTTTTCAAGTTTTACAAATTTCTGTTCACTGCCAATGAATAAACCACCAGTAGGTTTTGTACTTTGTGTTAATTGGGATATAATTTTTCATCAAGAAAAAATACAGCAAACTCAGATCCGAGAAGCGAAAAAACCTTTTGGATTCGATAGTCGTTGTCGTGGATTCATTATCTATATTTTCCGCATCACAAAAGAAGACAAGCAACTGTTTTGAATTATCTGAACAACAAACGTGATTTATCATCGGCTCCGAGGCTGAAAATTCATCAACTCAATCACTAAATAGAACATCAAATATAGAAGAAGAAATTGTATCATCATCATGACTGTAGACTCAAACTTTGTAGGAACACCTACAAAAAAGAAGAGCAAAAAATGGCAACACTCGAACATACCTCCCGAAGATCCCGAAAGCATTAAACTTTTCAATGAATTAACAAAGGACTCTAAAAAAGCCGATTCGATACGAATTGTGAGTCGAGTCAATACGTTATATACATCTCCTTTTGCTTCAGTAAGATCACAGGCCAAGAACAGTGATGACTCTTTTATCGATTTAATTCCCAAAACATCAACTTGTGGAGATTTTCTCAATAGTTGTATTGAAAGATTGGAGAAGGGGATTCCTCTGAGAGAATTGGAAATTAAACAATTATGTATAAGAGCACAGGATGTATTAATGAACGAGAGCAATATTGTGAAAGTGACATCGCCTGTTACTGTAGTTGGGGATATTCATGGCCAATTTTGGGATGTTATTGAAATGTTTAAGATTGGAGGACCTTTACCAAATACTAATTATTTATTTTTGGGTGATTATGTGGATCGAGGGAAACATAGCGTACTTACTATGAGTCTGTTACTTTGCTACAAATTGAAATGGCCTCAAAGGATTACACTACTGAGAGGAAATCACGAAACACGAGGAATATCAAGGACTTATGGTTTTTACAAAGAGTGTATTGAATATTATGGAAGCCCTAACACTTGGAAATATTTCACAGACCTTTTCGACTATTTAACTGTTGCAGCTTTAATTGATGAAAAGATATTTTGTGTACATGGTGGTTTATCACCAGCCATTACGTCACTCGATCAAATAAGAGTATTAGATAGATTTGGGGAGCCTGGTATGGAAGGACCACTCGTAGATCTTCTATGGTCAGACCCAGATCCAGATAGAGATGGTTTTGGATCAAACCATTCCCGAGGAGCTGGCTATTTATTTGGAGGAGATATTGTGAAAAAGTTTCTGCATTTCAATGGAGCTATTCACATGTGTCGAGCACATCAGTTGTGTGACGCTGGTTACAGATTGCTATTTGACGACCAACTTAGCACGGTGTGGAGTGCTCCAAATTATTGTTATAGGTGTGGAAACAAGGCCTCTGTTCTGGAAATCGATCAAGAGTTGAACATGTTTTTCAATATCTTTGAGGACGCACCCGAGGAGGTAAGTATTGTTATTGTTGAGTTGTGGAATGTTCATCATATTTCAACAACGCAGGCAAGAGAAAATTGTGTGGATAAGAATTTACATGGCAGTGTCATGAAGATGATAAAACCTAGAACCGGCGATTTTCAAGCAATGACCACTATTAATGGAAGCGACGAAATGACAGGATTTGATATTTCGCATTATTTCCTTTAACATCAAATGTTTCTAGATGTACAATAAATTACTTCCATTATGTTAGCTTGTTATTGGGTTAATATTTACACACAAAATGCTTCACAATGACATCGTTAGAAAGGTGGAGTACTTGAGGATGACGATGAAGGTTGTGACATTAGTGAAGTTAACTGTCTTTCCACGTCCAAAAGTTCTTGTCGCCTTGCATTGAGCTTGCCTTCCAAATTTGTGAGCATAGCTTGCGCTCTTCCTCTTTGAATTTCATTCTTGGATTTTTCTAAATTTTCTGTAGCGACAGAGACTTGGTTTTGGATTGTTTGAATATCTTTTTCAGCACTATTTTTAAGTTGTAAAAGACTTTGGTATTGCGGCGTTTGGGTAACATCAATTTGTTGAGGGACTGTTGCTGATACTTCCTCAAACATATTTTCATCGTCTTCCGACTCAGATTCAGAGTCTGAACTTGTTTCGTCCTCTTCCACAGGAGGCTTGTTTGCTTGAATTGGCTGGACAGGTTTTGCTTCTATTGGACCTAATGATTGTTTGCTCATTGATGTGCTGTTCGACACATGTGACTCCTCTCCTTCAGAGGGTGTTTCGTCTTGCATCATGTCGCTAGTGGAAACGGGCTTTGGTAAAGTAGGTGGAGCACTGAATACGAATGGTTGATTTGGAGTTGTGACAGCCTGACTGATTGGTGTGGACATGGACGAAGGAGCACTCGTCACACTCATACTATCGTCATTCATGATTGGTTGTGAAGGTGCTGAGCTTAGTTTAGATTGATCTCCTGTAGAGACTGTTGAAATAGCATCATCTGGTTTCTTATTAGCACTCACTTCATCGAACATATCTGACTCGTCCGATTCTTCCTCTGAATCGCTAGCTTCAGAATCAGAGGATGATGTGCTCATTTCTTCTTCCATAGCAGCCAATCGCTCTTGCTCAGAAGCGTATTCAATAAATTCAATTTTCACTTTTGTTGGATCCTCTTCTTCCAACATTTGAATATACTTTTCTTTCAGTTTTTTGATATCTTTTCTGGTTATGTCTATTTTTTGAGCGTTCCAATGACGAAGTACACGTGCAAGAGATGGAGAAATACCATCTTCCATTAAATAACTTGTCATTAAGTCCTTAGCTTTTCTCTTCTTTGGGTCATGATGATGGTGAGATTTTTGCATGTAAAACCTGGTTCTTTTCTGTCTGAATTTTTGGAATTCCGATTCTAAATCCTGAGGTTTTTGTACAACGATCATTTGACTAACATCTCCACATTTGTAATATGTTTGACAATCTACCGATTTGTATGCTTCTATATGTGTTGGAAGATCAACGAGCGTACAAGGTAAAATTTGCTTTTCAAATTGAAACCTTCCTCTCCTGTTCTTATCGATTCCGTACTCAATATCGCTCAAGTATCCGTTCTCATCATTATCCCGTTTATGTATTTTCTTATCTTCCTCAGTCATACGGGCACTCTGGAGAAATTGTAGAATATCAACATCATCTCCGAATTTAATGCTCATGTTAAGATCAATCCTATGATTTTTATCGGAAGATTTGCTGTCTTTTGACTCCTTTCTCAATCTTTGCCTAATCTTTTCAGCAATATCCTCCGGTACTCTAAGAATAAATTGTTTTTCTTCAAAATCATCATCTTCATCTTTCAAGGAATTAATATCAACTCCCAATGATGCGGCTGTTGTTGCAACATCTGTTGCTGTTGATTTGTTTGATTTGTTAGATTTTGACTTGGATGATTTTTCCGAAGCTTTTTCCTTTGAAGAAGATTCCGCCTTCTTTTTAGATGAGGACGATGATGAAGATTTCTTTTTGGATGATGATGGTTCCTTCTTCTCTTTCGATGAGGAAGACTTTTTCTCACTGGGCATTTTTTTTTGAAAACAAACAATCAAAAATAGGTTAAAGCAGACTTTATTGAAATGTTGTCGTGGTAAATTCAATGTTCAAGTGTTTCAAACTTGAGGGATCAATATGAATGAACGTACCTTACTTTCAACATCCCACATCTCTAAAAGATATTCTGTTCAGACCATTTCGCATTAACAAAAAAAATATTCATGAAACGAGACCGCTTTCAGGCCGAATTACATGATTTCAGCAATGCCGACGGAAAGAATAATGAATTTCAAAAGATCAAGAAAACAACAAACGAAACAAACAGTTGTGGAGGCCGTACTTGTGTTTCAATTATTTTAATAAATCTTAGAGATGATGATAGTAATTGTGCTCGTTGGTTGAGAAGAAAATTTCAACTGCAACAACTCGGAAAGATCAAATGGTTGGAAAACAGAGAAAAACAATTGAATATTTATACAGAGTGTATTTCCTTTTTTCCTATTGAATTCATGAATGATAAATCCTTTGTATTAGATTATCTCAACAAGTACAAGGATGGACTACAGTACGCCTCTGATGCTTTAAAAGAAGACAAATCATTTGTGTTACAAGCTCTTCAATACTGCCACTCACTAAGTTTTGGGAGACATATATTTGATGACGACTTTATAAGAGAGGCAGTTCAATATTCAATAAGACCTCTAACATTTGCATCACGTGAATTGAAATCAGACAGAGATTTTATGGTGTCAATTGTAAAACAAAATGGGCTAGCACTGGAATACGCTCATTCTACGTTATTGAACGACAGAGAGCTAGTTATAGAGGCAGTGAAATCGTGTGGGGAGGCGCTTTGTCATGCCCCTGACGACTTGAAAAAGGATAGAGAGCTTGTAATTGAAGCTATCAAGCAAGATGGTTCTGCATTGAGATATGCGTCAAACGAGTTAAAAAAGGACAGAGACTTTCTACTACAAGCTGTGAAACTAAATGGTAAAGCGCTGTTGGATGCGGGATATTATTACTTGTATAACGACAAAGAACTTGTGATGGAAGCCATGAACACTTTTCCAAATATTATCCGGGAGGTAACAAAAGGTGGCACAGTAATGAACGATCTAGAATTTCTGATGAAAGCAGCAACATATGATGCATCTGTGTTACGTTTGTTACCGAATGAAATGAAAGGAGACCGCGAGTTTGTGCTGTCTCTCGTGAAAAAGCAAGGATGCGTGCTGCAGTATGCGAGTGAAGAACTGACGAAAGACAGAGAGATTGTCTTTGAAGCCGTTAAACAAGATGGTGATGCGCTTGAATATGCATGTAATGAGTTTAGAAATGACAAGGAAATTGTCATGGAAGCAGTCAGTAAATGTGGCCATGCAATTCATTATGTCTCACACGAATTGAAAAATGATAGAGAAATATTATTAACCGCTATTCATCAAGATGGTAGAGCTTTACAATTTGCACCTCCTGAGATGAAGATTGACAAGGAACTTTTGCTTCCAATAGTGAAGAAATATCCCTATGCCATACGATTTGTACCACATGAGGCAAAGTGTTATAGGGAGCTTGCTTTAGAAGCATTGAGCCAAAATGGAGCAGCACTGTATCTTATTGAAAGCGATTTGCTTTCACAGGATAAAGAATTGCTGTTGGAAGCGTTCAAACGAAACCATGAAGCACTTAATCATTGCATGGACATGAACGACGATAAAGAATTTATGTTGGAGGCAGTTAAAATACATCCTGTGGCCTTAGCATATGCAGACGACGATTTAACTCAAGACACTGAATTTATGTTAGAATGTACAGAACAAAACGGGTTTGCCTTGTATTTTGCTCCTGAAGAAATGCAACTAGATGCAGAACTTGTGGAGAAGGTAGTGAAACAAAATGGTTATGCTCGAAAGTATTGCAACGCGCTTTACCAATTGCGAATTGAATCATGTTACTTTGGGTGCTACATTCCTAATAGATAAGGGCAAGGGGAGTAGTTAACTTTTCATGAAAATACATTTAATTTATTCGTTTGTGATCGGGGAAAGGACAGCAATGTCACACAATGCACCTCTAGTAGCGATCTCTTTCAACTTTAAAAAGAATTGCATGTCTGCCTTTTTGATGTTGATACGTTTTCTATAAACAAATGCATGCCATGGTCCCAAGCTTATCAATGATTTTCACAAATTAGGTCATTATTTCAAGAACTTCGGCTGGATCAATACCTACCTCACCTCTTGATCCGGATACTCTTTTTTCATTACCCAAATCTTGTTGTACTTGCGAAACTTTGGATCAATATTGGTCTGCGATTTGAATGCAGTGACAACTTCACCAAAGAAAATTATTTCACCGTTTTCACTAACTAAACACGTGCAAATAGAACCACAACATAATGATCGAACAGGGAATGCATCAGTATTGATTTCAACGAATGAGTCTTGATCGGTTCCGGAGGTATTCGGGATTTGCCCATAATTATTGAGGCCTCTTATGAACACCCGTCCGTTTTGTAGCAAAACAGCCACATGTGCAAAACCAGTTGAAACTTGAACTACAGGAGCATCTTTCTCAAAAGGTGACTTTACATATACCATACGTTGTATTGGATATGAAATAAATCCGTAAGCATCGAATGAAGAAGTTTTTCTAATATAAAACTTGTTATTTTCTAAAACAAAAATGAATAAATCCCTGCAATATGAGGTCATGAATTTGATTTTTGAGGTTTCACATGGAACTTCAAAGGTTGTCTCTGTTTGTGTACTACATTGATAAACAACAATTTGAGTTGGATCATGTGTTGTGTTAAGTAAAAAATAGGGAGACATTATACCTGCTCCGATAGCAATCAGTTCACGTGGTCCATGAATTTTGAATGGCTTCATCGTGAAAGAATCGACATCATAAACATAAAATCTCTCATCCATCATTTCAAAAAGGACGTGACTGCGATTGTTGCAAACCACTCGTTTCATCTCCTTTGACGTTCCAATTGGTACATCCAAATTCAGATCATACATTCCTTGAAACAATTCATGAAAAGTCACTTTACGGAGATATTGTAAGTTATTTGAAATGGAAAGAAAGAATTTTGATTCTTCTCCCATCAAGAATATTAAACTATATGTAACCTGCTCTCCTCCACTGCAAATAAATGAAAATTTTAAAGGCAAATCGTCATGCTTTTTCTCGACTGTAAAAATAACATTCTCATTTCGGGATAGGCTGGAAGGCTTGTACAATAATTTCAAAAAACAATCACCATCCTTGTCTTGTTCAAACCGACAACCAGCAGTCGCTTTTCTACCACAATACCACACGGATTCATCCTCATGATCGTTGTGTGGGTTCATTTTTTTGTAAAAACATTTTTCGTCGTCCCATCAACCACAACCCCAAGAGAGGGATTAAGAGTAAGGCCCTAAATGCATATAGTTAAATGGTTGAATGACATGACCACCATATCTTTATTGACGAACCAGTTGATTCAACCCAGAAATAATTTCATCAACAGTATCAACAAACACAAAGCTATTATGATTTTGAAGAATTTTACCATGAGATTTCACATTAAAATGACTTACGCTTTCAATAAATCTGAATGGACTTTCAATTCATCTCCAATGAAATTGATAATCTTTTCCCAAGGATCTTTTGAAATAATTATTAATTTCACAATCATTCATGAACGGTTGATGAAACCTACCTCTAAAAACAAAAATTTTACGCACTGGCTCAACACTCGCAGGGAATACAGAATTAATATAATATAAATTCCACACAATTAATAATTCAGCTGCAGTTCCAAGACTACCAGGTAACACCACAAAGTAATTTCCTGAATCTGTTAATCCTTTAATTCGTTCATGTAAATTGTCAGCATCGACAGTTGTTCTTAAATATTTGTTTCCTTGTTCATGTCTTTTGTAGAAAGTCTTGCTACTAATGACTCCTTTGATATCAATATTTGGATGTTGTGACGCGCCTAGATAACAGTTCATCACGAACACGGTTATTAATGAATTTGTAAATCAAATACTTGCCTTTCGAAACAGCTTCCATGGTTCCTCCATATCTGTTTTTATCAGTCATGTATTATTTGAAAAATTTTTGGATCACAAAATCATTTTAGAATCGTGCCAGCGTGTGAAAAATTGTTATCATCGAAATCATAACAAAAATCAAAATTATTGGTTCTCACTTGTATGATGATACGAACCCACCACTACAAATCGAATATCCACATTGAGCTAGTTTATCTCCGAGCTCAACACTCAAATTCCACAAAGGTTCTCCTTCCTTGGGTGCAGAAGCTCCGAATACAACAACATGACTCGTGAGTGGTGGTGATTGAGAAGACATTTTTTTTTGTGTTTTTTCACGACACCCAAAGATAAAATTTTCACTTGTTTATCATCTTCGAGAGAAAACAGATCAACCAGACTAGTTGTTGGAGATTGAACCGCCAGGCACTTGATGACGACGTCCATACATTGGATATGAGTTGAAGTGGTACTCACAGGTTCCATTGGTGGAATGTATACAATTTCTTGATTATCCTGTCTGAATCACTTCTTGCCCTTAAGAAGAATCTCAAGAATGTGGATGTTTTTATGGTCGTTGGTTGACCCTGATGGTGCGAAGATCTACAACCCTCGAGGTCACTTGGAACCAACGAGATCTCTATGAATCCTCAAACTCATCAAGATCTCGTCAAAATTCCATGTTTTGAATGTCAATAATGTCAAATTCCAAACCAACTTTCCCTTGGAGTGGTTGAAAATTTGGAAAGAATTTCATCATCCGACCACCTCATGCATGCGCACGACACTGTGTTGAAAGCTATTTCTGAAAACTGATACAAGGACGCAGTAATTCATCGCGACATTATTTATCCTTGATGGAGTGAATTAAAGAGATATAAATTCCAGTAACGTTTTCAATTCACAAAACAAAAAATCAACAAACAAATTATTGTTATTAATAACCTTTCCAAAACGTAAATGTCTCAACCATCTGCCAACAACAACAATAACGAAAATACCTATTCCAAAGTGTTTCTTGTAGGAGCGACTGGAATCGTAGGTCAACATGTTACCAAAGCTTTATTGAAACATCATCCTCATACTCAGGTCAAACTATTGATTCGTAAAGAAAGTGAACAAAAAGCTTCTGAATTGAAACAATTAGGAGCAGAACTTGTGTTTGGTGATCTCACGACCTTAACTACACAAGAATTGGACCATGTGTTGGATGGTTCAGAAGTCATTGTGAGTGCCTTGTCTGGAGATTCAACCGTCTTACACGAAGCTCAACTCAAATTATTGCAATCAGCTCAACGTGTGAAAAGTGTCAAGAAATTCCTTCCATCCGCATTTGGTGTCGATCATGACTCTCTCCAATATGGTGTTTTTATTTCGAATGATATCAAGAAAAAGTTTGCTGAATTGGTTGTGAATAGTGGTTGGGAATATGTCTTTGTGAATACGTACATGTTTTATTCATATGCTGCTCTTCCAAATTTCTTATTTGAATATCATCCTGAGACAAAAATTGTGAAATACGATGGCGAAAGGAATACTCCCATTCCAATGACTGATTTGGAAGATGTTGGAAAGTTCACTGCTCTCGCTGCTCTTCGAAAGGATATTAAGAATCAAAGTGTGAATGTCAAAGGAGATGTCAAGACTCTTTCAGAAATTGCAAAACTCTTGCATGGAAATGACATTCAATTTGAAAAGGGTCTTGATCTTGATGCATTGAAACAAGACATTGAGAGAAAATTGAAGAGTGGTATTCAACAACCTCAAGATTTCTTTACAATTTTGGTGTTGCAATTGAGATGGATTTTTGCAACTGGAATTGCAACTCCTCAAAAGTATGATAATTTGGAATTGTTTAAAAACGTTCAACCAAAGAGTTTTGAAGAATTTGTAGCAACACTCTCAAAACAACATTAATTTCGTGTATATTGGACGAGGAGAAACGAAAGGATCTTGTGTTGACAATCATGTACATATTTGGAAAATAAATGAATCATGAAAATGTACTCACTCTCTCATTCGTTATTGTTCTTTCTTTCAATGTCCACAACTCCTTCATGGAAGGACATGGATGCAAGGTTTGAAAGTTTGATACAAATTTCATTAAAATCTGGTCGTTCTCTATCATTGCCATTCCAACATTGTTTCATGAGATTTAAATATTCTCGAGTCATGTCACACAGTACTTGTACAGAGAATGTTTCTTTGTTGTTGACATCATTGCTATAATTGGGAAGAATGAATTCTGTGACCCATTCCTTCATTTCATCATCATTGTTAAATGGTAAGATGGGACGTTCTCCATTCATGACTCTGAACAAAATATTTACAGCTGAAGTTGCAGTTTTCTCAATACTTTCCTTTTCTTCCACGTGTCGTTGTCTATATTTGTGAAGTTTTTCAGAATGAGCATTTAAATAAGGATTTTCCTCAAAGAATAATTCCCACATGATGATTGCAAAACTATAAATATCAACTTTGTGATTGTAACTGGATTTTCCCTCAATCATTTCCTTTGGATTTGATATATGAAATTTTCATCATACAGGGTGTTCATTAGGTCAAGAATTATTTGACAGGTAGAAAATGAAAAATTTCACAGCCATAAAAGTGTTAGAGAACACACTTGGTGTGAACATTTCACACATTCCACACATTCAACACTTACATTGGCCATATAAAAGAGAGTTCCAATATTTGTTGTGGCACTATTGGTATCACTCACAGTCTTGCTTAATCCAAAATCACAAATTTTAGCAACGTATTGATCTAACAAAATATTTCCAGGTTTTAAATCTCGATGAATAATTGCACGAGGTTTCAATGAGTGTAAATAATTCATTCCCTTTGCAACTCCAAGTAATATATCAATTTTCTGATGCAATGTAATTCTCTCAGTTCCTAATTTGATGTTATAAATCAACTTGTCGAGACTTCCTTTTTCTAAATATTCAACAACCATATACTTTTTAGATCCAGCAATAATGACACCAAAGAATTGAACAATATTTGGATGACGAATACTTCCCAAAAGTGATGCTTCCCTTTCAAATTCATCATCTTCGTGAGCACTCAACTCGCTTTCTTCATCGTATTTGAGAGATTTTAAGGCAACCTTAGTTCCATTCCAATTTGCAAGATACACTGTTCCATTCGCTCCTTCAGCGATTCTTTTAACAATCTCAATCTCATCAATTGAAATCATCCATGAATAGACCTTCTTTTGAGATTTCTTTTTGGACTTGGAACTCGTGTTCGAAGTCTTTGAACGTGTTCCATAAGAATTCACACTTGTAAGTAGAGGAGTATTTTCTTTCATTCTTTCATTACTCGATTTGGTTTGTGAAGTAATAGTCATTGCATTCTCGATTTCTTCGTCACTTTCATCTTCCTCATCATTGTTCGATAAGAGAATACTCTTTTCTGCATTTTCCTTACGTTCCAATCTTTTCAATTTTCTCACAATATTTCTCACCAATCGAAATATCAAATAGAGACATGCCAACATCACAGAGAAGATCAAAATTGAAGCCAAACAAGTCATGGCAATAAGCAAGTCATAGGATGTATAGACAATATTTGTGCATACATAGATTTTCTCGATAGATTCCTGTAACGTGAGTTCTTTTCCATCAGGACATGGAAGTACATGAATATCTATACCAATGGGATAGGAGTAAGTCTTCTTTTCAACAACACTATCAGTGTGAATCGAGATACTTGCTTGAACAGTTCCAAACTGAGGTTGTTTAAGGAATACGGATAGAGATCGTAATACAAGCGTCGTATTAATATCAGGAAAATAGTCGCTGTCCACATTTAGAAGGGCTTGCTTGGAATATTGTGAGTTCAAAGTACATGTAATGTGTTCCTCCAAAAACTTTACATGTTCTGTATTCTCCCTATTTGTCCACACTACGAGCTGTACTTGTGGAATGACTTGTCCAGGATAGACATAAAGTTGAGGTGTTTCCTGACGAGTAAATTTAGAAATGTTTTGAGGAGTGTAGTGAATCCAAACTTGATAACCAAACATGTCCAACATCTTTGCTGTATTGCTTCCGTATGCATACGCCATATTTCCATTCTGTGTGAAATTACTAATGTAATCATCGTTGGAACGTTCAGAATATAAACATCCACCAGCATACGAAGCACTATTATTTTCACATAAAACATGATCAATATTTAGCATGTAATAGTCATAGATAAAAAAGGCACCTCCTTTTGAGAATGCATAATTATTCACGAGTTTCACGTTTTGCATGTTTAAATCTTCGGTCACTACAAAAAAAAGTCCTCCTCCGTTGGTTGCTGTATTGTTATCAAACAGTGAATTCTTAATGTCTACGGCATAAGATTCAACATAGAGAGCTCCTCCATTGCATGTTGCACCCAGCTGGCCCTTAAAATAATTATCTTTGAAAATCGATCCAAGAATGAGGACATTTGTATTTCCAAAGAACTTCATCATTTTTGCGCTCACACAAGGACTTCTATTATTCTTAAAAACTGTATCAATGATATTCACTGTAATTAAATTATCAAATAAAAACAATGGAACACGATTGAATTCGAAAAGATTCGAATGTAGTGACACTAATGAGCTTCCCATAATGTTAATTAAAAACTGGTTTTCATCCGTGTTGGTGTCCAAATTCACAAATTCACAATTCTCGAAAGAGAGGTACGTAATAGCATTCAATATCATGTAAAATTGTACATCTCTCGCTTTAACTCTTCGTAGTTGTGAACTCGAAGAAAACAATAGCTCAATATCGATTTTCTTTCCAAAAGTCACGTCTTCCAATAAAATAGATGAAAATTCAAAGACGGAAATTTTAGAATCTCGTAATTGAGAAGCTCTGATCACGAAAAAAAGATTATCTTGAGCAACTCCTGAGGTTGTAGGCGAGGAAAAGCTGAATCTTTCCAATATGGAAGTTGTGATCGACACATTTGCACGGATCGCAGCTGATAATTCACTATCTTGCACACTCGAGTCCTCTAATGAAACGAATCTTCCATTTTTCAAAACAAATTTTGAACTTGAGACGTGACAGGACTCAATCCTCAATTCCCTCTCCACTTCTGAATTGGTTGGGTTGAAATCGTAGGATTGATCTGATAACACAATATTTGACATGTTCACATTTGAAAATATTAATTTGTCGATACGAGTCAATTGCAATCGAAAAGCAATGAAATTCAATTGAGTCATTTGAAAATATAATTTCCGAATGGACACACTTCTAAAAAGAGGTTCTGTTGCACAATTCAACACAATGACTTCGGAAGCATTGTACGATGTGATTCGTAATTCATGAATTTGAGTTAAATTTGTTGACATGACTCCTTCATGCTGCTGTTGTTGTACATTGCATTGATCCGTTCCATAATTCAAACTTCCATTTTGTGTTCTCAACAATACAAATTGTGCAGAAATATTTTCACTCTTGAAACTTGTCAAATTTAAAAGCACTTGAATGGCTTCGGAAATGGACCTACAGGGTTGTGAAATGCTGGTACAATTATTGTTGTTCTGGTTGTTGTTGTTGACATTATTCGTCATTGCTAGTGAAGTGGAGAGTGATTTTGAGGATGAATTTGATGGAAGTGGCTGAATGAAGAGTGTGATGGTTTGGGTGAGTGAAGTGTCAACAACACGACTTGCAGCAATGAGAGGACTTGAACTCGTTGTGATCGACGACCACACGATCAAGCAGAAAAATAGTGAGACGAATCTCCATTGTGACAAACAACTCGTGTGTGAAATCATGATTTTTTTTCGAGGGAGAACTTTTCTGCTCGCTCCAATCTCGGACCGAAGGTTGCGATTGAGGAGTAAAAATCGAATTTGGCAACTGGTAAAGGGGCATGTGAACACGAAACAGAACTTGTTGCTCCTTCGAAATTTATTAATAATTTTCGTTTTGAACTAACTTCAACTTTGACAACGAATGTTGAGAAATGCTGACTTCTTGATGTTGTGTCGTTGAAGTGTTATTGAAACAGAACCACATTGCTTTGTCTTGTAATCTGGTCAAATAAAAGGAGAGATTTTGATGTCGACTAAATTCTTCTATAACATTAAAAAGATTTTCGTAAACTTCAAAGTCAGTAGTAGGTGTTTGTTTTTCAAGTAATTCACTACGTAATGCCTTGATATGATTGTCAAGAAGTTTTCGGTGTTTGAGGTGATCTTTCACTCTAAAATAAATAGAACACATCTTCACGTGTATGATTAGTTTTCCATTTTCTCATCTTTCTTGCTAATTTTTGACATATCCCTCTTCACCCAGACTCACAGAAGAAAAGGTTCAACAACATGGAGGTTCTTATGAAAATGATGAAAGTTATTGGTGATTGTCTTTCTGACTACTCATTACTCGTTGACCATTTGAGAAAGATGCCTGAGAAAGAAAGAGAAGCACACAAGAAGCAAAAGACATAAGAAAACGAAAATTTAGCCCATTCAAACTGCGTGCAAGCTGAATGCAGTGCAACCCTTAACATTGTTGGCCGTCATCCTTTTAAAGCAAGGATTCCGGGTTGGGACGGCCAGCTGTGCTCATTGTAAAAAATCAAAAAACCAACAAAAAAAATGAGCGGCCAAATCCCAATACAATTCACTGAGCTCTTCAATCTCCAAAACTTGGGAGTGAATCCACAACTCATTTCATTCACCACCGTTACGCTCGAATCAGATAAATATGTTTGTGTTAGGGATCAAATCCTCACCTCAAAAGTCCGCCAAAAAAATCTCTAACTTCATCTTCTCGTGCTGCAGGCAGTATGACGGACAACATTTTTATTTTCCCCAAAAAGAGAAAACTCTCACCATCTGTTGAAACTGGTGTTGTTGAAGCAGCAAATTCATCATCAACAATGATCAATGCTAATGCTGAAAACAATGATTTCTCTCCTACAAGTTTCAACGAGAACAACGGACCCTTTGTTGATGATATTATTTTTGAAATTCTTCATTTCCTTGATTCAATGTTTATCATTCAAATTTGTATGAAAATTTCAAAACAATGGAGACAAACATCATTTCAAATTCCTCTCTCATTATCATTCGCAGAAAATCACTTCAAACAAGATCGTAAATCAATCAAATTTTTAGCTGATTGTGAATGTTTGGAAAATTTGACTTCTTTGAATCTGGCACGCAATAGAATTGGCATTGAAGGTGTCAAATATATTGCCACAAGCGAATTCTTGAAGAATTTGACATCTTTGGATCTGAAATGGAACGAAATTGGCAATGAAGGTGTCAAATATATTGCCACAAGTGAATTCTTGAAGAGTTTGACTTCTTTGATTCTGAGTGAGAACGAAATTGACAGTGAAGGTGTCAAATATATTGCCACAAGCGAATTCTTGAAGAGTTTGACTTCTTTGAATCTGTCATATAATAGAATTGGCAATGAAGGTGTCAAAAATATTGCCACAAGCGAATTCTTGAAGAGTTTGACTTCTTTGATTCTGAGTGAGAACGAAATTGACAGTGAAGGTGTCAAATATATTGCCACAAGCGAATTCTCGAAGAGTTTGACTTCTCTGAATCTGTCATATAATAGAATTGGCAATGAAGCTGTCAAATATATTGCCACAAGCGAATTCTTGAAGAATTTGACTTCTTTGAATCTGCCATATAATAGAATTGGCAATGAAGGTGTCAAATATATTGCCACAAGCGAATTCTTGAAGAATTTGACATCTTTGGATCTGAAATGGAACGAAATTGGCAATGAAGGTGTCAAATATATTGCCACAAGTGAATTCTTGAAGAGTTTGACATCTTTGGATCTGTCATATAATGGAATTGGCAGTGAAGGTGTCAAATATATTGCCACAAGCGAATTCTCGAAGAGTTTGACTTCTCTGAATCTGTCATATAATAGAATTGGCAGTGAAGGTGTCAAATATATTGCCACAAGCGAATTCTTGAAGAATTTGACATCTTTGGATCTGAGTGAGAACGTAATTGGCAATGAAGGTGTCAAATATATTGCCACAAGTGAATCATTGAAGAGTTTGACATCTTTGGATCTGTCATATAATGGAATTGGCAATGAAGGTCTCAAATATATTGCCACAAGCAAATTCTTGAAGAATTTGAAACACTGTTCACCAAATAACAAACTTAGACAGTGTTAGTAACGACTGACAGTTCAGCTCGTGCCACCGTAAACAGATAACGAGGAAGCCACCATTTCTTCTCATAAACATCAACATGCGGAACCGGTTGAGGCTACTGATACGAAAGTGGAGACGGTATCCTCTAAGATGAATCAAGAGGGCCCAGTTGAGAAGACTGCTGATGAAGAGATCTAGAAACAAGTCGAACAGAATCTTGCGACGGGGAGGATCGATAAACTGGCTATCAAGTATTTATCGATCGAACATCAAATGATAACGAGTTTATAGCATTCTGCAAAACCAAAAATATAAAGACTTTCTTGAAAAGTTCTATTCCAAATGGTTTTGAAACAAACTTAATTGGGATCATGTGGGAACTGAATTTGCATTGGAACAAGGAACGCTGTATACGTTTAGGTCCGGTTCCAAGCTTTACTCGTTATCCTCTGAAATTAATAAGCATAAACATATCAACTGTGCCAACTATTGGGTCAGCTCAGAATCTAAAAGTTTTGATATTTCTCTGGAGCCGTTTGTGGATGAGGACGGATTTGTGGTTGAATGTGTCTTGGATAAAAAAGATTTGGTGGTTGTAAAAGGGGAGGACGTAGTTAAAACCATAACAAAAACGGGGACAGATCAGTTACACAATACACGTCGTTCAACCCAATGGAAATAAGGACGTCTTTTATCGGCTGGACGCACCGCTTACATGGAAGTGTGTCAACAGACAAAAAAAAAGCAGAAAATCCCTCGTTTTCTTTTCCAAAGGATGGATGTTTGGCGAGTTACAAACCCATTAGTTTCCTCCAATTAATTGATACTCTTGTTGTTAGTTTACAATGTAGAAACATTACGAGTACCATGTGCATTCCATAAACGCGTCCTTCTTAGAAATACATCTTTCCAGCATGGGTCTTTTGAGATGTTACGTGAGTAAGTTTTGTCACATCATCATCTCTTTCAGAATCAACAAAGTCATCCAAATGTGTTGATGTAAAGACAGACAAAAACATGTTAATAATAGACAATAGAACATATATGACCTATCTTCCTACAAAAGAAATGTATTTATTGCACCTCAAGATGAATACTGTTTCAATAAGCCGTCAAGAAAGAATGATCACTCCAACCCTTATGTTGTGGTTGGTTCAAAAGTCGTCTCACTTTATGACGGTGTGTCTTTTTGTAACATGAACTTGAAGGACTTTTACAAATATATGAATGACAAGACAGAGGTATTTTATTGTGTTTTAGAGGGCAATAACTATAATGCCATTTTGCTGTAGCCACTGGCGCCAAGTATACAAGTGATCATTCTTAATTTTGTATCTATTGGGTCGTTTGTTAGATGTTCTCAGAAATTATCTCCATCTGTCCTCAAACAATTCATTGCAGTAGAAGTTATCCTGGAGAACAATTAAGCAACATCCGGTTTCTCTCTTTATAAATTAGTCTACGGTTCTGCTGAAAACGCCCCGAAAAATTTGCAGCAGCTCCTTAAACTTCCGGACGAAGAAATTAACTCAATGACGGTTAGAAATGTCATTGAAATTGGAGACAAAAGGGTTATTGAACGGCTTCGAAGAAGTAGAAGACCCTGAAACCGAAACCATTTCAAAAACAAGCTTTATAGACAAGGCTGCATACTGCCTTAGTAAAACAGACTGGAACTCGCTCACATACGAACTTGACACGAGTAAAGCGTTACAAGAATGGAGAATGCTTACAGATGATCACCCAAAAACACTCTTGGGTGCTCATGTGAGTTAGTTTCATCTGTTTTTTCAAGCGACATTAATGGCACCTCTAGTGATGAAATGATGGCGAGGTACTTGTATAGTGCTCTGATGGAAAGAGGTCTCCGACTGCTCTGTGAAAAGTCACAAGGAAACGTATTAGAACTCTTGAAACTATGAATGTTGAGAAACGCTGACTTCCTAATGTTGTGTCGTTGAAGTGTTATTGAAACAGAACCACATTGCTTGAATGATTTTCCAAATTGCTTTGTTTTGAATAAAAGCAAGTCGTTGACAAGCAACTTGTAAATCCTCACCAACCCTGTTTGTTATCAAAACACAACAACAAGAGTCGAAAGATTTCTTGTAACTCACAGTTCATACAGTCAAAGACTGTAGCGGGAGAGTCGCCATATTCCTGGCAGGCGTCCCGTCCATAATAATTATTAAGAGAATTATTTCTAATCATGATCGAATTTAATACAATTTCATTGCCACTCAAAAAATGTATGGAATTCGATTAATGCAACCGAATGCCGAGAGGAATGAATCCAAAGCTTCATCCCGAACACGAAAATTGGAAAAACTCCTTGCTGAACCACCAAGACATGACTCGATTCAACACGATACGAATGAACATACATGCGAATTGAACGACGAAAGAATTCTTTCATTAATTGAATTTAAAATTGAAATTTGTGCTTTGAGTCAGCAATTACTAGAAATTCAACCATGTAATCTAGAGGGTACTAATGAATCCGATCATGATGAAACTCGTGTCATTCATGATCGAATTAAATATTACACTGAAAAATTTGAAAAATTAAAACAAGCCTTGTTGGACTCGCTTCATTTACCCAACACTATTTCAGAAAAAACAAATTCCAATAACGATGAAGAATCCGCACCTTCATCCTTTCAAAAAGATGAAAATCTTGAACTAGTTGTTGAGAAAATTACAAAAACAAACGATCGTCATGTACTGAGATTTTGGTTGAAGAAAAAGATTATTCCTTTAAAGTAGATAATTTTACTTTGTATTATATAATCAAAAAGTTCTTCCTTTTGCACGTGTGCTAACATTTTCTTGTGATATTTTCAAGTAGTTCTAGGTACCAAAAATCTCAACAAGTGTTTTCAATAGCTTCAATTTTGAAAATCCATTTCAAAAAAATGTTATCATCATGTACAGCCTCAGAAGAGATGAATTACTGCACGAGAGATCTCTTTTTCAGCCAGGTCGAGGATGAACTCTTTCTGATGCACCATTTCTTTCCATTCGTGGAAGATTTACGTGAAATACGTTTCATCTCACGATCATGGAAAAACATTTTGGATCGGAATGAATGCAATATTTATAAGGAACGAATTCAAAAGTTACAAAATAGTTCGTTGGTATCTACATCTTCATCATGTATGAAAGGATTATATATTATTGCTCTCTCTTACTTTACCAACTTGAACTTGAAACTTGCTTTGAAATTGAAAAAAATTTATTACTTTATGATAAAATATCAAGAAAAGTGGAATTGTTTTTGTCAGTCAGGATACATGACCTTTTTCACGCTTCCAAAAAGTGAACTCTGTTCTGGCTTTCCACAAACATTTGAAAAGTTTTCACACAGTGCGGCACCAGGAAGCATGTTTGTAAATCGAACACAAACAGGTCTGACCATGTATGCTAAATACATTCAAGAAGTAATGGATAAAAAAGAAAAGGGAATTTCACAAAAGTATTTCACATTGCTACAAGAAGAGAATTTGGAAATGTCATTCAAATATCATTGTAAAAAGTGGATGCAAATTGTCAAGTTGTTGAAATGGTCTGTTGGATTGTCAAGCATTCCTGTTTCAAAACGAGGGAATAGCGAACCCCATGATGAGTTACAAGTAGGAGCATCAAAATTTGGAGGTTATGCAGAGGTTCCAAAAACATGGATTGAAAATATGAGAGCAGAGCAGATTGAGGACAGAGCACTTCTTGCTCAGATTAGATGTGAGGATATTTACAAGATATTACCAAAATCATATACGATGGATTTTTGCTTTCCAAGCGAGGGCTGGATATATGTGTTTGCCCCACTCCGAAACCAGTATAATTATTCAGAATATGTGACCAAGTATTACGGCGGAGATGTTTCAACACTTGTACCTTACATATTAAGTAGTAGACGATGGAGTAACAGTTACCCAATTTCATTTAATATACAAGTGAACTTACCTGACCATCTTAACATTTCAGGTCTTCCTTCACACTCCATTTCAAGGTGGTTTGATCAAGAAGAAGGATCTGTATTCAGTGCATGCATGGAAATGCAACAAAAGAGAAATTATTTATTTGGACATGGTCCTTCTTTGTGTTGGAGTGAAAGAAAACTAAACTCTCCATTATTTCTTTGCATGGGAGGTCATGAGGAGATTGTGTTTGGTGACGCTGACGTCTTGTGTGTTTGGGGTGAGCTCGCCAAGAAATCGGAAGAGACGATGAGTGATCATGCCATTTCCAACACATCACAAATTTCCATTGACAAGGTTGAAGTCCGTATTTCTTGCTGACAACAGTGTAAATGTTTATTCATGTCACAGAAATGGACAACAGTCATAATCTGGATGTAGTATGGGTGGTAGAGAGAATAGTGGAAGACTTGAACTGAGCTATTATGTACAATTAAAATCAACAATAATTAATTCTGGTTTTTTCGCTGCTTCATCATTTCATTATATTCTTGTTCTTGCTGTACACGAGGATTTGATGCCCCTTGTGGAATTTCTCGTTTGAATAAAAGAATATGTGGTTCCGATGGTGAATTGCCGTAATGTACCCAACCTCTTGACATGGTTATTCCAAGCCCTCGCCATTCTCGTTCCGAAAGTAATCGATCAGAAGGTATCATCTCGGCCATCTTTTCTGGAAGAATGACATGTCTATATTCAAATTCATCATCATAGTACTGTAGAGGTGTGTCAAAATGATTCGAAACGACGTTGTTGCATCAAAATGAGATTTGCAACATGTCAAAATTCCATCATCACAACAAATTAAATCAACAACAGATTATGAAGAAGCCTATCTTCTCTCCGACAAACACACGCCAAAGCCTTTGAACCTACCTTTTCAGAGTAATAAATCTCGGGTTCTCCTTTCGACATTTTTTTTTAAGTTGAATTGTTGCAACTGAAAAGAAGCGGGGTTTAAATGGCGCGAAAACACTCTCTGGACAGTTCCAGCACTTAGAAGAACGATTTTAGCTTGATTTCCAAAACGTCATGATCTGTATTGTAAACTCCTTTTAATGCACATGCACAGTTGATCTTCCAACAATAAACTAGTACTGGTTCCAATGATTCTAATGGCCAAAAGTCTCAAGTTCAAAAAAATTCCAAAAAGAACAACCGAATGATCTCAAGCATCCATTCTGAGCCTCAATCATCGAATCCAGAGGATAAGGATCTGATCACCCTACAAGCTACTGTTGTAACGCATCATCAGAACAAAAACACACCCCTATTGCCAGCAACATCTCTTCCAATTCTTGTACCTTCCTCCTATATCCCATACAAGCTATCCCCCACCCTCATACAAGGCAAAATTACTTGCCATCATGCACAAGACGTTTCCTTCTACAAGCGTGAATTTCATCATACTCCCTTATTTACTGTATGGATTATTTGTCGAGAAATTAAGCCCTTATATTCTCAAAAACGATTTTTCGAACATGCTTGGCAACGAAATATTCAAGTTCGTTTGATGGAGATGAACAAGTTTGAATGTTTGGTCGCAACCAATTCTTGCTCAAATTCCGATCGAGAGGTTGATACGGCTTCTTCTCTTCTCTATGATGGAGAGATTTGTAAGGAATGGCCACAAGTCATCATTCCAAGAATGGGCTCAAAAATCACATACTTTGGATTAGCGTTGATTCGTTTCTTTGAAGGCTTGAAGGAGAACAAGCCATTCATTCTGAACGAATCGAAAGGTATTGAAATTGCCAAAGACAAGTTCATTACCATGCAAAAATTGGCCTCTCAACACATTTCAATACCAAAAACCATGCTATTGATTCACCCATTGAATATTGAACAGGTACATCAACACTTTGAATATCCATTAGTGTTGAAAAAGGTTTCTGGCTCCCAAGGCAAGGGAGTAATGTTGATCCATGATCGTTCTCAACTTGTAGATTTAGCTGAAATGGTGGATCCTAATTCCCAAATGCTTTTGCAAGAATTTATCAAGTCTTCTAAGGGTGTCGATATTCGAGTGCTCGTATTGGGAGAGAAAGTACTTGGGGCAATTAAGAGAATTGCTAAAGAAGGATTCAAAGCAAACTTTCATCAGGGTGGAAACGTTGAACCTTTTGCGTTGACGCCCTGCATTGAAAATCTGGCGGTGAGTGCTGTGAAAGCGTGTGGATTGTTGTTTGCAGGTGTGGATATTTTAATGGGAGAGTCCTCTAATGATTCGTACCGCGTGTGTGAAGTGAATTCCTCTCCTGGATTTGAAGGATTTGAACTTGCTACTGGCATTGATGTTGCACGTGAAGTCATGTCTTTTTGTGAAACAAATGTTTTTCACTGAGCTACCATTACTCTTTGACTTTTTGAAGTCATCATATATCCACATGTCAGCACTGAGAACACTGCTCCTCTTCACCCTGTGTGCTTTCCAATTCCACCATGAGAGAAATATGATCACTCGAATGTTTTTCGTTTGGCAGCTTGGCTTCCTCTTCATCTCCTATTTTAAGTTCTTCAGGTGTTGGAATGGAGAGTAATTTTGTAAGTCTGAATCGAGGTTTCACAGTTTTCCACAAGAATATATAATCTAATGTAGACTTGAAATCAGGTGTAAAGATGGTATAATAAACCTCTCCGTGGTTCCACTTGTCATGCACTTTCATTCGTTCATGATCTTCAGGATTTAAGGCTCCATAAAACGAGTAGAGAGAAATGAAACTTGGAAAATTTTGAGCAAAATATGAAACAAGCTCTCGAATGCTTTCGCTTCTCTTGTTTCTTTCAACACTTAAATAATCTTCGAGTTGCTCTTCCGAGTATTGGCCATTTTCATTTTGGTTCTGAATGATTGATTTGTAGTAATCTTTCACTTTTTCTTCACAGTCTTCAACATTTCTGAAATATCGATCTACGTGCTCTCTGCTTAATTTTGAAAAATCCATTCCGTGGTGAATCAAGTCTCCCTGAATTTCTGTTTCGAGATTTTCGTTTAAAACTCTTCCTGGAAGAGTCATTAATTTGTATGGAAACGACGCAGGAGTTGCATTGAAATCACCACAACTAATAATTGCAAAGTCCTTGTACTTTTTAAATATTTTCAATGTGTGACGAATCATTAACATTAATTGTCTTTTGTGTCAAAAATCCAAAGGTTGACATGTTAAGAATTGTTAAAAAGATCGTACGGTCTTTTGTGTCATCATGTCACCATTCTCAAATTTTCACATACCTCAATCTCACATAATTCGATTCAGGTCTCCAATACAAATGTGTATTCGTAATCAATAATCCTTCATTTAAAAACTCTTTACTCCGCAATGCAAAAACTTGAGCAATATTACCACTATGCCGAATTTCTTCCTTCTCCAACTCTGACATTTCTTTTCGGCTCGTATAATGGTCATGTTGTGTCAACAATTCTTGTTCCATGAGTACGACATCCCTCTCCAACAAGTCAAATTTTTCAGATTTAAATCCAAAAGCCAATCCATAGGGAAATGGTCTAAATTCCTTTGAAGGATTATATTGATAATCAAAATATGTTTCATAGCCTAAACTTTGTAATTTTTCTTTCCAAAACTCTTCAAATTTATCACATTCTTGCAAGCAAATAATGTCAGCATTGTATTCAGAAATTTCTTGTAAAAGATTTTCACGACGGTGTGACCATGCAGCACATCGTTTGGTGCAGTAGGGCATTCCTTCTTTCCGATTGAATAAACTCTGCGCAAGAATATTGTAGGTGAGAAGAGTGAATTTGAATTTGTTTTTGTGAATGGGTCGTCGGTGTTGTCCTCAAGGTGGTTAATGGGCGCATGAGAGATTATGTTTTCAGTGCAATCTTGATGAGTGTGATGTTGTTGTTGTTGATAAAAGTGTACGGAGGACAATCCGGCTGCAGACGACGAAAAATTAGGATGTAAAAACGATGAATGCGTCTGGTGTTGATGATGATGGTGAAGGTGGTCGTGACCACGATGTTGATGATGAATCCATCGGCGAGCGTATCCTTGAAATGCCTTGTTTGACATTTTTGTTTTGGGAATGTACATCAATTTGGTGGTGTGTTGCTTGTGCATGTTTACTTTTTTACTAAGGAAGGACTGAAACATGTCCTCTCTTTTATTGCAAGGACTACCAGAGAAGTTCAAAAAACCAAATGTTTGAGAATGATACCATTGTTGTTAGAAAAATTACTTTTGTTGAGGAGTTGCTGGTTGTTGTGGTGGTTGTTCATCCAAATTTCTGCAATAAGGCTTTGGAAGATCTCCATCTTCAAAAAGCAAGGTCTTTTGTCCTCCCAGAGGATCAGCATTTCTACGTCCGTTTTGAGGTCCTACTTTTGGATATTCACCTCTCTTTAACATTTCAACAATTTCAATAGTACGTGCAACTGTCAAATCCTCAAAATAGTCATACTTGAATGCCTCTGGAGAGGAATAGTCAGAAATTGCAATCATTGGTGCATTAGTGCAACAACCCATACATTCCATTTCACTCAATGTAAACATTTTATCAGGTGTGGTTTCACCCAACTTAATTCCTAAATGGTCCTCAAGTGCAGCCAAAATATCATCAGATCCAGTTATCATACATGGTGTTGTAACACAGACTTGAATTTGATATCTTCCGATTGGTGTAGTGTTATACATGGTATAGAATGATACACATTCAAAAACATTCTTTGGACTAACTTCACAAATCTCAGCAATTTTGTTGATTGCAGCCAAAGGAATCCATCCCTTGTTTTGACGTTGAGCCAAGTGAAGCAATGGCAAAATTCCAGATTGCTTGTGTTTGGCTGGATATTTGGCAAGAATCTTTTTAATTTCCTCATAGGACTCTGGAGTAAAGTCGAAAGGTGTTTGAGCATTGTTATATTCCGTATCCACGTGCTAGAGTGATGTAGAGAGATGAAAAGAGATGTATATATTTGTCCGAAGACAACGTTGTATCAAACCAATATTGTCCATACAATTCATCATAAACAATTATTGAGTGATGAAATCCATAACGTTAGATATGATTACATATTTTAGAGTGTAATACAAGAATCCCAACAAAAAGACATATATAAACCGCCTACAACTCATTTTCAGCACTTACCTTGTATTGCAAGAAGGAGGCACGTGATGATGAGAAGTATCTTTTAGCAGTAATGCCCGATGAAGAGAAAAGTCTCAGAGTCTTTGTTGTTGCACGCATCATTTTTTTTCTTTATCAGGGTCTGAAGAACTACAAGGAGGATGAAAAAGATGGTCCTTTGTCTCAGGATTTTCAAGTTCTCTTTTGCAAATCGTGGCAAGTTTTCAACAAGTAAAACCACCTTGTTGCTCTTAAAGAGGTAGCATAACTTTTTAATGACATTGAGGAAAGCAGAAAAGAAAAAATGTCATCGTCACTCTCTCCTTCCACCCTCGCTCATGATCATCACTCAAACATAACATCTCCGCCTCTCATCCCACGACCGACTCTCTTTGATTGGATCAAAGAACATCTCATGTACATGAACAACACCACTCCTTATAAAATCAATATATTAAATTTAGGGAAAAGTAATAGAAGAAATATTCATTATGATCGGTTTCAATTACAACTACCCTTTTTTGACGATACGTTGACTTTACACTTATTTTACGATGGAAACAAACCCCATTCACCTTTTGATTTCCAAATTATTTCCGATGTTATGAATGGATCCTATTTGCAACATTTCATGTTGGACATTTTCAAACTAAGATCCATGGTGGAATGGAAAGAATTATATTCGAAGTATTCGTCTCAAAATTATCACCCAATGAACGGTACTGATCTAACTGCATCAGTTATAACATCAGAATACATGTCTCAATTTACGTTTCGGGTGATAGAAGAAATTTTACTGAATTTGAGAGATTATTTCAAATTAATGCTAAGCCATCATAGAAATGAAAACATTAAATTTGAGTTTGAAACAAGTGCTACCCTTCCTGGTGTCACTTATTATATCAAAGAGTTCAAAAGTGATATCTCCACAAATGAAGATGCCTCTATAATGGAAAAGATTTATTTTTCCATTCCGCTTTCAATAAGTGGGATTGATAAAATTGAGGAATATCAGCGACTGTTTGATCCCACATCTATAGAATTACCAGATGCGAAACCTAAACTTTTGATATATTATATATTTGATAAGAGTAGAAATTTTGTTGTGAATGTAAACACTGAAATTATTTATCCTGGCAATGTGCAGAATAATAAGAGACTTGAATGGCTAACACAGATAGCACCTCCTGCATGGAATCAAGGAAAGTCGTGTATATTGGAATATCTTTCTGAATCCACAGAAAAGATTGAAGCAGAGGTTGAAAAACATAACGCAAAAGTCAGAACGCGACTCGAATTTATCAAACAATTGCTTGCAGCTTTTGGAAACCCTATCGATTTTGCTGAGAGTGATACGCTATCCAAAATTTCCTTCCTTATGGAACAAAATCAGTTTATATTCTTTGTTCACGTGACCATAGAGAAAGACACCTTTCCCACAACCCTACCATTGATTAGATTGCAGTCTTCACAGCACCTAAAGAGCTCAGAAAAGATTAGCTCCAAAATTTTGCCTGTGCGAGTCAGGATTCAGCAATTAAATTGGATTGAAGGAAACACATCTGAGGTGATGGCACAAAATGTGGAAGGTATTCGAACACAAATTTGTATGCTACTAGGTGACTTTATTAAAGTATGCGAGTCCAGCGTTTGAAGTCATCAGCCAACTTCTCATTTTGTTTGACCAAACTCCAACAATGAAAGAAAAGAATTACATTTTCGAATTTTGAATTTATAATGGTGTTTGTGAGAGCAATTTATTTAATCTTCTTCTTGATTCTGAGATCAGTGCAGTGACCGCATTTATCCTTTCTGCAGGTTGTGGCTCTGGCTGGGAGTCTAGCATAACATCTACGGCAAATCTTTTTATCGCAGTTGTACTTTCTTGCCAAAGCTTGAAGGGTTGGTTCAATGACACCTCCTCTCAATCTCAAGACCAAGTGCAATGTGGATTCCTTTTGAATGTTGTAGTCAGACAAGGTTCTACCATCTTCCAATTGCTTTCCGGCAAAGATCAATCTTTGTTGATCTGGAGGGATACCTTCCTTGTCTTGAATCTTTGACTTGACGTTCTCAATGGTGTCGTTGGATTCGACCTCCAAAGTGATGGTCTTTCCGGTCAAGGTCTTAACGAAAATTTGCATTGTGAATGTGATGGCGTATTTTTTTTCAACAAATTTTTTAAAAAATTCTGGTCAACCCAAGTCATGACTTTACAACAGCTGGTAATTTTCTCTTCGTTTTTGTTTCACAACGATGTGCTTCAATTCCCATCTTCACTTCACATCTGTTGTTGAATTAACGCTGCGTTTGGTCGAGTTTCCCAATATGCTGTAAAGTCAGATGTCTTTTGATTGTCCATCAGTTGATGGAAAATGCTGAATATTAAAAAAAAATTAGCCAACACATCACGCATTTCGCCCATCGTTTGGCTTTAAAAAATATTGATTCCGATATTGTCATCTCCATAATCTTTGAATTTTCAAAATCATTGATGGAGGTTGCTGTTTTAAACATCCCATATTGAGACCACATTTGCAACTTAAAATATTCACTGACTGGATTTTGATAACAAACACGATATTATGTTTGAATTTTTGAAAAATTTAAAACTTCCGATTTGGAGTTCAAGCGAGAGAGTACAAGAGCCAATCAAGAAGCGAAAACGAAAGGAAACAACCGAAAATTTAGCAATGAATAACAATCAGAAAAAGGTCAAAAACGAGCAATTACAACTTTCGGGACTTTCTTCTACACACCCAAGGACCATCACTACCTCTGCGACAGAAAAACAAAAATCTACTCCGTCTGAAGAGATTATGGGCCTGATAATATCAGAAGAAAAGAAAGAATATCAAAAGAAAATTTCACAAGCTTCGGAAAATGGAATTCAAATTACTAGTCATCACAACCGTAAAAAATTGCAACAACGTAAAACGGATTTAACAACACATTCCAAAGAACTAAGACAACCACAAGTTATAGATTTGGAAAACGACGATGATGAGATTGCTCGTGAATACAAATCCCTAGATTTGAGCTATGTCAAGACACATTCAGAGTCTATTCATCCTCAACCTTCCAAGTACACAAGTGAGTCAGTTAAAACCGTTCCTCACATTCCAGTGGAAACACCCTCTATATCTGTAAAAACAACACAAAACAAGCAAGTACCACCTCCAGTCATCAGGCTTGGTCCACCAAAATTAGTGTCAAAATCTTCCAAACATCAGGCTAAGGTTGAAGAAGATGCAACACTTTTGGACCACGATTCTGTGGAACGGGTCACGAAGGGCCTTCAATCCTTACTAACTTTACGAGATAAGGTTGAGGAAGCTAAAGTAACAAAGTCGTTCATTGAACGAGTGACAATGAAGAGGGCCTCATCTAAAATATTAACTAGATTATGTGAAGAACTGTTAACAGAAGAGGCCAAGAAAGTGTATGATACATTTCTTCCTCAAAAGATATACGACAAGCTACTTTCAGAGATTATTTCAGGCACCATAGAAACAGAAAAAGAATTCTTTCCTCTCTCAAAGAAGGATGAGGCTTTGGTCAACAAGATTTTTTCTCATAGAAATACCAACAGAGATGAAATTCTTGCAGAAAAGTACAAAATTGACATTACTTGGCAAAAGATTCAATGCTTAAAGAATACAGACTGGCTCAATGACGAAGTTATTAATTTCTATCTCAATATGGTGAAAGATAGAAATGACAAATATCCAGAGAAATATCCCAAAATTTACGTTTTTAACACGTTCTTTTATGCCAAGTTGACAGAGCGTCACTCGTACAATTATGGTAACGTGAGAAGATGGACACGAAAAATTGACTTGCTGGAGTATGACAAAATAATAATTCCTATTCACTTGACTGTGCACTGGACTCTAGCAGTTATTAATATTAGAGACGAAAGATTTGAATACTATGACTCCATGGATGGCGTACAGACTGGTATGAATGTTTTACAGAATTTACAAAAATACTTAAGTGACGAGGTATTGGATAAGAAACAAGTCTCATTTGACACCATGTCATGGAGAAAATATGTTCCACATACACCACAGCAAGAGAATGGATCTGATTGCGGAATGTTCACATGTAAATTTGCTAATTTTATTGCCCAAGACAAGCCCTTAACTTTCTCTCAAAAGCACATGCCTTACTTTAGAAGGAGAATGGTTGTTGAAATTGTGAGGAGTAAAGAAATACTATAGATGTAGTATGATTTATCAAGTTGGTGTGGATAACAATTATTTTGAACTTCTTGAGAACAACTTGCTTTGAGCGATTAATTCACTGCACAGTTGTTGAATGTTGGTACATCTAATTCCACAATTTTCAAATGTGATCTCTTCGTCCTTAGATGTTGACACAGCATTAAATATGAGTAGCCAGCCATGTACACGACTCAAAAACAAATCAACAATCCTATCATTAAGTTCAAGGTATGGAGAACGATGATGAGTAACTGATTTAAGTGCAACATCATGTTCTTTAAGAGCCAATTGTTGAGTGCCGCGACCAGCAGCTGTACTTTGTAGCTCTCTTCTTAACTCAGGCTCTAACATTTTTTCCAATTTGAAATTTCTCTTCAGTAATTTGTACAAATACTTGTCACCTCTTGGTATTTTCTCGTTGGTGTCCAAGTTGTACCGGTCCACATGAAGCATAGACAAGTAGTTGCTTTGAGACGAATCATCTCCATGGTCGCTCACAAGTTTGCAATCATTTTCTGTCAATAAGGAAATGTAGAATAAAGTTTTCTGAATTTGCAAAGGGGACAGCAACATATTCACCATTGTGTACAATTCTTTTTCAAATATCTGAATTCCACTTGTTCCGTACGACTGAATAATTGCTTCGATATCTGCATCGTATCGAAACGGTTGGACATGTTCCTTAGAAATGCCGTACAATAAGGTGTAACACAACTCATCATGTATCAATTGTGCCTTCTCGATATTAATTCTTATGGAGCTATCTCTTGATCGCATAGAAAGGCCTATAAACCAACACACAGCAGACCATCGTGCAAGCTCCTTAATTAATTTATCTAACTTTTCATACCAACTATTGTTATACATGGAGTATCTTGTAATAATCACGTTCGAAGCTAACTGTTGCACAGAAGTAGATGTTGTTGACACTTGCTTCTTTTTGGTCTCAACATCCAACGACAAAAGTGAATGTTTTCTAGCAGCATAGTTCGAAAGAAAATATGAAACATTGGACTCTTGCTTCTTTTCATACGACGACGTGGCAAAGTATAACGATTTCACACTTCTTAAATCCAAGGACTCACCAGATGATATCATCTTGAATAGTGTGGTTCCAATTTTTAAATGCGATAATATTCCAATTTCTCGATTTTTCTCTGTCAAACTTTGCACGAGACAACTTGTTTGAGTTTCCAACATGTATTCATTCGAGTAAATGTTTCCAACTGGGACAAGTAAGAGGAGTGAGTCATTTTGTTCTAATCCTTCATAATAGATTCTAATTTCCCATGTTGTTGTATCATTATTATTGGATAATTTTGAAAATTCAATAAATTTCACGAACGTGAGCCATTTGTGTGAGTGATCAGGTGGTAATAATTTTCCAATGGATTTGAAGAGAGAAATTAAGCTTGTTGTGAATTGTAATTGCTCAATATTACAGTCCAATCCCTTGTTTAAAACTCTGTGAATGGTCATTAATTCATTCTTCAGTGGAGGAAGATCAGTTTTTGAGATGATTTCCAATTCCAAAAAATCCAATAAAATGTCTTCAGAGGTAGAGTTCAGAAATTCCAATAGAAAATTGACACTTCTCAATGAATAATAGATTTTTCTTGAGGTACGGATTTTCTTGTCTTCACATAAAAAGTTTGATAGTAATATTGAAAATTCCTGTTCTTGAAACATGGCGCGAAATTCTAAAATGAAATTTAACATCTGTGCCCAAACGGTCACTAAATTTACATTCTCAAGAATCATGATTGGTTCTAAAAATCCAAATTCCAAGAGATTTGCCATGATCCTAATGAGGTATTGTATCTCTGTGAAGTACTTGTCTTTTTCAGTGGTTAACTTTGATATGAAATTGAAAAAATTGGGAATTAAGGAGCGAACACACTTGAAAATAGAGGACATCTCCTCATGTGCTGGATCATCGTCATGCTGATAGGCAAATAAATCCATGCTACAAGGTGTGTGATAACTTGAAAGGTGGTATAACAGTTCATCAATTTTCAATCGTTCTTTTTGTTGAGTAAAAAGAAAATGTGCCACACTCTTTTCACTGCTTAACGAAACAGTACTATTACCGTATGATGAAGCACAGTAGCATGTCCTTAATACTGCTTCAAAAAATAATGTCAGTAAAGAACCTTTGATCGTATCATCCAAGTTTTGGTTCGTATTACATTGCAAGCATAGAATGGAAAACCAAACTCTCCAATCGCATTCAAAAGTTTTCAAACGATAGAGTGTGAAATTCCAAGTCTTGTCCATTGGAGATTCTCTTTTTGATGAAATATACTGTACAAATTCTTTCCATTCTGTATGAGAGGATTTTCGAATCGATAGTTGGGATTCTTTGAATACTGTGTTGAATATTGATTCGGAAATTGTTAAGGCCATTGAATTTCCTGCTTGGGTGGACATTCTAGTAAAATGTTCCTTTAACGTAAAGAAAAGTGAACAAAACTTTAAAAGAAATTCACCATTCGTTTTCTCTTGAATTTTTGAAAATCTGTAATTAAATGTGGAATCTCGAATTCTCCATTCATGTAAAATAAATTCAAAATTAATGCGAATGATTTCCTCAGTGGTGACATTTACGTTGGAAGCAATATTTGAAAGTAACTGTAAACGTTCTCTCAGAGTGTTTTGTCCATCTTTTTCGCTTGAAAAAATGTAAGAAATGCATTTCCAAAATAATTTGTTCTTGTCGCCATCTAAAAACAATTGTTGAAACTGTTGGCTAACCATTGATTCAGGATTCTCTGGAGTAGGCCTGGTTTTGATTATCTCTATCTCTTTAGATTGAATGCACTCTGTGAATTTTGAAAAAAGTTCTTGAATGAGCGAGTCCATCGATGTGTGAGTCAAGAACCAAGGTAATGATGCTTTCTGACTTTCATCAATGTAAAGAGGAGTTTCCTTAGTATGTGAAATTCTTAAAATATGAGCCAATAACAAGTGTCCATTTCTAATGATTGGTTGCTCATAGCGATCGTAGATACTTTGAACAGTTTTCACATAATTTTGATTGAAAGGAAGTCCTTCTATTGAAATGAAAATATTTCTTTCTGTCATTGAATAAGAAGATTTGGTTTGTTGAATCTTCTCAAAAAACGGAATTGTTTCTTCTCTTTTAAAAATCTCATAAGACAACCACTGATAGGTGACACTATCAACTTGTCCTTTCAACATAATATTAAGAGCTTTCATCATGTCCAGTGACAGTTTTTTCTTCTCAAAGATTATGTTTGATAATTGTTCAGTAATGGTTTCTAATGTTGCACTAAAGCACTTTTTACAAAATAAGAAAGTGTCAGTAGTTGCCAATGTAGAAGTTGTCAACAAGGTTTTGTCATTATTTTTGAGACATTCCAAAACTTGAAAATTGGTTCTATCTTCTAAGGATACCGTTTCAGAGAAACTCTTTCGGTGAGCGTCAAACAGTTTCTTCTTTTCTGGATAGTTTGTGGTTGATTCAATGAGACTTTGAATATATGAGAGGGGTAATAGATCTGGAGATTCATTTAGCAATCGTTGAATAATTGTGTCCTGTGATGTTAAATGGCTTGTTAGGAGAAGATAATTAGTAATGATATGATCAACAACTGCTTGAGTACAATACACAAATCGCATGTTCGAATCAAGCAAGTGCTGTAATCTACTACTTACTTTGCTCCTTGTAGAGAGTTTTCAGATAGTCTAAAAATGGAAAGCATGAATTGAAGGTAATTCTAAATTCCTATAAAATTGAAATAAGATTCATGATATCAACTTTGAAATCGATTGTACGTACCTCAATATGAGTTTGGAATTCAGAAGGAAATTTCGTCGCTCGTTGCATCTTGCTTATAATCACTCTAAGTTTAAACATGTCAAATTCAGATAAAATTTTCTTGGTGACATTGGACTTGGAGTGATAACGAATCATACTAAGATCTACCTTCGATAAATAAGACTCCAAATTATCGCTCATATCCAACATGAATGCAATCTTTTTTAAAACTTGAAACTCGATTGTTAAATATCATTTACAACTTACTGCACATAAGGCATACAGAGTGTCCACTCTCGCAAATCGAGTGGAACCCATATTGTTCAATACAGACAACGCTTGTCTTTTCATTCCGTTTCGAAGGCAATACAAGATAATAAACTGCCAACATAGTGTTTGTGACTTGATATCTAGAAGTTTTAGAGTATTATCTGCCTTCTCGAAAAACTGAGTCAAGTAATATTGATTCGTTGGAGCCAATTGTGTGTACTTCAATTCAAATATTAAGGTTTTTGGCTTTTTCAAATAGATGGGCGTAATGTCACTCATTAAATTCAATATAGAATAATAGCTCTCCGTAGAAATATATTTGATGTTCGCTTTTAGAAATCGAATGGATGTCTTGTACTTTCGATCATGAATAGCTCGTTCAAACTCTGAAAGTTGATTTTTATCCCTCCAATTGGCAACATTCTCGACAAGTTTTTCAAGCTTTTCTAATTCTTCTTGAGCTTTCTCGGGATCGAAATGATTGATATAATATTTCACACCAAGTTTCAACTTTTTGATTGAAAATTCCAAAGTGATTGGAGAGAAATCCTTGTAGTGATTTCTAAAATTGTTTTCATCCAACAATAGAAATAATTTTAAACGTAAATAGAGGTATTCGAAATGTTTGGGGCATCTTCTTAGAAGAAGTGTAATGATTTGCAACGCTTGTCGAGCTGCAATGGAACTCTTCTTCTTGTACAAGATCTTTGCCATCAAAAACTGAAATGAACATTATTAAAACAAATAATAGTACAATGGCTAAACGAATCATGCAAAGTGTTGAAGTACCTACCTGAAAGTCTGGAATCATTTCTGAAATTGGCTGTTTTGGGAGCATACTACTCGCAGAGTTATAATCTCCATTTCTCAACGAGAACATAACTTTCTCATACGTGATAGCAACGTAATCTTGAATTGCTTTTTTGAAATCCCATGTAAGACCAGTCATTCAACAGTGATATTAACTTACATTTCATCTCTTCAAAACATTTTTCAACATGTTGTCTCGTCAATTCATCGAGCTGTTCTCCACTCTCAGAAACTTCCATTCTATTATAAGCCAATACTTGTAAATAATATGGAAAGTCATCGCGCTTATTGACATCCTCAAAAATAAATTTCGAATAATCAACAAGTCGCCAAGGTATTCCTGCATAGGCCAGTGCTGCATAATACCAAAACATGACAGAGCAATCACGACTCCCTGGTTTCTTACCTAACATGATATGCTTGTCGTAGAGAATTTTCATGAGCACTAGTGCTGTCACTGGCGACCCTAACTTGATAAAGTACATCCATAATAATTTGATAGCATGTGGATAGAGAGAGCACATGTTTTGAATGGTAGAATTATTGTAAATATCTTGTGTGAAAATAGAGGAGTCTTTTGATGTGAATCATAGTCATAATTATTACCATCGAAGGGGTTTCCTTACTGTTCATGATTTCAAATTATTCAACATGTAAACTTACCGATTTGATATCCATTCAATAGAGTATAAAGAGCTCCTTCAACATCTCCGTTGTGAAATTTAGTGAGAGAAATGTTATGAAGAGATGATTTCTCTACTAGTTTAGATCTGATTCCAAAAGGTAAATGCCCATGAAGCAACTCTAATTGCGAGCATTTCAATAAATTTTCCATTGGTAATTCAGAATCAGTACTAGTATTAATCGTGTTTGTTTCGAAACCAATCATGTGAAATACGCTTCGTTTCAACTGAAGTGTTGGTATAAATAACGGAATTTTCATCATTGATTGTTCAAGTAATTTGTGAGCCAGATCATATTGACCATTTTCCAAATAAATATCAATAATATTCTCAAGTGAAAATATTTGATAAGGAGACAAGTCCATAGCCTTTAAAAAACATTCAATGGCAATTTCATGCATTTGTCGTTCTCGATAAATAACTCCAAAGAGGGTGTAAATTGATGGATTATTGGGATCTCTCTGCTTTGCTTCATCAAGAATGTGAATGGCCTCAGAGTCCCATCCCATTCTATGCTTGATCAGAGCACACGTGGTCAACACACGAGAGTTTTGTGGATTGATCTTTTTTGCCTTGTAGCAACATTTAAGAGCTTCCTCATAATCTTCATAAATTGTGTAAATATCGGATAAATTTATCCATGCTTCAAATGAAAAACTATCTCTCTCAATGACCTTGAGAAAACATTCTTCGCTTTTGTCGAGATCGTTTTGTATCTTTAAATATCTTTAACGGTTTTAAGATTCAAAGCGGAAATATTAACATCAATTCCAACCTACATTAATCCTAAATTTAAAAAAGGAGTCGTGGAAATGTGTCTAAATTCATGATATTTCTTTTCGTTTTCCAAACATATTCTTAGTGCATTGGTAAATGTGTCTATTGCTTCCTTTATCTTTCCATTTTGCTGTTATTGACGAAAAATTTAATAAGGGCATATCAAATAAGTAACATACCAATTGGATAACTCCTAGGTTGTTGGTGACATGTATTTGCATTAAATTTTTCTAAAATATACTTGTTAATTGAGTTTCAAAATTAATAATTATTGTGCTACTAACAATTTTTTCGGTTTTGAAATTAATTAACAATTGAATGGTGCTTTGAGCTTTCATGAAATACTCTTCAGCTTTGTCAATGTCGCAATTCAAGTAATTTAAATATCCAAATAAATTATAAATTCTGATTTTCTCTGTTAAAAAGTTCTCCGATTTGTCATTGATATTTCCTATCTTTATCAAATGTGTTTCGACTGCAACAACGGTGACAATAATTAGTTTGATGATAAAGTGAAAATTGAATAATGTTAAAATTACCTCGATCGAAAAGCGACGAAAACTCGGAATCTCCCATATCGGAAATGGAGGATATTGCTTCTCTCACATAATTCCAATCTAATGATGGCACTATTGAAGAAGATGAGTCTGTTATGCTGTTGGTGGTTGTCCCTTGTTGCTGTGAGAAGAACATGTTATAGCATTTTTTAGTGTATAAAGCTCACAGCTTTATTTTACAGCATAGATCAAGAAACAGTGTGGTTTCCAATACCACACTTCTTGCTTGGTGTTAAATATTTGTTAGTTCAGAAAAAACTAATGGATGAAGTAGGAGGAGCAATTATTTTCTTTCCTGTTCGTTTTTGGGTGGAATTTAAATTGCTAATGTCTTGCGCCTTGTATTGATTGGTGATAGGATTGTATTGGGCTCCTCGTGTAGAACAAATTGAGGAAGTGAATGACTCTTGTGGTTGTTGTGAGGTGTTGTTGAAAAACTTGGAAGTGGTTGGCTGTGATTGGCCAAGATTTGATGTCACTGAGCTCTTCTGAGTATCATCCTCAATGGAAGATGTGTTGTTACAAACATCCTTCTTTGATGGTGGTGACGAGCTTGCACTATTTTGCTTGTTTGTGAAGTATTGCTTGAAAATTACAAAATTATTACTTTGAGGAATGTAATCGGAAAGGCCATAGTGTCTTCTAAGAAAAGATATTAATTTTGGAGAAGGTCTATCATATGCAAGCTTTTCAGCCGTGACGTTTTCCAAGCTTGTCATTGTCTCGAACAATAGTTTACCAATGCCCTTTCTTTGGCAGGATTCGCTCACATAAAAGTCCAAAACACACAATGGTTCAATTTCCTTAAAATCTCCAGACAAATTCTATTCGAGTTGCCATTCACCAATAAACATTTCAAGAAGTTATTAATTTTCAGGCAAACACCAAAGCAGCACATACCCGATAAAAAAGCTTCTTTTTTCCAACTTTGATGATTCCCATTGCCTTATTCTCGATCGCATACAAATACAAATTGTTGTCATTAAATTGAACTTTGGCCGAAGTAGTGATGGCATACGGCAGAGATTGGGCCTAATGGCATCGGGTCAGCTTCTGATGTTGTTGTTCATACACCCACGTACCTTTGCTGAGGCTTCTCCCATCTTATCAATGACGGAGCATATGACATTATAATACTCGGGTTTTTTAGTTTTCAGCAAACCAAGATTTGTCTTGTTCCATAAAGATATGTTTGGATCATCGATCGCTCCGTTATTACCACCACTAGTTTCATTGAGAGGAGTAATCATCTTTGCAATCCTTTGAATGTTGTAATGTCCAAAATCCATTATTGTATCGAAAGAGCTGAAAGGCTGAATAGGCGATGATTCAATGATGAACACTCTACGGTCAGAGTTTTTTTAACGAATAATGCAATTCAAATTTTGGCGCAATTTGAATATTTGTAAATCAACCCTCGTTCGTTTCCATCCACTGATTATTCATCTTGAACTTCCTCTTCATGGTTCGATTCAAGCTCTTCCTGTTGTGGAGAGGAGGTAGGTATCTGTTCTCCTTGCCCTTTCTTGCTTGATAATAATAAATCTGAATTTTGTTGTTTGGATGTTGATTTCAACACAGAAGAAGTGCCTGTTGTTGATGTGACATTTTCAAAATGAATTGGTTGATTGCTTTTTGAAGTAGATAATTTGTTTTCTTCTTCTTCCCATTCATTAAGTAAATTTTGAGCAATTAAAGCAACAGCCTCCGGATGCAAATATTTTGGATAATAAAAGAACATTTGATAGGGTTCATTTCTTTCCTTCTCTCTTCGTACTTGTTCTGCAAGAAGTACTTCATCGGAAATTTGGTCTGATGAAGATGATGAATTAAACGTTGGTTGGTCTGTTCCTTTGGTTGTCGAAAGAGGAGTGCGGCCCGATTCTTCAAGCACATTATCCAGTACTGTTTTATTATCATCCTCTGTAGTATTGAGTAATTGAGTGGCATTTCTAAATGAAAGTGGCTTTCGAATCTCTGGCTTGTTCATTTTTCTCAAAAAGTTGACTTCACAAAATTAGAGAAAATGCATCACTTGATTTTTACACAATAGACACAGCGATACCCAGAAGGAATAAAGTTCAAAACTGACCACAACTAATTGCACATCTTTTTTTAATTTCTAATGAAAACACTCGACTCAACTATCATCAACAAAAACAAAACGTTTCTTTCTCTCTTTAACAACCTTGACTTCGTTCCTTTGAACATTTTTGTGAGCAGACCTTCTTTATCATTCCCGCAGATCTTAATAAGAGTTAGATTATTCTAAAACAGGCAAATCCTTCGAGAGCGTCTTTTCATGAAGAAAAAAATGTTGCAGCAAACCAATGCTGCTTCCTCAACAGCATCGACATCACCTATTGTGAACAATAACAAGGCAAACCACAACACTTGTAACTACAGCAATCATACACGCATAAACCAACCGAACCAAACAACGAGCAATTACGGAGGTGGCAGTCACAATTTTGGAAATGTGCAATTTTCAAATAATGGTATTAGCGAAACTACCATTGCCAATGCTAAACAACCCTATGTTCATCATTTTCGTATAGCAAAGAAGAAGACCACAATTGAATTCAAGATGGTGGATGCCAACGACATTAGGAAGAATATGTACGGAAATACAATGCAGCATCATGGAAGTGGTCGGACAACAACTTCTACCTCATCACAGCTGAATATAGCTTCATCACAAACGAATCTTTTACCTACAACAAACACAAATTCTTTCAACAACCAAAACAACACTGGAACGACACTTAATTCTAATGTAGCTAATCATTCAACAACAACAACATCAAAATCTCCCCAACCACCCTCAACAACCAATCATGACTCTACAGTGTCCTCATCCTCCTCCAATGCTACCCAAACAAATTCTAACAATTCTCATCACACTCAATCGTCAGTATTATCTACCATTGATAATACAGTTTCATCGGATCAAAAACACACGAAAAAGCAAAAGCCTGCACCAGCTAGCTTTGCGATATCTTCAAAGATCACTAAACATCATTCTGGTTCTAGGAGAAACTCAATGCTTTCCTCTCATTCCGTAGATTTATTGCAGAACAACTCAAATTTTCAGCAAGAGGTGCTTCATTGTACACCAACCACTTTAAACTGTACTTCTATCACTACCAAGAAAAATCATCAAACACGACGAAAATCAGTGGCATCTCCATCATCGGGATTATTAGTTCCTTCTCACGCAGACCAACCTACCATACCAAATTTGGCCAATAACAACGCTTGGAATGCAACAACAAGCTCACCAATTACCTTACCGAATCATCATTCAGCAACAACACCAACTGAACACCAATGTACCTACACACCAACCCAACCTCCATTCTCAACTACCAACACCAGCCATCGTAGTAATGGCACAAGCAATCACCTCAGTAGTAATTCGGCGAATGTAAGTTCTTGCCCACCAACTTCTCAAACGCCACCATCCTCTTCGTACTTTGTGGCCGGATTCACATTTGGATCTCCGAGTAAAACAAGTGGTGATTCCTTAATGATGAATTCATCTAATTACCATCATCACACTAACAGTACTAATGGCCATTCGGATCTGAACTATCATGGGCTTCAAGATGGGTTGTATGGTGAGGCATATTATAGTACTTTGACGCCTGAGCAACGAAGGTATTTAACTCATGGTGGAAGGAAAACATTTGCAACTCTTCCAAGCATTGAAGAGATGACAAGATATCATGAATTAAGGAGAAATTCAATTGACGAGTTGACTCAGAATTTTGCTCAATGTGTTTCCACTGCCGAGAGAGTCAACCAGCATCATGAAGATATTCCAGAGCCTTCTCCAATATTGGACGCTGAGCATTTGAAGAATCCAGACCAAAGATTTAGAAGGAGACAAACATATGCATTTGAAAGCGATCATTTTAGCCCCTATGATGCTCAATATGATTCGAACTGCTTACAATCTCTCAAATCGTTTAACTTTCCAAGTCGAAATCCTCAGCACTCACACGACACATCTCTAAGGACCACAAACAACAATTCTACAGAATATTTACCCACGCACCAACACTCACTCTCCCTAAACAACGTTCCCTCTTCCACTGAACATGGCTTACTTCCATCCATTCACGAAATAATTTCCAAAAGATAACTTCTGCTTAACTGATGCAATACATAAAATTTAAGCTAAATGTGCATTTAACCTGTGAAAATGGCCAGGCTTTTTAATTGTCAAATCGAGAATGTGAGGCCTGAAATATGTTTGATTGCGAGCTGTCCAAGAGTCTATGGTTATGATTATTTCAGTTTGTTCATCCGCTAAAAAATCCTTGTTCTGCATCAGTTGCATTGCTTCTCAACATCATCAATCGATTCTTTTCAGAGATCGCAACAACATGGCTGGACGCGAATCAATTTTGAATTCCGTTCCTTCTCAATATTTTCCTTTGAGTATTGTTTTGGGCACTGTTGCAACCATCGCAACGACCTATACCCTATCCACCTATCAGGGACATACTCAACCATTTCCTTACACTGACATCACCCATACAGGTTGGTTTTTGCATCATCATCTGAAATTTTACATTATTGGAATTATTGGAATTATGATCATCATCATGAAATATTTGCGCTAAATGTTACACTTGACACTCAGCTCGATTCACTCCCGAAAGATACATCTTTCGTGTGGGTATGCTTTGGATGGCTGTTGTTATGGCATGGAATTGGAACATTCTTTTCAATTGGTAAGTCATCAAGTGAATTTGTGTTTGTTTACACTTTTATTCTCCATCTCATCGTTAACATCCTATTTTCCCATTATTGAATTTACCTGGTGCGATATACTCTTTCCCAATGATAATCGTTATAGGTTATGGAATGTCAATGAATCGATTCGAAATGTTTCCTACAAGTTGGATTACATCAAGACTCGCCATCATGAGGATGATCATGCTGCTACCAACGACCCAATTCCTCCAGCACCATCAACCACTCATCACATTCTTCACATGATTTTCTATTTGGGCCTTGCTTCATGTGTTTCCATCACCATCAGTTCCATGTGTATTACCTCGAATAGTGACATGCCTTGGACCTTGCACGTGATTGGAGCTTCAAGTTTCTTTGTATTTTGTTTAATTGCTCAAACTCTCACCACTTACAAGTGTTACAAATTGTATAAGGAATTGGAACAAGTAAGATCAGAGTTGTCTCAAGATGAAGCATTGGCTTGCTCTGAATTAGCTCAGCAAGCAAAGGACATTGTCTTTATTTCACGCAAATCACTCTATACCAAGCTCACAATCACTGGATTAACTGTTGGTGTTTTGGTTGTGAATGTTTTAACATCAGTCGTTTCGAGCGGAAATGGCCCATTGATGTTCTCACAACTTTCTCCACAAACTGTTCAGAGAGTTGGAATGGACACTCCATCCATGGGTGTTGCTAATGGTCTCTCTAAAATTAATCTTAATGGAGGTGAAGCAATTATTGGAAGTGGTTTGAAACATGGCCATCAACCTGTTCAAGAAAATACTCCATCATCGTCATTATCTGCTCAAGTTCTCTCTGCTGCTTCTAATGCAGTACTCCATGCTGCATCTGCTGCCATGAATTATGACCCTGAAGCTCGTTTGAAGAGTACTGCCAGCAATATTGTGGAGTGGACTTGTACCTTACTCATCATTGTTTATTTCACATCATTTGTTTTTGATTGGAGTGCAGCTAAAATTGTGACTCAAGTGGGTCAATTGTTTCCAAGTAGTAATGCCAGAAGAAGTGCTCGTCCATTGAGTTCTCCTAGCAATCCAAATGCAGTTCAGACCACGATGCAACATAATCCAACATTGTTTAGACCAGTCATGTTTAATCATCAACAACCACAAGAATATGAAATGATGCAACATCATTCACCACAACAAGTGTATGTATTTCCTGCGTCATCATCAAGATCTTCACCAATAAGTGTATCCTCATCCCAACAACAACATGCATCACTCTATCCTTCTGCTTACAACATTCAATAAATGATTTATTAGAGAGTGTAAGGTAAACAAAACTTTTTGAAAATTTATTAAATTATTAATTTTCAAAGTGTGAATTGAAAAAATGTTGAACAAAGTGTCCCTGCCAAAATATTCTGCTCTTATCAAGTCATTCTTTGTACAAAATTCCCTTCATCATCAAACAATTCCCTACTTGTTCCGATCAGGACAAAATAAGCGATGCTATAGCTCGAATTTTTCTTCATCGGAGGGAAATGAACGCAATGAATCAAACGTGAGCAACAATGTTGGAAATGATCATAATACGGAATCCAATGTGGATGATGTAGGAAAAGAGTTCAACGTTATTTCCATTGATACATCTGCTCTTATAACTGAAACGTATGATAAAGCTGTCGTGAAAGACAACGAAACTCCTATGGTCAAACATTTAAAAAACAAAATTAAAGGAGCAGGACCCATTTCAGTCTCTTCGTTCATGCAAGAAAGTTTATTGAACCCAATTTATGGTTATTACTATACTGCCAAACAACCAATTTCAAGCATGAGTGGAGCAACACCAGGTCAAAAAGTCATTGGTCGTGAAGGAGACTTTGTTACATCTCCTGAAATTACTTCTGTTTTCAGCGAAATGATTGGATTATGGTGTGTAAGCATGTGGGAAAAATTAGGAAAACCAAAAGCATTGGAAATTATTGAACTTGGACCTGGAAAAGGAACTTTAATGCATGATTTATTGGATAGCGTGAAACGTAGTAATTCGTATTTGTTAAAATCGTTTACTCAATCTGTGAAACAGGTGACCCTCATTGAAGCAAGTGATGCTCTTAAAGAAGTTCAGAAAGAAAAATTAAAACCCTTCATGGACACAATCGAATTTCGGTGGGAAAATAGATTCGAGAAATATACAAATATTACTGGTGATATTCCAGTGCTAATAATTGCACACGAGTTTTTTGATGCATTACCCGTTTATCACTTTGAGGTTGGTAGTTTTTAAATGATTATTATTTTTCGAATTTTGGCATATGAATCAAAATTGAAAATCTCTCCTCCATTACTACCAGTATACTGAACGAGGTTGGTTAGAAGTACTAGTAGATATTGACGACTCCAAAGAAAGTCCAAATCATTTCAAATTTGTCTTGTCACCAGGACCCACTATGGCCACAACCTTTGTGAGTCTTGTTGAAGGTAAGAAAGAAATTGGAACGATTAGAGAGGTCTGTGCAATGGGAGTTGGCTATGCAGAAAGAATGGGAGAACTTTTACATAACAGAAAAGGAGCTTCCCTCATTATTGACTATGGTAATGACTATCCAATGGGTTTCACATTGCAAGGAATTTATCAACATGGATTTACACAGTCTCCTCTTGACAAACCAGGAGAAGCAGATTTGTCTACCTTTGTGGACTTTTCATCGTTGAAGAAGGCTGTCGAGAAGTTCAAAACTGTTCGAGTGTATGGACCACAATATCAATCTGATTTTTTACATCAACTTGGTATGGACACTAGATTTGCCAAATTACTGCAGAATCCAAAACTTTCAGATGAACAAGCTGAGGCCATGATACAATCTTATGAGAGATTGACTCACTCTACACAAATGGGACATCACTACAAAGCCATGTGTATGATGAACATGCCTTCAAAACAACCACCCAGTGGCTTTGAAATGAATATTGTCCCATCCAAAGAGGAAACTCCAAATATTTTATCAAAACGTGTATCAATGCCAACAATTAATCCAGCGACCTCTCCACTTAACTCAGAATCAATCATTAGGAAAGAAGGAGAAACATCACCTATTAAGAAGAAAGCACCTGTCAAAACCGATACTAGTCCTTTCATATAAAGTGATAGATGGATCTCCAATGACGTCTTTCGGTGTGACTTGGTACAATCTTGTTCCATTGACCCTCTAGCTCAAGAAAATTAATAAGTGTATCCCATTCTAGTAGTTATTCAAACTCGTAAATTCTAGAATTCATCTATGATCTCAACCAAACAACTCTTCAGTGAGCTCGTTATGAGGCGATCTGGATATTTGATGGAGAGGAGCCTCAATCTTTGATCAGTATCAAAGGACTCCAAAAATGTCCAAAATTTTTCCTTCGCACATTGGATCTTCAAAACAAAATGGCTCCACCTGCAACATCGTCGCCATCCACACCAACCACCACTTCCAATAAAAAGAAGGATAAAAAGGAGGAGGAATCATCGGCAAAGGCACCTGGATTTTGTTTCCGTGCATTTACAGTGTTTGTTTGGTACCTTGGATCATCAATAATTTTTGTTGGATTATTCGCACTGCTTGCCTATTATTATGAAAACTTTTACTCAAAGGGAATTTTGAATCCTTTTGAAAAGAAGTAAATAAGATGATCACGGAACAAGATGTAATTGGTTTGATCATTGCAAAAGTAAATTTCAAAAATGTTTGATTTTCAGAGATTATGATCATTTCCGAATGGGTGCGCAAATCGTTCGCTGTTTTGAAATTGAATAATTGAACCTCTTTAAAAAATTGAAAGCAATGTGCTTACATTCACTATCGGTCGATCACAACCAAGACGAATCAATTTTTCATTTCAAATTGAACAAGTCATCATCTTCTGGGAATGATCAAGACACTTCTTTCTTCGAGTGGTCCATCCTTCGTTTGGACAAGTGTGGTGAATGGAGTGGTCCATTATACTTTGATTTTTTGAGTAGAAATGCAACTTTTCTCAAAGAACATTTAAAACATTACCCTCCACAAGCTTTTACAGATCTCTCCTTTAGCATCAACAAGACGAAAGTCCTATCATCACCACACAACTTTTTTGTTTTCGTGAGAGATCCTCATCATTCGTTCTATGAGGAATTTGTAGTCAAGAAGACTACCAATGCAGAATGCCATTCAAATTCTCCAACTGTTTCTGAATTGGAAAATCATGATGACAACAATTCGGAATTACACATGTTTTTGAGAGAACATAAAATTATTGGAATTTGTGGAGGAAAACCCAATAACGGTCAGAGTATGGAAGTAGGCTATGCTCTCGATGAAGCCTTTCAATCTCATGGAATTGTTACCAACACTTTGAAAGTCATCATTGAAAGAGCTTTTCACACAATAGATTGCCTGAAAGAAATTGAAATTGTTTGTCGTACAGATAATCTGAGAAGCGCACAAGTGGCCCACCGATTGAATTTTGTCTTTAATGAAGAGAAATCGAAAGAGGTCTCATTGAAGGAGAATTGTGATTTACATGTGTACGTCTTGGAGAAGTGAGCAAGTGGCGACACTTGGATATCAAGATTATGAAAATTTGTAAAATCCCGCCTTTCCTAGCCGATAACGAATTAAATTTCATGCAAAACAAAAAAAACGTGAAAATGAACATGGATTTTTTAAGTGGCTTCTTTGGACGAGCCGAGAATAAGCCGCATACTTCTTCGACACCAATTTCTGTCGATTCCTATTCCTCTCTTGACGATGATGAAGCAGTACATGAAGCCTTGATGTCTCCCGTCTTGAATCTTTCAAATTCCAATAATGGAGCTTTTGAACACAGTGATGATCAAGTATTTCTTCATGGCAACATCAACAACCCTACCAAAGTACCACCCTCTTCCAATCCTGTCCAAGTTTCTGTGGCTGCTAATCCCATTTCTGATTCCACTCTTTCAAAGTCTAAAAACAATCATCACACGATTCTTGGTTCTCTCAATCTCACTCATCCTTCCGATATGGACATGTCCATGATTTCTTCATTGAAAGCAGATATTGGATTCATTTCAAAAGCATCACAGAAATCTCATCCAGCGTGTGCTGTAGGTGTTTTTGAGCTTTCAAATCTTTCCTCATTCCATCCTCAACATCCTCATCATCATGATGAAGAAGAGCAACAAATTTCCACTCCTATCAAACAACCAAGTACATCCCTCTCTCAGCACAACAGTGATTTTGAAAGTGAAGATGGATTCAGTTCCTACAGTTTACCAAGTAGTTGTAAAAGTGATCGAATGATTTCCAAATTAAGTGCAAGTGCTATGAACAGTAATAATCGGATCCGAATGAAAAGTCATAACCATACACATGGTTCCTTTCGAAAGGAATATCTCGCTTTAACAAATTCTCTCAATTTGTTTTTAAAGGAATTTTCTGAACAAGTACTCTCTTATCATGCTCTTCATGAAAAGACTCTGACACGATGGAAAGAGGAGCAACAACAACAACGACAACAAGAACATGATCAAGTCATGAATGAATGGAGTGAACATGTCGAGAAATGTGTCAAGCAACAATTCAACGAATGGAAAACATGGATCCAATCGGAAAATGAAAATACTCGAATCAATTTACAACAAGCTTCTCTTTCAAAACATGATGAAAAGCAATACGAGCTCATACGAGAATTACATTCCATGATTGAAGAAAATCATCGAGAAATCAAAACGTTAAAAGTATGGATGGCAGGAGCGATTGGAATCTCTTTATTATGTGTGATGGGTCAAATTTATAGTTTCCTTTCTTTGAATCGTTAAAGATCGAGAAATGGATGTTGTTGTCCATATACATTTAGAATTTATGGAATTTATAATAGGTCACAAATTGTCAGTCTTAAGAATGAGAGGTTGGTACTTGAGGTCTACTATGAAGGTCAGTGAGCATGTACAATTTTCATTATGGAATCAACACATCTCACTCAACTACAACAGTTGCTTCTCTAATCGAGTCAATTCTTTGAAAATTGAAGAAAAGGAAGGACGCTTGGAAATTTCTGCATCCCAACATTGAGCCATGAGCTTGAATAAACCATTGAATACTTGAACATGAGCAACAAGATTCTTTTCATCTTGTAAAGAGTCCACAGAATTCTCATGGAGGCTCCAAGATAACAATTCTTCTCGAACATATTTCAACACGTGTGGAGAATGAACATTGTCGAGTTTTGGGATGGGCAATCGAAGTCCTTCGGCAATTAATTTTACAATGGATACCAAAGAATCCTTGAATTGTGAAAAGCGTTGAATTCTTGAGGTGTCATGAAGAAGGTAAATTTTGGATTGTCCACATACGAAGAATTAAATAAAACATTTTCGTCGAATACAAGTTGCCACATAATGATGGAAAAACTGTAAACGTCACAACTCCAATCATAGTCATTTCCAAGCAATAACTCTGGACTCATGTATAACAAAGTACCAACACTACCAGTATTTGAATTTTGTGCATTTGCTAATTTAGAAAGGCCAAAGTCACAGACTTTACAAGTCATGTCATTTGTCAAGAGAAGGCTGTTGTTGTACACATGTCGTGTTTTGCATGATTTCATGTTGAGGAAAGAGTGAATCATTGAATTTCACTTTGGTTTCAGAAATTATTGAGCTATAACTTACTTTGCAGGTTTTAAATCTCTGTGAATGATCACAGAATCTCTTCCTTCATGTAAATACGACATTCCACTTGAAATATCTTTCAATAAATGAATTTTCTGAGACAATGTCAAATATTTGGTCTTCTTTTTACATGAATAAATTAAATGGTCAAGACTTCCTCCTTGCATAAATTCAGTGACCATAAATTGTTGAGAATCAGCCAAACAAACTCCATAAAAATTCACAATATTTGGATGACGAAGAGAACTCAACAAGGATGCTTCATGTTCAAATTCAGAAGAATCCAAATCATTGTCATCTATTTTGATGGCCTTCAATGCCACATCCACATGATTCCATCTATCTCATTTGTCGATTAATCAAACATTTCATTAATAATAGTATAAATTAATCAAACATTTCATTAATAATAGTATTCAAATAGAATATTCAAGAATAACATCCATACATGTCGAGAAAGTACTTACTTGGCTAAATAAACCATTCCATTTCCTCCTTCAGCAATTTTCTTCAATAGTTTAATATCTTCGACCTTAATCAACCAATTTTTAAATGAATGCTTATTTTCCAATTCTGACGTGTATAATGCTTGTAAATTCAACAACTTTTCATTCAATTCCATTTCTGCCTTCTCTTTTTCATTCAATAACAGTGCCTTCATTCTCAACACTTTGATTTTTCTCCACAACACCCATGAGCTCAAAGTCAATATCAATATCACCATCAAACAAACTAACAAAATGAAAGGAACCAAATACCATGCTTGAAATCCACAATAGAAAGAAGGAATTCCAGTAATTTCATATTGAAATAAAGTAATTTCAAAAAATGGAGGACAAGTCGAAAGAGAAACATTGGTACTTGTTCTTTTTTCATAGGCCGTTGGTGTCCATTGAAGAGCAGCAACAATGATGGTCATATTGGAAGGATTAAGCTCAATATTTGCGAAATGTGAAAAAATTTGAAACGTAAAGCTCGTGTTCCAAGTTCGTGCTGAGGAGTGATTACTCATGCTAGTAGGATCGAGTGATACTTTTGCAAAGATTCTGTCATCCACTCCAACGAGCTTCATAAAGGTTTGATCGAATGGCACTTCTTGTCCAAACATGTCCATCAACTCGAGTGAATATTTCAATTTCTTTCCTAAATGTGTTGCAATCATGGATTGAGAAGAATTGTACTTCTCTCCAGAATGATCCCATTCATGTCTCAATTGAATCTCAACTGGAAACGATGCAAATTCTTGAATACCATGCCCTTCCTCACTCCAATTATTTTGCACAACTAGTGACACAAATGTTTTCCACATTTCTTTTGGTATCTTGGTCAATGTTTCTCCATTCAGAACCACACTTAATCGACTCTCCAAAAAGTATCCTCCTCCATATTGTCGTGCCTTGTTTTTTGAAAACATGATGGACGCATCCTCAGATGGGTTGTTGTTGTTCTTGTTCTTGTTGAGGTTCTTTTCTTGAATGTTCACGGAGATTGTCAACAGAGTTTGAGAGAGGAAAAATCCTCCACCAATTTCTGTGGCTTGGTTCTCTGAATGTACACACGAAGCAATGTATGTTTCTCTTGTTCCAATCACTGCCAATGCTCCTCCAAATTTGGCTGTATTTTGAGAGGCGGTCGAAGACATTTCTTGAAATATTTGTGAATCATGACTCAATACTGCACCTCCAAATTTGTGTGAAGTATTATTGAAAAATACACAATTTTGAATGAGAAGTAAGGTATTGTAATGATACAATGCTCCTCCTCCTTCTATGGTCGAATCGTCAGAATTTCTAGATGACAACCATCGATTATTCTTAAAAAGAGTATTGGAAATCATGGCCTGAAAGACATTTTTCAAGTAAATGGCACCTCCTGAAGATGTTCTTGATTCATTGTCAACAAATTCGGAATTGGAAATTGAAAGCCACACTCCAGAACTTTGAATTTTCACAGCACTGGTCGTGGTCATGTACCGAAAAGAGGTTTGATCCAAAATGACCACACATCGATTGGTTGAGGAAACAGACATGGTAGCAAAATCAACACCCACTAAATACGCAATCTCTTGCTCGATCAATGAATTTTCAAACCTTTTTTGGTAAATTCCATAATCGAGATTGTATCGATGAACCGTATTGGTAAAATTCACATGAGTAAATTCTTTGAATATTGTAATAGAGTAGTAGAGTGAGGAATCTCTCAGATAGAACTGAGTATTTTGTTGTAAATTAACTGAGGTTGCGACTCCTACAAGCAACGATCCATAAAATGTTGAACGTTCAATGATTGTTAAGCTTTCATGACTACTTGGAATTAATTGTATGACCGTGTCATTGAGTGTTGAATCTTGTATGAGAACATTATCATAGACGTGGAGACGAAATAAATTTTGAGACTTGTTACTCGTCATTTTTGAAATTTTGACATTTCTTAATATGGAGTGTTAGAGAAAACTTGTCATGAAAACCACAGCTATATAACCTACTTGGAATAAAACACAACAAGGTCCTCAAAAGAATTATCTTCCATTAGAACATAACTATCCACAAAGTCATTTGGAAAAGAAAGTTTTCATCATTTAAATATATGTGAAAACAATGAATGGAACCATTAATTCGAACACAACACCAACTGCCATACACAACACCAGTACCACTACTTACAAACAATAGGGACAACTCAACTGTTTCAACAAACAATTTCTAATGACAAGTTGTGCTTGACTCACTTGCACATCCAATACGAGATTGGAAAATTCCAACACGATTTCTGGACCATGTTGTGAAATCCATGAAATGAGATTTACATTTCTACAATTCAACGAAACAGATGGATGGCCACTCCTCATCATTTCCTCCTCTGGTGTTCTGTTATTCGTTATTCCACTAATTTTCAATACCTGAACGTAAAAATTAAGTTGTTTTTGAAAAAGAGGTCCACAATTCGCCTGTTGTTGTTGTTGTTGTGAAAGGGTGATGATGGACGACTTTGAAGAAGAGGACGAAAAGGATGAAGAAGAACTAGAAGGTCCATTTTCCGTTTCAGTGGTGACGGAACCCACACTGGACATGAATATCACATGCATGATGTTGTATTTGAGAGTCGTGTTTACATGTTGCATCACATAGTCGAGTGAGAGACATGGTATGATGGAAGATGGTTCATTCCTTTCATGGTCGGAATGATTTAAACATTGGAAAGAGTTTTGACCATGTTGAGGATCAATATAAAAGGTTCGATTGACGAGTAACATTGAAGAAGAAGATTCATGTTGTTGAGCAGAAGCACCATTCGTAATGCCAAAGGAACATGAGGTCAACACACCACACAGTAATATTGTGGTTGAGAGGAGGGACAATGCAACCCTAAAACAGCTGGTGTTGGATTGGGACGGACCCAATTTTGACATTTTTGTTTTGTTGTAACCTTCATGAACATGTCTTGTGTGAAATTACGACTCCGAGGGATTACAATTAGTGTTGCGATAGGCAAAATTGTACGACAAGTACCATCCAACTCCTTGAACCTTATCTCCTTGCAACACACTCTTGTTGGTGAGCTCAGCTAAGTAGAAGGGAATTTTCCGAGGAAGAAGCAAAAAATGATTTACTACATTTTCACAACATTTTCATTACATTTTAACCATCATTTCAATTCAAATTTAAGAAATAATAAAAAAAGATCTTTCTTGAAACTCCACATTAGAAGCTCGCACAGTGAGAACTGAACTTGAACAAAAAAACACACCACATGATTCCAAGGCAACAATCCTCCTCCTCAACCTCTTCATTATTGACCAACTCTCAACGTCTTTTTGCAAGCCATCTCTATCAAGCTCTTCAAAATGAAACTCATTCCGATCAACAAACTCGATCATCATCATCATCACCGAATGAACCGATGAATATCATCTTCTCTCCATTCTCGGTGTTTATGGCCTTGTCCATGACCATGTGTGGAGCTTCGAATGAGACTCTCCGAGATATGGCTTCTGGTTTGTCCATTCCGTTCAGTATGGATCAATTCGCTGAATTTAAACAACAAGTCATGAAGCCTTTCATGTCCAAAATGATGAAACAAGTCTTGGATAAGAATTCCAGCGAACTCGCATTGGCCAATAGGATTTATGTCGCTCACAATGCCACTCTTGTAAAGGAATTTCAAGATTTTGTCAAGGAAGCCTTTGATTCACAAGTAGAAACGTGTAATTTTGAGCAAAATGCGTCCAATGAACGAATCAAAATCAATGAATGGGTTGAAAAACAAACTAATCATCTCATTAAGAATCTACTTCCACAACAAGCTGTAAATCGTGACACGAGAGTCATCTTGGTGAATGCCATTTACTTTTTAGGAACTTGGAAAACTCAGTTCGATAAGAAACTCACCAAGAACAATCAATTGTTTTATTTATTGAATCATGATGAACAATCAAAAGACAGAACTTGCAAAGTCACCATGATGAATATGAGTAATGCCAAAGTTCCTTATGGAAGTAACAATTGTTACAAATGGGTCCGTCTCTATTACAGTAATACAGAATTTTCCATGACACTCGTTTTACCTGAATCAAATCCACAACAGGTTACTGTTGAAAGTGAAAAGAAATTGGATGAATTTATTTCACAACAAGTAGCCTCTCCTTGTCCCTTCTCAACATCAGAAACCAAACTCACGACACTTTCCATTCCAAAATTTAACATTGAATATGAAACTTCGATGAGTGAAATTCTTAAACAAACACCCTTCTCAATGACCAGTGCTTTTCAAAATTCTGATTTTTCCAACCTCTCTGCCAATGAACCTCTTCAAATTAGTGACGTCATTCATAAGGCTGTAATTAAGGTCGATGAAAGTGGCACAGAAGCTGCAGCTGCTACAGCAGTCGTGATGACCAGATGTGCTGCCGTCTCTCACAAACCAACCTATGCATTTATTGCAAATAGACCTTTTGGTTTGATCATTCGTCATGAACCCACTGAAACCGTGCTATTTATGGGAAAGGTCAATCGTTTGTAACTCGTATTTCATCTCTCAATGACACACTTCTATAAATTCTCTTCAGTTTTTTTACAGTATTGTTTATTTATTTACATTCAATTCTTGAGATGGTTGTTCGTGCTTTGCGACTTTTTTCTTCATCATCACTAAATTCAAAAAAAAATGTTTCAAGCGAGTGCCATTGTTCTCTCCCCGACATGCACTCAGAGTAAATTATTGGGATCATCATCCTCGGATCCATCCACCACAACTAACACCACAGTGCAAGGAGAGGATCAAAGAATAGGAATTATGGGATCGCTACGAAAAGCCTCCGCTCATCATCATTCAAATCATCATACACAAGGCTCATCATCGGGATTGGGTACAAATTCTTCCATATTAAACCGTATGAGTGGAATGGGATATAGTGGTAGTGGTGGAATGAGTGTGAGCGGAACCAGTGGTCATTCAACATTGTCCACTTCGATCACTAACCGAAGTTCAAATTCTGCGGCTGGATCCACAGCTCATGTGTTGTTTGGAGGATATTCGTATAATTTTGATAAACAAAAATTGTTGAAGGATTATTTGAAAAGTAAGTTGCAGTCACTACTAAAATGTTGAGAGAATCAAGTCCTTGGTTTTGGTGGATGTGAACACCTGTCAACTGTCATGTGACCTCTCAACATTTTGTATGTTGTGAAAATTCAATATGATATTCAAAAGAAAGGGGCATACGGTAGATTTTACTGAGAAACAAATGAAATTATTTAAGGAATGTACAGATGATTTGCCGTTCACACCTATTGCTGTTTATTATGATCCACAAACTTGTATTTTACAAACAGTGTTAGAGAGTGGACATTTGATTCATTGGAAACTCCATCCTAAAACATCAGATGTTCAGCTAGTGCAAGTGGATAGGTCATTCTATGAATTGATGGATTCCAGATTACTCTCTTCTGGAGTTATTTGTAATGAATTTGTCATTGTTCAAACTGTGAACGGAGAATTGAATTTCGTTGAAAATCCACTCTTTCAAAATTATGCATCTATTTTTGCAGAATCTTTGGGAAACACGAGAAGAGGAACTATTTTGTCACTTGGAAGTAACAATACACAAAATATCAAGCTCATGATGGCTAAAACTCAAGAAGAAACATTGTTGAAATCTATGAAAATGAATTTACCAAAAACATATCTCTGTGGTCAAGCTACAAGAAATTCTCTGCTTATTGCACAAATTAGTTTACGAGGAACTGAAGACAGGTATGTGTTGTTCAATTAATTGAGTTTAGTATGTTAAATAAGTAACATCTGAATTACAGAGAAATGATTCAAGTGATAGGTACCGTTCAAGCAAGTCGTCTCATTGTGTTCTATGCATTCAGTAATTTCCGATCGAACACCTTTCATACATTGGAGTTAAGTAGCGACTCAATGAGCGTTGTGTGGTGTGTTTATGAAATTATTGGAAAGCAAGTCAAGAAGAGCAAATACAAAACCATTGAGACAGAAAGTGAAATTACATGTTGTGCTATTGGGCCCAGTGAAAAACACGTGTGTATTTGTTGTGCCAATGGAGAGGTTAAACTTTTTTCCTCGTTCAAGCTTTCTTTTTCTGGAGATACCAGTAATAAGGCTTCCAAATTTAAATGCATCACTGTTCAAACTCTTCCTGGAAGGTTTAGACCCAGTCATGTCGAATGGCACCCTTCCGGCTCCATGCTTCTTGTTGCATCACCTAACGAAATTTGTCTCTTTGATTGTGGACTTAATTTTATTGATTTTCAAGTACCATTAAGAAATGCTGTTGTTAAATGTATCACTCCTACCAATATTTTGAGGTATGTAGTTTGAGAACCATTGTGAGTGGCATTACCATGGATAACAATAGTCAACCGCTTTTATTTAGTTCTGTACAATTTATGACCAATGGAGAAGCTATTGATTCATCACTGGCATTAATTGATTCTGGTGGTAGTAGCTTGAACCCTGGAACTCCACGCAGCTCTCTTAATTCACCAAGAGGATTTTTAGGACGAAAAAAGCATCAAGCTGAAATTCCTCAGCCATTGCAAAAAGGAACTATGCTTCCCTATGAACGTCTGTTGATATGTTTTGAAAAAGGTCCAATTTGCATTTTTAAAATTGATTTTGGGCTACTAAGCGCTTTCATTGACAATAATATTGAGCCTGCCTCCAACGCTCATTTTCTTTCTATTCACCTTAATATTCACAACAAGCTGAAGGAAGGTTATAGTATCATCAGAAATTTGACAAACGGAAAAGAATTCCAACTCTGCCTGAAAGAATTCCTTTCCTATCTAGTCTCTCGAATTCATGTGGACCCTGCTTCTGAAGAGTTTTTGGACATGCTGCTAGAAAAATATGCTGCTCTTCACAAGCATTTGGAACCCGACTCATATTTCCATACTCTCTACAAGAGATACTTTTTGTATACCCTAAGGAAAGGTTTCTACGAGAAATGTTTCCAAATTGCTCATCACCTCAATGACCCTACTCTCTTTGAACACTTGTACAGATTTTGTCTTGCTCAGAATTATGACTCTCTTGCCTATTTGTCCATACAGCATGCAAGTGATACGTTTAAGAATAAGGAAAAGCAAGTCCAACAATTCTTCAATGAATGTGTGCAATACGAAAAATTACAGAATAAATAAATTATTTGTTGCTTATAGCCGTGGTGTTTAGGACCTGATCTGTTCTTAAGGCCTCAAACTTCATTGTTAGATCAAAGAGCTGTTCCTCTCTCTTAGCGAGCTTAGATTCCAACTCCTGTTTTGCTAACAACAGTTGTTCAAATTGCTCTTCCAAATCTCCATGCTCCAAATTCTCTCGATTTTGTGAATAATAATAGTAATAATCCTTAAAGGTCTCCGTTTTGTCTCGTTCCTCAGTCATTTGTGTAACTGCTTGTTTGGCTTGCTCTTGGAGGTAAGAGTTAGTAATACGCTCATTTTGGAGTTGAGATGTCAGTAACTCCACATGATTTTCCAGCTCCTTTTTCTTTGCTTTCAGCCCATCCACTTTTTCTTCTGTGTTCTTAAGTCTGTTTCGCAAAGTGTCAACCTCTTTTTTCATAATTGATTCTTGAGGTGATTTTGGTATTACCTTAACAAAGGGTCGTGAGTCACAATTGCTTAAGATGGCTTCCAGCTTTTCTTGCTGTTGCTTGAGCTCAAGATCCTTCTTTTTTATAATTGATTTCATCTTTTTAACCTCCTCTTGACTGGAAAACAGTGATGCTGACAAAACAAAGTTCTCCTCCTTCTGGCAAGCCAATTTAACCTTAAAAGAGTCAATCTCCCTTTTAAGGATGATATTCTCTCTAATCAGCATTTCTTCGTCATTGGAATGATCTGGTTTTTCAACTACGTTCTCTTGCGATGCGTTTGCCTTTAACTTTAGAAATTTTTCAAATCCAGCTGTTGAGCTAAGAGAGTCTTCTTGCAATGAGAACTCGGAGGTGTTGTTAGGTTTGGCAACAATGTCGTTCTCCATCGGGCCCGCAACAGTGTTCCATGTTTTTCTTTGACTAGGAACATAATTGCTACTCACAACAGTAACTTCTCCTATTTCTGCTTTGTTGTGCTTGACCATAATGATGATGAACCAGATATCGTGATTGAAGGTTCAAGAGCGAGTTTTTCTATCCCTCAAAACAATTTTTTTTAAATTCATAATTTACAGTAGCAGTTTGGCTGCAGCGTGCGTATTTAATACCTCGATGAGACCGCTCACATCCCATAGTGTTGTTGGGGTGTCGAATAGAATGGGCCATTCTTGCGCTGAATACCGTTGCCCTCTTGGATTTCAACAATCAAAATTCAAAATACTTGAATACTCTTCAACAGTTGCCACTCATATTTAAATTCTTCACTGCCATTCTCGACACCTTCTCATGAGCAACAGCAAAAAATGAGTGAAGTTGCCAAAGCATTGCAAACGGTGAAGCAAAATATTTGTCAAACTGCAAAGGTAATAATAGTGATGACGATGATGTAATGTTTTTTTATTCATCGAAACTTGATCGGAATTTATGAATTTGAATTTTGAAAATTGATTTTAATGGTGGACGAAAATAGTTATTTGGAAGAGCTGAAAATTCTGTGCGATTGGTTGCTGTCAGCAAGACAAAACCTGTCGAAATGCTAAAAGAATGTTTTGATGCAGGACAAGAACATTTTGGAGAAAATTATATTCAAGAAATTTGTGAAAAGGCTCCTCTTTTACCAAAGGAAATCAAATGGCACTTTATTGGACATCTTCAATCCAACAAGGTCAAGCAGCTGGTGGAAAAAGTGGAAAGTTTGTACATGGTCGAAACAGTGGATCGTGTGAAAATTGCTCAAGCTCTCGAAAAAACATGGTCCAACACAGGCAGAGACCGTAAGCTTAATGTATTGGTTCAAGTCAATACTTCTAACGAGGAAAGCAAATCAGGAATATCCACAATTAGAGAGTGTGAGGAAGTTATTAGATATATTTTGGGTATGTATTCAACCATTATCTTTTATTCAAATTGTATTGGATTTAAATACATATTTCAGAACAATGTCCTCATTTGAATCTCAGAGGACTAATGACCATTGGAAGTTATGAGCACAGCCAAGATCCTGAAAGAAATCCTGATTTTGAAAAATTGGTGCAATTCAAAACTGAATTGTTTGAAAAAATGGCTGAATTGGCACAAATCAACCCTTTTGAGTTAAGCATGGGCATGTCACATGACTATGAAGTTGCTATTAAATATGGAAGTACAAATGTGAGAGTGGGATCCGCTATATTTGGAGCAAGAACGCAAACCCCAAATTCCACAGCCAACCAATAAACAAATAAATTAAATAAGCTTTAACCTTTGTCTATCATGTTCTGAGTCAGTAAAAGGATTGGATCTCTTTTTTGATTCTTCATCGTCGTACTCTTCAAAACTTGCCAATGCATCTGTATGCGTCAAATAATTTTGTTGTGGGGGAGGAGGGTAGTACGCTGCTGACTGGGAGGATTGAGGATGATTAGTAATGGTCATATGCGAAGTATTAACAAGAGCTGGTGCTTCATCATCTGTTTTAAGGGCAGAGTCTTTTAGCATTCTGCAAAATGATCGTAGCCTTCTATATTTGTTGGTAATATATTCGATCAATAATTTCCAATCTTCATCCTTCTTTTCCAATGTAAAATAAGATTTTGTGGAAAGAATAAGCTGTACAAATTTTTTGTAACCATTCACACCTGCACTACTCTTTAGTGTGATTTGGAAAAGGCCCCTCAAGCTCGTGTGAATTTGTCTCATGTATGCATGAAGATGAAGATCAAGCTGAGCAATGTATTCCATTAATATTCTCCGTTGTTCTTGCAGTACTGGATCTTCATTTTCAATTTCATCCATTTGCTTTAAGACCGTGGTCGTTGTGTACGAGTAGTAATAGGATGTTTCCTCTTTGGGTGTTACTGGTGAAATCCATGCAGCCATTCTCAAAAATGCTAGTACAGCTTGCCTATCTGTAACGTTCTCAGGTCGTATAATAAAGTTGTATGTCTTAGAGAGAAGTATATTGGCTTGGATGACTGTTTCTTTTTGGTTTTGTTGTGAAAATGCTGCATATGACAATAACTGAAGAGCCAAATGAAGGTATTCGCTATCCATTTGGAGATATTGCTCATGGTCGTTGACAATTATTTCATCAGACGCGAATTGTCCAGAGTCATTCAGATCTGACGTCATAAAGTGAATGTTATCAATACTTGGTGTCGACACTCCAACAAGCTTCACAGTGTACGCCATCACTCCACCAATATTTTTAGGTAATACTGTGCTCATGCATGACCGTATGATTTGTACAGTTCTACTGAAATTTGGGTGCTTTTCAATTTCCTCCATTTGCTCCATGAATAAAGACATAGTATTTACAAATTTTTTAGCCTCAGCATCTCGTTCTGGTTTGTCTTTTATCCTCTCCAAGTGCTCTACACATTTTCGAATAAACTCGTCTTCCTTAGGATTTTCCCCAAATGCGGAAAGGTCGGCTCCATCTACTTTTATACGGTGTTTCTTCTCCTCTATTAACTCTTCCAGTAAAATCTCGACGAGAGGGCCTTCTTCTTTTGAATCTATGCAAAACTGTTTCACTTGGTCAATGAGACCTCTATTTCTTAACGACACCAAAATGATGCTTTTCATAACCATGATTAATCCAAATCCAATCTCAGAATTCTCTGTCACTAGCTTGTACACTTTGTCGTTTGTATCCAGGGTAAATGGCTCTTCTTCTGATACATTCTTCTTATCGTTGGAGTGATCTTTTTGATCTGGTAGGCGGATATAGTTCAGTAAGTTGGTTTTTTTCCAAATAGCTTCAAGCTCTTTCTCTAATTCAACGACCTTTTCAGTCGGTGTCAGTTGTAGTAGATCCTCATCTCCATTTTCTGAGTCATCCAGGCTTGATGTTGAGTTATTATTACTATTGGTTGTTGACATCAAACCGGAGCTAGATGAAGTATTTTGTTTGAAATTACATTCTATCACGCACTCAGTGACTTGTAAAAGAATTTTTGCCTTCTCATCCAACATTTCTTTCTTTGATTTTCTTTTTCCTTTCTTTTTTTGCTTGTTTTCTCCAGGTGGTTGTACGACATAGCATAAAACCTGACGAGCTAGTTGAGTATCAATTTTTCCTTCTTTCATTATTTTACCTTTGATATTACCTTCCTCAATCCCTTTCAGAATTTTAGATTTAATCGTGAGATTGGATACTTCATCCAAAATTCTCTTATTTTCTCGCGTGGCCATCTCTTTTACTTGAGACCAAAATATCTTGCCAGTGTAATCTCCTTTAAGAAGAATATTGTCTAGGTCAAAAGTAGGTTTTTCTGTTGAAGTGGTTGGTTCCTTGTCGGTTGAATTTGCTTTGTTTGAATTTGTTTTATCCCCATCATTGGAAGTATTACTACTACTATAGGTGTCAGCACCTGACGATGATGATGATGATGATACAGAAGGAGTTGATGTTCCGTCCAATGTTGTTGAAGAGGCTGAAAGGACGTCGGAAGAGAGTCCACAAGAAGAATTTAACGGTTCCAAACTACTTTTCTCAATATTTGCATTATTTGATAACTGATGGTGGTCACTTCCGTTACTTGCCAACGGGTTGTTGATAGAGTTTTGATTCGAACAAACAACGTCGGTTGTTGTGTACGAGGATTCAAAGTCGCTCATTTTTTTATTCGGCAAAATACTTGATGTTTCGTTTGAAAAGAGTGAATCATGATTTAATGTACAGTTTTGCGAATCGAATTGGTTATTTGAATTTGGTAGCATATGCATCTCCAAAGAGTTTTACAAGTACATGGTAGGTGGGGGTATATTCTTCTTTTTTCATCAAATCAAATTCTCGTGTGAACAAGACAAAATGTTTGAATAATGTGTTGAGGTGAGCAGAGACTCCAACGTTGTTGATATACTGTCCATGTCGATGGTAAATGTGAGCAAAGACTCGGAAGAGTCTTGAAAATATTTTCTTCACAACTTCTTTGACTGCAGTCATCAGATAGTATCATGCAGTTGTAGTTCAAAAATTATAATTTGCAAAAGAAGCAAGCATAAGAAGAAACAACTTACATTTCTTGGGATACACTCGTTCGTTTCCAATAGGAAATGCTTTTGGATCATCAAATTTTGATTCTATCCAATCACACAATAACGAGATGTAGAGTGGAGCTGACACGCTTGTTGGCTGATGATATTGTGGGTTGGTTGACTCCTCGTCCACCCATCTATATTCATAACAATCACCACCAGTCATACACGGGCATGCCATCTCTGTGCAATCAGAAGTTAATTTCATGCTATCAATTAACAGAAATAGATTCTCATGAAATTCAATCGCGTGTTGAGCGATCCAATCCTTCTTGTGCGTTTCTTTGGGTAATTTCACCAACAATTCCAGTTCTTCAATGCTAGTAGCTAGACCCGATACGTGAACCGATTTTCTGTGAGTGAATCCAGATTGTCCAGAAACAGGACTACCAGGAGAAGAGCTGATAGAAGGCTGCACGAACACGGATCGTTGTCTCTGTTTGAATTTGAACAAGTTGGTCATTATCATTTTTCTTTTGTTGAAACAATTGCTTGTCAGTTTGAAAGATCTGGTTGTGGCCTCCTGTGCATAAAATGGAGGTCACAGAAATCAAGTGTTCCTTCGTTGTACATACAGGGAATTGATCACTCTTTGAATCCATATGCAGATTTACTTCTCAAACTGCTGGTCATTGTTGCAGTGAATGAAGGAGAGTCAAAATTGACGCTCAATGTACGTGATGAAGCAGTTGGATGATGATGAATAATATTATTATTCATGCCTCTGTTTTGTTGTTGAGTGATAGTCATTACCTTTTTGTTGTTGTGATGACTAATTGCAATTTCATCATTTTCTGCTGTTTCATCCTCATCTTCCAGTATCAGAGAAAGAGGAGTGGCAAGTGCAACTTGTTGATGAGTATTATTGTTATTATTGCTACTCGGATTTTTGGTTGATGGAGCGAATATGTTGGTTCTTTCGTCGTTGTTATTCATGGGTGGATCGGAATTCCTGGTTGATGAGTGTTGTTCATTTCCTTCATTGTTGTGGGCATGATTTACTGAATTGTGTAGCCGTATCACCTCTTGTTTCAATTTAGATATCTTTCGCATGAGCCTTTGCTTTTTAATTTTCAAGGCTTGCAGAGCATTGCTTGTAGATTGCTCTTCGGAAAGCCATGAAGATATCTCGGATTGAAATTGATGATGTTGCAATTGCAGAGCTTGGTGAGCTTGTTCCGAGAGCGAAGAAACATTCGCTAGAAGTGAGTGGTAATTGCTGGTGTTTTGGGGTGAATTCATGAAACAAATTTTTTTCTGAGTTCCATCTGCTGTTGGAAGGAGAAAATCTTGAAAATTCTTTCAACCAAAACACAAACCAGCCTATTCTCAGTTCTCTTGGATGATAATACACTGTTTCAATTTTCGTCCTCGAATTACACCTTTCATGTAAATAGAAAATTTTGGAAACAACCCAATTTCGGAAATTAACAATAATGACGTGAGCCTTTTAGTGATCTTTTGTTGGGCAATTCAGTTGCTTTCACATTGATCTAACAAAATCTTCAAATATAGCTTCAGTAACACCGTCACGATCCAGCTAAAAAGAATTTTGAATAGACTTGATGCCCGATCCTCTCAGCAATTTTTCTTCTTTCTCACAGGCTGTTTCTTCAAACAACATTGAAGCGTCAAAAATTGATAACACAGAGTTGTTGTCCAACAAACAAACAACACCAATCACTTCAGATATTGTGTTGACCAACATTGCGGGTAGCAAACACAACGAGGAACCTCCTGTAGAAGAGGAAAGAAGAAAAAACAAACTGAGACTGTTCAGAAGAAAGAAGAAGCAACAAACTGAGAGTGAATCCATCCCATCTTCTTCTTCGTCTTCGTCAGTGTCGTCAAGTCCTTACTTGAAAGTACGTCTCAAACAAACTACTTCTTCAAGTAGAGGTGCTGATCATCAACAGCGAAGATACTCTGTGGCAAACACATTATCAACGTGTGAGGTTTCTAAAGACCAAGACTCTGCAATGAGAAGGCATTCCGCTACATCTCGTTCTCCCCTACTATTTCATCAACACGAATCGACTTCTGAAAATGCAACCTCGAACGACCTTACAAATCCAAGCCATCACTCTCTCAATATTCCTTCTAACAGAGATCAATTTCAGATGGGCCACTCATGCACGAACGAAGACCGATCAGCCACGATAATCATGGATGAACAACAAACAAATCATCAAAAAGAAACCACTCGAAATCCGAAAAGTGAGACGCTTACCTCCCCTGAACAAGTTGCTCCAGCCACAACAAGTTCTCCGTTCGTAGGAGAATCAAAAAACAAGAATTACATCGCATCATCATCAGTGAAAACGACGAAACAAACAACGCCGTTGACCACTACAACAGCGGTCGCAACTGCTGCTTCCAAGTCCTCCTCCTTCTTATCGCCATCTAAAAAAAGTGTAGTGTCTCCTTCTCATACAACCACCCCATCAAATACACCACCGATCAAAACAAAACACCAACAAGGACAAACCTCTTCTGCTGCCATGGCAATGGATAAATTTCTCTCTCCGAGTGATAGCAGTGGTGGTTAGTGATGAATGATGCAATTATACAGGCAAGCCCTGGACATCAGCAACAACAACAAGTTGAAACAGGAGGTTCACCTGCATTATCCTCTCCGATAGCGATCAAGAATGCTTCCAATAGAGCAATTGAAGAGTTTTTATCATCGAAATCGCCTCCCAATAATGATTCCGTACCATCTTCTATTGATAAAAGTGTCAACGACAACATAATTAATTCCCATGCAGAAGAAAGTGAGGAAAGTGGAGAGGAAGATGTTGAAGAGGATGAAGAGGACGAATACGATGAGGAAGAAAGTGACACTGAGGAAACAGAGGAAGAAGAATCAGAGGAAAACAATTCTAGCACTCGTGAGGAAGCATTAGCTTCAACTATTAGCCAACCAACTAGAACTGCTCTTGATATAGAAGATTTGATGGGAGTGAAAACGATGATTTCTCCCAAAGATTTGCAAACAATCTCATACGAAGTGAATGAAAAATTGAACGAATCAGTTCAAAAGGAATTCAACTTGGGTCCTGACGAACAAGTGTTGGATTCTTTCCTTTGTGCATATTATGAGAGCAAAATGCCACAACAAGGAAAAATGTACATTACCCAGAATTTTGTTTGTTTTTCCTCAAATATTTTTGGGTACAAAATCAATGTAAGTCAATTTTGGAAAAAATTAAGTTGTAATTGATTGTTTATGACATTTTGGGATTATTCATTAGCTTGTGATTGCATTCAGTGATATTAAACGTATTGAAAAGAGAATGACAGCCATGATTATTCCTAACGCCATTGAAATATTTCTTAAGGATAATACATCACATTTTTTTGGCTCTTTTGTTTTCAGAGATAATGTATATAAGGTTCTTCTGGCACTCTGCTCTCTGCATGCTAAAGCTAGAGGAAATATACTACTTAACTTGCAAAATTCGAGCAGTTTACCTCAACCAATGGAGCCAAAGACATCAGAGCAATTATTAAGCACAGAAGATGATGGCGACGACGAGGAGCATGAGGATGAGCTAAATAGCGATCAAGGATATGATGAAGATGAAGGGGATGAATCAGATGATGAACAGTCTGACGATACTCAATCAGTAGAGCTTGATGAGGTTCGCCATTCTCAACCTGCCGTTGAATCTCTTCCAAAAAATAACGACACCAACCAACAACCGGCGTCTGTAGGAACACCTACAAAAAATGGTAAATCTGGAGAATCTGGAGAACCAAACAACAATGGAAGTAAGGAGAATTCTAACTCAGGAGGTGATGACAAGAAGAACGAGAAAAGTGAAAAGAATGAAAGGAATGATAAAAACGACAAGAATGACAAACAAGACAATAATAATACCAATAATCAAGAGGAAGAAAATGAAGATGAGGACGATGAATTCGACGGCCTTTTCCCGGAGGAGGATGACAAGATCACTGGAATTCAAGACTTGCCAGCAGGAGATTTCTTTGCCGATCCTGATAAAATCAAGCCAAAGGACATCATAACTGATGTATTGCCCGTTAGCATAACAGATGCATGGTATATTCTCAAATCAGACAATATTAATTTTCAAAACGAGCATCACAAGACACGAGAAGAAACCAATGTGCAATACACGCCTTATGTAAAAGTGGATAATAATCCTGGAATTATGAGAAAATTATTCTTTGTGGCCAAAATTAATAACTCCATAGGACCAAAAAGCAGTAGAATGGAATGTGTTGAACGAGCTATTCTTTGTAAAGGAAAGAAGAAAATTATCAATCAAATCAGTACTTTTGGGCTCGATATTCCGTTCTCTGATACTTTTAGAGTTAATAATTATTGGATTTTGGAGGATATTGATGGAAAATCATGTTCAGTTAAGATCATGTCAGGTGTCTATTTCTTGAAATCATCTTTACTGAGATGGAAAATTGAAGAAGCTGCTGATAAGGAATCGAAAACAGCTTTAACTTTATGGATGTCTCAGGCCAAGGAAACCATTACTAATGCTAAAGCAAGTGGAAATTTACCATCGATCAAGAAATCAACCAAACCAAAGAAGAAGAAGACACCATCCAAAGAAGCTACTAAAAGACGTTCGAAACGCAAATCCACCAAGCCCATTTCAGAAACAGAATCAACATTACCAACAGCTACCCCTACCAAAGCTGTAGACTTCTCTAGTGCTCCACAACAAGCAGCAAATCCTTTCTCCAGCCCTTCTCCATTCTTATCGTCTCCTTCAACGACGGATGCTGGGCAGGATTTACTTACCAAAGTTATGAATTTTGTTTTCAACATTCCAACCTACCTTTCTTCCAATATCAGTCTACCTGCATGGGTATTTCTAACCATCATACTGATATTAATATTCTTGATCTTCTCCCAACAATATTCCATTATCCAAACAGTGAAACACTTGGAGCACAATGTACAAATCTACAAACAACAAGCAGTTCTCTTTGAGCAAGAGCTCAACCACCTTGTATTTAATATATCCGAGCTTAACACCAGCAAGATCGTGGAGAGTAGTAGGCAAATCCAATCACAACTTGCCGAATGGTTGGCAGCAAAGAACGAACTGTACAAATCCCATATCGACAATGAGCTTCTCCATTCTCTCCTATATGAACTTGCTGAACTGAAAAATCTCATCAAAAAGAAAGATCCCGGTTAACCTGTTGCACCATAGTAATTGGTTGAAGATAATTTGAGATTAAAGAACATGTCTTTCGTTTCTTGACTTCTCATTACTCCTCACACAACTCATTTGGCCGTTTCAAACGAAGAAGAGGATAATTGTAACGTATGATCATGGTCTCCAAAAAAAAATCCTTAATCACTCTCATCAGGCACCCTCACCATCCTTCCTTCACATCATGAGTGAGAACGAATTGCTTAAACTCAGCGTTCGTAATAACGCTTTGTCCAAGGTGAGGAATTACGAGTCAGAAGGGGAGCTTCCTCTCAAAGCTTCAAACGACATCAATTCAATTTCACCCATTTTACAAAGAAGCCCGACGCTGGACCATGATGAAGGAAAAGTTTTCAATTCCGTTCAGCAGAGTCAAGACGACCTTTTCAAACACCTGGGGCTCAAGAGCATTAAAGAGCTTTCTGATGAGGAATTTGCCAAGAAGATTACAAACCTTACCTCCAGCAGTTTTGATGACGTTCATTCCGAGATTCCTGAAATTGGAGATCATGAGTTTGAGGCTTCTGTAACTCAACTGGCAAAGCTTCTCACAGAAGCAGATATTGATCCAAAGAAGAGCTTGAATGATTCCGAGCTGAGATTAATGTCTAGCATGAGCAAGATTGGCTTTTCCAAGAGGCCAACGTACAGCCCAACAAGAAGTGTTAGAGATTTCAAAAGCTACCTTGAGAACCATTCTAAACCAGATATCACATCTAACGATACAGTACTTGGACCTGTGTGGGATTCAGTTGCGCCAAGCATTAAATCTAGAATGCAGCGTTCAATCTCTGCGTTCCGAGAACACCTAACCTTGGAAGAAGATGCTGAACAAACAGTGAACGTGCTGAACAAAATCAACAGCGAAATTCAAGCAGTACCTCCAAAAAGAGAACCTTTCACTGATGAAAAGTGGGCAGAACTAGCTCAAAGATTGAACAGGCCATATGAAAAGAAAGCGAAAAAGATTGAAAAAATAAGAAGTGAGAGAGAAGAAGAGTACAGCAAACAAAACACTTTTCAGCCATCAATTAACGAAAGATCCAGACTGTTAGTGAGTAACAGTAGTTTAGATGAACGTGTCAATACGTTTTTGCAAGAAAAACAAAAGAATATTGAAAAGAAGAAGGAAGAAGTTTCGAAGCTTATGGGCAATGAGCTAAAATTCAAGCCAGAAATCACAAAAAAGTCGCAAAAATTGAACCGAGACGTAAATCTGTTGTTGCATTGGAGCGAAGAGAGAAAACAAAAATTAGAATCTCTAAAGACTGCAGTAGATCAAGAGCATCTTGAACCATGCACATTCAAGCCAGCGTTAAGCACAAGATCAAGAAAAATTGCTGAGAAAAGCATTAAAAAACAAGGCACCAACACATCTTTCCAACAATCAACTGATGTGTTTGAAAGAAATTATGAATGGGAATTCATCAAAAACCACAAAAAGCGAAAGTTTATTGAGTCGTTTATCAAAATGGAAAAAGCTCTCCACAACCCAAACATCACTATTAAAGCATCTAACCTAAAGCGAGACGGGCCCTTTGGAGAGCGATTGTATAAGCAAGGATTAGAATTCTTGGAAAAGAAAGAAAAAACAAGAGAAAATTTGCTTTCTGCATTGTATCAAAAACGAAGTGCTGGCTGTATTCAACAAAAAGAAGATGATCCTTACTTTGGAGATGCAGAAGATCGCGTTGATTCGAGTGCTACTCATCTCACAGAAGAACAAATTAATGAATTAATCAAGCTATACGCCATAGATGCTGATGAAGACGCACAGGTATCAGAAGGTAGAGTTCAGGATCAAGATAAGCATGAGGAAAACACAGTGTCTACCCCTCCTGACCACGAAGAAGACGAGTCCAAACTTGCTGAAGATCACATGTTGGCAGATCCCAAGGAAAAGTATGCAAAAACCATGGAAACTCTCAGATTATTTCGCCAATCACAACTCTCACAAAAAACTGCATTGCTAGAGAGTAACGAATAACATTGTAAAGTAGTACTAAAATCACAAAGCTTTTTCCACATTAAACACCCATGTTTGTAACATAAATTTTGTTTGTTTTCGTGCATTTCCAACAATAAATTCTAAATTTTCAGAAATTGATGGTAAAATATTAAGGCCATATATGCTCCAAAATTGTGATGTTAATTCTCTTTTATCTGATGAGGTTTCTTGTGCCCCTTTCTTGCAGACAGCACAATATCGTACATCAACCCTACAAAAACAATCAACACACCAAACCATTGAACGAAGCTCATTTCATGGCCAAATCTGAACACACTCCACAAAATAGTAAAGAATTTGCGTGTTGTTGTAATGATTGACAATTCCAGTGTTCCATAGGCGGAAATGCACCAAAATATGAAGTACTGACCCACCGTCATTGCAACGCAGAAAACAATGATGTGATTAATAATTTCTGTATGTTTCATACAAAATGAAACAGCTGGAAAAAATTGGTCATAAAAAAACATTGCCAAGCCAACAAAACCAGCAGCATAACAATTCATATAGAGCATAAGCTCATCTCCAGTGGGCTTATCCTTAAAATTTTTCATCAAATCTTGAATAGAATTGGTAAATCCATCTGCAGCTAGTGAAACCACTAACAAAATCAATCCCCAGAAATTATTGTCATGTGGTCCATCATGTGAATGTTTATGTCCAAATCTATCAATCATAAATATTGAAATTCCGATTGTTGTCATTACCACTGCAACAATTCTCGAAATTTCATACTTTTTTCTAGCCACTAACATGCCCATCACCATAACAGGAATCATCTTGCAACTTTTAGCCAACACTTGTGTTGGATAATTAACATAGAGTAATGCAGCATTACTAGAACTTGTTGCTATCACATACGCAAAAGATGCTGCAATGAAATAAAGCTGAGGAACATTGGAATGTCTTCCATTCTCGCTTGGATGCCATCTCAACTTTAAAAACACCACAATTGCATTCAAGGCACATTGCAAGAACACTAGAAATAGAGGAAAATTGAAAAATTCAGCATCGGAACTGGTAGTAGTGGTCGTATGATGATGGGTTGATGAGGAAGAATGTAAGACTTCACCTCCTCCGTAGGGTGTTCGTGTAATTTGTTCTTGATATGAAGACATGATCATAAATGAAATATAAATTCCGAATACTATTTGGGCCAAATCAAAAGCTGATTTTAGGAAGGATGAGATTGGTTTTTCTGCAGCAGCATGAAGGAGTGGTGTGGTTGGAATGGGAGTTGTTGGAAAGTAATGCTTTTGATAATGTTGTTGAGGTTTAAAAACAAACGTCGGAGAGTAATTGCCTCGCTCCACTTCTTCCATTTGTCTTGCATATTGATTTTCAACAGTAATATTGGCCATGGAAATGGACCTCTCCAATTCGTAAGCATCATCTTCTGTTTTTGAAGAAATGATAGTGTAATGATGAAATTCCGATGAAATGAATCCTAAAGACGTACCTAAATCATTGTGCCTTCGTTGTTGCATTTTTTGTGGTGGGTTGTCTCTATTGTTGAGAGAGCTGTACAAAATGTCTCCTGTCAAGGATGAAGCAATTGATCGACTTGTGGTTGAGGCCTATTTTCAAAGGGTTATTGATTTGATTTTCAGTGGTCGATTTAAAAAGATGATTTAACGCTTGTACCTCTTTACGCGTGTCACGTCCTGCTTCATAAACAGAAATATCCAATCGATCGTCTTGTTGTTGTTTCGTATTTATTTACAATTACTGACTATTGTTAGTGCTACTCTTTCTCAGTTCAGGTAAATGCTCAACACTGGATCTACCAAACCGTTGAGATGTGTCCAACACCGAAGAAGGTATTTGAACGGAGGACTTTGCATTCAGAGATTCACTAAGGAATTGCTTTCTTGGGTTTACCTTTGGTTTAGGAGGAGGTAAATGACTCACAAAGTTGTCAAAGTTCAAAGCATTGGGTTTTAGCTTCATACCTTTCATGGCTCGATTGCAAGAAAGGCATTTAAACGCTTGACTAGATGCCAGTCCCTCTCCATCCTTGTCGACTTTCGTGTCAAACGATTGAGTTAAGAAGTCCTTAATTCGTTTCAATTCATCAATGTCTGCCTTGTCCTCAATGAGCTTCTTTAAAAACTCCAAATCCTTTGCTAGCATGTCAGCGGTGTGAGAATTTGTTAGTCCAATCATATTTTCAAGGTCTTTCTTCATCTTGTTAAACAACGAATCTACATATTCTCGTTCAGCCTTTCTTGCCACAATATTTGCATCAGATTTTGTTTGGTCTAACCTGTCGATGGCTTCCTTTTTTTCACTGAGCTCCTTAAATACTTCAATTTTGTCTGCTTTCATTTTGGTGAGTTGTTGCACTTGAGCAGCAAGTGTGTTAATCGAGTCCCGTATTCGTTTCAAGTCTGACTGATCAAATGTACCTTCAAACTTGAGCATCTTGTCACTTTTATCCTCTGGTGATAATGGTCTTTGATTGGTTGCCTTGTCTGTTTCAGCCTTAAGTTTTTCAACGATCGAATGAAATTCATCTCTATCTACTTTTCGCAGAACCATATCCTCTATGTCCTTGAATTGTTGATACGATGGCGTTGTTAAGGCGTCACATTTCTGGTCAAGCTTTGCTTCGAGAGATTCTAGCTGCTTTTGAATCTCTTGCACTTGGTTGTTCAAATCTCCAGCCATATCATGGGTTGTGATGTAGTACATAATTTTCTTTTCCAACTTTTTCAAATCCTTTAGAGTTGCTCCTTCTTCTTCAGTGTCGAGAGTATTCGATGTTTGTACAGCAGGAGAAGAAGATGTTTCTTGTGCTTGAATTGGAGTTGAATGGTTGACGTCTAATGGAGTTGGGGACCTGTTCTCCAAAGCTGCAATTCGGTCATTTGTTTCTGCGAGCTTGTTTTCCAGATAATCTATTTTACCCAATAACTCGTTGATTGAATCGCTCACTGCATTACTTTGGTCGTTCTTTGGTATGTAAACCATGACATTTCTTCCTTGCTCCAGATCAACCGATAGCAATCCTTCTCTGTCTTCGATTGGCTCTTGGGACGCACTCCTGTTTCGTTCTGACGGAGTGGATGTCCTAGAAGTTTTTTTCTTTTGTTTTAGCCTGTCTGCAGCTTGAAGCTTTCTATCAATTGATTCCACTTGTTCACGAATATTTCTCATTTCATCCAACACCTTATTGATATCGTCGCTCTCTTTAGACTTTGCAATTTCCAACTCTCTTTGTAAATCGTTCAGCTGAGTTACCAACACTCCTTTAACACGGGAAACATGAGCTCTGTCAACATCGTTTTTGACATCATATACATTGTACACAAATGGGTCAACAACGTCCTGAACATTTGCTTCTGTTGCAACATTAATACGGTGGCTTGGGTCAACAACTGCAGCAGGAGCAAAATTGATAACAGATTTGGTTGAGGTATTCGTTTCTTCGTTGTCAGTGCCCGATTGATTGGATTGAGTGTCAACAAATTGAGCTAGTTTTCCATGCTTTGGAAGAGACAGAATGACGGATTGTATAGTAGATGCGTCATCGTCGCTGCCTGCATCAAAAAGCTGCACTGTTTTTTCTTCATTAGGTTTCGAGACTACGTTTAGATCTTTAAGGGTAGACAGTAAGCTGGTAGGAGTACTTGATTGACTTTCGGGAGTATCTGTCCTATTTGCAACTTGGTTATTTCGAGCTGTTGAGCTGTTAGGCCTCTCATTCTGGTTGCGCGGAGTGGAGGACCGACTGGTAGCAACAACATCCTTGTTAATAGAGGTTTGTTTGCTGTTGGTTCTTTCAAGAGGCTTTGGAGGAGATGATGATTGGGGTTTTACGTTTTCCAATTCTTTCATTTTTCTAGAGACAACCTTATCCAAGTTATTAATCGAATCTTGATGCTTTTCGTTCAATACTTTGATGTCGTTCCTCATTCCCTCAAGCTCCTTCTCAACTTTCATTATTTGCTCCATAAGTTTTTTTTCAGAATCATTATGTTTTTCTTCCAACAAATTGATATCAGTTGATGTGTTTTCTTTTTTCATAATCATTTCTTTGATATTTGCTTGCTCCTCCAACACTTTGTCAATTTTCTGATCTGAAGCTGAGACGAGCTCCGTTACATTGTTCAATCGATCGTTCAAATCTTTTGCGAATGCATTCGCATTTTCTAACTTTTCGTTCATTTGCGAAAATCGATTGTCATGGGATGACACCTTTTTGATTATTGCAGATAACAACTTTTTCAATGGAGAATAGCTCATCAATTCATGTTCGAGACCGTTCGGAGACATTAAAGCTCCCCAATCCAGTTCATCCTCCTGTTGTAGAATACTTTTGCTTCCAGCTCCCTCATTGAAAGAGGGCACAATTTGCTCAGCAACTTCCGACGCCATGATAAACAGTGGGATCTTTTCTCGGCACTAATCTTCTGTTCGGCAAGAGTTGGAGAGAAAGTTTTGGAAGAGAGAGCAAATGATTTTTTTTAAATATTCGGGCGATAATTCGTAACTGTAGTTTTTGGGCGGAAGTTATTGTCATCTCTAAACTTTAAAAAATTTGAATGAGAGATGCGAGAGAACAAGATTTGACTATACGGCATGGATATATGCAAACCTCACTCCTTACTATTTGAAACAAGCCTAGTGTGTTATAAATATTTAAATTAAAAAATGTTCAAGCATGCACCGGCTGCAATGCCGTTCCATACAAAATATTCATCAAGGCTGCGTTCATCACGGCCTTCGGAAAAGCTAGGAATCTTCATAATAATGGGAATAATATTAATATCCACATGGAACCCGTTCGGACAAGTGGCGTGTGTTTTTAGTCAAGAATTAGGCTCGCCAAACAAAACGATTGAAGCTCCTGTTGTTGTAAATAATAATGAAAATAGACAGGAATCTGTGAACGTGTTACTCATCACTTTCACCATGCTTGTAATAATATTTAGTACCTATGTTTTTCTGGAATTTAAAATTAATATTTTACCAGACAGTATTGTTGTAATAGTCATCGGAATGATAATGGGATTAATTATTCGACAATGGGGAATGGCAGGTGCGGCTACATTTAAACTCGAAAGCGACTTTTTCTTTTTGTTTTTGTTGCCACCAATCATTTTTGAGAGCGGATACAATCTTTCGAAGGGAAACTTTTTCGGTAATATTATCAGCATACTATGGTATGCAGTGGCTGGCACAATTATCTCCACCATAGTCATTGGTGTTGGAATTGGAATTTTCGGAATTGTTCCATGGATTGACTCCTTTGCTTTTGCTAGTTTAATATCAAGCGTTGACCCTATTGCAGCCCTTACTGGTACGTAGACATTTGAACGTGTCCTTGAAATATATCTTGTCAACAGTTTTTAATGGAATTAAGGAAGATTTAGGAGAGAGAAAAACTGCCAAAATTTCCATGCTAATTTTTGGAGAAAGTACATTGAATGATGTAGCCGCCATGTTGCTGTTCAGGTCTTTTGACACATATGCTAGATTTCCATCTTCTGCAAATATTTCTTTCTCTGCTTCTGCAATTTCTTTCATGAATCATTTACTGCTCTCATTCTTTGGGTCTCTAATTATTGGAGTCTTAGTTGCCCTTCTTTCAGCTTTAATTTTCAAATACTTTCATTTCTACAAGTATCCATCGTTAGAACTCACATTGATGGTTATCACATGTTATGGTATGTATGATTGAATTATTATTATTTGAATTGTCATCAACAAAAACCCAATTGTTAATAGTACCCTATGTGTTGGCTGAAGGCTTGGAGCTGTCTGGAATTTTGTCTCTGCTTTCGAGCTCTATTATTAGCAGTCACTACACACGACTCAATTTAAGCAAGAGAACACAAATTACCATTGACCATGCTTTAATGATGTTTTCCTATATTTGTGAAACCATCGTCTTTCTCTATTTGGGACTTGCTACATTCACTTATAATCACAGATTTCACTTTGGAATGATTGTATTGGCCATTATACTTTGCATTTTAGGCAGAATTGCCAACATTGTTCCAATATCCTATCTGTTGAATACTTTCTTCAGTGCCAATATAAGTAAAAAGGCACAAGTAATTTTGACCTGGTGTGGCATGCGAGGAGTGATATCTTTAGCTTTGGCGATGAGTCTTACTGAAACTCAGTACAAAAACACCATTGTAACCACAACTCTAGTCATTGTATTACTATCTATTCTAGTATTTGGTGGTGGAATGTCTCCTTTCATTAGAAAAGTGTATACCATGTCAGACATTCCATTTTTGAATGAGCCCACAGACGTTTCCTCATCTTCAGAACTATTAGTACAAGAAGAAGAGTCCATAATTGTTAAGCTAGATCAAGAATATTTCCTTCCTTTCTTCACAGGAGCCAGCACATCAAAAGATGCCTACGACCGTGTGACCGACAAGACAACAGCTAAGCAATTAGAAAGAGCTGAAGTTCAAACTAGTGACTCTGAAGATGCATAGTTTTGAAATGATAATTATTTGATGCTGATAATAATTATCGTAACAAGAAAAATATGGTTGAGAGCAAACTCAACTTGTATGCAAATTCAATAAATTTAGTTTTGTTAAATAGCAAAAAATGTCAGAACGTCAACAGCAAGAGGAAATTCAAATAGAATCTTCCTTCTCAAATCAAAATGACTCTCCGATAGCAACCCCAACGCATACAGAGGATCAATCCACCCTTCTTTCACAATTTATCACTCATCGATCATCAACAACCACAGACAGCACACCCTCAGGCCTTTCCCAACAACAGCCTGCACTTCTCAACGTCTCAACAAGCACACCCAATAATTATCGGAAACAATTATATCAATCATGTGTGTTTACCTATCAATTATTAGTCATTCAAGGAATTTATTCGTATTTTCTCGACTATTCTATATTTGTTTTAATTTTGAGATTGGTTCAAAGTTTCATGTATCATTACAGTTTTGTTTATTCATATGGAAAGCCCACAATTCTAGGAAGAATATTTAAAGATATGACATTGGTGAAGAAATTAATATTGATCATCATTACATTATTACCAATTGTGTATATTCATGTATCCAATTACTTGTCCAATGCAACATATTATTCTCGAGTCATGCAAGTAACCAATAATGGTGATTCATTTGTACTCATTGACTTTTTTGAAAGAGATGTGAATCGTCACTACTCAGAAGAACCATTGAAAATTGGAGTTTTTTCAACGAAAGATAATTCTGTCACAGTTCATGGTACCCGAGAGACAAGATTTGTTGAAAATTTGGGAGAAACTCGTACTCAAACAGAAGGAGCAACGATTCAAAGTGTTGATTCTCATACTACCTCCAACAGAATGTTTGACTCTCATCCAACATTATTTGTCATCTATTTGTGTCTCTTTGACGTTCTGTTTGCAATACTTCAAGTTTCCTACGTAACAAGCTTAATTTCTCTCAAACGAAAGCCAACACAGCAACAACAACAACTGGTTCTTGAAGAAAACAACAGCACAATTACAGACATGGTATGAGAGTGTTGAATTTTTGAAAATTTCTATAATCAAAAAATGTGTGAAAACCTCCCTGTAGACATTGTGGTTTACAAATCACAACAGCTTCCCCAACTTTGCGACATTTCCATCCGTGTATTCAGCATTCGAGTTTACAGATACCGAAAATTTCGAATATTTTGTCAAACAAGTGCATTTCCCAAAACGAAGCATTGGTTTTCGAGCATTGCATGGAACACTCCAAAATGAATACACAATCAATTTTCAACCTCACTCCCTCGCCATAGATCACAAAAATCGAATTGCTCTCATCTATGAATATAATCAAATGACCATGCACGTTCTTGTGGTGTCATTCGAAAATTGAAATTGAATATGAACAGAATCAAATCAAAAGGACATCACAAATCCAAGAAGGTTCTCACACTACTATGGACATATCGTGATAAATTCACAAAGAATGCGACCCTTATTAATCGTCGAGTATTAACACTCGCTGATGGAAATAGAGCCCTAATGATTGGTGAACAAGAAAGAATTATAACATTGGATTACCATCATGGAACTGTATTGCATAGAATTTATATTCCTTTTTTCCCACTTCATGCAATTGTAATGGATCCACCCAATGATGGAAATTTATTGATTTCTCGTGCGAATATCATTGGAAAATTTTCTCAAGAAGGAATTGAAGATACGAGCTTGAAATGTGTGATAACATCATCAGAGCGCTTTCCTGTGATTTCTTCTTTAATCTATGACAGAGTCACAGGTATCATCCTGACGAGTGTTCAAAACGAAATTCAAATACACGACTCGTCTGGTACCACGCTTTTGAGAACAATGAACTTTCAAAGTGTCATTGTTGGAGTTTGTCTCAATGAGTACACTGGAGTGTTACTCGTTGCTTGCAAAACCTGTTTGAACGTTTTCAAGTAGCAGTGGCAAACTTTGGGAAAGCACTAATCACATTCGCGAACTGTTAAATTTCAAAAACACAATTTTTTATTATTTCACAAGTGGTGTTGTGACATTTAACTCGATCCACTTCAATAGAGAATTCACATTGATGAAAACATGCACGAACTTTAGAAAATCAAACACACCCTCTCACCTTATTTCTGAAGAGAATTCAAATTTTTTAACACCAGAATCCTCCTCGTCTCCACAAACCACCATATCCATAGTATGGAACACCAAAGCCACCAAAACCACCAAAGAATGGCATGGAATAAGCACTACCGAAATTACTACCATAAGCAGTTGGACCAGTATAATACGATCCATAGGCAGCATATGGTTGATAGTTGGTTGCAGCTACTTGATTACTATAAGCCATGGTGTTTTGTCCATAACTGTTGTAATTACCACCTGCCACACCATAATTCGATCCAGCACCACCTTGATATCCATAGGCACCATTGTAAGCATTACCGAATTGAGCATGGGTGAAGGATACTGTGAATGCAAGAACCAAGCATGCAAGAACAAGGATGATTTTGAACATTTTAAAACCAAATATTAAATATTGAAGTATTTTGTTTGTTGTTTCATGAAAGCAGGGGATAATGGTCATGTTTTTATACTGGGAAACATGAGTCGATGAATTTGGAAATTCACTGTTTTCTATCTAGACGACTCTCAATAGGAGGCACCTTTATTGGAATGAAGTTTTTTCGAAAAAGGAAATTGGTTAAAGACGATCAATAGAAACATGGTTCGTAAAAGTGTGTAGGTAATGTACAGTCGGTGAAGCAGAATGTACATGATTTTATCTTTTACTCGTTTTTGACAATTTCTGTTTTTGTAAAACCTTAAGATGTCTTAAAAACACATTCAAACTTGGTTTGACAGCCTAACCAATTTCAACACCTCTTCGATATCTTTTTCTCATATACAATCCCTCAATGTAGTTCTTAGAAACATCGAAGGACTAAATAATAAACTCAAACACAAGGTTGCAACGAGTTCGATCCAAAAAAAATGAAATGTTTGAGAACGCCAATACTTTCTCATCATTTGCTCGCCACGGGTTCTCATCTCTCTCATCAGTACCACCCGTTATGGCTTGGATTGAGCATGTCGTTAACGACTCGGAATTTTCATTATTGTTTAAAATCAAATCAAAGACAGGATGATGCATTGGCTCAAAATTCATGCAAGGAAATGATTAATAATTCCCGAACAATTTATTATGAAATTATCAAACGATGGAATCAACAAGAAATTACCAATGAATTGAAAGAAATTAAAAAACTTACGGAAAACCCTAATTTTTGGAGCTCTCCAAATGCACAAGAGTTAATTTGCAAACAAAATATTTTGGAAGAGAAATTAAATTTTTTATTAAATACAAATTCTGAAATTGATAACAGTGAGGAGTTGTTAAAATTGGCTGTCACTGAAAATGATATGGAGATGGTTGTACATATTCAGCAATCTATGGAAGAGCTGCTAAAAAAATTAGAGCAGAGAGAGCTAGAGTCATTAATGTATGTTGGAAAAATTACTTTTCAAGCATCAACTCAATAATTAATAGGATTGACCCTCAAGACATCAAAGATTGTTTTTTGGAAATTCACACAGGAGCTGGCGGAGAGGATGCATCAGATTGGTCCCAAATGTTATTGAAAATGTATTTGAACTGGTTAAAGAATTCAGAGTTGTCATCCTTTGAAGCTGCTTTGGAAGATATTTCGTACAAAGAGGTTGGAATTCGAAGTGCTCTCATACAAGTTACTGGAAAATATGCTTACGGATACCTGAAATCTGAACAAGGTGTTCATCGATTAGTGAGACTTTCTCCATTTGATGCTGCAGTAGGTAGTGGATGACATGTCTTTTCTATTTTACTATTGTTAACACATCGATAGCACAAGCGACATACTTCATTTAGTGCAGTGAGGGTTTATCCTACAGCCGATAGTCAGGACGTAAATTCAATGTTTCATAACATTCCAGAAAAGGATTTAAAGTATGAAACAATTCGGGCAGCCACCGCAGGTGGTCAACATGCTAACAAAACTGAAAGTGGCATACGATTGACACATATACCTACTGGAATTCAAGTACAGTGTATTGCATCACGCTCACAACATCAAAATAAGGATCAGGCTCTCAATCAATTACGAGCTCGATTGCAAAATATTGAACAAGCAAAAAAGGTAAAAGAAATGAAAGAAATCGCGAAAGCAGAATCTGAATCTAACCAATTTGCAGGCAATGTGATTCGATCGTATGTATTACATCCGTATCAAATGGTCAAAGATTCTAGAGCTCAAATAGTGTTGAGCAATGCAGAGGATATAGTGGAAGGAAAAGATGCAAAAAGTTTTGATACAATGGTCAAAGGAATTTTAAGGAATAGTTCATCGTCATCAGCTGTATTCAATAATCTGAACGACGATTAAACTGTTAGTTCTAATTCATTAAGCGTTTGTTCGATACTTGTTAAAACTCCAACCTTGAACCCAATCCTTTGTTAGAGCTCGTGACATGCCAGCCCATTTGGAAACAATGATAGAGTCAAAGTGCTTATCCTTGTCCATAGAAGCAGGCGACAATACACTTCTAAATGTGCCCATCCAAATTAGAACCAAAGCAGCAAAGATGTGAGACGCCCAATTAATTACGAACATATGTTCTTCTCCCCACCACTTTTCAAAATAGGCATCCATAATCATCCACGAACCTTTCCAGCACAAAATAATCGATATTGCCACAATGTATGTGTAAAATTTCATGGATACTGTGATCCACATGTTATTGGATTGGTGGCTCATGCTACTTGATTGCTTGGAGTAGTCCATATTTGGTTGACCCTTGAAAAATTGAGCTTCTTCTTTGTGACTTGTTCTTCTCTTCTTTTTTGGTTATCAAGACACAATCATCAAGACCAAACTTACCATACTCGTTGGAAATACAGATTCTGAAGGTGATGAAACGTCAACAACTTGCTCAATATCATGTGAAACATTCTCAAAGGTCTTTTCAGCCATTTCCATTTTGGAATCATGCTCATAGGTCGAAATCAATAAATTTAAAACTCCAAATCTATTCATTAAGACGGATCCTAATTGTGTAATAAACGAAATTCCAGCTCCAATAAAAAGAGAAACCCATCCTCTATAGAGTATTTGCTTATTTTTATCCGTGATATGATCCACGCTAATGTAGTGCTCAGATAATTCCCAAATTCCTCGCCAAAAACACACTACACCAAACAAAACCACAGTCAAAGTTAAAACAATTTCAACAAACTCCACCAAAAGCAATCTACAAAATTGATGATCCGAGAAAGCAGCTTTCATTCCACAACGACACAAGTATGTAATTTGATCCCAAATAGAATCTTGTAAATGTCGATTGTTATGTTGAGAGTTAAGTATTGTTATGGATTTGACGATCATTCTTTCCTTCTTTTTTTCAAGATATGAAATCTGCTTGTTGAAGTGTTCAATCATACGGTCTATTTCTGCAATCGATAAGTGCTCATAACCACCACTCGTCGTGTGGGCAGTATTATTCATCGGAATGTTTTGAGAAGATAATTTTGATGTTGCTGAAATTCCTGCAATATTATTTTCCTCATTCATGATCGGTGAAGTTGGAGTGGATGATGATGCTTCATTCATCATCAGCATGACCGACGATGAAACAGGTTCCGAAGGATGAAATTGCTTCATTTTTTGCAACAATTTTTGGGGCATTCTAATATTCTGTCATCTTTAATTTTCGTTAATTTCATCTTGTTTGCACGAAAGTAATTTGCTAACAATCTGATCAAACACAACATCTGAAACGGAGGTATCACTCAGTGAAATTCTGCAAATATTCGAATTATTTTCAATGGCTTCCACAAAATATTGAGCTCCTTCGTCACTCACATTGGCATTGGCACTTAAATTAATATTTCTTAAAATGGTGTTTCCAGGAACTCGATACAAGGGTTTTGGTGGTTGTGGTTCTACTTCAGTTTGTGGCGGAGGCGATGGAGTTGGATTAGTTTTTGCTCCTTTGGTGTTTTTGGCTGTCGATGGAGGTGAAGTCGACTTGGGTGTTTCATACACATGACGTATAGAGTTGTTGTCCCAAGGAATGACATCCTTCTCGATACTGGAGCCCTTTGAAGGCGGTTTCGTAGAGGCAGCTGGTTTTTTCTTTTTATCATCGACGGGTGGCAATAAATGTGGTGGAAGAGCAGGGAGAATGTATGCATTCGTGTTTGGATCTTTGGGAATGTTTAAATATCCGTAAAAGCTCGTGTATGATTGTTCTCTCAATGTTAAGAATTCTTCTTCTGTGAAAATATCTTTTGCGCTCATGGATCTACAAATTTCCATCACAGTGTCGTCACCAATTCGATTCATGGCCAAGCTTATGGAGAGCAGTTTTTGATTGGTCCTCAAACTTTTAGCCAAGGCTACGCCTCCAACGTCTGTAATAGAATTTCCCCATAAATTTAAGGAGAATATTTCACCGTCGTCTTTTAACAACTCTGCAATACTGAGAGCATCGTTATCATTTAAGTTGTTTCCCCTAAGTGACAAATATTTGGCGCTTGTCATGAATAACGGAGCAAAAGGACTGGAATTGGGGCCACAATATCTTTCCAAAAGTTGTTGTATCTCCGGTCTGGTCTCGTCACCTTTTGGTTTGTCCTTTTTTACTGTCTTCTTTTTTGTCTTGTCGTTAGTGTCTTCATCTGTGTTTTCAAATTTTGGAGAAATGGAATTGAACAACTTTTGAACAGCTGGATGACGGTCCAAAAGGATTTCGTCCTTTTCTTGATTCATTGTAGTTAGAGGATTCATTTCCAAACTTAAAAATCGAAGGGTCTTCTTATGAGTGAGAGCCATTCCAAGAGCTTTGATGGCTTTCTCAGTCAGTCCGCAAGATATTAATCTAAAAATCAATGTAATCAAGAACCCGCATCCAACGAAAAACATACGTAAGTTTGACAAAATCGAAAGGTACAAATGAAATAGCTTTTGCTAAAGCAGTAATATCTATAATATCCAACCTTGGAAAAGATCGATGCACCACCACTTCGGTCTGAATTTTTGATGCATCTGATTCGTCCAAATCCGAAAAGCTTTCAACTTGCATTCTTTTTACAACATTATTTCGTTTGTCCGTTTCCGACAGCTCTTGCTTTCGTGAAACAGGTCTTGAATCAATGTTTTTGCTAAGAGGAATGCTATCATTCGTTTCATCATCATCGGAAACTCCTTGATATTCCCTAGGTGTTTGTTGTGGAGTTTTAAATTCGTGATCGTCTTCCAAAAGTGCTTGTTCTTGCTTTCCTTCAATAAAGTGATGAATTCCGTATATCAATTCCTCTTTTGGTTGTTGATCGCACATGAAAACGAAAGCCATATAATCTTTTTTCAAGTCACTTGTTGTGACATAGGTGTCTTCTTGCATTTTTTTTGTAGTTGTTGGCGGGTTGTTTTTTAATAATAAAACAATTTATTTGAATTTAAATAAACAGTATTATTCGAGCGTCACAATTCTAATAGTGCCTTCTGACAACCTCACCGTCCTCATCTTCGTCAGAGTCAGAATCTTCGGTTGATCTTCTGACAATGACTTCTTCATCAGAATCTGAACTATCCTCTTCATCATATCCATAATCATCGTCGTCATCTTCCTCACCCATATAGCTTGCAGCTCCAAAGGTACCAATTGGAACAGGACCTCCTAATTGTTTTTCGTTCTGCAAGTTTCGTTCTTGTAAAAATCCAGTGGTATACTCCTTCCATCCTTCAACTCCTGATAAAAACTTTGATACTTCTGTGTTTGCATCTCCTGTCTTTTTGAGTAAATTAGAAATTTCGACAAGGAAGCCCATATAACCTAAACTTGAGCCTTTTGCCTCTTGGAGTTTGGCCTTGTTCTTTTCAATGGCCTTCAAGATCTTTTGACACAATTCTGTATCTTGTAGAAGACTTAATTTCATCTCAGTGTTAGTGCCAGTCATGACAATCTTAACCATTTCAAAAACAAGAACATGTAGCATGGAATTGTATTCGTAGGTGAAGAACAAATCAATCAAAACTCCCATAACGCCTAGAGAAACCAATTCCTTTTGATAATCAGGATTGTTTTGTGTAACTTTGAAAATTGTAAGCAAGTGTTCAACCACCTTCAATCTAGTCTCACCTAGTGGCGGATCCAAGAGTGCATGAGAAAGCTCAAGTTTAGAAATTCTTGAAACAAACTCGGAATCATTGAGAAGAGAAAGGAATTGTTTTGTACGGGAAAGAATGGTTGGAAGAACTTTGGAAAGAATTGCTGAGTGATTAGAGTGCTTATTGGAAGTTCCTTCATCATCTTCGGAAAGTGTGTCACCATCAGAATCATCTGATTCTTCATTGGCAGATATGACCACACGAAGGAATGGTATTCCATGAACCAATATCGTTGAAGAAGTGTTTTTGAACATGATATCTAAAATAGTATTCAAATGTTGTTCAGATAACAACTCCATTGTTAACTCGTTTCCGTTGCTGTATCCCTTTTCCACAATTTGAGAGAGGAGACTAAAGACATTCCGTTGAACTTCTTCATTGTCAAGACTTTGCTCAAGTTTGGTCAAAACCAAGTTAAAGAAATTATTGTTAATAGCCCATTCTCTAACTTGTTTTCTCTTTTGTTGAAGATCTTGATCGTTTCCTCGTTGTTTCATGAGGAACAACTCACGAATACGTTGTTGTGTAGCAAAAGCTCCAAATCCGTCTTGATCAAAGCTGTCATCGGATGTCTCAAATCCTAATACCTTCAACACTAGTGTATCCATATCACACAACCCGATATGGTCTGTGAAAAAGGTCTTCAAAATGTTGAAATCTGTGGAATGTTTATCCATCAATGCATCGACAATCTCCTTGTAGTACTTTTGTAAAAGGTTGGAGACAGCCTTCACAAAGTATTGGGAGAGTGATGGATTCTTTGGTGTTCTGCTTTCATCTTTGTTTTGGAGGTATGAGAAGAGAGCGATTGTCTTTTCTTTCGATTTTACAATTGGAAGTACAATTTCTTCAATATCACAGTTAAATATTTCAGATGTGATGAATGGATATTTGTAAGTTCTTTTGAGTGTCTCTTCTTCTTCTTTTTCGAGATCAGATGAGGTAAGTGTTTGACCTGGTTGAAGATATTCTTCTTGACTGATGTATTGAATCAACTTGGCAACATTCTCATCCTTGCTCAAGAAAGCAATGACTTTGTGGTTAGCCGATTTCAGCTCTTGAATGAGAGTATCTTCGTCGAGAACCTGTTCTAGTGTGGTACTATCCTCGTTTTCAAGCATGGAATCTAGTGGTGATTGTGTATATCCAGGAACAAGATCCCAAATACTTGTGAAGGATTCATTTTCGTGCAACTCTTCTTCTTCTTCATCAAAGAATTCATCATTGTGTTCAGACATTTTTATGTACAGTGATGGTGGTTGTTGTTGTAGGTTCCGTATGACAAAAGTGTTTTCCAATCAATCAAAATATATAAATAATATATTTGGGATGGATAATATTAAATGGAATAGGCTCGTTGATTCGATGATGATAGTGTATACAATCACTGTGTGATGACGAGGATGATGAGAACAGGTGGTTTGTTTTTGAGCACCAACAACAACGATACCTACACAAAAAAAAGTGGCCTATTTTTTTCAGGATCGTTACAAAGAGAAAGTGGCGCTTGACAGCGAAAAAGCTCGTTGATTGCTGCTATCATTGACGGATGAGCTTTTTCAGTTATTTTCCCTTTCATACAAGGTGAATCCTGCGCTTTGCAATCAGCAAAAAAAACTTAAAATTATTTGGTGATAGTCGGGATTGAACCGACGACCAATGGCTTATTAGACCAACGCTCTACCGACTGAGCTATATCACCTTCACATAAAAGTTCATCATGTTGGTAAAATATTCATCACTTCTCTGATTAGTTTTTTGAATTTTGTATCAAAATAGCGCTTGCACCTCAGAAAAAATGTTAAAGTCAACTTCTGTTCTGACTCGCTCTAAAATATTAACCACAACATCATCATGCATCCGAACTTTATTAAAATATAATTATTTTCAAACAAGAGAAAATAGAAGATTTGTTTTACCGGGACCAAAATCTCTTGACCAAATTGTGAAAGTACCGTTGTTGGAGAGAGAAACACCTGAAGCAATTACTCAAATATGGAAAGATCATCACGAAATGAACCCGTTAATTCTAGCAGAAACAGTCCCATATACACAATATCAAGTTCTCAAACACCGTTCAAAAGATTGTCCAATGTTTGTCTTACCTGTGTTTAAAAACATTGGATTTCAAACTGTTGTTTTGCAATTTCAGACCGAACATGTTTTATTTACATCAATGAGAGAATTCAAAGCAAAGGGAGAATGGGCATCTCCTCAAATGTCTTTAACCCATTTTACTGAATTTGCTCAAACAAAAGGAATTGTGCTAATGAGAGGAGAAACAAACGATACACACATTAATAAGGCTGAAGGAAGAGATCTTGCACGATTTATGTACAAATTTTACCTTGATGACAATCTTTATCATACATTCGTAGAAGTTTTTAACAAGGAGCCATCAAGATTTAATTTTGAAGAGCTCATCAATGCAGTCAAAGCACTCAAACCACCAAAACCAAGGCACAATCCGCTTGTCCCTCCTCCTAAAATGAAGTAAGAATAAAGAGTTGGGTAGTTGTGTTGATGGCTCAAATGGATCAAGCGAAAGCAATAATTGATGGGCTTTGTGGTCATAGTAAATGGTGATGGTTGGCCATGTAGATCAAGCAACGCCTCAGTTGACTACGACAAAAAATATGAGCAAACCATCAAATAGAATTGAGGCTTTCAAGAAGAGAGTTAAGGGAACTCGATCAGGCCTTCCTGAAGAGGCCTCTGAACCCAGCAATTTAGAGGAGCTTTCTTCCCAACGAGGAATTCATGATGACTCGTTGATAGAAGGTATAGCCTTGAACGCGAACGTTGGGGAGATGAAACTGAATCTTACCGAGTCTTCGTCAAAGAAGAGAAAGAAAGCCACAAGCGATATTTCTTCTTCGTCTAAAAAGAAGAAAAAGAAAAAGCAAAAAGACTATGACAAGGATCCGAGCGATGATTTTGAATTGGAATCCAAGAAAGAGCAGAAGCAAAAGAGAAAATCGTTACAAGATATTACAAATGTAGGTTTTTCAAGAATGGGTATTGAATCACTCAGTAATTTGATAGTTCATTCAAGAGAAGTCTCTTCTCATGAAGAAAGGAAGGTCGTCGAAACTCGTGTCCAATCAAACCAACAGAAGCAACACTTCCACCACCGACGAAAATGAAGAACCAACACAAGACCTCGAGTCTGTTCGAATCGAGCAAGCGTCGTCATCCTCTCAGGTAGTGGAACAGAAGCGAGCAAAAGAGAAAACCACGAAATCGTCCAAGTATAAACAGCTGTTGCAACAAGAACTATTGACTCAATCTAAGAAAAAGTAAGTGGAGTAATATCCTAATCAATATCTTGAACTCTCATACGCTTGTCTAGATCTTACAAAACACAGTACGAACAGTTCGTGACTGAAGAAGTAGGAAAAATTAGCGAGGAAATTGTTTCCTCCTCGCTCAAAATGTATGGATCAAACCAGATGGAATTGCTGGATTTATCAATGCATGACAGTCTCAACGACAGCTATAAAGCTGTATCCATAGTGGACAGTTTAACGTCACAATTAGTGGAAAGGTCTCCAATTCATGCTCGGTCACCATCTGCACAAGACATCGCTTACGATCAAACAAAGACAGTTCTAAAGGATAATTCTCCGTTGTTGGGTCTTGCCGAAGACAGTTTTACTCTCCCCAAGTTTGATAAGGTGGTGTCTAATCCTTCCTCAAGCAACAATGACGATTCACTGAACCTTGGGGACTTATCTGGAAGTCCCTTCTCGCTAAGGTACAATGTATTCTTCAAGGACTGACTCTTTTCAACACCATCCCTTCAACAGGTGTTGATTAGGGGAGCGAGATTTTGTGATTAAACAAATGTTTCACCTCAAAAAAATTTTCCCGCGAGCCACCCTCCGTAGATCCATCGAACTGATAGCATCAGTTCAATAGCATTGAAGCGAAATTGAGTTTTTAAAATCAATTATGCTTGAGCTTCCATCGCATAAAGAAGGAAAGGAATACCAAATTCCTATTAAAAAACCTTCAGCCAAGAATGATTCATCTGGAATATTCAATACTCTTATAAATCCGACGCAGAGTTCCTCGCACCATGTAAAGCGTAGAGACCCTCAAAAGAATAAGGACACGCTCTCAAGTCTTCTAAGAAATTCATCTGAACAAATTCGGAATGTACCAAGCTACGACAGCAATATTGATCTTTGTCCAACAGCCTTCAATGGTCCCGTGTTCGTAAGTAACTTGATCTTGACAATCAAACCAGAACGTTTTTTCTCCCATCTAGATACACGCAACGAAAAAACACATCGAAGAACCAAAACCGAAAGAAGAGAAACAACACAGAAGAAAAATAGTAACTCCGATATGGGCTAGAGGTCAGTCAATCGATTTTGAGACAGCTGGGAAAATAACTTCAAAAGAAAAACCTTTATTTAGTAAGAAAATTGTTCATAACCCAACTCAAACAACCATTGAGCAAGATCAACAAGCACTACGTTCAGGAAAAGCAAGGGTAAACCCCATCATGGATCCGGATATAGCAGGAGCCTCTTCAAAACATATCAATTCCAAACCAGAGAGGAAAAAAATACTAATTGAAAATAGAGAAGCAAAGGAATACGAAATTCGAGACACAAAGAAACGAATTCCAAGCCCCAAATACGTAGGAGTTTCAAAGGCAGAGCCAATAAGAGGAGGCGGGTTTATACCAGAAAACGCCAAGCCAACCATTAAGGTGTCTGTGGATGCCAAACCTAAGGATAACAAGGAAGTACTTACCTACGCATTTTGTAAGTTTTATTTCTCTATTTTTGATCAATGGTTATTACTGATCATGACATTACTCTAGTCAAAGAAAGAGAGAAAGTCAAAAATGTAGCCAAGCAAGACTCTGAAGAAAGAAATGCATATGAGAAGATAATTAAGGAATGCATCTCAAAACAGCACGCAGAAAATACTACGATATACAACTACTTGAGGGCAAAACGGTGCTCTACGAGTTTGGCTCTCACACAACATCTCTATGATAAGAAAGATTAAATTTTGTATGGTGGTAAATTCGTGTATGTTTGAGGTGCAAATGATGGAGTTGTGATGTATAAAGTATTGGATCGCAGTCTAACAGTGACTGTACCCAAATAAGCACCTCTAGGAACACCAGCTTTCACATCTGCCATGATTCCAACCTCTCTGGCAATGCGCATATACTCATCACTAGTGCTATATTCCAATCTAATTTTCTCATTTTCTCTTGCTCCAATTTCATTGAACTTGATTAATGTAGATGATTTAACTTCCTTAATAAACTCTTCATCATAGTTACTTTTCACAAGTGAGTTGATGTCAATCTTGTTCCAATCCACAGATTCTGTGTTAAGAACAATATCAGACAAATAATTTGCAAATTGGTTCGAACTTGCTCCTCCTTTGAATCCAAATGTATAGGTCCTAGATATTTCAGGACGAACACAAGCTCTTCCCTTTCTATTGACACCTTCTCTAATCCAGTCATCCCAAAATCCAAGTGGCCATTTTGGCCCAAAATCATCTTCCCACAATTTTCGTCTCATCATCCATCCTAGGCCAGGAAAGAAATCACTTCTATAGAACTTAGCAGGATCTTTTACAAATCCTTTCATACCATTATCATTCCATGCAGAAATGCAAAATAAAGATGTATCCATATTCAACAAAGGTGACATGTATGTAAAATACTCGAAGAAGTCGGGAGCAACTCTTAAATCTTCCTCCATGATTATAATTCGATCGTAATTTACGTCTTCTGCAAATACATGATCAATTCCAAATTTATAATGTTGAGCAATAGAGTAGTAGGCTACAACATTTGAAACTTTGTCTGGAATAATGACATTTCTCTCTCTTTGGAAATGTTTTTTAATTTTATCTCCAAAGCTGTCGACAGTTTCCTTTACTTTTTCGTCAAACCCATCTTGTGACACATAAATATGGAAACCTTTGTTTGGGATATATCTGTGGTCGTTGAAATCAGCCATTAATAAATGAAAAAATCGAACATAAATTGATATGAATTGTACAACCCTCCAAGGAATGAAATCTTACCTAAGTAACGTTTCAATACACTCTCTCAAATATTCAGCTCGTTGATAGGTAAAAATAACGATCGGAATCACGTTTGATGAATCAGACAATGCAGGTTGTTGTACTGTAGGGTTTTCAGTTTTAAATTTGTTGTCTTTGTTTGTTACTTGTTCCTCACGTGTAGATCTGCTATCCCGATTGTTTTCGGACTGAATTTGCAGTCTCTTCTTGTCGGAAGTAGTTATGGATGACAATAAAAAATAATAATATCCACAATAGAGAAAGAACAACAGCCACAACAACAATAGAAACGTTCGGAACTTGGTTTTGAACAGAAGAGACTTGATGTCGAGAGTGGATCGTTTCGAAAAGTCTCTGGACAGGTGCATTTTTTGTATTTGAAAATTGTGGGTAGCAAATGTCAGCGATCATTCGGCAATTCGACAGCAAGTAATTAGCTCAAATTTGAAATTATTAGTTTGGGAAGTGATTTATTCTTGAACGTTCTTGAGTTTTTCGATGAGCTTGGCCTTCTTTGATTCGACTCTTTGCTTTCTTGACTTGAGGTCCAACTTCTCTCTGTTGAAACGCTTTTGAACAGCTGGAGCAGTCTTGGTGCTCTTGACGGCATCTGGATTCTTTCTGATAGCAGCATGCAATTGCTTGTACTTGGATTCAATGTTCTCAGCAGTAATTCCATTCTTAATGAAAAGTGAGAAACGGGCCTTGAATTCCTCCTCGTTGGATCCCTTCAATTCCTTCATGTACTTTCCGACGTGGATACCATAAATTCTTTCACGGTGGACGGTAGCATTGTAGGACTCATCTTCCTTATTGAAACCTGGGAATCTTTGATTGCTGTGTGGAATATACAAACCACCATCACAAGCTCCCTTCAAAGCACCGAAAACACGGTTACCAGTGGTTGTTCTAACCAAACCAACATCGAGGTAAGCCTTGAATGGTCTTGGAGCACCTTCAGCTTGTTCGACCAAGAAGACTGAACCATCAGTTTCAGTCTTACCAGCATATCTGGTATCCAAACCAACCTTCTTCAACAATCTTCTGGCGAGCAAGAGACCTGTAGCATAGGCAGCAGCATAGTTGGTGTGACCCACTGGCATGCCATATCTGGTGAGTTCGTGAGCATAGGCAGAGCAAACGACTTCATCTCCCTTCAATTTAGCAGCAACAATTTGGCAGATGATATCCTTGTTGGTAACTCTGACAACGAATCTGTACTTTGGTGTGTTGTACTTGGTCTTGTCTTGAGTGATCAACTTTTGTCTGGCTCTGTAGTCAGTCTTTCCTTCTCTTCTACGACGGAACTTGACTTGATATCTCTTGAAGTAAGCCTTGGTTTTTTGGATTTTAACAAAGACCATGGTGTCTAATATGTGATATATTCAAATGTACAAGTTAGGGATGATTATTGATGAATGTTTTTTTCAAACTGAAAATACATACATTGGTTGTGGCGTTATTTTTTTCGACGAAATTTTTCAAAAATGCACACTCATATTTTACAATGAAAGTTTTGTGGGGAGGTTGTGCATGGTCGACCCATCAAATCCTGCCCCTGTCCACAGTTTTCAAAAAAATGTTACAAGCCAATTGAAGCATAAAACATGGAGATGATAATCACAAAGATTTTCAAGAGAAAATCAATGTGCAGCACATTCCATCATTTTGTGTCGACGTGATATACCAAGCGGTTGAAAATAGGCTCAGTATTCATCATCATCAAATGGTACACGTTCCGAAGGAGTTGCAGAAACCCAACCCGCCATTCAAATTTAAAAAAATTAGAAAATGCGAAATCTCTCTTCAGGGTTGTCCCTCAATGACAGCTTATCATCGGTGAACACGATTTCAAAAGTAAGTGTAGGCTTGAGCATGAACACTTATATCTGCTCTCATCCTTCATTTAAGATTGTTGATGGTGGAACTTCAGTATTGGAGAAAGTCATGAAGAAATCCAGTTCAAAGAGAGTACAATCTTCATCGTCGGAGAATCGAGAGAATATCAAGGTAGCAATTAGAGTGAGACCACAGCTTGATTATGAGAAAGATCATGAAGAATCAATATCAGTTGTAGATGTAAGTACGGAATGAGAGCAACTGCCAAGCATGAAATCAACCTTAAACTAAAGGAGAGTACTGTTGTAATAAGAAAGGGAAAATCAAGATCTGAAATGTTTTTTGATAGAGTATTCCCCAAAGAAACAACTCAGCAAGAGCTATATGACGTTGTAAAAGGTATGTTTGTAATCAAGTTCGTATCGTATACATCATGATTTCGAATAGACACAATTGATGCAGTGACACAAGGATATAACGGAACAATTTTTGCTTAGTAAGTGTCCACGACCTCAATTTCATCATTCTAGAGCTTTCTTGCTTTAGTGGCCAAACAGGTACTGGAAAAACATTTACGTATGTACATGTGAAGAGCTTTTACATTTACGAAACCTGTTGACCTTTTTGTTTAGAATGATGGGCATTGATTTTAGCTCTGAAGACCTATCAGGCGATGATGCTATGGTATGTATTTGATTGACTCCACAGCGACAACAAATTTATTTCATGACAGAGAAAAATAACCATGCAAGAAAATAGAGGAATAATACCAAGATCAGTGGAGCACATTTTATCAACAATAAGGAAAACAAAAAAGACAACAAGGTACAGAGTATATTGCTCTTACCTTGAAATTTATAATGAAAAGATTTTTGATTTGCTTAACTATAATGACAAAATTAGTCACTTAGATATTCGAGAGGATAGAAAGAAAGGTGTCTATGTTCAAGATTTGACTACAGTTTGTGTAACAAAAGAAGAAGAGATTTTTGCATTGATGGAACGAGGTGCAAAAAACAGGAGTATGGCGTCGACTGATATGAACGAGCGATCGTCAAGATCTCACACCATTTTTCAAATGTTCATTGAACAAGAACCTTTGAACCCATCAAGTCCAGAGGAGGCCATTGTAAAAGTTTCAAAGCTTAATTTAGTCGATTTGGCTGGTAGTGTAAGTATTGATTGCGGGTCTGGGATTGTTATTGAGCATAGTAATGTGTAGGAAAAATGGAATACAATTTACTCATCAAAAATGGGAGAAAAACGGATTCAAGAGTTGACATCAATTAATCAAAGCTTATCCACCTTGGGAAATTGTATTTCTGCTCTTATGCAATCGAATAGAAGTCATATTCCTTTCAGAGATTCAAAACTAACAAGATTGTTGCAGGATTCGCTTGGAGGAAATACCAAAACAGTGTTTGTTGCGACAGTTTCGTCATCCGTTCTCGCATACGATGAATCTCATTCTACTTTAAAATTTGCAGACCGAGCAAAGAGGGTCGAGCTCAATGCAAAGGTTAATGAGGTGGTTGACGACTCTGTCCTTATAAGACGATACGAAAAAGAGATAGAGAGATTACGACAAAGCGTTGAACAACATTCAAAGGCTTCATCTGTAAGTATGGCTCAATAATTGTTAGCTAAAGACTAACAAACAAAGAGAGTGAAAAGCCTGATAGAGGAAAACTCCAAACTCAGAGAGGAGAATAAGCAGCTTCGTGATTTTATTAATAACCATGGAATTGGGTCTATACCTTCATTGGGTTCTGTTGATGTCAATATACATGCAAGAATGCACAAGAAACTGGAGGCTTTAGAGGAAATTGAAAAGGATCAAAAAGGAAGAGAAAAAGAGCTAGAAGAGTATCACAACTGGCTTCACTCTATTCCTGTTAAATATGAAGGTGAAGAGTACAGTCTAGATATTAAGGAGAGACTGAAGCTTATGGAAACATCTGTGAAAATGCAGTCTCAAGAACTTGAAAGGACGAAGATGCTATTTTTGAGAGACATTAAGATTGTTAAAGACGAATTAGACGAAAAAACGACAGAGCTGCAGCACCTACACATGCAACTTAAAGAAAGAGAGGAGAGACTAAAACAACTGGAGGAGAGCAAAGCTGTTGAAGTCCAAGACAACACCAAACTAACCCACCTAAGACAGGGAGCCATACCGAAGGCAAAGCAGAGATTAAAATCCAACTTGTTCATGAATTCGGTAAGAAGAGCGAGGAAACTCATAGAAACTTAACTTTTGGAATTTCCTCGTTCCGTGAGAGCTTAATAGAGATGATGCAAGAGTATTTAAACGAAACTCTTCGTGACTCAGAATATTTACATGTAATTGTAGAAGAATCAAAGGGATTGATTGAAGGATGTACGGAGGCTTTGGAGGAAACAATTCGAGATTCTCAAAATGAGTTTATTGAACAAACAAGACAATTCATAGAGAAACTATGTACTTCTATAGGTGATGGACCTGCCGCATCAGTCACAGAAAAGGAAAGCTCAAATGATTCATTGAACGATACTTCAGAATTCATCAAAAACTGTATTCTTGATTCTGCAAACCATCAAGGTACGTTTTTCATTCATTGCTTGATCTTACATCTATGTCAGACGACCCTTATTGGAAGAACATTTGTGATCGCATTTCGGAGCTTAGAAACGTAGAAGGAAAACTTTTTAGTACTTTAAATCAATCTAAAAACAATTTACAAAGGTTTTTACAAATCTTGTCAAAGCTTGACAAGGCTTCTCCAGAAGAATTCGAGTTTTACAAGTCCTATATCAATGATGCTGTTTCCCAAATTTCAAAGAATATTGACGATTTTATGAAACAGTCGTTTTTATCAAGTCATGTTGAGTCTTCGTACTTGTCAATAAAGAGATGAATGACTAATCGTAACCACCTTCAAAGGATTAACGTGTATTTCCACTTAAGATGGTTCGTGTATCAAGCTTAACTCGTTGGTTTTCTAGGTTTTCAAAATAAAAGTGTCCAAGCTTTGAATTTGCTGAAGGAGCATTCAGGGAGCCAAATGATTTAAACAATACGGGCGCTTTTTTGGAAATATTTTGGTTGTGGAATATCAACACTTCTGATTTACCTCCAGTATAAGATGCTCCATAGGGCCAACTATAGGACAGCTCCTTCAATCCATATAAATGATGGTTGTCATGTTGAGCAAAAAAGCTTTGGTCAAATGCCTCAGCAAAGGGAGCAGCATCACAGATATGAATGCTCTCTATTTCTATTGGTGGAACTTCAATTGGTTTATCCTCTGATTTCTCTTCTACAGATTCTGGAGCTTTTTCTGGCTCATCTTCAAGTGGAGGTTCTCCCTTCTTTGCTCTTTCCTCATTAATTTTCTGTCTCTTTTGTCTTTGAAGTTTTTCTTCCTTTTCCTTCTTTTGTTTGGCTTCCATTTCACGCTTCGTTTTTTCTCTTAGTCGTCGAATTTCTGCTATATGTCGTTCATCTAAAAGTAATGCTACTTTCATTACAGCTACTGAACCTGTTTCCTTATTAACAACTGGAAAGAAGTAATAAATCCTGGACTCTTTGAAAAAAACTTGAAAGTCAATCCAAGATGCAATACTATTCAAAATTTCTAATTCTTCAATAGAGTTCATAAAACTTAAAGACTTACTCTTTGGACAAAATATAAAGCCTATGGACTATGTGTTCAATCCAATTTGGGCCTAACAATTTGATGGACTTGACAGAATCAAAGTCTCCAAAAATTTGTTTTAAGGTATGTATTTGTTCTGGAGAAAATTGTGCACTGTCTAAAATTTTAAAGCCTTCCTCCATTGAAAAAATAGCGTTTTTTAACACAGATGCATCATTATTCATGTGTAAAGTTTCTATCATTTCTGAAAAAACGGCAAGATTTTGAACTTCTAGCATTGTTCGATAAAGAGCGAGAGTAATTAATCCACCAATTGATGCAATTATTGCTGCAATAATTAAAGCAATTCTCTTTCTCTTTTTTCTCTTAATTTCTTCCTCTGTTAACGGTCGTTCTTCCATAGTATTTGATGATTGTTGATCCTTTCCTTCTGTTTTACTTGATGAATCATTAGGCTCCGAGGATGTTGTTGATGCTGTATTGCTGGTATTTGTGCTCTTTAATAAATAATTAATATGGAATTCTCTCATAATGCTTCCACTATCCAAAATATTCTTCATAGTCATGTGTTCAGCTCCGACAGATGTTGTTGGAATAGAAACTCTTCTCATTAACATTTCGAAAGCATACATTCCCTTCTTGTCATGATGGGTACTTAGCCTTCCAGCTAGCAGCCTGATGAGTTGCTTTTTCATTTTTTTATTTTTTCAATCAAAATAAAAATGCTGTCCAACAAGTCTTCATCATTCGTATCGGAAAATACAAGCGATTCATCTTTTTATAAGGAGAGAGAAGAAAGTTATCGAGATGAAACAAGAGGAAATGTTACAAAACATACATTTAATGTGGATTTAACAAAGGAATGTCCCAAACTGGAGGAAACATACAAGTCTTGTTTTAATGATTGGTATACGAATGTGTTTTTGAAAGGAAAGGGATTAGAGAATGGGTGTAGAAACGAATGGGAGGATGTAAAAGCATGTATGATGGTAGGTGTGAATTATTAATTCTGATGATGTGCAATTTTAAATATTGCTGTTTCTGACTTGTTCCAAAACATTCAGATTCTGGTGAATGAAAAGTCTCTCGAAATCTCTGTTGAAAAAGGAGAAAAAGAAACGGAATGGAAAATTAAGAATTTTGATGAGTGAAACGATTGAATTTCATTTATATTATTACTCTCTCTTACAAGACGAGTTTCCATTCGCACCATCGTCTTTTTCTACATGTAATTGAGTGCCCATTTCCTTTGCCAGGTCTTTCATGGATATTGTTCCTGAACCTCGTCTTGCAGGTCTATTGAATTGGCATGTTCAAAACTTGGTTAGTGAAACGATATATTTAAAACTTACTTTGGTTGACTTTCATCTTTTTTCCATCCAATCATGTGAATGACTTCAAACGTGGCTGGTACACCCTTTTCTTCTCTGAACATGTGGTCATAAATAGCTGCAGCTCCAATAATTGTTTCTCTAGATAATATTGTTCGTCTTTTGATCAAGGCATTGTTTTCTCCCATTCCCTGTAAATGATGCATAAGTGTGAATGGATCAGGATAGTATACCTTAATAGTTTCTGCGTCCACAGTTGGCAAATTCAAACCTGATCTTGTCACAATATTTCCAACATCCTCAATAGAGCTCAAAGGAGACACATGTGGTGAGACACCTCCTTCTCTTTCTTGCTCAGACAGCACAAAGCAAGTTCTCAATTCAGATAATGTATTTCCTCCAAGCATTGCACCAATGAATACACCATCTGGTTTTAGAACTCTCTCAATTTCTTTTAGTAGGCCTGGCAAATCATTGACCCAATGTAAATAAAATCCTGAAATTACACAATCCAATGAGTTATCGTCGAACGGTAGAGTGGCTCCGTCCTCATCAAAATGTAGTTTTTCAATCTTCTTAATAGTATTTCCTTTGATTAAACTCAATTCATCATGAGAAGGTATTTTAATATTGTCCAAAAGTACTTGGGATTGATCACATAATATATAATGTTCAATATTTTGAAAATGCATAACAGGAAGGTCAAGGTCTACTCCACTAAACCCTGAGGACCCTTGGGTCTTTTGTTTTTTAGCTTGAGCTATTGCGCTCTCACGCTCCTCAGGATGTAAAAAGTCAAGAATAGTCTTGTGTAAAATTCTATTAATGATAAATCCCTTTCCACAACCAATTTCGCATACTTTCGGTAATGTTTTTGAGAAATACTAATAATACTTTCAAAATGATTTTTTACAAAGAATTTCTAGAAAACATACGCTCATTCTATCCACAATTCCATCTGCAATGACATTTTTCACATAATCATATTGACCCAACTCTCCATCCGAGCTACATTTAAAAGAATATTCTTTATGTTTTTTTACTTGCTCTCGATCAAATACTTTTCTTTTTGATATTAATCGAGCAAGCAGTGATGATCCATCTGTTTCAGAATAATTTACCAGAGTTAAAAACACCTACAATTTGGGTTGAGCCCTTTGATGAACATTCCGAGTACTCGAATATAAATAATTCTTTTCAAAATAACATGATTTTGTTCCGTGGATGGTATAGCTGGATGATGAAAAGCATAACCTCTTGGGCCGAAGTTGTGCATGGCGAGAGAGTTTCTTCATTTTTTGTAAAACGTTGTCAAGAGTTTAGACCTCTCATTCACTTGATCTTCGAATTCTAGGAATAACCATGCCAATTCGATATTGAAAGTAATGATAATTTGAAATTTTAAACATAAATGATCTCGATGAGAACAAGAAGTTATCCTGAGTACGTAAAAGATTATAAAAAATCAAAAAAGCGTCTCATATCCAGCAAACAATTCTACTCCATAAAAGTCCTAATTATGTTTTCCTCTATTTCCATATTTATCAAATTTCCTTTTCGTTACTAATCCATTTGTAGTGTTGTCGTCATCTTTACAACAACACGCACGACACTCAAGTGTTCATCCACCATGTTGAATCCTTTTAAAACCCATCCTTTCATTCAACTGGAATTTACCAACAAGAAAAAATTTTTAAGTTTTGTTTAACCTAACTCTCCATCTCCAAAAAACCATCTCTACACATTCGACACACCATCAACATGGGCTTTTTCAACCTTTCCACATCAACAGTGACTCCGTCCACTAAAACTGAGAAGAAGAATAGATCCTTCTTTACAAGTTTCATGGACACAAGTCCTCAACTTCATCACCACGAGCATCGACGAAAGAGTAATCCCAAATCCGTTGCTCAAAAGTGCGTACATGAAGAATATTTGAGCAGTGCTGTAGGAGGAGGCAAGTCCTCATCCGAACCAAGCGATACCCTCAATACTAGTAATGAAAAATCAGTCAATGTTACTCATCATGTTCCCTCTTCCACTCATGACACAACACATCAAAAGATTGCAATGGAAAAGTCATACAATATTTCATCGCTAGAATCTTATACTTTTGGTTCCAAGAAAAAGAAAAAGACCTTTTCCATGTCTTATATGAAATGTTGTCCTTTTGATGATGTGAGTGCTTTAATTGATGTTGATAAATTTGAGAAGAAGAGTGGACCATCTTCATCGAGCGTAAAGAATGCAGGACCTCCAACTACAACTCGAACGGTTTCGTCAGCTCTTGCTGCCAATGCAATGGGTGGACAACCTGCAACGGTTCACATGGAACAACCAACGCAGCAGTCCGAAGTGCCATCACATGATAAGGTTTTGTTTTCTTCCTCAATTTTGCTCTCGAACCCGAATGAGGAAAACCCTCAGCAACAAGAATCATCTGGTGCTGCCAATCAAAAGCTCGATGCAAAGGGAAATAAGATGGAAACAGACTAAACACGTCCCAACTGTAAATGTCTAACTTCAATAAACAACACACAAGATAACAAAATCATACCTCGTTCAACTAGTTGGAATTTTTGTTTTTGGAATAATACCAAATTTTCAAAAGTCAAGGTCCAAGAGGAATTTTTATTTCTTACGTCTCAAGTTGGCAACGAAACCTTGTTTGACTGCACTGACAGTTCTTGAGGCCAAGCAGTTTGCACAGTGAATGGAGTAGAGACGGGTAGTTGGATCACGGTTGAGCCTAGTGTCCAAACTATTGCAAATCTTACAAACGACATATTCAGTAATGTACTTTCTCAATAAATTCTCAATATCCTTGCTCTTGAAGGCACCACGAATAACCAATCTATTACTACCGTCAAGGTTACCGGTTGTACCTAATTCTGCAAATAAGTAATCCAAAACGTGTTGTTCTGCACGGTGTAAGTTTGCACAAATTTCGGTAAAGTTAATCAAAACTGTCTTCTTAGGACCATCTCTGGCGACTTGAGGAGTCTTAACTTTGATAGGCTTTCTCTTTCCTCCTCCCAATTCAGGATTGTTCTTCTTCAATGTATCAAAGATACGTTCCAAAAGTTCTGGATACTTGTAATTACGATCTGACTTGTTCCAAGCTTGTGGACCATGATCATCATCCTTGGCAAGGAGAGAGGCCAAATCTCTGTCTGAACCTTGGAGTTCGGCAGATTCCTCTCTATCCTCGCTCCAGTAAGAGCCACCAGTGCTTTGTGATTGTTGTTTCTTATTCATGATTTGAATAACCTCTGCACTCTTCTTGGTCTTTAACAAATCTACAATTTCGTTAATATTTTCGTCCTCTTCAACGTTAACATCGATGGAAGGAAGAGGCATTTCCTCTTTGACCTTTTCCAATGCTTGTTTGAAGAGTTGAGCCTGTACATATTATCAACAAATCATATCCGTACATGTCGACGAGTTTCAAAAGTATTAATAGTACAACAACAACAGGATAAGTTTTTACGATTTGTTGTGATAATTGATACAACACTTACCGCATCCTTCAAAATAAGTTGTAACTCTTCAGATGATTCGGTCTTTTCTTCGGAGGTTGATGTTTTCTTTGTCTTCTTTTCAGGTTTGTCTGAGGAAGAAGAGGTTGTCTTCTTCTTTGGCTTTTTCAAATCAAGGCCGAGAGCCTTTTCGTCAACCACAGTACTCATTTTTTAAATTTTTTAATTCAATATTACATAAAAACTCGCAGTGTTTTATTAATTGCAAGTTAAATTCAATTTCGCTCTGCACATTATATTATTATTAGATGATTTTATGCAACTGGATTTCATCATACTGATTTCTATTGTTAACACATGATGATGACTTTCAAAAATTGAATTAGTTGCAAGAAGCAAAAAATGGCGACCTGTATGTATGATGACGGAACAGTAGTAGTGATGAAACCATCTCATAAAAGAACAAAATGATAGAAGATAGAATGAAAAAGAACTCGGAAGAACCAACAGTCTCGGAATTCAAAAAAAAAATCATACAAACGATCATTTCATCACAAAGATGCCTTCTTTTGAGACTGCTTCCGAACTCTATCAACAGGGTAACGATTTATTTGTGGACGAGGAATATGAAGCGGCCCTAGCCAAGTATTCAGCAGCTATTGATATGGAAGAAAAAGTCGAATATTTTGAAAAGAGATCTGCTTGTAATTATCAGCTCGGAAGACACAAAGCTTCAGTTGCAGATGCCGAAAAAGCCATTGCTTTGTCTTCCAATACTTCATTTAACGGATTCTTGAGGAAGGGTATGGCCTGCTTTGAGATGGAGCAATTCGATAAAGCTTTAGAAGCTTTTGAAAAGGCCACCTCCCTCAAACCTGAGGATTCAAAGGTCAAAACATGGCTCCGAAAAGCCAAAGCCGAAGTGGAAAGTGCAAAGACCTCAAATACAGTATCATCAACAACAACAGCTACTGGTACAACATCATCTGCTTCCTCTCCATCCAACACTCTTGCAGTGACTCCTCACAAGAATAAGATTAAATGGAATTTTTTCCAAATGGGAGAGTATGCAGTTGTAAGCGTATTGGGATTACAGCCTGTCAGCAAAGAAAATAGACATATCGAAATTCAACCAAGCAAATTGATTCTCTCTTTTAACTTACCTCCTCAAGAAGGAGTACCATCTACTCTAAATGAAGAAGATTTAACAAAATGGGAGAGAACATTTTCACTTTTTGATGATGTTATTCCTTCAGAATCATCTATGATTCATTTACCATCCAAGGTAGAAATTAAATTGAAGAAAACACATGCATCTATTGATTGGCCATCATTGGAGCCAGTTGAAAACGCAAACAAATTCGACCCTCAATTCCAGTCGTCCAGCGTCTTTGTGTCACAAGTAGATCCAAAGAAATATCCAACTTCAAAGAAAACAGATTTTGACACTCTGGATAAAATTGGTAAAAAAGAAGAGGAAGAGGAAAAGCCTGAAGGTGATGCTGCTTTACAAAAACTTTTCCAACAAATATATTCTCAGGGAGACGAAGAAACCAGAAGAGCCATGATGAAGAGCTTCCAAGAGAGTGGAGGTACTGTTTTATCCACCAATTGGAAGGAAGTGGGATCAAAGAAGGTTAAAGGAGAAGCACCACAAGGCATGGAAATGAAGTATTGGAATGAAGAAAAATAAAGTGTAACAACATAAGCAAATCAACAATCAAATTACCTTAATTTTTTGTGAAAGGGTTTGGAGTTACAGTTGAACCTCATAATTTTATTCTATTAGCTACATATCAAATTCAAGTAATAATAAATCTCAGGCCTTGTGCTTGATGGTTTTCAATGATTGAAAAGAGGTTTTGGAAGCTTGCTTGGATGTGGCGAGTTGGACCAAGAACCACCAGCAAACTTCTTGTCTGAAGCTGATCCTTTCTTTGCTGAATTGTCCATAGGATCAAGTTTGATAACAGATCCGTCGTTGATTAAACTCGAAAGTAATTCCTCTTCAGTTAAGGATGTAGAAGATGCAGATGTACCAAGTTGGGGCATACTGTGGTGGAACGGAGGGCTTGATGGCATTGGGGCATTGGGTGTGTTGTGTTTCAAAGGTTTCAAAGAAGTATGGGGAGGTGTTTGCAATTTCTTTTCTTCCAAATCTTTAAGAACAGTGCTCTCCAAATATGCCATGTCAAAATAACGCCAAGAAGGAAACCAAGTAGGCTTCAAAAGTCCCTCTGATGGAGAATAAATTGAAACTCTTTTTCGTTCTGAGGTGTTAAAATAGGATGGAGTAAGTAAAGTATAAGTAGCGCCTGAGGTTGATTTGGTGCAATCTACGTTTGTGGAAGAATTTACATTGGAAATGATTTTGGTACTTGGTGATGCCTTACTGACCGTAGATGAGGATTGAGGAAAGGCATTTGAAGATGTTGACACAGATGACTTGTTCGTACTGATATTGGTATCGTTTGAAGATGAGGCACGTGCTGATGAGGGGCTTTTCTTCAATACAGATCTCAGAGCAGTGCTCGATCCTGAATTTCCACTATTGCTATTACTACTATTTGAAATGCTCTGTTTTTGAACATTGACAGGAACCATGACCTTCTTCTTTTTCTTTTTATCTCTTTGGTTTTCATCGTCTTCTCCAATATTTTCACCATTTAGATGAGATGAAGGCTTATTGTCACGGTTATTGGATTTTTCAGGTGCCATATTTTCGTCTCCACTGCTGTTGTCGTTCGATTTTGTTGTGGTGTTATAGTGCTGATAGGGAACAACCATTCTTTCGTAATTAGCAAAATGATCCTTCGTGGAGGTTCTTGACTTTTTTCCAAGGCCATTATCTGATGCTGCTGATTTGTCTGACTGTGGAGGTGATGTAACGTGTTGAGCAAAGAAATTTGGTTGCTGAGAAGAAGAAGAGGAATTATTATTGTTGTTAATGGAGGATGATGATGACGAATTCCTAGCATCAAATGTTAATTTGTCTTTGACCGTGTCCAAAGAAAGATCTTTGTATTCAAAGTAGCCATCTTTAAATTCTCGCACTCGAATTGATTTCTCTCCTTTTGGAACAAAAACGCGTTGTTGTTGTTGTGCCTGTTCGTCTGTTAGAAATAAATCTTCGTTTACGGAGTATCCACCTGTTGGTGTAGTTCCATTGTTGTTGGTTCCATCAATGAAAAAGGGAATGAGAGGTCTGCCAAATTCTCCCGCTTTCGATTTTGTTGGAGTTGTATTATTATTGGAAGAGTTGTTGTTGCTACTAGAGGAGTATTCTCCGTCGGATGAGTATGGTTGTTGATGATCCATGCTGACTATTATGATTTTGTTGATATTTGCTGATGACTGGTATTTAGGTGTTGATTTTAAATATTGTGGTTCTATTATTATTAATGAATGGTAATGTTTTGATGGTATTGATCAAAATAATTAACTACAACAAGACAATGTGGAGGATAATGGTTCGGAAGATGTCAAGATGGTATTGGTTGTTTGCATCTATTTTTTTTGTTTCAAAAATAGATTGAGTAGCGCTGATCAGTTTTTGGGTGCTTGCTTTTAGGATATGTAGGGACTCCTTGGTGTTACACTCTTTGTTTACACTTTATTTTGTAACTCAACTTGGTAAACGATCGTTCGTTTGAGCCACAGTTTAAATTTTAATGACTAGTCTTTTACCAGAATCTAGTTCCTTATTCCACACACTTTCTATGTCTTTAAGATATGCTACTTCAGTGTCTATCTTAATAATTCCTTGTCCAGCGAGCTTAAACATTTCTGGTAACACTTTCTCATGAAATTCTTTCATTGATTCATTGGAGAAACTTCCAAAACCTGACCCACAAATCTCTATTGCTGAGCTTCGTAAAATGCTTGAAGGAAGATGAACTATTTCTCCTGCCATCGAGCCTACTGTCACTACTCGAACTTTGTGACTGAAAGAATGCATGCCTGAGCCTTTCAGAGATCGTAGAATTAGCTCCATGGGATGGCCCCACAAATAATCAATTACCACATCAATTGGAGTGAGTTCATGAACGGCACGAAAGGTTTCAATCAACACATGCTCATCATGCTCCAATAAAGAAATTGTTTGATCTGCTCCATAATCATTCTGTAATTTGTTTAACGAATTTTGGTTTCTTCCTGTTGCAATGACTTTTGATGCTCCATAATATTTAGCTAATTGTACACAGATTCTACCAGTCACTCCTGTTGCGCCGTTAATCAAGACAACATCTCCCTTCTTCATCAAGCCTCGATCAAATAATGCTAAATAAGCTCCCATAATGGCATTAGGAAGAGCAGCTGCAGTTACATCATCAATTTCATCAGGCAAAGCAATTAATTTGTTCTTTGGAATATAAACCCGTTCAGCAAGTGTACCTGTAGTGATCATTCCGTACACTCTCGTTCCGTCTTGCAATTTTCCAACTCCATCCATCCCAACTACTACTGGCAATTCCGTATAACTTGCATAATGCTTTCCACTAGCACGATATTTATCTAAATTCTTGACTGCAGAAGCTTTCATCTGAACAAGTTCTTGATCATCGTTTTCGGATGAAGAAGGAGGCTCGGGCCAATTTTCAGTATAGACTGGTGTTGATCCTAATTGGTGTAAGACGGCGGCTCGCATTTTCTTTCGTTTGAATTATTCATCCACTCAGGGATACATTTAAAAACATGAAACCAAACTGTATTTGCACCAAATTTGCTTCAGTGAATTTGTTCATTGGTAAGTTTGATTTCTTAAATTCGGTTCTTGTATTTTCTCAACTTGTGGGTTCACACGTTCACTCGGATCTCCTTACCTTTATTCCGGATTTGCAAAAGCGCGAAAGATCTAAGAACTGTTCCCATGTCTCGTTCCCAATCATTCTTTGGACACACAAAAAAAACGATAATGTCAAACGACAAGTGGCCCATCCACCATGCCAAGGTGCTGTTCATAACATGCATGTTTTGGACCGTATTGCTACTGACCACTAGCGTGCCACAATTTCATGGGTCGTGGACTCTGGCAGCCACACTTCAACCCACACGAGCCGATGACTTTGTCGAATCCATTGGTGTCAACACACATCTCTCCTATCCCAACTCTTGCTACTATGATTATTTTAATGACTTTTCCAAATATCTTCTCGAGTCTGGTATTCGCAAAATTAGAGATTCTCTTCGTGATGGTCCTCAATGGTATTACGATCGTCATAATTATTTGGGTATGAATGGAATTAAGGGTATTTTCTTGACGGATAATCCCAATCGACCTGCTGAACTGATTCGTTCGTATCCTCTCAAAGTTCCTTTCATTTTCGAACGTTATGAAGGAATTAATGAATATGATTTGAGAGGTGATCCCAACTGGGTGAATGTTACCATTGAATGGACAAAATTCATGTGGGACAATCATAACACAAGTTTTCCAGTGTTGGCTCCCTCTCTCACTTCACTGGCAGCATTTGAAGCTGTTGGAGATTTGAGTGCCTATGTTGATTTTGCAAACATGCACAACTATTATGGATCCTATCCACCAACTAAAGGATGGGGACCTCAAACACAGTATGGATTTACAGGTACAGTGGATTACTTTCACAATTTAACATCAAGCACTCAAGTCAAGAAGAAAAAACCTGTCGTTACCACTGAAACTGGATGGCAGACTCGATTGGGACCTGTTATTTATTGGGTACCAGAAAGTATTCAAGCCAAATATACGTTACGTTCATTGATGCTTCAATGGATGAGAGGAGTGGAAAGAACCTATCTCTATGAAATGTGTGATGATCGTGAATATTTTGGTTTACTTTATTATAACTCGACCTCGAACAGTGAGCCCCCAACACCAAAACCTGTGTATTACGCTTTGAAAAATATGATTTCGGTGTTGGAAGAGAAACCAAGACAACCTAAATTTACGCTGAAAGAATTAACCATTGAAATGAATCCAAACTCGACTACCAACTCGAAAATTCAACACACGCTATTCCAGAAGAGTAATGGAAATTATTATTTGGCTATTTGGCAAGAAACTTTTGGTTATGATAAGGGAATGTTCTTTAATACGACATCGCTCACTGTGAATTTAAATTTCACACAGTTAAGCATGTTTAATGTGTCACTTATGCGTCTCTACACCTTCGATACAGCCTCAGGAAGCATGACCAATGCTACAGTGGTTTTATCCAAAAAACACAGCAATTTAATTTCAGCCAATTTTCAAATTACAGATACCATGACTCTTGTTGAAATGATCCCACATCAGTCAAGCCCTCCTCCACTCGGTTCTCCAAGTGTAAAACCTGTTCCATCTCCAAGTGGAGGAAATCATCCAGGAAGGTCATTATCAAAAATACCGCCCAAAGACAAAAGTGACAAAGCCAATTCAGGTGAGAAGAGTGGAATGGTGTCAAGCTACCAGGCCATTATCTTGACAAGTATCGTCATCCTTTCGATTTTAATTGTACACTGAACGAGTAAAACAAAGTGAGATTCCAGCAGAGTTGAGTTTGAGAAAAAATTTTGATGAGAGTGGGATTTGAACCCACGCCCTTGCGGAACACGGTATTAATCATACCTTAACGTGTCGTCTTAGACCGCTCGACCATCTCACCGTACGATAACGTCATTCTTTTTTTCAACAAGAGTCTGTTGTCATCCCTGGGCTCTATATATGTAAGTCTTAATTGCTCATGTTTTGTGTTATTCATGCACATACGCACAAACTTCAATGAGAAAGAATAAATGTGTCGAATATGCTCTGCGAACGTTGCAAAGTATGAGCTATTATGGTGGATTAGCGCACAATTTATAAAGTCACTGAACAAACCTGCGCCAAACGAACGACACCTATTTAACCAAGCGACATCTCGTAGCAAGTACAATCTCAAATCAAAAAATTCGCAACATGTCTTTACCTTCAACCTCCTACCTTCTTCAGTCGATCCTTGTTACTGGTGCTTCTCGTGGCATTGGTCTTGAATTTGTTAAACAGTTGCTTCAAAAGACTTCTTGTCACACGGTCTGTGCCACTTGTAGAAATCCATCCAAAGCAGCAGAATTGAATGAGTTGAAGCAACAATTCGCCGATCGCTTGATGATTGAGACATTGGACATCACTGCTGACGACTCAATCACTCGTTTTGTATCTCTCATGAGCAATAAGGGTATCAAGTTTACCTTACTCTTTAACAACGCAGGTATCATGAATTGGTCTGACTCAATGAACGAAACCACTCGCCAAGAAATGTTAAAGACATTTGAAACCAACACTATTGGACCAGTATTGGTTTCACAAAAGATTTACAACCATCAATTATTGGAGAAGGGAGCTCTAATTGCCAATCTCTCAAGCATTTTGGGTTCTATCGAATTGGTACAACCGTATCAGGCAAATTTTACGAGTTATGTTGTCTCTAAGGCAGCATTGAACATGGTCAGTAGACTACAAAGTACGGCATGGAAAGACGTTTATACCATTTCCTTTCATCCTGGATGGCTACAGACTGAAATGGGGGGCTCTGGAGCTGATCTTCCTGTTGCCGTTGGAGTTTCTGGAATGATCAAGGTCATTGAACAGTTTGATCCTGAAACTCAAAATGGACAATTCATCCAGTACGATGGAAAGCAGCTCGCATGGTAAATAGGGAGACGGCTACCATGTAACAACAAGTAAAAAGTTGTTAAAAAGTTCAATATGATTCATTCCATATTACTAATCATGTATAATAATATCAAAAGATTTACAAAATAAGTTATTGGTAAAAAGGTACTACCACTTAAAATTGCTCCACACGTTGGGTAGCTCTAGGAGATGTGCGCTTGTTCGTTTGAGCTTCCAAATCATCTTCTTCGTCATCGCTCTCTTGAGAAGCTGAATGGCTTGCTGATCCATTTCTTTGGAAATTGCTCGTAAATGAATTGGCGAGTGTTGGGGATGAAAGTCTAAATGCATAAATATTGAGTCCTTTGCAAAATTCCCAAACTACAGACACAGCAAAGAATAGATAAAAGCATGAAGCCCACACTAAATTGAAAATAAGTAATCCCTTGGCAGGAATGAGAGGGCCTGTTGATGAAAATATCATGGTCAATCCATTCACCACAAACATGATCATTGGTAGGAGCATGATTACATATTGTTTGGTGAACCTTGGGTATGGTTGATTGGTTACACGTGCAATGTTCATGGTAGTAAGATAAATACCAAAGGTAAGAGCTCCAACAACATAAATAGAAATCCAATTGGTTTGATAGAATGACTTTGCTCCTGCAACATCTGAAGGAATAATTCTAGAGATTAAGGTCATTGAGAAGTACAAGGCAAAAAAGATGAATACTACTAGCAAATCAAGCACAGCATTTGCTAACTCTTGGGACATTTTGAGCATGCTGTACTTTTTGAATTGTTGTGTTGAAATGGCAGAAGCACCAGATTCCAAATCCATGTTTGGCTCATTTGGGAAGGCCTCTTCTTGTGAATTATTGTATGAGTTTGAAAGATCACTTTCCATATTTTTAGAGCGTTGTCTGTAATGTTTTAACACGTGGAAAACAGCAAAAGCTGGTGATGCTAAAGTACCCACAGTTGTAATTAAAATGATCCAAAATGCTAGACTCATTCCCAAAATGGTTTGTTGACCAAAACCAACAACGTTTGACCCAGTTTGAATCATGTTGTAAATACACGAAGCCAAATGCACGCCAATGACTGCAAATTGGCCATCACTAGCAGATACGAAACCCATGTAAAATCTACCTGTATGGTAATGCTCCCAGTGAGCTCCATAAAATGCAAACATCATTATGAGATGCAGGGTCACACGACCAACATCACTAAAGAATGTTGTTGTTTCTGATAATAAAGCAGATGACTTATAAGGGGTCTCTCCTAGTGCAATTAAAAAGGCTAACAAAGTATTAAGGTCAATGAAATTCTCAAAGTCAACTTACACAAACACAAAATTGACATGGTAAGCGCATCGACTCCATGGTCAAAAACTTCTCCCAGAGGAGAACTACTTCCTGTTCTTCTAGCTTGTTTTCCGTCACATCCATCAAAAGTGTTATAAAGGAAAATTAGTATAGAAATTACTACCAAACCCAAATTATAGAGAAATGTATAGGTATTTGTTTCTGGGTTTGCAATGAAAGAATAAAAATTAAGTAATGCCAGAGCAAACGCCAATGCCATGCAAATAAAACCAGTTAATGTGATAGTATTAGGAGCAAGCCATTCTGGAAAAACATTTGCGGTTAAATAATTCCAAAATGGAGACAAAATATAATTCTCAGCCACTGAATTATTCTGTACATCAAACTTATACAATGCCGCAACTAAATTTGGTGTTGGTGTAGAAGAGGGTGATGCAGCTTCAAGGGCTCTTTGTTCTTGCTTTGCCTTTGCAATTGCTTGCAAATAATCTTTTCCTTGTGGAGAAATGAATGAATACCACTTTGGACGTGTGGTAGGCTCGTTCAACGTGGCAAGCCAAATTTTAAGTCGGTTCATCCAATCGACCCTTCCCGATGAAGAATGATGATTCATGACTGCAGGATCGAAACGAACGGAGGTATTACTTTCATCATCAATGCTTTCTCGCTTTCTAGTGATCATGGGTGTAGTATCCTGCTCACTAGAAGGTGAAACCGGGAGAGAATCTCGGCCTTGTGTACTTCTGTCTAGGGGATTAAATTCAATAGTAATTTCTTCTGATGCGTCTTGTTTCATTGTTCGGATGAGGTATTTTCTTCTATGATAATTTCAACCAAAATTAAAGAATACGATAACGACGGATTGTTGTTCTTCTTGTGATCCTATTCCTATTCTCGCACTAGAATTAGAATCCAAAAGAAGATTGAAAACGGTGGGTGCTATTTTTTCTTTCACGCAACCGTTTGATGATGGCAAATTTTCGAGCAGAGGAGAATTGTCTTGCAAAACTTTGAAAAAATGTTTTGGGATGTTCTGAAAGAGTTAATTGATCGGGATCATCAACTACGGCGAGAAGCTGCCAAACGAAAAGAAAATGTGGTCGTAGTTATTTCCGATGATGAAGATGAAGACGATAGCAGGAACAGTTCCAAACATCTTGATGATGATTATGGAAACCTGTTAATTGAATATCTAAATTTTCAAGAGAACCAATCATCAGTATACGACGCATTTATTTCCATGTTGTGCAAGAAAGTGGTAGATGATATGGTTAATTTTAAACAATGTTTTACTGTACCATTTATATTTACTCTTAATTTTAAATATCAAGAAATATTAATTTACACCATCATTAAGTTGCATCACAAATTCAAGAAGAAACATATTTTGGAACTAGTGAATGAATTTATTAGTTACAGCAAGCGTGATCAAAATTCACATGATAATCTTGTTATTCTAAAACAACTATTCAGAGAATTGTGCCGTAAATTGAACGATAGATCGTTGTTAGAAATATTTGACAAGAGCGTTGCAGTTCTACCAAATCATTCGAAATTGTCTATTGCAGCTACTAATTCTTTGAGAGAATGCGTAACGGATCTATACCAAACCAAGACGGTATCTAGACGAAGGACAATAACACAGCAAGATTTATCAAATAATATTTCTAGCAACATAGTTAATAAGAAACGAGGTCTAGATGAATTTGTACCAATTGAAGAAAACAAGGAGGACGACATTGAGAGCATCACCAAAGAAAATAGTCAAAAAAAACTGAAATCAATCAATACTGAAGCCAAATCCTTGAATAATGCCAACTTGCTATCCAATGACACTCCAAAAGATTTGAGTACTGATCAAAAAAAAGAAATTACAAAATTCAAAAAGATACTAGAACGAGCAACCAACCCAAAAAGTATTACAATGGACTTGTTGATTTCTATAATCAATTCAGCAGAGTCTATCGAGCAATTAAGCCAGATTTTCAAGGACCTTAACGTTGAAAAGTTGAACGACTCGAATCTATTACATATCACTCAAAATCTAATTTCCAAGACTGGATTGGTCACTTCTTCCAAATATCTGAGCCATAATATTCAGTGTGACATATTTGTACAAAAGTTTTTACAGCCGAGAGTACTGTCAATGAAACAAAAGGCGTCAAGGCATTTGTTTTCATGCTTGCAACACGTTTGTGGAAATCCTGACTTTACAAACATTGTTATTGATAGAATTATTATAGGACTATCCACATTACAAAGCGAAGACAGATCGACCCAATTATCTGTAGACCAAGTTGAAATTATTACTAGAATTATGGATAAAATTCTTCAAACAGAAGGCAAGATTTATTTACTAAAACAAATACTTGAATACACTGAAAACAAACGAATGGTATGGAATGAAGAAGTTACTATTAACATTCTCAACAGAATTTTAGAAACCAAAAATGTTGCTTCAAAGTTGGAACCACATGCTTTAGAATTGATTCTACGACAACTTGAAGAAATGGTCAAACTCTTTTCAAAGTCTCTTAAATTCTCCTTATTGATTGGAAATTTCATTAGTATCATCAGCAACTCGAGTGGGTCAGTACTATTACAGTCATATTATCCCTCGCTGAAAGATATCATCCACCAGCTTGAAAATAAGATGAAGGATACACTCGAAAAGAAACTTGAATCTATGCGGGCTCAATGATTAATGACTATTGTCTATTATTTTGGACATCCAGGTAACAATTGCAGGACGGAAGTAGGTCATGTCGAATGGCTGGCACGCTTGGATTTAGTGAGCGAATATTGTGTTCTTTTCATAGGTACACTGGAACGGGTTGGTTCGTGCGTACTTTTGTACAGTCCTGAGGACTCTCCTTCACACCATTTACAGGCACACGTTTCTCCTCTTGCTGGTAGCCCTCTTGCTAGATGAATGGTCCAAACTCAAGACCGACCCCTGCGTGCGTTCTTTCTTGCGCATTTCATGGCTCAGCTCAAATCTTTGCAAAAGAACTGTGCTGTTGTTACTGATTTAAATGGTTCTCAAGCTCTATGGTCTTTACTTTTCCACTTGTGTTCAACGTGTCGTGACCACTCTCAAAGAAAAGAATGTTGAATTTGAATTGGTTCCAGTCGATCTTTCCAAAGGTGAACACAAACAAGCTGCATTCCTCGAGAAGCAACCTTTCGGAGTCATTCCAGTCCTCGATGATGACGGCTTTTTAATCTATGAATCTCGTGCCATTTGTAGATATTTGGAACAAAAGTTCAAGAATCAAGGAACCCAATTGATCCCTACTGATTTGAAGGCTTTGGGTCTCTTTGAACAAGGTACTTCTGTTGAGACTTCGTACTTTGATGCCAATGCTAGTGGACTTGCCTTTGAATTGGTATTTAAGGCATTGTTTGGTGCTGGAGCACCTGATGAAGCTCGTGTCAAGTTACTCACTCAAAAGCTCACTACAACCTTAGATGTCTATGAAAAGATCTTGTCCAAGCAAGAATACATTGGTGGAAATCAATTCACCTTGGCTGATATTTATCACTTGCCTTACGGTAATTACTTGTTCCATCCTCAAGTCAATTTGGGACACTTGATCAATGATCGTCCTCATGTAAAGGCATGGTGGGAAAAGATTACAAAGAGAGATTCTTGGGTTCACGCTTTAAAGTTGGCAAGTCATTAATTGATGACTGATGGTCTATAAATATTTGACCTGGTAATTATGGCCTTTGTAAATTGGCTCGTTCGTATCCATTCAAATCAAATAAAAAATGTGTCGCTTGCTTTTCTTTATGATCGCACTCTTGCTATTTACAAACTTAGTTGAAGCTTCCAATCAACCAAAACGAGGATTAACGATACAACTCCACCAAGCCATTGAGCAACGAAATTCAAGGGAAGTGGCAAAGCTTTTAAGAGAAGGAGCAGATTTTACGGAATACGTCCAATACACGGTACGTACATTGATCAAAAGCTTACTTGGATATCAATGTTATTTTCATAAATAACCGATCGGAGTAGTTTCTCAGACAAAATAGTTTTGATGTAGCACGTTACTATCATTTTGAAGATGAATATAATAACATTGTAAAGAATTGGTTGACTGAAGTTGCAAGCACGTCAAAGAACGGAAGTCATGCTTCATCATCTTTCAGCAACTTGTCGTTACAACTTGTTTTATTATTCATTTTTCTCATTGTTCTCTGCATTTCAATCTGTATTGCAGTGGGTTGCCTCAAAATCCTCAGAACCTATTGGACTCCAAGAGAAGTAAATTCTTCATCACTTTCAACACAACCACAGGATGCTACAATCGAAATCAACAACTCTCGTAATTTACACTCTCAGAGCTCATCAATAACGCCCTCCAATGAAAGTTTAGATGAAGATCACACTCTATGTTGCATTTGTTTCGAAAGGAAGAAAGATACAGCCTTAGAATGTGGACACGTGTTTTGTGCGTATTGTGCCAACAAATGCACCACCTACTGTTTTACTTGTAGAAAAAGAAACTCTGGCAGGACAATCAAAATATATTATTGAAAGCATGTCCAAAGAGTTAAGACATCCTGTACAGTACTAATCCAACCGTGCATTTTGCAGTGGTTGCTGTCTTTCAATCAAAATGGTGAAAAAAAAACAAAAAAAAATTGTCTTCAACGGAATATCATCACACAATAATACAAATTCATCATACAAATGGTACTTTCGTGGGTTGTTGCAGGAGTTTCAATTGGAACAGGTCTTATTTTTGCAAGAGCATCTCTCCGAGCACTTGCTCGTACCCGAGCTACAGCATCACTTAACGCCGCATCGATGAATAAAACCGGCTTCACTCTCAATACTGATTTCCTCTCCAAACCAATTTATGGAAGAAACTTTGCAGAGGGATCGTTTAACCCTGAAATGTCAAAGAAGGAAGCATTGGATATTCTAGGTTTCGGTAAGACTGTAAAACATGTAACGGAAGAAGATGTGAAGAAACGACACAGAAAATTGATGTTGTTGAATCACCCTGACAACGGAGGAAGTGCTTATATTTCATCTAAAATTAATGAAGCAAAGGATTACTTGCTCGGAAGATACGGAAGAGATTAAAACAATTTACGAACATTTATTCATATAATTATTATTCGACAATTACATTGTAATCCTACGATCCTTTGATGAACAAATTGCAGATGATCCTTCTTTGCACCATCGACTTTTTTGTCGGTTATCAGGATTCATACAATTTAATGTTTCACAATTGTTGTTGGTTCTTTATTTCAACGCCTCTCGCACTTGATCTAGCAGTTGAGATAATTCAGTAAACTCTTCCGAATTCTTGAATATTTCCTGAGATCGTTTGGTGACTGATTTAAGAATGTCCTCAGCCATGGAAAGATATTGAACTTCCTTATCTTCTTGATTGTGTTCCTTGAACCATTTGGCCACACGAATTTGCAATTTTACAAGCTCAGAAACCGAGAAGGCAACCAATTCAAACTTAGATTTTTCTCTTTCCCATCCTGACATTTGCAAACTTCTGCATAGCCTTTGTCGCTTATCTACAGCTTGCTCCAAATATTTGATTTTTTCTTCGCTCAATTCATCTTTGATGGAATCTGCTAAAATTTCATAGTATCCAGCATAAGATTTCCAAACATGAGGATCTAACGAAATTTTATCAGTAATCTTTTCGAACATCTTCAACAATTCTTCTTTCAGATGTTCTCCATGAGGTACGGGCGACTTTTCCAATAAAATCTTTAACACCCTCAAAAATAAGAAGAAAACATCCGTGTCAAGTTTTTTGTCTTCTTTGATGTCTACCAATCTTTTAACTGCTGTAATGGCGTAATCAAATTCATTGGCCTCAATAGAAACATAGAGGAAATTTTGCCATATTTTCCAGCTGTCGTATGCCAATCGAGCTGCTTCTTTCAACGCTATGAATGCACTCTTTCTGTATAAATGTATATATACATTACAACACCAAATCAACAAGACACTCAAAACAACTTACTTTTGTCCTTGATGTAAACGAACATTGGCTAAATTACTCCATGATTCAGCATCCTCTGGATTTTGTTGTGTCACTCTGGAAAAAGCAGTTTGTGCTTTATCCCACTTTTCACATCTCATACAGCAAAATCCGTAAATAAACCAAGCATTTGTGTGCAAAGCAGAAAGCGCAAGAGATTCCTCAAATTCAGGAATGGCTTTTTCATGTTCCTGTTTTTCAGTGTAATAATATCCTAGGGCACGTTTGGCTCTTGCAAATCTCTTTTCTGAAACTTCCCATGCCTTCAAATACATGTCCACACAAGTTGGGTATTGAGAGAGAATTTGTTCTTCACCTTCGACATGATATTCTTGACGAAGATTTTCAGAACGTTTCAAATCTCCAAGCATACACCATAAGAGAGGATTATCTGGCTCTTCCAATAACTTTTCAATAACCACTTTCTTTGCTCTATTTTCTTGATCAAGAGAAATGAGAGTTTTCATAATTTCCTCAAACATTCCATATTTTCTGAAAATCACTAGAGAACTTTCAAGGAGACCTGATTTCGAGTAAATAAATGCCAATTCTCTCTGCAAGTCAAATATTGGCGGATACCCAAGACAATAGAAATATTTGATACGTGAGGAAACAGATGGTTCAGTATCTTTCAAGTGAGAGACAAGCTTTTCAAACTGTTCAATACTTCGAACTAGGTGATTAATTTTGTCACTCTCCAGCCTGGCTCGTAGCCATAATGCTGTGGATTGAACAAGCCAATTTTGTGGGTGCTCAATGACTCTGAGAATATATGGCATCATTTCTTCTTTGGTAAGACCATGCTCTGGGTTCGTGTTCTTTAGGTCCATGCTATGACATGGTGAGAGAAATAAATCATCTTCATTTTAAAACTTACCACTTGGCAAGAATGATCACTTGATCGATGACTCGCAAAACAGATTTTGATAAATCTTGCTCATTTTCAGCCAAGTCGATGGACGGTTTTTCAAGTAAATGAGTATCTTCATAGTGTTGCACAACCTCAGGAAGTCTTGATTCTTCTGTCTTGTTGTCAACTGTTCTACTTTTTGCTTCTAACACAAGGTGTGAGGTTTTAAAAGATTGATATTTGGTTTTCACACCAAGTTTTCCTGTCACATTAAGATAGAGGCCAGTAACAAGTTTAGCTTTTTCAAAACTATGTTGAGCAAATTTTTGTCTATTAAAGTGATAATCTACTAATCCCTTCTCAACATAATATCTTGCAATCAATTCATCATCTTCTACATTGAAATTCTCAGTTGGGAATTTTGAATCCAAAATTTCAAAGCTTCTAGTAACTGCATTTAACAAAGTTTCGGTCGAAAAGGTCATCAACTTTTGGTGAATGATATTTACTCTAACTCTCCACCACTCATAGCTTTCCAAGTTGTTAATCAGGTTGTTATCCAAAAAACATTTTGCAACAAGTAAATAGTGTGGAATTGTTGTCATGGCAAAAGCGGTCTCTCCATTAATTGAAAGTTTTGAAATGGCATACTTTTGAATATACTTTGCAATATTATGTGTTGATTCAACTTGTAAATATTCACTACTACCAGAGGATGTAATCATCGGAAGGGATGACAAGGTCTTGTCAAAATTAAATGTAGGTCCACAAAGTTATGCTGCACAAACGTATGTAAATAAAGAATACCATAGAGTAAAAGGAGTATTGAATTTTGTGGAGTCTGTTCAACAAATTCCGATATGGATTTCTCTAAATTCTGATAGCATTCTGTAAATGAGTGTTTAATGTTTAGAAATCATTTCGAAAAAGTAAATACATACCATCTAATAATGATTTAATTGTTGCATAATTTTGAGTACCGTCGAGGCTTGACAGAGATGCAAATATTGAAGAGAAGACTTTTTGGTACGATTCACCGTGAATTGGAAAGAAGTTTCCGTTCAAAATACATGATGTCAAGTGGAGTATTTCTTCACTAGCATCGTGATGATTTTCATTCTTGAGACGATAATTCTCGAATTCAGCCTCATCGGAGAGAATGAGAAAGCGTTCGAGAGGAGGCAGCATTTTTTTCTTCACTTTTAAAATTGATGCTCAAGTTGAGCTTGTTTTGTGCGTACGCAATTTCTGCTCACTTTACAAAATTAATAATTTACATTGGAGTGTTTGTAGGATACGAGTTGTTTCAAGCTTCGTAGCTCACTCGAAAGCTTGGTGTTAGTGGAGAGTCTAACAGCTGCATTGTTCTCAACTTGTTCTGAACGTAGCTTAATTTTGTCCAACTGTTTTTCTAGCTTTTGAATTTGCTCATCCTTATATTTGATGAGCTTGTCAATCTTTTCAGTGTCAATAGATAAGGAGCCGCCAGAAGTTGAAGACTGATCCCCATTATATTGGGCTATTTGTTTTAGAAGATATGTTATTTTCTGTTCACTCTCCTTCTGTAGCTTGATTTGTCTTCGCTCGAAAACTAATTCAGTTAATCGTATGTGATTCTGGAGATTTTCAATCATCTTGTCTCGTTCTTTTAAGGATAAATCGTACTCTAGAAGCTTTTGTTTCTTTGATTTCTCATCTTCTTTAAGTTCTATCACTTTTTCAAAGTACTGTTTCAAGAGCACTTTGGCCTCTGCAAGCGAGTTGATGTCATTGAAACGAGAAAGTGAGAGAGAAGAATCGCTTTCCTCAACTCTGAGTCTGTTTTGAACTTGTTCAATAGTTTCGTTTTTAAATTCAATTTCAGCATCCAGAACCTCTGTTCGTTCATTAATTTCTTGAAGTTCCTCCTCTTCTTTCTTGATTTGATCTTTAGCTTTTTGCTCCAGTTTCTCTCGCTGTCGTAACATCTTCTCTCGCTTTTGATGTAAACTTTCAATTTGTAATTGCAAATCATTGATTATTTTTGCTTCAGTTTTCAAGCAATTATTACTGTTAGATGTTCTCTTGCTCTTCAAAATTGTTTCCTTTTCCACTATTTCTCTTTCCACTTCCTGTAGCTGGTTATGGATGTCAACCATGGATTCTTGCATATGTTGGTTCTTTCGCATTTTCCTCATTTCAATATCTTGTTTAGCGGACAGCATTTTCTCTTTCTCTTGAATTATTGCTTCTCTTCTTGCTAACTCCTTTTCAAGAGTCTCAATAGCCTCCTTTTTAGTCATATATTTCTCAATTTCTTTATCGAGCCATTCTTTCTGTTTATCAATATCTGCAGAAATAGATTTGCTTTTTGAAACACGAGATAATTGATACCTATTTAACCTCAGTTGTTGGTTGACTTTCTGAACCTCTTCTGATTTTCGTTCTAAAATTTCTTTTTGTCGCTGATTCTCAGTCTCCAGCTCTCGTATTCTCTTTTGACTAGCTTCCCCTTGTTTCTTTAGAGCAGATATTTGCTTCAGTTGAGAGTTGTATGTTTGGCTCTGTTTCTCCGTTTCTTCTTTGATCTTGCCTTTAAGAAATTCTTGCTGTGATTTCATCTTTGTAATCTCTGTCTGTAGATCATACACTTTTCGATCGCTTTGATACTTTAGCTTCATCAGCCTTTCATTTTCAGTAGCTTTTTTCCTTAGATCGGATAATTGCATATTTTGCTTGTTCAGTCGATCTTCATAGTCAAGCTGAATTCTTTTTTTTTCTTCTTCCTTTTTGCCTCTCTCCATGTCGGCGGTTTCTAGAGCATTCATCAATTTCTCTAACTCTTGTTGAGTCGCAACTACCGAATTCTCCATTTCGATAATCTTCTTTTCGTATTGCTCTTTTAGAACAATGGACTCATGTTCGCTCTTTAACAAATCCTTGATCAACTCCTCTTTTAGTTTTATCATTACAGTAAGGTCTTTCAAACTTTGTTCCAGCTTTCTTTGCTTTCTTAAATACATTTTTTGATGTTCTTGCATTTGTTTTTCAATCATTGATTTTTCAAGCTCAATTTGGCTTTGTTGGTTGTACATTAATGTTTTCTCTTTTTCAAGATTTTTGATTTCATCTTCTAACTTGCCAATCTCTCCATCCTCTTGGCCATCTGTTTGTACATCTTGTTTCACGTCATTGGTTTCTGGTATTTTTGGTGCACTTGTTGTGGGGAGTGGAGGAACGGCAGTTACGCCCAATTCTTCTGGAAGGCTTTGGATGTATTCTTCAAGTTGAGCTACTCGTTTCATCTCAGAATCAAGATCTTGCTTCAAGGCTTGGACATTCTTTTTAAGAACCCAATTTGTTTTAGATAACCTCTTAATTTCTCGCATCTTTTCAGTAAATATTTTTTCGTCACGTTTGAGATCGTCTTTTGCTTCTTTCAGTTCTTTAGTAAGAGAATCTATCACCTTATTCTTTTCTTCTATCTCATGGTTTTCAGCAACGACTTGCTCAATGTTTGGTAGTCGAGGTGATAAACTTTGTAACTTTTCTTTTCTTTCTGCATTTGCATTGAGGTCGTAATTGGCAACATCTTCCAATACTTTGATGATCTCAGTTATTTTCTCTTTTGGAATGTCAAGTGTGCTCCAAGGAACTTTGAAAAGAACTCGCAATACTTCTTTAACGCGCTGACGAAAACTTTGTATCTTATGTAAGTACATATCGCGTTCTGCCTCCATTTTGAAAATGCTTTCGCTTAGCTCTGTAATTTTTGAATTGCTTGAAGAAAGCTGATCTCGAAGTAATTTTGTCTCATCCTTGTGGTCGTGAACGCTTGCTAATTGTAGTAAATTGCTTGATGATGGTGTTTTCTTTTGAATCTCCAATAGAAATCGTTGGTTGTCTTCAAACTTTAGTAGCTCTTCTAGCGAATCAGAATATTGCACTCCCTCTGATGACATTTTCTGTTGAAGAAGAGCCAATTTTAAGGCATGTATTTCATTTCTGAGCTGATCTATTTGCATAGAATGAGGATCAATGTTCACAACTGGTTTGTTCTTGATGTTTCTGGCTCTGTTTGCATATTTTAGGGTATTCAATGTCTCCTCAAAGTTTGAATCTGCTGGAGAAATGCATGCTAACATTACGGTACGACTATTTCCTCCTAAACTATCCTGTAACAATCGTGTTAATTTAGAATCTCGATAAGGAACATGTGTAGTGTGCGCTCTTTTTTTCTCATCTCCCAGAGCACTTATAACGTTTCCTAGGGCAAGTAATCCACAATTAATTTGGACGGCCTCTTTAAATCGAACGCCAACAGCTCCAGTTCTTTTCGTTCTTTCACTTCCTGCTAAATCAACAAGATGAAATTTGGCTGTCATAGATTGGCCTGACGTTGCCTCTCCTTCATTTCCGGTTTTCAGTCTTTGTTCAAGAATTATTGTAAATATTGAATGAGATCTGCTTGACACTTCGTTCATCAAAGTACTGCCTACAGTTCTATATAAACTCCCCGTCTCTAAACATCCAATCATGTCATCATACGATTGAACCGATTCCTCCTTAATTCCTACTAGTAAAATTCCTTTTTTTTCATCCTCTCTTATTTGAATTAATTTTGTTGATGTGGACGGCGACAATAGATCTTTTATCGTTTCATTGTAAATCTCAAGAAACGAAACTCGCACTAAAAAATCTGCATCTGATCGTTGCTTGATAATTTCAAAAATGTTCTGTATTACTCTTGGTATTACTCCTAGTTCTTCATCTAGTAAATTTGTTGAGTTAGCTGTGCCCATAGTGTATGTTTTTCCGGAGCCCTAGTTGACAATTTAGAAAAATAATCTCAATACGAAAACCTACTGTTTGTCCATAGGCTAGAACCGTTGCATTGTAGCCTTGAAATAACCCTTCCACTAAATTTTTGACGCTGACATTATACACTTGTTGCTAATATAATATTAATTCTCGGGTAGTTATCATTTCTACTCACCTGCTGAGATTGTTGTCCAAAAACATAATCGAAAGCAAACGTTCGATCTCTTCCGACAATAATTTGACTATTTACAGGGTCCATTGTTACACATTCCCGACTCTTTTCAAGCTTTTCCTTAGGCAGCATTGGCCTCACACGTACTCCCACCTTTACTGATGACGAGTCTGAGGATGTGGGTGTCTGAGGTAGCGTATTTCCATTATTATTATAATTGTTTGGACTTGTTGGTTGTGATGATGACACCTCCGATGTATTGCTATTAAAGGCTTGTTGTTGGTTGGAATTGACAAGAGTTTCGTTTTGATTCATTTTTTTGCATTTGTTGTTTCTACAAATGGCGGGAAATTTTTTAGTGTCAAAAATATCTTATATTGAATTTATTTACACTTACATATGCTACAGAACTAACAGAAGGTTGTTGTAAATGCGAATGATTTGAGTACTAATCTTTGTGTTGGTCCGCAACGTGTTTGATAATTCTGTAAAAAGTGTTATCCATGATAGGCTTCAATGAATCCAAATCAATTGCTGTGGTAATGTGAACTCGGATGTCTTTTCGATTCGTTTGCTCCATAAACTTATTGACAATGAAATCAATGTTTCCTGTAAATGAGTCATTCAATAAATAAGTCATTCCATTCTCTGAAGTATCATTTCACTTACGTTTGATGAATGATTGTCCAAATTCAAACCAATACTTGTAGACTCCTTTCAAAAATATCCTACGGTTGGACCTTGTAATGTCGTTCGTCGTGATTTGGCTCTGGTCATCTCCAGCTGTTCGTGTGTTTGACAATTTCCAGTCCGAGTAATTAATTTTGTCCAATACTTGTTGAGCACGATTTTCTTGTTGAATGTAGAGAGCATATTTGGAAATGACAATGTTTTCATCAATATCTGATTGATATCGTAGACATAAACTTCTCCAGACGAGATCACTATAGTATTCAATGGAGTTACATGATCAATGTTCATTTACAAAAAAAAATTCATAAATCTCCATCATGTAATACAAACATACCTTGTGGCAATCTTATAAAACTCATAATTCACTTCGCTGAGAGCACACAATTCACGAGCTTCCAAAAACATGCACACATAAATTAAGGCATCTTTTGGAAGATCTGGAATTTTGTGAATATCTACTTCTTCACAATATGTCCATTCTGCATCATCATCTAAAACATCATTTTCAGTATCGTCATCACAATCTGCTCCAATATTGTTACTTGTAAGTTGTTGCATTCCTCTGACATGAACATTGGAGTAAGTCTGACTCATAATTTGTCTTAATAAATTGTCGTCTGAGAGGCGTTTTGCATTTCGATTCATGGTACTCAGCGAGCTACAGGATGCCTTACTTTCTTCTTCAATGGCTTGATCAAGAATAGAAAGAGTTCTTGGAGCTTCATCCTTCTTCTTTTTTCTCTTTTGTGGAGATATGACGTTTTGTCGTGAATTTGAAGCTTGTTGAATATGATGAATATTCGACTCGTCGATTTCTCTTCTTGATCGAGGTGTTAAAAAACCAAACAGTGAAGGCTTCTTTTTGTTTTGCTGTTGAAGAGCCTTTTTCAAAAGCTTTCTCTCTTCTTTTGAAATTAAGTCATCGAAAATATTCTTTTCCTCCTTTTGAGAGAGAACAAAATCGTCAGTATCTACGACGTCATCATTTCCATTTCTTATTTCATAGGAGAGAGATCGTTTGTTTCTTCGAACTTCAGTTGAGGTTTCAATAAATTTATCAAAAGGTAAATCTTCAGTTTCTGCCTCGAGTTGTTTCTTATGATTGCTCAACCTCTCCTGAATGAAATTACTGGCAAATTGGTAAAATGGATTATTAGCATTCAATTTTAAGTCATCTGGAACTTCCTTTCCAAAAGCTATAGATAAATCATATTTTTGTAATTTTTCTAAGAATACATCATACTTGTTGAATATTAAAAATACAGGCACATCGGCAAAATAGGTAGAATTTACAATTTCATTAAATACAAGAAGGCTTTCTAGCATTCTATTGGATCTTCTGTCTGTAAAATGTTCGTATGTGTAGTCATCACGATGCAATGATTCACAAGATAATATTCACAACATGCAAGTCAATGAGAAATATATCTTTCAGACTTCAAAAACATACCTTCGTAGAGAACTTGATTGAATTCAGAGAGAGCAACAACGAAAAAGACTGCACTAACATCGTCAAAGCTGTGAATCCATTTTCTTCTTTCACTTCGTTGTGAACCCATCTTTTTAAAAAATATAGATCGTACCATATTATAATAATAATAATTGGTAATAATTGGTTGGAAATAATTGATAATAATTGGTTGGAAATAATTGATGAGACTTACCAAAACTACTTTGATTGGTTTGTGCATGATATATGTTTTTGAACCTTCCTCCGAATCTTTGACAAGCTTGTTTTCAATAATGGGCTCCATATTCTGAGGTAAAATATCATCTAAATCGAGAGTAAACTTGGTATCTTGAAATCTGTCTTGTATCGTATAAGACACAACATAATCTTTCTTTTTCTTCTCCATTTCTTTAAAACTTGAATATGCATCAATGCTCATGGAACCATCAAATGATTGGTTGGCGTGTAGCATGTCTGAAGAATGACTGGATCGTTCAACATCCAGTCGAACCTTTTCATTTTCACAATTATAATAATAATATGAAGTTGTTTTCTTAATCTTGATAGGAAAATGAAGCATGGTTTCGACAATTCCCGTCGTTCGTACTCTCACTCTTAGAATGTCACTCATTGTGGGAACATAATTTGGATCAGTGATTCTATCGAGGGAGGTAAACCAATGTCGAGCGCTTTCCATGTGTTCGAAACACAATTCATGACCTCTGTTATAGGTCTCCACAATTTGAGGAACTTCATTCCACAAATATTTAATTTTTTCTGCGACTTGTTTTGTTAAATGCCAATCTGGTGTCATGGTAGACACACTATCCATGATGGTATCAAGACAATCTATGAGATAATAATCACTGACAGTATCCAATTGATCGTATGGAATATTTCTGAAATGATTAATACTTCCATCCACCAAAGAAAACATGGCCAAAATGACATTTCTGTGGATGACACTCACATACTCTCGACGAACTTCGGGACTTTTAAAACTTGTTGTAAAATCCTCTCGCAAATCAATACTATCTTTCAATGACTCTTCGTATATTATACAATTATTGAAACCTGATGATAAATCGGATGATGATGAAGATGAGGCTTGGGTGCTTCCATTTGCTCCCAATAGATGAAATGAATGATCGAAACTAAAGTTGGCTGCTCTCGGCGATTTGGGAGGAAGATTGGATGATGAGCCTCCTCGATCAAAGGATGCCGATGATGAGAATAAACCAAAGCTTGAGCTTGCCATATGGCTTGATGAGCCTGAATAGGATGATGATACCAGTGTAGGATATCCCATGGATGATTGCATTTGTTGTTGTTGTGGTGCAAGAAATTGTTGTTGATGCGGAGTTACACTGATCATGGTGGATGTCATGGATGGAGAAGACAATGAAGCCATACTTCCGTTCAAATGACTGAGATGGCTATTACTGCTGGGCAATGAGGATGCCATCATGCCGCCTCCAGCTACACTCGTTAGGGGTGATGATGTATTACTATTGCCTCCATTGGAAGATGATGAGAGATTATTGGTTGTGGTTGTCGTCATGGTTGCTGTACTAGTGCCGGTTGCTGTTGCTAGGTTCGTCATGGTTGTTGTTGTACTACTATTGGTAGCATTAAAATTATTCGTATTGAATGATGAAACTGGAGAGGTGGACGAGGGAGTAGAAGAGCTTCCGATGGAAGTATTCATTGGGTTGTTGTTACTGTTGTTGTTGTTGTTGGAAACAATGAATTTTCGTTTTGGAGGATACCAATACTTGAGAGCTTTGAAAGTCGTTGATTTTCCTCCTATATGAATCATCATCATGATGTATATAATTTCGTGATTGAAAAGAGTTTGTTCGGCATGGCAATTATGTCATTACAGTGGTGAAAGATTTAAAAATTGTTATTGATCAATAATAATTAACACACAATCACGAGAATGTATTTCCGTATGATTTGAAAAATTTCTCCAATGATGACGATCATTCATGAAACTGAACTCCTTACCTTCTCCTGTTCCCAGCAACACTATTTTGGTGGGCTTCTTGACAGGCTCCAGTGGATCATTGGGTGTTGTGTTCTGGTTGACTCTAGCTGATAAGTTCGGGTAAAGCAAAGCAGCATTTTGTTGATGTGACAGCTTGACACCCATTTTTTCTCGATGAAAATTTCGAAAGTCCCTATTTCGAGAATCAAAATTATATGGTAAAATCGTTGGAATAGATTGCTGCAGCCTTTTATTGTGTTGTGGCTAGATGGCCGTCTAGCTAGATTGACAACTTGGAACGCCTGATGGATTCTAATTCCCTTGTGTCAATACATGTCGAAATGAGTATAAAAATCAATATTTGTTGTCCAATCAACTCGATGTTGTTAAGTTTTGAGGTAGCGCTTCTTCAAAGTGATTTCTCTCTTTCGTTTGAAGTTCAGTTTCTGCATTTGTTGACGCACATATTATTTATAAGCACTTCAGCTGTCATTATTCTCTTTACTATGTGATGCTTTAATGTGAATTACCGAATTCCAAATTGAGAGTGAATATTGCAAAATTCCGAGACAGTGAATGTATTAGAAGCAAACCAGCTGACCGGGTTTTGGTCTCTCGAGTTCACCCGTGCATTTTTCTTCTGTTATATTGATAGATTCTCAGAGTGTTCGGAATGCCACACTTGTATTTTCTTTTACCTCAATCACGTTGTTCTTTGCCAAAAGCAGTGTAAAAAAAAATTCCATGAATTCCCATCTTCAACAATCAGCCAACACTCGAGTCGTATGGGATAGCCGCACTCATGAAATTTGTCCACTACAACAATTACCCTCTCCTGAATCTGTTGAATCTCCTACACAACGAAGAACAGTATTAGAAAACACAATGCTTTCATCTCAAGAGTGGTGTCAAGGGCTCCATCTTTTGCGTCATTCGCACAGCATGCAAATGAACACTGTTGGAGGCAGTGCAACTTGCAACGATGACAACATGCACCAACACCATCATGGTTTCTATCAATGGGAGGTTGTCAATGTCGTGAGCGAGGGAATACATGCACGGTATCAAGGACGAGGGGCGCATGCACCTTTTGATACGCAAATACCACTTGGAGAATTGACTCCAGAGGCTTTAAACCCCATCGAAATGCAAAACGTATTGAATAATTACTACAACCACCCTACCAACACATCGTTTCCTTCTTCTTCTTCTGAAGTAGTACAGAATACGACATGCCACATGTTGCAAGCATCAACCTCCCCATGCGCATGGCTTCAACATGCTTCACTTCTAGAACTCATTAGAAAGGATCCTTCTCAACATGTGAAGGATTTAGAACATACACATCTCTCACGACTGTTAACATATATTCACAACATGGGCGAAACCTTCTCATCGATGAAATTTGATATCTTCTCAGCTCCCAACGCCCAACATAAAGAGAGAATTGACAAAGCACAAAGTGCAGTCTATGTCATGTCAGGAAAGTTATATTTTCCGAAGAAGGAATTTATTCGTTTGAGTTTAAAAGCCATGATGGATGCTCTCTCCCAACACATCAAAGATTTATCGAGAAGAAATTCGATATGGATTTTGGTGAACCATCAATTTTACTACACCACCTGCGATGCCAAGAGAGTGAATTTTCCGAATTGCGATAACATTTTACAATTGAATACAGACCAAACGGTGTCTTTAAGGAGAGAAGATACGCTAAATGGGTTTTCTAACAAGGCAGTGTCTCCTACTAGTGCTGTATTTCGATTCAAACGTTCCTTATTTGAGAAATATCATCCCAATACAGATCTTCCCACTCATACTTTGGAAAAAACAACATTGATTTGTAAGAGAATAGCAAAACCAACTTCAAACCCAAATAAGAAAGGAAAAGAACATGATATTTGGTTGAGGGTGGACAAGGAATGATTCCAATTTTGATACTAATTCCATGATCACGATATGAACAACATCCAAGATAGTCAACGAACTGAAAAATCGAGAAATATCCAACTAATTGCAACCCTTTTCAAATTTATTGAACCCGTCAATGAACAATTTAATGCTTGTACTCCAGTATAGCCCAAACTTGAAAATGTACATACTTCTTATCATGCTCGAAAAGAACATGGTCTCTCTTCTTACCATCATACAGCTCACGTGTGAAAATATTCTTACCGCTGTCAAAGGAACAGTGAATGGTACATTTTACCTTATTACTACACTGTGTGAAATCGTTGGCAAAATCAGCTCTAAACTTGCCAGATTTCTTGTCATAAGAAACCTTGACCGATAGTCCATCTCCAAATAATTTCAAAGTTTCTGAAGTCTTGGTATCTGCATCTGTAGTTAGAAATTGAGAAGCTTTGAAAGAGTGATCAACTTGATGGATCGACTTGGAATCCAAATGATTATTCCAATCAATTTCTAATAACTCGAGTATTTCTGAATTATTCAACATTTCTTGATAACCGTTTGTAAAGATATGTTGAGAATCCTTCTTGACAACCTCAATAGAGGTTTCGAATGGTTTCAACATTTCCTTTGTGAGTTTCTTGGCTTTTTTGTTACCGTCTTTCAATTTATTTCTCAAAATGAAAAGCTTGCAATCAAGGGCTATATCAGATTGAAGAATTTCATTGACCAATTTAATTGATCTTCCCGAAGAATACAATTCAACCATTGTGTTAAACAGTTCCTTGTCATTCAACTTGGATCCAGTTTCAATTTTGAGTTCCATTTTTGTTTGTGTTGGTAAATTACTTTCCAGTAATTTCCTCAATTCTTCCAATTCGAAATATTGAACGAGTTGGAAAACAACTTTCATTCTTTCAAATTCATGTGCAGAATACACTTGTTCACCGTACAAATATTTGAATATAATGTCAATATCACCATCTTGCAAATCTTCTTTTTTGACAGGAAAGCCATCTGTCAAATCAACAACAATACAATCCATTTCCTTATTGCATGATTCCATCTTGTTTAGAATTAATGGACTTCTTCTTGCAATAAAATCATGAAGATTAAAATCCCTAATAGGAGTCTTAACAATAACATTCGGAGACACCACAACCTTTGGTTTCTTTCTATCTTGTTCTGGAATTTCATCGGATAATGGATTGGCATGATAAAAATTCTCTCGAATAAATTTCAACAATTGATTGGATGAATCAGTGGAAGAAAAATCTTCTTCATCATCCATTTCATCATCCATATCTTCTTCTTCGTAAGATGACCATTCTTCTTTACGGCTGCGCTTTGACATTTTTTTTGATCTAAAATTTTGTACTGGAAGTTTTTGCTTAAAGCCGTTGTTAAACGAGAAAAGGCGGTTCCTTCGAAATGCAAGTTCAATGAGAGTCCACTCGAGTTTACAACACAGTAATTAAGTGACCTATCTTACAAGTGTTCAAGTACCGAAATTATTCTCCCTTCTGGTTGTTTCTAATGAATGGGTTGTTTCACTATTGAAACCGTTTTGGAATTGTCTTTCACACCTTATAAATACAGCATTGCATTGCATCTTTATATCCATTGGTTTTTTTCTTCTTATTTCTTGTGATTTCTAAAGTTATGGTTGAGACGTTAATTTGAATTTGAAAAGCAATGGGAATTCCTTAATTCAAAAAAAATCAATTACCAAAACCTTAAAAATGTTGCTCTCGAATTCAGAAAGAGTGGAAAAAACGATTTCATGAGCACTTCGAAAACATCCTCTCCTCCGTCCTCACCAATTTTCCCTCCCAGTATTCCTTCCAGCGAAATACTTTCATCTCCATTGAGCTCACCCTCCGACTCGTTTCTTCAAAATGTTATAGGTGAACAAGTAAATCTACCAGAGCTACCATGGGATGGACATTCCACCCTGGCATCTTCCAGCACAGACACCATTCAGAGTCATATAAATCCGAATGTGCCTGCCTGGCTTCAAAATACATACATGTTAACAAAAATCAATGAAAACCCATCTGCCTTTGTCAAGAAACGAAAACATACTCACTTCTCTCGACTCAACACCTTTCTACGAAATAAGGACTTGAAATTCTCTTTTATTGATTTTGATCTATTTAGTGCACCTAACGATCCTTTGAGCGAACGACTTGAGAAGGCTCAACAAGCTGTCTATGTCGTGTCTGTGCATTTCACATTCCCACAACTCCATGAGTTTGTTCGATTCAGTTTGAAGGCTATTATGGATGCTGTTCCATCGTTGCAACATCTTCCACGTGCAAAATCAGTATGGGTGAAAATGAAGAATCAATTCTACTATACCTGTGATGCCAAAGAGGATCACTTTCCAAAATGTGATAATTTAATTGAATTGAACTCAGATGACACGGTTTCAAGCAAAAAATTGGAAAATTTGAATGGTTTGAATGCAGTTTCTCCATTAGGAGCAGTATTAGAGTTTTCATTGGAGAAATTTCATTATTATCATCCCAACACACCTTTAAACAAGGATATCTGTTTTCAGTCAAGGATGGAACTTGTCTGTGAGAGAAAGAAAAAATCGAACTCCAACAAAAAAGTAGATGTTTGGAGTGAACGAGTTGCGTTTTCCTTTTAGTCAGCAGAATGGATTTCATTCAACGAATAAACATGTTGTTTCAAAATGTAAGTTACAAGGAATAATACTTCACCATTCTTGAGAAAAAAGGAAAGATTGATGAAGCTCGAAAATTTAATGACAAAAGCTGAAAGGTATCATGATCTCCCTTTTAGTTTCATGTAGAAGACTTCTTGTAACATCGATTTGACACTGTTGAAACTGAATGTAGTGTAGGAATTGTGTTGACAGCTTAAGAAAGGAATACTTGAGACTGGCTTTGTGACAGATGAAAGATGAGCGGATTGATGAGCAAGGAAGAATTTAATGCAGACATTGCTGAAAACATGCTGTTGTGTGTTGATATTGTAGAAAGAGTTTGATTAAGAAAAATTTGTGAATGTGTAAAATTTCCATAACTTCAAAATTAACAGCTCATTTGCAATGCATTTCCTTCATTGTGAAATGTCAATTTTTTCCATTCAACATTCAATGTTCAAATACATTTTACAATCCAGGTAGACTAGAAGATGAGGAACCAAAACCCAAGCCAGGAAGTGAAGATGAGGTGGTGGAGCCAAGACCTGGCAACATTCCTGACATGAATAAATCTGCATGATCGCTAACATGAGCTTCTTCTTTGTGAGCATGCTGTTGTATTTTTTGCTGAGTACCCAAGTTTTGAAGTAATTGCTGAGCATCAGCAGGAAGCTCATGGACGTTATACTTGTCATCCATTCGGTCTCCAGGTCTATTCCTGACCCAAAATTTTGTGGAATAGTCATTACTGCCAGAACACAAGACATGTCCAAAAGGATGCCATGCCAAATCCCATACTGCATTAGCGTGCGCATCCTTAATTTTTGCTTGAGGCGATTTGTTACCAACAACCCAGAACATAATATTTCCATCATACGATCCGCTGCTAAATAAATTTTCATGATATGGGTGCCAGGCTAGACATGTCACTTCTCTGTTGTGCCCCTTAAATGTTTGAAATTCTTTCAAATATCTGATATCATACAATTTGATAAGTTGATCTTTTGAGCAACTTAGAACCCAGTTTCCGTTCATATTCCATTTGATGTTAAAAATTGTATTTTTGTGACCATAGAGTGTGGCAACGTTTTTTCCTGAGCGCGCATCCCATAGTTTCACCAAATAATCTTTAGCTCCGCTCGCTATTAAACTGTTTCTTGGATGCCAATCACAACATCTTACATCACTACTGTGTCCACTTAGCGTTTTTTCGACAGTTGCTCTTTCAAAATCCCAGACCTTTACAGTACCATCATCTGAACAACTACAAAATTTAGAATCTGAAGGAGCAAATCCCAAGTCTCTGATACATTCCTCATGACCTTTGATGGTTTTCACTCCGTTCATGTTTGGTTGCCAGTATTTTATCACTCCAGTATTGTCAGCACTTGCCATGAAAGTATCATTGTGATTCCAAACCATGGCTCGGATGGCAACATCATGAGCTTGCTGAATTGTTTCAAAGTTAAAAGCCATACCATTCCATAATGTAAACTCTCCCGTAGATGCTCCTGTTAATAATCTTCTACCATCCGGTGTCCAACACACGACATGAATTGGACATTTCATCTTGTTTATACTGGCATGTTCGAACTTGGTAGCAATACATGTTGTTGGATTTTGTTTAATTGCCGAAGGGGGAAGTAAATTAATTTCATAAGCAGGATTTGGAGGAATGTATTGAAAATCGCGTTTAGATCTTTCGTAAAGTCTCGTTCTCGTCAATTGAATAACAGTTGGATTGTAATCGATAAATTGTCTATCAATAGCTTTTCTCATACGTTTACCATCAAATACCATCTTACTTTGAGGTTGTTGTATAAAGTTTGGCATGATCGGACCTTCCTCAGTATTATTTCCTTGTCCCACAGGAAAGGATGCCATTTGTTGTTGTTGTTGATTTTGATGATGATGGTGATAATTTTTATCTCCCAGAGAAGGATTTTGAGCCAAAGCTGCAGCAATACCTCCTTGAGGCTGTTGTGGCTGAGTGGAGCCATCTTGCTGTTGCCTCGGAATCCGTGGTCCTCTTCCCATCATTCCTGAATTTCTGTTCTGATTATTTGGATTGTGTTGTTGTTGTTGATAGGGATGGTGAGGGTTGTTGTTCCTTGGATTCATTGGAGCATGAAGTTGCTTGCCCGTGTGTTGTGTTGTTGGAGGATTCATTTTTTTGGTGTTGTTTTCTGGAAGGACCACTGTGCTGTGTGAAGGTTTGTGCTTCGATATTGAACACAGCGGGCTGACTGAAATCATCATCATGTATATTTACCATTCTCCACATGGTTATCAATTGGGTGAGATGGAATAAATATCAACCATTAAAAACGCCCAAGACCTTGTCTTTGTAGCGTACCTCTCATTGCACAAAAACCCATCAGTGCATTGTGAATCGTATTACAGACCCGTGGCATGACAGTCTTCCCCATTGTATTTATATAAATTTTCTTCCTTTCATCCATACCGTATCAAACAACAACAACAGTTGTATTGCTCCCTCATTATTTGCTGCAAATCAAATTCTGAATCATCATCATCCGCAAGCGTTTGCACCCTACACAACCCATCATCAACCACTCACACACGCCAAAATATATTCCTCAAAAAATGATCAAAAACAACAACAGCCTCCATCGAATGTCATCATCATCACCAATTCCTGCCAATGCCCTCTCTACGGCATCTCCTCCATCGGATATCATTACAGGAGTAGGTCCATTCTCTTCAACAAATATGAATAGCAGCACTACATCACCGAGTGCATTGATAAATGGTGGAGATGAACCAGAGGATAGAAAATTAAAAAGACTATCCTATGTGATGACAGATGACAACCAAACAACATCTCAAATGGAGGATTATGATGTAGACCCATTACAAACAATGGAACAAAATATCACTAGTTTACACACAATTATTGACAAATTATCAATGCTTTTCAAACCTCTTCAATCATCATCATCACCCAATGACCACATCATGATGGGTTCAAGTAGTAATAACCTTCTCATGTTATCATCCTCTTCAGCGCATAATTCATTTTATGGCTCCAATACAAGTTCACTTTCTATTATCAAAGTTGAGCCACAATTTGGATTACTTCAATCACGCACCCAAGTCACTATTTATTTCAATTCACCAATTTTCAATACTTCTTCAAATCCAACCAAACCAGAAGAACGATTTAAAATTGTGTTTGGAAAACAACTCATTGAACCAACCATTAATCTTTCACAACCACAAACACTTTCATTTTTCACACCTCCACCGCCTCCTCTTACCAAAGATTCTTCTTCGACAACAAGTACTTCTATTGCGAATAACAGTCATGAAATTAAGGTCTTGGACTTGTTTCATTGTCAATTCATTACTTCGAATCCCACACTTTTGTTTACGTTTCTGACTGATCCAAAAGAGGAAGTACTTACAGATTTGGAAAAGGTAAAAGCACTGTACAATGAAAAAGGAGTGTCGTGGTTGAGCGAGAAGTGCTATCCAAAAGGTCAAACAGTGGTACATGTTGCTTTCAAACTTGCTCAATTTGAAGTTGTGAAATATTTGGTCACTCAATCCGATCAATTTGATTGTCTCGATCAAAAAGATGATCATGGACAAACACCTCTCGATGTAGCCATGGCTGCTAAAAATTATTACTTTATGACACAAATTGTGGAATGGTTGAAAACCATTGTGAAACAAAAAATTCAAATTCAACAAATGCAATACACCACGACATCATCGAATCAAGCTGTCAACATGATGAACGAACCTCATTCACCACAATCACTTGCAACCAGTTCCACTCCAACCAAAAGAATTGTTTCTCCCTTAGCATTAACCAATCATCACTCTGAAACATCCAACATGAATATTCATGAACACGTTTCAACTCCAATCAATGCCATCGAACCACCAATGACTCCTTCCCGAGCGTCACGAGCAGGTGGTGGTGGTGGTGGTGGATTTGATGGACCAACCTCGAGCAGTTCAGTACCCTCTTGCTCTCCACTCTCATCGAGAATGAGTAGTAACAGTGAAATGAGTGATGATACCAATGTCAATGCTAATACTACTACTACTACTACTAATGGAACTTTAATGAAACACCGTAGTGGTCACAGAAGATTGTTTACATCGTCAGCCATGCCACTCGTTACCAAACCCAATCAATCCCCTGCAGTTGTGTCGACGAGTGCAGCAGATCAAGACGAGACGAGTACCGATGAAGAATCAGATGCAGTCTTCACGGCAGGTACTCCCATTCGATCCATAGCCACTCTCGAAGAAAGAGAAGAGGAAGCCATTGCCAATCTCATTGTGAAATATCGATTAGATCAATATAGTGAAATTTATACAAACATGTTGAATCGAGGGGATGCACTACTTCAGAAAATAACAAAAAAGTTGGAAATGAAAGACGATTATATGGAACATACGACAACAAAAAAGAGAAAAGAAACCATGCTTGTCCCGTTAACGAGAGAACGATCATTCTTGGAAGAGGTACAATTAGAGAGAAGAGCCAATCCTTTCAAACCAAGTATTTACTATGATGAAGAAGTGGATGATGGTTACACAGAAAGTACCTTGTTATTGTCTCAATTTTTTGAAGATAGTGCTAAAAATCTTCCGTTCCATGTCTTGAGTACGATTCAAACCATGTCCTCCGATTTTATTATTGTCACATTTAAAACACTACTCGATCACAAACCAAAAGAATTGGTATTCAATGTCGATGATTTGAAATCCATTACGTATGAAATGGATGTCAGTGATCGAATTCGAAAGAAGATTGAGAAAAAGCCAACAAGTGCAATCACTCCTTCCGATGAAATTGATGTTTCTCTAGTGATTCCAGAGAAACAGAAACTATTACCCATGGATGGTTTACAAGAGCCAGAATTTTTATTGGCAACCTTTGAAGAGGTCTTTCCGTGTGAAGATCAACAAAAAGTTACGAAAAGCAACGACGATACCAAACTTCTCTATTCTGATTTTGAATGGGAATCTTCACACATTGATCCTACTTCTCAATACTTGTTTGAATTGAAAGGATTTGAATTGGATGTCAACAAAAAGTTCGAAGTTCCACTCGAAGAAGCATACTTTATCACAGTCTCGTTATACACGTACACAGACAAGGCCTATAAGAAGATTTCTGAAGATGTTGAATTTAAAATTGAGACTCATCCAAAAGAAGAAGATACCAAAGTGAAGGCCATGTTCTCCGTACAAAAAACAATGGAATCCAAAGTGGTTGTTCTCATCAAATTTTATAGAAAATTCAGAGGAGAACTTACTGAAACTTTGAATGACTTGTATACACAAAAAGCAGAAAAAGTCAAACAAGGCGAGGTCAAAAAGTTTTTAACGAGAAATGAAAAATTTGCAACATTCCCGGGCATTGCAAACACAACTTCTATATTTGCATGGACAGCCATTCACTTGAATGAATGTCTCAAAAAGACTGAGGTCAATTTAACAGATTGTCTCTACGTGTTACCATTGAAGTGTCGATCAGGAGATGCAACCTTGTTGGATAATTATTTAGATGTCTATTCAAGTGTTGATGATCGAGATGCAAAACCACTCATGAAAAAGTCACTCTATGGTAAAATGTCCTTTGTTTTGAAGGAATTACCAAACGTTCCACCCATTCCTCGTCACTATCATCCAAATTCACACGAGTTGGTGGTCAAATTAGATTCCAAACATTTACGAGTGCAGCACATTCCAAACTTGGAAAATAGTTTAATGACCAAACTTTTACCACTCTCCAGTGAAATGATTGTTTATCCTAAAGAATTGAATTTAGTGAGAAAAGACTACAAGAACATTGTGGTTCGGGTTTCATTCTGCAATGAAAAAGAAAAAAACAAACCATTCCCTGTGTTTTATTCCAAGTTTTCAAGAAATCCAGCGAATCGAGTGACCCATCGACAAACCTCTGTGTGTGTTGGAAATCGACAACCTGAATTCAGTGAAGAATTCAAATGTATTTTACCATGCACATTGAATGGACAACATGTTTTCTTTTTTGAATTTTTAAATATTCTCCACAAGGAATCCTTGATTTTGAAGAATCATCGAGAAGATGTTCAACGCATTGGTTATGCCACACTCCGAGTGTTGACCGATCCCAAGTTGAATAGTACAGAAACGGTGTTGGATATTTACACTGAACGAAAAGAAGGAAATGTCATCAAGACTGAAAAATTAGAAGGATCGTTCACAGTTCAATTGTACTCTCGAAGTATTGCCTTCCCGACCGATGAAAATCTTTCCAACTTTTTCCTCTTTTTGGACAATTTTCAGAGAAAGAATACGGCGAAAGGAGCACGAAGAGAACGAGACTTTTTCGAAGAACTCACCAATCGTGAGTTGATTACTCTCTTGCCAGGTCTATGTAAGGTTCAACAAATGTCCTTTGCTCCTGTCATTCTCAATCAACTCTTTCTCTTGTATTTTGATATGAGTGATGAAGAAGTTCAAAATTCCATTTTTTGTACCATTATGGACATGGTGGACAAGTATCGAACTGAACATCGAACCATTGTTCCTGGATGGATCAAATTCCAATTCACAAGTGTCTTTCCAGAAAGCATGATGACCAAATTACCCATCATTGCCAGTTCTGTCAAGTATATTTTAGAAAAACCAGAATATGACAGTAAGGTGATTAAGAATGTGGCGTGTTTGTTCTCCATTCTACTCAAAGCCATGGTCGTTCATTTGGATTATGTGAAAAACAAGTTACAAGATTCCAACTATGATTTTGATGATCATTTCTATGCAACCATTAATACCATCACGACCAAATCATTTCGAGGACTTTTGAGAAGAAACATTCTCACCACTCGTCCCATCACGATCATCAATACGACTGTGATTTATGCTCAATTTTTGAAAATTCTCTTCACCATTATTGACAAACCCTATGTGATGAAATTGATTGCTTCTTTTGTTGAATTATTACCTCTCATCATTCCAAACGAAAATGAAATGGATAAGAAGAGTAAGAATACCATACTGGAATGTGTTGCAAATCTTCAAGTTCTTACTTATAAGGAAGTATTTTCCTATGATAATTATCTTCAATTATTCATTCCAGAATCTGTTGAGAATATTTTGAAACATGACTCCACTTTGCCCGCTCTCGATGGAACTCATTTCTTATTTAGTTCCTTTGTGGATGTCATTATTAAGAACATTACAAGTCCAATCAAAGAAATTAGAAACAACACGTCTCTCATCTTTAGGGAATTTCTTGTCAAGCTTTTAGTTCAATCTAAAAGTTCACTCTTTGAAGATGTTCCAGAAATTGATGATCGAATTCATTTAATGACTTTTGAATTTGTTGACAAGTTTTTAACCATTCTTCAAGATTGGAGAACTGAAGTCGATAAGAGTGTGAATTCAAACAAGATGAAAATGAATGACTGTAAAAAGAGAAAGATCATGATTCAACAACAATTGGCTGCCAAGAAAGAATCTCAACGATCAGCAAAAGAAAATTCTCTGGCCAACTTTCAAGTCGATACACTCACCAAGGAAATTCAAATTCTCGAAACGAACTACAAACAATTTGATAGTATGATTAACAAGACGAAAGAAGAATTGAAAAAGGATATGAAAGAGTCATTCAAAGAGAAGAGACAACTGGTGGCTTGTATTTTTCACATTTTGAAAAATGTCGATCAGAGATATTTACAACGATGGATCAAGGAATCAACCTCTTCCAAAAAGATTCAATTTTTACAATTGATGCAACTCATGTTACAATCTTTCGAGTATCAAAGTGAGGAATACTTTAAAGTCTTTTATGAACATTATTATAATACTCAAGTGAAAGTCAAGGCAAAAGAAGAAAACAAAACCTCCATGTTGTTACCCGATCATTCCATTGTTGTTCATGCGAATAGTCCAAGTAATACTTCGAACAAGTCATTGACAGGAATGTCCTCTGCAACAACAACAACAACACCCACATCATCGTCGTCGTCGAACTCTTCAAGTCATCAGCAAGCTACAACAACAACGACTACAACAACAACAAGTTCTTCCACTACTCCGACTTCTACTATGAATAGTGCAACTACCACAACTACTACCACAACTACCACAACAAGTACAACCAATTCTTCTACTACCAATGAACCTCATGAAATTATTGCAGGTGAAATTGAAGAAATTCCATCACCAAAAACAGCAACTGCCGAACTTGTCAAAGCAGGTACTTCACTTCAAAAGAAAAAGAACACTCGTGGTGGTGGTGGTGGTGGCGGTGGTGGTCTCTTATCTCGACTTGTACCTGGAGCAGCACGATTTGTGAGTTCTGATCAAAATTTGAGAGAAGACGTGAAAGAACTTCGTTCCCATCATTCCAAGTCCAAACTTTTAGAATTAACCGACAAGACCAAATCTGTGAAATTAGAAACGAGTTCAATTTCAAATTATGTGAAGAAGTGTGTCGTGATTGAACAGAATTGGTCGAGAGAAGTTTCCAATTATGTCTTTGAGTTACTCGTATTCTATGTTGAATACATTTTGAAAGAGAATCATCACTCCTCTGAACATCCAATGGCAGACTCTGCCAACTTGTTGGACCATATTGTCAAAATATTTTTAAGTTTTTTGAGAATCAATCAACCTGAAGATGTTTCCATCAATGTTCTCATTTATCTCAAAACCTTCTTTGCAAGTAGCTATCGATATGTTTTTGATGAAGAAATGAATGCTCAATATCCAACACTATTCTGTGAATGTTTAATGATGCATTGTAATTCTCCATTGTATGAAGTGAGACAACATGCCACAGCGTGTTTATACTTGTTGATTCGATACATGTACATGATTAATTATAATACTATATTGAAACCACAAGTACTCACGACATTGGCACTTTCTAAAACTCTACAAAAATATGTTTCTTCAATTGTGAATATTGATTATTTGAAGAGTGCGATTGATGCCATTGGAAAGTATGCTTCGATGGATCCTGATCCTCCATCAACATCAGCATCTTCTTTTTCTCATGATGCACAACATTTAACAGTGAACAACAATTCAGATCCTCCGTCGAGTACTCGGAATGGCACCACCACCAAGCTCGAGGGTGCCAAATTGAATACCATCTTTACCAATCTTTCAAATATTGAACATGAAGTGAAATTGAGATCTAGTGTTCAAGACAAGTCATCATCATCAGAAGAATCAAACTTTGCTGAAGAAGTGAATTTACAAGTCTGTAAAAAACTTTTATCGCTACTACAGGACACGACAAGTGTGAAATCCACACTCGCTCTCGAAGACATTCACAAAACTGAAGATTTATTCTTGAGAATTTCCAATGTCTATACACGAATTCCAGAATTGAGATTTGTTTGGTTGAATCAACTTGCTGCCAATCATACCAAACATGGTCAATATTTAGAAGCAAGTCAATGCTATTTAACCATACTTTCACTCGTTTTTGATCATTTAGAATCCACAAAATCTCCAATTCTAAATGGAATTCCAACTCAAAACTTGTCTGCCATTTCTCCACTCAAGAGAAGTTATCAAATGCATCATCACCACAAATCCTTGTTGAGTGATTGTTTCATTTCGAATCAAGCCATTGAATTCACAGAACATGGTATCATTGATTTATTGGCAAAGACGATTGAAGCTTTAGAATTGGCAGAATTCTTTGAAACGTGTATTGTTTTAGAAAAATTATCCATTCCATTCCTTGAACGAGTGAATGATTGGGAACGACTTGCCAATTCCTATCATCATTTACAAGATTTGTGTGATCGATTGAAAAAACCAGATCGATTAGAACCATACTATTACAAAATTGAATTGATGAACTTTCCCATCGATAAGGCACAGCCCAGTAGTAGTAGCAATAGTCGTCATGGTAGTCAAATTCATCCCAGTCATATTTACAAAATGCCCAAACTCTTTAAATTATTCAAAATGAACAAATGGGTTCAAGACAAGTTTGGTTCACCTTTCATGAATGATACCATTGAAGTGGTGAGTGGTGCCAAGAAGGTATCAGATATTGATCCCAATAAGAAGTATATTTTCCTCACTCCTGTGAAACCTCTCACCAAGGAAATTAAACAATCCATGATTGGAAATCAGAAAATTTCCAAATACGAAGGAAGTGTGAACATGTTTTACTATGAATCGGCTCATGGAAAGAAAACAGACCAAGTCACAGAAGCCTACAAAAAGAAAGTCATTATTACATGTGTGGATTCATTCCCTTGTATGAAAACACGATTATTAATCGAGTCAGAAAAGGAAATTATTTTAACACCCATCGAGTCAGCCATTGACAATATTGATTCACAAATTTCAAAATTGAGAGATGCATTACAAATTCCTGGTCAGGATGAAGACATTGATATTTCACAAATTAAGATTGGAACTAGTATTGATCTTCAAAATTTACAACTCGTTTTGCAAGGTTCCATCAAAGCAACGGTTCAGGGAGGTCCTGCTAGTATTGTTGAAGGATTTTTAAAGATGGATCAACGACCATTGTATCCCATTGATCATATTATTACATTGAATCGAAAATGTCATGTATTCTTGAAATTATGTGAAGAAGCTGTCAAAGTTGAAAATCAAATGATTGATAAGGCAACCGAACGAGCATTCCATCAAGAAATGGAGAAGGCTCTCTTAGAAACTCAACAATTATTTGCACAACATTTAACACCCATTGATTATGAAAGATTTTACTCTCAAATGTCTTCCAATCATCAAAACTATAATAATGAAGGAGATGAAAATGGTGATGTCTCAGGAATTAGAAATTTACGATTGGGTTTAAGTGAGGATCATGTCGATGATGATTTGTTGTAACTTTACATGCACTTAATTTCTCAGTTCCCATTAAAGTTCCTTGTTCACAATGCGCAATAAAAAAGCTCAAAAAAAAATGTTGCTTCCGTCCAACAGCGTTGTGGACACTTCTTCTCCTGTCGCTTCTCATCACGATGATTACAAAGTTCATGATGGCAAATCCGATCATGGTGCAGTCTACAAAATAGTAGTTCCGAAATGCTCTACTGAGAGAGTAAGGCCATGTATTAAGGGAATGTATATTTGGTGTCATGGATATCGACCTATTGGAATACCGTTAACAGCAGTTTTTGACTATTATGCAGAGCCTTATGCAACTCTTTTAAGAAGAGGTTTTATTTTAGCTTCCACCTCATATCGTAGAGAAGGATATATTTTGAAAGATGCAGTGGACGACATTGATGAATTGAGACGATATATACTTGATCGTTTCATTTCTCCAAACGATTCGTCAGCACATGATTTTACTGTATTATTAGAAGCTGAGAGCATGGGAGGTGCTATTGTAACACTTCTGAATGAGAGATATTCTCGAAAGCAGTATCATGGAATTATTGCCACTGGAGCTGCTTTATTTATTCAAAAAGATCCTGTCGATGATCCTATTCAATTTTTGTACACACCTCATGTACCTCAAATTTACATTTGCAATTCTTCTGAGGTTTCCATTGTAAAAGAATATATTGAACAAGCAAAGAAGAAACAACAGCAAGGAGATTCGTCAATTGTCGTTCCGAATTTATTAACAGTTGAAAGAGAAGGACATTGTGAAGTATTTACTGAGGAAATTCAAATAGCGTTTTCTGCACTATTTGAATGGCTGAAAGACGATAGTTATTTTGATCGTTTGAATCAAGAGTCTCACGACATTACATTGTATACTTTAGAGATAGAAAGGGAGTTCAATAATCAAACTACTAACAAGTTACAAATTGTTTCAGAGATGATCAATTCACAACCAGTTCGAGGAGTATGGGTTTTAGTGGATGAAGTAACTCTGTACAATGAAGTGATCTTGCGAATTGGAAGAGAAGATTTTAGAAAATTATTTATTTATCCATACAATCAATTTACAGTTTATGTGTCCATGAACAGCAATAGCAATGAAAAGTTCTCTTTGGATAAGGCGAAAAAGTTTGAAATTCTCCATGCCTCTTATCCTTTTACAGGAATTTCCATGGATACATTGGTATCAAGTTTTAATGTTGACGACAATTTGGTGATACGAAGACACTTTACCGGAAATAACTTGAATGCAGCAGCGACAGAGATGGGTGTACAAATATCTCATTGGGTGTTTATTTTAGAGAAAGCTGTAAGAAGAACCACACGATTAAATCAATAATAATAAAACAGATATCTTTTTAATCTACAATTACAGCTTTGCTTGTTGGCTGTTTTCATGTTACCGATAAAAGAAAAAAATGAGCACAGAGTCGAGATCGCACTGGCTTGTTTCCGAAGCCTTCAACATTGGTTGCTATCTGAATTTATCAAATTTAAAATCGTTCATGTTGGTATCAAAGAGTATTTATGATGAATTGAACGCACCTTCTTCAGACGATAAATTATGGAAATTTCATTACGAGCGATTGAGTGTTTTGGACAAAAAGATTTCGGGAAGCTTACGTTCATCATCCAATAGTGATGAAAAGTTATTCAAAATTAAATTACAAAAACTAGTGTTGAGTATTAAATTTGATAAGATGAAATCCATTTTCTCGTCCAAAAAAGGGCAATACATTCTCTTGCAAGACGTAGAATTTCCATCCAATAGCAATAGTTTGGAAAGAAATTCGTTACAACTGGTGGATCATTTAAATAATTTTCTCTATTTTAATAATAAGAACAAGGGTCACGGAGATCGGATACTCAAGTGTTTTATCACAATTGTTAGGGCATTGGTAGCAATGAGCGAGTATCATGACTCTCAAAAATTGATTACAATCTACCAAAAAGTTGTGAACAAATTTGTTTCCTTATTCTCTGCAGATTTTTATGGATCGATTGTTGATTTTACTCCAAAACACAAACTAAAATCAGCTACCAAAGCCAAGGCGTTGTCTCAGGTAATTGAATTAGAAAAGAAAATCGGAAGCGAGGTAATTGAGGCATTGCTACCTCTGGAGGAATCGGTTTCAGCCCTAAATAACTACAAGGCAGTTCTTTTTGTGAACTTTTTAGAGCTAGCTCAACAAAATTGTGAACAAGAAATCATAGAGTCCTGTTTATTGAATGTTATACAGCGGTGGAAGAAAAATTCAAACACCACCTTGAAAATTGTGAAGGATAAAATTTCAATTGATCACCCACAAGTCATTAGAAATGAGTTTGGTAATTGACAGCAGCTGCCGGTACTATCAACGAAATACATGTACTTTATTGTCGTCAAAATTACAAACATAAAGTTCTCTAGTATCATTATTCCAACATAAACCTTTCAGAGCTACACCTAACGATTGACTTCCAGTCGTTTCAAACTTTTTTAAGAATTTAAATTCATGCTTTCGAAACATTAATACTCTTCCTTTAGAGTCTGTAAGAATTAAATACTTGTCTTGGACATCAACAATTCCATTTGCGTTAGCTCCTCTGCACTTGAATTTGTTGCTTTTCAGTAGTTTCAACGTTATGTTTTCTGCGTCATTCCATGAAAATTGATAAATGGTGCAAATATCAACATTCTCATTGCTCATCCATAAATACCCATTTGCGAAATGTAGTCCACTACAAGAACTTTGTTGATAATTGTTTTTCATTGCATCAAGTACTGGTTTGAGATTTGTAGAATGTGAGCTCCTGTAATGGAATTGAAGACATGAATGTCATAATGAGATGCAACAAAAAGAAAGCCTGATTGAGCAGAAGTTTTTGAAAATGTCATTCCTTGAGTCACAAAAGTCCTTGAAATTTTCCAAATACATCCACTGATCAAGTATTGGTGAGTACATGAAAATAATAAAGTCTTTAGGTCGTATTTTCTAAATTCCGAACAAAATGATACAGTTGTAATTACTAGTTGATCATCACAGCCTTCAGCATATTCAACACACAAATGGGCAGCATCTCCAATTTCTATTTGCATTCTCAATTTATAGGTTCGGGAATCAATGAAATTCAGTCCGTGTTCATCACTCACAATTATACAATTAAATTGGCGAGAATATTTGACGTCGAATGGTTTCAGAAAATTGAGAGCGATGTTGTTCTCGGATGGTAATGTTTGATGGAGAATTAGCTTGAATTCTTTGTTTGATCGCATTTGTTGTTTCAACATATCGTACAGAGTGGTGTCATCACAAAAGTCATGGAGAACCACTTTGCTCAACATTTTTGAAAGCAATAACACGAAGGTTGGTGTTATATCCAATCACGTTCCACTGAAATTCCTTGTATTTCATTGAAATTAGTAATGTCGATTACTTGATGTAAAGTCCCGTGTAGTCCAATGGTTAGGATACCTGGCTTTCACCCAGGAGGTCCGGGTTCGATTCCCGGCATGGGAGCTCCAATTTTTATTTCTTTCGTCTTCAAAAATTGAAAAAAAAATTATAATTGGTGTCAGTTGTCGAAACCATCGATTACCATTATCTTTTAAAAAAAAAATCAATTTTGACCGAGCACAGAGGGAACTCTGACAGCACCATAAAGCCCTTGCTTACAGTGTTGCATTGCGGATTTTGTTCCAGCATTTCCCATTTTCTTTTCCTATCTTGATATTTCAGTAATATTTCGCAAATTTTTATCGCTCATTGATGACATTGAGCATCCAACAACATCAAAGAAAGGGGAATGGCCGACCCACCTTTCCGATGACTAGAATCGTTCTCATCATGACATTCCTAGTAGCGATGCTAGTCATCTTTTCAACAAGTACACATCGACCCATTCATCATTAGACAGAATTCTTTCCCGTTCAACTCGAAACACTGATTCCAATAATAATATTCATCTTGTTCATAACATTGATGATGATTTCATTGATTTGAGTCATGACATTCTCTCTGATTTTGCTTTTACGGATTCTGCCAATTCCAAGCATACTATTGAAAAAGTACTTTCTGTTCACAACAAGTATTACAACAATGATCAATTAACTCTCTCCAACAACCATCATCGGAAGAGTTCAACAATGAGCAGTACGAATGATGGTTCTTCTTCTCTCCCAACCACCACTACTTCGACTTTCAAAGAAGAATCTGATCATATTCAACAACAACAACAACAACCCACTCCTCTTCCCATAGTGAATGAAATTCCACAACAATTTATTCTCAAATTTAAAGAATCGGTCAAGCTCACTGAAAAGATGAAACAAGAATTTGAAAAGTCCACATCCATTCAATTACTTCAATACATTCCAGATCATAGTTATTTAATTTATGTTACACCTTCTCAATTGAATCAATTGATTGCACAATCTCAACAACAATCATTCTCCAAAGGTGTATCCATGATCATTTCAAAGGTCATTCCACTCTCTCCATCCATGAAAATTAATCCAACTTTGAAACATGATATGGAAAATGAACGAATCATTCGAGTGCCATGTCAGAATGGGAAGGGACATGTTGGTGGTAATGGTGGTGGTGTTATTGGTGGTAGCATTGGTGGTGGTTCATTGATTCATATTGCCTCATCATTGGTTCCATATCCATATTTGACGAATCAAGATACTCGTGAGATTGCTCAACAAATTCGACAAGTCTGTGAAAGACAACATCACATGAATGTTCGATTTGTAAGATTAATTTCAAATCGTAAAATCATGTTGAGTGTACAATTATGTTCTCGTTCAGAATTGAATACTTTGATTGATGTATTATCTCATCATCCAGCGGTGAATTGGATTGAAAGATTTGATATGGAACGTGATGGATTCATGCCAGAGAATTATCATGCTCGCTTATTGATTCAAGGTGGAAAGAGAGCACTTGTTACTGGTACCACTCTCAACTCGGCGGATCAAGTGGCTGATGGACCTTTTCATGCTGTTGGATTGACTGGAAAGAATCAAACAGTGGCCATCTCAGACTCTGGTCTCGATGTGGATCATTGTTTCTTTTATGATCCTCAGGTCAAGGTTCCAGTCATTCTCTCCTCAAATGCTCTTCTCAAAGAATCCAAAAGAAATGGACAACACCACTCTCAGATTGTCAATGACTTGGATGTCTTGATTCAAAAATTACAAAAATCAACGACTACTACCAGTACTACTGGAACAACAACAAATACTGGTGGATCCATAACTGGAAAAGAACATCGTAAAATCAAAGCCTATGTCGCCTTTATGGACTCCAAAGATGGTGGCCATGGTCATGGTTCGCACACTTCAGGTATTCTCACTGGTCAATGTCTCTATCCTAAAAGTAACATTTGTAGACACAATGGTCTCGCACACGATGCTAAACTTGTCTTTTTTGATGTTGGTTGTGATTTGGATGGTGGATGTTCATGTGACTCGTTCGATGCATGTCCATGTTACATGTATCCAGATTCAAAATGTCCAGGAGGAAACAAGTTAGTCACTCCCATTGATTTGTATAGTGGTATGTTTGAACCTCAATATGCTTTGGGTGCTCGAATTTCATCCAATTCCTTAGGTGGTGCTATCGGATATGGTTACACTCAGAGCACTGCAGAAATTGATAAATTCCAATACGATCATGATGATTTCCTAGTGGTATGGAGTGCTGGTAATTCTGGACACAAGGGCTACATGACACTCACTGGACCCACGAAACAAGCCAAAAATTCTCTCATTGTTGGAGCCTCTACCAATGTACTCGAATCGTGGCAAGAAGCCTTACAACTTAGAAATTATACGGAACGCGCTCTTTTTTTACGAAAGAAATTCTCTAAAAAATTTTCATGTACCTGTGAAGCTAGTGGTAAAAAGAAGAGTGGTAGCAACAAGAGTGTCGTAAACAACCAAGTCGTTGAATTTAATACCTTCTCAGCTTCATGGTGTCATTTCGATGCATGCCGAAAGATTGAGAAGTTGACTTCTGAAGAAGCATGTGAGACCTTCATGGGTGGTGAAAAGTGTCAATTCCCTAAAAAGTACAAGATTTCACTCATGAAAAAGAAAGCCAATTTCAATGTTGCTTTTGCATGTAGCCAAAAATGTGCGCTCAAGAATTTACATTTACCTGAAATGCGATCACTCTTTGACTCGGAGAATTTGGCAGACTTTTCTTCACTCGGTCCAGCATTGGATGGTCGTATTAAGCCTGATGTTGTGAGTCCAGGCTATTTTGTCATTTCTACACAATCTCATTTTGGAGATGCTAAAGGAAAATGTTCTCTCGAGAATAGCAATGACGTGAAATTCAATTTGAAGGAAATGGCGGGAACATCCATGTCGACACCACTCGTTGCTGCTGCTGCTACGATTGTGCGGCAATATTTCACTGATGGATTCTATCCAAGTGGTAAGAGACCATCCAATGCTCAGGAATTGGCCAAATCCGAATATACCAACCCAAGTGCAGCATTGATTAAGGCTATATTGATTTCGAGTGCACGTGGAATGAAAGGCCTCGCCCGAGCCAAGGATTATTTTGATCATTTCAATCCTAAACATCGAACCATCTTTGAAGGCTTTGGTTTGATTAATTTATCAAATACTTTGAAATTAGCTCCAGAGAGTGGTGTTGGACAGGCTACTACTACAAGTACTAGCACCACTATGGATTTATTTGTTGTCGATCGTCAAGAAATTACCACCGATCTCGTTCATTCCTATAATTTCATTGTGGTTGATAACTCGACAGATTTGAGTATTACATTGGTATGGACTGATTATCCAGCATCACCAATGGCATCACTGGCTCTTGTCAATGATTTGGATTTAAAGTTAGAGTATGAACTCGATAATGGTGATATTCAAACTTTTTATGGTAATCATTTTGCGAATAATAACCAACCTGATCGAGTGAATAATGTTGAGAAAATTTTAATTCCATCTCCACCACTTCGAACTGCATTGACAGTGAGTGTGAAAGGACATAACATACCTCATGGACCACAACGTTACAGTATGGTGATTAATGGAAAGAAAATTTCAAAGGCATCTGTTATTAAGCGCTCCTTGGATGTGACTGATGTTTCGCCTTCCAATACGATCATGTTCTTTAATTGGCAATTTGCATTAATTATCACTTGTATGGGAACTGCATTGTTAGTATCATTGGCAGTGAATATTGGGTTGTGTTTGTATGCTCGTATTCAAAAGAGAGATTTCACCAAGCAATTCATGAACATGGACAAGATGAAAACCGTGTATTAAATTTTGGCTTCATCGTAAAATCGTACTATTTTAAGAAAAATAAAAAAAATGTCTTCAGTTAATTTATTTGATAGACCTTCAGGTCCAGTAAGTGTCCTCTTCAGTGCTTCGGATCATATACAATTTATCAATCCTTTCTTACAACAGCGTCCTTTGATCGAGTTCAGAGCAGGTAAAATGACAAAGGAAGGAAATACAGTGAAAGCTGATCCAAGAAAAGGTAAAATAGCCTTGATTGTTGATCCCGAAGATGGTCTTGTACATTTCCAATGGAGAGATAGAAGTGATAAAGTAATTGAGGTTGGTAGTAATATTTTCAATCCCGTTTGTTGATTCAATGCTTTCCTCTTTGAATATCATTTTGTGTGTCTTACAAAAATTGATGATGTATTATTATGGCACATGATCTACCTTGATTTATCAATACTAAAAGGATTCTATTGTATTTCAAGGAGATGTTACTTTCTCTAGAATTAAGAAAGTAACTGATGGAAGAGTTTACTTGTTGAAATTTACATCAGGAAGAGAACTTTTCTATTGGATGCAAGAACCAAAAACCGATAAAGACGATGAATACGAAAGAAAGATCAATGAATATATAGAAAATCCACCAATGGAAGGAGGAATGATTGATGAAGACATACCTCTTCAACAATCTACAACCACACCCTCGGAGACATCAACACAACCACAACAAAACGCTGTTCAACTGGATCAATTGTCAAGAATTATTCAAGGAATTAATCCAGCAACAGCTCCTAGTAGTGGACAGACACAAACCTCTGCAACTCCATCTCAACAACAGTCTTCATCATCTCAACAATCTCAAGGCTCACAAGAAGGTACGTAACACAACACCACACACTATCAACACACAACACACAAATATGTGTCAACAAAAAAGCCTCTCTTCAAGAATTATTGAGAAATTTCCAAGAACATCAACGTGAAAAAAAGCAAACCATTGCACTGGAACATGTCATTCAATCCGATGCCATCAATGAAATCATCAAAAAGCATCCATCAATTTTAAATAGAAATGAGCTCTTTTCCAATCTTCCTGAGGGTGACAATGACAGAACCGCACAATCATTGTTAAGCCATATTAGAAGTCCTCAATTTCGTCAAACATTGGATGTTTTCAGCAGTGCAATGAGTACAGGTCAATTGAGTGGGTTGATGAGAGATTTTGGTTTAGATCCATCTGTGGCAGATCCATTCAGCGGAGGAGGTTAGTTGACACATATCATTTCTCAATAAGTAATTCAATTTATTATTTTTGTTTCAAAAATTACTAACCAAAGGTCTTTTATCATTCCTAACTGCTTTAGCCAAGAAAGAAGAAGAAAAGAAAGAAGGTGATAAAATGGAGGATGAGAATCAAGAAGGAAAACAATAATCCCGCCTTGGTTTACATTCAAAATAAATCAAAAAAAAATGTCCCAAAAACTTCATTTGCAAGGAATTACAGACAATGTCAAACTGGCAAGAGAACATGCCCTTCTTGGTAATTACTCAGTCTCTCTCGCTTACTATGATGGAATATCGGATCAGATTGATTCATATTTGAACGACAATCCTCTCGGAATTGATTCCAAAACTCAATGGTCTCAGCTCAAACAAAGGCTAAAACAAGAATATCAAATTATACAACACATTCAAAACGAACTGAACACATTTAGCAATGGGTTATCTCAAGGAAATAGCCAAAGTGGGGGCAACAGCTCTCGGATGAAACCCATCGCTAAATTCTTCGAAGACCCAACTGAAAAATCATCGGGCGGAGGTTGTGCATTTGTTGTAAACACCGTTGCCAATAACCCACCACCAGTGTATGACGATGGTCCATTTGGTTCTAGAGCTAAAACTCCAAGTGCCAATCAACAAAACATTTCACCTCAAGATAATTACGATCCGGATGTATGGCTTCCTCCAACTCCAGTACAAGGTGTCAGCAAACCCAAGAGATTGCAGTCAAATAACGTGGAAAAGAAAGTGGTACCTTCTAAACCCGTTAATAACAGAGTAAGTATTTCAGAAAAACCGATGAGTGACATCAATTGCAGATTGTTAATTATGTCGATAAGAAACTAAACGCAAAGTTATTAGGAAATCAGTATTCCAAAGATAACAAACAAAAGCCACCGGTTCCAAGCGTTGCATCAAAAAAATCAAAGGTAGACGACAAGGATAACATGTCCATTGATGAAGAGCAAGTACCTATTGCTGGAGATGAAAGACCCAAGTTCTCTCCAGCTTGCTCCTCAGATAAAGACCTTGTAGAAATTATTGAAAGAGAAATTTTAGATAAGCAATGTAATACACATTGGAGTGACATTGCAGGTTTGGATCAAGCGAAAGGATTATTGGAAGAGGCAGCTGTTCTTCCAATCATGATGCCAGAATTCTTTAATGGTATACGATCGCCCTATAAGGGCATCCTTTTATTTGGCCCACCCGGAACAGGAAAGGTAAGTTCCAAGAGTTTAGTGAAAACAGAGTGGTGTGCTTATATATCTACAGACCATGTTAGCAAAAGCTGTTGCCACTGAATGTAAAACCACTTTTTTCTGCGTTTCAGTTTCAGCCTTAACCTCAAAATGGAGAGGTGAATCTGAGAAATTAATTAAGTTATTATTTGAAATGGCAAGATTTTATGCCCCAAGTACGATATTTATTGACGAAATTGACGCTTTGGGAAGCAAGCGATCGGAAGGAGAGCACGAAGCAAGTAGACGAGTAAAAACCGAGTTGCTGGTTCAAATGGATGGTGTAAATAATGACAGTAACACAACCGAAGACGCCAAAAAGAAGATGGTACTTGTGCTTGGTGCTACAAACCATCCTTGGGAGCTTGATGACGCCTTAAGAAGAAGACTAGAAAAGAGAATTCACATTCCATTGCCTGACCTTGAAGGACGAAGATTAATTTTCAAATTGTATCTTGAAAAATTAATATTGGCCGATGACGTGGATGTGGAAGAACTTTCAAAATTGACAGAAGGGTACAGTCCTGCAGATATTAAGTTAATTTGCAGAGATGCAGCAATGATGGTTCTTAGAAAAGCCATAGAAAACCTTGGCAAAACTGAAATAATTTCCAAACAAGGTGAGATCAAAAATCAACCAATTACAATGAGCCACTTCTTAGAGACCTTGAAGAACGTGAGCTCTTCAGTTGGAACTGCAGAATTAGACAGATACAAAAAGTGGATGGAAGAGTATGGATCCAAATAAACAAATTACGTATTTTCAAACGGTTTCTCTTTTATTATCGCTTTGAAGCAAATCTTTTGCAATATTCTGTCAGGAAATCCACTGTTCCATAATCCCCGTACGGCTTTGAATGGTGGGTCGTCTGATGAAAAGGTTTCGACTTTATATTCACCTGAGGTTGATATGTTGAACCATACGTTGTCTTCCCTATTGCTATTTTGCTTTCCTTGTTTTGTGCTTGTTTGGTTATGGGTTGTTTGGAGTCTTTGATCTTCTTTTCTTGTTCAAGAGATGAACACTTGGACCGTGCTGAGCTGGGTTGAAAGCTATTTTCATCTAAGACAGAAGTAAACGCTGGCTCAACCACCCCACCACTAGCAGTCGCACAGGTTGTCGCTTTCCAAGCTGGTTCAGTTTTTACATACTGAGACAGTGTTTTAGAGTTAGGTCTTGCAAAATAAGTCTTTGAAGTGGGAAGGTTTGTACCCTGCGTTGGTAGGTAAGCGTAAGGCTTTTTTGTGTTGAAATTGCGGTCATGCATTTTCGCCAGATGTGATGTAGATGGCCTAGATGTCAATGGAGAATTATTATTAAAAGTGCTATTCTTGACATTTCTTCTTTGAAATGAGAGGTTTTGAATTGCTGGTGCTGATTTCGGTCGTTCTCCTTGCTGTGAACTTGTCTTATTGTTTTGCCATTTCTCTGCAGCCACTTCATACACTGGTTTACTCTTTTTCTGGTCCAGTAAATGAGGTGTTGACTCTAAAAACACGCTTTGCTCATGAGACATGGGTTGAATATGTTTTCTAAAGCTAGTTAATGCAGACATTACATTTTTGAATACATTCATATCCGCTTGACAGGTTTGGGAATGATTTTTAAAATAGGATGCAACACATTTGATTGCTTTTTCTGACAAAACACCATGACCGTAACTGCTCGCCACATAGAAATATCGATCGACTTCGCTCTCTGCTTTAAACGGATTATTTTGTGTTTCTAAGTGTTGATAGTGGTCTCCTAACCGTTTGAAGAGTGCATGGAATTCTTTTCGCTCTGTTTCTGTTGCTTGTTCTTTCAGCCATGCGCTCACCCCTCGCAAAGAACGATCATCAAATAATTTCGAGTAAGAACTAGATTGTAGTTTGTTGGATGTGCTTCGATACTTTTTAAGAATAAATTCCTTTCGGTATTCCTTGTGAGCATCAAAAGAAGGATCGAAATACGGCGTGTAATGGCCTCCGAACGTCATTGTGAAAGAAGAATTTCAATTGATAAAGTTATTTTTTTTGAAAAAAAATTATGTACTGGATAACCGATAAATAAACGGTAAAAAAAGGCGGGGTAAATTTTAGGGGTTCCATCACCAAAATTCAGAGTCAAAGTGAGCTCAATAACCCTTTGAACATGACACAGAGTAGAGACACGTCGAGTAATGCAACAATTCTTTTCTTTTCTCAACATGTTCATAATGTAGCTTGAATTGTTTCAACGCTTGTTCTTCCGTCTTGAAGCCATACAACGCTCCATACCAACTCATTGAAATAGCTCCTGTGGTATCAGAATCACCACCGTGAAGAGCGCCTCTCAATAGTACTTGTTCGTAAATGGATGAAGAGTTCTTTTTCGAGAATTCAATGGATGATAGTAAAGCACTAGGTCAGTAATATAATTAACGAAAATTTGTGTTTTCAACAAATTCCCAAGATAGGCTATCACTTACTCATAGGCTACAATAATTGAATCATCACCCGAACTTCCTGCCCATCCAGAATGTGAATAGGATTTATAAAAGGCATCTCTTTCTTTGACTCCATACTTGGAAGGAAATTGCATGGCATGGTTATCAAGTTCAGAAGAATTTGAATTTCCTTTCAAAGCAGCATTCTCGGAGAACTCTGCAATACCCCTCTCCTTTAAATACTTTATGAACTTGTCTTCGAATGATTTCAAATCCTCACTAATGACTTTCCAATCTCTTTTAGAAATTTCCTTCAAGTAATATTTACATTTTGGAAGAATTTGATTCATGAACAAGTATCCCCAAAGTTTTGGATTAATTTTCTTGATAGCAAATGAGGTGAATAATGCACTCAATAACGCTCCCATGAATCCAACACTATGGTTATGAGTTAATCTTCCACTCTCTATGGCAATGGCAATTAGCAAATCCAAATGATTCATAAATCGTAAACCTATACTCATGGCTCTCATCTTTAGAATGTTCAAAGTGATTGAAAGTTAAAGTTTAAATACTTACGGATCCACCACATCCACCCCCTTTTGCATTGTAAGGAAGGGTGTTCCATGGATGTTTCCTCGTTTGCTTTATGAAATATATACTTTCTCGACATGTTTTTCCAGGAGATCTTCCGTTCATATCTTTCCAGCAAGTGACATACTCTGTGACCATGCATGTCATAATGTTATTGACGACAGTCATGAAATGTGGAGAATCAACCGTAATTTGATCCACTGTTGAAATATCTGATGATTGACAAAGACTTTTCATTGTGGCTAAATGAAAGATTGTGTCATCGGACACTTTCCAAGTTTTTGTATCAATTTTGCTGAGCCCACCCATTTCTTTGAGCTCTTTATGAATATTTTCACCTAAATCAAATGCGCCTTGTTTCCCCAATCTTCGGAATGAAAAACGTACCAACAAAATTGAATTCCCACACTCCGTTTCTATAGCCAATGGCATCACCCACTGCAGTTAACAAGCAAGAGGCTTCAAACCGATCTTTTAAATCGTTGTCTGCTATAGGTTCAAGCATTTTATTAAATCATAGAATTACAAATTGAGCGAGAGATCTTAGTCCGTTTTTTCATTATTATCTCGCTCTTCATCGTCTCCTTCGTCCTTTTTATTAGGGTTGTGCCTTAACAGATAGGAGGCAAGGTACTGTATTGGATCTTCTGGTCGTTCTCTTACCACACTGGCTAATCCTTGCAGTAAAATTGGAACCACAGTTTGATCGAGATAGGCTCGTACAGGAAGAGCATTATAATTCGTTTTGGCATGTACTTTTTCTTTGGTTTGTTCCAAGGTAGCAGCGCTAGGAGTAAAATCTGCTAACAAATTATCTTGTTTATCTATGAATTGTAGTCATGATGATCGGTCCGAATTCTTGAACACTGTTCATGTATTCGTATGCTTACCTGTGGACATGATGACGAAATATTGTGTTTGGAAAAAGTAAATTTTTGGCGCGTTTATTCCATCTTCTGTTTCTTGGGTTGTTGTTCTTGCAGAAGGCAGGAATTTGATTCTGAATCAGTCTCATCAATAGATTCTGCAGTCTCTTGATTCTCTGATGGTAGGGATGGTGTAGTCGCGAACTCGTTCTTTCTCTTCTTTGTATTCAAAACTTGTCTCTTGTGATGTTCTTCCACATATTTCACAATTGCATTTCCAAATTTACTCCAACCCTTATCTCCAATGGTATCTAATTCTCTCTTTAAATTCTCTTCTGACAATTCTAAACCTCTCAAATCAATCTTACTCAATGCTGCATCTACCAGAGTTTTATGTTTATCACCAAATGTTTCCCAATGAACATCTTCAACATCACTTGGTTTGACCTTGTAAATGAAATTTCGATCCACACATTGTAAATTCTTATTTAACAAGTACAAGACATTTCCTTCAGTAATGAAATGATTGTATTCATAACGATGAGGTAATTGATGTTGTGCTCTAAATTCCTCATTCAATTTGAGATTGTACTCTTGTAGTGATTTGATATGATTCACAAGTTGATGGTAATGATTGTTGTATTCATAGAGATGATTGATCATGAGAGGAGTTGTAGTAGTGGTAGTGGTAGTACTCGTGGTAGTACTCGTGGTAGTACTTGTGGTAGTTGTAGTAGTGGTAGTAGTGGCATGATTACCATTACTTCCAGAGACTTGATCCTTGGAGGGATCGCTCATTATAATAGAATACGGAAGATTATTATCTGGTATGTGAGAGTTGTTCAAACAACATGTAGGATCATTCGTTGTTGTATTCATAGTAGTAGGATCATTCAAAGTAGTTGATTTCTCAATGGAATTTTCTGAATGTAATCCAATACATGGTCGAATAGAACCATCATGATACAAGAATAAGAGTGGTTTCAATTCAATATCAAAATCATACTTGACTAAATGAGGTTCTTCAAAACCACATAATTCACATGAAATGGAATTGATTTGATCATTCTCAATGAAATGTTTGAAATAAATATCTTTCATGGAGGAAAGAATTGTATTTCTAATCTTTAGTGGTGGTCTACTCAAAGTATCATTCCTCGTATCTTGTTCACTGCTACTAGTAGTACTTTTCTCTTCAAACAACAACAACATGTTTAACTTTTTCAAACTCTTGACAGTCAAATCAAAAAATTGGATGGAATATTTTTCATTGTTTTCAACAATGGGTGCACCCTTAGTTTTAGCACTAATAAATAATTCACCCTCATTGTTTCTATACTTGTATAAAACAATATTGGAACCATTCCATTTCTTCATAAAGCAGTAATAGAACAATCCTTTCATTGATTTGAAATGAGATTCAGGTAAGAGGGACATTCCCTTTTGCTTTTTTTGTTTTTTGGGATACAAGTAATTTAAATTGGGAATGTTATAAACTATATTTGGAGTATTTAAATCAATATTATTGATATTGTCAATGATCATTGACCCATTAAATTTTCCATGTTTAGTAATAATATAGCCTTTGATAATATTTAAAGTATTAAATGGATCTCTACATTCAAAATATTTCAAATCTCTATCAATATTTGAAATTGAAAATGTTTTGTTGAGAATTTCCATAGTTTTAGTGTTTGAAATTTTTAATGATCCAGAATGTCGTTGTTTGTTCCTTTCCGATGATGATGACTCGGAAGAAGGTTGTGAAGACATTTTTTTTTGCCACAGTTCCGAACCAGTGCAACTCTGAAACCAACTTCAATATTGCAACAACACATGGAACCTTGATAGTGCTAGTTTCATACGTTATAATATAAATACAAATGGCTTTCTAACTATACACTAACTAACCAAATACTCTGTTTCGTTGAAGTGGTATTTTCAAATTTCTAAAATTAAAAAAAAATGAAACGAAAATTCGAACACTCTTCCGCTCCATCAAACAGCAGCAACAAACATGTCAAATTCTCATCAGTAACAACAACATCAAGTCATGATCATGTCGAGAACACCACACAGCATGCTGATGAGTCCAAACACACTCTTCAATCCATTCGTGAGGCTAAATCTCTCCGAACGATCAAACAATTGCAAGGCTTTGAACATACCACATCCATTCTCGGACAAGTCAATGAAACGGGAAGTGGATTAGAAGGTGAAGAAGGAAATTTAAATCAAGAACGTTTTATTGATGAAGAAAATAATAATACAGTGATGGAACCTTTTCATTTAGAAGCAGAACGAATGGAAGGAATATTTAAAGATAAACAAACCAAAGCAGAAGAACAACGAAAAAAAAAGAAAAAATTACAACAACGATCAATTAACAAAGTCATTAGAAAAAATGAAAGTGATGAAGAGGATAGTGATGATAATGAAGAGACAGATGTGTGGGCAGATGATTTGGAAGAAATGAACCCATCCTTATCCAAAAAACAAGTTCTTTCGAATGAAAAAGAGGAAGAACATACAACACTTCCTGAATTAACACTCTCTGAATGTCATCAATATATTGTAGATCATCTTGTAGATCGAAAAGAGACAATTTCTAAGGCATTACAACGATTGAAAAAATCACCTAGTACTAGGAATGAAGAGGAGGATGCGTCAAAAGTATACAATGAATTAATCAAAATTGCAAATATTTTAATTACCCATTACAATATTTATGATATTTATGACAAAAAAAGAGAATCGTTTCAAAAAAGAGTGAAATGGGAATATCGAGTTAAAGATACCAATGAAATTCATGGTCCATTCTCAACAAGTGACATGATAGCATGGATTGAACATGGAATGTTAACCAACGATAATGTACAAGTAAGAATATTCTGTGGTGAAAGTGATGATTTTTTAGAATTGAATTCTGTGGATTTTACAAAATATGAATAATACCATGGTGGTTCATTTGTATGTGTACATATATTCTCTCGAGATATAAATCTACACAAACGCAATCTACAAATATAATGTAAAAGAGTAATAAAAATCCAAAAAAGAATGCCAATCGTCGAATAAAGCCTTGAAATTCTTCTTGTTCAGAAGGAGGTGGATGAATACGACTTGTTGTTGTGCCATTCCCAAACTAGCACCACCTCCAGTACTGGTGGTACCACTACTACTACTGTATTGAATATCAAAAAATGGAAAGAATCGAAATGCATCAGCAAATAAGAATGATGATCCAGTAGTGCCACTGCTTGCATGAATTCCTCCACCTATTGGACTTCCAAATCCCAATCCTCCTCCCATTCCAAAGAAATTACCTCCTCCAAATATATTTCCCATATTATGAAATGGATTATAATTTGGATTTGGTGTTGTTCTAGAATCTGTATATTGTGCACGAGGTCTTGAAGGAACACCATCACTATTTTGAAATGTCTGATTTTCATTAGAATCACTTCTCGTGTTACTACTACTTCCTCTACCATAAATAGGAATTATTTTATCTTGTTGAATACCTGCTTTACAAACAGGACATTGTAAATTTTGAGTAGAATGACTTTGCATCCATCTATAAAGACATGACCAACAATATAAATGTCCGCATTGAGTAATGACTGGTTCATTGGCTGTATCAAAACAAATATTACAAGACCACATGGAATCTGAATCATGAGATGTGTTTGGATTGGAATTAGGCTGCTGCTGTACATGGGAAGTGTTGTTATCAGTAGTCGTGTTGCTAGTGGAATCAATATGAGAAGGAGGTGTGGTTGTATGGTCCGTGTGATGATGATTTACATTTACTTGTACTTGTTGGTGTATGCTCGTAGTGTTGCTTGTATTAGTTTCTTCATCGGAAACATAATCTGATATAATTGGATCCTCATTGGATCTTTCCAATGTCATCATGGAATTAGGTATGGGTGTTGTGGTTGGATTCTCCTCTGTGGTCGGACCGGATGATGATGATAGCGTTGTCGCTTCCGATTCGGGCAGTGATGGTGGTAGGGATAAACGTCGCATTTTTTTTATGTTTATTGTTTAAAGAGAAAACTGGTTGAAGAATCTTCGAAGCAAAGCCTTAACACGTGTTTTATAAACAAGTGCATGTCACACAAGTGTTTCCAAGAACTAGTGATTAAATGCTCCATTCTGACTAGTAGTACTACTCCTTAATACTCGAGTATTTTAGATATATATAGATATATATAGATATTGTCTAACGATCATTCCTCTTCTCAATAATATTCTTATTCTTTTCATGAATATATTTCGCCATATAATGACTAGTTCGATATTGATTCAATGACAATACATGCTGTACATAATTATAAGGTGAAGAATAATAGGACATTCCAAGTAAAATCTTGTCTTCATACACTCTCTTAATATCAAATAATAATTGATGAGTATTTGTATCTTTACAAAATAATTGTGAGAGTATTGAATAGCCTTGTTGGGATGCTTTTTTCCATAAAGATTCATTCGTATAGAGAGAGTGAGCATGGGAAATGAATTCATTGAGAGAATGTGCAATGAGTCCACCCCAGTGAGTGTGGATGTGACCATGATGACATGATTTGTTGTTATGATGATGATGATCATGATGGTCATGATTAACATTTTCACTCCACATGTTCATTTCATCATTTTCGTCAATATTCATTCCTTCATATCCAATGAGTGTTGAAACACATGGTAATCCATACATCCATCCATCTGCAATTTTACCCTTTGAAGAATCAATATGATGATGAGTAATTTAGAATCAATATGATGAGAATATCAACCATTTAAAAAGAAGAATTCATCATGATCAAATCAACATTATTATTATTATTGAAAGTATAACCATAAATATCACCATTCATATCCATAAATATCACCATTCATATCCATATATATATATATATTGATATTCATTCATTACAAATCAAATTGCAATTCACTTACCTTAATTCCAGCACCAGCTCTCAACATGGCCAAATTCACTCGATACTTGAACATTTCATTTAAATTCATCATTTTACCTTTCACATAAAAATTCAATGATTTAGATGTGAGTGAATGAATACACGATGAATCTAAATAGGCTCCATAGATATGACATTCAGTAGTTGGTAATTTGGAATGAATGAATGGCCATACATGATATCTTAAATAATTGATAGAATCCTTATTGGGTGGATGATTTCCATTTCCAATACTCATAAAATGTTTACGTGAATGAAAAGAAGTGTCATGATAAAATTCATTACTAACATTGCAATTAGTGTCATTATGATCATGTTGTGTATTATTACTACAAGTATTACTATTACTATTCATAGTATCACCACAATTACTACTGATACTATTAGTACTAGAACTACTTCTAGAATTGTTATCACTACCATGACTGCTGCTAGTACTAGTACATCCACCCAAGATACTACCATGACCAGTAGTATGAACACCACCATCACCACAACCACCACTTGAAGATGGTGTAGAATAAAAGAATGAAGCCATTGCAATCTTTTGTTTTGGAATTCCATAATCATGTAATAAATATTTAAATTCATCTCTGCTCACAATTAAAGATAAATCACTTCGATAAATCGATGATAATTCTCTTAATAATAATTCATTAGTGGCATTGGGTTTGTTTATGGACACAAATGGTTCTTGCTGTTGTTGTTGATATTGTTGTTGATGATATTGTTGTTGATGATTGGAATGAAATGTCGACATACGATTGGAATGATCATTCCTTAATTGTTCCATTCTAAAATTTCTTAAACTTCTCAAATCTTGAGTATCTGTTATAAATAGAGTATGATGATGAGGCTCTAATAATTCTCTAGCTCTAAAACTATAAATCTCTTCACTAATCATTGTATCAAATATACATATATTTAATATAGGATGATGATGATTAGTAGGGATGGTAGTGGTTGTATCATGTGTTGTACGACAATGAATATATTCTTTTAAAAATTCATCCATACTTGATAAATCATTGCTTTCAATGGTTTTTAATTTAAATGATGTAAATTGATCTCTAAAATCATGATAAAATTGTTGAGCTTGAATAGTATGAATGGATTGTGGTGAAATAAAAGTGACATGAAGTGATGTATGAGGAAGAGTCTGAGAATCATTTGTATCCTTCTTGAAATCATTCTCACAGTAATGAATGTCATTTGTTTTTTTCAAATTCATTTTTTGATGAAATTCATGAATTAAATCTCGTGTAGGATGATTTAAATAATAAGGTAATTGTTTGAATGATTCTAATAATTGATAAATTCGAACAGAACTTGCAGTTGCTGATAATTCTGGAAATCTCATTGCAAAATATAAAATATGAATGGTTGAGAGTTTTGATGATGAAGGTGAGGATGTATGTACTCGTGATGAATTATTCTCAAAAGAAGTGAAATCATGTTGAAGACTTGTAGAATAATTTGATGTAATTTCCACTCTGTTCATTGTTCGGTTGTAAATAAATTGATGTGTGTTCTTCGTCGTCAAATAGATTCGGTTCCGAATGGATGTCGAATGTTGTACAACACGAGTGGCCATGATCATGCTCTTCCTGCCGTGTATGACAAGCATTTTTAAACCAAACACTGGTTGTCATTGGATTCATGTTCCTTGTTCTGAGTCTTGTCGCAATCCTACTTGAATGTTCTTGAAGAAGAGTTTTCTTCAAAAAAAATGCTTCCAAACAACGATGGAGACTCAACAACAACAACCACGGTGATGGAAGATTCTCAAGAAACCTCATCTTCCAATGCTAGTAGTAGTACTTTGAATTCTACTGAATCGTTATTTTCCACTCTTCCAATTTCACCTTCATTGGTGGGATGGACTGAACCTGCCACACTCCAAGAAAAGAGATCACTCTATGCGTGTGGTGATGATTATGTTACATTGGATCAATTAGAATTATATCCATCGTATGCTGAAAAGAATCAACTTCAACAACCAACCATTGAAGGTATTAAGAAAATCTTTTCTTCCTATCGAGTCAAAGAATATCCAATTTTATCTCAATTCAATGCTGAACATGATGCAATCAAGAAGGGTTATTATGAATACAATGAAGAAATTAATAAGAAGATTTCTTTTTTTAGAGGAGATGTTTCTCAATTAGAAATTGATGCTGTGGTCAATGCTGCAAATGAATCCTTGTTAGGTGGAGGTGGTATTGATGGAGGTGAGTTGTTGTTGTAGTTATCATGAATTGTGGTAGAGTATAGTATATGGATGTATGGACATTGTGTTGGGGAATGACATTTTCTTCACACATGTGTTGGAATGGAATATTTGATGACTTCACACATGTGAATGATTCATGATGACACCAACATTTGCTGATCATGACATGATTCATGATGACACCAACATTTGCTGATCATGAAATGATCCATTGGTGGTCATAACAGCTATTCATAGAGCTGCTGGTGGTATTTTAAGAAAATACAATGCTCTTCTTCATGGATGTGATACAGGTTGTACAAAGATTTCACCAGGATTTAAATTACCAGCTAAATATATTCTTCATACAGGTGAGTGAGTGTATGATACGAGATTTATGTAGGAATTGGAGATGTACAATGATTATTGATTTGTTTATTATTATTGATTTTATGATTGTATTGGATCATTGATTCCATCATTATTATAATAATATTGACATTGTATTCGTTGATCCCATGTATTGAAATTTATAATGAATTCATATTGATACTACTACTCTCTCACACACTCACACACTCGCACACTCTCACACACTCACTCTCTACAGTGGGTCCAGTTGGAGAGAATCCTCAAAAATTAATTAGTGCCTATACCACATGTCTTGAATTAGTTGAACAATATCATATTAAGAGTGTTGCATTTTGTGGTATTAGTACTGGAATTTTTGGTTATCCATTGGACAAGGCAACAATTATTGCCATGCATACGGTACGACAATGGATGGAAATTCATCATGAAAAAGTGGATCGAATTATTTTCAGTAAGTATTAGATTTGGTATGATATTGGAATATTAATGATGATGATCATTCATTGTGTTTACATTCGGAATGTGTTTATGTGATATTATCATCATGATTGAACTTCTATATTTCATAGTTACTTTTTTAAAGAAGGAAGTCGACATGTACAACACTGTAGCTCCCTATTTCTTCCCTTTCAAGCCATTACAATAAAGATTGAGTATGATCATACTTTCGCTCCTTCTATTGAGCTTCGAACCACATGACTCAATCTCCTTTTAGAGACTGGTCGCTCCCACACCTTGTTATTGATTGTGATGAAATTTGAAAAACGTTTCAACACAAACACTCAAAAAAATTATAACCTTGTTCACACAGTACCCTCATCATCATCGTCGTCGTCGCGTCTGATATTATTTCAAATGTCTGATCAACAACAACAACCCCAACAACAACCAGGAACAGTTGTCTATGCTCAACAACCTATTGGTGTACAACAACAAGGACAACCAGGAGTACTAGTTCAACAACAACAACAACAACCCATGATGATGATGGCCTATCCACCACAACAACAACAACCAGGAGGAGTACAACAACCTGTCTATATTCAACAACAACAACCAGGAGGAGTACAACCAGGTGTAGTTTATGTACAACAACAACAACCAGGAGGAGTACAACAACCTATCTATGTGCAACAACAACAACCAGGTGGTGGTGTCTATGTTCCACCTCAATCACAAGTTGTGGTTACCATGCCATCAAGTGGTGGTGGTAGTGGTTCCTTACTTGATCAAATCTTTGCTCCAAATCATAAAGTTAAAGTCAAACAAAGAATTGAACCTTTTGAATTATTGACTGGATTTGAAACTGAGAATCGTTATGATATTCATTTTGAGAATGGTTATGAAGCTGTAGCATTGGAAGAATCTGATTGTTGTGCACGACAATATTGTGGTCCAAGAAGACCATTCAAGGTTGGTTGTGAAATATTTCAATGAAATGTGTGTGTGACACTTATTCTTTCACAATGTTGAAATTGAAATGAATTGATTGAATTGATTGAATTTATTGAATTTGAAATGAATTTGAAATGAATTTATTGAAAAACTCACCACCATGGATTTGAATTTAAATGATGATGATGATGTATATTGAATTTAAATCACAATGTCACACAATCATAGATTCACATTGCTTTAAAAGGAAATGGACAAGAATTTATTACTCTTGATCGACCATGGTGTTGGATGTTCCATGAAGTCAATGTATTTGAAACTGCTACGAATACTGCTTTGGGTAAAGTTGAATTGAGATGTTCATTCTTCTCTCGTGAATTGAATATATTTGATGCAAGTGGTGCAAAGATTTTTGATATTGTTTCACCATGTTGTGAATGTTGGACGTTTTATATTGAAAAGAATGGACAACGTGTTGGTGAAATTAGGAAAAAGTGGAGTGGATTCTTGAAAGAAGCTTTTACTGATGCTGTAAGTATTTTGATGCAATGGATACTTGTTGTTGTGAATGATGTGTGTGTTGATAATTATTATGTGTGTCATTCATGATGGTCCATTCACACACAATGAATTGTTTCATGAATGATTGATATACTTCAATGATTGGTATTTATCATTAGGATAATTTTGGTATTGAATTCCCAACAAGTGCAACCACTAAGGAAAAGGCAATTCTTCTTGGAGCCTTATTCTTGATTGATTTCTTGTACTTTGAAGAAAGCGCAAACAATAACAACAATCGCCGTGCTTATTGGTAATTGATTA